ACATCAAGAGATTCCTCGCGCGGAACGTACCAGGTTCGTTATCGCTGAGGAATGTCGCCATGGAACTCAAGCCTCGTAGGATCCCTTTCACGCTTTATGTAGAGCAGAGCATCCCCCTCACACAATCAACCTCGCACGCTTTCTGCGATTACTTTCCTACGGGTGACATGACATATGACAGACAATCAACGAAATACTTCACTGCGCATTTTATCACAGTGGATACGGCTTGGAGCAGAAAAGTCTGCTGAGTAGCTTGGCGCGTATGGTCCAATGCTAAGGTGAGCTGCTAAAGATGACTCGTATGGCTGACTATTTCTTACGGTTTCCCATGCAGCTCCACCCAACACCGCCCGGTCTTCACGCAGCACCAAACCTTCGAAATGGACCAGCGCGCCTACTTCGAGATGAGGGCATTCTGTCTTCGCCACTGGGATAAATTTCGACGAATTATAGTCTACTTTGGTCTGGTTCTCTGTGAGCATGGTTTTCATCAGTAGTGCTGTCTTTTCTAACCTTAAGAACCTCATCGTCAGCATAAACGACAAACAGATATCCACTCTCTTCGTCTAAACTAGGAAGAGCGCATAGATGGATACATTTCGCAGTCTGGGTACAGTTGTCAGTTTTCTCATTTGCAGTTTACGAGCCACTTACATGTACTGCGGACTCCGGCGCCTCGATCAGGTCATCGATTGCGTGCACGGTGCACTCAAATGTTTCACTGAATACGCCAGGAGGGCGTGCTAACATTAGCACCTATGGAACTCAGTTATCAGCATTTATTGGGGCACGCATTGCACCCTTGGATTTTCGCCCGCAGGTTTCTTGCCCCATATAGACAACGGTGCCTATCGCGCTGAGCAGAAAGGGTTCGGTGATATTGGCGCCAACGTCCACGGCGTAGCGGACTTCGGATACTCCAGTGCGAGTAACGGACGAGTGGTCCAGGGCAAGCTCCGGGTAAGACCCCGACGACAGAGGTGGAAGGGGAATCCCAAATGATAGGGCTGGATCCATGGTCGTGCAGAGACTGGAAATCTCCCTGGTTCTTAAAGTGGTTCACAGCTTGACCCTCCAATATGGCAAAGACCAGTGTTGAACCGGTTCGCTTTCTGTAGTAATTGTTAACTTCTCAGCTCAGACAGCCTGTGATACGTAGCTGGGTTAATATGAAGCCGTCCCTTTCCCATCGGCGGAGAAAACGATGGAGTACAGAGTCTGCTGAGCATGTACTACCAAAAACCGATTCATACTCCGCAGCCGGCGCAGATAAGGAAGACAATCTTGAGAAGAGACCTATAAGACGCTTTTCCCAAGCTGAGAGGGACAGCGTGGGAACTAGTGCTCGGAAGCGCCCAATTGCGTACTTGTCAGCGAGAGCGAGTCATTGACTTGATTTCCATGGCTGCTTGACTCCTAGGCAGTATTGAAGCTACCTACTAGGTATAAAAGCATTTGGTGCGCCTATATCTAAGGTGGTTGACCTGCCTCTCCTTCTCCTCCATGTCTTCGGCGTCACGCTTCAGCCACGCCTCCCTAAATAACCCTGCCTGGACGCACATACGTACTGATTTCATCAGAACACAACAACCTTGCTGACCGCGCATTCAAGCCTGGGACCTACTCCACGCAACTTCGAACATTGACGTCGAACCCCGCAACGCAATAAGAACACTACCAACTCTGCTGCATCTGGCTATTGCCGCATTGCCCTCAGACCTTGCAGCAGAGGATCTCATCGACGTTCCTGACCATCTCCATCCGCTCTTGCGGTACCCGCTTGCACGCCGACTGACTGGAGTCGGTGCCCCCTTAGATCAATGGTAAATCACGACGCCAAACCCACTGGCAAGTCGTGGAAGTGCAGTCGGCGCTGACTGTCCCCCACAGGATGGACCGTCACATGCATGAACTGAAAAATATGCCGTTGGCCGCCTCGCACCGATTTATGCTTCGACTATCTGACTTAAATCAATGTTTCGTCGCTACAGAAGCCTGTGCCGATACACTCACGTTCGAGACAAGTGACTCCTCCGCCGGTTACGACCTTCTCGATGCCTTTAAACCCAAGTGGCGCTGCGTAACAACAAGTGACGCCAAGTTCGAGGAACGCTTCCAAGAACTAACTAAGAATGCACTGCGCAACTTATCGTGGTCTGGAATTGCAGCTGTGGGGGAGTGTGTATTGTTTAGTATGCTGAACCCTTGCGAGATAGGCCCATTTTGGATTGAGGATTGGCGCCATGGACCCATAACGCTTATCTTACACCAAGACTGCACCCTTTCGATCGAGGATCGACTACAGCGTATTTTTCAGTGCTTCACTGCTAACATCTCTCATGAGGTATGGCTTTGGCGCGGGGCTTCGTCTTTATCCATCGTTAGCGACTACGGCCCACGGATCGACATTATACAGAGGGAGTACACGCTGCCAGCTCAATGGCTTTTGGAGGAGTCCATTGATGTCCTGGGTGTTGTATGGGACGGTACTCAGGTACTAGCTAGTCCCGTAGCTCTGCGAGCAATCGAAGGTAATGCGCTACTTCTAACGGTAGGCTTATGTTATATTTTAACTCGTGGAATAGCCTCCAAAAACAGAATACGCGGACAAACTATTTTGAGAAATCGACAATCTTTCTGTGGGGAAAGACCCGAGGCTGGAGTAAGTATTGGTCTCACTTAAACTCGATGTATTAAGGCATGTGCTAACGACTCTCAGGCTTATATCCTTGTCATTCCAAGTAAGATTTCCCTGGTGGGCGTTTCGCTCGGTTAACGTCTTTAGGGTTTCGGAATTCATTTGACAGACAGTGACCTGGCTATGACCTATGGCCGGGAATCGCAATTGGCTTCGGTCTATCGAGCAAAGTTGCGGCATGAAATGGCTGAACAAAAGCGATATATAACCAGCATTTTGCAAAAGTACGGCTCTGTTCGGCAATTTGAGCTCGGAGCTCCCGCTTGGGTTGAGTCGGCCCAATTTGGTTACCTGCCCACCGCGTATTTGGAGTCATGGTCCACTTTCCTTCGACATGTTGTGTTCATAACGTGGGCGTTGGAACGCCAGATTCGGTGAGACTTCTTACCTTCTATGTGGAAGACACTAACAAAGATAGAATTTGCGCACCTTTATACCACACTAACGGTGTAGGTGGCAACCTCATTAACGATGTTCACAGGAATCTGCTCAACATACCTAGATTATGAGTGTACCGCTTCTCGCGACCCCGACTTTCAAACGGTTAGATGTGCGCAAGCTAACTCGAATCCGTAGCACTTGGGAAAACACAAGGCGATACGCGTTCAGTCCTCTATTTCCTCCTTTGCGCAACAGCACCCCATTGCGGCACTTGATTGCAACGACAACTTGGGCAGAGTTCCTGCAGGGCGACACTCCAGTCGTTTGCTTACCTTTGATCCTGCCTTACACTTTTTTTTTGCAAGCAGACGCGATATTGCGTGCCAACGCTCTCGATTTGCAGCTAACCGTTCCGGTGCTGGAGGTGTTCCCTTTGACCGCAGACGAGCTGCCTGAGCCCGACTCAACCACCCCGTGTTTGGTGCTGTGGAGAATCCCTTGGCTTTTGCCGTGGCGCCTGGACAACGCTACTTCCCAGAGGTCTCTCAACAGTGCCTGTCTTTCTCTGCGCTTTGCTGATCCTCTATCAAGGCTTTGGCATATTTTGCATGCGTATCGCAGTGTATTCAACAAGGTCATCGCGTTCAACTGTGGCCAGTCAACAACATTGCCGGTGTCGGACATCGTTAGACGGTTTCGCAACACCTGTGAAAGAGACGGTAGATTTGGGAGTATGGTACAAAGAGCACTGAAGATGAAAAATGTCGTAGTTGCTGATGAGAGGCACGTAAATTGGTGGAATGTGAAGAGCATGACGTCAGCGAGGCTGACTAAAGCAAGGTCTCAGACTCGGGCGCTAGCGCCGGAGGCCCTTGTTTGTTTCCAGGAGGCTTATCTGGAGCATTTCCATTTTGGGTTCATTACCGATCTCTGACTACGACGACGATGAACTCTGATACCTCTGAACTCAGCCCACCTTCCTTAGACTCTAATTCGACTGTCGTCGAGCCTGTTGCGACTCGAAAGCGTGGATCAGTCCTTGGTCATGTTGCTCTTCTCTCGCTACTCCTGACCCCGATTGCCTTTATACCCTACATAATTACTCGGAGGCAGCTTTTACGTTTGCGACGGCAAGTCGACGAGCTCGGTGCCGAAACTACATTACTACAGGCACACCACAAGAACGCCGCGATTCCCCGGTCAGAGCTGGCCAGGCTGCACCATCAATTGGAGCTCAGCAAGTCTGACCGTTCCAAGTTGTTATCTACTATCAACGACGAACTGGGAGATATGAGAGGCGAACTGCATTCACTTCGGGAGCAGTTTAGCGCAGTGGAGGTGAACAGGGTCAACGAGGCACTGCGACAGGTGGAGGGACAGCAGGAATCCTTGCAGAGCCAACTGTTCAAGCTGTCTGACGAGATGCGGACGTTGCAGTCGGGCCCCCAGGCGGTGAAGAACGCTGAACTTCACCGATTGCTAGAGGAGGCCCGTGTTGCTCGGTAAGATTGCATTTGTCAATGGGTGGACACACTTGTTTGACACCTGCACAGCGGGCACTTTGCCTCGATCGGATCCTCGCTTGGAGATGTGGCTGCCTTGTTACAAAGAGTCGAGATTGAGCTGGGCCATGAGCGAACCGCATATGACCCTGTCGAAAGACTACGAATACTCGCTCTTCGGATGCAAGAGGAGCAGAAGTAGTCACTGAATGTAGAAGTAAATATGTACTCTAACTGTTGTAAGACCCAAATTGTAGCCGAACAAGTCTCCCGTTGCAACGCGGTAAATATGTGGCACGTGTGCGATAGTTCCCTGTTTTCCCTTCACCTCGTTGTCGACCTGCATGTCTGGGGTCGGCTGCACTCCTTCTCCCTTCACGCACCGCCCACCGCCTTCTATATTTTTCCGCAAATAAATGTCAGCAACCCCAGAGAATTCGTCGGCCGGCACGGCGTCCTCAGACATACCAACCCCGCCACCTCCAGCCAACGGCGAAGACGAGGCGCTCGAATGGAGCAAAGTCATCGAGCTCAAGGCTTTTAGCGAGCGGAAGAATTGGATTGAAGACAAGATTAAGGCAAGTGGTAGTTGTTTAACTTGCTACTCTATACCTTGCCTAATCAACTTTTACGTCTCTAGTTACTGGAACAAATGCCCCCGGTTGAGGTTTTCGTCGGCATGGACGCTATAAAGGAGTCTGCCGAAGTCGTGCCTGGACTACCTACGCGCCAACAACTCGAACAATGGCTTGTCGAGCATGACGCAATCGAGAAGGAGACGGAGGTTTTCGACAAGGGGGAATTGCAGACTATCAGGAAATTCACGAAAGGTATGTTTCAATTCCTCCTTCAGCTTAACCACTGACTGTACCCAAGCCGCGACGCAAAGAAATCTATCCCCCGCAGACACTGACCTGATTGAACTGACGCTGACGACTATTTACGACCTCGACAAACTGCTACATTTACTGCGCGACCGTTCAGAGAACTTTGAGCTTCTCAACCAGCGTCTGAGATGGGAAGAGTTCCGCTCAGCGGCCTGGGTTGACCGGCGTACCATTATTTCTGACCTCAAAACATTTTTGGACATACGCGCACATTGGACACCTTCCGTTTATGAAGAAGCAACACCCACATCACCACCCCCTTCAACCTCCAACCGACGCGGCTCTCTTACCTCCCTCGCTTCCTCAGTCGCTTCCGAGTCTTCATTATCCTCCAATGGCTTCTCGCGAAGTGCGCGTTTCAAGTTAGCAGAAGTGCTTTCTCGAGATGCAGCGCAATTCTCTGCCCGAATAACGTCCCTCAGACACAACAAAATCGCTTCTGCAGGCAAGGTCCTTGATAAGTTAATAGACTCCAGCAGAAAACCCGTGCCCGAGGAAATATTAGACGAACAGGATCGTCTCGAAGAAAAGGGAATTTCCGACCTCGAAAATGTGGGTAAATTTGTTATGAGTGCGGTGATGCAATGGAGAAAGTAAGTCGACGTGTGTTCTTCTGTTGCGACTAGCATCTCAACAATTGCTGCCAGGGCTGATGAAATCTACGTCGAGTCCATGAAAGACCAGGTTGCCGCGCAGGCATTGTGGGATGAGATCGAGGCGGCAAAATTCCAACACCCCACGGCTCGACAAAGCGCGTCCTTCGCTACCCGTGCCGAGGCCTTGTTGAAACGACTCGTTCTTCGCGGTGATCCGGCTTCTCCCTCGAGTGCATTTCCCCGCCCAGCACATGTTCTTTTCCCGGAATACGCGTCTGCAAACGAGGACGTGGTTCAAACACTTTCGTCCGAAATTGCGACTGCGCTTGAACTTGTGCGCAAAGCAGAGACCAGCGCAAAGGAGTATCGTCTCAATTACGAAGCTGTCCACCGTGTTGAAACTTTGGTGGAAACCGCTGCTGCTGCATCCAGCACCTTTACCTCCATAATCGAACGACTTGAAAAAGGTGTTTCGACTACCGATGGAGATGGGACGCCTCCGAATCTCATGTCAGACGCCTGTCTGGAGCCAACGCGCCATGCTGCTTTTCTTGCGCTCTTGCCGTCTATCATTAAAGAGTCCGAGACCACCACGGAAACGGCAGTCCAAGTGTTACGCAACTCTCGAGGGGCTCTTCTTAGTCTTGATCGCCCGGGCATAGATCCTGCATTCAAAAGTAGCGCAGCCGCTGAATTCCAAAAGCTGTCTGGGCTGCGTGGGCAGGCTCAATGGACCCGCGACGATGTAGTTGCGCGAGTTGGTCGTCTTCGCGAGGCAAGACGCATCTGGAATATTATGGAGGACAATCTCAGTGAACTCGAGGTTATCCGACGAGAGCTTGGAGAAGCTATGGAGCGTCATCGCTGGCAGCAAGACCTTAATACCAACAGTTTCCCACCGACACCAGAAAGTTTCTCCGCGCCGCTCCCTTCTGATAACCCACCAGCAGAATCAGTCAAGCGCCTAGATGAGTTGGACGGGAAACTTGTTCAGGAAGTCGATGCCCCCCTGGCCAGCCTAGCCAAGACGTTGGAAGCTCCTTTGAATGAACGACTTTTGCGTGGCTCCTCTGGGTTAAAGCAATTCCTCCAACAAGTTCGACAGATGGCCGGCTTGCTTGAATCGGTAAAGAATCAAGCCACCGTCATGGGTGTTGTTCGCGACGATTACCATGGACTGCAAACCAGACTTGATGAACTCAAGGCTCGTGTCGATGCCGGGATCCAGGACGTTCTGGCTTCACAACTTGTCGACCCGCAACTGAAAGATTTTGATCTGCAGCTCGGCACGGACATTAAAGTCGCTCATTCCGATATCAAGGCCTTCCAGAACGGGCTATCCCAGCGAGTCCCTTTGGTATCAATTGGAACACGCACGCGCACAACGTCTTTCGTAAAACGTCGTTTTTCGTCAACCGACCTCAAACTAGTCGCGTTCGACAATTCATCCACAGTCGAACTTCCCTTTGATCTCCACAATCTCGACGATGCAGTTCGCACGGACTCGAACTCTTATGTGATGAAGCTTGGGGGTGATTTGGACGTATTAGATCAGCAAGCAAATCACTTCCGTCTTGCTATTAAAACGAAAGAGGTGGATATGGCTCTTGCTGGAGTTATTAGTAACACCAATAAAGCCGTTTCCCAACTCGCTGCTCTCAAAAACTCACTTCACACCATTCAATCCCAGTCTGACATCTCCCAACCTCTCTCAGATCTCTCCACCCGCGCCGAGCACGTGACTTCGGAATATCGCATTACCATTAGCCGCGCTCTCTCACCCATCCGCGAGCTATTGAAAGATATGGAGGCTTCTCCGGGGGTCAATGATCCGTCTGTGCACGAAAGCTTATATCTAGCTCGTTTGCATTCACTAAACGATGTTGAACTGCGATTCCAAGGATGGCTCGAAAATATGACAGCTCTGTCGACCCAGATCGAGGAAGCCAGACGTGCTGAAGAACAGCGTCTTGAAGCTGAGCGTCTACGCCTTGCCACTGAAGAGGCTGAACGGGCTCGTTTGGAACGTGAACGGTTGGAGAAAGAGGAAGCTGAACGAATCAGAGAAGAGCAATTAGCTGAACAGCGACGACAAGAGGCTGAGCGTGCGAGAATTGCAGTGGAGGAGGCCGAAAAGGCGTTGATTGCACAACAAGAGGCTGAGGAGGAAGAGCGTCGGAAGGCCGAGTTACTCAGACTGGAGGAAGAGCGACGACTACAAGCTGAACAGGAGCGATTGGCTGCCGAAGAGGCTGAACGCGCCCGGTTAGAGCGGGAGAGGCTAGATATGGAGATCAAGCTGAAGCTTGCGCAAGAGCAACTTGCGGAGGAGAGAAGACTGCAGGCCGAAAAGGAGCTGCATGATCAACAAGTGAGGGAGGCAGCGGAAAGGGAACGACTGGAGCAAGAAAAGAGGCTTCAAGAGGAGAGGGATCGACAAGCAGCTCTGGAAAAAGAGGAATTAGAGCGCGAATCGCGACAGCGTCATGAGATGGAAGTCAAACTCAAGTCCATTGAGGAGCAGCTTGCAACAGAGCGCGCTCTTAATACCGAGCTCGCCGCAGAAGTTGATCGCGAGGCGAAGAAAAAGGGCAAGGCAAGGGCTGAGCCTATGGATCATGGTAAGCTTTTGTTTTCGGACAGTGTTATTCGTTGGTCTGACTGCTCTGTTAGATGTCTTTGGGTTAACGTTGCGCGCTGTGTCGTCCAATGGAACTCAATTCCAATCAGCTGAAATGAACGAATTGCAGAACCGCATATTTGCCTTACGAAAACGTCTTCGTGCGCTCAGCATTGAAGGATTCGCCACCTCGACTTCGTACCTCCCATCTGGGGACGAAACCTCCCAGGTCATAAACAGCTTCCTGCTGCTCAACGATGAAATCTCTTCTCTTCCTCAAAATGCGGAGGACCCTTCTGTCGAGATGGAGCTTGCTTCCCTAAGGGCGGAAGTTGCAAAAGCGTCACAGCTTGTTGGGCATCTACAAAACCTGGTCAAGTTTATGGCAGAACTCAAAGCCTGTGATGCTGCTCTCAGTGACCTTCTGGAGCACGTAGACACATATCCCAGCCCTCCTCTCACCTCTTCAAGCAGCTTTCAAAATCCTGTGCATCTCTCTGCTGAAGATCAACTCAAAGCACGGCTTGAGTTCACTACTTCTTCCATCGCTCTGGTAACGGCTGCGTTTGGCGCGGTGCAACATGACCAACGGGCCATCGGAGAGCACGATCGTATCCAACAAACATGGGTTGAGCTCGAGGAAATGGCGAAGGACCGTATTCATGGCAGACGGTCGCGGCCACCAAGCGTCAGCAGTTCTGGAAGAAACAGTAGTGCGTCCCTCAGGAAATCACCTACCAAGTCCTCTTCATACTCTGCCCTCTCCGTTGGATCTCCGACTGCATCTTCATCGCAACGGACCAGAAGTCGTCTGGTTCCTCCCCAACCTGCAAATGGCTCACGTCGATCAACTTATGGCACCGAACGGAGTCGACCACCAAGCCAACTGTCTAATGTGTCTTCAAGTCGCTCAACCTCTGGACCCATCATGCATGGCACAACTTTTGCGTCACGCCAGCGGACAACTAGTTTGACTCGGGGAAAGCAAGAGCCTCCTCGCCGTGTTTCGGGCACTTCCCATATCCACCGCACGGCTTCTCCGACAACATCTGAAGCTTCCTCATACTCCCGATCGGTCTTAAGTCCCTCAAGGGCATCATCAACGTCGACATCAACGTGGTCGCGAACACCAAGATATTCGTTGCCAAGTTTGCCTAAAAATGCTACGCCGCAGCGTAAAGCTGCACCTCCTCCCCGAAAGAAATATATTCCCAACCCGAAAAGCAAACTAGATGTCGCTGTTGGAGAGGTTGTAAACAAACTACCTGTCGGTATCAGCATCGAAGGAGTTTCTGATAGCTGGAAGGATCAAAGTGGGAAGTATTGGATCGGCGACCAAGACCCAAAACTTTGTTTCTGCCGTATCCTCCGTTCCCAAACAGTCATGGTCCGAGTCGGTGGTGGTTGGCAAGAATTATCAAGGTAAGGCGTACTCTGAATTTTACCCAACACAAAACTGAAGTTGGCTTCACAGATTTATCCAGGGTCATTTTGCTGACAGTTTCCGTTTATTCGAAGAATCTCCTCCTCGGCCTGGTGGGGCGGAGCCCAAATGGATTAGCTCAGCCACTCTTATTGAAGCTGCAGAACATGAAACTCCTCCACAATCGCCACGAACTCCTGAACCACAGATTCTACCGACTTTTTCCTTGATGACTCCCAGCGGTCATAGTCCGCATTCGCTCAAATCCTCACCCTCGACAAAAGGCGGCTCGCCTTTGACCCCGCTTCAGTTTATGCGGAGAGCAGAGCCGGAGACTCTGCCATTGCCAACTCCTAGTCCTTCAAAGTCACATGCGCGGTCACGAACTATCTCTACTACGCCTGCTGCTGCTAACCGCACTTCGATATGGCGCCCATAGCGTCTGCTTTGCTGTTGTATACACTAAATTGACACTTAGTTTATTAGAGCTGTATTTATCTTAATTCTGACTGTATCAAAAAAGGAACTTGAAGATCACGAGACTGATGAGTCAGCTCTTAAACTGTTTGCTTCTGTTTGCCAGTGTGAACTATAAAGGGGGTTTGTTCGTTCGTTCGTTTGTACAGCCATGACGATGACTGGAGAAGTTCGATACGCCCAACTGTGGAAGACCTTCTGGTCCGACGAACCTCAATACGATTCTATCAACCCCGAACCCTCCAATCTAGCCAAGCACATCAAAACCATCGAAGTGAACGATAGTTGGCTGACTGGGCTTGAGTCAAACACTCCATCGCCTTTGCCCCTATTGCCCGGCGAGGATGCGGCAGCGGCAGCGGCCGATGGAGATGAAGACGAAGCACCTGCGAGCACACATAAAATTCGCTATATCGACCTCTCCAATACCATCCAGACCGCTTTTCGTCATTTGAGTATGGATCTGACAACGCCCGAAACGAAACCTGCGTTCATCGTGCGGGAAGAATATGTCGAGTTTTTCGAGCACGCACTCAAATCTGCCAAAGCTGGGAAAAGGAGGCGTTATTTCGTGACTGGACAGCCTGGCATAGGTCAGTGGTAACCTTCTTGACTTGGATTTCGTCTTATCGCAGTAGGGAAAACCTACTTTTCCTACTACACCATTTGTCGGGTGGTCGCAACCGGCATCTCTGTCTTCCTCATCAAAGAGCCGCCCTTTGCGTATTACTTCTCGTCAGAGGGCGTCAAAAAGTACAGCCTTGTTGACCTGGACGCATCAATAGAAGACTTGCTGGAATCCAGTTGGGTAGTCGTCGATTTCGAACCTGAATGGACATTGCCTGAAGTGCTGAGCAACCCCCGTTGTCTCATTTGGACTTCTCCGCCCCGCAAAAGTCGAATGGACTATATGGAGAAAAAATTCGCCGCAGATGTCTGGTACATGAGAGCATGGAGCACACCAGAAATTGCAGCTGCTACGTACGTATACGTAGGTCCTTTTGATAAGAAGCTCAAAAGTTGTGATCTTAAAGCACGTTGCGTGGGTTGAATCACGCTGCCGTTTTCGAGGCATACGAACTCTATGGTCCAGTCGCTCGCGACCTGCTTCGGATCGAAGAAGTGGATAAACAACCAGAAGAAGTACAGATCAGAGCCATCAAGAATCAAATTCGAAATATCATAGCTCAACGCAATCGTTTCGCGATAACGGAGGACAGTCATGAACTCTTTCTCATTCAACCCCAGCAGCTATTGAAGGACAAGAAGTGTTTTTGGGAAAGAAGCAACTACGAGGCAGAATTCCGTTCCGACCGTATCGCGCAGTTGTTTGCTGAGGAAGCGCAAAACCATTGGGAGGAGAACTTCGCCGCCGTTTACAACACGTCTGCGAGTCGATTGATAGCTGGCAAGCTATTCGAGACCATAATCCACAGCAGTATCTGTTGAATCGGATGCGCCTCCCCGATATTTTGGTAATACCCCACCGACTGCCCTCAACATTATTGGCCAGGCGACGACACTCTTTTTCAATTTTGATTCGGATAAGACTTCATGCAAGCTTCCGTTTTACTTGCACCCCAGACCATGCTACGCATTCTGGCCAAAATGAGATACGGTGCAAGAATTCATGTGGGCAATCGCAGAATCATTTGTTGTCTCATTGGAATGAAAAATGAAGATGTTTGACGTTTAGTTGAGCAGGCATCGAGGGCTTTGAAAGAGTTGGACGCTGGGCAATTGACGGGATCGAAAATAAGTCCGCCGTCTGGCGAACTTCTCTGTTGCCGGATATGTCTTCAACCCGAAGGCAGGGTTCAGCAAGGTGGTGTGCACGTAGTTGAAGGTAGATTACTTGTGATGTTTGTGGTGGGAAACTACAATAAAGAAAATGAACCCTTGTACTACGCGCCATCTTTCTTTTGGACATGAACCGATCTACCTGCGACGTCGTCCGAAAAGTCCGGCTCTGGTGGCCCACGTGAGCGTGATTTTTGCCCCTTTCATGCCATTACCGCGGCGTGTTCTGGTCGCTTCTACTCTTGCTGGCGCCTTTGCAACAGCGACAGCAGCATACTTGCTGATTCCAGACAAATCACGCTCAGCTCCGACTGTAAACGACGCGTCATTGTCGCCTTCTCATTTCACCCGTTCAGTCCTGACTTCCAGCAAAACAAGCGGCCCAGACACAAAACTCCTAGTGCTTACTGTCCCCGGCTTCTCTAAGCAACAGAGGCCAGGTCATCTTGCGCCGATCTGGTCGGTATTCATAAAAGACGATGACATTCAAGTCGAGAGGCCATACACGCCTCTACAAGGCATCGACGACGACGGCAGAATGTTATTCTGGGTTAAGCAGTACCCGAAAGGAGAGGTCGGGCGTTGGCTCAATTCGAAAACTGTCGGCGAACAAGTAGAGTTTCGTGGTCCACTAACTACTTGGGCTTGGAAAGAAGACGACTGGGACCACATTGTGATGGTATGTAGTGTGTTGTCTTCGTATTCATTGGTAAAAGAGACTACCTAGATCTCTGGTGGGACTGGAATAACACCGTTTTTTCAACTGTTGCACTCCGCGTTTACTGCTACGTCGACAAACAAGCGATTCACATTGCTGCATTCATCACGAACACCTGAAGAGCTACCGCCGCCAGAAATACTGGAGCCTTTGGGCAAATATGCAGCCTCTCATCCAGATAACTTTGCCCTGCATCTATTTGTGGATGGTGGGGATAGAGCAGCCCATACTGGGTTGCGACTGGGACGTATAGGAAAGAAAGATATTCAGAATTGTCTCGGTATCAGCAACTGGTTCTGGTTCCGCAAACCTCCGTTGGAAAGGACTTTGTTTTTGGTCTGTGGGCCTGAGCCGTCAGTGCATTTCCGTTTCGAGAAACTGGTTTCAACGAGATTATTTAGGATGATAGCGGCTCTCGCTGGCCCTCACGGAAGGAATTTCTCCCAGGGAGAGGTTGGTGGTGTGCTGAAAGAGCTGGGCTACACTTCAAGAGATGTCTGGAAGTTATGATGTCAGCTTGAAAGGATCTGTCAATGTTGCTTACCTAGTCAATGTCTTTTTAAAACGGAACAGAGATTTGCCTCAACGGTTGAAACGTTGACCTCCGACCTCCACCCCTCCTCGCCGCAGGCCCGCCCGACTTCGTGCGCGAGTCGATGAACAACTCGGATGGCTTTGGGTTCGACGACGCCGAAATAAAACTCAGCGACGAGGAATGGGACCGCCTTCTAAGCCACAAGCGGCGGTGGTGCCGGCTGCAGCCCCTTGTTGAGGCTCGTGGCTATCGGATACCTAAAGAAATGCACCCAGACCGCATAGACGACTGGAAAGTGCGACCGAGAAGTCCACCTCCCGATCCACTCGTTCGTCGTTGCCGTTGCCTTTCGCTTTTTCTTGCTCATTTTGACTTGTTACAGTACCCACATTTGCTGGAAGGTCTCCGGGTATGGGACAAACGACCTGTAATGCTTAAACTATCTCGAACGGACCTCTGGGAAGCCGCAATATCAGAACATCTCGCTTCAATTCCTGACCCCGACAACCACACGATTCCGTTTTACGACCTTATTACCTTCCCCGAGGAACCGGACTCTGAATTCCAGTGGTGCATCATCGTCACTCCCCGACTAACCGACTGTCGCTATTCCCATTTGGACACCTTCAAAGACCTGGTGGATTTCATCACTCAAGTTCTTGAGGTCTGTCATCTATTCCTCCAAGTGGTCGCTTGTTCACATCTAGAAGGGCGTCTGCTTCATGCATCGTTACAATGTGGCCCATACGTGAGGTGTTGTTCCTGCCTTTGGATCCATGCTAACCGAAATCAACAGCGATGTGGCACGAACAAACATCGTATGGGACGACCGACCTGATATCATTCCTGACGACAACCGCCCCGGACCGAAACCTTCGCTTGTTTCACGTCTCTTCAAAGACAAGCCCAAGACACAACGGAAGTATTGGTTCATTGATTTCGGGTTGGCCTGCTCCTATCCAACATTTGAGGAACGTGGCTTGGTCAAGGGGATCTGTGGCCAGCATAAAAATATTCCGGAACTTTCCGAGGAGGTTGCTTACGATCCTTTCCCCCTGGACATTAGGTTTGTGCCACGTTGTTGCCCCTCGCCTCAGCTAATCCTCATAGACAAATTGGCGAAATGTTAACCCGAGACTACGTCGGGCTCTATCGAGGGCTCGAATTCATTGAGCCATGGATATCACGACTACGACAAGATAATCCGACAGACAGACCGACCGCCACAGAAGCGCTGGCCGAATTTCAGAGAGTCACTCGGGAACTCTCTGAAGAAAAACTCCAAAGTCGACTATACAAGCAGGGCGAATGGCCAAACCTCGCCCGCAACACCACAATCGTTTTACTAGTCTGGTTCACACTCAACGGTGTCTTCTTCTGGTACAATTGGGATCGACTCCATGCTCCGCTGGCCGTGGTTTCCAGTCTAGGAGATGTCAATGTTTCCAACTAAGGGTGATGCTTAGATCTACTGTTTAATCTCTAATGTTGTACAACCACTTTGTAGCCTAGCCTTAATGTAATCACTGGGATGATATCTGCCAACCGAGGCGTTTGCCTGCCCAGAATGGGATCACGTCTACTTGTTCAGCTTCGTACTTGTCCTCGACAACAAACGCGTCAGCTCGTTGCAGAATGATAACCTCAGGATCGGTTGCATCTAGTTCGCGTTGATAAAAACGTCTTCCGAATGTGCTGACAAAGCCTTCGAGTCTGTCCAATGCTCCAAAAGATTCTAAGAGATGGGCTAATAGAGGCAGGAGTATCGGCGCGGTATAAACTCCAGCAGCACAACCATGGCTTGCAGTGCTTATAGCTTTCGAATCGATGGGGTGTGGGGCCGAATCTGAGCCCAAGAAGAAGCGAGGGTGACCTGGGGAGTATTAGTAACGGAAGAAAGAGACGAAGTATGAACCTTCTAGGATAACTTCTCGCAAGGCTTGACGATCGTCTGGATACTTGGCCACAGGTTTGCAGAAATGAAATGACTGGCCGGCCCAGTCGTCTACAGTTAAATCCAGATGGTGCGCTGTGATAGTGCAAGCGACGGTAGGCCCACAAGCCTTGACTGCTTCGACAGCGGCACGCGTAGTTGCGTGTTCCAAAACGATTCGTAAGCGGGGGAAAGCTTTGTGGAGAGAGTGAAGATGTGGTAGAAAATGCGGCTCGGCGTTTAAAACACAAGTATTCTGGATGGGACTCAACGAGAGAATAACGAAAACATGAATGCTCACAGTGAGAGGGTCAGAGGGTATTTCGCCGTGAAGATTAAGCACCATATCGACGCGTTGCATAGCTTCGAAGACAGGATAGTAGATCTCGTAGGACTCTATCCCGCCATCGGAGTTTGTGGTGACCCCACGAGGGTATGACTTTACTCCCACTATCCCAGCTTCTTTTGCTTTTATAATGTCGTCCGGGGTAAGATCGGGCGACAAGTATAGCGTCATGAGATATTCTACGGATGGGTCGATGGCTTGAAGTTGTGCCTTATATTCCAGAGCAAGAGCGGCAGTGGTAATCGGGGGCTTCAAGTTGGGCTGGATAGAGATTGAATACAAAAAGCAAGGTCGAGCGCGCTATGCACCATGACATAGGCGAGAGAGAAGCCGCCTTTCCGGACATGGGGCACAACCAGACGCGCCATTTCCTCCTGGCGGAGGTGGACATGGAAGTCGGCTGGCGCAGGTACTCTTATCGTGTTCGTCATCTGCAAAGACTAAGTCCGAAGACGATCACGTGGCTACCACTCTTTCGCGGTTCACTTTCAACAAACTTGGACGACAACCCCGCATCCACTCTTGCGTCCCCCTCCCGATCCAAATCCACGCCAACTACTCTAAACGACCTTTCGAAGATGGTCGCTAGCGCCGGGTCAATCACGGTCGCAGGTCAGTTGTCTTTTGCAACTCGTTTCTGCATTCTCAATCCAAGTAGTGCGTGTTCGCCCGCCCAACTCCTGGGAGGCTGCCAGGCTACCAGAGCCATGCTACGATACTACAATTCGAGGCGAGGGTGCCCTTTCTACTCCACGGACAACGACTGCCAATACTTCCTCCCTTCGCGAAGTGGTCCAAATCATCGACGACCGCATCCTTACCTTCGATCCCGCCGAGACGGACCCGTCAAAGGCTTTCCTAGAGCGCGGATTTCTCCCACCAGGAACGAAGCGGTACAAAGACAAGCGGTTCATGTTTGACCGGGTCTTCAACGACGAAGCCCAGCAACAAGACGTCTATCAAGCCACAGCGCAACCGCTGCTCCAAGGAGTCCTCGATGGCTACAATGCGACCGTGTTTGCTTATGGGGTGCGTGCTCAGTTTGACTAAAAAATGTGCTCGCTAATCCTGGCAACAGGCAACGGGTTGTGGCAAAACCCATACTATCAGTGGCACCGAGACAGACCCTGGTATCATCTACCTGACCATGGCGGACCTTTTCCAGCGCATCGATGACAGACGTGACGAGTGGACGGTGGAGGTCATGGTCACGTTCCTCGAAATTTACAACGAGGAAATTCGCGATCTACTCGCCGACCCCAGCACGCCATCACCTCGTGGTGGACTTTGCATTCGAGAAGACAAGACTGTGAAGGTCTCAGGACTGGTTGAACTAAGGCCAAACTCGGCAGAGGAGGTCAAAGAGATTGTCCTTCTTGGAAATACGCGTCGGACACAGAGCCCAACACTGGCCAATGCCACGAGTTCGCGGTCACATGCTGTTCTCCAAGTCCATATCACCCAAAGTCCCAGAACGGCGTCTCTTTCTGAAGAACGCACGATGGCAACGCTGTCCATCATCGATCTGGCGGGTAGCGAACGCGCTGCTGCGACAACGAATATGGGCCAACGGATGGTAGAGGGCGCCAACATCAACAAATCACTTCTCGCGTTGGGGAACTGCATCAATGCATTGTGCGAGAGTGGTGGGGCAGTTCGTCATGTCCCTTACCGGAACAGCAAGCTTACCCGTCTCCTCAAATTCTCCTTGGGCGGCAATTGCAAAACCGTCATGATTGTTTGCATCGCACCTACCTCCAACCACTTCGATGACACCCATAACACACTTGTCTACGCCGACCGTGCAACCAAGATTAAAACCAAGGTCGTTACCCGCAACATTCTCAATGTGGACCGGCACGTGGGAAGATACGTCGAGGCCATTAACCGTCTCAATGTAGAGGTGGAGGAGCTTAAAGCGAAACTCGCGGGAAAGAATCAAGCAGAAAACGACATCCAGCGAAGAAAGAAGGCGGAGGCAGCGGCCGAAGTAGAGCGCTCTCGCAAGGATGTCCGGCTCAAATTCGAGCAAACTACTGCCTCGATTGTCGATGGTGCTATTTGCACTGGTAAACTCTCTGTCGCCAAGAGCAAACTAGACGCGATAAACGCTCGCCTGAGGCAAATCAATGCCTCAGGTCCGCTGTCGCCCGATCTGGAGGCTGAGAAGGCTCTCTTGCAAGCTCTGGCTGGTCCAGAAGAGCAAACCACTCAATCCGACTCGCCCCTTACCGCTCGTCTGAAGAGATCGTCCAACTCGAGCGCTATGTTTGATGCCACTATGCGCGCAGTCTCAGAAAGACGGTCAGAAAGGTTGGATGATGTGAGTGGGGAGAATGTCAAACTCGAAGCTAGATGCAGCAAAGCGGAGATGGAGAAGCTCAAAGCAGAAGGAGAGCGCGACTCGTTGAAGGAGGCTGTCCAAGATATGTCGCAAACCTTGGTCCACTTGGTTGGGATGCTGAGTCGCTGTACCGTGTTGCTGGGTGATGCGGCAACGTCGCTGGGCAGTTCTGGTGGGCCTGATGATGTCCCCAGGGTAGCAGCAATCTTGGGTACAATGCGCGAAAAGAACGATGAAGCCTTCACCAAATTGGTTGGCCACTCTACTGCTTCTTACAACAACAGCGCTGGTTTGACTGATGATTTCACGGGATATGCCGATGCTGGATATACCCGTCGGATTAGCTCTGGTCCTGCTGCGTTGCAACAAACCTCGACGACAACTGCTGTGGTTAGCTCTAGACGCTCATCATCTTATGGCTCTCGCCCCTCGACCGCCAATACCTCCGTTTCCAATACATCTGCAGGCTCACCGAGAAGGACATATCGAGCACCTCGCAAGTCGCTGCGATCAAGTGCTCAGCCCTACCGACGTGTCGCTGACAAGGAGAAAAAGAGTGTGCAATGGAGGGACGAGGCCGGACAGGGCGACTTGAATGCCATTTCGTTCATTCCGGCAGATACATCCTCATCATGGTCCATGGACGACAGCTCTTTGCCGCAACGCAGTACGTCTTTGGGTGGCTCAGAAAGTGAATGGGAAGACGAAAAAACAGACGACAGTCTGAATTCGGCTTCTGCACCACCAGCACGGTCATATGGCTCCCTTGGCGTAGCAGGCGCTAAACGCTCCAGGCCCAGTCGACTTGACCCAGGTTTCCTCAAATCGAAGACCAAGCGAACAGCTTTGGGTAGCCTTGCGGAAGACGACGAATCTAGCAGCAGCCCCGAGAAGCCCCAGCGGATACTTTCCGACGTTATGAACCAATTAGACAATCCCGAACTCGCAAGCCCTTCGAAGAGGCATACACAAGCCAAAAACGGGAATCCGTTGGGGAGGAGTACGGGTGGCAGAAGACGTTCAGCCATTGGTACTTCGCGCAACGAGAAAGGGCGGAGAAGGTCGAGCCTGATTCCGCAGCTTTCGCCCTCGAACGGTGAACCGAAGCTCAAACGGGTTTTGCTGGCGAGCCCGGCCAAACGAACGAAGCGGGTGTCGCTGACCAAGATGCCCAAGCTTTCGACAGGCAGAACGTCTCTGATGGCCAACCTCGCTGCACTTGCGCCAGATCCCAATAATATCAGCGCTGATTTGAGCATGAATAAGGGCGCTGCCCAATCTAAACCAACATGGCGCTGAACTTGATTATTTTTTTTTGTTCTTGTGTGTCCTTGTAATATGTATTAGCATCCCATTCACGATTATCACGCTCATGCCACATTCGGTATTACCATATGCAGCCAGCTTTGTACTAGATATACCCAGCAGAAAGAGGATCCATTTCCGCTATATTACACGCTTCACTTCGAAGAAAGACTTTGACAGGTTGGTCAACGCAAGTTTTAGGACGGAAGGAACCCTGCTCACCTTAAGATAGTAGACTTGCCAGGCGACGACAGAAAACAGCACAATGGCTTGTAGCACAGACCACCATTTCACTCGCGAATTCGTCGACTCGGCTGTGTTTCGATGCGTCCGTTCCCTCACAACAATGTACTCCTGCTCGTCCTTGACCGACTGCAGACCATTAGAGAAAGTCCTGATTTCACGTTCAATAGGCGCAACAATGTCAGCTGCGAGCAAGTCAGACAAAGTCTCCAAAAGAAAAACTTCATGGGACATACAGTCGTCCCCGACATAAATTACTCCGTGGACGTTGAAGCTGACAATTTTGTCCGCGATGGCGCTCATCTGGTTGGAGAAGCAGTATTCGTGTCGGCCGTCTTTCTCGGCGGTTATGGCCAGCGTGCCGGTTGACTGTCGTATTTGCTTGCCCAGCAGACGCGCATCAGGATCAGAGAGCTGTGGGATTTGGTGAACGGGAGACAAGAAAGCGTTGACGAGGTGGCGAACCCAGAAGTCTATGTCGAGGTGGCCGCCCCCGCCGACTTGGTACGTTACAGTCATCTGGAAAGAACATTTCTGAGTTGTAGGGGGAAGCATCAACGTGGCGGTAACTGACTTTGTCGTGCTTGTGGAGGTCCTCAAAGAAGCAGTCTTTTTTGCCGGCCTCGACATCTATAATGTGGGCGTGGAGGAGGGCGGGCAGAAGAAGGAAAAGCGCGAGCCAGCTTGCGGCCAGTCGGAGTGTCATCGAAAGCATGAGGAAGCGTGTGACCAGCTTTTAGTTCTTCGTGATCTTTCTTGTTTCTTCTGCAACCCATCTCCAACAAATAGCCATGGCCGATGCAGACAACGCACTCGCTCCCCGGGTACGCCAGTCGATTGGGCCACTGTTTATCTGGCGTTGATTGTCTTGGCAGGAGGAGGAACATGACCCACAATTCGAGCCTGTGATCAAACTCACAGAACAAGTCGATACCAAAACCCACGAGGAGGATGAGGATGTGCTTTTCAAGATGTCCGTCTACTTTTACGCGATCTCGGCTCCTCTGACTTTTGTAGGCGCGCCAAATTGTTCCGATTCGACAGTGATGCTGCTGAATGGAAAGAGCGTGGCACTGGAGATGTCCGTCTCCTCGAGCACAAGGAGACCCACAAGGTCAGGCTGGTGATGCGGCGGGATAAGACTCTCAAAGTCTGCGCCAACCATGTTAGTGAGTATAAACCCCGTTTTATGAAAAAAAAAATGGTGCTCAACCCCCCCGACTACAGTCACGTCCGATATGCGCCTTCAGCCCAACATCGGTTCTGATCGCTCCTGGGTGTGGAAGGTCGCTGCCGATTACTCAGAGAATCCCCCCACCGCTGAGACGCTTGCTATCCGATTCGCCAACTCGGACAGTGAGTGCGCTACCTGTGAATTTTCTTTGTGGCTTGACGCGTTTAATCTTTCAGATGCGGGTCAGTTCAAGACTGCTTTTGAGGACGGACAAAAGAAAAACGCGAGTCTGACGAGCACTGCTCCTGGCCCAGCAGAAGAAGCAACATCCCACCCCGCTGAGGCTACTACTGTTGCCCCCGATGCCAAGGGTGACGAGGCCAAAAGTGCCGATGCCAAAGATGGAGACGCCCCTGCCGCTGATTCTGGCGCTGACGCCTCTGCTGCTGCTGCTGCTGACGCTGGCGGAGAGTAACCAACCAACGCATACCTTTTCCTTTCTCTATAGTACATACAGGAGACCACACCATTAACTTTGTACGAATGAATGCGATTATATGTGATGAGTACAACAACCAGAAAATGCCAATGTCAATGTGTGTGTGTGTCTAGCTTAGTCCTTGTGGTCCTCCTGCTCCCGATACTCCCTCTCCTCAGCCGCCCATGCCTCCCAGAATGAAAGTGTGGCATCACCTTGAGGCCAGCATTGCGCAGGTCCCTCACCACGGATCGTCCGGTCTGTGATCAGGACATGACGAATATGCTACCCACGTCGGTTGGTCAAAGTTTCTTCTGTAGCCAGCCAGCCACTTACCGATCCACTGAGAAAAAATGAGCGCGAACAGAGAGAGAGAAAATGCTTGAAAACTCACGGCACATCGTGCATTGGTTCTAATAATACCCGCTCCTAGAAGAAAGTAAGCTGACAATCCCGCGTCTAGATGGAACGGACCAGGATACCGCGTAAAGCTCGAGCACCGCCACCCCGCTCAAGAGCTTTCCTACAGACCTCATCAAGAGCGGCACTGGTAAACTTGATCTCGACCCCAATGCTCCCGAACTGGGCTTGATATTGAGATATCAGTGATCCTTTGACTTCGGTGAGTATTCGTCGCATGTCGGCAATTGTGAGTGGCGAAAGCGTCGCTATAGAAGGCACGCGAGAGATAAACTCGGGAATAAACCTGCTTGCGGTTAGAGGAAAAAACACGATATCACACCATCTTACCCGTATTTGACGAGGTCTGCAAATCGATGGGTGAATAGACGAAGACATTGTTTTATGGACACACCACTGGGATCTATGCTGTAGTCCAGAACTTTTGTGGAAGTGAAGAAGTTGCCAGATGAGAATCCCATCTGCCCCGGATTAGTCCGGGTCGGTAAACATGGGTGCATCAACTTACTGCTCCGCGATTCTCTGTTAGTCGGGTCTTGACCACGTTGTCCAAGCCGACAAATGCCCCACTGAGGACGAAGAGCACATTCGTCGTATCAACATGATACTGCGAATCAGACTTTCCGCCCAGCGCATCCCCGCCTTTACCAGCGACAGTAACGGTAGAGCCCTCCATCATCCGAAGAAGGGACTGTTGCACTCCTTCACCTCCTACGTCCCGAGTTCCATCCGTTCCAGATTTCTTGGCAATCTTGTCGACTTCGTCAATGTAAACGATGCCCATGCTGGTCAGAGGTGAATTGACGGAAAGGGCGTCGAACATTTGACCCACCTTGCTCGAACTGGGTCTCCATTGGCAGAAGTGACCTTGAAAGGTATCAACACAACTTGATAAAAGTGGGTGTTTACTCACAAGCCGTTGGATGCAAACATCGACGTCGTCTCCAACATAACCGGCCTACGAGATAGTGAGTTCCGAGGTTCATTGTCCAGTGAAGAGCCCAAAGTACCTGCGTAAAGGAAGTTGCATCGCTGACAGAGAACGGAACATCCAAAATTTTGGCTAATGTCCTAACAAGTAAAGTTTTACCTGCAGGCTGATTAGAAATGATTCTGATGTGCAACGGAACGAAGACCAGATCCTGTTGGACCACTTGGGAGAATACATATTAGCGGGGTAAAAGAGTTTGAATTTGATAACGCACATTATTAACACATTGCTCTTATCGAAAAGTTGTGTGGGCAAGGGAGGTAGTGTTTGTGGCTTGCGAAGTGGTCGTATGTGAGCTGTCGAAACTGACGCAGCCGGATCGGTCGAAGGATAAGGGGGCTGCGGGAAGTTGCGCCGCTCTTCAAGATATGCATTGGCTTCTAGTGCCGCCATATGAGTGTGAATTCGTTGGTAGTGGTTAAACACCCTGATTATGTCGGTTTTCCAAATGACATGATTGCTAAGTGACACTCACGCAACGCTGAGGACTTTCTTTGCATAGTCTTGACCTACAACGAACTGATCGAGGTACTGGGAAAGTTGCCTCGGGGTAGCCATAGCCAGGGGAGGTGAATGCAGTCCTGTTTGCCGAGGAAAAGCGCGTTCATGCGGGCCCTCTGGACCATTCGAGTGTTGAGCTTGTGCCCGTAGTCCCCGACTAAATCGAGGAGGGCGGAGTGCAAGCCCCCGGCGAGGTAATAGCATCTTGTCGGGACAAGACCGATTTTGGTTATGTGACACCGCGGTCACACTCTTAGCACCAACCACTACTATGGGCGGCCGCTCGCCTTCGCCACGCCGAAGGTACGATGATCGAGACAATGGAAGGTATCGCGACGATGAGAGAGACTTATCTCGTGGTCTAGACGACCAGCGCAGACGTAGTCGTAGTCGCGAAAGACGGAAACGCGAAAGAAGTCGAAGCAGAGAGGGCGACCGACGGGACAAAAAGTACACATTTTACCCCATTTTAAACCTTTCAGAAACTCAGCAACAACTCACAGGCGGAAACGCGACAAGTCTGAAGAGAGAAAGGCCCGCAAAGCTGAGAAGAAACGCGCCAAAGAAGAAGAGGAGGCTCGCCAAGTTGCAGAACTCAGTGTGTATAGCGCGACGGATAACCCGTTCCACGATGCGAATTTGGGACAACAATTTCGCTGGCACAAGAAGAACGAAAAGGAAAGAAAACAGGGTATATCATTGGCGGATGCTCAGAGGAAGGACGCCATTCGGAGAGCGGAAGCCAAGGAGGAGCTGGATAGGTTGAACAAGCGTCGGGCGGAAAGAGAAGTTGATCAACGTCTACGTGAGGAGGAGGAGCTTCGGATGGCAAGGCTGCAAGAGTCAGCCCAAATGTCCGAATGGTTGGCCAAAGAAGGCGATTTCCAACTTGAACAGGAGCGCCGCCGAGCTGCCATTCGAATCAAGGAAAAACGCGCGAAAGCGATTGACTTTCTTGCGCTCAACCTCAAATATGTCAATCCACCAGCCGATGAAGACCAAGAGGAGGAGGATGCCGGACTGGAAATCGACCTTGACGAGCCCTACAATATCTTCGATGTTGGTCCAATATTCCTTTTTTCTTTTTGTTGGATGCTGACCTTGATATCCTAGAATTTGACCTCAGCCCAAGTTGAAGAACTACATGATGATATTCAACGCTATCTTACTCTGGAGCAGTCGAAAACCAACTTGGACTTCTGGACGGTAGGTACCTCTAGCCCAAACATTTGTGACTCACACTCAATCTACCAGAATATGATGGTTATATGCAAAGATCGTCTGGAAAGGATCCAACTAAGTCAACGAATGGGCGTAGAAGCCGCTGCTGCGGTGGAGTCCGACATTTCAGCGCTCTTATCTACAAAGTCCTATGATCAACTTGTCGCTCTACAAAGACAGATCCAGGACAAGCTCACAAGCGGAGAACCCGTGGATGTTGATTATTGGGAGAATTTGCTCAAGAAATTGCTTGTGTGGAAGTCCAAGGCTAGCATTCAGCGTTTTAGTTTCACGTTTTCTAAACAATGCATAGGCCAAATTGAAAAGCGTGCATGAAGTCGTCGTGCGTAATCGTCTTGAACAACTACGCAGACGGCAACGTGACGAAGCAATTCAAGCTCAAGAGGAGCTGTTAGCTGGCGTTGCTAAATCAGCTTCGCAGCGTACAGAACCTGCAGTCCAGATAACAGAGCAGCAACAAGAAGAGTTGACGCCTGAAGAACTGATTGAATACCATCGCGCTATGAGCCCGCCTCCACTTGAGTTTGGCAAGCTAACATCCGAAGAGCGAAGCCTGGATATCTTGACGGCAAAAGAACACCTTCGAGCCTTGGTATGCATTAATCGCTTGGCCACATGGTCCCAATCTCATCAGCCATTATAATAGATTGCCCAGCGACGAGCTGTTTCAGCCTCTCGATTCGTTCCTAAACCGGTTCAGCAGGTTGTGGAACCGATCTATGAAGAGCCCTCGAGCAATGCCGACCTTGCCTCTGAGGCGCTATATCGAGCCGAAGCCGAAAAAGACCTGGATGAAGAAGAGGAGCTTTTCAATATGGAAGAGAACATCACAAATCCGACATCGTACAACTGGGAAGACAAATATCGGCCCAGAAAGCCCCGCTATTTCAACAGGGTCCACACTGGCTACGAATGGAACAAATATAACCAGACCCATTACGAGTAAGTTGGCCCTGATCGAATATTCTTGTTGCTCATTTTTTTTGCAGCACCGACAACCCTCCTCCCAAGGTTGTCCAAGGATATAAAGTGCGTTATCACGTGTCCTGAGTATCGTCGAGCCAATGTTTCTAGTTCAACATATTCTACCCGGATCTCATCGATAAATCGAAAGCGCCAACCTATAAAATCGTCAAGGAAGACGGCAATGAGGACACTGTGCTACTTTATTTCAGCGCAGGCCCGCCATATGAGGACATCGCTTTCAGAATCGTGAACCGCGAATGGGAGTTTTCCCATAAGAGGTAAGGCAGCAGACAGTCGCCACGAGTCCGCGACTAACTATCTTCACAGAGGATTCAGGAGCAGCTTTGACCGAGGCTGTCTTTCGCTCTGGTTCAGTTTTAGACGCAATGTAAGAGTTCCTTCATGTCGCCCAAGTTTGATGCTGACTTGATGCCAGTTCTATCGCAAGTAGTTGTGATGGACGCGTTTTCATAGCGCGTTGTTTACTTTGTAATCTCGTCCGTATTCACGTAGAGTCATTCTGAGCACCATAGCCACTCCAGTATAGAATGTCATCGAAGGTCGCCGATGCGTGACCGGCCTGATTACTTACGACTTTTCCTCCTTCCACCACCTCAACCTTTACTCTAACACACATTATGGCCGCTGCTGACGTGAAGATGGATGTTGATGAGCCCTCAATCGACGAGGGTTTGTATTCGCGTCAATTGTGAGGAAGAAAGCTATAGAGCCTTGGTGCAATGGGACTGACTTGATTACCAGATATGTGCTTGGCCATGAAGGTGGGCTCGAGCCACGGACAAGCAATCTCGAGACTCAATATTCTCGTAGCCATGAAGAAGATGGCTGCATCCAATGTCCTCATCGTTGGTCTGCAGGGTTTGGGTGTTGAAATCGGCGCGTCTATTTGCACTGACATCGCCGACTCGCGAACTAACCCAGCTCACAGCGAAGAACATCGTTCTGGCTGGCGTCAAGTCGGTTACCATATATGATACGACACCGGTCACCCTCGACGACCTTAGCACGCAGGTCAGTCAGAATCACCAATCTTGCCGAACGTGACTAAGATCCAAGTAGTTCTTCCTACGACAGGAAGACATCGGCAAAACTCGAGCAGAAGCCACCGTTGCTCGTCTGGCCGAGTTGAATGCCTATGTACCTGTTCGCAATTTGGGAGGCTCTCCAGGACAGGAGATCACTGTAGATTTGATCAAGGGCTTCCAGGTGCGCGTCAAATAACGCGTCTTTCTTCCCTGATCTCAAAATAACAGGCTGTTGTTCTGTGTCATGCTTCATGGAGCAAGCAAGTCGAGATCAACACATGGACCCATGAGAATGGCGTATTCTTCATCGCTGCTGAAACTCGCGGCCTTTTTGGGTCAGTCTCACCGTATCACAATTTCGACTTGTTCATGCCCATAATCCAGATCCGTCTTCAACGACTTCGGTCCCAAATTCCTGTGTGTCGACCCCACTGGAGAGCAGGCGCTCTCAGGTGTGATTGTGTCCGTTGAGCAGGTATGCGTGATTTCGATTCGCGTTCCTAGCATCCTAAGCCAAATCGCAGTCAGCCGATGGACTAGTCACTTGTTTGGACGAGGCCAGGCATGGTCTGGAGGATGGCGATTTCGTCACATTCAATGAAGTTCAAGGCATGGAAGAGCTAAATGGTTGCGAGCCCCGCAAAATCTCCGTCAAGGGACCATATACGTTCACGATTGGCGACACGACCAACCTCCAGTCCTACAAGAGGGGAGGTATTTTTACTCAAGTCAAGATGCCCAAAACGCTCGAATTCGTAAGTCGTGTGCTCCTCTCTCTAGTCCATTGACTGAGATTTTTCTCTAGAAATCACTCAAGGAGTCGCTGTCATCACCCGAGTTTTTCATAACAGACTTTGCCAAATTTGATTGTCCTGCTGCCCTCCACGCTGGTTTCCAAGCGCTATCGGAATTCCAAGCACAGCATAAACGACTTCCTCGTCCACGAAATGCCGAGGATGCAGCGGCCGTTGTCGCATTGGCCAAAAAACTCGATGCGGAGGCTGATGAGAAGATCGTGACGGAGCTGGCCTATCAAGCGCGAGGAGACCTTGCCCCCATGGTGGCAGTGTTGGGCGGCTTTGTAGCGCAGGAGGTATTGAAAGCTTGCAGCTCCAAGTTCCACCCGATGGTCCAACACATGTACTTCGACGCACTTGAAGCGCTTCCTTCCGAGGTACCAACTGAAGCAGATTGCCAACCTACGGGCAGCCGCTACGATGGGCAGATCGCCGTATTTGGCAAGAAATTCCAAGACAAGATTGCCAGTCACCGGCAGTTCTTGGTCGGGTCAGGCGCCATTGGCTGTGAGATGCTCAAGAACTGGAGTATGATGGGCTTGTCCTCAGGACCAAAGGGAGACATTCAGGTCGCAGACCTTGACACCATTGAGAAGAGCAATTTAAACCGTCAATTCCTTTTCCGCGCTAAGGACCTCGGCAAATTCAAAGCAGAGGTGGCTGCAACTGCCGTCGCTGAAATGAACCCGGATCTCAAGGGCAAAATTCACTCAAGGCAAGACATCGTCGCAGCTGAGACAGAAGGTAGAGCAATATTACTTGATCTATCACAATTTGACTCTACGGTGGTTCAGAGATCTACAACGAGGCTTTCTTTGCTGGTTTGGACGGTGTCACCAATGCTCTTGACAATGTGAAAGCCCGTAAGCCTCTTTTCCCAACCTTGTAGTTTATCTGGTTAAAATGGTGTTAAGGTCTCTACGTTGATCAACGATGCGTCTTTTACAAGAAGCCTTTGACCGACTCTGGCACGCTCGGTACTAAGGGAAACGTGCAGGTGGTAATTCCAAACATTACGGAATCCTACGGCTCGTCGCAAGACCCACCTGAGAAGCAAGCCCCCTCTTGCACAGTCAAGAACTTCCCTCATACTATTCACCATACGATTGAGGTAAAAGCCCGATCAACCAAAGCAATCCTACCATATTAATTGATTCTTCCAGTGGAGCCGTGAAAACTTCGACGACTTTTTCGTCAAGCCGGTCCAGGCAGTCAACGCTTACCTGTCAGAACCGAATTATCTGGAGACTAACCTCAAATACTCCGGTCAACAAGTCGAGCAGACCAACCAAATTTTGTCGTACCTTGTGACCAACAAACCTCTTACGTTTGAAGAGTGCATTGTTTGGGCGCGCTTGCGGTTTGAGGAGAAATACGCCAACGAGATCAAACAGTTACTGTTCAGTTTCCCCAAGGACGCAGTAACTACCAGCGGTCAGCCGTTTTGGAGCGCACCGAAGCGGGCTCCAGATGCCTTGGTGTTCAACTCAAACGACGTGAGTTCATTCGAATCACTCGATGAGCCAGATTAACCGTGATCTAGCCTCTCCATCTTGGGTATATCATCGCTGCCGCCAATCTCCGTGCATTCAACTACGGTTTGAAAGGAGAGACTGATCCCGCTGTTTTCCGCAAAGTCGCAGACTCCGTGATTGTGCCTGAATTCACGCCCAGCGCAAGTGTGAAGATCCAGGTCAACGAAAATGAGCCAGTACAGCAGGATGCTCCTGCGGGCGGAGGTCAGTCGCTTGATTAGTCTTGATGCGATGTGTTCACCTCACTCCAGATGACATACTGCCTGACCTGCTCGCCAAACTTCCTTCACCGGCCTCATTAGCGGGCTACCGACTGAACCCCGTCGACTTTGAGAAAGACGATGACACCAACCACCATATCGACTTTATCACCGCAGCTTCCAACTTGCGCGCGACCAACTACAATATTCCCGTTGCCGATCGCCACTCAACGAAGCAAATCGCAGGGAAAATCATCCCTGCCATTGCAACGACGACTGCTCTCGTCACGGGCTTGTCATGCCTAGAATTGTACAAGGTATTTCCAAAGGAAGAAAGAGAACCAACGCAGTGTGTTCAAGCATTTTATAGATCATCGATGGCAAGACCAAGCTTGAGGACTACAAGAACGGCTTCGTGAACATCGCGCTCCCCTTCTTTGGCTTCTCAGAGCCGATCGCTGCTGCCAAGCACAAGTACAACGACACGGAATGGACTTTGTGGGACCGCTTCGAGTTTGAAAACGACCCTACTCTCCAGGAAATCGTCGACTGGTTCAAGACGACGCACAAGCTCGATGTCACGATGGTCAGCCAGGGCGTCAGCATGCTCTGGAGCTCCTTTGTCAACCCGAAGAAGGTCGGTATTTCTCATGAAATCGTTTTTACGCGGCGAATTGACGGATTTTTGCAGAGCAAAGAGCGGCTGCCGCTGAAATTCAGCAAGCTTGTTGAGACCGTTAGCAAGAAGCCGATTCCCCCGCACACCAAGAACCTCATCACCGAGGTGATGGTCTCGGACGAAGATGGCGAAGATGTTGAGGTTGGTTGTTCTCTCTAAAGCCTTCTTTTTCGTTGACTGTGCCTTCTAGGTCCCTTATATCCTTGTGAAAATCTGAACTGTACCCACGTAGAAAACATAACGGATGTATTACCAGAACAGAGCTTTTATTGGGCAACAAAAATGTATTCTTGACATTTGTGCCCGACAACATCAACCAACTAACTATACGTGCAATGCATAGCTACTTACCTATAGCTAAAAAGCGGGTAGGAGGAATTGTGTGTGTGTGTGTGGGAGTGCGGCTGAGAAGGTACAGTAAGGGTGGGGAACAACAGAACGCTGGTCAAGGAAGAAGAAAAAAATGTTTTTTGTGGGTTTTAAAATTTGTTTGCGCTTTTTTTTGTGGGCAACGCCCGGGCATGAAAAAAACGCAAGAAAAAAGAAAGGGGAATAAGTGTGTGGATGTGTGGGGTCATAAATACCAGACACAAAAAGAAATGGTAGCAAAGGGGGACGAATTTGAAGGCGCGAGAGGCGGGGGGATGAAGCAATACTCGGGAGAGTCCAAATGCATAGCGACGAGGCCAACGGGTCGTCAGAGTCGACGAGCAAGCGAGGCACATACAACGAGGTAAATGGGTGATAAGGCTTCATCAAGGGGCGTTTTGTCCCGATTGACAGGATGGATAGGTCGTATTTCGGGAGCCCCGGCGAGAGAGACGAGAGAGAAGAGACAGGCAGTCGAGAGTATTCACAGAAAGAAGCAATAGTACAAGGCGGCCAGAGAGAGACGTGATGGCGTTGACCGGAGTATTATATGTCAATGACGATGCGATCTATGTTGGGAGGACAGTCAAGTTCTGAGCCATCCGTGGCAAGTAAACGCTGGAGGCGCGTAGCCATATTGGACTGGTGGTGGTACCACAGGCTGAGCTTCTTGGTGGTGGTACTCAAACGACTGTGAACATGAGCGTAATCGATTACGCGAGTGCGAATTATCTGGATCATAAGAAAGGGAGTGCGAGCGCGAGTGAGACAGTGCGACCAAGGGATAGCCGGTATATGACGAGTGGGAAACATGCAGTGGCGGAGCGTCAAACACATAGCCCAACACGGGAGGCGGCTTGATGGCCAAGTATGCACCGACGGGAGGCCAGTTCTGGTTGGCGTAACCCAGCTCAGGATATGCTGCTGGCGCCATCGAGTAGGGAATCATGGCCGGAGGCTGCACAGCAACATAATGACCACTGCCCCGGTTTCTCTCTCGAAGAATAGGCTCATCGCCTGCAGGACTCCATCTCGCAGGCGGGGGCAACTCCTTCTCAACAACAACCTTACGCTCAAGCCAATGAGCGTTCTCTTCGGTCCCACTGATGCGACGCCTGGGCAGATACTCTTCACGAAGAGGACCGTCCTCGTCAAGATCGATTTCCGAAAGGTCAATGGAACGAGCTTGTTCTCTCTCCATGCGTTCACGTTTACGTTCTTCGACTCCCATGAAAACCGGCTGCGGGCTACTGGGATCGAAGTTGGCTGCAGCTGGTGCCTGGATAATCTCATCAAGCGCCTTGCGAACAATCGCGTGGGGATTAGTCGATGGTCGTGAGATCGGCTGTGGATGAGAAGGCGGAGAAGAAGCAATTTGATGGTAAGACACCAAATGTGCCAGCCATTGCGACCAGTCCAATGACGAGACAGATAGGTCGTAGGTAAAGATCTCGAGCGCAAGGGACTCCAGCTTGTTCAGCGTGTGGATGGGCACATTGGAGATGGTATGCCTGTTGACAAGATCAGTGATGAATCACGAGGGTTGTGGGTTGGAACCTTACCAAGTTTTGTTAGAGAAGGTGTGGTCATCAAGCCACTTGTTGGCAAGCATGCATCCGAGGACAATCAGCCGGAAAGGTGCACTTGCTTCGGTTGCCTCTTGATCAGGGCTACCTAGTAATGCAGCACGGAAACGAAGCTCATTGGCGTATTGAGTGGTGAGAGTGATCGCGTCATAATAGACCGGCAAACGGGCGATGTACCAAATGGCCAAGAATACCGCAGAAGGCTGCAAAAGGGTCGATAGCAAGAGAGAATGGACGGCACTTGGCAGATAGCTAGGTGGGGAACTAGAGCGACGCTTTGCCACGTTACTGCTAGTGATAAGTGTTAGCAAATCAAGGGAGCAAACGTGCGAGACGTACTTTGGACGAGAGAAAACTTCAGGCAGACTGAAGCCTGTCGTGCAAGCCTTCCATACGTAGTTGGCTACCCATTCAGCCAACGGCTCAGCGAGTTTCCTGTATCCCTGGGTTGCAGTGGGAGTCACAACTTCCGGAACCGGAGCCGGCTTGTGTTGATCGTACGGAACCAAGTGGCCGTAATCTTGAGATTTGACTTCTCCGCTGGCAACAGCGCGGTCAACGAATTCGCCGAAAGGGGTGACAGGTCCGACAGGGCTTGAACCTACGTCAGGGCCACTGTAAACGCCGGGTGACTGGTCCTCAAAGAGGGGGGTGAATGCACCACGCTCGTAGTCGTCAGGTAGAACAAGGTCAGATGTGGGTGAAGTGTCCAATTGAGACTGGTAATCGATGTCCATCTCGAGCGAACTGTTGCTCCATTGACTATCGTTGTCGCCCGAAACTCGGTCCAAAGCCGAGTAATCAGAGCTCATCTCGTCGTCAGCGTCACCGTCAAAGAGGGAGTACACGGGCGGGAGGCACGCTTCAGCGCGGTTCCCTTTAATGGCTGGGGCGCTTGTTTGCGCACCGGCCAACCCACTGTAAAAACCCTGCTGGGGCTCTTCTGCCCAGATTTGACGAGGCTTAGTGCGGCGCCAGGTCGGTAGGGAGTTGATCCACTCTTCACGGGTTCCAAATGATGGCGGGGGCCCTGGTGGGCAGATGGGGAGGGTGGTGCAAGTCAAGCTCTTTTTCTTGACAGGGTGGGCGGGCTGCTTTGCAAGTCGGGTGACAGGGACTGGCATTAGCCTTTGGGGCCGGGAAATAGGCTCTGTTGAGCGAGGAGGGTCGTAAAATGTAGTCGTGAAAGCAGAAAGAGCGGGAGCCGCGATGGCAAAACGCACGGCCAGTAAAGGCGGCGGAGCCTTTTGGTCTAAGGTAGACGGGGACAGCGGCGAGCTCTCTTCAGTCAACGCTGGGGGGTGGTGGCAGGAAGAAAAGAGAGCCTAAAGGAGTCGCTTGATTTTTGCGATTTTCACACGTTGGTCCGTTGATCGAACAGAAACACCACATGTCTGCGTTTTCCGCCTTCCTAGCTCAGCCTCAAGAAAACCAGAACAACAACACCACACAGAATGGGATAGATTCGATTTCGTTGGGACAGCTCAAGCAGCTCGTAGCCAGCATGCCCAAAGACAGAGTTGGTTTTATTGTTTGGCCCTTACTACAAGTTCACTTGTGTGTGTGTAGCAATGGTGGTACGACTACAAGTATGACGACGAAGACACAGTCATGAACGAGATCGAAGAATTCTACTCCTACGTAGAGATGCCCCAGGTAGCAGAGAATCTGCGAGCCTGGGAAGGCTCCTTTCCTGGTGGTCGGTTGTTTGCCGCGTTCCTGCCAAACCCCCTTGCTGACTCTGGCTAAGAATGGACAAAAGCCCCGTTGGCGACGCGTAAAGCCCACGTTGAGGTGTTGCTGGAGAGCCTTGAGCACAAGAATGCCGAGATTCGATTCACAAACGCGCGCCGGTTATTCTATATCCTCCAGGGTATGCTTTTCATTTTACCTTCTGCATCGCCATTTAATAAAGCGGAAACAGGGACATTCGCGGAGACCGTTTCTCCCGAACATCAGCTACACTGGATATTCGAAAACTGCAAGATCGTCCGCTCTGCAAATGGCGTTAGCACCATTATTGAAGCGATGAAGATTGCAAGCTCCAAACACGACCTCTTATGGTGTGTTCAATTAATAAGAATTGTGATGTTCACCAAACAGCCTACAGTGGACTTTCCGATGCCGATGCTGAGCAATACCACATATCAGCCGCCGAAAAGACCGACTTTATTGAGGAAGTCACAACTGAGATCTCGGTCTATCTCGGAATGCTCTACCATTTAGTTGAGATATTCAAGGGTCATGATGACTTTGCGGACGAACTGAGTAAGTTGTTGTTTGACTAGCAATCGGGCGCTGACACGGAACCAGTGAGTTTCGATCCTCCGTTACCTGTCTATCTATTCAACGTCGTGTCTGGACTGCGGGACAAGAGTGCCAGAGGCTATCCAATCAAGAAGGTACCCACATATCTACCCGGGACATTCTTCTGTTGACATGTTGACCAGCTCTTGTTGGTCTTGTGGAAATCGTTATTGTCATGTTGTGGTGGTATCCGTGACTACGCTCGTGTCAAAAAGCTTTCACGAGAACTCGCAGGACTCCAGCCAGTTGTAGACGGAGGTTTTTAGTCTCTTTTAGTCTCTTGGGCAGCCAAGCTGACTGATTGCAGGCGAGCCTTATGTCAAGTCCACGCCTCTGGACATCGAGATGTTCCGTCAAGAAACCGCAGTCAAGTACCCCACTTTCACTGAACCGCCACTTGAAATTGTTGCGCCAAAGCCAGTGCCTGTGACGACCTCTCGATTGGCACAGGCGTATTCACCAATCCCGATCCGACATCATTACCACCATGAAGACTCTTCCGCTCAGCCGCTACAATTCCAGCCGCAGCAACCCGGAGTGCGACCCCAACAGCAACCGCCCCAGCCTGCGACGCCTGCGCCAACCCCACCTCCACCCTCGCCCAAGCCGAAAAAACAACAATACCAGACTGACCAGGGCCGACCATTCCTGTTTCCCTTTTCACGTAATAACCGCTACGACAAAGATGCGCGCCTAGTTCCCTTTGCGGTTGACGAGGCGGATCGATTGTACAACCGGCATATGTATGTCAGTGTTGCTTTGTGGCAAATGTGGCGCACACGCGAGGACTGCATGAAGGCAGAGAGCGGGCTCGACCATATTCCCGGCTCCCAAGGGCCTGCAGAGTCATCTACGTTCATCCCGCCAAAGGTTTGTCCCTGGTCAAACTCTATCCTTGATACTTACATAAGCAGGATCCTGACGTCACCGAGCCCTTGCCTGACATTGCACTCTTGGACGCCAAGATTGCGGAGGCGACCAGGATCATGGAGCAAGGTAACAGTCCCGCGGAAAAGCGCAAAGCGAAAGAACGGAAAGAAGACCTGATGCGCCTCAAGCGCGTTGAACATATTTATGCAAGTTTTTTATAGAAAAAAAGAAACTACGTTAACCTTCACCTAGAGCGCGGTGCTCCCCGCGCTTTCCAACTGGGTCCTCGTGCTGCTTAAGCTTCTGCTTGCCACTGTGTCAGCAAGCACAAATATGCAGCCCCCGCAGTCTGCATCCAATGTCTTTCCCCCAGGCGTGCCCTCCCAAGAGCAGCCATCGCCACCGCCCATGACATCCGATGAGATTGATGTAACCCGCCACCGCGAGATCACTTCCAAGGCCGTCTCCGCTATCCTGCTGTTGGTGCTCAAGTGGTTCAAAGTCTCGCGTGGGTGTCTATTGTGCTACTTATCGGACAATGTTAAGGAGAATAATCAGATGTAATGAAGTTCCACCACCTCGGCCAACACCTACTCGATACCAACTGTCTGCTACTGATCCTCAAGATGTTCTCCCTCCAGGATCTCTCCATCATCGTCGTGTCCAAAGCGGACTCGCCCGAAAACAAGTGCGAACAAGTTTCTATTTTTTATCATTCTGACTGTGTTGCAGCTTCTTCCGATACTGTATGCTCCGCTTCGCGAAGAACCCACAGCCGATGTTGCCCGCGGACAGCCAACAACGGCCTCCTAGACATACCGTGACTAAGTCACGAGTACTGCCCAACGGGGAGCGGCTCGAGGAGGAGGTGGACATGGTTACCGAGTTCTCGTGGCGCAACTTTTTTGCGACGATCAACTTTGCTAAGATCATGCAGAAACTGAGCAAGGGCCGCGCACACCGCATCTGGATGCTCATTCAATACAAGAGCTCGCCTGTGCTGAAAAGGGCGCTTAAAGTGCAACACCCGGTGTTTCAGCTCCACGTGCTCAAGCTCATTAAGAGTCAAGTCCCGTTTTGCGGGCGGAAATGGCGGCAGAGTGGGCCTTCTTCACCACTTGATTAGACTAATACTTATAATTCTCAGCAAACATGAAGGTGATAACCTCAATCTACCTCAACTGCCGACCAGACCTCCGCGATGAGTGGCTGACGGGGAATGAGGTGGACGATGCGAGCGATGCACAGGCACAGGAACACGCCCTGCGGCATTTGGTCAAGTTTTACAACAACCGGCGGTACGGGCCGAGTACTGCGGCGGGACAGGCCGGCCCGGTACACCGGCGGTCAGGCAGCATGTCCCATCACATCGAGAGTCTGTACCCTGGTGCAGGCGCAGAACTTGGCGCGCTGCGACCGCTGGGGACACCAAATACTGACGCGGCAGACGTTTTCCCACCAACGCGGGCACGTGCACCAGACCCAGCAATCTTTTTGCCCTACATCACGGAAGACAGCGCATTTGAAGAGGAGTACGAGGAGTTTCTGTCGGATTGGGGCAGTGAGCAGGGTGGAGAGGGCGACGCGCTCCCTACTTCGGCCTGGCATCGACTGCCATCAGAGATCCCTGATGGGATCAGCGACAGCGAAAGTATCGTGTCGATCGGGGAGCTTGGGGATGATGCGCGGCTGGATGTGGAGGCAGCACGGGATGGAGCAGCGACGGAAGACGAGAATTTAAATAATTGGGAGCACATGAGTCCGAAGACAATGGCAGCGCTGCCAAAGTCCCCAGCTGGTGGGCGACGATCAAGTCATGGCGGTGGGTTGCGGCCTGTACTACCATTTGGGTTGGACGATGCAGTGTCAGTGGAATTGGATGCACTAGAGGACGATGATGCAGAAGGTGAGGGGGTGCCGGTCGGTCGGGAGACGCGGGCAGGAGGCGTGGACGAAGTTGAATATGTCTTTGGTGTGTAGTAGTGTTACTTTCTCCATGCTATCGTCCTTTCCAACGCTTTTTGTGGTTGACTACGATGTTTTCTACTGATATTGTGCTTCTATAAGCCCCATGATATGTTTCGTAACCTCTGATGTTGAGCTTGAACCACCCAAATCCGCGGTCAAGACTTTTCCGGGGGCGAGTGTGTCGTTCACTGCTTTGTCAATTTTGTCAGCTGGTGAAGAGTAACCCAGATGTCGCAGCATGAGTGCTGCAGATCTTATCGAGGCGACGGGGTTTGCTATTCCTTTGCCAGCAATGTCTGGAGCTGAGCCATGAACCCTAAAGAAATTTTATTGCGATTATTAGCTACCAGAGAGAAGGTTTACTCACGGTTCTCCCATAACGAAATTATCGCCCGCGTTGATCGATGGAATGACACCAAGAGAGCCAACAAGAGCAGCGGCAGCATCTCTGCAGTTCAGTCAACGGATTAGATCCCAAGACATACGGGCAACGAACGAAATGATGTCGCCGTAGAGGTTAGGGGCAACCATAACATCGTAAATTCTGTCCCGTAGTCAGAAGCTAAGCAAGATAATCTAGAGAATGGTACCCACTGTGGTTCGCGGAACAGCCGGTAGACAGCACTGTCGACCAATTGTTCCTCAATCGTGACATCATCAAATTTGCCATTCGCTGCGACGGGCACCGCGCGGACACTCTCGCGGAAAAGCCCATCCGTGACAGACAACACATTGGACTTGTGAATAATCGTGACAAGCTGCAGCAAGTCAGAAAAGTAACAACAATTGGAACCAGTACCTGCCTTGCGCGGACGTGCTTTCGCAAGCTCGAACGCAATCTTGCCTATCCGTGTTGAAGCGCGTTCTGTGATCAAACGGATTGCGCGGGCTTCTTTTCCGTTGTCTGTGTTGACAAGCTTTTCGTCCTTGACATACTGTAAAATGACGATGAACGCTCAGAAACACGATTAGAAGCAATATAGCCTACCAGACATTCTGTGTTTTCTCTGACAACGATGAGGTCAGTGGTGGGAGGCGTGCTCGCATCCGCTGATACCTGTGTGGAAGTTAGATTTGTCTGATGGAGAGGCGCTACGACTCGACAAACCGAGCGAACAGGACGAATATTGGCGTAAAGGTCAAGTTCCTTTCGCAAAGCCACGATTGGAGACGAGTAGCCTGCGACCTTACGCGAAGGCGAGCTAGCAGTTCATGAAACACATGGCATATATAGAGAGTATGGCTCGTACCTCACAGATCCAAATAACGCGCAATCGCATTCATCCTTCAATGCGCTGTTTCGCAGATCAATAAGCTGGGTAAGGATGAAAAAAAAGTCAGAACCGAACAGTCTCCGACGGTAACGCAGTGCCTGTCCGCGTGAATGTATCCCAGCCCGCCAGAAGGTCGATGAATTTGAGGGGAGGTAACTCTTGTTGGACAGCAACGATTGCGTCACGAGCGGCTGGGATGACCTCCCTGCCAATACCGTCCGCAGGAATGAGCCCCACAGTCAAAGAGTTTCTTGCAGTCGACAGAGACCGCACAGCAGCTTTTCGCAACATCATGAGAGCAGGTAGAAAAGAAACTGACGGCCGAGAATTTGATCGGCCGACAACACGACACGCTCCACGTGAATTTGTTGATCGAGCGTGACCGTGATTCCACCCAATCTCAATTCCCTCCAACAATGGCGACCACCTCTCCGAAAACCGCGCTGACCGAGCGTACAAACCTCAAACTTGCCACTCCAACCACGCTCACATCGTGGCTCAAACGCCCTGCAAGCTCGACACTAGCTGACACCCCCGTCTCGAAAGCGCGTCAAACTGGATGCCTCGCCCCCTTCTTCCGAGTCTGAGTGGGACAGCGACGACGACGATAACGCTCAACCATGCCAGCAAAGAAGATTTACACGTGTCGCCTCCATTGCGGCGCGTCCATTTCGTTCGTCTTGCTCCAGCCCTTTGATTCCATAAACTGAGGATGCATAGTATCGACACTTCCTATCCTCCGTTCTTTTGCGTCATCAGTGCATTCAGATGTCTTTCGCTGTCACTCGGTCTTGGACGAGCCTTTCTTCGCTCCACCGTATGCTTGCTCATACACCCACGGCAAGTGATATTGCTTGCTGAAAGGCAACTTCCGTTTTGACCTGAATGAGCACAGGAGCCCGTTCGGGCGGGAGTCCAATCTTGGCTATCGCAACGGAACAAGGCACAGTCCACACCGTCAACACGCAAGCGCGGAAGGCTTGGGATCCTGGTGCGACTATTTACTCTCCATTCTGTCATTTGGCTTACGAGGTTGTAGAACCTGTGCACACGACACTCCAGCCTCATAACAATGGCATCTTCGATGTTAAGTGGAATGCGACAGACAATCTTCTGGCCACCGCCTCTGGGGACAGAACAGGACGCGTCTGCGATGTAGAAACCTCGACCCCAATTCACACCCTTGGCGGTCATTTTAGCACTCTCAAATGCGTGTCTTGGAACCCTCGAAATCCAAATCTCGTCAGCAGCGGAGGCAGAGAAGGCATGATATGTGTTTGGGACATTCGTGCTGGCGAATCCCGATCGAGCGACGCGGCTTTGTTGGCGGTACAAACTATTTTGGCTGCTCATGAAGATATCGGACCGACGGGGAAACGCAAAGAACCCAAGGGCAAACATGCCAATGCGCCTAGGACAGTGACGGGCCTCTCGTATTCTGACATGAATGAATTCCACTTGATTACCAGTGGTTCAGCAGATGGGTGTGTTGCCTTCCGATTCTCTTCCGATGCTTGATCCGTGACACAGAATTCTCCGTTGTTGGGATCTCCGAACCACGAAGAAAGTGAAGGAGCCAGCTTGTGTTCTCTTTTCACCGCAAGATGCCACACTTCAAACGACATCATCTCGACGACCGAGAGGAATCATCAGTCTTGCTCAAGGTTGCGGGCCATCGGTCGGTTTAATCTTCGCATTAGCGGCCGATGCTCGTATCTACACTTTCGACCGCGATTCATTGACAGCATATGGACACACGTATACCCACACGAATCTGAGAACCAACTTTTATGTGGGACTCTCTACGTCTCCTTGTGGCCGGTGGCTTGCCAGCGGAGGAGCCGGAATACCCGGAAGTGGCTTCATGTTCGATGTCAGCAATGCCACACGAGGACAGATCGCTGAACCTGGTGTCGAGCTCAAAGGGTACACTGGAGAGTGTGGAGGAGTTGATTGGGCAGATGGAATGCTCGCAACAGCCTGGGACGATGGGGTCGTTCGTGTGTGGAGGCCAAGGGTCAATGACGAGATAGAGTAACTTGACCTGACTAATCACATCATTTGTTCCTTGCCTCCTTCATAATAATGGGTCTCTCAATATCGAGTCTCTTCTCGTCTCTGTCGTCGCTGGTCCGCTGGAGCAAGGACCAGGAAGTCCGTATTCTAATGCTTGGGCTCGACTCTGCCGGAAAGGTTGGTTTGTGGTCACAATACTTCGCAACTCCTCACCAACTGCTCTCCAAAGACTACTATTCTGTATAGATTACAGGTTAGCCTCGTGTCCAAAGGTTTATTGCTGAACTCATTTCCAACTGATAGATTGGCGAAGTCGTTTCCACTATTCCAAGTGCGCTCCACAACTAACCTTGGTCTTGCTAAACCTCCACCAGCAATTGGGTTCAATGTAGAAACGGTCGAAGTCAGTCTTTGTCGCTCTCCTCATATCTCACCTTGCTCACCTGGAACAGTACAAGAACATCAAATTTCAAGTATGGGACTTGGGCGGGCAATCGAGCATCCGGTATGTGTTTTCTCCACCCCCCAGCCCACGACTCAACGTCCCATTCCCAAGACCATACTGGCGGTGTTATTTCCCCAACACCTCTTCCATCATATACGTCATCGACTCGTCCGACCACTCACGACTAACAACGTCAAGAACGGAGCTGCTTACAATGTTATCGGAAGAGGAGCTCAAGGGCGTGCCTTTGCTTGTGTTCTGCAACAAGCAAGATGTTGAGGGTGCACTAAAGCCGGAGGAAATAAGTGAACAGCTGGGACTGGCGGGTGGAGAGAAGACACGACCGTGGAGCGTGCGAGGCAGCTGTGCGACAAAAGGGGAGGGACTGGAGGAGGGATTAGATTGGTGTTTCTCTCACTTACCGTTTTGACTGTTTGGAACTGACCATTGACATCTAGGCTGGTAAACGCCATCCAAAAAAAGTAGTTTCTGTTCGTCGGTATCCCATTTATTCACCCCTTAATTGCCGTCCTCCCGTCTCAGTTTAACCGGCCCTGAAAGTCTGAGAATGCATTCTAGGGCTCAAGCTTCCATCACACAAGTACACCTGTATCTATTTGTTAGTCAGCTGCTACACCCTTTCCGCAACGCATGGGGCACTACTCGTTTATTAAAAGGTTGCTTTCGCAGGATACGAGTCTATGGCATCCCACCGTCCAATTTGGATTCCACCAGAAATCTGGCGCGTCATATTTTCCTTCGCCACTCTTCCGCCTGAAAGTCACTTCGTGCTCGAGTATGTGCCATTCCAACGTGGCAGAGAATACGAGGAAACATCAGGCTACCTAGAGGTCAGTGCATTTTCTTCCATTGCCATAACTTCTAATGATTGTCTAGGAAGAATCAAGCCGACTCAATATATGTTTGGCTCTCATTCGCGTCTGTAGATCATGGAAAACGATTGGCGAAGAGTTCCTTTACCATCACGTCAGGCTCAGCAACAACGCGTCTGCTTTGCATAATTTTGTCAGCGGACTTCGACGCTCTGCTGATCAAGATGGGCTGGGAGGCATTGGTCGCTTCGTCTGGCGGCTCGAACTTCCGGACGCCTATTTCAGAACACGGCCCGCTTATCCATTACAGCAAATCGCTACCTCGCTAGCAGAATTGTTGCAGCTTTGTTGGCGCGTCCAAATTCTCGTCCGACCTCCATTACGCCTTGACGCAGGGGACGGCCAACTTTGGGGAGAGCTCATCCATGAGCCGCTTCACAAAAAGCCAACCATATACTCAAATTTGAGGCGGCTGGAATGGAGGTCCGTATTCATAACTACATAGGTTATCCTACGAGTATCTTGACCACCTCCCCCTTAGCGAAAGCGACCTGGATTTCCGAATTCACGGGGAAACTAGTGGTCAGCGGTTATCCGAAATATTACTTCGCTCTCCAAACCTCGAATACCTCTCCCTTTGCGCGGACCTGATTCCGAATATTTCTCCTACGCCATCTCTCCGCACGCTGCGCTTGAACCGTTCCCACTATGCCTCCCGTCAAATGAAAGAGGCTGCAACCACCCGCCCGCATCTGCCCAATTTGACCCACTTGATTCTACAAGCCAGTCTACCAAGCGCGGCCCTCTCGTTTCTTTCAACTGTCGGGCAGCATCTATGTGTGCTAGAGTTTACCTTTGCCCCTCAGATTATCTATTCTTCCGATCAACTACAACGCATATTTTCGAGGTAATGTGTAAATTAAGCAAGCAGCTTCGTGACTTAACTGCTACAAGGTGCCCAGCCCTAGAAGAACTAGTCTACCATCTGGGCGCCCCCGAACTCTCAGCATGCCAGCACCCATCGATACGGCGAATTCGCCTGAAGATCAACACCGATGAGTGGTTCCCTCCGAAACATGTTGTGTAGGTACTGTCGGGGTTTCCTCGCGCCACAACTAAACAACACTTTAGTTCAACTCAGTTTGACCTATTTTCTGGGCCGGCTTTCCCGCGTCTCTATCTCCATGACGCGACAAAAAGCTTTGTCCGCCGCCACTCAGCCTCCCCGCTACTAGCACGCATTTACAAACGCGGTTGTGCTATTTTATATACCGACGGCACTGCTGTACCGCTGCGAGCATATGATTAGAGTAGTATATACCACCAGCTCATTCAGTGAGGGAATCAGCTACTAGTTCCAAAATCTGCGCCGTAGTTTTCCCCGTGTTAGCAAGGTCTTTGGCTATCGATTGCCACCTGGGTGAATGGTGCGGCTCGGCAGCCACGCATTTCTTGCGGACTTCCTCCCGATGTTCCTGTTGATGCTTGAGTGGAGGGAGAATTGGATGATAAGATACGAGCATACCTCAGTTCCATGCTGTCGTTCAAACTTGAGCCACCAAGCCCATGAATCACCGAGATCGGGGTCAGTTGCAACAGCTCGTCCAAACCATTGCCGGGCCTTTTCGATTTTACGTTCCGCCCAGAATAGACGGGCAACAGTGCAGATGATGAGAGGATTGTCTGCGCTCTTCTTCAAAGCATCGACCGAGCGACTCTTCCGTGTTGGTCTTGGTTCGGCCCAAATCGCCATTGACCAAAGCAGTCCCGAGGTAGGGCAGTCTTGCAAGCTGCGAGAAAGCATGGCTTTTGCTTGGGCAGTACCACCGGACCTTTCCTCCACGCCAACAGCTTCTGCCCAAAGAGTGTCGGTGGCGGGATTCACCTGTCGCGCCTTCTCCAGAACGGCGCGAGCCTTGATACTCTTATTATCGACTTCCTCCAATCGACTAGCCAGAATCCAGAGCGTTGGCTCCTTCGGACATGCTTTGACACCAGCAGCGAACGCAGCCCGTGCGGCAACAAAATTGCCTTGTGATTGCAATATTTGGCCCTGGATCATATAAAGCTTGGCAAATTTGGGGAATTTTTTCAATGCAGTCGCAAGAGTTTCCAAAGCTGCATCAAGTTGACCCTGTTGGCGTTCGAAGACAGCAGATTTCATCCAAATCTGACAAATTAGTCAGTTAACGTGGCGTCAAATATCGAGGAGAAAAATCACTCGTTCTGTGTCAGCCACATCCCTCGCGCGGACAAGGAGCTGTCTTGCAACCGTCAATTCGTTGTTTTCTGCCTCAAGCTTAACTGCAGCCAGCCATATGGCCTCGCTCTCCTTGTTAGCGCCGAATGCTCGTTCAAGAATATCGCGAGCAGCTGGGACATCCCCGCCAATCCACTTTTCTTTGGCGGCCATCAACCAAAGAACTTCAGCTTGCGGACAATGCTCGACGGCCCGACCCAAGATGGCGTTCAAACTCTCACTAGGACAACAATGAGCGACAGCTATTTTGATCGAAATGCTCACTCACCTGTTACCATGAGCCTTTTCAAGTTCGGCGGCACGAATCCATAACGACTTCCGGCCAGGAAATACACGGAGTGCTTCAGCCAATATTGCACGAGCTGTTCCCACCATGCCTTTAGCTTCTGCAGCCTCCGCGTCCCCGACCCATGTGTCCAGTCGATCTTCTTCTTCGACCTCCATACCAATAGTGGCCTTTACAATAGCCTCGCAGGTTCTCAAGGACCCGTCCGTCTCACAACGCTCAGCTTCTTTGAGCCATTGCTCACGCGTAAGCATGACTTGGTGCTTCCGAAGCTCCTTGACCGCGCCAAGAATCGTCTTGTCTACCAAAACCATATTTTCCTCACGAGCCGCGCCAGCTTTAGTTTGAGCTTCTTGTTCCAAGAGGCGCGCAGCAGCTATCCAAATTTCATGGGACGTTGGAATTGATTTGCGAGCTTTATTTAGGACACCCTTCACGTTTTCAGGGGTTTCCAGTCGTGCAAGCGCAAGCCAGAGTTCGACAGACGATGGTATGACTTCGACTGCGCGAGATAGAAGGATCCGGGCATCAGCAGCGGACGATTCAAGGTTGACAGTTTCCTTCCATAACCGAACAGAGTTGGGAATGTGTTCAAGAGCTAGATTGAGTTGAATCAGAAGGCTTCACAAAAGCATTGGACCCCTTACCTTTGCGCAAGACTCGTTTCTTGGCCTTTGTGTCCTGTTCGAGATCTGCGGCGGCTAGCCAGATTTTTACACTCTGGGCAACATGTTGGACCGCATTTGCCAGGATAACTTTGGCATCGGAATTGTTCTACAGATTTGTGAGTTGCTGGCACCAGAAAAAAACTTATGACACTAACATGTAGCCTCGCAGCTTCTAGCCACACATCTTCGCTCTTGGGACATTGCTCACAACCAGCATTGATCAATTTACGAGCAGCGACCATTCGACCGGCATGTTCTTCCAGGCACGCGGCTGCAATCCAACCCGGAGCGTGCTTAGGATTTGATTTAACCAAGGAGTCGAACAACATCCTGGCTCGCTTGATGTCGCCAATTTCAGCATCCGATTTCAGCACGACGCTGTTCAAAGACGTCAGGTAGCCTTTCGGGTCCACCGAGGTACTCGTTCCAGAGGTCGCAGTGCCAGAAATCTGAGTACTGTGAGAAATATAACGGAAGCAATGCATTGTACAAACCTGGTCAAGTTTGAGGGAGAGAATCTTGTCTCGCGCTTGACCGATTTCCACGAAGTTGGTCATGGTGCCGGAGTCAGCTGGTGTCTCAAAACCACCATACTGGAAGAAATGAGCGCCGTGCGAAGCAATATTGGCATGACTCACCTCTTGTTGCCTGCTGTCAAGGGAATTTTCGAATTCTCCCTTGGCCCGGTCGCCAACCAAAACGCTATCGGGTACCGCAAAAGTCCTTTCTTGCTTTCGGCGTTTCTTGCGAGTCAAATTTCCGACCTCTGGCAAGCTTTCCCACTCTTCATCTGTCACAGCACTGAGACCTCGTTTCAAATCCGCAAACTGTTGTTGAATTTTGGGACGCTCTGCTCGATGTTGTGCGAGTTCGATTGCCTCACGGGCCTCCCTGTTAAGTGTGAAATGAGTAATTCAATGAAAAGCGAGGACTAACCGAAAACGCACCGCCGGACCTTTCGCCTTGCATCCATAGCATCGTCAACCTGCTGATATATCTTGTCTGCCTCCTCGTCATCTTGCTCGTACGTTGTCCCAGCAAAGAGACCGTATTCATTGTCGGGATCCTGGAATTGTTCTGGGTCCACCTCAGCCTCTTCACCGCGTCGAGCTTGGGCTTCGCTAAAGTTAGATTAAAGGCTACACCTTGGATATTGAGCAGATGCACTTACGCAATCACTTCCGCAGAAGGACCCTCCCTCGCAGGACCAATATCAGATCGGGTCGTAAATCCCGAAGCACTAGAGATACTTAGTTGACGCCTTATTCATAAAGGTGACCAAACGCACCCTCGTCCGAGACCAGCGACATAGGAAGCCGGTGCTGGCATTGAAAGGAACGCCAATTTGTTCGGTTTGGACGCCATGTTGAGCGAATATTATGTCCTTGAGGACCAGAATAGTCTAAGTCAACTGCTGGTGGTCGTCGGGATCAAGACAGAAACTTGTGACATTGGGTGACTGCACTTTCTCGAGCTCAGAGTCAATGGCGAAGGCAACAGTGGAAGACTCAACGGCCCAGATAGAAACATCATCTGTTCCAGACAAGTCGAAGCGAAAGCGACGCAGGGAAGAAACATTAAACACAAACATTGAATCAACCAACGAACCACGAAAAAAGAAACGCAAAAAGTCTGGAGCAACCGCAGAACCGACAAATGCAGCCAGTCCTCCAGCCGACGAAACAAGACAGAAAAAGAAAAAGAGAAATAAAACTGGCTTTCCCGATCCGTCAGAGGACGCTGCCTTGTCTGAAGGTGCTTGCAAAGGTAGATCTCCTCTCGAGTATAACCTACGAGAGTCGACGCGATAAATCTACCTAGCATTGTCCTATGCATTCTTGCAAGCCCGGAAACCCAAGAAATGGAAGTTCTCCAAGGCTCGTCAGAATTGGTTAATTCGCAATTATTGGTCTGAGAGTGCAGTGAGCATCAGAATACCTGTTTATCGAGGCTTACGCAGCAAAGATACCCGATAACCACAGTGCCCTTACTGTACAATATTTGTCTCATGTGCAAGGGGGAGTGAGAGAGGTTCGTAATTCCTTTTTCACGCAAGCAATCACTGACTTTTTACTTTCAGAAATTACTGGAAGAATGTCGAAAGAAAATTAACGAGAGTACTGAAAGCCAATCGCTTCCTCGTGCGCAAGCTCTCCTCGATGCTCTCCTAGCTAGTAGTAGCGATACACAAACTTGAAAATGAATGTTTCATCTCCTTATCGTAGGTAGTGTGACTATGTGACACTACGCGTCGCGCTTTTCTCCCACCACCACTCTCGCTCCTACTCATCTTGTCCCCCTTGCCGCGTAAAAGATGTCGAGTCCACCACGCGTAGACTTCCCCACGTCTGATGTTGATATGCAAGATGAAGATTCGATCCAAGACGGAGAGACATTCCCCGATGCCCCTGCCAGAAGTCCTCTCTTCTTCCCTGGCACTCCCTCAGTGGCGGGTACACCAGCACGTCCACGTGGATCGGATGGAACTCCAACGCAAGGCCTAGTTGCTAGACGAGCGCTTGGAATGAACACACCCAAACGAACACCATTGTTCAATGGCGAGTCCTCTCATTATTAAAAAGGACAACCGTTTGACGCGTTGGCCAGCCGGCAGCTCATCACCACTGGCGTTTCCCAGCTCCTCTCCTAACAAGAATGCACGTGGAAAGGCGAATTTCAGTTCAGATGCGCCGTTCGATTCCGATCCTCTTGATTTTCCTTCGTTCGTCATTAACCCTCCTTCTGTCCATTCTCCATCTAACCCTAATAGGAGCCCTACAAAACCTGTCACTCCCAGGAATCGTCGTGGCGATATTCATTCATCTTTCTCTGTCACCCCAACATCTGCCAACCGGCGGCAACGTCCAAACCCAGATGGGCCCGCAAGTCGTCCCCCCTCCTCAGCCATCGGAGCTCCTGGATCTGGTCTACCACTTTCTGCACCAAATGTGACCTCCGATGGGCCAGACGAAATTCGTGCCGTATGGGGTACCACAGTCAATCTATCAGAGACCATGAAGCTTTTTCGTGACTTTCTCATTGGATTCAAACCAAAGTATCGCCATGCATATGCTCGGTCCTTGAACCTTCCCACAAAACCCTTCGCCAACCCTGCAGATGGGGAGGCTCTGCTATATGAAACATATCTTCGTCAAATGCGACAAACGGGCGAGACGAATCTCAATTTAGACGTTGTCAACTTACTGGCATATCCTCAAGCCAAAAAACTTCACAACCAGCTGATCAAGTATCCGCAAGAAATTGTTCCCGTTATGGACCAGGTTTTGAAAAATGTCATGCTTGATCTTGCCGAAGAGGATCGAAGGGCTGGGGTCGATGGGATGGAAGGTGCGCAAGGGATGGAAGAAATATCAGAAATCATGAACAAGATATACAAAATTCGACCTTTCGGACTTCCTTCTGTCAATATGCGAGAGCTTAATCCCACAGGCAAGCATTCTTCACCTTGTTGAGTTTTTCGTTGACAATGACAACGTGCAGATACTGACAAACTTGTCGCTATTAACGGGCTTGTCATCAGGACCACGCCCATTATTCCTGACATGAAGAACGCTTTCTTCCGCTGCCTCACGTGTCTCCACACCACTCAGGTCGAGCTAGATCGAGGCAAAATCGCCGAACCAACTGTCTGTCCTCGTGATGTTTGCGCCGCACCAGGCAATATGTCGCTCATTCACAACCGCTGCACTTTCGCGGACCGTCAAGTGATCCGTCTCCAAGAAACACCGGATGCTGTCCCCGATGGCCAAACTCCTCATACCGTTAGCTTGAGTGTCTACGATGAGCTGGTCGATGTTGCAAAGCCTGGTGATCGCCTGGTCGTCACCGGGATCTTCCGAAGTGTGGCTGTTAGGGTCAATCCGCGGCAACGCACTCTGAAAAGTCTTTTCAAAACATATCTCGATGTTGTCCATATCCGACTTATCGGCGGGAGCGGGGGGCAAGGACGGTGTCCTCGCCTTTGATCGGACCACGCGCACAACAGGCGACCGGGTCCCTGGTATCGGTGGTGTTGGTGATACGGAAAGTGGAATCGGCGAACTCGACAGCGATGGCGAAAGGGTCCGCAACCTCGAACTTGAGGATAAGATTCGCCAGCTTAGTGGTCGCGAAGACATCTACGACCTATTATCTCGCTCACTCGCTCCGAGTATATGGCAAATGGAGGATGTAAAGAAGGGTATTTTGCTTCAGTTATTCGGTGGCACAAACAAGAGCATCGAGCGTGGAGGCGGGGCAGGTGGACCCCGGTATCGTGGTGATATAAATGTGTTGTTGGTCGGGGATCCTGGAACAGCAAAATCCCAGATGTTGGGCGTGAGTGGCTTGATTCTTATCCTTTGTCCAAGCTTACATTTCGTAGTATGTCCATAAAATAGCACCTCGAGGTGTCTACACGTCTGGCAAGGGCTCGTCTGCTGTTGGTCTGACTGCATATGTCACTCGGGACCCAGACTCAAAGCAGCTTGTGCTTGAAAGGTGTGTTTATTAGCTGTGGATTGGAAATCCTCTTACATTCATCTTTTCCTAGTGGTGCATTGGTGCTAAGTGACGGCGGAGTCTGCTGCATCGACGAGTTCGACAAAATGTCCGATGCTACTCGCAGTGTTTTGCATGAAGTGATGGTACGAATTTCGTGTTTTGCAATGGGACAACGCTCTAAAAATTGTTTAGGAGCAGCAAACTGTGTCCATAGCGAAAGCGGGAATTATCACTACTCTCAACGCTCGGACATCTATTCTCGCTGGTGCCAATCCCGTGGGCTCAAAATACGACGTCGATCAACCCATCACCAAAAACATTGACCTCCCCCCAACTTTAATCTCGCGTTTCGATTTGCTCTATCTGGTGCTGGATCAGGTTGACGAGAGTCTGGACCGACGATTAGCGCAGCATCTTGTTGGATTGTATCTTGAGGACACGCCTGACCGGCCTGGTGTCACAGATTACTTGGTATGTCGTTCTGCCTGGGTTTGTCCCTCACTCATCATCTTCGATTTGCAGCCTTTGACGGAGGTTTCTGCCTATATTTCGTATGCACGTGCCCGTGTCAATCCGGTGATCACGGAGGCCGCAAGTGACGAGTTGGTGCGAGCCTATGTCGAGATGCGCAACATGGGTACCGACGTGGGGGCTTCGGAAAAGCGGATAACAGCGACGACGCGTCAGCTGGAAAGCCTTATCCGTCTCTCAGAGGCACACGCTCGGATGCGGCTGAGCGAATTTGTCGAGTTGGAAGACGTACTGGAGGCTGGTCGGTTGATGCGAGAAGCAATTCGAACTAGCGCAATGGACCCACGAACAGGCAAGATCGATATGGGCCTGCTGAACACCGGGACTGCGACTGGCCAACGGCGTCTGAGAGAAGATATGCGACGTGGAATATTGAGCATGCTCGACACAACTGCTGGAGCGAAGGAACGGGGCATAAAATGGGGCGATGCGGTCAAGGCATTGGGCGAGCAAAGCAGCGTCAGGATCGACTCATCAGAATTTGCTATTGTTATCTCAACATTGGAGAACGAAGGCTTGGTAAAGGTCATCGGGGAGAGGGACAGACGAGTGATTCGGAGAATCGAAGGCTGAAAGCTGGTCGGATAGCTTTTTCGTTGTATTATGTTATCTTGCTTACGTGTACTACTTTTTCCCGAACTACGACTATGAAGGTGCCGACGGTGGTACTTCGGGAAGGGGCAAGAAGCAAGGTCAAACCTTTACCTGGTGGAAAAGGGACTATCCCTTTGATCCGAACAGTAGACCCCCCGCGAAACTTCAGTGGGACTGTGCCAAAGGCTCATCAAAAGCCTATGTTGAGGCCATCGACAAAAACAAGTTACGACAACTTCGGGCCTGGAGCTTTCCGGAATCCGGGGCCTAACTTAGCTCAGTGCAGTCACATTCCTATTGCATTCCTAGCTCGAAAAAGAGCTCGAGCTCCAGCTGAGATTCGAGATTCTCGTAACTCCCAGCAGCGCGCCGTGCTACTGCCATTCAAGTTCACCATTCAGTCACGAGCAAAATTCAAGCAACTACTTATGATGAATTCCGACTAGGGCAAATCAAAATTGAGCAACTAATTGCTCCACGCGGCTTGGAGTATTTCCTGTCATCGGCGCAAACAAGACGTTTCATTGGTCCTTATAAAGCGATACTATGACTTGAAGCTCTCTCATAATGCTTTCCCGGAGGCTCGTCAGTCTCTTATCACTGGTTGTCGCCGCCTCTGCGGCCTCGCAGATTCACAATGCAAACCCCAGCTGTGAGCATGGTTCTGATTTTCAACTTTTAATCAGAAAATAATCCCCGTCATGTTTTACAGTTAACAAGGACCACCGCGCTCAAGCATGTGTCTCAGCGAAGGAAAACGCGAATGGTGCACCTGTGACCATTGAGGACTGCTCAAAGAATGGCGACAACGCAAATTTCAAGTGGGATCTCACCTTCTTCTTCGAGTCCCTCAAGGCCCCTGTGCCTCAGCAAATCAAGGTGTTCGGCGACAAGGTGCGATTTATTTTATGGTATATTTGTTTACCTGGTGGGTTAAAAGAGACAACGTAGTGTCTTGAAGTCAACAACGCGAATGGAGCCCCAGTTCAAATTTCCACTTGCAACGCCAGTCCCAACCAGCAATGGACTTCGCATACTGATTCCAGTTTCCGCTGGGGTGGTGACCTCAAGCAGTGCCTCGACACCCGTGACGGCAAGCTCGCGGTTGGAGCGCCTCTCGTCGTGAGTCGCGTTTGCCCAAACGGAAGTCATTGCCATGCATAACATGATGATAGATTCGACCTTGTACCAATTCTTGGTCCGATACGCAAGTTTGGTCTAATCGCGCTATCGATCACCGAATTGAACACCTTTACCTTGAGGCGAATGGCGGGACTTTTTGCATGACTGGGTCGTCTAACCGCGTCGGCGCGCAGGTTGGCCTTGCCAAATGTGTCAACCGTGACGCCGACTTCAAGGAGACCTACCCAGAAGGAAGCATCAAGTGGCTGGTCCCCCCCATTGGCTTCACCGATCAACTCTGGGTCTTGAACAACAAATGTCTCACGGTTCCAGGCAACAAGAAGGAAAATGGCGTCAAACTCGTCCTCGAGGATTGCCCTAAACAGTGGAGCACCAGTAATCAGCACCAGCGCTTCACTTCTCTCCCGGGCGGACAACTTCAGTTGGAGGGGACGAACTTTTGTGTTGATCGTGACCCGACCAACGCCGAGGCCAAGAGCGGCAACCTTGTGCGTTTCCTCTCCCTCCTTTATTGTAAATCTTACTCAGTAACGCCCAAGGTTCAACTCTGGGAATGCCAACCAACGCCCACAACCCAGAAATGGTCGCGCCTTGGATGGCTCAAGGGTGTGCCTTGAATCAGTACTAGTTATGCGTGTCAGAACAACTTGAAGTGATGGATTGTTTTGACTCGGTTCAGTAACCAAAAAGATCATAATTCAGCATATTCTAGACTAGGACACTCCATGCTTCACTCAACTTTTCTAAACCATAGTCTACCTGAGGCGCTTCAGGAAATGCTCCAGCCTCGTGTCTGCAACCGCCAATATCAAGAGCAATGCGATGGCCAGGAGCGGCAAATAAAGTTTTCGTCGACCCTTATATGAATCAAGTATTGTTCGCAGCACTGCAAAGAGGAAAACACACCCCAATCTCCTTTTTCGCGGAACCATCTGCGCGGTCCCTTCTGGAGGAGGTGTATGTTCTTTTCCTGGAGGGCATCCAACGATAGGGGCTCCAGTGGTGCAGTTGCAAGAGCAAGATGAAAGTTCCAATAGCCCGATTGCGCGGTTGCGAGGTTGGCCCAAAGGACACATATGTACGGGGTGCCATGGATATTGAGGGCTTTGACTTCATCGGTGAAAGCTTTTGCATATGGTGTGCCCCAGTCAGCCTGTCGATGGTGTTATAGCACGGCTGAGTTGGATACTACGACGACATACCCCAATCACTCCATAATCGTATGGATCGTTCATATGGCTCGTTAGAACTTGAAGTGAAGCGGTGGTCACGAATAAGCTAGCTGGTCACACTCGGCTAGCATCACGTAGGTAGTATATAGGATGTAGGTAGAAGGAATATGATAAGTAATATCTCCGAAGAGACTGGGGAAGACAAAAATTCATGTATGAATGCATAGGCGCATTATACATAGATGGAAATGTGCCTGGCTCGGCCACAGGCTACATGAAGCGCCCCCAGCCCTGAGTGCGCTGAGGCGACTCCAGGGAATGGGCGACGCTCACCTGAGGCGCTCCCAGCCACAAGAGCGCAACAAGGCAGCTCTGGGCGGGAGACCAAACTCGAGGCAGCCTGCGGCCAGCACGACGCACGACTGGGTGGGAACCGACGCCAGAAGCGAGCAGCCGGCCCCCCAAAGGAGCAGCGCTCCAAAGCGAAGCGCGGCCGGCAAACGCAAGGCAGCAGCAGGCACCCCACCCGGAGTGCTGCGACAAAGGAAAGGGGGAAGTGGGAGAAGAGAAAGGAAAGGAAGAACAGGATGATAGAAGCGCACCACAACCCTAGGAAAACCCAGGGACAGCTGTCTTCAGCCTAAGAGGAGGCTCCAGCAGTGCTTGAGGTGACAGAGACCCAAGAGTTGGTGAGCTTGATGCAAGACCAGATAGTGCTGCCAGTAAGCAAGAAAAGGAAATGTCTCAAGGACAAGGAGGGGAAGGTGTCACAAGGACAAAGAAGGGGATGTGTCACAAGGACAAAGGAAAGGGAGGTGTCTCAAGGACAAAGAAGGGGAGGTGTCTCAAGGACAAGAGAGGGGAAGTGTCACAAGGACAAAGGAGAAGGAAAATGTTAAAATGTCACAAGGACTGGTCTCAAGGACCAAGAAATGAAGAAGGAACAGAAGCAATATAAAGAAGGAAATAAAATGTCACAAGGACATGTCTCAAGGACAGAGAGAAAGAGAAAGGAGTCACAAGGACTCAGGAGAGGGAGATGTAACCTAGACAGAGGGTAGAGAACCAGAGAACGTGCGAAAAGTCTTGAAGGCGAGGCTAGATGGTGGTGCCGAGCTAAGGATGAATGGGAGTGACCTGTGTGACATATCAGCTGATGGCCGCCGCCGAGTGCTCTCCAGCTAGCTTATCTCTCGCTAACCGCGGCTCGTTCCTCGCCCCGGCTAGCTGCCACTAAGAAATGGTCACCCACCTTGTCACAACCAGCTTTTGCGAAGGATCGACACGGGCTTATCTTATCTCGCTTACGTGTACTGATTGCATTCTTCTCTCAACCATCATGGCGAGTGATTCTGAACCAGAAGACGATGCTCTAGACGTTGAGGAAGACCCTGAAGAATACGAGCAGGATGACGACGAGCCTGATGGCGTACCCGACGATGTCACGGAGGACCAGGATGATGTAATTTCAACTTGTTTGTTGACGCGTTGTGTTTTGAAGGATTTACCCAGGACTCAAGTGATGAGAGCGAGGATGGCTCAGAAGATGAGGGAGACGACTCCTCTGAGCCTGGGGAGACCCTTATGGATGAGTTGGAGCCACCAGCGAGCGCAAGCGACACCTCGTCGCAGCCAACAACATCTCAACCAGCTGTACCTCAGAAGGGTAACAACACGCGTTCCATACGAATTCTTCTGACTCTTTCAAGTACCCACACCACCGCCAACTATCCCACCGCCGCGAAAACGGTCACGTTCACCATCGCCTGCTCGCATACGAAAACGCGCACTTATTCCGCAAATCCCCTCGCCACGGTCTTACACTGTCGAGGCCATCTGTGCTTTACCTCATCCAGTACCTACTCACGCTCTTGCCGCTTCAGCATGTATGACTCACATGATAACTGGCTCTGATGACGGTTACATTCGCGACTATGACATTTTCGGTGCAGTCAATGGCAAGAACTTTCTCAGTGCGCCGCAGCGACATCACGCAGGTGTTGTAGAGGGCATCATGAAAGCCGGGCAGCTACGCTTTTGGTGGGAGAACCCCAATCCACACAAGCTGAACCCGACTGTACTGCCAGAAGAAGCAGCAACACCATTACCTGTGTACAGTCTCGCGATGCACTCAGATGCGCTTTGGACACTAGCTGGATCGAATACGGGGAGAATCAACCTATTTACAACGCGCCATGAACCTGGGAGGTGTATCCATGTTATGGCCGGCCACCGAGAACAGCCAGTTTCTTCGCTAGCTTTGGATCACGAGGAGAAAGGATACTACAGCGCTGGGTGGGATGGCGATGCGATCGTTTGTGTTCTCTTTTGTTCCCATATTTCGTGGCTAAGAAGGCATGTTCCAGCAATGGGACCTCAACACTGGATATGCGGTCCGAAACTTCACAGCTCATGGCGCGCAACTAACCTCAGTCGCTGTTCGCCCAATTAGTACTTCTTTCGCACCAGTAACTGGGTCCTCGCAAGACTCAAACAACACTACCCTCATCGACAGCTCCAACCCCGCAAGCCAAACGATGGACGCTGACGCCAAATCCGACGCGTCTTTCGACCCGTTGTTTGACGATGAGCCCGAAACACCCGCAGAAGCGGCCGTCAAGCCCAGTCTTCCTGCACTCCCCACGGCCCGCGCGATAGCACATAATGCGCCGCCTTTATTGGACTCTTCGATCAATGCGACATTGTCACCTGACATCCTGCTCACAGCAGCCATAGACGGACAGGTCATGCTTTGGGACCGCCGTGTTCAGACAATCGGCACTGGTGTGGGCAGACTGTGGATGAGCGATAAGACGCCGCCATGGTGTCTCTCCGTATGCACATTATTCTGCTTCGTTTCGCCCACGACAAACACTCACACTACTTAGGCTTGCTGGTCAGCGGATGGCGGGCAAATTTACGCTGGACGGAGAAATGGCACAGTTGACGTGTGGGACACAAGGCAGCTGGGCGTTGCTGGACCTGGAAGCGTGCCCAGGCTGCTGAAAAGCATCAGGAACCCACAAAGCTCCGGTGTGGTGTCTTGCGTGGTTGCGTTTCCGGACAGGAAGCATATCGCGACGTATGCGTTTTCCTTCAATCCAGTTTGTTCGACTGATCACTTGCCCCATCAGCGCATCAATCGACAATCTGCGACTGTGGAACGTGGCTGAAGCTGCTGAAATGGATGGCTTTGGCAAACACAAGAGCAGTGGTGTCCAGTTCAAGATCATCCCAGGCCACCATGGAGGGTATATCTCGCAAATGCGTGAGTAATCTTCCCTCAGAATCCTTTGACTCATTGATTTGTCAGTGGTCGACCCTGCGGCCCGCTTTCTGGTCAGCGCGAGCAGCAATCGGGGGTGGCATGGCGAGTCTACGAAAACTGTCTTCGTCCACGATATCAAACGCATCCAATAAAAAAAGTATTTGCACAACACTCTCATATTGCCAACATATAAACGACAACAGAGTACAGACAGTGGAACAAAACGAACGAAAGCCTCTAAGCCAGAGCCGCAGAAGGGGGAGGGGGCACAGGGATGTCGAGTTTCTCTTTGATAAGAGGAACTCCGGTGCGAACCTTGATGTTCGCAAGTGCCGGTCCATCGATGCCCTTGCTAGCGGTGGGGGTGGAGTTGACTGTGTTGTTGTTGTTGACGGGGCCGAGAAGTATGTTGAACCGGTTTCGAGCAGCATTGACAGCTTTTGTGTCAACCACGGGTCGTTGTCCATCGTGCAACGTCTGAGGTGCCGTTGGTGTACCCAAACTAAGCTGACTGTCGTTCCATATTGGTTCTGGTTCTGGTGCGCCTATGCCAACACCAGCCCTGCCACCCTCACGGACCCAATCTGGTAAGCGGTTGATGCTCAGGTCAGTGAACACCTGGTCGACGGCCGCGATGAGTTTGTCCATTTGCTCAACCGTGTGACGTGGTGTTACGGTTATGCGCAGTCGTTCTTCGCCACGGGCGACAGTTGGGTAGTTGATTGACTGCACGTAGATGTTGTGGTCCGTAAGCAGCTTGTCTGAGGCAGCTTTGGCAAGAGCAGCATCACCAACGAGGACGGGGACGATGTGAGAGGGGCCGGGTACAACAGGAATATCGAGCTCCGCAAAACGGCGCTTGGCTTCACGGACGTTGACTTGTTTCAGTTGACGGTCGCCAACATACTCCTTCTGGTAGACAACACTGGCGCGGGCACCAGCAACCGTTGCGGGGGGCAGAGACGTTGTGAAGATAAAACCGGGTGCGTAGGAACGAATCATGTCAACGAGGTCGTCTGAGCCAGCGATGTAGCCGCCAACAGCGCCGTATGCCTTGCCGAGTGTGCCGGTGATGATATCAATGCGATCCATCACGGAGCCAGGAATGGGTTCAGGTGAGTTGCCAGCCGCCTTGTGTGCGTCGTAGTCGAGATGCTCGGCGACACCGGCGCCCCGAGGTCCGTATAGACCGACAGCATGTACCTAGGTTTGATGAGAAAGGCTGCATGAAGGGAAGATGGAACAACAAATTCACCTCGTCCAAGAAAGTCAGAGCACCATACTGTTCAGCCAAGTCGCAAATTTCCTTAATCGGGCCGATACTTCCACACATAGAGTAGACACTCTCAAAGGCGATGATTTTGGGCGTCTCTTTGGGGTATTGCGCGAGTTTGCTCTCGAGGTCAGCAAGGTCGTTGTGCTTGAAGATGACCCGTTTGGCCCCGGAGTGGCGCATTCCTTGGATCATGGAGGCGTGGTTCATCGCATCCGAAAAGAGAATGCAGCCTGGCAGTTTCGAGCCAAGAGTGGACAGGGTCGCATCGTTGGCCACGTAGCACGACGAGAAGACGAGCGCTGCTTGTTTGCGGTGGAGCGAAGCCAGTTCTTGCTCTAGACCAAGATGCATGGCCCCATTTCCTGCTATATTGCGAGTTCCTCCAGCGCCATGGCCATATTTGTCCAGGGTGCGACTAAAATAAGACTAGATGAGATGCGTAACATTGGCTGTAAAAATGAAACGTACTGCATTGTCTCGAGGACAACTGGGTTGTTGCCCATGCCCAGATAGTCGTTGGAGCACCAGACCTGTACCTCTTCCTTCACATTTCCGGTATGTGCGACGGGGAACTTTGCCGCCAAACGGTTGATGTTGTTGAAGTAGCGGTACGAGTTGTCCTGGTGCTTCTTGTCCAACTCGTTCTCGTAGAATGACTCGTAGTTGAAACCGACACGGGCCGGCTTGGCTGCAGCTTGGGGGACTTTAGGGTGGTCTGCTGGCATCTGGGCTCCGGCAGTGTGGAAAGGGCACCCTTTGGCCTCCGCCTTGTTGACAGCAGCCGCGGCCAGGTCGCTAGCAGTGCGAGCAGCAGCACGTGCCGCCGAAGCGTGGGGGCACATTTCGACAGTCGCGCCAGCTGGGACTGTAATACCCTTTTCCTTGTGGATTTGGGCAACATCACCAGCTCCAGCAACACTAGCGTAGCCTGCTACGAGTTCTTGTCCACGGACATTGAGAGCGGGGCCCATGACCGGGCATTTGGTTGCCCGCTCAGTCAGGGCAGAGATGGAAGGGAAGCGAGGAGAGGCACTGGTGCAAAGAGTGCGGAGGGCTGAAGTTTGCGTGGTCTTCAGGAACGGGCAGTGCGCCTTGAAGCGGGTCAACGTAGACAATTTGTCCATCGTTTTGGGGGAGAAAGAGAGGGAGTGAGGGGGAGCAAGTAGAAATCAGGTCGTTAACTTTTATAAGTAGACCGATCGTGATCCATTGATGGTCGGTCTCACAACCAATAAGAGCCCGCAAATATCACATTGACGTGATTCTTGTCCGTGTCCAGCCCGAGACCGGTATACTTATAGATCGCAGCCAATGCCTATCTAAAGTTCCTCTATACTCTCAGACAGTGTTTCAATCACCGTATCAACCTCTACCCGTCCGACATTGAGACTGGGAACAAGTCGGACTGCATTTTTCCCAGCGGTGAGGAGAAATACTCCTCGGGAGCGAGCTTTCTCAACAACCGAGCCCGGTTGTGTGCTGTCCAGAAACCCAAGGCCCCGGATGAGCCCACGCCCACGAATTTTGGCTTCAATGATCCCGGGGAATTTCTTCGGCAACTCTGTCAACCGTTCTTCGAGGTACACGCTCGTCGCATTAATTTGGGCCATCATTTGCGGGTCTGAGAGCCGCGATAGGACATGGTGGCCCACTGCACATGCCAACGGCGAGCCTCCGAAAGTGGTTCCGTGACTTCCTAACGATAATGAGTGAAAGGCTTTTAGTAATCTCAGTCTGCTCACCGGCAGTCATCGTTTCCGCAATTGAGTCCCGCATTAACACTGCACCGATGGGATAGCCGTTTGCGAGCGGCTTTGCCATCGTGACCACATCAGGATGACACTCGACAGGCAGGCTGGAGTGCGCCCACAGTTGGCCAGTTCGATATAAGCCACACTGCATGTCTGTCAGCGACCTGCATTTCAACCAAAACAAAACTTACCTGGATCTCGTCAAATATCAATACCGCGCCGACCTCGTCGCATCGCCGTCTCAATGCAACCAGCCATTCAGTGTTGGCAGCATTGACTCCCCCTTCGCCCTGAATGGGCTCAATGATGACTGCGCATGTAGCATCTGTAACGAGGCTATCCAGCGCTTTTATGTCGTTCACCACTCCAACATCTACGCCAGGTACCAAGGGCTGAAACGGCGCCTGATATTTCGGGTTGGTTGTCACGCTCAACGACCCCATACTCCGGCCATGGAAGCCATTCTCGAAGCAGACAATCCGCGACTTGTCTGTCCCACGATCTTTGCCGACCTTACGCGCTATCTTCAGCGCGCCTGTGCACCAAGTTATTTGCAAGACAAAAAAGCAAGAAATCAACGCGCCTTCATTGGCTTCCGTTCCCGAGTTTGAGAAAAACACTTTGGCAGTGGCCCCGGACGTGCCTGGAGAAAACCCAAGCCCGCCATCACGTTGGGTGAGTGTGACTAGAAGCTCTGCTAATCTTGGGGCCCACTTGTTGTGGTAGACGTTGCTGGTGTGCAGTAGTTTCCCCGCCTGCTCTGCGATTGTCTGTTGGCCGAAGATAAGATACGGGATTCCAGTGATGAGTCATCTTTTTTTTTACCTGAACCACGCCTGGATCAGCATGTCCCAACGCATTCACAGCAATACCTGCACTGAAGTCGAGGTAGCGCCTACCCTACCAGACAAATAAATTCTACAAGTTGCTTGGTTGTCGAATTTACCTCAGTATCGTAGACATAAGACCCTTCTCCATGAGAAAGCACAAAGTCTGGTCGCGCATAGACTGGTAGCAGATATTTTGACGACAGGCCCAGTAGTTGTGGTGTTTTCGGTGCAGTGGCCATGGCTCTGGAGCCATTTCGCAGACGAGTCGCCAAACGAGGAGCACGATGCATGGAGGCAGGAGGGAAGTGACAATGAGTGCTACTACAGCACTACCTATTTTATCATACGAGTAGCGTATACACCGCAAAAGCTGCGCAAAGACAAAGAAACTAAGAACTGCCGCGACTGCTAACCGACATTGAAGAGCCAGTTGATGCTGAACGGGCTCTGCGTGGTGGAGACTCTTTTCGAGCGGGGGGTGGTGATCTGGATCGTCTAGCCAGCGGTGACCTGGATCGTCTGGCTGGGGGACTCCTTGACCGCCTTGCTATGGGCGACCTAGACCGTTGTCTATGGCGAGGAGGTGAGAGAGAACGTCTGCCAGGAGAACGAGAATAGAAACGACGGCGAGAACGAGCAACCGGTGAAGGAGACCGCGAAATTGGTCTTGCTCGACTATTTGGTGGTGGAGGCATGTCTCGTCGATCCTGTCGTCGTTCTCTGTCTTCTTCTCGCCTTCTAAGTCTGTCCCGTTCCCTCTTTTCCGACTCCCATTTCGCCTTTTGCTCTTCCATTTTGGCTCTCTCAGCATCCCTCCGTTTGTCCCTTTCCTCTCGTTCAATAAGTCTCTGTTGTCTCAACTCTTCCTGCTTTTCGCGGTTGAATGCATCCCCTTCAACATAGTTTGCCCTTGTCCCCAATGCACTCGCCATCTTTGCCAACTCTGTCTTTTTTGCGGCAGCAATAGCGTGAGTTTCTGTTGGTCGGTAGCGGCCACCAGGCCCACGTTCAAGATTCGCAAGAAGTTTAGTGCGCAACGCGCTAACCTGCTCCTCGATTTTTTCTTCGTCCAACCTACGGTCATGATGAGCTCGCCAACCATATAACAATAATCATGACTGCACACCCTTCATCCTCAAGCTGCAGCTGCAATTCCAAACACTTCACCTCTACTTTGCGCTTGCGTTCGTGCTCCAGAATGCCCTCATCAGGCTCCCTGTGCTTTGGCGGTGCGACATCCCAGGCGTTGGCACGGTCTTGGGCCGGCTGATGAGATCGCAAGGTAGAGAGATTGCGGACAACATAGCCATTCGTGCCGCTTCCACGAGGAGTGGTCAGACCGATTCCGTTGTACATGAGTGTTGAGGTTGGGTGACGCAATCGTGATGACAAAGTGTCACGTCAGCGACGGTCACCCCAGGCGCCCGCCGTGCCGGATCCGACGGCTGAAAGTCGTCATCGGCAACCCGTTCATACATAAAATCATCAGGTGCAGCTGTGCTCTTCATCTTTCTCAAACCACCTCCAGACTGTCTGCTTTCCGCCTGCCACTCCGAGCTATGGCCGCTGTCGCCAACCCCACCCTTCCTCAAGCCCGCGAAATCCCCACAACGTTTTCGGCCAGTCTACGCAGTTGGTGGGCCACAAACGACAAGACATCTTCCGTCGCAGAGAGTAGGCTCTTCCAGTCAATATTGCAACCTCCACAGCCAAACCCGACCTATGTCGCCTCCAGCTCGCTCGTAACCCTCGATAAGCCAAAGCAGTACCTGAACACCCTCGCAATCCACTCAACCAACCCCCAACCCGATGCTCCCTCCCCAGTCGTGATGTTGCCTGGCTACGGAGCTGGGATTGGGTTTTATTTGAAGAACATCCCTGTGGTTGCCGAGGTCCGTGTTTCGTCCTCTACCTTTCTCCGGCGTTTATTCACCATGAATTAGTGGGCTGGCCACCGCGGTTCCTCACTCTACGCTGTGGACTGGCTGGGCATGGGCCGCTCTGCACGTGTTCCATTTAGGATACGGTCAGACCGCAAAGACATTGCTGGCCGTGTAACCGAGGCTGAATCATTCTTCATCGATTCACTCGAGTCATGGCGCGCAAAACAACGCATCGAGAAGATGACCCTCGTTGGCCACAGTCTTGGGGGCTACCTCAGCCTCGCATACGCCCTCAGATACCCTGACAGGGTGAACAAACTCATCCTGCTCTCACCTGCAGGCATCCCACGTGATCCCGACGAGACGTCCGCTCCAGAGCGTGAGCTCGAGTCAGCCCCGCATGGGTCAAATTCTTCAGTAGAGTTATCCAACGAAGCAAAGGTTCAGGAAATCCATGCTGAACAAGCCGCCCACAAACCGCGATATTCACGAGGCATGCGTCTGTTCCGGTATTTGTGGGATGAGGGTTGGAGTCCGTTCCAAGTTGTTCGGAATACCTACTTCTGGGCGCCGATGCTCGTTGGAAAGGTGTGTGTTCTTTGAATATTTTGAGTTCTGCTGACGAAATGGCTAGTATTCATCACGACGATTCACGGGCTTGACTGACGAAGAAACCCGAGCCATGCACGACTACATTCTCCACATAACCCTCGCCAAAGGCTCAGGCGAATACTCCATATCCCATCTTCTGGCTCCCGGAGCCCATGCCCGCCGACCGATGGTAGACCGCGTTTCCGCACTGAAAATGCCAATAACCTTTGTTTGTAAGTCATCTCCTCAGTTCTTTCACATGATCAAACCTCATCTACTTCCAGATGGCGATCACGATTGGATGGACCCAGAAGGCGGGGAGAAATCTGTCGAAAACCTTCGCAAGGCTGGCAACGGCAATGCGCGGTCATACATCGTCAGCGATGCTGGTCACCACGTATATCTAGACAACCCTAAAGCAGTCAACAGTCTTCTGCTTAAGGAGCTCAACCGCAGGCCATAATAGAGGCGTCTTCACTCGTTTATTTTTTTTATATCAGGGAATGTACATTTATTAGATAGAGCACAGTACAGTTAATGCCACAGGAATTCAGACAGTAGTTGGAGTGTTAATAAGCCGTTCAGGATACTTGGCTTTGATTCTTGCTGCCAAATCTTCCTCGTAAATCTGGTCAGCTCCCAACTGGTTTCCCAGCGTGATCCAACCCGGTCGCGTATTGTGCTTCCGTCCAAAGATCTCAATTTTGCGACCACCAGGACACATGCGTTCGATCAGGTTGTACACCTCGTCAGGCTTGCGACTGGTTTCGCGGACCTCAGAAACAATGACATCTGTGTCAACGCCACGATTGGCCCATGCAGGCATCACGAGTTTGCCTTCCGCGTCAACGACCGTCTTGACGCCAACCAGCATGTGCTCCTTGGTGTGGTTCAGCCAATGGCCTGTGCGACCGGTGCGAATAACTCGTTGAAGCTGAAATGTGGGTCAGCAGAATTGAAACGAGATTGTTTTTTCCTCGTACTTGGTTAGTTTTGACCCAGATCACTTCGTCCACTCGCGTGTAGCCCCAGAACTTCAAGCATTCGCGCCCAACTTCCATAGCCCGCCCTGTCACCCATAAGAATAGTAGTCCTTCATCTTGCAGTGTCGGAATTGGCATTGCTCGCATTTCATCGTCCGTCATAGTCCCGTAGGGCAGCTTATTCAACGTCAGAGAAAGTATCCTTGACGGGCAAGCACTTACGCTCATATGGATGTCCCATGGCGGATCCGCCATAATGACATGGAATTTACCAAGAACAGAGTAGTCGAATCTGCGAACATCGCAATTAATCCACTGAGGCGGAAGCGGTTGGGTGAATTTGCCGGTAGGACCCATTCCGATCGCGAGCCTGTGAGAGTGCTTCTTCTTCTCTGTCCCATTCGTACTGCGCGTCCGCTCGCCATCACTGGGGTCCCAGTCCACCTCATAGTGTAAATATCGACAGGGAGCCTTGTCCTTTCCTCGTCCTCCTGCACCCAGTCCAGAAGGCAAGGAAAGCGGGCCACGAGAGTTGGGTGGGGCATGACCATGGCTGTGAGAGGTGCCTGGAAAGGGAGGTATTGAAGGAGATTGCGCGTACGTCGGTTCTGAGTAGCAGGTATTTAGATAAGAACAATGCCCCAGAGTTGGGTCAGTATGGGCGCGGATGAGAGGTCGGAAATGGATCATATTGCAGATAGTTGCGTTTCCTGTTTCAAGCATTCGCGCTTTGGCACATTCGTCTTTGGTCACCCGGGGGCAGATAGGCTCGAAGGTCGACTCGTCGGGCGACCTAAACTATCATAGCGTTAACACAAATAGCGGATATTTGTTGTTGTGCGCACCTGCTCTGATAACAAACGGCTCTTGGCCGTCCCCTTTTGCATCAAGGCATACACCTCCTGCAACTCTTTGCTCAAACTTCCCAGCGTAGTGGGAAGCTGGGCATCGAATGACGAATTTTCTGGCTCAGAATCTCCTGCAGCAGAGTCCGCTTCGTCGTCGATAACCCGTTTCCGTTTCCGTGGATTCAGACTTTCGCCGAGAGCGGTTTGCGTTGCTCCTTGGAGCGTTACATCCATGACTGTCAATGTACCATGCTCACGTGCGAGCGAAAGAGTCCCATGCTCCCAAGTGGGCGAAAAGGATTCGAGGATCGACTCGAATAGTGCCAGGTCCGTAAGACGGAACCGTGGTGGACTGGAAGTGTTCGCCAACAGGCCCTCAGGAATTGGTGTCGTGATAACCTTCACCAGCAGTTGTGTAGCGGTAATTGGCGCGGATACCGCGCCAGAGGTGAGCAGCTTGTGCAGCGCAAAGGCTGCGACCGTCTTTTGGTTGTCGGTCATGAAGCGTGGGAAAAGACAGCAACAAGCGCAAACAAACGCCGTCGCCCGTTTATGGGATTTCCGAGATTCTCGGATGTGACGCGTTACATAACTTTGAATCCCAAACCAAATCAATGCTGAACTTCTCTCGCTGGTCGCGCGTCCTGGCGCAGACGCGATCTGCTCGTACACGCGGTGGCGCGGCACGCCCAATGTCCCAAGAAGACGAGGATACTTTACTTCAGCAACTGCAGGCACAGTACGACCAGGCAAAAGCGCGTCTAGCCAAGGAAGAAGAGGCTCGACAAGCCTCTGGCTCAAATGTGATTATAAAAATGCCTAAAGAGTCAGCTACCGCACCAACGAAGCCTTTGGACAGTACGCAACATTCTTCGCAGTCTGAACGCTATTAAGCTGTCAACAGAAAGCACCTCGCCTTTATGGGACGTCTTGACAGAAGAAGAGCACAAGAAACTCGCAACATTTGGAATAAAAACATGTGTGTGCCTTGAAATACTTCTTATCCTGTTGGTCGAATGATTCCAGTGGAGCAACTACAACAAACAGCGCAAGAAGCTGACGGGGACCTCAACAGACCGCCTTACCCACCTGTCCAGAAGTTGCGGCCTAAATACCGACTTGCATACGAACTACACGAGTCAATACCGCGCAGACTTGCGCTAAAGGGGTCAAAACGCAACAGTTGAAAGACAAATCTTGTACATCTAGTCATCGTCTACGAATTCACCTTCTTCTTCATTCCAACCGAGCGTTTCCAGCGCAATTCCCATCCGCAAAAGCATACTTCCCATCGTTTCCTTTGGCTGAATATCCTCATCTGCGTCGGCCATTTCGGTGGATTCGGGGGGATGCTCCTCTTCAGTAGGAGTTGTACTCCAACCCCAGTTGCGTTCTCGTTCCTCGACTTTGACTTTCTTGCTGTTATTGTCATCACCCCAACCCCACGAATCATCTAGCTTCCGCTTCCCGCTCTCCGACGATGATGCTTCGTTGTCTTTCACAAGTCCCCAGACCTCCCATGCGATTTCCCGCCCAGCCTCAGTCCACTTGGCAGCCAAACCTTGCAAAATATCTTCTTCTCCGTCTTGTTGCAATTTCACAGCACGCCGCAATACCTGCAATCGCCGCTCAAGAAGCTGAATTGTCGGTGTTTGCCGAACAGACGAAGACAATGACGATGATACAGATGAGGGGAGAGGCGATTTGAACTGAGCAGACGCTCTCTGGGTTCGATGTTTCTTCATGTCCATTCCAGGCATCACTTGAGCAGGCATCACTTGAGGCACAGGCTCTTGTTTGGCTGGTGGCACAGTCGGCGGCAGCTCGGAGACTTTTGGTTTCTTGATGATCGTGAGCGGGCGGAAGGGTTTAGTTAACAGCTTGCGCTGTGACTTTTGTGATGTTGCTGAGAGACGCTTGGTATGCGGAGGCTGGAATCTTGCTTCAATCTGTATGTGTTGCAACCGGCGCGAACTCACTGTTGGTGCAATTGATTCAGATGAAGTTTTCAACTCAGCAGCTTCAGGTTTTTCTTCTTGAGTGAGTATTTCCTGTTTCGATCAAGATCAAGTGAAATTGCCACTCGAAAAGTCCTACCTCCATTGGGTGGTTATGCAGAAGGGCCTCTAGTTTTGAAGGCAAATCATTAGCTTCTGTTGATAAACTCAAATCATCGTCAGTCTCTACGCCTGCGACTGGACTAGAACTTCTGAAAGGACTAGAGCTTGGCGGCAAATCAATAAATTCATTCTATAGCGCAATGCATAAAGACTCGGAAAAGCATGCGAACACATACTTGAGTGGTTGTCCCCTCGTCGTCATCGTGTAAATCTTGCAAGTGGTCTTCAGAGTTGAGATCCAATACTTCATCCGAGCGAACATCTTCAAGGGAAAATGTTTGACTATTAACACATTCTTCGGGAACTTCAAAAACTGAAGAATCAGACATCTGGAGAGGCGAAGATGAAAATAGTGCAGGGGGACTAGAACTTGGAGGCGATGATGTCAACGGGTTGTCGCCTCTGGACTGAGGATCGTCCGTTTCTTCGCACAGTGACGAGCATGTCAATTCATTGGCAGTCTTGGAAGTAGGCATTGCTTGCGTTTCGGTTGAGAGAATATATTCAGGGTTGTACAACGAATCATCGTCGAGTTGGGTTGGTCGAAAATTTAAAGTGCGACTCGGAGCATGAGCGGAAGTGTAGTCGCCTCTGGACTGTGATTCGTCAGTTTCTTCGCACAGCGCGGAGTCTGGAGGCGAGCACGTCGATTCGCTAATAGATCGAGAAGGGGGCATTGTTTGTGATTCGATCGGAAAGATAGGTTCAGCGTTGAATGAGGAGTCATTGAGTTGTGTCTCTTGGAGACTGTGAGTTGGGGTAAAAGCGAACGAAGGATAAGAGGGCGAGGAAGGCGCGTTTTCGGTGTCAAAGCATGTTTTATCTTGCTGGATGAATAATTCAGATTCAAGCTGCGAAGGATAAGTCTCGACGTGCTTGACATTACGTCGGGTTCAAGTTGGACTTTACATTGTGAGCAGGTTCTGGTTGGCATTGTTCCGGTTCGGTAGCAACGTTTTCTAAAAATTGTGTCTGCGGCATCGTAGCGACATTTGTCTGTTTCTCAGAATCTGGAGGGAGAATTTGGACAACTTGAGGCAATATTGCAAGTTGAACTGAGAGCGATGACAATTCTGGAGTCGAGGCTGCCTGAATAGTATGAGCAAGGCTACGCGTATCCAGAGTGTGCGCACTATATCTTGCTGGTCGATAGCCTTGGTTACTGCAGCGACTTGAGTGGGAGATGAAGCAGTTGATGATTGCGAGGAGGGCATGTCGCCAAAACACGGCCCCTCGAGCAGGGAAGAAGCAAACTGTACATCAGTGAAATATAATGACGCGTAAAAACGCGACAAACGGAAGCAGGATCCATCGAATGGGTGATCAGGAGAGAAAACGATAAAGTCACATGTCACGCATTGTCACAGATCATCACTCAGGTATATTATTTGGTGGGAATACAGCAGTACGACGAGAGATTGCCCAGGGAGTGCCTGCTTCGTAGAAGTCCATAGGATAGCTGCCACCCTTCCCCTCCAACCAACCCGCGGGTTGTCCTACAGCGACGGCCGTTTCGTACGGACTCAACAACGGCCGCGAAAAGGCGTATCCCCAATCGATTGAGAGTCGAGGACAAGATGTTTGAACAAATGTCGATATATGTGGGTTGAAGAGAGCCAGTTTTGCGGGCGACAACTCCGAAAGTAAAATCGGCATGAATGGAATACTGGTTTTGGATTCGGACAATTGCCTAGTAATGGCCTGAGGAAGACATGAGTAAGCCTAAAACCGAGAAGATAACAAGATTTGCCTGGAGTTGCCTGAAGCTGCCTTGTCGCCCAAGCGTCCCAAGAATGACGCCCCAGAGAGGAGCATCGATTATTGGGTCGTGGGTAGCAAACTGATTGATACTCTTTCGAGCCGTTTCAACAGCTTTTGAGCGAATTCCGTACATCTCTTGATGGTCGTATCGCTCCCGAGTCAGCTTTTTGGAGTATGGGTCGTAGCGGAATGCAGGGACAGAAGGATTTGCAATCATTATCGACTCGAGGTGGAAACGACCGTCCCCAAGATAACTGCAAGGAGGCTAAGAGATGATGATAACTGAGATGTAGTAATTCGTACACCAACGCATCGACATCGCCAAGACGTGGTGCTGTACAGCCGAGAATTTCTCCTGGAGAAAGAGGCTTGGATCGTGGAATAGTTGCAGCGTATTTCCCTTTCCACAGATTGGAAGTGGATCCATCGTATTCCGATGACAGGTCGTCCTTCAGACGTTGCAGGGCAGCGGCGAATTGGATGGTAGAAACTAAGGCCAGTCTTGTTGGCTCGGGTTCAGTTGCGCTACCTGATGAGGATGGTCCCTCAATTTGCAGATATGAGCCTGGTGATATCTGGCTCCCAGCGGGGAGTTGACTTCTTTCTTCCTCCCCAGCCACAAGACCTTCGAAAAATCGGTTCCGGTCATCGGGGAAGTTGAGACGGATGGATTGAATAAGGTGGTCAGAGTCTATAGCTATTTCGACGAAGATATAGAGTGTTTTAATCGACGTCTGATCCATGGGCACTAAAAGACCGTTGAGACACGAAGTAATTGACGAAAAGCTACGCACCCAGGCAACTATGTCCGTAATGAATAAGCATATCGCATCCGAGAGCGACTGCAGTGTAGTCATCGACGCAACAAGCGCCATAGGTGACATCACCCATAATGACTGTCAGCGCTGGAGTGAACCTGAAGCGCGGGTGGGGTCAGAACCAGAAATGCGACGACCACCAACTTTTCGATTATATCAGCAATTGTGCAGGCAAACATTTGAAGACCCTCTGGCATCTGTAAAGCGACCATGGTTGCGTTGTTCTTTCGGATCTGGAATATCGTTTTGTGGATCTCCAGTGAATAGTTGCTTGGAAGTTGTGTGATGGCCGCATTGAGGTCAGCATCTTGTAGCAACTCTTGTGGTATCTGGTTGGTCATTGTGTGAACGCCTGGACGAGACGGTGTCGCTGATTTTGTGCCGACATATCGTCTCCGAGGTTTGGCGGCATTTGGAGGGTCAGATGAAGCCATGATGTCACTGTCCGTCACAGCTGAGCGCGTTTAGCTCTCTCTCAAACGCGTGCCCGTCAAGTTTACGTGCCAGCTTGCGCGGCTCTCACCCGACAGCCATGGCGGATTCTCGCCAGGGTCACTGCGCTATGCGCTCCTCTTGTGGTCGCAACGGATTCAAACCCCTTCCTTGTGTCTATGACGGCCCAGCATTTGAGGTGCGTATATCAGTCGAATTAGAGGAATCAATATCTCATAGAGACGCAGCCAGAGGATGCTGAGGCCCGAGAGCTTCTTGTTGATGTTTGCGGCGCCGAATTTGCGGAAGGCAATGTTTGTTGCACGTCTGACCAGCTCCAAGCCCTGGAAGACAACTTCAAACTCGTTGAAGGAGTCATTTCCTCCTGTCCTGCATGTCGGAATAATTTCCGGTCATTCTTTTGCTCATTTACCTGCTCTCCAAACCAAGCAACCTTTGTCAATGTAACCAGAACCCAACAAACGACGCCTGGAAAAAGCGCAGTTAAATCCCTCGACTTTTTTGTCGGCCAGCAGTATGGAGAAGGTTTCTTTGATAGCTGCAAGAACGTTCAATTTGATGCTGCGAACTCGTACGCGATGGACCTCATTGGCGGCGGAGCCAAAAATTATAGCTCATTTCTCAAGTTCATGGGTGACGAGAAACCTCTCGTTGGCAGCCCATTCCAAATGAACTTCCCTATGGGCAGTCCTCCCGAAATTGACGCACTTAATCCCATTGCGCGAAATTGTTATGACAGCGACTTGAGCAGCAGGTGTCCTTGCATCGACTGTCCCTCTATTTGTCCTGCTCTCCCAGATTTACCCCCACCTGGCTCAGAGCCAATCTGTCATGTCGGAGCTATAACATGTCTCTCATTCATCCTCATTCTCGCCTACTCTCTTGCTGTCGCTAGCTTTTTTGCTGGTTATTTCATCCAAACAACTATTCGGCGTCGACGAGAGCTCACATACGAACGCATGGCTCTCTCTGCCGACACTGCCTCCATAACTTCTCCTCGATCACCAACTCGCGGTCTAGTTGGTGCAGCATCCCTTGCTCAATATATTGACGACGACTCTGCTGCTACCCAGTTCGAATCCCGCCATTTAGGCCGCGGTGCATCTCTCGTTGACCCCATCGAGACAGTTCAACCACGACAATATCCTCTCAACAACTTTCTCCGCCGAGGATTCTATCGTCTCGGCTTGGCTACTGCGTCTTCACCTTGGCTGACATTTGCCATCGTTTTCCTTGTCATGGGCTTGCTTAACGTTGGGTGGAAATATTTCGACATAGAAAAGGATCCCGTACGTCTTTGGGTTGCGCCATCTTCCGAAAGTCGTCTTCAGAAAGAGTATTTCGACGAACACTTCGGTCCCTTCTACCGAGCAGAGCAGATTTTCATCACCGCTGTTGATGAAACTGGGGCCGAGAACGAAGAACCAGTGCTTTCCTATGATCGTCTACATTATTGGTTCAACATCGAAGAGGAAATTCGGGCTCTTCGATCTCCAAATGGCTATCGTTTGACGGACGTCTGCTTTAAACCTGCCGGTCCTCGAGGAGCATGCGTCATTCAATCTGTTGGTGCTTGGTTTGGCAATGACCTGAGCGATTATAATGAAACCACGTGGAAAGACAGGCTCGAAGGGTGCGCCAAACAACCGGTAGAATGTCGACCTGATTATGATCAACCCCTCGCTCCTCAATACGTTCTTGGTGGTGTCCCCCAAGATGGCGACACTGAAAAGTATCTGGAATCCAAAGCCATGGTAGTGACATATGTTGTCAGCGATTCGTTGGATCCAAGTATTCAAGCCAAAGCAATGGAATGGGAGGTGACACTTCGTCATTATCTCCAAGAGCTCAGTGAGCGGACCGCTGCCGATGCACAACTTAGCATAGCCTTTTCCACCGGAGTATCGCTAGAGGAGGAGATTAACAAGAGCGCCAACATGGACGTTCGAATTGTGGTTCTATCATATCTTGCCATGTTCTTCTATGTCTCGGTGACCCTCGGAAGTGGTTCCGCAGGGAAAGACGACGAAGGGCTTGTGGCATCCATTGTCCATTGGGCACACAACTTCCCTCGACTTTTCAAAGGCGCAGGCGGGGTATCTTCGTCTGTGTCTATGGACTCGCGCGCAATCCCTCGTTTCTTTCCTCGTCTACCTCGCGCTCTTTTCATTGACTCCAAGTTCATGCTTGGACTCTTCGGAATAGCGCTCGTCATTTTGTCAGTCTCCTCATCCGTTGGGTTTTTCTCTTTTATGGGGGTCAAGGTCACGTTGATCATCGCAGAGGTGATACCTTTCCTTGTTCTGGCTGTCGGTGTCGACAATGTCTTCATCTTGGTGCACGAACTTGATCGTCAAAACTTATTGCATGGCCCAAATGCAGCACCCACTACGCATGGACCTGGTTTTGCGACACCAATCTCCCCTACTTCCAACTCACACAGGTCCCCCTTCGATTCCACTCAAGATGATGTCGATGTTGACGCCGCCTCAATGCCGCTCTATCTGTCTGCAGAAGAGAGGGTTGCGAGGACATTGGCCAAGATGGGACCCTCAATCTTGCTGAGTACAATCACCGAAACTGTTGCTTTTGGACTGGGTGCCCTTGTACCTATGCCCGCGGTTCGCAATTTTGCCCTATACGCCGCTGGCAGTGTTTTCCTAAACGCCGTCTTGCAAGTGACGGTTTTCGTCAGCGCATTACTGCTGGATCTGCGTCGGGTCGAGGTAATCAATATCACATTACGATTCAACTTTTCCTTACGAGTTTTCAGGCCAGTCGGGTTGATTGTTTCCCATTCATAAGGCTTCCGCCTCGAATTCAACTCCTTGATGCCCCAGTTTATGCAGGAGGGCTTGGTCGCATTGCTCGGTTTATCCGACGCTATTACGCGCCATTCTTACTCAAGCCGATAGTAAAAGGAGTTACGCTACTCTTTTTCAGCGGAATTTTTGTCGCCTCCATTATCTCAATGCAACATATAGAGCTTGGCTTAGGTAGGTACTTGGGCCCTCACACCACCAGCGCTCAATACTTCAACAGATGAAAGGCTTGCCCTTCCTTCAGAATCCTACCTTGTCTCATACTTCAATCACCTGGACCGCTATCTAGACGTTGGACCTCCCGTTTATTTTGTGTCACGTGACATAGATGTAACGGAAAGACTGGGGCAGCAAGCACTTTGTGGTCGATACACAACCTGTGACGAACTTTCCATCGCAAACACGTTAGAAGCGGAGCGGAAACGAGCCCAGTCCTCCTTCATCGCAGAGCCAACTGCGTCGTGGATCGACAATTTCTTTGCGTGGCTAGACCCCAACGCGGACAAGTGTTGTCGCGTCCGCAAAACCAACGAAAGCGTGTTTTGCGGCGAACGCGACCCTGACAGTCGATGTCGTCCTTGCTATGAGGATCGACAGCCGCCTTGGAATATCACTATGGACGGATTCCCTGAAAATTCGGAATTTATGCGGTACCTACAACAGTGGTTAATTTCACCGACCAGCGAGGCTTGTCCCGCTGGAGGCAAAGCATCGTTTGGAACTGCTGTTACCATAAATGACGATAAAACTCAAGTCGTTGCGTCGCACTTCCGGACTATGCACTCTCCACTCAAGACTCAGTCTGATTTCATCAACGCGTTCGCTGCTGCTCATCGCATCGCCGATGATATTTCGGAACGGACCGGTGCCTCCGTCTTCCCATACTCCATTTTCTATGTCTTTTTCGACCAGTACGCTCATATAGTGGCCATAACACAAGAAGTACTTGGACTTGGACTTGGAGCTGTGCTATTAGTGACCTCCATCTTCTTGGGCTCATGGCGGACGGGAACGATTGTGACTACCGTTGTTGGGCTTACAGTAGTCTCGGTCATGGGAGTAATGGCTTTATGGGGCATTAGTCTCAACGCCATAAGTCTGGTGAACTTGGTAATCTCCCTCGGCATCGCCGTCGAGTTCTGTGCACATATAGCTCGTGCATTCATGAGTGCTGGGTCTGGGTTGCCTATGGATCACCCCGCGGGTCAACGAGAACGCGATGAACGGATGTGGACAGCGTTGGTAGATGTTGGACCTTCTGTGCGTGGACATTTATCCCTCTTGTTGTTGTTCTCTGATGCTTTTAAACTAGGTGCTTTCCGGAATCACGTTTACGAAGTTGATTGGGATGTCAGTCTTAGCATTAACTCGATCTCGACTGCTAGAGGTGTGCACTATACACGTCCATTGCCGTGCTTGTTGACATCCATTCAGATCTACTATTTCCGCATGTGGCTGACGCTGATTATATCGGGTGCTCTGCATGGATTGGTTCGTTTTTAGCCTCCTACCAAGCCATTCGACTAAGCGCTTCTCAAGGTTCTGCTACCCGTGGTCTTAAGCTTAGCTGGTGGGCCCGGATTCCCTCAGCAGGAGGCTGATGAAGAGTGGATGTCAAATGCTATTCGAAACGACTATGAATATGCGTAAGATTCTGTGTCTTCAATTGCTTACACTAGTACTGACACGGTGTTTAGTCCCTTCCTCGCTGACGATGATTCAATAGCGAGTGACTAAACATGTACACTACTAACTCGATACCATAATCACAAGACGAGAGACAAATTTGCAGTGTCTGCCTTTACTTAGTCTTTGCCACGCGACCTTGATCTTGACCTGCTGTCTCTAATATCGCTCATACTCCGTCTCCCTCGACTGACTGAGCGAGAGCGACTCCGGCTACGACTCCTACTTCTGCTCCTTGTGTACCGCGAATAAGACGAATAAGAGCGAGAACGGGACCGTGATCTGGAGCGAGAACGTGACCTGCTTGAACGCAGTGACCGACTGCGAGAAGGAGAGCGACGACGGTTATATCCTCCCCGAGAGTAGCTTGGAGAGCGTCTGCGAGGGCCAACTCTGTCTTGTGCTCCACGACGAATTGGAGACCGGGAGCGAGAACGGCGATATGTGTCACGTGGAGGAGGTCCACCGCGACGATATGGTCGTCCGCGATACGAGTCACGAGTCCGGGGTGGTGGCTGGCGGCGAAAGCCCGGAGAACGAGAGCGAGAACGAGAGCGCGAAGGCGATCTGACCCTCCGAGTAGGCCGAACGGGGAGGTCGGAAAGCTCGACTTTTATGACTGCACCGTCAATTTGCCCGCCGTTCATATGTGAGGTCGCTTTTGTTGCAGCAGTAGAGTCATTGTACTCCAAGGCAGCTTTGCCTCGATTTTGGCCGGCTACATCCGCGTCAGAGAGTGTGTTCAAATGACATTGTTGGATAACGCACATTTCCCGAATGTTGGCAGGTCGATTTGGACAATATCGCCATAGAACCCAAAAATGGTTTTAAGGTGGGTCTCAGCAACGTTTCGGGTGAGATTGGTGACCACGACGACTCTGGCGCCGGCTTTGTCGACATCCATGGCTGGCGACAGGGATCTGCCGCGCGTGGACATGGTGGTCAGAACGAAAAGGCTTTTCTCAAGTCACGCTCAGAATGCAGTTCCACCAAGTTTCTTTTTGTGGCTGCTTAATTACGGTGTGTACAGTACTTTCGAGCCAGAATCTAGGCAGCACCCGTCTATTCCTCCTCCTCTGCTTGAACGTATTTATGGCGAATGTCTTTCCATTGTTTCTGCGAATGATAGATGAAGCTACGAGAACCCCGGTAGTAGCGGCAAGATAACATACGCCTCGATTCCAGCGGTCGTAAAAGGCGGTGACGCCTGTGTCAAAGCCAATGCCGAATACGACAGCTCCAGCAAAGACAGTGGTTACAAACACGCCTAGTTTTATTATCAGTCTGAGGTGCGTTCTCTTCTAAGACGCACTGTTGCGCCGGAAGAAAGTATTATAAAGGGTAGTCGAGAACTGTACGCTTGTGAGCTATCCATCGGAAAGACACGGGAACTCGAACTTCGTACCGACATGGCGTTGGGTGGAAAGATGTGTCACGGCTGTAACGCTTCTCTTTCTATGTTTGCTGCACTCCGCTCTTCGTTGCGGAGGGTACGTCCCCGGCTAACGTCGAAACGTATCTTGGGTGCTAGATACTCAAACTGGTCGCCTGAAAATTCCCCTATTCAAAGTCACTCATGGGAACAACCAGAGACGTTGCAGGACATGATGGGACCCGTCGTTGAGGACATGTTAGAGGAGTCAGAGTCGGAGTCTGAGGATGAAGGAAGAGAAGAAGAAGATAGGGAGGGAGCTTTGGGAAAGTGGAGGTATGGCGCGCATGAAACTCTAGTCACCGCTCCCGCCCACCGACTTCACTGCCATTCAACCCGAACCAATACCATAAACACCTTCACTGACGCCAATGGTGCTATCATCGCTTGGTTCTCTGGTGGGTCTTGCGGATTCAAAAAGCGCAACCGCTCGACATACGAAGCTGGCTACCAGTGTGCTATTCGCATGTTCGAAAAAATAAAAACCCACGCAGCGAAAGAAAAAGACTTCAGGGTCGATCTGTTTGTGAAGGGCTTCGGTCAAGGACGCGAGGCGCTGCTCAAATCGCTTGCGACTGCCCAAGGCGACGATGTTCGACGTTATATCACTTCCATTACCGACCGAACGCCCATTAAAATTGGTGGTACGCGTTCTAGAAAGATGAAGCGGAGATAGGTATGCTGCCATTCTACTCTCTGTTGACCTAGTCTCATCTCTCCAAGAATCTAGTCTAAACCCACCCATGTCTAATTGAAATGCGCATCCTCACTAAATTTACTATACCCGGGTCTATCCAACGAATTCAACGCGACCTGTTTGTCGACTTCAATGTCGTCTATCAACGCCTCTGGAGAAGCAATGTCACCAACCACACTGTGACCGCAATGAGACATACCGCGCGATGTGTAGCGTAACTCGGGTCGAATGTACCCGAGAACAACCGCCTTCATCTCATAGCCATAAAAATCCGAGGCAAAGTCATGCATGATGTGGATTTCCTATGATTGCTTGAGTTGGCGCAGCTAACATTGCTATGACTCACCGCCGTGAGTTTCTCGTTGTTGTAATGAGGATTCCAGCCTAGACTCATGACCATTGGGTGTACTTTTATGTCTTCCGCACTAAGCTTGCTCTCTGTTTGAGGCAGGACTTGTGCATATCCATAGTAGATGCCTGTCTTGGTTACAGAACTCATGGGGGTGAATGACTCGTCGGGTAGATTGGCTTGAAGAAATTGAGCTATTAGATTTCAACAGCTCACGCTTACCAGTGGGACAACCGAGATCTTTGCTACCTCGCCCAAAACCTTTTTGCACGGGTCCCGATAACAGAATCGGGAATGGTGATTCGGGAGCATCTGGCCCAACGATCTGAGGCCTGGAAAGTCGAAATTGACTGGTCTGTTGAGGAGCCTCTGGTCGTTGAGGAAGCTGGGCAATTTCCTGGGCGGTGCTCATTGGAAACGACGGACGCGGAAGTGAAGGTAATGCTGAATCATCCTCTCCGACCGGACCGATTATTTTTGGTCCGAGGGAGACCTGCCTATTTTGGATTCGTGGTGTTGACTCCAGGCCACCATGGCCAATTTCTATGCATACCAACCACCCATTCCAGCAGCCGTCCCTTACAATTCTTTTGCTCCATACACGCCCCAACCGGCACAGTATACTCCTCAACCACCGTATTCACCACAAATTCCCGGTTACCCACAAAGCTACTTTCCAGCTTACAATCTCCAACCCACAAAACCACCCACCCCTCCTCCGCAAGACCAGCTACCAGCGCCTCCAGACTTGACATCGATCACTCCGGCGGTCGCTAAAGAAACAATCCGACGAGTGCTCGTCTCGGAATTGAGCGATGCGGGTTTCTCTTCATCAGACGCGCAAGCCTTAGACCGCCTGGAACGCGATGTTGTTGCGTGTAAATCCGCGTTCTTTTCTAGTTAAGACATATAACTTAACCCGTTCTAGTCATCCAACGGCTATACGAGCGGGCACACCAATACGCAAACCTCTCCAACCGGTCTGGGGCAATTGCGACAGACATGATACTCGCCTGTGAAGAGCTGGACATCGTCCCAGAGAAGCTCAGACCGATGCGGTCCAAAATGAAGCGCAAGAAGAAGAGCAAAGGTGCGTCATTGTGAGCCTGACCATAGCTGCTAATGTTCACAACAGAAGTACCTGCCGTCCCCAGTCTGCTTCCAGCTCGCTCTCGATCCCCCTCTCCAACACGGCTGCCTTCAGATGACGAAGTCGCACCGATAATACCTGTAACCCTTCGTGGATTGCCACACTCTACCCCCAAGATTCCGCCCAAACACACCTACTTACGAACGCCGGTGCGTGATGAATTTGTTACATTCTTTTGCGAAGCCAACAGACTTCTAACAGGCCTCACCTCCAAAACGAGCCGCCATACCTACCCTCGAAAAGAAGTTGGAGACGGCCGGCCTGGTACAAACTTCTTTAAAAAACCTAATGGTGGCCACGGCAGATGCGAAAGGCCAGGAAGAAGGAGAATTGCTTGGACATATCGTCAATTCAGAGACGGCCATTCATCCGCGCAAGAGGTGGAAGTTGACTCAATCTTCCTCCCGCAAGTCTCGAAACAGACCTCGCACTTCTATCGCTAGTTGACGCGTTTGGGCTCTTTGTATCATATATTGTGTACTACTTATCAAAATGCCTGGATCGTCGTTATGAAGGTCCTGGCACATTTGAAGAATCTGGTAATAGTGCGGTCTCGTGATCGACTTCACTGAGTTCACTCTCTGGTCTTGTCCGTTCAGGTTGAGACTCGAATTCGGGGGGCGCTGCCCTTTTCGTCCCTCTTCGTAGAGGCTTAGGCTTAGGACGCGATGCCGGTGGGTTTTCAACAGAAGCGGTATCCGTTGTTGTCGTTTTCTTGGAACGACCCCGTGGTTTTTTAGGTGGTGGAGGGTTGGGCACCTGCTCGTCTGATTGAACAGTAGTGATAACGTTTTTCCTCCCCCGACGAGGTAGTGGAACAGTTGGTCTTTCTTCGAGTTCCGGGTCCTGCGCTTGCTGTACGACATCGTTCGAATTGGCAGAAAGCGAAGGAGATTGTTGAGGGCCAATACCTGAGCTATGCAGCTCTTTGGCACGAAGTTGACACTTGAAAAATATTAAGCAAACCTCACAGTAAAAAAGACGAGTGACTGACGTGTTTGGCCGGGCGCCCAAGTTGTACACCGATATCTTTCCACTTCTTACCCAGCAACCCTATAGCCTCGAGCAGTTTCTGATCGTCTTCTTCTGACCACTCTGTATCTTTTGAACCTTTCTCGAATGCATTCATCCAACGTTCTCGGCATTGTTCATTATTCCTTCCTGGTACTGCAGTCGCGACTTGAACCCACGATTTACCGAACCCAAGGACGGCTGCTTTTAATCGCTTGTCCTCTTCTGGTGACCATGTTCCCGAGTGCAAAGCAGGGTCAAGAGCGCGATACCAATGACTAGAGCACTGTGAAGCCATTACGGCTGGCGAAACATGTTTGGCGACTACAGGCCAGTCAGTTGGAAAGCTCGTACTAATTCTCTAAAAATTTACCAAGCGCCCAGCATTGGCCATAGCGACCGACTGCGTCAATCATTCTCTGGTTCATTTCGTCCGTCCAGGAAAAGGGCGGACGTTGCAGTCCCTGACGAAGACAGTCTATCGGCAGACGGTTTGTCTGACACTTGATAAGCAGTCATCAGAAAGAAGATAAAGCCCAACCCCAAGATCTTTTGCTACTTGCACCCAATCGATTTTTGCATTCCCTGGTATTTTCTTCAGGATGCCTTCCAAGGCTGCGACTTCAAAGCTGCTCCACTGCTCACGCCTAACTTCGGGACTAAACTCGCCAATCCACTTGATTTTACATTCGATTGCTGTTCGAGTTGTACTGGATAAGTCTGAAACCTGCGAAGTTTGATTTACAGAAGAGATTTGGTTGGGCGGGCAGTTACCTTTTCCGCGATAGCTGCCCAGTTGAGGCTATCTACCGTAGAGGTCCCCGAAGAGCTAAGCTTACGCATGAGCAGTGGAGAGGTTTCTTCATTTGGACTTACTTTCCGAGCCGTTCGACTCGTTTCCACTCTACGCCGACCGCCGTCCTCAATGCATCGACCTCTTTGGCAGATGATACTAAATGACCTCGTTAGAAAGCTGGAAAGACATGTAGTTGCGTTGTGTACTAGGATGTCGCGTCGTAAAATTCAGATAGCGCGTTCGTTTGGCTGCATCGTCGTGAAACGGAGAGTCCTTGCTGTGAGTTAGAGGGGTAGCATATAGTTCTTGGGAGAATTACGGGATGAAGAAAGTTTTTGACGGGCCAGGTTGGAGGTGCGGAATCGGCGATGTAGAAGTCACAATCCAGGTTCTCTTCGTCTTCTTGAATGTCGATTTGAGGCTGCTGTCGGTCAGATCCAATCGAAACGTGGGGGTAAAACACACCAGAAGTTTGTCTAATTCAGCTAGTTCATCCTCTAGACGTTTCGCCTGGGCCGCGAGATTATACTGATGTCGTTGGTTCGCATGGAGGGCGTTGACAGCAAGGTCTTTCGCGGACATATGTCGGGGGCGTGACCGTGACTCCCTCCTTTCTCCAAAATGGCCAACGCAGCGGCCAAAAAAATCGGTCAGACCGCTCTGCTTGTGCCGCGCGACGCGTTCTCACTTTTTTCAGCAAGCCAAAATGAGGCTACTGTAAAGACCCTGAAACTGGGGATGCTTTTGCCAACTATTCTGTCCCTCATTCTGCGTTTCCTCTTTCGCAGATCGTCTCTGCCGCCTTCCAAAGGCTCGCTCTTCCTCTACACGGCTACATTCTTTCCTGCCTTCTTCCTATCTAACTATCTCATCAAAATTGGCACAACAAGACGGGACCCCACAACAGGCACATTAATATCTTTTGGTGAAGATCTCAGCCAGCCTGGCGTTATCGAATGGTGCTTTGATGTCCTCTACATTACCTGCAAGTCAAGTGCTGCGTGGTATTCAAATTTACTGACTTCTCTCCTGCAGGGCTTTGCCAAATTGGATCTGGCGCGTTTGGCGAATGGTTCTGGTGGTTCTACATGGTGGTATGGTTGTCTATTTTGGGGGTGGGTGGTATGTGTTGAATGCCTCCTATTTCAGATACCACTATACGCTATCTTCAAGCTATGGACATCATTCATCTCCCCTATGGTCTTTGGAAGGTCCTCGGCCCCACCAGAAGAATCGACTCCACAGGAATCAACTAGCAAACGACAGGAGAAGCTGCGCAAAAGGAATGAACGTGGCGACCCGCGGGTTCGTGCTCAGACTGTCAAGAGATGATTCTGCGTTTTTGCTGGTGTACAAACTTTTGCTATCGACATACAATTACAAGTCACAAGATAAACATAAGCAAATCAAGGGAAGCTCGTCTCGGCTTTATCCGACGCGTCACCAGCGGTGCTGGAGTCTGTCGTTGCTGACGTGATTGGATGTTTGAAGGTTATTGGCTTCAAGCGACCGTCTTCAGCTCGGGACTCGATGGCAGCTGATCCCCCAGGAACAGTCAGCTTGAGGGTGTTAAGTTGAACCTCTGAGCGAACTGCGAATGTGCTTCGGACATTGAGCCTGTGAACCATCAGCCAGAATATTGTCAAGCTAAATGAGGCCTGACGTCGCAAGGACGGAGTTGACATAGACTGCGAGCGTTCAGTTGAGCAGATGAACGAACTGGAGACAGATTACCCACGTTTGCCGACCACCTGGTGGAACGGTTGCCAATAAGTCCGGCCGGGGAACCCGACATTTGTAATCAAGAAAAGAATTTGGGCAATGCTGCTCAAGAGTTAGAGGATCGTCAAGAAGGCAAAGACAATAACGGACGCGGTGAGGGCCCCTCGACTGACAGCATAAACCATGAGAGTGTCGAGTAAGCCATTGGTGCTAGGAAGATCCCCACGTCGGCGTCGCAGGTAATAACAGAGACTGGCGGTGATGACAACATCGTCGAGGGCGGCAAAACTCTGCACACAGGCGCTGATGACGGCGAATTTGTGCGTGCTGACAACAGCCAGAGGTTTGTCGAAAATCTGTTCAGTTGTCCAACAGCCAAGCGCGAGAGCAGCAAGAGCCAAAGCCATCTATAAACGTAGTCTTAGGTCGTGTGTTAAAGATGATCAACCACGTACAATGAATGCGGAGGTGAGTCTGTGAGAGGTGGCTGGCAATCTTGTGAGAACGAGAGGATTTAGCTGCAACCGACACACCTTTGTAGATGGTGTGGGCATAGAAGCATTGCGCCACAAAGGTCGTAAAAGTCACCAAGAATTTTTCCACCTGTTGCAGACATTGGCTACTGATACTAAGAGCTTTTTAGTTCAACGAACCGCGAAACTCCTTGAATGCGCGGTAAGCACTTTTAAAACCAAGTTTCGATATACTCACCATGGAATCTAGCCAAGGATAAGCAAGTACTCGTTGTGTTTTAAAAAATGACGCATACTTCGAGACTTTTCAATGGGGTGTAGTAGTTGAAGACATGGTAGCTTGTTTGGGCATGAGTGGATAATATGAAAGCTGATGCAGTTTCCTACGTGTAAAGCGAATGGCTAAAGAGCGTCAGTGAGGAGATATGGCTACTGCTTAGTGCACACACCAAACAAACATGGTGCCGCAGGTATCAACCGCACTAGAATAATCAGTGTTGGGAAAGCTTTCCAATTTTGATATTTACAAGAGCAATGCGACCTGATAACCGGTGAAGGAGCTGGAGCAAGACGATAGAGCGACTTACAGTCAGCTTGAGAGCAAGTCTGTCCTTCGGGTACGCCCGATAGTAGAGATAGACTTCGAATAGAAGTTAGTCTAGGCACGGGCGGGAGCGTGTCTGACGGACCTTGCAACACGGAGATTCCGTAGATGCTAGTAGTGATTGACGATTAAGCGAATCTCCACAAAGGGACAATGTAAACTTACGTCGTCGCGACCGCAAACCCGATCTTCAGAAACTTTTAGGGACGCGTGAGAGCGAGGGAGCAGGAGAGCAACACACCAAGCTTGTCGCGTAGAGCTGGATAACCGCATCGTTTTCGGCTTTTAAAAGGGCGGCAGACATAGTGCCCAATGTTATGGGGGAGTGAAAAAAGTTGCTCGTCCACGGTGGTCGTGTTTAGCCGAGTCTTTGTAGAGAATACGATGGCTGTGTTTTCGAGTTCGGCGGCCAATAGGCTTCACAAGGAAAGTCGAGAAGAAAGATGGATGTCAAAAGATGGCGCCTGAAGTTGGCAGATAGATAGAGAGCTACATGGTCATAAGAGACAGGTTGGGTGGGAGCAAGTGGCACGTTTGTGCGGACTTTGGTGGGGACTTTGTCAACAGTCAAGCTCCCAAACATTGGCAGGTACTGCAGATGATCATGAACTTCAGCAAGGTAGCGGGAAGATTTGCTGTGATACCAGGACAAGGTAAACAGGCTTCCTCCAAGTGAATCTTGTCGAAATGAAGGGTAAGGCAACCCGAGCAAGCCAAAACCAAATGCGCCGAATTTGCCGGCGCCGCGATCATCCCGCCCTTGATGATGTCCATGAGCTGAGACATACACGCACCCTTCGCCCTTTGTTTCCTCCCTTTCTTCTTTCACGGCGCTGAGGCTCTCCTGACTTTCACGGATTTGCTTCCTATCCTTCTTATGCGACATGTCTGACGGTACTAATACCACCACCGCTTCCCCTCCTCCTCTACCCAAAGGCGCCATGGCTTCAACAATCCCTTCTCTCTCTCTATCCTCCCCAGTTTCTCCCACTCCGAAACGACCAGCCGTATGCCTATTTTCTCCTTGCCAGTTATGTCTGCTGAATATTGATGATGCAGAATTCGTCTCAGGCTCCCAGTCCTCCTGCTACTCCCTCTCAGCGACTTCTCGATTCAGAGGCAGGCCATGTTCAATTCGCCAGCTATCCAGCGACCCCGGACGAGAAAACAAGACCGCTGGTGGGAGACGATTTACCGCCTGGTTGGACCCCAGCGCCGTTGCGAGGCTGGTATGCTATCGCACTGATTGTTCTCCTCGTCTGCCTTGCCATTGCCTTGGAAATTGCCTTCCACTTCACTAACAAGAACAACGGCTGGAAGACACGCGGGGATGCGACCAACGTGACTGGCCCGATGCATTATGTCTATGTACGCCTAGTCCTCGCCAAATCGCCTCTCGCTAACATTGGCCATAGACACTTCCTCCTGTGATCGTTGCCGCTGTGGTCTGTCTCCCACATCATTGTTACTGGGAAAGACTGACCCAAACATAGATCGTGGCTCTCTGGACTTGGACCGATGTTGAGATCAAGAAGATGCAGGTATGTGGCGCTTTCCTGACCAATGGCTTCATTCTCCAACTACGGCAGCCCTACGTCGATCTGGCGCGCGGAGATGCCCCTCCCCAAAAAAAGTCTTCTTTTGGATTACACGCGACACAGCAATTTCTTCGTATGGTCGCACGCGCTGTACAACAGGCATTGGGTTGTGCGTATCGCTTTCCCGGAACAGTTCTCAATGCTCAGTCGAGGATTTTTTAGGTCACGGCTGCCTCTGTCATGGTTCTTGTGACGTTGGCTTTCCAGCCTCTTGCTTCAGCTTTACTCAATGTCAAGAATACTTGGTTCACTCTTGAACCTTTCAATGTCAACACTGTTGCGACTGTTGGTTTGAACCAGAGTTCCGAGTTTCAGGATCTGACAAGTGCGTAAACCGTCCGGGGTCATTTATTGTTGTTCATATTACAGTTAGTTTTCCTTACTGCTGCTGGCTATGCATCAGCCAGTGTTGGTTATAACCTTCCTGAACCGCCGTTTGTCTGGGAGGATTATACTGTTACCCCCTTCGAAATTCCTTACAACGTTGCGAATAATGGCACCTTACTCGCCAATGTCACTGTCGTCAAAACTAACACCAATTGTGTATCGGTACCCGTGACCATGACCAACCACACGGACGGAAGTGGTTGGACGAATACCTTGTCGCAGGGCGGTTGCTCTTTTTCCTTCGTTGTCGACCATAGTGCACAGGATCTTTTTGGAACAAGCACTGCTAATTGCGGGGGTTCTACGCCACCACAATTTCTTCCTACGATCTTCTGGTTCTTCTCTTACGTCCCATCTCCCAAATCATCGGCGACATATTGCACACCAACTATCTCATTAGTTGACGCGCTAGTCACTCTTGATCTTCGCAGTGGAAATGTTACCAATGTTCGTGAGTTGCGACCTTTCAATGCGGCTACCTCCAAATTCGGCTCTTTGGCTGGGAATCTCACTGGCGACCCACTCAACGGACGGGCGTATAATGGCATCAATTTCACTCTCAATAATCCAGACAAGTTTGTTACAGGTACCGATTTCCGCTTTCAAATTCATTCACTAAAAATGGTTCTAGCGAGGATGAACGCTATCGCACTGACGATGCCTGCAGCCGTCTATCAGGCGGCCGTTCAAAGTTCGCAAGGTGTCCAGGGCACCTTTGCCTCTGATAACTTTGTCCTATGGTCCAATGCAGTCTATGTGGGTGTGTACCCATGCTGATCTTTCTTATCTGACTCGGTTATAGTCAAAATACCTCACACTTGTTGCCAAAGCCGTCTACTTTTTGGATAATCGAGAACCTGTTTCGGTCCAGATTAAGACGTTCGAGCTTCGTCTATGGATGAGGTGTGTTATCAGCTTGATAAGAACTATTGAGGCTGGAACAATCCTTAGCGAATTTGCAGTGCATGCCCTGGCTGCACTATTTTTCCTGCTCGCGATCGTAGCCGCTGTGATTCATGTATTCCACCGTTGGGAACGACAAGGTCAGCTTGGAGTCTACTCGGCCGCGGGACAGTCAACTAAAACTTGACAGATCTCAATCTGGTTCATCAACCTGGAACAATCGCGTCCGCAGTAGCTGTTGGAGCTGAGACTGGAATGGGCCAGTTACTCGCGCAACAACGAGACCCCGAAGGAATCCGACAAGCATTGGCGGATAAGAAATTCAGGATAGACCCTTATACGAACAAGATCGTAATGGTCGGGGAGGCTGGGTATGATGCAATGGGAAGTCCGACGGACCGTAGATTAAGTGTGTTTGGCGCTATGCAAGGGAAGCGGGCGTCGAGAAGGTTATCGAGAATCCCGGGGTCACCAAAGTCACCACGCACGCCTCAGAGTAGTGGTGGTGTTTAGTCGCACACAACTTGTTATTTTATTTTAGGCTACTTGCTGCATCACACTTCTTACTTCTGACATGACCGCCGCGGTGGACAAGAAAAGCATCAGACTGTCGGTATCGTCGCGGTGGTATACGGTGCCATTGGGCGCTGTTGCGGTTGGGGCAATAATTGGATTAAACCGAGGAGCCAAGCTGGCTTCGCTTAGGTTCCTGGCGGAGAATGCACACCGAACTCCAACGACGCAAAAAGGATGGTACTACTACCATAAAACAAAAAATTATCGGGTCATACTAGGGGCTCTACGTGGCGCGGGGAGAGACGGAGGGTATCTTGGCCTGGTCTCGCTGGGGTGGGTGACTATTGAAGAGGGCCTGGAAAGAGTGGGCTGGGGCAGAATTGCAATGACTGGGGCCGGAGTAGGCACAGCCGGTATTGTTTGCGGTCTTTGTGAGTGCAAAAGCGTGAATTTTGCTGTTTGACTAAAGTCCGGATTAGATGGAGCTGGTGTTAGGTCGAGCATCGCGTTAGGATTAGCGGGAGGGGGTTTCTTGGATGCGATACGGTATATAGCTGCTGACCAAAGCTGATCAAGACGAGTGGAGCCCCAATGGACAGAACTTTCCTTGTCTTATCCTCCCATCGTCATCGTTGTCCACTTCGTTCTGCCCTCCCCAGAATGCTACAATTCTGGCCCTCCACTCCGCTAGACCAGCTGACGCCTAGAGCGTCAGCGCAAGAAACAAACCCGTTTGACGTGATGCCTAACCACCCGCCTCGGTCTCCTACTGCCTACCATCATCTTTTGAAGACTCCCACTGGAGGAGCAGAAACACCGATAGCATCTCCGTCGACGTTAGTGGCAATGTTCTTTGCTTTACTTTGTAGATCTAATATAGGCACAGCGGGTTCGTTTCGGCCCTGCCCACCACTTCCGTTACACTCTCTGCCCCCATATTTTCAATGCCCAAAGCACCACCCGCCAAACGCTCTGTTGCTCCCTCTTCTTCCGCAACTTCATCCTCCCCTTCTGGCTCGTCATCCAAGGGCCAGATTCACGTCAAGTTAATACAGGCCCGGGCTCTCAACGTCCGTTCGACAGCCAAACCCTATGTCGTTGTCCAATTCGAGCAAAATGAGTTTGTCAGCCGCGACCCGACTGGAGAATCGGACAAGGAGATCAAAGGCACTCCTACTTCCCTCAACACATCGTCCGCCATGACTGCTCTCAACGACATCGGGACCAAGGCTGCTGCTGCCGAGGCTAACAGGCGAGGAAGTCGGGGCAGTGCGAAAAGTAACAACTCCTCGCCCGCATCTTCTGTAAAACCAACCTCTACCTTATCCAATGGCCTATTTGGCTCCATCTCTGCTACCAACCCAGTCTGGAAGCATGAAGTATCATTGTGCGGGCACCCATCTACCCTCTCAATTCAACGTGGCGCTAACTGCTCCACAGCGATGTTACCTCCGAAGCATCTGTAATCACTTTCAACGTCTACGACCGCTCTGCCCTTGAGCACGGTTTCTTGGGGACTGTCCAAATCAAACCTGTTCTGATACACGACCACACGGTTGACCAATGGTACAAGTGCGTCACCCCAACTATTTTTTTCCGGCCCGAGATCCTGACTTTCGCGGAGGCTCCTCCCATTCGAAAACGAGGTTGTAAGCGGTGAGATGCGTGTCCAGATAACATATGAGCAAAATCGAGTGCGTGATCCGACGCGCTGGCTTCTTGTCGCAATGTACTCACGACCGTCGGTTATAGACCAAGCGAGCGTTGACCCCACGGGATTTCGAATTCCTCAAGCTTATTGGCCGCGGAACATTCGGGAAAGTCTTCCAAGTGAGGAAACGCGATACCAAACGAATATACGCCATGAAGGTCCTTTCCAAGAAGGAAATTGTCGCCAAAAAGGAGGTTGCACACACAATCGGCGAACGCAAAATTCTACAAAAGTCCCTCGAATCACCCTTCCTCGTCGGGCTGAAATTTAGCTTCCAGACGGACACAGACTTGTACCTCATCACCGACTTTAAGAGTGGAGGCGAGTTGTTCTGGCATTTGCAACGGGAAACGAGGTTCACGGAAGAGCGTGCGCGGTTCTACATTGCTGAGCTCATTCTGGCCCTTGAGCATCTCCACAAGTATGACATTGTGTATCGGTAAGCCCCGGTGACAGCCGACTGCTGTTAAATCTGCTGACCTTCCTTCTTTTATTTTTAACAGCGATCTTAAACCAGAAAACATCCTCCTCGACGCCACGGGTCATGTTGCACTCTGTGATTTCGGTTTATCTAAGGCCGATCTCCGGTCCGACCAACTCACGACTACTTTCTGTGGCACAACAGAGTATCTGGCTCCAGAAATGCTCCTCGACGAGCTTGGCTACTCCAAGCTCGTCGACTTCTGGTCACTGGGTGTGCTGCTATTCGAAATGTGTTGTGGCTGGAGCCCATTCTACGCTGAGGATACGCAGCAGATGTACAAGAACATCTGCTTCGGCAAGATCCGGTTCCCGAAGGGTGCGATTAACGAGGACGGGAAGCAGTTCGTGAAATGCGTATGTCTCCTCCGTTATCGCTTAATCATGGTTCCTCATGCTTTGTCATAGCTTCTGAACCGTAATCCAAAGCTCCGTTTAGGTGCCCAGCGTGACGCCGAAGAACTGAAAGAGCATCCTTTCTTTGCCTCTCTAGACTGGGACGCGCTTGCCCGGAAGCAGGTCACGCCCCCGTTCAAGCCAATTGTCGAGTCAGACGAATCGACTGCCAACTTTGACGAAGCGTTCACCTCTGCTGATCTTCACGAAGTTGGCATTGACGGTATGGATATCGATGAGAACGACCCTTCTGAAGACTGGGTACTCGCTGGGTCGCTAAGCCAACACCATCAGCCAAACGGGCCCCTCGGGAGCGAACGGGAGGGACATTCCGCGTCTGCCAGTCCGACACCGGGACAAAACGGAGCGTCGCTATCGCGGCAGAGTTCGACGAATAGAAATGGGAACGGAACTGGGCCGCGGCCCAAGGCGGCGGGGATCGACATCAAGCCCAAGAAGAAGAAGGTGGAGGCGGCGGGGAGCCCGCTTACCAACAGTGTGCAGGAGAATTTCCGTGGGTTTACGTATTCAGGAGGGGAGAGCGTGACTGCGCCTGGGGGTATTCTTGCCATGCGGGCAGCGACCAAGACACCTGACTCGGGCGAGGACAGCACAAATAATACTGAGGACGAGTTTGAGGACCCATCGAAGCCCGCTGGACGCTATGCCCATAAGCGTAGGAAAGGTGCCGTGTCTTTTTTTTCTAGCTGGGTAAAAATCTGACTTGTTGGCAAGGACTGGGGTTTACTGGCCTCGAAGATGAATTTTGAGACTTTTTTTTAATATCTCGCCATTTGTACCACCACGGACATCGCTTGCCTGTACCATAGTGTGTTGCTTCACGAAACCTGGAATTAACCACATAACGTAGAGAATAGTGTAGTAATATCTTGAAAGATGTAGACTTTTTGTGTGATTAGAGGTTCTGCTACACTACCAGTCATGCAAAGTGGGGCATCCAGGCCGCGAGATATTCATCCCGCCTCTAAGTAAAGTGGGGAGTACCTAAAAAGAAGGTTAGTGAGAAAAGGAACCGGAACAAGGGTGCAGCACTACCAAACCACCCAGGATGGTGTTTTCGACGATCGATTCGACTTCATGCGTTGACACGCGCCCATACCAGATGCAGGACCCTGATGGGAGATAGAGTACGCAATTGCCCGAAAACTGTTGGTCCGCTGTCAGAAGAGGCTCCCCAAAGCTTTCAAACGCACCTTGTGACCGCCGATGTGCGAATTCCTCAGAATTAGTGCTTTTCGCGTGGCCGGGAGTGCGCGCAATTCGTCTGCGATGTGACGCTCCTTCGCCTCCGCTGACCCCGAGAATTTTTCTAGCGGGGGGTCGACGATGTGTTCTAGCTGGGTATGTGCTGTCCACCCTTTGCCTTCCAGCGACCGAATGAATGCGTTTTCGAGTTTCGGCGCCGAAATCGCACAGCGGTTGTCCCTGCGCTTGTGGGAGCCTGTGAATTGCTCGGCACTTGTCTGATAAGATGGGAGTAAAGAAGAACCCACACAGCAGGATTACGCAAGCAAAAGGAAGCACGTAGCTCGAGAAAGCGCTTCTTTCGGTCGTCATTCCGTGGCGCGGTAATGACGCGTCTAAAACAGTCCGCCAGAGCTCGGGCGCGTCGGCGGGGCGGACGCCAACGACCATTGTGTAGTCGGGCAGCACTAAGACTGTGTGCTCTTCTTCTTCGACGGAAAGCGTTTTGTGGCTCCCATTCAGAATAGACAGCCGTGTGGAATCTGACGATGTGAAAACTCCGGGTATGCACTGGCCCGCCGCTTTTTCGTCCAGCTCGATGGAAATAGGCTCCGGCGCGGGTGTGGGTGGCTGGGAAAGGGCAATCGACGCGGCGAGCGAGTCGGGCGTGTCAGTGATATTGAAGTCCCAGTCCGACTTGCCGGTGGATATAACGATCTGGAGAGGAATCAGAAATAATGTAAAGCGAGATGCTTGTGTTGGCGTACCTGACGTCGGAATGGTTTCATTGACCCGAGCAGTGTGGAGTCGTAGTCGATGGTGAACCGCCTTGGGTACTCGGAGTGGCCTAAGAGAAAACAGATGCAGCCAAGGCGAGGAAGGGGGTAAAACAACACACCTTCTTCACAAGGATTTGAACAGCTGCGACAGTCGACGGTGGTTATTGGGATGCCTGAGGCGGAGAGGGAGGTATGAATGTTGTGCGGTTCAAGTTCAGACTCGCCCAAAACGAGGGCCCTTAGTCTTCTAAGACTCATAGCGGGGAAGGCATGGAGTGGGTGGTGGTGGGGAAAAGGGAAAAATTATCTTATAAGATACACGCATCAAAAGTTCCCACGCCCACGGAATCTACCACCGCGTTGGTTAATAACCCGTTATACGCATCGCGTTCTAGATGGGACCAGCTACAAAAACCAATGCATCAGCCGTGATGGACGGTCAAGATGGGTATAATTATACTCGCTTTCAGTCGTCAGAAATCACCCTTGGGGTACCCCCGAGTACTCTCTTCCTTCTCTTCCACTTTTTCGTCCTCCAGTGACTCCAGGCCAGGATAAGCCAAAACCGCCTCCGTCGCCCTGAATGCATCTATGCCATATAACGCCTCCACAACTTTGACATCCCTTGCTGCCGCCCTGTTACTCCAGCCATCCTCTGGCGCAGTGGGCCGCTCTTGTGGGTACCACTCTGTCACCGGCGACTCCTCCTTCCGTGCTTCAAGCATCATCTCAAGGTCCTCATAACTCAACGGCTCCTCAAACGACCCAATGCCCAAAAACGCCTCGTCGATTTTCGCGTCCAAGTTTTCCTTCGTGACGAATGTTTGGGACTGGTGGTATATCGATATGAGCGCGCGCATTTTATCTGGCGGCAGCGCGGTCGACGTCAGCGAGCGTCGTGCAGCGGCAGCTCGTCCCGCTGCAACTGCCCGGAAGAGTGTTCTTGAAAACATATTGATGCGATCAGTCACGAAATGTCACGGTTATGCGGTCAAGCAAGTGAATGATAGAAGAGTTACATAGTTCAACTACAAATGTGCCTTTTTAATTCCTGCTTTGGTAAATAACGCGTCCTCCATCTTAGCACGTGTCGCCGCCTGTTTGTGGAGTTCTGGGGCCCGTTTGAGCTCCCGTTGTCCGACTTGTTGGAGATGGACTGCATCCGGGCCCTGCAAAAATGAGCCTTTCAGCAAAAGGGAAAAAAACACTACTCACATCCGCAATCCTGAGCGTGCGCAAGTTGGACCACATCTCTGCGAGGTGCTGGTCCTGTGAAAGGCCCTCCGCGCCAAACGCCTGCATCGCACGGTCAACAACGGCCAGCGCCAATGACGGGACAACAAACTTGGAAAAAGTCAGAATAGATCGGCCGAACACAACAAGACTTACTTTGGCGATCCCGATTTCCTTCAGCGCGCCTTTAGCCTGGTACGTGTCGATTTGGAGCGCGGCGCTGAGCACGAGCATCCGAGCCGACTCGATTTCTGCCCGTGACTGGGCAATTTCGGCGATGACCGATCCTAGAAATTGTTTCAGCGACTGGTCTATTCGTGCAAGGCCAAAACAGACCATGCTCGTAGAGGTATTTGCCGAATGTCTTGCGCGACGGGTCGGTCACACGACGGAGCATCGTATCAAGCGCCTCTGAGGCAACACCAATACTCCGCATGCAGTGGTGAATGCGACCAGGGCTGTTGTAACAACATTACTTTGTGGGTCCATAAAACACGAGCAAACATACCCCAGACGTCCTTGGATAATCTGCGAATACTAAGTTGGCGAAAGAGGGGCAAACTATTGACCCACCTCAAAGCCCTTGCCCCAGCCGAGAACCAAGTTGCCGAGTGGCACACGGACATTGTCGTATATGACCTCACAGTGGCCTTCTGGAGCGTCGTCGTAGCCCATGACAGTCATGGGCCTCACAACTGTTATGCCAGGCGCGTCAGCCGGGACGAGCACAACACTTTGCTGGTTGTAGGCGCTTTTGTTGCCGGGGTCACTCTTGCCCATGACAATATGCAGCTTAGTACGGGGGTCACCAGCACCGCTAATATACCTGTAAAGAAATTCAGTGAGAGTTGCTCGAGACAGACATTCCCCACCATTTGTGCCCGTTAATCACAATCTCGTTGCCCTCCCGGCGAATCGAAGTGCGGATATTGGTCGCGTCAGAAGACGCAACTGCAAGCACCAGTCAACCCAGAGAATTTACGAAACCCATGACACGCACCGCCCTTTTCTGTCATCGAAAAGGCCGACCGTATCTCGCCGTTAAGGAGCGGGATAAGCCACTTCTTCTGCTGTTCTGGCGTGCCATACTTGGCCAAGACCTCTGCAAGACGTATTAATTGATGGCGGGAAGGCGGCTACAGAACTTGCCCATGTTGCCCGTGTCTGGCGCAGAGCAGTTGACAACCTGTGACGCAATATGTCCCCCTCGGCCAAGCAGCTCAGCCATAACCGCATACTGCAGAGAGTTTAACACCACACCAGCCTCACTCGATAAAACATACCTCGAGATTGGTCAGCGGCACGCCGTACTCAGGATAGTGTGCCTTGCTCAAGAACAAGTTCCACAGCCCCCGCTTTTTCGCCTTGACCTTCAGCTCCTCGATAACGGGCACAACCGTCTGCCAGCGCTTGATAGGGTCCGTGGGGAGCTGGACATGGGCAAGCTTGCGCGCGGGGGCGATCTCATTCTCGAAAAAGTCAACCAGGTTGGCCAGCGTCTCCTTTGCGAAAGGAGAAAACTTGTCCTCCACCTGCATTTTCGTCAGTCTACGGAAGACAGAATGCTTTAGGAGCACAAACCATGGCCCATGAGGCGGAGGACGTGTATTGGACGATGGGGTGCGGGACGGACATTATGGGTGCTAATTCGCTTGCAGGTTATGTGGTAAGTTATAAAGCGTCGGCAATTCCGGGGACACAAACACCGGATGCCGGCATCACGCTCTAGACTCCGAAACTAACTGACATTATGTCAGCAGAAGGGCCAGCTTGTGTAATCATACATTGTCATTAGAGTTAATGATACACTTCATGTAAGTACAACACTGTTCTTCAACAACTCACAGAAAATATACCGCCCCGTAAGATACTGTCTCTCGCAGAAATAAAACCCAAGCTAGTCTCATCATCTACGGTGTTGCTGCTGGTGCTCCTCCGACAAAACATCTCCCAGCGTAAAAGGCAAGTCTGGATTGAGCTGGAACGCGCCAGGGTCATAGCTGTGCCACAGGTCCTGCTCTCCCATCTCGTAATTTGCGCCGTTCCCAGTTGTGGCCCCGTAATTGCGAATGAACTCGAGGCCACGGAAGGGCAGGCCTTGGGCAGCAAACTGGGAGAGCTCGGGGTTCATTTCATAGGAGTAGTCGGGGCCATCGAAGCCGCTATACGAGTACGACAGGCCAGTCGGGTAGAGGTCGATCCCCTGCTGCTCGCCAGATCCATTCCACTGTGGCTGATGCTGTTGTCCATTGTGCAGCGGATTTGGGGGCAGGGTGTAATCAAATTCAAACTGGCCATTGGTGGCTGTTGTAGGTGACAATGGTGGGTACCCGTATGCTGAGCTAGATGCAAGAGTGGGGCTAGGTTGAGGCGAGTTCTTGTCCAGTATTGGCACGGGAGAGGGAACATTCACCGAGGCAGGTGAACTATGCGGACTTGTCGAGGTTGGGCTGGCGAAACTTTGATAGTAGCCGCCGATCGCCTTGGATCCCCGGTCATTCCCTTCTCCGTCATCAAGGCCCCGTCTGCGAGAAGAAGACCGTGCCCTGGTAGCACCTGACAAACAACACATCAGATCGGGTTCTGATCAAGTCAGAGATCACTCACTATCCACTCGATATGGGGATACCGCAGCCAAACGCCGCGACGAAGATGTACCTGGATCACGAGACTGATTCCGACGCGTCCGATTTTTCGTGACACGTCCCGAGCCTGAACCAGTGGCAATGGTCACCGATTTCCTTCTCTCTCGTTCCTGTTCTCGAGGGGAAACACTTTGTGGTGGAGGCTCATGAGCAGCCTGTGCAACTGCATCAGCCGCGGTTGACGTAAGCTCCATAAGTAGCTCTTTGCATTTGCGAGCGCCAGGCCAACTTCCTTCCCAGGACTCCAAGGCGCCAAGTGTACTCGTTGCTTCCTCCATCGCTGCCGATGCGGCCTTTCGTTCGGTGGAGTGCATGGCGTACAACAATAGGATCACAGCGGAGCTGAAGAGTTGCTGGATGAAGAAGGCCAGATGATGCGATGGTGGCACAACATGTTTCATAGAAGGCGCGAGGCGAATGCAAGACCGAGCGGAAGAAACTGCTTTCACCGTCGACTTGGCCATGCCAGGTTGGTCCCGCTTGACGGGAAGCAGGTTCCGATGTAGGGTTGTCAGCACGGAGTAATAATGGCTGCAAAGGACCGCCCCCATCGATACCTGCTCTTCTGTTTCCGACTCGTTCTTGAAGACGGGCGGTAAATTGTCGCACCATTCGGTGAGCTCGGCATCCAAAGTTTCTACGGTGTTCTGCAAACCCGCTTTGATCTCGGGCTCTAGATTGTCTTTGCATATTTCGAGGGCGTAGACTTCCCGCATAACACGGCCAGCGATCTTGTATAAGCTGGCGAGTGCGACTGAGCCAGCCATCAACGATGGCTGGCGTTGCGGTAAAGGTGCGCCGTTGAAGTAGTCGTTCAAAAATTCGTCGTCGATTTGAACTGGCAGTTCAACATCACAATCTGCATCGAGGATGCCAAGGGGACGGCCAAGGGCAAGAGCAAGCATGCGGTCCATGCAATATACGCCCCACCAAATCTTGCGGCGAGTTTCCTTCTCGATCGGAGTGACAGTCAGGCGTCTCGGTGACCGCTATCAGAAATGAGCGAAAAATAGACAGTCGAATAACAGCCGTATTCACATGAAGTCCCAAGTCCTGGCCAATTCGAACCGCTTGGCCCACAAGAATCCAGGCTTGTGGGAGACAGTTTACAGAGCACAGGTATGAGGAGAGAAGGAGGAAGCATTGAACATGGGTGACTTGAGTGCTTGCGTGGCTGATGTACTGTAAGATAAGGGCACTAAATCAAACAACGTTTGCGCTCGAAATTGTTCAGCAATGATGATTACGAACCGTTCGTAGTAGACCATTCCCATTCCGCCGGCATCAGCAGCGCCGTTGGCTGACAATCTGCTGTCTTCAACAAGCCCAGCCGCGCAGGCGAAGACAGCAAAAATGAGAGCAACGAACGGTGTCTCTGCTTGAATGACCGAGGGGTCACTGGGATTGATGATGATTTCGTTATATCTGCGCAAGAAGGACGGCTTGTCAATAACAGGATTGAGGAAGTGATATCGTGCAAAGTAAGCGTTGACCTTCATTAGAGATCAGAGCGAGACGAGTGAATGACGCAAGGTGAACAAACCAGCTTATCGGCCAAATCTCTCGGTGGCCACTCTACCTCTTCTGGTCCAGGCAGAGCACGCACTTTTCCGAAAAAGACTGAAGCAGGACTGGAAAGAGGCTCGAAGGCAGAGCAGAAATAAAAGTGGTCGACGCACAAGTAAAGCTTATTCACGCTCGGGCCTGGGGCAAGCGGGTCTTCCTCCATTGGGGAGATTCTGCGTTGAAGAGGAGACGAAGTAAGAGCTTTAAACGACTGGATGAGCGACATAGTTGAGGAGCCGCCTATCCAACGCATGTGGCCATACTCGTCAAGAGCAAGCTGCCCAAAAGATTCGCTGACGTCGTCTTCTTCGGCCTTTATTGGCACCGCCGCTGAACGTTCTTTCTGTGAAACAGGACGGGGAGGCAGTGTAGATGAAGAGGAAGCGGCTGAAGTAAGGTCGGCGATGGAGGTGCCGTCAGGTAGCGGCCCAATCTTCTCAAGAACGGGAGCAATCTGGGTGAAAAGCGACTCCATATGCAACAATCTGGCTTCCAGCTCTTGAACATAGCTGTCGATGGGTAAGAGGGGCTCAGTGTAGGTGAAGAGGACAGGACACACTGGCGACTCAATGCGGCCCTATCCTTGGTCTGTAACCAAGTACATTGCGATCCAGATGCCTTACACCCACTACATTCAGGCTCGACCCCATCGCATTTTATCTGGGGGGGTTAGTGTTAGCACACTACGCGTAGATTTTGGTACAAAAATCGACCTTTTTGCGACGACAACTCTCACAAGCCCGCCAGACTCGTCTGCGCTGCAGTTGGAGGGGTTTAGAGTCTGGAGTATCGGCGTCACTATCAGTGCGTTTCTTGGGCTGGCCGTTGGCCATTCGAAATCGAGGAAGAAGACAAGAAGCACACGTGAGGGCTTAGGACTGTCGGACCGCATTCTCACACAAGAGCCAAAACAAGGCAACTCTATGATTCATTTGTATTTGCACACGAAACCTGACGCCCACCTGACCCGCATTCATCCCACATTCGGGCATTCGTCTGCCTCATAAGCTTTGCCACTTACCGCCGCCATCGCCCTTCCCAATCAACGGGTAGGGTCGGTCAGTCGGAAATGGTTTCAATCTCCACTTTAGCGGGAACGTGGCCAGCCAGCATGTAGCAGGAATGGAGACAACAACGGGATTCAAACTAGACATCGACAGAGAGGGACAGCATGTTGGATTGCCGCTCATAGAAATAAATCCACCATTTATTGTTGCTCGACGTCGCAAGCAAGGCACAGCACACAGGTCGCGATCTTCGGTCGTCCAAGTTATTGGTGAAGTGAATGCGTGACCGTGACGATCTTGCCTCTCAACCATGAGCTCTGAAGCTGCCGCGACTACCGATCCTGCTGTCCAAGGCATCGACGATGCCGAAGAAGACTCCAAGGTTTGTATCATATTTCGCGACCCTTTCTCCACGTTGAACCTACTTTTCATTTAGGAAATTTTGTTAATGAAGCAACGGGTTGCCGAAATGGAGCAGGAGGCGAAAAAACTGCGGGAACTGCAGGCTGCTGCATCGATGGACACTACCGGAGATGAAGACAATCGTATGGAAACCGAGGACGACAAGAACCTGGCAGATGGACGAAGTATCTATGTTGGAAATGTCAGTCGACTCTTTTCGGCGTCTTGTTCTAGTCATCTCTGCCTTTAGGTTGACTACGGGGCAACGCCAGAGGAAATTCAGGTCCACTTCCAGGCTTGCGGCACGATCAATAGGGTTACTATTCTCTGCGACAAGTTCACTGGACATCCAAAAGGGTATCTGTACCCACACTCTAATCCGTTCGAGTCATTAATACCATTCAAGGTTTGCGTACGTTGAATTTGCTGAGCCAGAACATATAGAGACAGCGTTGACTATGGACAATTCGCTGTTCCGTGGTCGCCTAATCAAGGTATTCTTTTTATTCCCTTTTTTCTCTCAGTCTCATACAGTTTTTTAGGTAACGGCGAAGCGGACCAACATTCCTGGCTTCAATCGTGGTCGAGGCAGAGGAGGTTACCGTGGTGGATATCGTGGAGGTTTCCGAGGCGGTGTGTCGTCTTGTTTTTTTTTTCAACTTAGTTTGAACTTTTGCCAGGCTTCAACGGCTATAGTCCATATCGTGGAGGGCGTGGTAGAGGAAGAGGGCGTGGCTACTGATGTTTTTCCTGCGTCCGCCAAAACGTAGCTTTATTTTCTTGTAGTGTACACTGAATACATCCAAATCACCGTGACGCGCACCTTTTTACTCTTGCCATCATGTTCGCGTTGTTTCGCGGGGCTTGCAGGTCGATGTCCACTGCGGCCTACCCATTCTCGAAAACCGCCTTGGTTCTCCCCGACCCTGCAGAAGCCCCGTCTGCCGCACTCAAGTTAGGCAAAGGCCTGATGCCATACCTTTCCACTTCACTCCCGACACCCGAAAAACAACAATTGCTACGCCATTTCTTCTCGAGGCGGTCTCGTAGTCAGCTACAACCTGGCTCAATCATCACTGTCACCCTCGACCACGCGCCAACAACCTTCACTGGTGTTCTATTGGCCATCCGAAGACGAGGAGTCGACACATCTTTTGTTGTTCGGAATATAGTCCAGAGAACAGGGGTGGAAATGCAGTTCTTCGCCAACTCCCCACATTTGAAGGAGATCAAGGTCTTACAACGACCACCCAAGGGCCGGATGAGGAGAGCAAAGCTGTACTATCTGCGCGACGCGCCAGACAAGATGAGTGCATTGGCGGGGAATATCAAACTCCAGTGAAAGTGAGCCGCCGAATTGAACCTGCTTCATTTCTCAACCGTCATTGCAGTAATACACAGTTAGACTATATGTGAATGCCGATAACGTGCACCAGTATGGAGGCATACTTATTTCCCAGTGGGCGGTCAGCGTGCAAGGTTTTTGAATCGTTACTAAATTCATCGCTGACGCGTTCGTGGTGTCTGAGAAGGTTGGTGAGGGACTTATCGAAAGAAGGATCGAGCGGGCATGAAGAGGAAACTGCCAACTTTCGCGTCCATCGCATTGCAATGTTCCTTTTCCTGCTCCGAGCCAATGCAGTCTGATTTAGCCCAACTGCTTATGCTCTTGTTCTAGTACACCTTCCCATGGCTCATACCCTGATGAATCCTTCCCGTCTGTTAAAAATATACCCAACAACTTGGAAGTTAGCCAGGTGCTTGTGAGCTACAACTTGATCTCGGGTGGGAAACGCCTTGCTGAGCTCTTCCGCATCCATCTCCTTCGCCTCTTCCAGCGACTTGGATGCTTGGGACATCAGACGTCGGATGTTGTCTATGTTGAATCCAACAAGACAATAGTAAATCGGTTGATCACAGACCGCACCAGTTTTCATCCAGTCGAGAATGTCCAGCATCGCACCAAAATCTCGTCGATAGAAGGTTGCGCTGAGTGAAATTTGCAACAAGCCAATCGAAGCATTGGTGACGATAATTGCGTCAACAGCCCCGAAATTATGAGCTGTTGGATGCAGGTACAAAGGCAACTGCAGCGCTTGTCTTGCTGGATCGAAAGCAAGGGAAAACTTTGTTGTAGAGCCTGTGATGCTTATGCTTGGAGCGGAAACACGACCGAACACGTCGGGCAGAAGGGTCTGGTTGAAAACGATGGCGCGGTGAATGAGTGTTTCGAACATCTTCCCAGCCAAACCCCGCGTCGAACTCATGTTGAACGCCGTTGCAATGTTGAATTGCAATAAGTCCAAGTGCTGTTGTGCACACTCGGCGAACTTCTGTGCCATGAATTCTGAACGAAACTCAGCGTCGTATTGACTTCTGCTCCAGTAATGTCGTCCGTCATCAAACATTCGCCGAGGTCGGATCAAGAAGATTTGATGACTGGGCTGGACACCCGATAGGTTCTCCTCCGTCAAAAGAAAGTGCCTGGCATCCGTGATCATCTCATTGATCTGCATTTGAGCAGCCTCGATTCGTTCTCTCTCCGTTGTTACTGCTGTGTCGAAGAGATCTCGGGCGACTGGACCATACATAGCGTACATTTTCGTTATTACCTTTGGTTCTAACCCAAGCAATTCCCTTGGAGACTGTCAAAATCGAGGAAGCGCTTGAATCAAGTGGACGGCTTACGTGGCCGCGACAATTTCTGTGGTATCCCATGGGAGCATGTACCAAATGGTCGCAGAAAAGTGATTGCGCATACGCTTCATGCGGGAATGGACGGGCGATGACGTCCAAACCAAACACAACGGGTTCATGAACAGAGGGGGTATGGTCCATTCCGCGTCAATGTCAATAATGACCCAGCTCGTCACTAGTTTCTCGTGCAAAGATCTTGTGCGGTCGATGAGGCTGTAACGTTGGACACCATCCGTTGAGAAGTGGTAAGCGGAGGAAGCTTCATTCACGAGAAAGAATGGAGTCCCTGATGCGAGAAGTCGTAACACGATGTAATAGGAGAGGAAGGTCTTGCCTACAATGATTCAGCACAAAATCTAGCTCAAAATATAACCACTTGCCAATGCCCGGCTGACCTGTCACGAAAAAACGATTCCTTTTCCCCGCTTCAATGCCGTCCAGGGCACACTGGAAGAACTCAATGTATTCCTTCCGAATGATCAACGCAGGATTGGTCTTCGTTACCGAATTCGCATTAAGGGAGATAAGAGCGTCCCGGATTTTCTGAGAAAGTTCGAGACAACGGAGCTGCGTTGGAATTTTGTCTTGCTGCTCAAGAACTTCGCTCTCTAGCCTTTCATTTTTATCGCCTTGCATCACAGGAGGCACTTTGATGGCCGACGCTGGAGCAAGCCAACTGTCGTTCACTTCGATGGTTTTGATATGTTGGACGAGGTGCAGGGGCTCGGAATGATTAGAGCTGTATTCGGGTCCGTTTGACCAGAAGTTGTCCCAGAGTGTTTGGTGTTCGCTTTCCAGATTCATTGAGTTCCAGCAAGAAGTCAAGCGTGACGCGAGCGCGGCGACTGTGACTGAAAGTCAGTCTCTCGAGTGTGGCTGAAAGTCAGTCTCTCGAGGGTGTGGGTTTACCAAGGTAGTGCTTGCAATATGATCGACTTGTGCGCAACAACGACCAGTTTCTGCTTTCAAGTCACGCCAGCCTTACTTACAACACTAAGATTCAGCATGATCGAGAGGCCGGGGAGTAATCCATCGAGCTGGCTGATACAGTAGGTTCCACATCTCTTGGACTTCTGGCCTGGTCTTTTCCACAAACAAAGTAGAGGTCGTCGCGACTTGGTAAAAGTCAAATTTGGCCATGGTTATGGCGGTGGATGGAGTTTTAGAACCCATAGTTGTTGTGGTTCTGCGAGAGAAAGTGACATTGATATGAATTTAGTCGTCGTGGAAAGCCGAAAATGGACTCCAACAGTTGGCACTTTGCTCTTCCTCCGACCAGCCATGCCCGCTCGATCTTTCTTTCGATCCCGGCGGGACTCGGCGCGGACCCGAAGCCCCTCACCAACCTTCTCAGACACTACGAATGCGTCAGCGATGAATTTAGCGAACGGCCCAGAAAAGATTATAACGAGGGCTCATTTGAAAGCCAGCGTCCAGGCCTATGAAGACGTCAGCAATGCCTCCCACTTCTGTCTTTTTCAATGCTGAGCAGCGGTCTAGCTTATGAACACGAGCGCCATGTATCGTTCCGCACTGTTGAACCTGTCTAACGTCACCGCCGCCTTCGCAAATGCCATGCAGACAGCCAGCGCGTATGTTTACCAGTCATTGCTGAGCAATTCGCTGACCTGAAGTTTCCTCTAGTTTGAAAGGTCTCTTCCCTCTCCTTGCTTTCGAACCCCGTCTCATATCCGTTACCTGAAGGTCCTTCTTACGAAGCTGCTACACGCTTACAAGGTTCGCATATCCCATCAGACGATAGCCTCAACTCAAAATCTTGCTCATAGCCGCCTCTGGGCTTCACCACCTTGTTGGCAATCAATGGCATGTACTAGTGCGTATGTTGTCGTCCACTGACGATTGGCACTAATTATCATGATGTTAGGCCGAAACTCTCGACAAGAAATTCGAACGACCATTACGGTCGCATCTAGAGACATACAAGAGTGTGGTGGCGGATAGGTCTGCGTCTTATGAGAGGGCTTTGAGGGAGAAGAGTCAAGTAATTCGGACGACGGAAATGCAGAGCATGAACCGAAAAGAGCGCAGTAAGTTGCTACTCCGAATTACTTACTCGCCTCTCACGGCCTCAGATCTGCAAAGCTTCAGAGAAGCTCTTGCAGTGTTACAACGGCAGGTAGATGACCTGGATGACCTCAAAGTTGCACACTATCAAGAAATTGTTGACCACGAAGAAGAGGTTTGGGACGTGGTACAGGGAAAGGTGTGTAGTAACCTGTTTCTTCCACTCTTCCAGCTTCCAATACTTTCGAGATTTGCATCGCAGTGCGCTCGACGATGGACGTGTTCGACAAATTCACAGCAAAAGCGTGCGTGACTCTATGGCCTATCTAACGCTCGTTTACCATTCTGGCAGTTCAGACCCCGTTATTGAACCTATGCTCCAGTCAATACCGGATCCCTTTGACTCTTACGGCCCTCCACAATCGGAAGACCAGATTTTCAGCATTCTTGCGCCTCTTTCCATCATGCCCTCAACCCCCTCGCGGGCCAGTCCTATGCCTACACCACACTCCGAACTTGACCCGATAGACGGATTACCGAGTGACCATTCATGGACCTCCTCTTCCTCAGTAACATTTCCCTCAACCTCACCGACTTGGGACGGGGAACGGTCGCCTACTCGCGAAACGGCGCCGCGATCTACTTCACCTCCCAATGGCCGCAAGCATGTCATCGGTCCCTCAAATCGACACCCCCGAAAGTCAGACTCGAAACTCCGCAATGCACTGTCACCCATTGACGAGGCCCATTCCCGTCAGAAGAGCCCTGATGCTCGGCCAACCTCGATAATGAGCGCATTTAGTCCTCCACCACCGGTAGACGCCCAGCCGTGGTCATTTGGCTACAGTTCTCCGCCCTCCCCAAGCGAAGAGTCGAACGAGCACGACGCAAAGACGCCAACACACTCTACATTTCGCGTGACAACGCCACCAGATTCCATTGGAGAACGAGATAGTATGAAGGTCCCCATTGCTACTTAGTGTAACCCCCCCAGATTTCTATATTATTATCTCAGCTATGTGCCGCATGTAAACTTGTAGTTTTTTTTTCACGGACTTCGTTGTCGTCTAGGCTTTGTGTCTACCTGCCCTTTTGTCATGAACTTGGTGGCCATCTAGGCTGGATGCCATATTGTTCAAGGATTTTGACGTCCACCTCGGCCGGACTTTTGAACAACAGGTCGGTCCCGACACTGGTCTTGGGGAATGCGATGACATCACGAATGGAGGTTGCGTCGACGAGTATGGCCATAAGTCGGTCAAAGCCTAAGCTTGTCATCAGAATGCATGCCTTCAAAGGAGATAAATGCGCTACCTAAGGCTATGCCTCCGTGAGGGGGTGCCCCGCTCCGGAGAGCCTGCAGTAGTTGGGCAAACGGTGCCTTCTCCGTTTCATCCAACTATAACCCAATCAATCTCTTGCTCGGTGATTGCCAGACCAACGCACCTGAAGGATACTGCTGAAGATGTGGTCCTGCATGTCCGCATCGTGAATTCGCACTGAACCACCCCCGATTTCTACTCCATTGAGCACGAGATCATAGTGTTGCCCGCGAACCTAATAATAAGTAAGTCATGGCTTCCGAGAGTGAATTCGGCCGAACCGTCTCGACTTGACCGCTGTACAGCGCTTCGATGTCTTGCCACATGGGAGCAGTAAAAGGGTGATGGGTGCTGCTCCATCGTCCATGGGCCAGAAAGTCCTTGTCCGCATCAGAGCGCGTAAACAACGGGAATTCAGTAACCCATAGGAAATGGGGGTCAGTAGGAAGAGTAAGTTTTCCTAGTCGGGAAAGCGTTAGTGGGTACATCCGAATGGAACAGCGCCACCGACCTGCGGCTTGAGCCAAATTGGACAAGTGAAGTCGCAGCTGGCCTAGTGGCGAGGAACCGCCCTGACAAGCCATTAGTCATACACGACACGAAGCGGGGCTTCTTGCCATACTCGCGGGAGACGGGGGCTTCGAGAAAGCCAGAGGACATCACCAGGCTTGAGATCAAGATGCGCGTTGATATTGTCGAGATGTTCTTCGCTTGCTGCAACGCCACATTGTGAGAGCCAGTTGGATAGATTCTGTTCGGACAAGACTACGCGTTCCTGCACCAAATAATCGTTTCAGCTGGAATTGATCCCGAGGAGGACAACTTACGACGAGCATATCGAACTCGCATCCACGAGCTACCTCAATGAATGAAGACTCTTGTCGCTTGCGAACGGGAATGCATTCCAGGACTTCGCCGCGGTGTTCAAATGTCAGTCGTTGCTTTTCGGGGAGAAGATGTGTTATGTCCTTGATCTTGAATACCATTAGTGTTGCGCGTCGTGCCCAGAAGCCAACGAGAATACCTTCAGATCGAATCGAGTGTCGGGCTTATCAGAGCCATACTACGCGAATGGTGATTTCGGGCAGACATCACTGCAAGGCACAGACTCACCAGTTTCATGGCCTCATTATATGTCATCACCTTGAACTGGGCTGGCAACTCGACATTGAGGACATCCTTCCAGATGGCACGAATAAGCGACTCGGTCACATCGCGGACTTCGCTGCCGCCTATCCTCCATGAAGATTCGTGTTGGTCACCCCAGGACACGAATGCCATTTCGAGGTCTATTTGGGTGAATTCTGGCTGTCTGTCCTTCCTCCCATCCTCGTCTCGGAAGCATTTCGCGATCTGAAAGTACTTGTCGACACCACCAGAGCAGATCAGGAGTTGCTTAGGCTGTTGCGGAGATTGAGGAAGAGCATAAAACCGTGGGAGTCCGTCTGAGCGGGTGGGGACAAGGAACTCGCGAGCGCCTTCTGGAGAGGATCGTAAGAGAACAGGTGTCTCTACCTCGGTGAAGTCTGGGAAGGGGAATTGAAGAACAGGAAATAACACGGTGGTTTGTTAGCCGGACCTCGTTTGTGGAGAATCTGTCGGACTAGATGCGCCACACGACTACGCGTTCTCAAATTAGCAGCAAGTGATGGGCGGCGTAGGTCGAGAAATCGAAAACGAGCTCTAAGATCTTCGTTAGCCTAGAGGTGGGAAGGTGAGAACAAACGATTAGGCTTTGGTGGGAGCACACTAACCAGAGTTCGGGCGGTGGAAGGATAAAACGGTAGATTGGCGTCCGCGGGATTCAACAGGATATAATTATCAACGACAACATCTATTTCACCGGTAGGCCCCTAGTGTGGTCAGGAGAAGTGTGCCACCAAGTAGTGATACTCACAGGTCGTTTGGCATTCATTGGCCGAGCCACTACAGTCCCTTGAACGAGCACCGTGGATTCGATAGGGACATCGGAGAAAGAGGGCTGATTATTCACAACCAACTGGGTTGTGCCGAGCGAATCTCGAAGTGGAAAAAAGGACAAGTTTTTTCCGCCCTTGCTTGAACGGCGTTTAAGTTGGTGTCCAGTTGTGATGGGGTATGATAAATCACCGCTCAGGCAGGAGCCATCCAGTTAGGACGACGCGGGATCCAATGTCGGCAGCAGAGAGTCCTCCACAAGAGTGGGTTCGCTTAGGGAAGGGGCCTTGGGTGTAGGGTTAGTGGGGGGAAGCTGAAAAAGGAGATGAAAAACAAAAAAAAAAAATTGATTTACCACAATGTGGCCGAGGGATACGCATGCGAGTTGACCGCAACTTTCAAAGCAGCCGTGGGCTGTCACACCACATATAAGCCTTTCAGTCAAACACCGCCATGAATGCTTGCTTTACCCCATGTCCTTACCGCCCGAGCTTCTTGACTACGTTTGTGGCTTTGTCGCCACGCGCGATTTAGCTCTGGTTGCTCGCTGCTCCATTACTCTCTACCCAATTGCTCTGCGATCTCTTTACCGCCAAATCACCATCTCAGACGCGTCTACTCAGTCCATTGTCCATACTCTCGCCCACCGTCGCGACATTGCCGCTTTCGTGCGCAAATTTTCAGTCGCCGATGTCTCTTTATGCCCCCACGAACTTGCCGCTGCTCTGACTAACATGGCGGCTACCCTCGTTTCCCTTGACATCTGGGTTGAGGGTGTTGAGAGTTGGATCTTCTCAACCGGCCTCATGTCACCACAACTCGAACACCTTGGCACCTCCATCCCATTCGACCCTCATGTTGCTGGCTTTTGCGCGGGGGCCCCTTCGCTAGAAACGGTCCATTTTGCTTCCGAACCCGTAGACTTTTGTGTTGACGCGTGTGTTTTTCCGCGCCTTGCCACGTTTACGGGATCTGCAAAAGCGGCTGTTGCGATTGTACCAGGAAGACCCATCGAGAGCGTTTTCATCACTTCTGGCGATCTTTCAGAGGACCTTGTCCCGGTCTTGGCCAGATCAACAAGTCAACTCTCCGTCCTCAGTACAACCACCAACTCCCTCCCTGTCTCCCTTCTGGGCGGTCTCGGCCGGCATCTGCCCCAGTTAAGGTATCTCCAAATAAATTCTACTCGCGACTTGGCTACTCCTCCCACGACCGTATGTTTCTGATTGCGGCCATGTGGACCACCGTTTTCTTAACCCTCGCGTGCAGATATTTTACGAGCAAGTGGCGGATGCCCTCGCACTATTTCCCATTCTCGAATCATTCGAGTTGTCAGGCATATATTGGCCGTCCCAAGTATACCAGCAAGAGCAAAAACGCGTTTGGCAGTCACAGCCATTGCATGCCGAGGAGCTTGACGCTCCAGAGGATATGGACGAATTCGGTTTCCTGTGGTGATTTATCGCGTTAATCCAAGTGTAGCATACTCTTACTCCTGTAACTAATCCTAATCGCGCGTCTGGATCCCCTTGATCAATGAGTCAAAAAGTGTGACCGCGCATCTTACCTTTTACCATGAGTCGGTCCTTGAATTCCCTCGAGACAAAATTACATCAAGCAGCACTCGCTGCTCCTAGACAAGTGCTTACAGAACATCATTCCGCGGTCAAGCTTGACTCTTTCTTAGGAGCTCACTCCGAAAGATGCTGAGAAACTCATACCTGATTCCAAAGCACGGCAAAATGCCCTCAACTTCCTGCTCGGTGTTGGGTACTTCAAGGCGCTGAAGGACTCGAAAAATAATGCTCTGTTCCGTGCTGTAACCAAGGTTGAGCACGACCAGTATGTGGCAGTTTCGCTTGCAGTTCTATCCGCTCAACAGTTACCTACAGAACGAAAGATCTCACTGGCGATGAAGTCATGGTTCTTGCCCCAATTAAAGCGTCGACAAACGAAGGTGTGTCCAGCCGACTGTCTTCTCATGTGAATCTCAATCGTCTAGGAATATGGATCAAGCACCTCAAGGCCAAAACCAATCTTCACCAGACTGTTATAGAGAAATGCGTGAAAAGCTTGGTGCAAAAGAGGCTGATAAAACAAGTCGCCTCTGTTCAAGTCCGTGGCCTTTCCCTCGCTAGTTTGTTGCTCACCCACTTTGAAGCACCCAACGCGTAAGATCTACATGCTTGAAGGTGTTGAGCCTTCTGTTGCGTTGACCGGTGGACCATGGTACACGGAGAATGAGCTCGACACAGACTTCATAGCCAGCATCAGCCAGGCCTGCTTGAAATGCATCCGCGATATTGTGCGTATTTTTGTTGACCATTCAAATCGTTGAACTTGAGCATTTGAAAGAGTTATCCCAGGAATAAAACGCAAGAAGGCGCCATATACTCTATATCGAATGCACCCCAATACCCCTCCGCCTCTCAAATTCACAAGACTCTGCAGCAGGCTCGCTTGACGCAGACGGACCTGACAGTTGAACACATTGAAATCCTTCTGGAGGTATTGGTTCTCGACGGGGAAATTGAGAAGGTATGCTGGATATATTTCTCCGTCTGACTCGTTTGTTGATAGAACTACAGCTTCCTGCATTTGGCGCGTCGTTGTGGGATTCTAATGCTGTGAGCGACGGTGATTCAGAGGAGGAGGATCGAGAATCACGCAAGAAAAAGAAGCGGCGGCGGGCGGCTTCATCTGACTCTGACGATGCCCCGTCTAGGAGGAAGCACAAGAAGAAACAACGGGCAGACAGTGACACCGAAACTGATAGCGATGATGACCGCCGTTCTCGTAAAAAATCAAAATTAAAGCGCAAAAAGCACGACGACAGTACATCAGGTTCCGACTCGGATGCCCCAAAGAAGAAAAAGAAGGGCGAAAGCAGCTGATTCGGACGATGAGGACGACAGTGAGAGAGATAGCAAGAAGAAGAAAAAGAAAAAGGGCAAAAAACTGGACGATTCGGACTCTGATAGCGAGGAGGAAAGCAGTAAAAAGAAGAAGAAGAAAAAGGTCAAGTATGAGAGCGACTCTGACGATGACAATTCCCGTCGTCGAAAAAAGTCCGTCAAACGCTCTCCTTCGCCATTTGACTATGGTGGCGCGTCTGTCTACAGGGCAGTCCGACAGGAAAAGCTAAACATGGGTTGGGCGGAAGCTCCCTGCAGTCAATGCGCGTCTTTTGACTTCTGTAAAGAGGGGGCTCCAGTCAATGCGAGCGAATGCGTATACTATGGGGACTGGTTAGTAGCAGGCACTATAACATTCGATCCAGAACCATAAATTCAACACTCGAATTTCTGCACAGCATCGCGGATGAAGTTGGAGGCCTTTTGAACCACCAGCCATTCATGTGGACCAGTTTCAGGCAAAATACTCGTTTCTTCTCCCCCGACTGATTCCGCGACCACTCCTTGGTATCTTTCGTCACCTTGAATGACCACAAATTTGGAGAATCTCCACCCCTTCGGCACCATCCCATCGACCAGTAAGATATTATTTACTGGGTCAAATTCGACTCGTCGAAAATTAAAGCCAAGGCCGATACCCAGGGCTTTAGTATACGCCTCCTTCGCTGTCCACATCCAGAAGAAGTGCTCCAGCGCTTGGGCTTGGTTAAGGGCGGAAGCTACCAGCTGGCGTTCGTGTGCCGTCAACTTGCAAGTTAACGTTAGCCGCGGCGAATACGTAGGACAATCTCACAGACCTGGTCCCCCATTGCTTCCACGAACGAGATAAACGTATCTCTGCCAGGTAAACTAACCTTCATGACATCGATGCCGATGTTGCTATTGGTGGAAGAAGCCATGACCACCAAACCGTTATCGTGAGACACATTGAAGGCGATGGGAGGGTCGATACCCTGTGTTGTCTGCAAGGGATGACACGTCAGTTGAGCGTAGGACGGCATATGCCGCGTCGACTAGCAATAAATGGCTTGCCCGTTTCAGTAGACGAGAATTCCATGGCTCCCAGAGAGACTCCGCGGGCATGAAGCAGCATTCGAGGCAAGAATCGACCGATCAGAGTTCCTGAAGCGTAGTCTCAGAGGTCTAACGGAGAATGAAAATAACCAGAAAGCATACGACAAGCGTCCTCGCGTCTGTAGAATTTCTTGATTCTGGTAGAGCTCTCAAGATCAAGGAGGCTCAGAGCTTGCTGATAGAGCTGCGGGCACATCGGAAGAGATGAATTTATCTTCTTTGAAGGTATACCTCGTCAGGAAACTGTGCAGGCTCATAGACGATAGCGTCGACCTGGAACATCATGATGTGACGGTAACAGTATGACGAACTCAACACAAACCACAACAATGCGGGCTGAAGACCTCATCAGAAGCCGGGCGACGCTGTTGTACGACCTGAATCTTGCGGTTGATGAAGCAGAAGAACTCGCCCAAACTCTGCTCTTCAAGCCATTCGATCTTGACTTGTATGAAGAGCCTTGCGTCCCTTTGCCCACCGCACTTGACGAACTCTCCTGCTGTGACCACGCCAATGACATGGACGAGTTGTACTCTGCAAGCTTCCTCTCAACACCCTTGCGTACCAAATATTTCTCAAGGCTGAGTCCTTCAACCCTTCGTGGCCTCCTACGGTCGCCCTCTGTTCGTGATTTCGATGACAGCGCTGAAAGCATCCCGCCGAGCGATCTACTCATGTCTTCGCCAAACCAGTCGGACGAGTCTTGCAGTGTAGTTTTGCCTATCAGTGATTCTTCTCTCCCTTTGACCCCTCCGCCAACTACTCGTGTCCCATTCTCAGAGTTACTTCCCCCCACAGATCTGGTAGATGTTGGACATCTGCAAGACATAACCGATTCAGTACGGAAAGCCGCCAACTTCTCCAACACTCGTCTCGCCGCGGCAAACCATCTCGTTTCTCCAGCTGCCGTTCGTCACTTTCAACGCGTCATTGACGAGATGAAGGGTGTCGACCATATCAAGAAACCCACCTTCACATTCGAGTCACGTTCCACCAACTCAGTATTCGAGGACCCGTCGGCCATGTCTCGCTCGTCTACCCCAGCGACAAATCATACGCCTAGTGTCTTGGAGGAAGAGTTCATAAGCTTGCTAGAGCAACGGGCAATAGATGAAGAGGCGGATGCCGAGGAGCTACGGGAGGTTGCAAACCGATTAGACACGCTGGCCAGAGCACGACGCCGGCTTATCACCCTGATCATCGAAAAGAATATCGACATTCTCTAATTGATGCAGCAAGTTACGAGTACAGCGTTGATGAAGCTATTGTACAATGTGGTTTCAGAGCATAAGACACAGCAATTATTTGAGTCTATCTTTTTCCGAGGCTTGGTCTTTGAGTACTTTCTCCATTCCACTGAGCCATAGATCAACATCGGCTCCAGTTTGTTGACGGGTTCCAGAATTCTTCGTTGGGAGCGAAAGATAGCCAACGCCAATATAACGCGCAAGAGCAAGGACCGGAAGTCGTCGGAGGGCACGACCTGACATGGCCTGTGCCTGATGACAATCAGGAATACTGCAGGGCACGACGAACAGAGAAATCATACTCTGCATTGGCTCGCAAGGGACAACAGACGCAGGGCGAGATTTTTGGATTTTTCTCGTGGGTCGGTGAGCGATAGACTTCCCAACGCGCTTTCTGGAGTGTGCATTGCCGACAGCTCGTACATTTGTGCTTGTTTGAGGCTGGGAACGTTCTAAGTTCCAAGTTAGCAAAGGAACAAGAGAGAGAAGACGGTTGATTTGCCATAGTGGAAACGATGCCTCTGGCGATCATTTCGCAGAGACACGTCCGCAAGATCTCGTAGATTGCCTCACGCGGGGGCAAGTCTACGTATTGAATAATGTCTGCGCGATCTACGAAAGCGCTGTCTGTTTTTGCTGAGCGCAGTGCGACGAGTACAAAAAGGATGGCAGACCTATGGCCTTGACAAGGTTACTAGTTGACATGATTAAAACGTTTTTGCGATGTTTGAGCTTGTCTAATTGGGTGAGGAGCGCGTTGACAACCTGTACTGATGAGTTTTCCAATGAAAAGGCACACAACACATACTCTAAGACCGTCAGAAGGTTCAGTACCGGCCATGGCACCGGCTCGGGCGGCAGTCAAGGACTCCACTTCATCTAATCTTTTTTAATCCAGGCAATATTGTTGAAAGAAGCGACACACCGATTAACACAACGAGGAACGTATCTTCTTCGTCTACGAGTTCTGTGATGCTAGTGAAGAGACGCTGAACAAGTTTTCCTGATTCAGAAAACCATTTTGAGAAGAGCGAATGCGAGTTTATTTCTAAAAGGCGGGCTTGAGAGTATCTATGATGACAGTTAAGCTTAGGTATGGGTATTGCTGAAGATCTTGCACCTATGTGATAATCGTATGGAAAGCTTTTGGGCGAGAGCACGGCAAAGAGAAGTTTTGCCAGTACCAGGAGGGCCATGAAGCAGTACGACGCGATTCCAAGAGACGAGATTGACTATAGGGAAATGAGTAGATGAACTGAGGTTCCGGTGCCACCCACAGTCTACGTTGGCATCTGAGAGAACAAGGGTGGCATGGATGTAGTCCAGAAGTTTCATTTTGATGTCTTCAGCGTAGACAAGAGAGTCCCATAGACCCTCCCACGAACGATTGGGCAGTTCGCAAACACTGGCTGCCATGTCTCCGTCGTCTTCCTTTGCACCAGATCCATTGGCAAATTCTTCGAATGAGTCTGAATCCGCAGGCTGATATACGTGGATTTGCAGAGCAATCTCTGAAATCCGAAGGGAAGTGTGGACACTGCCGGTCTCGCACACAAACACGCGTTCAACAGAGGCAGAGAGCTCTGGAATGTCTTGCCAGCCGTCTAATGTAGCTTCGAGATTTATTCGATCGAAAGTGTGAACCCAGTCGTGGATTCGAGTGCGGATTGTTTCAAAACGGGCGGTCGCACGAGGTTGGAGGCGAACTTCGACTGTACGAATGATAAGACGCGTAAAAACCTTAGTGAACAAGTCGCACTGTGAACCGTTGGAAGTATGGGTTCATCTGAGGACATGGCGACGTCTAATCCCGTCATGAACAGCTTCGCGTCAAGAGTGGTTGGTGTGACTGCGACTGTGACGTGTCGTGTCCTCACCGCCGATCAAATTGATGCGGAGAGCCTCTTCCATCAAAAGGCCGAGGCCCTTGGAGGAGCCAATGGTAGGGAGCCAATGGAGGTTCGCGTATCCTCGCTTGTTTAACCAACGATTCTAGACCTGATTGGTCCACAGCAATTTACATTGCTATTAACCAACCTGAGCATTTCTACCTCTGGAATTATCCTAGAATAATGCGCAGTAAGTCCCCCCACACTCCTCGCATTTTCTGGAGCCATGGATGTGCTTAGATGTAAAGATTTAGCATTGTTTTTCGGAGACTTTGAAAACAAATCATAGCGAAATCTCATCAGACCGGTGATTGGGTACGGTCCAGAACCTCCCTCTGGGCCTTGTCGAAAACATGGCCCGCACACGCCTCTCTTCGAGCGCCCTCACCTCTGCCTATGGAACCACACTCGAAATTGCGCGTCCCCCGAGGGTTGTGGAAGGGTCGGGCCAATAAGCAACGTGGTTCAAACCTTGCTTCGAACCATCGCCCAGCCAAACGCCACCGTTTTGATTCCGAGGAAACAACTGAGGACGGCGACACTGAAGAAGTGTTCTACGTTGTAGAGTGCTCTCCAGAGCCAGAAGACGAGCCAGAAATGGAAAACGAGCCGGTGGTTGCGCCAGACAGCGAAAAGGTAGAGGAGTGGAACGATTTGAAGGAGCTCTTTTTCCGAGCAACTCAAATGTATGATAGTGCGTTTCTCTCCCTTCCTTCATTGCTTTTGCAGTCTTATCGACTCTCACAGACGACGATATAAGCGAGGCTTTGCCGTTGTTACGCGGTGTTATCCATGAGTGCCATCGGTTGCTCCTATTATATACCGACCCCAGTTGTCTGTACAACGGACTACCTCGGAGGACACCGTCTCCAGAGCCCATCTCAATATCTCCTTCGGCAAAACCAGCAAAGAAATGGTGGGTATGAAGCGTAACGACTGAATTGTTGGACTGATGCTGAATCAAGTACTTGCGCTGAATCGCCGACTGCCTTTCACGCACTTTTGGGAACGGCGCTGTTCTTGTTCGGCAACTTAATCTCTCAAGACTCTTCTTTAGCCGTAGATGACGAGCCCACTCATCCTGCGACCTATTGGTTAGCCGCACTTGATGTATTCGAAACTGGCGAAAACCTTCCCAGTCGAACGAGTGGGCGTGGCTGTGTCGCTCCTGAAGACTGGAGAATGGCCATTGTTTGGGGAAGGACTCTGCTTGCCGTTGCTGACGAGGCTTTGTCTTTATCACAAGGCCGTAAAACCGCACCACCTCCCCCAGAACCAAAATGGCCGAGTCCTGCTGCCTCTCCCTTTGCAGCAATTGCTCTGCGGCGACCACCTGCTTGTCGACGCATAACCTTGAGTGCATCCCCTCACGACTTGCTCCTCCTTGCTATGGACCAATTCACCCGGGGTATCTTCCACATGCCACATCCAGCCCATGCTTCTGAAGAAGCACCCGTTGAAACTTCACGACCATTTTCCCGTGCTACCGAGCTGTTCACTATTGCTAGGGAAGTCCTTGCACTAGCAGAGCGACTACCTACGGCCTCTGAGCGATTACGTTGGGCTACTTGGGCGGACGGCATCCTGCAACAAATGGATATGGAGGGTGACACAAATCGGGAGCAATGGCGTGGTCCAGTAACAAGGGCAAGGGGAGAGTGTTGGTTAGTTGTCGGGACTGCAAGAATGGAGGACATCGAAGCCATAGCCGAGGATCGTGGTTGGGATGAAGAGGTTTTGGACAGTGAAGATGCCGAAGAAGCTCGAGAAGGGCTAAACCGCGCAATCGAATATTTTGAACGGGCGGCGGGTAGTGCCAAAGGGGAGTTTGGAGATGAAGTGGAGGATATGCCAGACGAACAACAGCAAATGCATGCTTTTCTGGCTGAAGCGTTGCTAACTTTGGCCAACCTAACAAAAGATGAAACGAAAAGGGAGGAGCTCTACCAGAGAGCACAAACGTTGGGCGGGGAGTCTTTTTTGGAAGGCATGGATGTAGACGATTAAATTTTGGGTGCATAATTGTAATTATATCTTGTAGCATCACTTCTTTCCGAGCCATCACGCGTTGACCAAGGTGGTCGCTGTTGCCCACCATGGCCTCAGACGACTCCCGATTGGAAACACTCATCAACCAGTGTCGAAGCAATGGTCTGCTGTCTCCAGTTTAGCTCGTCGCGTCTCACCATAACCAGACGTGGATGTCAAAGTTGATGCTCTCACTAAACTCCAAGCAGAACTCGAGTCAGGCATTGAGGTCCTTTTCCCCTCCCTTCTGACGCGTCTGTTTGCTAACCCAGTCTAGATAAATGACCCTGACGGTCTCGTTCAAGTACTCAAAGCCTGTCTACGCACCTCTAACCAACATCTCACAACCGCGACTTTGGCGACACTTCCTCCTTTGCTGCCTATTCTCATTGCACCAGCATTGGCAGATGCGCAACTCTCCACGTCTTCCAGCCAGCCCGCCTCCGTCGTGGATTCATTCACCCTTCGTCAGGTGTTGGTCGCGTTTTTGCCTGCTGGTGGTCTGATTGAGCGGCTGGGAGACAAGGAACGAGCCCAAGTAAAGGCACGCGAGGCACTGATTATTCTGGGAGGGTTTGCCTTTCGCTCCGGAGCATCTAGTTCAATCGCGTCAAACCAATCGAAGGGGAGCAAAGGGCCAGAAACGCCACTCATGATGTTTGAGAGACACATACGGGAACTGGGCTTTGCGAGTAAGGTGTGGAAGGTCCGTGAACAAGTGAGTTGCTATTGCGTCGTCTTTTTTTCACGTTTCCCAATACTATCCAGTGTCTGCTTACTCTCGTTCATATCCGACGAGCTCACCCTCAATTCCCCATTCGAGTCTATCTCTCCCAACTCGTCGATACGCTTGAAGACACTGATGCTCACGTCCGTGATTGTGCGCGTCAATCTGTTATTGAGCTTTTTTCGGGACCTAGCGTGTCTGATGCAGCGCGTGCCGATCTCAAGAAAGAAATGACCAAAAAGAACGTCCGCAAAACCATTGTCGACGGTGTGCTCTCCAAACTCATGGGTCTCGGCGGCAGTGTGAGTGGAAGCAATCCACAAAGTCGAGAGGGCTCTGAAAACGGCGATACAACAATGAAACCCAAAGAATACGTTCCTCCCAGTATGGCCTTGGCCGGTCGGCGACCGACGAATGCCAATTCAGTCAGTGGGCCGTCGCGGACTGCCAGCACCCACTCAACAAATATTTCTCGCCCTCCAAGTCGCGCTGCCGCAGTTGAGTCCCCAAGCGGAGCTGCCACGCCAACAACAGATGGTAGTGAGGCTGTGAGACCGGTTTATGTGCGTGGTTTCTCCCTCAAGTTTTCATGATGTTGAATCATTCGCAGATCGCCTCAAGCCGAGACTTGGAAAATGAATTCGCCGCCATGCACAAACCTTTTGATGTGCGCTTCTTTCATCATTTCTGTTACTCAATTTTGGATTCTCAATACGTTCGCAGGGTAAAGAAACGGAGCATAATTGGGCAGATCGAGACCGCGCTGTCTTACGAGTCCGAGGTATGGTTAAGGGCGAAGTCCATGTCCGCTTCGCCGACGCATTTATGGCCGGTTTGAAGGAGTTCATGCCCATGTCCCTGAAAACGGTATCCCATCCTGTTCAAGTAATGAACGCCTCACTGACAGCCTCTTACAGTTGGTCAGTTTGCGCACCACAGTGGCAGTTAGCACTTGCTCTCTGTACGTGGAGCTCGTTGCTGCCCTGGGTTCTGCTCTCGATCCGTTCTCCGATCTTCTGTTCACAAATCTGCTCAAGATGGCAGGCTACACGAAGAAACTTACTGCCCAGCATTCACAAGCAGCGGTTACTTCTCTTATTGAACAAACATCAACTCCGCCTCGCATCCTTTTGCCTCTCATTTGGACATGCATTCAGGATAAAACCGTTCAGACAAGGTCATATGCCATCATACATCTCAAACAGTATCTTGAACTTCATGGCCAACGGTCGAAACATGGCATTGAAAGTTCGGGTGGGTTGGACATTCTGGAGAAATCACTGAAAAAGACTCTGGGTGACGCCAACCCCGGCGTCAAAGAGTCCGCGCGGTTGTGCTTTTGGGTTTTCGACGGTATATGGCGGGATCGTGGCCTTTTAATTCTAGGCAGTCTGGATGCATCAGCAAGGAAACAACTGGAGAAGGCTTGCCCCAATCCCGATGTTGCCGCACAAGTTCTTCCGCCAACAACTCCCAAACCCGCAAAGAAGAGCAGTGTTGCAGCTGCTATCGCTGCGAGTCGTGCAAAGGCAAAGGCTATTGCAACGGCACCACCAACCCTCCGCCATCAGGCTACTTCGACTTCCCATACTGGACCTGTTCGAAGGCCGGTTTCTCCCAATGTTTCACCAAGAAATTCAATGGTTGCGCGTCCATCATCTCCCCTGCGAATGTCAACTACTTCAACGTCATCACCATCTTCGCCACCTCGTACTTCCCCTCCTCCCCCGCAACGATCCAGAATCGTATCAAACGGAATTTCGCGTTCGATCAGTGCGGAGGCTGTTGTCGGTTCCACATCTGGCCCTCCATCCCCTCCTTCTCCATCAGACAGCAATTTCCGTCGAAGGACTTCGTCTCCTTTGGCGTCTGGTGTCGGTGCTTCGGCACGAGCTTCGACCATTCGTAAAGCAATACGGGGTACATCACCTGGCTCACCCGTTGATGCAACTTCCTCGACACCCAGAAACGGTGTTGCGCGGAATTCGGCTGTCCCGGTAAACGTCAGACATTCTACTCTGTTTGCACAACCCTCCCTGGACGATGAGTCTTTGCTTCTGGCTCAGACTGTGCCAATCCCACACAGCGATAGCGATTCAGAGAGTATGGACCAGAATCTGCTATCTTTCTCCGCAGCGTTTGAGAAATTCGGCTCTCCCCCAGCTCGACAAAGTGCATCACAGAAATCGCCTGAAATTTCTAATGCGTTGTCCTCTGGCTCCATGGACACAAACGCTGGACAACCTGTCGTAGAGGATGCATTGAGGGCACGTGCTGAGCAGGCCGAAAGCGCTGCGGAAAGACTACTGGAATTGGTCGATTCCGACGACGAGAACATGAATCATTCGACGATTCCCAGCTCACTCCTTGTGGGTACTTCAGCCGCCAAGCCCAAGTCAAAACCGACGCCGCTTCCTGTCAAGCAAATCCAGGCCAAAGCGCCTGCTACACCGCTGAATAGAACAGCGGCGGTGATGAAGCAAGCGGCTCTATTCCAAAATAGCCCAGCCGGCGCGCAAAACTCGACCTCTCTGATGGACGTGTTGGAAGAGCAACATCACCAGACGGGTTGGTGGTTGAAGCGGAAGAAATGCATGTTTTGGTTTTTTTTTCTCTACCACACTAACTAGTATGACATAGTGATCACTCAAAGCACTCCCTTTAGACCCATTGGTGAAGGCGACCGAAGCCAAGAGCTTCAAGGCTACATTCAAGCGCTGGAGAATTCAGGCGATGTCCATACTCTCCAAAAGATCGCTCTTCTTGCAGTCGAGAACCCCGTCAGCGATGCAGCAGCTTCACCGCTAAGTCCCGAGTTCGCATTGCCCACCAGTCCTTCACCGTTCGTCAACGCATCACATTCTCTGCCTTCACTACACACGGATATGTGGTCCAAGAACAAAAACTTCGATCGACTGTTCAATGCTCTCTTAGCCTTTTTGCAGCCTGAAAAGGTCAAATGACATCTAGCTTTCCTATATTTTTACTCATCTTGTTAGCAGAGCGAAGAAGAGCTCGAGTATGGGCTGATTGCTCTTTGGGAATTACTCGAGAACCAAGCCACCTACGTGGAGGGTCGCGAAGGCGAGGTTTTCTCGCTATTACTCCGCATGCGTTACTGCACCCACCATAATGTGGGTTTTCACATCTTGATCCTGACTGAACTGGCTGTTTATACCCCCCTATCCAGGTTCTGGAGGCAACAAACACAGTTCGCGACATGCTTGTGACGCGAATCGAGCCAGTGTATGGTCTGACGACGATTCATGCGAGTCTACGGGCGTTCCATGCCGAGGCTTGCCCTCCAGGTATCGCAGAAGAGGTCAAGACTGCTACCTACGCATTCGGGCTCATCGCTCTCGGCAAGTTTATTCTGCGTCTCCCTGCAGAGGTTGCTGAAGAGGAACTGCCTCGGCTGAAGCCAACTCTTATTTCGGTGAATTCTACTCGGGGTCAGAATTTGTGGGCAGTGAACTGAAACGAATGACAATAGGCACTCAATAACCAGTCGTCCCTCGTCACTCGAGAGTCTGCCGCGACTGTTATCATTGCTGCTCAACTAGCACTGAGGGACGAGACGCATTTGTTCACGTTACTGGACGGGCTGGAGGACAGTCAGAAGAACTTGCTGACATATCTCTTCTCGAAGCACGGCGCACGTGCAGAGGGAAACTCTACGGGGGCATCCCGGCTGGAGAAGGAGATGCGGAGACTAGACATTAGAACGAATACGCCGGCACGACCTCAGACATGACAGTTTCCTTATATGTACCATGACCTCATTCACTGTATGATTACCATTCTTGCTTCCGAAAAAAAAAAGTAAACCTTCCCAACACAAATTTACATTGAAAAATGCCCAGATGCGAAGAGGACATGATGGTACTACAGTATGCGATGATGAATAATGGTTGAAATGTTGGTTGGGGTCGCCTTCTGCGACCAATTAAATATAGCTGAGGACGACCTGACATCGTCGGGTTTAGACACGCAGACCTCCCTTTGAAGCTTTGCGCATCAGGTCCGCTTGGAAGTCGGCCACATCTTCTACCCCCTGCATTCCAGCGTCCTGCACCTTTGCCCCAGCAACCTGAATGCTTAACAGTACCTCTTTGCAGTACTTCAGTTGGCTAACCAGTCTATTGATTAGTTTCGCCTCCTCTTTGTCGACTCCCGCCATCCCTGTCAACGCAGCTCTGAGCAGCTGACGAAGCGACCACTTGGTGACGTTGTAGTACTTGTCGATATGCGTGATAGCGTGGCCATTCGACGAGATGATCACCTTGGAATGATCAAAGAAGTTGTACTAGAACAAACTTAGACGCTAGCATGATGACTGTTGAAAATTGAAAGTACCTGCAGTGCGCCATGGCTCATCAGGAAAACCATGACATGCTTCATGCGGAGGTATTTGACGACCCAGTCCATTCCCTTTGTGCGCTCCGTGTCTTCATAAGTATAGTTGTAGTCCGCGTAGAGCCGGTCCATGATATACCGCTCAAAGTGTTTGAGCAGATATACCTTGGACTCGAGCTCCGCAGGGTAATGGTCGACAGTGTAGGATTCGCTGCGGGAGCTGGGAGCAGCCAAAGGAGAAGCATTTGCAGAGCTCGAAGTCGGAGTGAGGTATTCAAAATGACTGAAAAAAGCATTAAAGTTGATCAGTCTCGGCAACTCCAACACATACACTTTGTCCGCGCTCAACACCAACGTGGTGCTGTCGTTGAAATAAACGCCGACGCTTCGGTCAGTCAAGGCGTAGCCCATGCCATACTTGTTGCAGTAATCGACCCAGGATACGATGAACACGCGTTCATCTCGCAATTGATGTTCAGGGGCGGCTGGTAATTGACCCCGAGAATAGGCTATGAAAGCATTGTTCAACGTTTCGTAGGTGGCGAGGAAGGGGGATTGTGCTATGGATGGATCAGACAGAGGAGTATGACAAAAGCTTTGCGACTGACGCTGCATTTTGGCAACTGGGACTACAACCCATCAGTAAGGTCACAAATGAACAACTGAAGCAACTCACCCTCTTTGATTAAAGGTTTCGGTTTGCGCAAAGCACCAATAGGCGGGAGGTTCTCTTGTTGCTCTTTCAAAGGAACGCGGTTATACGTGGATTTGAGGGTGTCAACTGGCTTGACGCGATCCTGGACCTTGACGCGTTCTTCGACCTTGGCGCGATGCTCGACCTTCTCCTCCGTCGGCGCCATCTGGACGACAATCCGCGCTTTCTGGCTCTCGAGTTCAGTCTCGTTCTTAGCTTTGCGTCGATCCTTGACAGGCTTGTTCTGACCACCATCTTCCTCGACAATGTTATCCAATGCACGATGAGCGGCCGTAGAATTGCGCAAAGGCGACTTGACGTTGGCTGCTTGGAGTTTGCGATACAGCCCGCCTTCCTTCTGCGCAGGAGGATTGGAATAACCCGGAATTGGCGGACGGCCTTGAGATTGACCCAACGGACTTCCACCAACTCCTCTAACGAGCGGCTGTCTAGCCGAGCTCAATAGCGCTGAAATGGGAGAGCCTGGTTGAACTGCCTTCTGGAATTCATACTCTTGACGCGCCACGGTCGCCGCAGTATTCTTGGTGTCAACATTGCTCTGGGCAACGACTTCCTCGTGACCATCCAACCCAACCTGACGTTTGAGCTTGGTAAAATTATAGTCGCTGCGTTCCCGTGTAATATGGCTCCAGTCTGGGGGACTGTCGTGTGCACTGGTTGGGATGTAAGGAGGAACGGGGCCCATGGCGAACCATTGATGGGAAACAATTGCTTGTAATGTGGGTCGCTGAGCAGGGTCTTGAGTGAGAATGTCGCCAATAAGCTTACGCGAAGGCATCGACGGGCTTGCAGGGGGTTCCGCAGGAAAACTGTAGTCATTGTTACGAATTTTCCTGGAAGGCAAGTCAGTGATCCTTTTGTGGCGAATAAACAATCAACGCTTACTGATAGATAGCTTTGACATCCTTGGTTTGGAATGGGGGACGTCCTACGACGAGGGTGTAAAGTATTACACCAATGCTCCAGGTATCTACCTCGAAGCTATGGCCGCTCGCTGTGTCGAAAAGCACCTCGGGGGCGATATAGTTGGGCGTGCCGCAAATCGTTTTCTTTCGCTCTCCAGGACTCTCTATCAGAGCCGCGAGACCGAAATCACCAACTTTGACGTTCATGTGACCATCGAGGAAAAGATTGCCGAGTTTAAGGTCGCGGTGGATAACCGACTGGTTGTGCATATACTGACATGCGCCAATGAGTTGCACCATGAAAAAGCGGGCCTCGGGTTCGGTGAAGCGTTTGCGGCGACGGAGAAGGTCCATGAGTGAGCCAGAAGTACATAACTCGAGCGTGATGTAGACGTTGTCGTCACCCTCGAAACAGTCGATGAACTTGACGATGTTGGGGTGAGAAAGGGAACGGTGGATTTTAATTTCCGCATAGAGCTAGAGGTTGAGAGTGAGTAGTGGAAGGAAAGCAGTTCAAGCGGGAACGGACCTTGGTTTTGGCCTTCTTCGTCTTGAGGGAACTCATAGTGACGACTTTGCAGGCAAGCCGTTTGGTTGAGCTGTCCATTATCTCGTAGACACGGGCAAAGCCACCTTCTCCGAGAAAGCCAACCCTCTGGTACTTTTGTCTACCTGACTTGTCTGCAATGATCTTTGGGGGAGAAGGTGGCGTTGTCTTGCTGTTTTGACGAGGGAGTGGTGGGGATGCTGGGGCTGCCGGGGCATTGGTATCGGCTGGCGCAAGTGGGTGGCGCCGGGAGGTTGGTGGATGTTGTGCTTGCTGTGGTATCATGGCCTGACGCCTAGAAAATGGTGGTTTGAGGAAGAGTGTTGCTCGGTCAACCAAACGCCAATGTGGCACGTGTTGAGCGTGACCGGGTTTGATCTGATCGCGGTTCCTTCCAATGGCCGACAACGAAGACGAGGGCTTTTTTGCGAATATTCTCAAGCCAGGCTCTGCTCTTCAGCCGCAATTCCTTGCCGTTCTTGATGGCGCATTTGCCACCCTGCTTGTCATCCTCTTTGCACTCGTGTTCCTTACGTCAGGAAACCTACACATCTTTGTCCTCATTGCAATCGAACTCGGGCTGTGGGCTTCCGTGAAATGGTACACGATGCATCTATCAAAGCTCCCTCGGTACAACACGCTAAAAGTACAATAGGTTTGTCTACGAGCTCAAACAAACGGCCAAGAAAGAGTCTTAACGTCGGGTTTCCTCATACCATCGCTTCATTCGTTTGGCACCCTCTTGTGCCGCTGCAAACACTTTGAAATAGTCAGTGTGTCGTATCCTTAACTTCTTGATTATACTCACATTCGCGTTCCGTGCCGTCTAGTCCTTCGCGGAACGACTGAGCGCCATCTCCTGCAGTCTGGGCGAGCGTGCTGAAATGTTGAGCCTGGTCAATTACTTGTATCAGCCGTTGCCGAAACGTCTATTGTACCGTCAGCTAGACAATTCCACGCCATTGAGACCTACATTCGTCATCAACTGCGACATGTCTGCCTTGTTATCGAGTCTGAATGTGATTGTGAGTAGCTCAGCAAAGGTTGGACGCAGTTCGCACAATTCCATGATGGTCTTTCCAAAGCCATACCACAACCCTCCTGCACCGACAAGACCAGAGAGACGCACGCTGCAGGGTTCAGCGTTGAGTGCATTCCTCACTTTGGCCCCAAACGCTGGTGGCATAATCATGTCTGCCCAGTCCCTGATTGAAAGCTCATGAAAAGACGAAAAGAACAAGGGAATACGCATGCGATAATATTACTGTGTAGATCAACCAGATGGGCAGCTGTAAATTGGTGCCCTTCTTGATCTTGGTCGCGTTAGTTGGCTGAAAACGCGTTCAAGGCCACAAACATCGCGGTCAGCGCCACCACCAAGATGACCCATGTCCGGGATGTCGACTTTGAATCGACATCCAACTCTCTGGACCATTAGGAGGCTGCATTGGACCGAAAAACAATGGGCACACCTGATTCTCAGCCAAAATCGCGTCGATTGAAAAGTAATCGTCCTCCATAAGCCGCAACGTCGGTCACGCTTGTGACCCCGCCACGATGATTTTGCCCACTATACTCCGTCGAGTCGCAGCACCACGAACACGGCTGCACATTCACCGTCGGACATTGTTCGGAATCGGGGAGAAGCCTGAACCTCCAACACCTCAATTAGGTCCCCGCTTCGAAGACACTGCTCGTCAAGCGCAACAACTTTTTGCGGACAAGCCTGAAGCTGTAGAGGCTATTGTCAAGTTTGCCAAAGTCATGGAGGAATCAGGTATGTTCATCCAACGCCCGCGACGTGGGCCTAATGACAAGTAGGAGTCGCGGTTACGGCGGGGAAAATGCCTGGTCCAATGCAGTTGCTCAAGCTAGCAAAAAATCCCAAGTTTCACGAGGCGTACCGGGAGGTTGAGAGTGAGCTAGGGAAGGCTGGAATCGATGTCAAGTCGAAAGTGCGTCGCGAACCTTCTGTTCTCAGGCTATAATGTTGACTGCACCTACTAGGAATTCATGGATGTCGCTACATCACTCTACAAGAACTATCAGAAATAATAATGCAACCTCATTCAACAGTCCGAACCATTGAGCCTCCTTTTCATTGTACCTCAAGTGATACGTCATTGTTCGAGCGGGAACAAAGCCAAGGAATTGTGCGCGCCGACATCCCGCCATCAATCAGCCCGCCATCAGCACCTGACATCAAAAAGTTGTTGACTTTGTCGGGAGTATAAATAATGGCCCGCCCATCCGACCCCTCCCCAATCCAACCCCAATCATGTATCCATCTAACTTCAGTACCCCCCAGAAGAAATCTGTGACCTGGGACAGCCCTTACGTTCCAACGCCTGATTACCCCCTCCCTCGTTGGTCAACTAAGCTCAACCATACCAGTCCTAACACCGTGCAGGGGAACTCGTTCAAGGTCGTAACGTTTTATACTACCCCGGCGCTCCCCAAATTGGTCCAGTCCCCCTTCCCGCTTCCCCCCGCCTCCTCTGCATCCTCTTTCGATCCTATCCTCGTCGCATTTGCGCATCCTTTGCTTCGCCCAGACAATATCAAAGCACTTGTTTCTTCTTCTGAATTTAGGCGCGAGATGATCAGTGTGCCTCAAACACTTGCCAACTATAAACTCGACGAGTCCGCGTTTGCGCCCGTCCAGACCTGCATCAAGATTCGATTCACCACCCACAAGTCTGAACACCTCGTCATCGACGCACCAAACCCGTCCATCTGGCAAGTTTTGTGTGCCATCCATAAGTATCTCCATACTCCCATTTCCCGTCACCAAGTACAAGACATGGGAGATGCCAGGCGTCGTCACGCTATGGACTCGTATAATGCTCGCCGGAATTTTGGCGGCGGCAAGCAAGGCATGCAAGTGCTTGACCTTGTAGGCTTTGGCCCACGCAACTACTATTTTACTGGTTTGGCTTCCTCAGAGGGATCCAACACCTGGACTGCCATGTTTGCCTACGACCCGTGAGATCCTGCTCGATATTCCAACTTTCTGTATCGTTAATTGCTGTAAAAGTAAGTCGAACTCTGTAGCCCATATGTACAAACCCACTTTTGTTTCTCTTTCGTATATCCTGTGTACTTCGATACTGGATCAAAATTCTAGGTTTCGCTGCTTACATGTGCAAACGTGATCGTTTCTTGCTTGAAGTCTACCTTGATGGCCATTCCTGCCCCAGAGAAACCTCTCCCAACGACACCGTATTATTCTGTCGAGTACCCAGGCTATGTCCAGTCGTCGTCTGTCCCCATCGCCATCAAGAATCTGGGTGGCCAAGCAGCGCTTGATACCGCGTTCAAAAGGACAGCATCGAAAGCTGAAGCACAGACGATCCTTGAACTGAATCTGCGTCCTGGAAATCCATTCTCGCATCCCATTATGGGAGAAGTAGTGCCGACCACTAATCTCGTCCTGAAAGTGGTGAAACGCAAACGCAAAAATCGTATGCAGGTCGATGGAGAGCAGCTTGGAGAGTACACTGCGGAGGTGATTGGTACAACCTCTAAGACCGTCCGATTCCGCAGTATGTGCCAAGGTTCGTGTTTGTGTTTTACTCCCTAAATCATCCAGGCATGGCCGATTTTCAATACCAACCGGATATGAACGACCCCGTGAGCAAACTGCGAGTCGCAATGGACAATTTGGATGGTAATACTCCAATATGTCTGTAGTACTATCCAGCTAATTGGCTCTAAACAGTCGATGCTATCCGGTCATATGTAGTGCCGCCAGAAAAGGCAGACTACACGGTTCCCATATCAGAGCCCACGAGCATAGATGTCAACATCGACCCAGCCTTGACAGGAGCACCAAATTCCGCGCCTCCGGACAGTCAACCAATGCGAAGTAACCTGCGCCTTTTCCCACCTCCCCTCTTCAGCCGTCAAGGCTATCCTCAAAGTTACAAGTTGAGTTGACTGATTAACATTGAACGCATTATACTCAAGTAATCGTAGCTTTAAAGCCAACCCTGCATCGATTGAGACTTCCATCATAAACGAAGAAACAGGGGAAGAGAGAAAGCGACTCATAAACAGAATGCGATGGAAAGGATATGGCCCCGCAGCCATCTCCTTCTCGGATCGCACTGTCAGCTTTCCTACCTAGTTTTGGAGGGGGAGACTAACTCACCTCCAGGTTCCAGAAAAGCCCTTGAAGCTTGTCCAAGATGCTCGAAACCAGATTAGTGAGGCGTTTCACCAAAAATTACTCGCAGCAAGTTCTTATTTCTTGCCGCCGTCATCTCGTGCTGTCTGACTATGGCTGTTAGCTCTTCGAAGAGCGACCGATCTGGACACGTGCGGCGCTCTTCAGTCAGATTACAGCGGTTGAAGCTCGGGATGCTCTGAAGTAAGTTAGCCATATGTGTTCCTGCGTTAGTCTGACCGTTTTCAAGTTCAAAATTGCCACTCGCGTTCGTATCCTACGTGTTCAACGATGGCCCATGGCGAGACACCCTCGTCAAATTTGGTTACGATCCTCGCACAGACCCTTCTGCTCGTTTGTGAGTCGCGTCTCGAATCCCTGTTGATGCAGTCGATTGACAATCAGTTACCAACGCTTGTACTTTCGCAATGCGAATCATCCTATAGTCAAGCCGTCTGTTACGTCGAGACGGCAAGACAGGTCAGCTGCGAATATGGACAATTGGGCGATAGCGATTGAAAATGGTTCGGAACGAGATCTGGAGCGGAGGTTGGTTTCCATTCTTATTTTCCCGGTTGCCCTCAGTATGACACATGCACGTAGAAAGTCCCATATTTTCGATGGTCAAACGTTGACCAAAGAAACAGCGGCATTCCAGCTATGCGACATCATCGACCCTATGCTCAAGGAGATGATTGACGACGAGGAGGACTTGCGAGAAGAGTGCGATGTGAGGAAGACTTGTCGACGGGTTTCCATGCTTAGCTTAATCAACAGGAACGCGATGGGTGGTATTCTAACAGAGCACTGGAACGCATCAAGATTGTGCTGCGGCACAAATTCTTTTCGCTACTCGATGGCTTAGTTGCCTCAGACGAGGACTGCCAACAACTCTTGAACACGACAGAAAAGATGTCGGCCAAAAACGCTAAAGACTTGTCTAGTCTACGAACTGTCCGTCTCAGACTTGGCAAACACAACATGGCGAAAGGCGCGCTACGGCCCGAGGACGCGGCGGTATTCACCCGCCCTTATATTATAACGCGCATCACTGATTTCCTCCAGGCATTACGCTTGCAAGCAGTGCTCGACAAGAATCGGCAGCAAAACCGAGCCCAAGCAAAGGAGCCTCAAGAAAAGGAGTCATGAAAAAGGTGGGAGTGTCTCTGGATCTTGACTTGCGCAGATATTTGTACCGATTAGAGTGTTTTGCCAAAGTTTCTTGTTTTTTGTTCTCGTTGATAGCATACACATAGCGACTGACACCATACAAAATAGCCCATGGCACTCTAGGCTGCCATTTTTGCTTCACGACGGGCAGCGTTCTGGAGAGGAGGCTCGTTAGCCTTGGAAATCGGGAGAACATGTGACGCACTGAGCCGGCAAGTGCGTGTCTGGCGTTGCGACGGAATTTGGGGTCTACCTGTGCTGCTCTTAGCCATCGTTTATGGTGGGCATTTTCCAACGTACACCCTTCAGAGACCGTGTGCGGCCAGCCGATGGCCTCTTAATCCCGTTACGGTGAGCCTTTTTGTTCTGCAGCGATTTCAGCGGGACTTAATGAGCCGGAATCATCCCGAACGAACTTGGTTGTGGTTGGTATGACTGCGGACATCGTCAGAGGATAGCACTACGAGAGAGGCCGTCGACCCACTTCTTTGACTTGGCCATAGAGATTAATGGGAGTTGTGATCAAGACGAGCTGGTCAGTCAGTCACGACTGTCACATCCGTCACACTTTGGATGGAAAGAAAAAATGAGAGAAAAAAATTCGAGAGCCGACTTCCACCGTACAATTTATTGCGAGTTGCCGCTGTACACCTTTTCCAACGAGATTGCGGCTCTCTAGGCAATTTTATAGGAGGTATTCGCTGGAAGTAATTGTCCCCAGCTGATTGGCCGAGCGATCCCGAAACGCCGAAGCGCCGATAAAGCCGCTCGCCAAAAGCGATCGGCCGAACAGTTTTCTCTACTTAAACCTCCAACTTGTATCTCGGGTGCGCAATTATAAATGCCCGTCGCTGCCTCGCCCCGCACGCTATACGACAAGATCTGGGACGACCATGTCGTGTAAGTTGTTGTGACTCTAGTTTTGGCACGGTTTTGACGCTCCACAGAGACATCCAAGACGATGGACTCGCGCTAATCTACATCGACCGCCACCTTGTTCATGAAGTCACGAGTCCACAGGCATTCGAGGGGCTGAGAAATGCTGGCCGGCCTGTGCGCCGCCCGGATTGCACTCTTGCGACCGTCGACCATAACATTCCCACTGTCGACCGGAAATCTTTCAAAGACGTAAAGTCCTTCATTGACGAGCCAGAGTCACGCGCCCAGTGTGCCGCCCTGGAGGACAACGTGAAGGAGTTCGGGCTCACATATTTTGGTATGACGGATAAGCGACAAGGTAAGCACGTCTATCGTTCACGTAAGGCAATTCTCATTCCTTTTCTAGGCATCGTCCATGTCATCGGTCCCGAGCAGGGCTTCACGCTGCCTGGTATAACCTGTGTATGCGGGGACTCCCATACATCCAGTTCGTCACGCGACTCCTCTTCCGAGTTATAGCTAATTTTACTGCAGCTCATGGCGCTTTCGGCTCTCTGGCATTTGGTATTGGAACATCGGAAGTCGAACATGTGCTTGCTACCCAGACCCTCCTGCAAAAGAAAGCCAAAAACATGCGCATTACTGTCGACGGCGACTTGCTTGAAGGTGTTACCTCCAAAGACGTCATTCTCCACATTATTGGGGTGATCGGCACTGCGGGTGGAACTGGCTGCGTTATTGAGTATGCTGGGTCTGTGTTTCGTGGATTCTCCATGGAGGCACGCATGAGCGTCTGTAACATGAGTATAGAGGCTGGTGCTCGCGCTGGCATGGTCGCCCCAGACGAAATCACCTTTGATTACCTCCGAAGTCGTCCATTGGCGCCAAAGGGTGAAGCCTGGGACCACGCAGAAACCTATTGGCGCTCTCTCAAAACCGACGATGGCGCGAAATTCGACATCGAAGTCAACATCCCTGCCTCCGACATTATTCCCACTGTGACTTGGGGCACCTCCCCTCAAGACACCGTCCCCATTACTGGCTCCGTCCCTGATCCAGCAACTATTGCGGACTCTGTCAAACGGGCTTCGGCAGAGCGTTCGTTGACGTATATGGGTCTCACTCCCAACACTCGAATGGAGGATATCAAAGTCGACAAAGTTTTCATTGGGTCGTGTACCAATAGCCGAATCGAAGACTTGCGATCTGCCGCAAAAATCGTCCTTGCTGCGGGTCCCAATGCTCAGGTTGCTTCTGGAGTGGATGCTATGGTTGTCCCTGGCTCTGGTCTGATCAAGAAGCAAGCCGAGGCAGAGGGACTTGATTCGCTCTTTAAACGCGCTGGTTTCGACTGGAGAGAGGCTGGTTGTTCGATGTGTCTGGGTATGAACCCTGATCAGCTTTTGCCTGGTCAACGTTGCGCGAGTACCAGCAACCGCAACTTCGAGGGTCGACAAGGTTCAGGTGGTCGAACTCATCTGCTCAGTCCAGCAATGGCAGCCGCCGCCGCGATGACAGGCAAGCTCACTGATGTCCGCAAATTTATGGGAGCAGTCGCTGAAGCCAATATTGCTGCCGCACCGAAACTGAAGGTTGCGAGTGCTTTCGACTTTTTGGATGATCCTGTTCTCCCTGCCCCAGAACCACTAGCCATCTCCCCAGCCGTGCCCACCACCCTCCCTTCCTCAGATGCTCCCTCAACCGTTCAGAAATTCACCGTTTTAAAAGGCATCACTGCGCCGTTGCATATCGAAAACGTTGACACCGATATGATCATTCCCAAACAATTCCTCAAAACCTTGAAGCGCACCGGCCTTGCCGATGCCCTCTTCTTCACTCTCCGAAAGGACCCTCACACGGGCAAGGATACCGACTTCGTCCTCAACCGTGAGCCGTATAATCGCGCCAAGATTCTCCTCTGTACGGGCAAGAACTTTGGCTGCGGCAGTTCCCGTGAACATGCACCATGGAGTTTGTGAGTCAATTGGGCAATTTTTTTGGGTTCAATTTTTGTTTACAGTTTTCAGGAATGACTTTGGGATCCGTTGTATCATTGCACCAAGTTTCGCCGACATTTTCAAGAACAACTCGATGCAGAATGGGATGCTGCCTGTCGCGCTGTCTGTCGAAGAGTGTCGCAGTCTGGCGGCTGATGCTGAAGCTGGACTGGAATTGGAGGTCGATCTCGAAGCGCAGGAGATCCGACGACCCAATGGCCAGCCATCAATTCCGTTCACAGTGGACCCTTTCAGGCGGCATTGTCTGATCAATGGATTGGATGATATCGCACTGACAATGCAGCGTGGGGAAGCAATCAGCGCGTTTGAGAAACGAAGGAGCGAGACGTGGTCGTGGCTAGATGGATTTGGATTCAAGGGTGCCCGAATCCCAGTCTCGCCAGCGAAGGTAAAGAGCGGTAAGAAGATGGAGTGGTAGTGATTGCATGTGTACAAGCCAAAGATTTTTTTTACAACGACAACAGTAGACGCGTGAGCGTGAGCGCGATCAGAAGGGTGGTCCGTGCGCGAGTTGATTGGGAATGACTGCGAGCACACTACGCCAAAGTTTCACAAAGGATAATTACACTCGCGTTACAGGCAAGACGTACCTCACTAAAACACTATCGTACCGATTCTAACGTCTCCATCGATGTTACACTGTTACCACGGATGACCTATGAAAAGAAAGACATCAGAAGGTTAATCTCGGGTAGAAGACATTGCAACGAACGACGGTGCCAATCTGGTGCTTTTGTGCTGGGGTTGTTTCCTCGACGGCATCGTCGATGACGAGATTGAGGAAAAGGTCGTAGCCGCGGAGAGTTCCGCTAACCTTCCGCCCGCCTTGCAGATGGACGAAAAGTTTTTTGTCCATAAACTAGGGCTGGGTTAACACGCGTGCTCTCAAGGTAAATGAAGCAAAGCAAGGAAATACCTTCTTTAGTTCGGGCTGACTTGCTTTGGACATGGTGGTTGAATGCGAAGAAGCGGAAGTGTGACTGGATTTTGATCGCTTGGGTCTTCCTTCTGTATTCTACCTCCTGCCACGACCGAGCTTGTCTCAAGCTTCTCATATCTTTAAACGCACCACCCAGTGGCTAATTAATGGCTACTGCTGCACCTCCACTACCTCCTGCTGCTTCCCGACCACGAGAAAGCTGGCGTGCAGAAAGTTCAAGCTCACCGTTTCCGGCTCGAGGCAGAGGTGGGAGAGGCAGGGGACGGGGCGCAAGGGGAAGGGGAAATAACAGCAACAATGCCAACAACATTTCCACTCGCTCGGATAACAGCACAAAACAAGACCCTCCAAAGCAAGCGCCTCCCTCCGTTCAACCACCCGTGCCTCCGTCAAAACCTAACCCGCCTCCCCCACCTTCTTCTGTTTCAGGCTCGTCTGAGACAAAGGAAAAGTCTGGTCGTTCAAAGGGTAGACGACCACCTCGTCAAACACCCGCCGTTGTTGTGGAACCTGCTGGACCTTCGGCCGAAACAGCCAACAACAGCGGTAGCAGCAATGCGAATCCTAACTCCCCCAGACCAAGTAACAGACGCAGGAGGTCTCAGCAGCTTACCAAAGCCAATCCTAACGTTGCCAATCTCAAAGTTGATGTCCCTCCACTAGATAATAACTCGCTGCGATCACCGCAAGGCAGCCATCTAGCGGTTCCGAAGAGTGCCCCTCCACCCTCCAAAGACACTCCCCCACATCTTGCTGGCCAATTTGATATGAGGAGTGATATCAATGCTTTAGTTGAACGGGTTCGCGCTGTGGCCATGGAAAACCGACCAGTGACTCCTGGAAGCGCTAGTCATATTGATTGGGCCGGGGATGACGACGAGAGTCTGCCTGACCTCGACGACTGGGGTGTAAAGCCTAGTGCTGATATTCAAAAGCAGCAGGACGAGTTGATCTCGCCAATCATTGTCGATGGCCTAACGCCATTGCCTGACCCAGTTGTCAAACCACCGACTCCGCCGGAAGAGGCAAAGCCAGAAACAACCCCTTTTGCTTCGAAAGAGACGGAGAAACCTGTCGCTGTCCCCCTCCATCCATCACTACCTCCCAAGCCAGTCTCTGCTGTTGAAGCTCCGACTGAAAATACATCACCCGCAGCCGAACCGTCCAGCCCACAAAACCCAAAAGTGGGTCTCGCAGCGTCTATGCACGCTGATCAACCAGCGAGTTCGTCAAGCAAGCTGTCTCCACATGTTCCTGAATTCAGCCCTTCTCACCAACGAACGCAAACCGTGGGCCGTGCTTTCCCTCATTCGGCTCCTGGCGGCTTCAATAATCGATTCCCTCGGTCAGGCAGCTCGACGCCGAGAGGTGGTTATGCACCACGGAATCAACATGCCAGAACCCACTCCTCCCCTCCAATTTCGAATGCGGGCAACCATCGCACGCCTCACTCTCGTCCTGTCATAACTGGAGACGCCATTTCCCGTCTCGCACGCACGATCGCAGCTCCCTCGCCGCCACGTGCCCAGCCCATTTCGACTACCAACAACTAACTAACCTCAACTGCCAAAATCGGACAAACGGACAACATACCCTCTGCGCTATCTAAAAATTTTTTCTTTGTTTTTCTGCACATTGTTTTCTATTAGTGTACCTTCGTAGTCTTTTTTCTATTTCGTTCTCCCTGTTTGTGAAGAAATAATGCTGGATATGTAGGATAGTCATGGTCAAATGCAATAGCCTATGGTTTTACGCCGACCGAGTGAACTTCAAGTGTAAGACGACCAGTGATCAAATTTTTGAATCCAGACCACCATCAAGCTCCTCCAAACTTGCCTCCAGCGACAACGTTAACAATGGCCAAAGTCAGCAATTCCAATTGCTACATGCACCTCATCACTCGGCTTGAGTCTAAGTCGGCTGGGCTCCAACGTTGACTGGGCTCTGTTAATGGATGGCTTCAAGACTCGCGCTCGCCCCAGGAGGACGTTGTTAAGCTTGTCGTAGGTCGCCGAATGAAGAGGCAGGCGGCTTTGAAGTTCAACCCGAGGGGCCAGTATTCTTAGGATGGCAATCCTTTGCGCGTCGTCAACGCACTTTCAAGAATCGGAACTTGGTATGGCGCCTGCGTTCACCGTATCAAATTACCAACAAACAAGCAACTGGACAGAGCCAAGATAAATAGTCGAACGACGACTGCGCAATTTTGAGGGTTGGCGCATAAAAACATTCCGACCCGGGTTGTGCTTTGCACCAAACCGTCGCGTTAGTCAGCAACTCTAGGGGTTTCCAATGCCAGCGTACCTCTACCCTGCTTCTCAAATTGGCTTTTATTTATGCTGCGGTGATGGTTTGAGCCCTAGATCGCTCATATTGTAAGCGAGACGCGGTATTGCAGACCGGCTGGGATGTCTTCCGCCCTTGGTTAGGTGTTGCAGGTGGGTACCCTGTCCGTCTCTCACCTCACTACAACGATTCTGATTTGCAACAAGGACAAATCGTGAACCATTTTGGAGGAGTGCGAGTACAAACATCAGAGTACTCTCGAACTTTGTGTTAAGCCTCATTTTTGCCAGATTCACGTCCCAGAATTGGCACAGTTGGCCTCGGTTGACCTCACAGACCTTCTCGCTGAAAACCAGACTCGGAAATTCAGCACACAACTGTACGAGAGGCACGAAACGTTTTGGAGGTACCAGTACACCACTATACGAAAGTCTTGAAATGATTTGGGACACTCGAGTTGTTATCATTTATAAATCAGCGCCCCCCTAGGCTTCCTTTAGAATGCTTTGTCAAACGCTCTTCTTGTCGCTGGCTCTCGGCGCTTCCGCAACACAGATCCACAACGTATCTCCTGGTAGTGCGTATCTAGTTTACAGGTCGGGTTCATAACAAATCTAATTACCGTCCCAAATTTATAGTCGCTAACAACAACATTCAAACATGCGTTTCGGTGAAGGAGAACGTCGATGGTGCCCCCGTGACCATCCAGAACTGTGGTTTGAAGGGCGACCAAGTAGTTTGCGACTGGGATGTCTCGTTCTTTTCCGACTCCCTCGCGCAACCCCGCTGGCCCGCAGCAAATCAAGGTCTTTGGCGACAAAGTGCGGTTTGCGGGGTTCGTCGAGTGTGTGGTCTGACGAGACAATATAGTGTCTTGAGGTCAAAGATGGCAGCTCGGTGCAAATTGGGATCTGCGACATAAATAACAGGGACCCCAACCAGCAATGGACGTCAAAGACCGATTCGACTTTCCGTTGGGGTGGTAAACCGAACCAATGTCTCGGCCTCCGTGATCGCCAGACCTGGCCCGCCAATGGGACGCCTCTTGTGGTAAGTCGCAGCTGCGCGGAGTTACACTAGACAACTGTTGCAGGTTCAAACATGCGCTCCTCCCGAGTGGTATCCCAAGCAAACCTGGGCCAGTCGCCCCGTCACCCACAAACTCGAAGAAGGCCGCCTCTACACGGGAGGGAGCTCGGTGGAGGACTCATACTGCATGACTGCGTCGTCTGAAGCTATCAATGCGCCGATCGGCCTTGCAAAATGCAGCAGCTTCATGGACATCTACCCTTGGGGAAACATCGGGTGGTATATGCCCGCGCTTGGCTTGACCAATCGCATCTCCGCCAGCCGCGTCAAAGAGTCTACTACTGGAAAGTGTCTCGTTGTTTCCGGGGATATGAAGGAGAACGGCGTAACGCTTGCGATTGGACCCTGCTCCACCCGCGCTGGCAAACTGATCAGTCCCCGTTTTACCGCTCTGGCGACTGGGCAGCTGCAGCTAGAGGGCACCGGCCTCTGCGTCGACGTGGCCGGGTCCAAGCTTGCAGACGGAGCACTCGTTCATTATTCCTTTTCCTCGTCGTTGTCCTGCTCAAGATATTCATTGTAGATTCAACTGTGGGAATGCGCTGGCGACAGAGCGAGCCAGAAATGGAGCCGCACTGGGTCGTGAATTAACGGAGAGTGAGTAGTCTGAATCTACTATCGTTAGTATAAGTAGTACCGTCAGCATTCAAGTACACAAACGAAGTGCTAGTGGCTAATTGTTGCACAGCCACCGATGCTGTTGAAACCTGCCACAATGCTCAGTGAAAGTCACCAAAACACTCAAGCCAATTGCATGCAACGACGACAATGAACATGACGGCTGTGCTTAAACTCACGCCTATAGCTAACTTATAATAGACTCCACCGAAACAGAGCACTGCAGTTGAAATACCTGCAAAGTTGCAGATTACCGTCCAAGTGCCCACTCTTGGACGTGCCGAACCTTGTTTTAGCCTGACTCAAGCCCCATTACGGCTCGGATTGGCCGATCTTCCCGCCACGAACACAACGCCTACCGCTCAACCATGAGCGAAACTTAGGCAAAGTCAAGAAAAATTCAAAGGCATATCGTGACTGTCATCGGGCAAACTGAACCGCAAACTCAGGCGTAGTGCATAGGAAACAAGGAGCCGTTGCATGAAACGCTTTGGAGTACTTGCGCCGTTATAAAACCTTGAGGAGCGCCTATATTCCGAATGCTTCCCCAAGCGCTCTTGTTGGCCCTTGTCGTCGCCGTTTCTGCACGGCAGATCCATAACGCACATCCCGGCTGTGCGTATATGGTGCTGAAATTACTAATTGCCCACTGGAATTATAGTCGTCAACAACGACCACATCCAGGCATGTGTCGCGGTGAAGGATAACGTCGATGGGGCAGCCGTGACTCTCCAGAATTGCGGTGCAAACGGCGACCAAGCGGTTTACGAGTGGGATCTGTCGTTTTTTTCCGACTCCTCCGCGCAGACCACTCTGCAGCAAATCAAAGTCTTTGGCGACAAGGTGCGATTTGCGTATCGGTTTAATGCAGTCAATAGTTTGACGCGATGATATAGTGCCTCGAGGTTAAAGATGGCAGCTCTGTCCAAATTGGTGTTTGCGATGGGAGCAACGCAAACCCCAACCAGCAATGGACGTCAAGCAGCGACTCTACTTTCCGTTGGGGTGGTAAGCCCAACCAATGCCTCGACCTCCGCGATGGAAAGACCGTCAATGGGACGCCTCTCGTGGTAAGTCGCAGCTGCGCAAATCACAATTGTATTAGACACTTGTTGCAGGTTCAGCCATGCTCCCTTGCCTCTTGGCTTCCGACTCAAACCTGGGCCAGCTACCCGATCACCCGCAAACTAGACGAAGGCCGCCTCTACACGGGGGGGAACTCGGCGGAGGACTCCTACTGCATAACCGCTTCGTCTGAGGATGTCAACGCGCCGATCGGACTCGCCAAATGCAACAGCTTCAAGGATGTCTACCCCAAGGGCAGCAACGCGTGGTACATCCCCTCCCTTGGCTTCACCAACCGCATCTCCAGCCGTCTCGAGCAGCCCAAATGTCTCACCGTTCCCGGAGACAAGAAAGAAAACGGCGTCAAACTCGCCATTGGCCCCTGCGTCAGAGGCACGGGCCCCCCGACCAGTCAGCGCTTCATTGCTTTGGCAACCGGGCAGCTCCAGTTAGAAGGCACGCGTTTTTGCGTCGACGTGGCTGATCTTCAAATCACGAATGGCGCACTGGTCCGTTCCGTCCTCCCATTTTTGCTTGTTTTGCTCAAGTATACCTACAGATCCAACTCTGGGAATGCATCGGCGACAGACCGTCCCAGAAATGGTCGCGCGCTGCGGTATAAGGGTCTTTACGATATGTGGAACCAATTATATTAGTTTTGGTTACTGCAGATTCTTAGTAGGCAATTAAATCAAGGACATTTTTGTTTTTGTTTATTTGCTTTTGGCTGGAAAGGCATTTTGACAAGCAAGGCATAGTTATTGGTCCGAACTAAAGTAGGAGAGTTCGAGACCTATTGCCTTGATAGGTTTAGTCCGACTGGAAAAGTCTGAGACGACGCCCAAGCTGACAAGCATGTTGCGAATTCGACCCTCCCACATCAATGACACGTCCTTGAAAATTGACTTTAGAGAAAGAAATAGTTGGAGCAAGAGACCCGCACATTTTTCGTGGAAGCGCGGGCCTTTACAACCCCTCGTATTTCTCCCTTTGGAGAAGAGGCCCGGGGGTTGGCTGAGGGATCCTCACTTTCGTCGGAAGACCGCATCCACCACTCCGTTCCCAGCGTCCATTCGCTCTCATAGCTGTAGACATTGAAGTCGAAACGAGAGGACATGGACAGATCACGGGACACGCGGGCTGAGTAGGCGCTGGAAATGTGTCCCAACATCGGGTTGAAGAGAGCCGTGATAGTTGTGGGGGGTTGGGAGGGTGGCCCTTTAGCGCCGAGTGGAGACGAGGCTGAGCCTGGTGCCTGGAAGGAAGGCGGAGTAGCGTCAGGGAAGGTAGTGAATCGAAAACCAGTCGATACTGTAGGATGATTCAGATAAAATCTACTGGCCATTAGTAAAAACTTACTGCCTGCACTTCGCTCTTTCGCACTGAAATATACTTCTGCGCCAGCTGATACGCGTCCTTTCAAGCCGCCTTCAATGGGGTCTTCTTCGTCAACGCGCTTCATCCCAGGACTGCGAACTTTTTCTTGCTCGGCAGACGACGCGTCAACTGCCGGCACACCTATTTTCCCAAAATTGTGAAGGACCCGTATTCCCCACATACCGTCATCTGCACTCCAAGTGTACTCAGTGCACCACTTCCCAACATCGTGCTGGAGGTTGAATATTAGATTGCTCGCGTTACCACCTCGCACTGCGACCTCTGGTGGAATATTTGAAGGGGGGGTATGATATCGCAGCGACTAGAGCTTGTAGTGTTGGGGACAAACGAGTCGAGTACAGCGCGTCTAACCTGCCCGTGGGGAGGTAGAACCGCCCATAGAGCAGGTAATCTGAGGGACAAGTGGGGTCAATAACGAGGTTAAGAGTTTTCGTAGGCATACCGCGCTTGTCGACGCGCTCTCCGTTAAAGAACTCCTCTTCCTTCGGCTCCGGTCTTCGGGGCTGGTCGTAGACTCGAAATCGCTCCAGCATGTCCTTGAAGCGGGCGTTGCCTGACGATTTGATGTCTAGCTCACAGGATGTGAAGATGTACCCAATCGAGCCGTTCAGCGACGGCATGGCGTTCATCGAGTAGGTCGTCTTGAACAGCGAGTTGGGCGATTTCGACACGGAAAGGTGAAGCCCTCTCGGGACAGTGAAGTCCAGAATTGCTAGTGAAGATGGATAAGGGAAAACAAAATCTCGAAATAGCGACGCGGCAAACCATTCGAGGAGCGTGTGATGTTGGCATAGAGGTTATCTTCGTTCCAGCCAGTGGCTTTGTAGTAACTGCGAAGAATGTACGACGCAAATGGATGCATTTCGCATCTCAGCTGAAGATCACGTGTTGCAAACGTACATTCGAGCCTTTTTTGGTTGACTTTCGTGTAAATATTCAATCAAGGTCAGTTACTTCCTTACATAACCTCAACCCCTGAGTCGACTCTCAACCCACACACATGGGTTGGTTTTTGCGTTCTGTGAATGACCACCTCGTCAAAATTGGAACCTGGGCGTATCGTACCATCTATAATGATGAGAGGCCCCCTCACCTGGAATACTACTTGCGTTCTGCGGAATACCACCTGAGTCAATTCGCGACCCGGATGTCCAATGCCATTGAAGAGCAGTCACCTCTCTCTCTCAGCGTCATCGATCCAGAAGGCATCAGACTATATGGCATAGATATTCGTGAACGTTGGCAACAGGCCGAGGACCGCATGCAGTCAGCCTCTCCAGAAGAAAAGGCGAAGTTGATGGAAGAAATAGAGAAATACAAGACCATATACAACGCTGTCCGTTATTCCTTTCAAGTTCCCAAAATATTTCGGGCATTAGTGCGTGGAGCTTCATCGTAGGACCTACTGTTCCATACCTCTCATTTGCTAATTGTCCTAGTTCGTGCCCAGCAGGAGCAGGCAAAGCACTCTAATAATGAGCGTCTCAAGGCTGAATAACCTCGTTTGAACTCTTCCTAGCTTTATCATTATTCTTAATATTATTTGATCATTTTGCGCCTCTTCCAGTGGCAGTTCTGCCCACTTGAAACGCCTCAAAGTTCAAGTCCAATCTAGTCCAATGTGATTTCGCGGTAGCAAGCAGCAATAATTACCAACCTAAACTTAACGCCTCGATCAAGTTAGACCTCGTGACCTCCATCTCTAACTGTCAAGGCTCTTCATCCTAGTCAAACGAGGCTTTGTAGGAAGGAGTTGACATTTGAAGCTGCTTTTACTCCAAGACACCCTCCCAATGGCTCCCATGACCCTTCGGTGCCCAACATGCGAACGAAGGCTCAGTCATTTCCACATCGGATTAATATTTAATTGGACTCTCTTGTTACACCGTCGCTATTGCTCAAATCTATTTTCTATTCCGTTGCTGCTAGTCACACCAGAGTGTTGAACGACGTCGTTGTTCGACCATCTCCGAAAGGAATCCATTGTCTCTACGAGTGGTTGTTGTTCAATAAGTTCAAACTCGAGTCTCCTTCCCACATATTTACGCAGGACTTGTGTTGGGACCAGAAAACTTTCCTCGTTACCTGCACCTTGAACTGTTGGTTGACCGCCAAGGACGAGTTGGACATTTGCGAAACCAGTATCCCGTATGGAAGTTTGGATACTATTTGTTTTTGGACTGCTTAGTCTCAGCATCAGTATTTCCTTTCCAGCCAACCTGACTCAAAACATGGCTAGTATCTCATCAATACGGGGTCTCCGCAACGGGTCCTTGGCCCAACAGTGACAGAGCAGATTCCACAGAGCATCATTCAGACCGCGATTGATCACGGCTTGCTCACGCGGCCTGGTTGGCTGCACGCCTTGAGAGGTGCGAATCACAACCTGTGGAGAGCATGAGAGGACTCGAAGGAACTGAAGGCCTAGAAACCTCTGTAGTGTGCTTGATCTCGCTGAAGGGTTGGGCGTGTGTAAACAACTAGCAATGATCAGATATAGCAGCTGGCCTTGATTTCCTCGTACCTCCAGAACCGTCATGCCATACGCATAGACATCTGAGCCAAGCGACAATACCCCTTGGCCAATGCACACCTCTGGCGCAAACCAGCGATACGAGTCGCTCACACCACGACTTTGGCTAAAAGGAATCCCAGTTACATCCTCGACTATCTGAAACACGGGTGAGATGAGTGTGCACCCTTCGTACATCGCTATACCTTGGATAGTCCAAAGTCTGCAATCAATGGATTGCCTAGACCATCTACCATGACGTTGTTCTGCGGGAAAGACCATTAACAATCAAGGTTTCGAACTGAGAATGGTAACAAACCGCTTTGATGTCGCCATGAACAACGGGCGCCGGAGACATAGAATGGAGCACATGGATGCCTTGTGCAATTCCTTGCACTAGTTTAACGTAGTCAATGGACGTGTCTTGCTGCTTGACATAAGTCAAAGCATTCCCGTTGTGCTATGCAAACGAAAAGCTTTTAACTAACAAAAACAGTCTCCAAAAACATACTGTACCATCCACGGCGAGACCATATAAGGAAATGGTCCGTCCTCCTGGCAAAAGCCAAAGAAGGGCAGGACGTGTTTGCCTTGGTCTCGCTTCCACAGCTCCTTCCATATTTCAACTTCGCGTTTAAAGCGCTAGAACAAAACTTGAATAAAGATGAGCGCAAGATCGTCGGGCCAACTTACACGTAAGCTTCGCTCGTCTGAGTTTACAGCGCGGACGACCTTAATCGCGACCTTTTGGCGCCGGAGATAGAGCCCCTCGTATATATCCATCGCCGGTGTTCCGCTAACTGGGAACTGTCCCAAACGGATAACTTCGCCTCTTCGAAGATGAAAGTCGGGAAGAAGTTCTTGGCTATGAGTCTGCAAGTCGAATAGATTGCTGGGGAGTCCACTGTGTTGGTGCTCCGCAGTCGTGATGTTTTGACCCATGAGCTGTGGAAAATGTCATTTGTGCGAGTAGGAAAGCGAGATGTATGTTCCAACGCACAGTCTGCATCATGGACATGAGCTGCCGCGTGTCTTCGCGCTGCGCCTATTGGAGCAGTCAGCCATGATCGCAATTCACTGCAGACTTTTGACCTGCATGGCCTCGTGAATGAGGCTTTGTGAGTTTTCGAGATTAGTCAGATGTCCAAGAAGCTCGTTGTAGTCCCGTTGCTTGTCTTGTTGGAATTGAGCTTGCCAGTTGTGGATTTCAAGCTGCGAGGCAAGCTACATCGTCGTCTGGGATAAGTCAAAATCTGGGCAAGGCAGAACAACCCACCTGGAATGCTGTAAAGCAGTCCGATAGTTGGTCATGACAATTCGCTATATCCTTGGCGATTTCATCTTGACGGACGAATGCTTTGAAGTTTCCGTATGACGTCCATTGCTGCATTCTTAGCTGGATCCCTTGGAGACATCTAGACTTATGAGTTATCGGTCGATGGGGCCCGATATGACGGACTGTAGCACTCCAGCGATAGCGGCCGCAACGTTGTCGTTGGCGACTGCTCTGTCAAATACAGCAAGAGCCAGACGATGACAACGTTCTTGGAGCTGATGTGCCGCATGCCTGGCCACAATCTTTTAGTCTTCGTGCAGCAAACAACATTGAAAACGACGCGCCGATTTTGAGACACATTCTGACAAAGCACCATGAGACCACAGATGACCTCCGCTAGCGGTGCCATGGCTGGCACGGGCGCGAACTGAGCGGTTATCTGAAGTGCCGTTCTCCCAAGGGACAGGACGACATGGGAAGTCGATTGACGAAATAGATTTCGCGACATGGCCCAGCAGAGAGGTTACGAGTACGAGGTTTCCGTCGCTTTTGAGGGTAGAGGACGAGATGGACTGGCGTGTAACATGGCTGTTGAAAGGCTGTGATGCAGTAGTAGAGAAGAACGAAGGTTTACAGCTTCCTTATTACGCGAGTTACAATCAGATCAAGGAAACTGAAAACTATCTATAGAACTCGGAAGCGTCTAGCTAGAAAATAGCCAGCCCCTGCAAGCATCCCGCCAATGTGGCCGAGCGTATCTGTGGTGCCGCCCTGGAAAAAGGTGATTCCGGAATATACGAAGTTTGGATTGACAAACCTTGTCTGAAGCAGTCCTAGAGCTTTCGTAGGTGAACAGTCCAGTTACCGCAAGCCAAATCGGGACGGGAATGATCCCATAGACGAGGATGGTCATTCTTGGTGCTGCACACGCCAGGAAAGACATCATCGAGTATATAGCGGCTAATTGGGTGCATCTGTTAGCGGCGACCTAGCAGCTTGGACGAGCTTCTAACCGCTAGCACCGACGGTATATGGGTCCCGGCCGTTTTGGAAGAGTTTCTTGTACGCCATGGCCCATAGATCTGCGGCAATGCCGCCTAAAACGAGGTGACTTGATGTTGCAATGACTAGATGGAAACTGTACCGCCAATATATAACAGAAGAAATTGTCTGTTGCCCTTGAAGACGTTCAGAAAAGTGTGAGAGCTATGTCTTAATTACCAAGATGCTCATAGTCATTGGTGCCATGAAATAGAAACTTGACTGGGGTTAGGTATGATCCTCGAAGAGAAGGAATTGTACGGACGTGAAACCGTTGAAAAGTATATGGCTTATGTCTGTCATGCTGTGGGTGAACATGCTGGTGACTAGTGTCCATCTGCATCGCAGGTTGAGAGCATGAACGAGCAACAAGATGATCGACCAACACTCGACCAGCCTCCAAATTTTTCCAGCTCAAATAAAAGTTCTTTTGAAGCCAGAGCATCAAACGCGGGTCTCGCTCGACCTGCAATTTTTGACGCGCCCACCAAGAGAGACCAAACACGGCGCCATTCAGGCCAATAATGGTCCAAAAGACAGCCTTTTGAGGGATATCATCAAGAAAACTGAACAACGGGCGGCGATGGGAGTTGTAAGCCCGCCTAGAGTAAGATTGGAGACGGAGTGGGGTGCGAGTGTGTCGCGTAAAACATGTTCGAAGGAGGAGAGTCATCGGAACATCTGCCCTGTTTGATGGCCTGGGCTGCGGCTTTCCAAAGCACTCTCACCTTGGGAGCCCTTTTTCACTTCTCTTCCTCTCGTTTTTCCTTTGTGCGCCTTGCCACTCTCTCCAAAAGCTTCACTGAAACTCCTCTTTTCCAGCATCCACTTACATCTTGTCCATAATAATCTATGTCTAACCCGGCCGCCAATCCCCGCGCCTCGCTTCTCTCTGGGCTCCGAACTGGCGGAGTTCGGTCAGCTGCAGTCCCCCAAACTGCTGCCCCTGGTGGCTCGTTCAACATACCCAGAATTTCGTCTGGTCTCCACTCATCCATTTTTCCTGAAGAAGACGAAGAAGAATCTGTCTTTGCCACCCATTCCGCTCCTCGAATGCCCATGACTGCTGCTGTCGATGGCCCAGGCTTCATGCATCAGCAGCAACAGCAACAACAGCGGCGTGGCATGAATCCAAATAGCGCGCCATTCACACCCTTCATGGCTCAGCAACCTGCTCAGGCCTCCCAGGCTTTCCAGATGCAGATGATGCAACTCGAACTGTTGAAAATGCAGGCCCAACAGCAATACCAGGCTCAGATGATTGCCCAAGCCCAGATTCAGCAACAGCAACAACAAATGCAGACCCCCAGACGCGCCAGTTATAACCCTCCAGCCACCGCTGGCCCGCTCAACACATCTTTCGATTTACGTTCTGCGACTATGAGCGCTCAAATGCGTCATTCTGTCCCTCTTCAGGACGAACAAGTGGTCCCAATGACTGCCAGTCTCGATGGCAAATTCGGCAGTCGCATTTCATTCAATGACTCTCCCAACTCCACCACCGTAATCAGCGGTGGCACCTCTCTGGGTAGTCCTGCTTTGGTCAACAACACCACTCCTTCCAAATCTGACTCGTCCAATTGGCGTCGTGGAGGAAACAACAATTCGGTGCTCAGTGGCAACAACAGATCCCCAAGCGTAAAAGTCACACCCCCGCCCGGCGAAAGTCCCGTTGCCTTGAGCAAATCTCGCCCGCAGCCACTCAGTTTCAACATCGCGGCTCCCGCCACCGTGCTGCCTGCCGTCGCTATAACCGAGGGAGAAAATGAAGATGACGATCATGAGACGTCGAGCTCGGAGAAATCAGGCTCTAACTCGGACCCGACCACGCCTTCTACCAATGGAGTCCCCCTTTCGCCGCGCGAAGAGGCCTCGAAGAAGCTGTATGAAGGCTTAGGCATCGGTCGTCCTGTCGTTGCAGAGCCACCGGTTGTCCCGGCCCGGGCTGCGAGTCAGCCTGTTCGCCAGCCGCGTGGCCCTCCATCTGGAGCAGACGAACTCGGTCCCAAGAATTTTGCCACTCGTATCCGTCGCAAGGCAATTGGTGGGCTCGGAATGCTGATGAACTCGCGTGAAAGACGCGAGGTGGAGTTGGTCGAGGCTTATTAGTCCCAAGGTTATTATTTGCCACGATTTGCAAAAAAAAACCACTATACGTTCTTTTCCGTCTTTTATGTCTGAAGGGTGGCTGTCAGATGGCGCTCTGGTGTACTCTTATTCCTCCTGTAACTGTACTCCTCATAGTCGCGCATGCTGTTGTTGTATCCGAAATGAACCGCTTTGCGTGACAAAGTGGACGACACAAGCAATTCTCATTTACATCTTTGGCCAACAATCGCGCGACCGTGCTCTTTCCACTCTTCCTGGCTGATCCACAGTTGGTGGAATGTGCCCAAGCTACCAAGGACACTCGCTCCAAGCCATGCTCCATAACGACGCTCGACTGGATTTCCTGGTGCGTGGATTTTAAGCTGGTGGGGTAAACGTAAGCGTTGTCTTTCTGTTATTTGCCGACTTACGTGAGGAAAAGAGCGATGAAGCTCCGTATATAAACGTTCCCCAAAGCCAGAGAATAAACTACCCCCGCCTGTTAAAACGACATTACCCGCAAGAACCTGGCGAAGTTCGGGGTCGCATGCTCTCAGAGAATCTGAGATGAGTGCTGGCATAGTTTTGGGAGGTGGAGCGTTCATCTGCCGTGCCCATGCTTCCTGAATAGTCCAATTAAAAAGTGAAGACTTGAAGACAGATAATTTACAGACCGCCATGTTGGCCGAGTGATGGAAGAATTGCTCCCCAACAATATACCGCTCCCCAGAGAACCATCCAGTGTACCCTGTTGGGAATTCGTACTGTTTTGGCGGCCGGGCAGAAACTTGACTAAAGGGGATGCTGGTAGGCAAAGCGAGAGCAAGAACAAAACTTACTGGTCATTCCAACCTTGCTCCAGAACCCCTGCAACGCTTTGAATCCATTCATCCACCTCCCGCGCCTCGTACCAGGCTCGCCATGAGTCAGTGGTCCCCCGAACTCGATCTTCCCGCAGGGCGAAAATCGGGGCAGCACCAGGCTCCACAGACTGAGCAAGGTCAGTGTACATTTAGATAGGCAGTGATTAGCAGCATACAGATTTGGCCGCTATGAGTTGGTGAGGAAACAGGTCGATCCCTGGACGATGCTGGGTCGGCGACTTCAGAAGACTATGTGCATTAGAATGCACTAGCTCGGGCAACGCAGAGTACGCAAGTCCTAAAATTGCCCCGTCAACGAAAATTGTAACACGGACGTAAATCGGCTCTCACCTTTACGAAGGACGAATCCATCCACTACGGGGGTAACGCTTGCCATCTTTTGGCCGATATCTATGACCAGGGCAGAACCCTTGCCAGCTGCAAAGCTATAAACAGAATCAACAAGGAACTAAGGGATTCAAGCAAGTTACAGACGCGTTGAGGACACCAGTGTTGGCGATATAGAAGGCAGGGACTTGGAACTCTTCAAACATGATCTCTGCCATTCTTTCCCTGTTCTGTGGGGTGTTCCATGCCGGTTCAGTGACTAATATGGGATGCTCAGTCGCATTGCAGCGCATAACGTCCTCAATCGCGTGTCGAATGAGAGCCGTTACTGGTTCGAAGTCGGAGACTATCGCCAAGTTAGGTTTCAGTGATGATAAGGGTAAAGGAAATCGCACTTAGTCCGCCTTGGATTGGGTTTCCAACCTGCATGCCCTCCCGCCAGACTGAAGGTCCAAATTGCCCAAGATACATTTTGGCTGCTTTCCTTTGGAACGTGTTAGCGGCCTCAGCAGGGTCTTGCATCGTAGTGTCCGTGTCGGGAAGAGTTTGATGGTAGCCGTAGCTGGAGGGGATTACAGCTCTGGGTGTGTCATCGCCAGCATAACCAACGCGAACAGAGGAAGAGCCAATATCAACCGCGAGAGCCGAGACCTCGTCTAGTTGTTGAGTATATGAGCAAACATCGCGAAGAAACAGTTATCGACGCGCCTCCACCATAGTTGACCATTTTGGACGCGATGAAGAGAAGGTGTAACGCGATCGTCACGCGCTGAAAAATCCTTGCATCAAAAGTTCATGGCAAAGAGGAAGCACATCGAAGATGCGCCGCCGCCGGTCTCGCTGCCTGAAGAGACCCTTGAAATGCTCAGCGATGAGGAGAACGCCGACGAAACACTCTCCGACGACGGCCAAGTTGACGAATTCCCTGAAATAGACCAAGAAAGCGACGAGGAGGAGGACTCGGAGGAAACAGAAGAGGACTACTTCGAGGAGAGCGACGGTTCAGAAGATTCATTGGACAGAGACATCTTTCCGAAGCCAAAAACAATCATATCTGACATTACAGGCCAACCAAAACGCGTTTACCCTGAAATAGAGCCAGACTATGACTCTGATTCTTCTACGGAGGATGTGAGTGCCTATTCTGGCTCTCTCTTACTAATGCCAATAAACAATTACAAGACTCAAAACCGTGTGGGAGACGTTCCAATGCATTGGTATGACGATCTTCCGCATATCGGCTATGATATCGACGGAAAACGCGTTCTACGTCCTGCACGGGGAGACGAACTGGATAAATTTTTGGAGACTGTGGAGGACCCAAATTCCTGGTATTTACATTCGCTCCTTCCGTTTTAACAAGGCTACAATTGTCTTTTTATAGGACATCCGCTTTCGACAAAACTGCCCAGTCCGACAAACCGCTATCAGCAGAAGAATTAGACATTATCCGAAGACTATATGCAAGCGAAAACCCCGATGCGGGTTACGACCCATATGAACCCATGACTGAGTGGTTCACTGGCAAGGGCAAGGAGGAAGTGATGCCATTGTCCGCTGCTCCAGAACCCAAACGCCGTTGGGTTCCCAGTAAATGGGAAAAGCAAAAGGTTTGGAAATGAGCTGTTGATGGAATCGACTTGAACGCTCTCTAGGTCATGAAAATTGTGCGTGCCATTCGCCAGGGCCGCATTCTCCCATCAAAACCAAAAACCGCCGCAAAACTCGACTTTTATTCCATTTGGTCCGAACCCTCCTCCTCCCATCCGCCTCCTCTTCCTGCACCAAAACCGCGACTTCCTACCAACTCCGAGTCTTACAATCCCCCAGAAGAATATCTCCCTACCGGAGCTGAACGAGAAGAATGGGAAAAGCAAGACCCTGAAGACAGAGAACGCGAGTATCTGCCCCAAAAATACTCATCTTTACGCCTCGTCCCTGCATATGATCAATTTGTCAAGGAGAGATTCAACCGACAACTGGACCTGTATCTTGCTCCTCGAATACAAAGGGTTAAACTCAACATCGACCCAAGCACGTTGATTCCCAAATTGCCCAGTCCACAGAGTCTCAAACCGTTCCCCAACTACAAATCTCTTCACTTCACTCACTCTGGTCGAGCACGATGTTTGGCAATCAGTCCAGATGGCTCATGGGTCGTAAGCGGCGATGAGAGTGGTGTTGTGAGTCTGTGGGAAGTGATGGTTGGAAAAGAGGTCAAGCGATGGCAGTTCTCGGGCAAAATTGGTGCTTTGGGATGGTGTCCCCGGTCTGATGTCAACTATTTTGTGGTTGCCATGTAAGTTTTTCACCGTTGACTTGTTCATTCTCTTATTTTCCTTTCAGCGAAGAGACTTTGCACTTCATCATACCACCAAATATTTCGACATCAATATTCCAAGCCACGAAGACACTTCTTGCTCCTCCTACCCTCCCTCCACTGCCAGAAACCCCATCACTTGTCAAGTGGGTCTCTTCAACATCCTCGCCCGATGACCCGACTCTGAGCGTGCATCTGCCTCCGACATCTGGTCTACCCAAGCAAATCTCATGGCATCGTCGCGGCGATTACATGGCCACTGTTTGTGCGCGCAGTTGCTTCTTTTTTTTTTTTTTTGCATTGATAATTTCGTATAGCGGGCAGCGGTGTGCACGGCGGTGTTTGGATGCACCAAATTACCCGCCGACACTCCCAAGCACCGTTCAAGAAGATCAGGGGCGTGGTGCAATTAGTGCTCTTCCACCCTTCAAAGCCTCATTTCTTTGTCGCGGTCAGAATCAATTCGCCGTACAGTCATCCTTAACTGACACTTGAGCTCTAGACTCAGCAATATATCCGGTTGTACAATCTAGCAGAGCAAAAGTTGTTGAAGACATTGATGCCTGGAATCAAGTGGATCTCATCAATGGACATTCACCCTTCCGGTGACCATCTCATTGTTGGAGGCTACGACCGAAAGCTCTGCTGGTTCGATCTGGAGCTGAGTGCCAAACCGTATAAAGTGTTGAGGTAAGCTTTTCACCTAGGCATGTCCCAGACAAAAGCCAATTTGATGCAGGTATCACACGCGTGCGATTCGCTCACTCGCATTCCATCCGACGTACCCACTTTTTGCGTCCTCGTCGGATGACGGCGCGATTCAGGTGTTCCATTCACGAGTTTACAACGACCTGATGACGGACCCTCTTATCGTTCCACTCAAAATTCTACGGGGACACACCATCAAAGATGGCCTTGGGGTCCTCGATGTCAAGTGGTGCTCTCGTCACCCTTGGCTCGTCAGCGCAGGCGCTGATGGCGCTACCAGTGTCTGGTGCAGTTGATTTCAAGGCAATGTGTCGTAACGATAATTACATCATCTTTCCTCAAGTTTTTGCCTTTTTGACGCTTAATTTTTAAGTGACCCTAGCGGCGTCTTCACGCGTGGCTTCTGTTTCCGAGACCGTATCAGGTTTTCATTCTACGTCCGGGAAATTCCGAGTTCTTTTTGCACTTACTTCCTATCATGAAACGCGCGACCAGGAACATCACTATAAGGCGGCTCCTCCACGCGATTCTACGACTTGATCCTTTTCTCTAGTTTACCCGCTCGCATCTTACCCAGCAATCTCAGTGGAAATATAACAACTGGCTTTGTTCAGATTCTCATTCTGGTCACTTAAGCTCCGGCAGCTGCTGCCATCCCGCCAGGGTTTGAACGCGTCACGAAGACGTGCACAACCATAAAGCCTCAATTGGTCTAGAACGGCGTAGTTTTTCTGGAAGCGAAGTGCGTTTTGCATTTGTACGCCACAGAGCGGCGGAAGTATTTTCGTTGAAATAGCTCCTCCCATTGACCGCGATCGCTTGCGCCGCCCTCCCACTCCTGCCAGCAACTAGCCATGGTGGCCTGGCTGTCCTCTGCAGAAATCGCCAAGGATACTTGTGCGTACTGCTTGTTGGGCTCGTTCGTGGTCTCATTTCACAACAGATGCCTTTGAGAAACTGATCTTCACATGTTTTGGTTGCTACATCTGGGAGATTGGCACGACTTTGAGCTTTGAAATATCACTACTGACGGGTCGACGGCGATTTCGTTGGCCCTTGGTGGGTAGTCAGCCAGTAACCCTTCCGCTGTCACTCATGTTTGTCAGGGTGCATCCAATCAATGTCTTCAATTTCTCGCTAACTACCGATGTCCTCCAGCATTCTTTTTTCTGTCGAGATACTGCATGCTCTTCTCCTTCATCGGACTCATCATCTCGCTATCCGTCCGCCATCCGGTCCGTTATTCGTTCTCTCTCTCTATATCTGGTTTCTTACCATTCGCTCGGCAGATCAATTGCGGGGTGAGCTACATTTTCCTTAGGCGGCCACTAACAATCTAATCCCGTTTCAGGCGCTGTTTACCTTCAACTCCGTATGCGTCGTCGATCATTTTTTGTGTCGTCATAGTACTCATCTTCCCGCTCCCGCTGCAGTGGACAGGAAACATGGCAATTCTGGGCTGCTCTACGTCGCTAATGCTCCGAACGTAAGCCATCCCGCGGCTCGCCGCTTCCACTTCTCGGCTGACTCGCAAAACACCCAAGTTTCGCTTTGTGGGAGCGAAAGCGCTCCGTGGTTGTCCCGATCGGCTTGCTGTCTTTGGTGCACTGGGGGCTCTTGTATCGCACTATGTTCGTCATCCATGCCGTCTGGGACGGTTCTGCATGTGTAAGCTCCAAACTCGCCTGGGGATCGAGCTTAATTTCCTGGCTAGATCGTCGCTTCGACAAACCCCACGCTCCTCAAGTGTACTTTCTTCTACAGTGCGTTGCTTTGTCAGAGTCCAAATTGAACCGTGACTGAGCTTTTTTGAGCCATGGGATTTGATTTCGGTGAGGCGGTTCCCTTGTACGAATATGATGCATTAATTGCTGTCGGGATCGCAGTCATTACCTGCACAACAGCGGTCTCGCTCATGTCACGGCATTCGGAAAGAACTGATCTTTGGAGGTTGCTTTTCACTGATGTGTGTGTCGACCCTCAAGAATAAACCATGAACTTAATTTAGATAGGGCCTGGTATACTTCGTCTTGACCTTCAGTATGAACAGTATTCCAGCAGTGCGTCACACCTGCCCTCGAGATCATTGATGCAAGGCGACCCAGGTTCTCAACCTGATCAACCTTAACGGTATGCAGTTGTTATCAGTCTTATCTACGCGCCTTTCTGACAAATACAAATCGACCAGCGACAATGAATGTGTGAGTGACCGATATTCGAATCCGACAAACGTCTTGAACGGCCTTTAGTATCGGGACTGTGGGTTCATTCCTCCTGACTATTGCCTTTAGTTGATATTCGCCAGATCCCTGCTGCAACAGTATCGTATGTTTTCCCCGAATAATATTGACCTCCTCGGCGCTCAACCCAAGTAACCACAGAACAATCGCAGCCTGTCGGGCCGTGATGCGCCTGCTCGACTTCAACTCTGATGTCTATGTCCACTCACTCGGCGCACTCCCGACAAGCAACCCGCGCCACAGCGGCGGGCCGTTTTCCCTGTCCTCCCGCCCAATCTCGCGGTTCACGCTCAGTGGCAGTCGACCCGAAGGTGTGCTCGTCACGAGACAACAAATCACCATGACAGAACTTGAATTCCAGTGCGTGTTGACCCTCCAGTGCTTTTTTTTTCAAATGGCGTAGACCACCCCTGCCGACGCTTAATAAGCATAGCGTTGAACGATACGAAGTCGAGGGCGAGGATCAGCACGGTCTAAGCCGCCGCGATGCGAGCTCGCCAGATGGCACATTTGAGTCGTGCAGGTAGGATTGCTTCTTGGGGAGGAGAAAAAATGTACATATATGTAGCCGTATTGATGTCCTTAGAATGACAGTTCTGCTAGCATGCAACAGGCGCTACCTTGTCATTATATCAAGAGCGACTAGTCAAGAAATGTTTGTGCCGACTTGGTAGATAACATCGCCATAGTCAGCCAATACTATTAAGCACTAAGACAAAAAAACAAACGTGACCTTCACGCATTTACGACAGCAGTCTTCCTCGCCCGCTGCCTCGTCCATCCGCCCTTCCCTTTCTTCTTGTTCGAAGCCTCTCCATTAGTTGCTGGTTCAGTGGCATTGCTCGGTTGGTCCGTCTTGGTCTCTGGAGTATACATCGCCTCGACATCATCCGCCCAATCCAGCTTGTTAGTTTCCGGGCCTGATGATATCGTCTCTGGCTCGCGGATGGTCTCGCTCGGAGTTTCTGCCTGAGAAGCGGTGCCCTTATCAGGTGTAACTTTCGCCTTGCGAGATTTGCGTTTGGTCGACCATACTTTCGTGGTCTCCTCCTTCTGTTCCGGCTGCTCTTCTGCAGGCGGCACAGGCTCGTCTTTCACCTCATCAATGCTAGGAGTGGCCGTCTCCTCTTGCTGCCCGTCAGCCGCCTCTTTTGGTTGCCAACTTGAGTCGTCCCCACCCCACCCATTTCCGTCCCAATCTCCATTTTCCCATTTCGCTTGCTCCTCAGAAATCCCGGTGTTCTCATCCCATCGCTGGTAATCCAGGTCCTCTTGCAGCTTGCTTTCCGCAGCCTGCGATTCGGCGCGTATCTTATCTCTTCGTTTTTCTAGATCAATCTAATCAGATCGGGAAGAAAAGCTGAATCCAAGACGAACGGTGCTCTTTCTCCTTCCGCTCCTTGGCCCGCTTCTCTTCGGCGTCTCTGTGCTGGACCCTCCTGACCATCTTGGCGCGCTCTGTGCATATGCCCTTCTTGCACGTGCGCCCGTGGCCAGTGACTGGACACATCGCAGTCAGCGGATCATTGTCCAAGTTGGGGGTCCGTTGTCGCGATGAGTTGGCCGGCAGGAGCGGGTTACTCGACGTGGCGCGCTCCCAGTCAGGGACGTAAAGATCGGGGTCATTTTCGTCTTCGTGGTTATACAACTCGTCGATGTACGCATTGTCCGACTCACGTGGGCTCAACACGTGACGCACCGCTGCCGGAATGCTGGCGTCGCTCGGGGAAATTTTGGGAAGGATAGAACGGGTTGTTGGGGTGTTTGTGTGGTGCCCTATACGTTGATTAAAGTGGATTTGCAGCTGAGAGGAAATGGCGTACAAGGTGCTGTTGACGAAGCAGGAATATTCCTCTCCGTTTTGCGTTGTTGAAGTGGTGGAGCGCCGCCATTGCTACGTCCTCGCCCGCGTCCACCTGCAGAAGGCGTATCCCTTTGTGTCAGCCAAGCAGAAGAGCCTGGAACTAGATTCATCTTTAGTACAAGGTTATCCAGGTTATGTAAAGGACACCCACCTGCTCGTGCTGGTGGGGGAACGACAACAGGCAGTGGCGGGGTGACAACACTTCCTGGCAGCGGTCTACACATTGGCTTGGTGGTGCGGTCTTCGGGGGGCACCTGACACCAAACAGGAAGTGGGTAAGGAAAGACCATGTTGCTGTCGAGTTGGGCAAGAGCGCCATGAAACACGATAAAAGAGCGTACCAGCTCTGAGGCCGCCACGCGCGGAACCACGAATCCTTCACTTCCACTTTCCTCCAGCCTGTCCATCCGATTTAGTCAGCCAGTCGTAACCGATAAGACAGCAAGTTACCATCTTTCTGTACCGCCCGACCAGAGTTATACGTCGAATAGAATATCGCCGACTTTCCGGTATGTTCTTCTCCCATTGGCTTCTTGAGGAACCCAGCCCATCTGTGCTCCCCCAGCAGCCGTTCCGGGAATTCAAAGTCGCGTGCGATCTCAATGATCACTTGCCCGCGCGCCTGCCGATGTCCCAGTCAGCTTTACAGGCAGCAAAAGGTGTAGCGAAACATACACTCGGCTTCCAAAACAACGCAAAGAAGTACGCCTCGTTGCCCTCGCCACCCAAGCAACACGCAATCCACCGCCCAAACTCGCGACAATCTTCATCCAACTGCCAGTCGAGATGTGGCGGATAAGGATGGACGACGGTATAGTATTTGGGCTCGTCTGGCCCGGGTTCAGGTGTTGGTATACGTTTAGGCATCAGATTGAGAAGGTGTTGACTGAGATGACGAGGTTGTGGTGGTCAGGTGAAAGAAGGGAAAGAAAAGCTGCTAAACAGGCTCGAGAACAAGTTTGGCATGCGGCAAAGCCATAAATAGCAGCAGTCTTCTCATCGTGGTGTGGCGTTGGCGTTGGAGTGAATTCTACTCGCTAGTAAGTGGCGGCAGAAACCAAGTGCCTTGAAATGGTGATACAATCTCAGTTTGGGGTCTGTAACGCTACAACTCTATTTACACGTGGAGGAAAGTTGGTGTGGGTGGTCTACAAAATGGCTACAAGAAATTATCGTTGAGAAGGACAGGTTGCTGCGAGAAACCAAGAAAGTTTTGCTGATCCAGGAGGAAAAAGTTAACGACGACTGCGAACAGTCGACCATCCATCGTTGCTTGTCGAACGGGACTGACTCTCGCTCCCAGTCGATGCCGAGTCGTCGTCCCACGCATGCTTCTTCCAGCTACCCTTGTTGTTGTTGTTGGTTCTATTGTTGCTGCTCGCTGGTAACCGGTCAATTGGCGATCCAAGTGCAAATCAAACACCCACCCTTCTTGCTTCTTTCTTCTCTTTCCTTCTGTTTCAACAAGCGCGAATACTCCTGGCAGATACCCTTCTTGCATATGATCCCATGGACAGTGCACAGAATCTCCTGTGTTTGCTTCTTCTTCTGCTCAATATCGTCCTCCTCACCCCACAAATTTTCTTCTTCTTCTGGGGTTGCAACAAGCGGCGTGGCCTTGCTCGTCCAAGTTGTAACGAGCGCCGTCTTTTCCCATTCGGCAATATATTCGTGGGCTTCAACGACCACAGGACTTGCTTCGTTGTAGAGGCGTGCTTCCTGGCTGGGCGACATAGAAATAGTGGCCATCTCCGTGACCACGACATCATACTGATTTTCACTTGAATGCGAGCTGGCGGTACTTGTGCTGCTACTAGAAAGAGTTGGCATTTCGAGGCCGGGAGGTTGCGCAACAACGTCGATTGCTTTGGGTGCGGTCGGTTTATGCCCTGCAGTCGATGTAAGCAAAAGAACTTGAAGCTGATAGAACATACACGGAGCAGTTGAAGTGCTCGGGATGTTCTTTGCGGTTTTTTGGATCGCGATCTGCTTAGCTGCCCATGCGCCACGAAGAATAGCAGGTGAATTGGGTGTTGGGGCAGTCTTCTTGTCATGCCAAGCAGCGGAACCGGGAACTGGAGTTAATTGTCAATGGTAGAACGGAGAGAAAGTGCGAGTAACGTGCCGATGGGAGGAGGAGGAGGAGCTGAAGCCTGTGGGGGAGGCTTGAGAGAGACTGGTAGCGGACGGCACATTGGTTTGTTGGTCTTGTCTTCTGGCGGAAGTGGACACCATTTTGTTGGTGGATAAGGGTAGGCCATAACGCTGACGTGCAAAATCAGTACCAGAAGAAAGAGTTTATGGGAGCAGCAAACGGATTCTCGGAAGACCAGTTTTTGAACCACGAGTCAGCGACGTTGATGCGCTTCCATCCTGACAATAGTTATAGCCCATTTCGTTGTCCAATAATAAAACACTGACCATCCTTTTGTGCAGCTCGCCCATGGCTATACGTCGAGTAGAATATCTGAGTGACACGACCAGCTTCTTCCTCTGTTGGTCCACGCAGAAACTCGCTCCAGCGATGCTCGCCAAGGAGCTTTTCGGGGCACGCATAGTCGCGATTGATTTCGAGCAAGATTTGACCACGAGCCTGAAGGCGCAGTGACATTAGGATATACGCGTGAGATGTATACTGACGCTCGGTTTGTAGAACAAGGCAAAAAATGGTTGAGGGCTGCCAAGGCACGACGCGACCCAACGCCCACAGGTTATGTAATCATGGGGAAGCTCCCAGTTGGCATTAAGCGGGTATGGTTGGACGACCGTGTAGTACTTCGGCTCGTCGTCACCGGGTTCGGGGGTAGGGATTCGTTTGGGCATCGCTGGAGTGGGGTCAAGGAAGAAAGAGCTTAGCTGACATAATCCCATCAGCCTATAAATAGGATTTCAATCTAGGGAGACTCACCCAGCGTTGTGAACGCGGCGATTATGGTGGGACTGACTGGAAAATTGGTACGCTGTAACAGCAATGATACAAACGGGAGCAACGAAAGTACATGATTTTGAAAGCAAGACACGGAATATATCTACCGCCTACGCTTCGATCGGCCTGCTTTCCGTTTGGCTGCTATTCCACCTTGACGATTCATGCCTTTTGAAGTCGGCCGCGCTGGTAGTCCTTTTGATAGACGCCATTCTTCCCGTCGTGAACCACGAGGGCCGTGAGTCGATACTCTTTTCGAGTCAATTTGCATAGTGTCTGAATTCGACTCAATCAACACACGAATAACAAAGAAAAGTGAGAACGAACCGTTGACCAGTGTTTGGTCGTCGGCATCTGCAGCTACAAGAAAATATCGTCAATGACCCATTATGAATCATGAAGCAAGATTCTCCTTGCGGCTACGTTTCCCATGCGATGATGGGGTTAGCCATCTGGGGGTCCTGAATGAATCGGGTGTAGTATCCGCAATAGACCACAAGCGGTCGGGGGTGATGTCTTGCGGGTCTAAAAGACCCAGAGTTGTAAACCAGGACCAACCTGGTGCTTCATCTTCTTCCCCATCTTGTTCCATATTGTCCTCCGTATCTCTCTCCACATCGGCGTTAACAACGGCACTGAGTTTTGCATGTAGGCGATCAAGACGTGCAGCTGCTGTGGCGGCATAGACACTGTCTTGGCGTTTGTTTGCTCGGAATGAGCGCTTGACTTTGCTCCTGAGTGATTTGGCCATGGGTATGGATGGGCAAAGGGTGGTGGTGGTTGCGAGTCAAGAGAGAATGTCACACGAAAAAGTCGGTCACACACATTCCTGAAGAGTCGGTGACTCGCACTCCGGCTGCAACGCATAGCTTTGCAGTGGAATAACAACGAAAATAGCACTGATATCGATTTAAGACATGTACAAACGGCAACACAACATGATAAGCAGAGCAAGTTTGCGTTCGCAATTTTATTCGGGAGGTGCTTCCCTGTAATCGACGGTTAGGCGGGGATCGCTGCATCGGAGAAGAGAACTTATTATGTAGAGCACGTTGTTACATCTAGACACCGATAAGAGTCGCCAAAGAAAGAAAGAACACACGTACCGTATGAAGACCTCTCCAAGAGTCCCATTCGATTGGCCATCTTGGAATTCCTTCCGTATTCGCAAGCTAAGAGATTCATCAGTGGATTCTCAGGCAACAGAAACCTGACGACTTGGAGGTTCATAAACCCGTCAGTGCTGACGAGGAAGCCTTTGTATTCCAGTCCCCACTTTAAACGAACAAACACAGGCTTGCCCGTGAGCTCTTGCAAGAATGGCTTCGGGTTGACGGGGTTCACCTATAGTCTTATTAGCCCAAACGAAAGAGACTGCAATGATGAACTTGCATTGGCCATGGTAGTTGAGAAGACCGTATGTAACGGCCGTCGTCACGTTAGCGCGACTCAACTCTACTTCTGTTCTAATGTCAGACCGTGAAGGCCCAAGTGGCGGCGCAAACGACGATGACCTGTCGCTCCCCAAAGCCACCGTTGCAAAGATGATTTCGGGTATGTTCGGTTTGACTCATTCATTCGGCACTCATCTCTCAGAGTTGCTTCCAAACGACGTAACATGCGCCAAAGAGACGAGGGACCTGGTCATAGAATGCTGCGTAGGTAAATCGCAGCTTCGTTTCATCAAAGGCACCAACCAAAAGACCGTTTGCAAGAATTTATCCACTTGATATCCTCCGAAGCCAATGAAATCTGCGAGCAAGAGTCCAAGAAGACAATCGCCCCAGAGCACATCATTTCTGCCCTCAAGGTTCTTTCGTCTGACTCCCTTCTCACTGCGAACTGACGCATTGCTAGCGTTTGGGCTTTGACTCCTTCACTCGGGAGGTAGAGGACGTTCTGAAAGAGCATAAACAACAACAGAAGGTGCGTTAGCTGTCCATTTCTCTTTGACTGTTCATAAAAGTTGGTCTATAGGATCGGGAGAAGAAAGTATCCAAACTGGAACAGTCCGGATTGTCGCCGGAGGAGCTGCAAGCCAAGCAGGAGGAGTTATTTGCTGCGAGCAGGGCAAAATTCCAGTCAAACACAACCGCACCGACATAACCGAACACATTTGTAACAACTCGACTGTAATTTTATACTACTACTTTGCTTGTATTCAGCTGTTCTAACCTTCGCTGCGGCGAGTCGCCGTTCCAATCCCCTGCCTCCGAGAGCTTTGGTAAACCTTGTTGTTCTATCACAAAGGAGGCGGAAACCGATGCATAGTACGTAGCTGTTTGTGGTCAGCAACACTTGTCCCTTATTCGACAAGAGCTCACCTCGAAGAATATTGCCATTCTCCAGTAACAAACCTGCAGCAAGACCACCAAGAAAACTATTTCCGGCACCTGCGCATTTGGTCAATGAACAAAAACACACAATTCACCAAAAAAATGCACCTGTCACGTCCACAATCTTATCTGGATGCGACTCGGACCAGAAGGCGTCCACCCATCGTATAGGTTGACCAACAACTGCAACACATGCACCCATTGCTCCACTTCTGATTATTACAGCGGCAGGTGGATGGGAGAACGCAAGGAAGCGTTGGCATGCAGCCTCTATGCCTGAACGAGAGACGGGCAAAGGCATCGACAAGAGACCAAATGCTTCATCGGCATTGGGACTTGAGAGTTGCGGTTAAATAACATGTCGAGAGAGAGATACCCTGTGAAATCTCACCTCAATATGTTTATACGCGGGAGGACTTGGACTAGAGCATCAAGTTCTTCCGGGACACATCTGTCCTAATAAGTACATTCCAATAAGCAACAAGTCGGGAGAGATGTGCCTACTGGTATTGGCTCATATATCACAGTCGGGTTCCAGTCGCTCACTTGCTGTACTTCGTCCATGATGGTAAACGCACGTGTAGGGGAGCAGATAAAATGAAGATAATTCGGGCGTTCTAATCTCGTTCCTTGTAGATCGCGCGGGGTGAGGCGAATTCGGGGTGTCAAATATTCGAAACTGTCCCCAGTTAGCTTCAGGAGCATTAAGGAGGCAAATGCCAGACTCTCTGAAGTCGCCACGATAAGAGTTCAGAGCACGAGTTGTTTTGCCAGGATGATCTCGATAATGCCACATATCTGAGCCGAATTCGTCCAACGTCGCCTGAATGGATTGCGGAAAGTCGGTTCCGCGGTCAATTATCATACCAACGCGTGTTGGAGGAAGCCAAATACGCGCTCCGATGGCAGCATATGTACCTCCACCGCCAATCTGGGGAAATGTTTGGTGCGATAGCAAGAAGGACTGCATTTTCATACTTGTGGCGGGACATTCTTGCTTATGGGATTCCCGCTCTTGTCCGCAAAAGCAAACTCGTCCACGATGAACATCCCCAGGGTGGCGAACATGGTAAAGCGAGATCCGTCACGCTGTCACGCGTGTCCTCCGATTCAAAAAAGTTGTGGATGACCGCAAGGTTGACGGGGCTACGACCTCTGTTCCGTCTCTTGCAAGTCGCCAATGTTTCCACCGCTCCCCCGATAGACCGTGTCCGCCAAACAAATTTCGACCTACTCCGCGAGTCTCTGGAGTTGGAGGGTAATCCCTCCCGTGTGTGGGCTAATTACACGAATCTCGTTTCCTTTCTAGGCTCAGAGCCACTACCTTTCCATGTCCACCAACAAGTCCTCCGTAAATGCACCCCTCCCAGCAGCACACTCAGAGCCTCCGCGACTCGCCGAATATTGGTCGGCAATGTCCCCCAAAGTCCACACGTCTACGAAGGTCGTTTCATTGCCGTGATTCGGAATATGCGTGCTGCTGGATATGTCCCTACCCTTGAAGACTACAACTTCATACTGGAGCAATTCGCAGCTGTAGGCCACCATTTCGGTGTTATGCACGTCTACCGCGAACTGACATCTCTGGGTGTGGTTCCGCGATCAAGAACATTCGGTCTCTGTCTTCAAGCCATAGCCCATCGTCTCACCCTACCCGTCAATCCTGCGAAGAAGAGAGAGAGGACCGAGACAACACGTCGCATGATTTCCGACCTCATCACCGCCATGAAGACCCATAACATCCCATTCACATCCGCTAACCTTGACCTGTCGATGAGGATACTTCGAGAAAGTACCGACATGGATGGCTTTGAGCTTCTTATGAAGTGGGCTTATGGAATCGACCTGGCAAATCCAGACTGTACACCTGTCGAATATCTGGAAGGCAAGAATCCGTCGCCTCCCCAGCCATTTTCAACAGATGCGTTGAATATGACACTCGAAACCTTGGGACGTCTGAGAGACATATCTCGTCTAGTTCAAGCGTTCGAAGTTCTCACAACCCCGTTACCCAAACGCCCATCATCCGCCAATGACGAGGAGGAGGACGATTTTGGCATTCGCCACCAACCCTCTTTGCCATTGCCCACTCCCTCTGCTTCGCCTAATACAACTAGCTACAACATCTTAATCCGACATCTTTCGCAAGCAGGCCATGCTACACTTGCTCGTCACTATCTCATTCAGGCCATCAAGTTAGAGCGAGAAACGTCACATCTTCTTTGGAAGCAATTAGGGAATCGTCGTCGCCAGCTACAGCATGTGCTTTCGCCGCACTTTTCCATCAACCGAGGTACTTTCTTGTCGGTTTATGGTGAAAGCAATCGCGACAAAAATGCCGGATTAATGCGATGGCTTTTCTCAAAGATGCCTTCAGTCATTAAGAGGAAACAGGGGAATCTAGATGGTTTCCTCAAATACCGTGCGCTTCGTCAACAGCGGGGACTTTGGCCATATGATGGCTCTGAAGTTAAAGACACCACCACTCTGCGTAGAGCGCCAACAGAACCAGCCTCCCCTCTGGCGATCGGCGATAGATGGAGAGCGCCAGACTACATTGGCAATGTTTTTGACATCGACATCAACAGCGAGACACCACTCCCGCTGCCTCCTGCTCCGAAAAAATTAGACCTGGACCTTCACATCAGCATCTTGGAACGAGATATTCGCGAGCTCAGCCAATTACGCGATCACGTTGAGCAAATGCTGACGCGGACGACCCACCGCATAAAGCAGCGTCTAGGCCGTAGAGTTGCAGGTAAACAGGACATATATCTTGCTACAGAAGTGCAAGAAAACCGCGACAGAGTTCGCATTGACCCCAAACGATGGTCAAAGATCGCCAATTTCCGCTCAGTGGAAGTAGCACCTGGTCATGTTGTACGTACCAAGAAGGCCGCAGAGGAACCATAGTGGACGTCTTGTGAGTGCATTTAACAAGTAACTTCGGACAAGCTCTGAATTGGGTAGCTTTTATCTCGATGATGACCATTGACCCAGCTAAAAGCTTGGAAGAAGCGCGGTCTGCCAGTGTGGGGCATACTTTGCCATTTCTGTACGACAGGTAGCTTTAACCATTGAGTTCTACTCAATGTACGAGTATATTAGTACTCGAGTGTGTGTACGTCCGGGGAGGAAATAGAACTGAAGCCAGTCAACAAAGTTGTTAGGTAATAACTGAGCTTGATCGTGAATGCCACCACCACCTTGCTCTTGACCACGATGCCTCCTTCCGCCACTGTAACTGCTCCTGCCAAAATCATGGAGAAATCTACACCCAATGTGAAGGCGGTCGTCCCAGCCAAACGTGCTGCGCCAGTTTCCAAGACAGTCGAGCCAAAGAAGGCCTCGCACCGGGCTGGTAAACCTATCATCAACTGGTTCCAGCGCAAACTAGCTGGTGGGAGCTCTCTTGTGAAGCCCAAACGTGCGGAAACCCAACAACTGCCGGGCCCAGGACGACCAACATCGATTCCATTACGGCCAACCAACCGCGTTACTTCAGCGCCGGTGGTCAACAAAGGCCCACAAAAGTCAGAAGCTGCCCGTCGGAAAACGATTTCGCTGAATGAGGAGGATGACGGAGAGTTATATGCCAACGACCTTGCCTCTGAACGCAACTCGTGGGCCCCTACAGAAGCGGATGAAGATGCTTCAATGCGACCACTGCCACCCAGCGCCCCTCCCTCACCATCCCCTTCTTCTGCTTCATATGTTTCAGACCCACGAACCTTCAGGAGTACTGCGGCAAGCACCAAGCCAACGACCCTTCTCAGTATTGATCTGAATGGGAATGGCATGGCACATATCGCTCAAGCACCCGCTGCTCGTTTGCATGTTCGCTCCTCGTCCACAGCCACCGGCGCTGGCGTCTCATTTTCAGCCTTACCTCCTTCACCTATCACAAACACTGAAACTGCACTTCGTATTTTCAACGCTGTTCCCGCAGCAGCAACAACAACAGCAACAAGTCAGACACAACAACCAACTCAATCACATCCCGTCCCACCTATCCAAGCTCCTCTTCACACAACTCACCATCCACGAAATAACCCGCGACCCTCTTCCCCACCCCTCGACAATGCCTCTGTTCTGACTCTCGCGTCTTCTGCCTTTGGGATGCCAACTCGTGCTGGCGTCAACACGCCTGGTTGGAGCTCAGCTCCGCCATCTGCCTTGGGTGACTCGCTGTCTCATTTTGGTGGCAGCATAACGTACGCGGATGCAGAAAGCACGAGTCATTACCTACTTGGCGACGACGATGTTGATGCCAGTGTCCGGGCTCTAAGGCCCCGCAGTTCGAGGCGTGGAAGTTGGGAAAGCGAAGCTAGCAGATGGAGTGCGCGTGTCCAACAAGGTGGGGCTGGCACTCCTTCTCTCGCTCGTGATGGGCGTAGTCTGTGGACCTCCAATAGTATCCGCACTGGAGGGCTCAGTGGAGAGAACTACATGTACGAGAAATCTGACGAAGGGGACGACCGAAGCGACATTGTTACTACGTCACCAATCGACGAGCCCGCCCAGCCAACTCCGAAATTCACCTCTGACCCATTACGCATTCCCCTGCCTGGCAGCTCTGACGATCTGTTGTCTGATAATGAAGACGCAACTCCCGGTGAACGCCCTTCGCCATTTCCCTGAATTCTGACTATTCGTTCGTAACTTGACTGCTTTCCTACTTATCATATTGGCACATTCTCTGTAAATACGCTAAACTGTTTTCACCAGCACCGTAAAATACAAGTCGTCCCGGAGAGCCACTCCGTTTATCAGTTTGTCGAAGGGGAATGGCCGTTGTTCTTTCGTGTCGGTATACCCCCGTCTGATGTACCACCCAATCAGTTCCTCCCGTTGCGCGATCACGACCATCTCCATCAGATGGATATTCCACACCTCGACCACCATTTTTTCAGCGTGGCTCAGCAACTGGCGCCCAACCCTGCCCGCTTGTAGCTTTGGCTCGACCGCAAACATCCCAAAATAGGCGATGTTATTCTCTGGCTTGTGCATGATCTCGCAGCAGCCAACAATTTTTCCTTGCTCGTCTGTCGCCACCAACACTCGCGTCATCGGATCTTGCATTTTTGCGAGCACAGTTTTGGTGTCAATTCGCTCGTCGTTGAGCATCGCAGCCTCGGTCGTCCACCCCTCTTCTCCGCGGTATGCCCTACGGACGAGGTCGGCGAGGAAAGGGGCGTCTGCTGGCGCGCCAAAGCGGAAGGTTAGCGAGAGCATGATTTGATGAGAGAGAAAAAGTGTCTTCTGCTGATCTTATAACTTAGGCCATTAATAAGCGTAGGGCATTCGCCATTCAGGTCGCGGCTTCCCGATAGTTTGTTGGTTCGGGGATGCGATAGACGCGGTCAGGATCGGCTAATCCAGGAGCTGCGAAATCAAGCATGAACGTTGACTTTCACCGTGAGCCATTCTCTGCCATTCTGAAACAGTGTTAAGAATGGGATAGGGACTAGTAGTAAGGACAGACAACTTTGTAGTCGATTTTTCCGTTTGTTGTATCAGGGTGAAGAGCAGACAACTCATGAACCACTAAGGCCTAGCTTCTCACTTCGTTGCTGGGAGGACCACCTTTTCATATGGTTTGTCCATGTCGAAGTCCTTGTTGCTTCCACAATGCTGCACAGGAATTGCAACTCTTCAAATATTCCCTAACTCACTTTACAAAGTTGGAGTCAAGGTGCCGCCAACAAGCAGCAACCAGGACTGATATATGAGTTTCTGGAATACGCATTGGCTTCAAGGCCCACGTTACATAGGATCCGTGCGCCACCACTTCTGGCTAGATATATTGATGCATTCTGTGAGTTGGATCTACATATCACAGTGAGCAAAGCATCCACAAAGAGAAGGGAGAGGTGAGCGCACAAAGTTACTGCCGCCCGGCTCATCGCTGAGCACCTCTATGCAGAAGCCGGTGCCCTCCAGCTGGAGCTGCCCGGTGAGGAGCGCGCTGAAGCGCTGGTTGGCCGGGATGGCGAGGCACGGCTCGAGTGCAAGCTGGACACCACGTGCCCGTTCGCCGCGAGGAACCGTGATGCATTTGTCAGCAAATACAGAAATGACACCAGTGAAGCCGACGGAGGGGAGACGCCAGACGTTGCTGCCTTGTGGGTAGACATTTTGGAATATGAGACACCCAGGCCGATACGCGCGTTGACGCTATTGGAAGACGCAGTCATGCAGTTGGCCTCGTTGAGCGGGCGGTTACCGATGATCAGGCGGGCATCCTCGACTATGCGGGTGACGGCACGAGTGTTCCATGCTTGCGTAGAGTTAGCTTCGACCAGAGTGTTGCATGGCCTGATCTGCAACAATAATTTGAATTACGACGACTCTAGGATTGGCAAGAATACTCCTCACGACAAGTGGCGCGCCATTCACGATCTTGCCGTCATGCAGATCGAGGCACTGGTTAGCATTGACACCCCAGCGTAGCGTGGAGTCGGTGTTCGAAGTCCACTGCTGGTTTGGGTCGGCGTTGTTCTTGTTGCAAGTCCGAATCTGGACCCAGTTTCCGCTGGCGTCCACACCGTCCTTAACCTCCAAACACCGTCTTGCTGCGTCAGTCTTGTCTGTCCCCCGGAGCTGGATTTGCTGCGAGGTAGTCCCAACGGGGGCGTCGAAGAAGAAAGCAACCTCCCAGTCGTACACTGGCCTGGGTTGGTTGGCGTCTTCAGTGCAATCTGTGATAGTCGCAAGTGCACCATCCACATTTTCCTTGACTGAAATACAAGGTTGGATGCGCTCCGTGTTCACGACTATGGCGGTTAGATTCGGTCTGATTCCAGTCGACAACCAAAGTACACACAGGCAGGATGCGCGTTGTAGATGTGCTTCGCAGAGACGGCAACAGCCAGCGATAAAAAGAGCGTTTGCCAAAGCATTTTCAGAAAAGGAAGCCCCGGGAATAACGGTGCGTCTCGAGATTTTATACTGCTCCATAACATGGTGCTTGGTTCCTGAGTTTGCTCTCTAGTCGAGCAGATACTGATTTGGAACTTGGATCAGGCTGAAACGAGGTTCAGTACGGTGGTGGAGGGCAGTACGTATCTACAACCTGGCTTTAGACAGGCCTTTTGGTTCCACGGCAATTATCCAAAGTGGCTGATTGGCCGACGATATGCCTGATTCCAAGGTCGCTGCGATTTGCTTTCATTACACTTGGCGCGTCGGATTTTTTGTGTGTTCTCCCGCATAACTTGAAGCGGCAGCTGCGTCGTCTCCACACCAACTTTTACAAAACCGGTGACACTACTTCTCAAATGCGAGAGGTCAGCATGCGTCGAACAAAAGGATGCCCGCTGATTTGTCCACTTATCGAGTTATTCCACACGCAGGTTCAGTAAGGATTGACATTCAAGTTGATAGCAGGTACATTAGCCATTAGGCGGCTTTCCGGCGTTCCAAAGACTTCCAGCCTACTCGAAGTCCCTTTGCTTCGATGATGGGGGCAGGCAGGCAGTAAACTGGGTCAAGATCGACCAATCCGGGGTATCCTAGAATCGAGAGGCCTGGAAAGATCGAGCGTCATGTAGACATTTAACACGATACTACTAACCTGCTACACCGAATTGAGTATGAAAGACATCTGTAACATTATCAGGCCGGTCTGCGATGCCGCCTTTCTCCAGATCCTGGTAGCTACGAGTCAGCAACGAGGTCACGGACATACGAGACGCTCACTTGTGCAGATAGAATGAAATTAGTTAATTGGTCGCAGTCGATCCATGATACTTTGTTCAGGATCGACAGGGCGGAAAAGTACCCAGAAGCTATAGCAGACCTGGGGTATTTAAGCTGGCAGCTTCAAGGTGGGAGACAAATGTACATCGGGAAGCTTTTCTGGGCGCCCGTTTAAGCCACCGCCTGGGACTTGACGTTCAGCCAACCACCAGCCCAGGGTCTCGCTGTCGATAACGTCGAGACGGTCAAGTATAGCAAGCGCTGCGCAGCAGACAAAGGCTGTTGAAAAGGGCATCAGTAGATGTAGACACACAAATGATCACAAACCCTGTCCAGAATGGCTTTCTGCGCCGATGGTGTTGCCAAACCCACCATCGAAGTTCTTGCATTGCACTATATACTCGACCGTCTTGTCTTTGTCAAGTTGGTCCAGAGCGCCGAGGAGGGACAGAGCGTTTACCGCAATGTAAGAGAAGCGCGTGTCTATTTCACCAAATGAGTCCCCAGCGAATACTCCAGAGGGCTGCTGGAGGGATAATATGACTATAACCTTTAGTAGGGCAAGAGAAAAAAGTGCATTGACTAACATTCAGTAACGCGAGGAGCGTCGACGATGTGCAAAGAGTCGTAGATGACCAGAATTTGGATTGCGCTGAGAGTAGGATGGATGTGGGCATCATGACCTGGATGCGCTCCAAAGCCGCCGACCTCGTCATCCCAACAGCTCATAACAAACTTGATGACATCGTCCTTGTCGAGCGCGTCAGGGTGGCCCATCACACACAGCGCAGTTAAGCCCCAGTAAATCGCATTTAGCCGGAGGTGGGCGGTGAGGTGGTACATCAGATCATCGGTGCTCTGGACCCAAGTTTACACGAAAGCGTGGAAACTGTTACTGGAGTGTACCTTGCCCAAATTTTGGATATAGGCAACATGCAAGTCGATAGCAAGTGAATCCATGTCACGGTCACGCGGTATATTCGTGGTCTCTGACGTAATCTATTCCACTCGCGTGTCGAAGACCACCCAATGCTCTGGACGAGACGCATCCAAGCGCAGCTTCAAATATCTCGCAGAATGGTTTAATCTAACCCTACACTTCCCTGTCTCGGAATCGGAACAAACCAGTGGCTCTTCTAATTGTTTCTGTGGACTGGTCAACTAAATATTCGACAGTTTGTGGGGCATACCCAGACAGCCTTATCGGATGAGTAGAAGAGCGAGGATGATTTGAGAAGTTCGACGGTTCCCAAATCTACAAGCCAGGTCCAATAAATCGGTGCTTTAATTCGAACATCCGCAAGCATATCTAGCATGAATGTGTCGCCGGCAATAGCAACTTTAGACAGTTGAAACATTAAAAGCATTGCTATGAAGAGAAGCTTACTGAAAGGACTCCGAAACGCTGTCGTCAAATTTCCGTCTACGGCATGGAATATCGAAAACTCCATTGTGTTGGTTGTGAACTCGTTTGACAGCGCAGAGACAAAGAGTTGTTCGTGAGCAAAGATGTCCTGTGCTGCTTTGTAGTTTTTACTACTAGACACCTCTGGCATCAACCTGACGGCGGTCTCCAGAACGCAAGCATTTTGTAAGCAAGGAGTCAACTCGATGTTTTGCCGCGAACTTGTCCCGGCTTGAGAGAGATAAGGAAGACTAGCATTTCCGACGTTAGAATCCAAGTACGTAACGGCATGAGCCTCTAGATATATCAGCACTGGAGAACGTTACAAGAGCAAACTCTTACAATGTGACGACGGTTGCGTTCAAGTCCCTCAGTTCCAACTGTAAAGGCGCCATCACCATATAGAGCATGGGGACGAGCTATCCAGACTTCCGGGAATTGATTACGAAGGATGGAATAATAGTTGTCTGCCATTTCCAATTGCTCTGCTGAAAGTCCGAGCCTCCCTAATAAAGACAGGAAGTCGCGGGCGTTGTTTCTGAGGATCATACTGCCATATCCGAGCCACGCAAAGCCAAACGTGATCTTGGCCGATTCAATGGAAAGTAGTCGACTGGCCAACCACTCGTCTGGTGGGGCAAGAAATATATCATGCGAGGTAACCCGTGCTCGCAAACTGCGAATAACTTCAGGCTGAACAAGATAGTCGTCATCCTACTGTCCAGTTAGGATGGCATATTCTGTGGCATGAACGAACCTGGATGAAGCAATACGGTGTTGACGCATTAGCACACGCAAGAAAACGCGCCTGGAAATACGCGTTATTGGGGGAATTGTAGATTCTTAGTTTGGGGCAGTGGCTCTCAGTAAAGTCCTGCTCGGAAGAGTGAGACTTGAATATTCTTGCTGGGGAATTGGCACTTCTGGGGTAAGGGGGCGGAGGTTGTAGTTGTTCCAAACAATGATCTGCTGGATTACTGGTTCTCTGCATAGTGAGGAGACGATTTGCACGACATTTGGGAGTCGGACCCAGTTTAAAACCACAGCAGTTACGTCGGAAGAAGTTGGACTTGGACTGCGCAAATGGAAGAGGAAAACGCCGAGAACAAGTACAATGACGGTCGTGAGCAGACGTTTCATGATCGCGACACCTTTTCCTCTTCTGTCATCTTCAACAATGCCAACAGCAATTGGCACGCTAATAGTCGTGATACTCAAAGCAGTTCGTGCCCACCATTTCTTGTCTCTACGGTGCGCTCATCGTGGCTAGAATCACCTTCCCAATAAACGGTAAACACGAAACAACCCGTTAAGCATGTTCACCAACCCATCGTCTGTAGCCACATCGGCAAGCAGGACCCCTACTGTCTTGTGTCACTCAACGGCACCAAACAACGCACAAAGGTCATCAAGCGTGGTGGTCAACATCCAGAGTGGGATGAAGAACTGCGGTTTACCATGTATGAGGAGGACGAGTCGACTGGTCCCAATGGTACACCCCCACCGCCTCCGCCCAAGGACGGCAAACGGAAAATTCAAGGTGGCACAATAATGAAGTTGTCGTGTTTTGCGGACGATCCTCGTGAACCTGGCCTCATCGGGCAGGCAGATGTAGATTTAACAGAAGTTCTCACAAAGGGCGAGACGGATGGTGAGTACTCCCATAGTTCTCTGCTCATTCTCAACGTTTCTTCAGAATGGTTTACGCTGATGAACAAGGACAAATTCGCTGGCAAAGTATATCTCGAGTTGACCTTTTTCTCCAACGTTTGTGGCTGTATTTATATCGTCCATCGCGATTCTAATGGTCTCATAGGAGGAGCCACCCGCACCGAAGCCACGACCGGCTGTGCCTCAAAATAATAGGGAATATAGCGGACCTGGTTCTTTCACGGCTTCAGAAGAGTTTCCCTCTGGTCCCTCTGGCGCAAACTTTCCGCCGACTCGAATAGCATCGACGAGTAGCAGCTATGCCCATCCCCGGCGCCCATCGGACTCTACACCACCAGGGACTATCCGTGCATCTCATTCAAACTCTCAAATCGAGTATTATCAACCACCGTATGATCAACCGCAGCAACCACAAAATACGAGAGGCAGGGTCGCATCATTTAGCACATTGACGAATGATTTTGGAGACTTGAGTGTCGGAGACAATCCTCGGAGAAGAGAGAGCTTCCCCGTATGTTGTCCTTGGCTTTGATGTGCTCGTGACTAATGCTACATTCCAGCCTCCCCAGTCGACCATTCTTGGAACGTATTCCCAATCAGGATTCCATGGATATGAACCGTCTGTTCCAGAGTCAGGTCCGGGTTATTCTTATGAGAGGCCGATTACTCCTCCCTATGGCAACTATGCTCCTCCTCCCGCTGCCCCATATCGTCCGGCCTATGATTCTGGATCAGGCCCATACAATACGCCACCCTCAAGGGGTCCTCGCTACAGTATGCCGGCAACTTCGTCAGGTTTCATGCCTCTGTCCAGTTCTACATCATCTGGCTTTGCCCCACTGACACCTGAGCCGACTGGGTTTGCACCGACTCTTCCACCGACTCCAGCTCCCCCGATGAATTATTCACCTTCTCATATCAATGGCATCACTTCTTATACTCCTGCACCAAGTCAAACGCCTGCACCAGGATACCCTCCTGCCCCATCCACTTTCCAAGGTCTCCCACCTGGCCAACCATATGGGTATCCTCAATATCAGCCACCACCTGTTCAGTATAACACGCCTCCACCTCCACAGCCTCAACAGAATTATACTCACCCACCCTCTCCCACCCATCCTCCGTTGACACATAGCACTTCCCTTTCATCGAGCACTGGACCTGGATCACGTCCACTACCTCAGCAACCAGTTCATAGCCAGAGCCTGCCTCCCCCTCCGCCCGCTCAATACTTCTCTCCTCCCGCAAGCCAGCCAAGTGTTGTCAACTCGCAACCTCCTGGGTCTTATAGTCCATCACATCCGAGCCCATCGGCTTTCCACGAGTCGTACAGTCCATCTCATCCAACTAGCTCTGCATTCCATGAAAGCTATGTGCCTCCCCCGCCCCAGCCATACGAACATAGTGTGCCATATCATTCACCGGGTTTACCGCCTCCCCCGCCAAACGGAGTTTCTCCGCGAAGACAGTCCAGTCTTCCAACTCCACCAACCCACCACCAGCAGCCGACTTATGTAAACCCATTACCGCCCCCACCGCCACCTCCGATTGATTACTCAGTACCTCCTCCGCCACCCATTCCATCAGCCATCAACCAAAGCCAACCGTACTACCCCGGACCTCCACCCCGGCCTCCTGGTCAGCTTGATGGATCTGCATGGATGAACCAGCCACCTCCCCCTCCCCCTCAACATTCATATTCAGTCCAAAGCTGGAACTGAACGACCATTTTTCTTTCTGTCTCTTGCTTTGAAACGAACTTTGCACCGCCAAGTCATGACCACACACACACACATACACATCCATACATATTAGACCAGCACAAAAATGTCTTCACGAAATCAATATATAGCGCGCTACCTACTTGTCTTTATTGTTGCTTTTCCGCCACTGAGTTATAGCAGTCTCTGTGGGAATGACCCCTTGCTGGGCCAGCTCATATCGCGCCTCTTTGCGGATTGAGTTCTCTTCAAGGCGCCTGAACGCTTCGTATTCTTGGAGTGCTCGTTCAGCGCTTAACACCAGACCGAATACGGAACCTCCCGATGACGTAAGACGTGTGGAAGACGAAAAAACAGGGACATGCTTACAAGTGCAGACTATAAAGCCCTTGAACGGAAAAGTCTGGCGCCTATGGCAAGGGTCAAAGTTAGAAGGGAGCAATTCACGGTATCAGACCTGAAAAACGGCCAACTGTAGTGTAAAATTATTGTTGAACCTAACCCGATTGCTGCGCCGTGCAGAGCACCCTAAGTGGTTATAAGTGCCCCGAAGTCAGGTCTCTAGCTCTGCGACCGACTTGAATCCCAGAGGTCGTTTGTATGTCATGCGCTATATCGACGTCCTGTCGTAGCCGAGAACGAGATGTCATAGCGGCCAAACAGCGACAAACAAGTCAACGCCAGGTGTCCATAAAAGGCAATTATAATTTACACATCGCTATTCCGGTGAATTATGCTAATCTGGTTGTTTTCCGAACAAACTAATAGTCGGGACGACTCTGATACAATATGCGCAATCCGTTGTCCTTTCGTGCATTCGATCTGAGGCTGAGTGAGAATACTTTCCAAAACCTAAGTGTGTGTTGCAGCTTTACCTGACAGCAGGGTTTGTTGGAGTTGCGGAGATCCCACACTCGAATGATGCCTTCTTTGTCACCAGATGCGAAGTAATCCGAAAACGAAGCGCCTTTTGAGTATCTCCCATGGACCTGAGGATTCGCATAGCCAAATCGTAGCGTGGGTATAGAGGGCACCAGTCGATGATCGTGTACTTCGAATTGGAAATCACGATGCGCGAGCTTGCGTGTTGATGAGAAACAAAGGGATAAATCGGCTGAATAATTACCTCAAACAGGGTGCAAAAGCTTGAGGTGGTCGGATGCAGGTGGTATACCGAGTTGGACGTGCGAAGGGTATTAACAACTCTTTGTGAAGAAAGGTCGTAAAAATTGACACTGATCGCAGTATGAGGTGATTTAGAACAAGAAAACAAGCACCATTACTTACCAACAGTCCGCTCCTGCTGAAGCAAGCTTGTGGCTAGTATCGGATACTCCGAGAATAGATTGCACAAGCGAGTTGTGTCTGATCATCAGGGAGTGGCGTGAGGAAACGGTCGATAGATCATCGTCCAGCTTCCATAGGTGGATGTTGTGGTCATACCCTCCGCTGGCAAACAAAGAAGGCTGTTTGATGGGCGCTACACAACTCACTCCACCCTTCTTGAGCGAATTCCATGGCCTTTCAAGGTCAGTGAACGTAACAGTCTACTGGCATTGAGAATGGATGATTGTTATTCGTAAAACAGACACGCACCCCGGCCGCCTTTGTTCGGCGGTTCTGGATGAGCGAAAGCTGTTGTGCATCACGCCCGTGGCCGACGATCGTGACCGAGCAATCACCGTTAACCAGAAGACAGGCGTCTTCGACGAATTCCCTCCGAGAAGTGGCCGGGTCAACGGACCAATGTCTTCGAAAGGTTAACAAGAGACACGAAGCATGGTCTTGACCCGCACCGGCGTGATTCAATGTCTACATCCTGTAGATACCCGTGCATAGATAGAGTGAAGGACGAGGATGGGTCGAAAGGGTCCAATAGTAGCCGGCGTAACTTGTCGTGTTGATGTCGAATCGGAAAACAGAGTTGTTCACCATCAAGCACGAATTCAAGCTGCCGAAAGGGCAATGGGGATAAGGAGCGGCGAATGACTGTGGGTAATAGTTCTGAAAGCTCGTCTAAGCTAGGAATAGACGGCGATGGTCGCGGAGAGGGAGATCTTGGGGTGGGGAGGTCAGCGGAGACTGCCGGTGAAGATTCTTTAGCATGCAAAGACGGTTCCCGCGACTGTTGTGCTGCCTTGTCCACAGATAAAAGACCGGCAACGCGGTTGTCGTCCATAGTTGGAACAAGGTTTGTGCCCGAGTCTAGCTTTGTGGGTACTTGGAAGCATAATCTTCCGGACCTGAAGGATCGAACAGGGCCAGTGGGTAAAGAAGCCAAGTCAGGAGAAGGAGTGGAACTTGCGACTGGAGGCTTCAATGCCTCAGGCTGTTGCTGATGAGATTCAACAAAAAGACGCGACGCGTAACCACGACCAACGTACACGCAGTGATTCGACTACTTTGGCTTCAAGAGTCGACTTGGGGGCAAGTGAAACCTTGGTGATATCTGTTTGGACGCAGATAAACGAGACGTTGGTGGGATTAATGTTGTAGTGGACAACACGAAGACCAAGAGGGGAGGCTTGAATGTTTGCAATCTCACGCGCTACGAAAGCCTGGCGTCGATTGTGTGCCCCTGGGAAATGGGATGTGTTCTGGCAGTGGGCCGGAAGCTCGCGAATGATATCCTGACGGAACTCATGGTCTAAGCGTCGACGTTTAGCTGGTGAACGGTTGCCAGCAAACGAATTGTGCGCAGGGCGTTTCTTCGTTGGGTTATAGCGAGGCGGAGCAATGCGAGGTATTGGGGCATTTAGCCTAGAGCGAAATGAACGATGCTCGTTTGGTTGTGCATCTTCAGCAGGCATCAAACACCAGTTTGGGACTGTTTGAGAATGGGGTAATTATGTAAAATGTGACTATTGCGTGACATGGTATTCATAAGATTACTTGGAGCCAGCCAACTCTACTGCGAAAGCGACTGCGAGTTTGGAGAACTCTAACATATGAGAGAAACTGAATTCATCAGAGACATCGATTCGGCTAGAAAGTGTGAGGTAAAACCACATCTTCAAGCTGAGAACTTACTCGTTGGCCGAGTGGATGTTCTTGTTGGAGTTCTCAAATGTGCTCTCTGACACAAGTCAACGAGCAGTTACAAAAAAGAACAAATCAACTTGCCGATGGTGAATGAGCTAGGATAGCCTGCCTTCATCCACGATGCGCTAGTTATTAGTGATAAGCACACTAGTCTTGGATTTAAGAGACATTTCCGTACTGGTCCGAGCATGCGTAGCCACACTGTTTTTGTTTTAATGCGTGCGTTATCGTAGATCGTGGTAAGGCTCACCTTGGTCTAAAAGACTTAGGAAAGGAAAACAATTGCGATGAGTAATGACTCACCGAAACCCATGGAATATCCAGGTACTTCTCAACGAGCGCTTTGTTGAACTCGGTGAGACTGAGAATATTGAGATGATTGCGGATTAAATCAGTGCGAAACACGTACGGCGAGTCAACGAAGTCACTGATCAGGCCAACTTCTTCCCTAGTACCGCGCTGAATCGCGTTCAGTATTCCGCTGTTGCCAAAAAAGAGCACTATCGCACCTTGACCCACGCAGTCATATCGAACTATGATGTGGTCAAGAAGAATTGTTTGAGAGGATAGCTTCCACACCTGACTCATGGCAATGACGTTCACATTCTTGGCTTCATATGCAGAAGCTACAGCTTGAGAGCCAAGCAAGCCACCCTCCTGTAAAAATTGTCAATAAAGCTGTTGAGGTTGTCAAGCACTGACTTCGGCAGAATACCAATGGAATTCTATGACCGCCTCAGTAATGTAAGACCAACACCAATATATGTCGTACCAATGGCTCGTTCAGGGTGGAAGTCAGCTGCAAGCAAAGCGCGATAACTTTCCAAGATAGTGACTGTCCCAGATCCATCGTCTGAATATGTCCATGTCAGATTGGGCGTGAGAGCAGACGGAAGCACTAACCATCGGCACCAGGAGCGGGTAGGAAAGGCCACATGTTGCTAGAAAATAGAAAGTCACTTCGGGAGGGGGACGAAAACAGAGAGATAAACTTGCGTGCTGTCCTGATGAGCACCAATAATGACAACACCATCGTCGGTGGTCGAGGAACCATTGATTCTAGCAATCTGGAGGTGTCAAGAGCCACACTCGAAAAAGATAACACGAGTACTCACGAGAGAGTTCTGGCCCCAAGAGTGGGTGAACTCGGAAATAGAAATCTTTGCTTGAAGTGATTTGGAGCCCCATTCTGAAGTAATCTGACATCCAAGTCAGAGAGGTTTCACTGGAACATGAGCGACTGTACCTCCTGTATCTTGCTCTTCAGCCAAGCCTGGCTCTTTGCTCCAGTCTAACGCTATTTGAGCCGTGGACACGATGCAAAGAAATCAACGTACGTCACTGCGATAGTCTGAAATAGAAGAGAGATGAAAATATAGGCGGCAATATAAACAGAGTGCCTCACGTCTGGTGCGGAAGCTGGTAAACTTCCTAAGGTTTGCCTCGGGACCCTTGGTGGAAAGAGTCTTGATAATTGGGATCACCTGTTCAGTAGCCGGTATGAAAAGCGTGAATTGTCCGACGAATGCCTGCCTACCTTCTCTGTGGCGTTTGGTGTCGGGAAAGAAGCTGAAGACGGCCTCATGTAAGTTGGACATGCAGCAAAGTTATCAAGATTTACACTGAATTCGCAGGCGAGATGAGGTTCCGAGCTCTGGGGTGTCTGTGACGTCGAAGAACATCACGCCGCGTGCCTTGGCTTGAATCTATAGCGCTCGATGAGGAAGGGCTTGGATTCGGCGAACAACGAAGACCTTCCTTCTCCAACTCAGTCATGTAGATTGGGGTAGTCTGACCCTCCAACTGGCGGGCGGTATTGGAGTCAGTAGCGTTTTGGTAACCGAGCACTCACTTGAACGAGACGGAGAGCATTGAGATCGAAGTCGGGGAAATCAGGATGGGAGGATTCCAGCTGGGTGTTAAACAGCGGAATTTGGTCTGACAGAGGACTGGCAGCCACACAGGCTAGGGCGACGAGTCCAACAAGGTACTTCATGGTAGAGAGCAAGCAACGCGTAACCACCTTGTGCTTGCAGGGCTGAGGCACGTAATCGTCACACCGACGTGACGAACGTTGATCCGCTTCATGTCCAAAGCCAGCGCAAAGGCAGCAGCACAGTTGGTGGTATGCTATTAGGTTTCGCTTCAACTAAATTCCTACATCTGACTTTCGACAGCGACTTGTTGTGCCGGCGGGGAAAGCCGCCCCAACCCCTCCCGTTGGACCTGCCTTGGGAGCTCGTGGTGTCAAGTCTATGGATTTTTGCAAGGAATTCAACGCTAGAACTGCTCATATTGAGCCTGGAGTACCAATACCAACTATGATCACGGTACAACCCGATCGCTCATTCACCTTCATCACGAAGACTCCGCCAACAACCTATTTCTTGAAACAAGCTGCAGGCCTTGAAAAAGGCGCCGCAAAACCTGGGCACGAGACGACTGGGACCATCAGCTTGAAACACGTGTACGAAATTGCGAAAATTAAGGCCACCGACGAGCATATGCGGCACATCTCGATGGAGTCCATCGCCAGGATGGTTGTGGGGAGCGCTAGATCGCTTGGGTTACAAGTCGTGCCCTGATTTTCGACGTGTGTTATCTTCCCGTTGACTCCCAAGTCAACACTGACACAGCATTCAGGTTTTTTTCGGCCCAATCACCGTCTGGAGAAGCTGGAATCCACTGAACGGGTGGGTCCGTTCTTGACAGTGGATCATGGCCCGGTGAACCGAGACAACGTAGAGTTCAGTATAATGAAATCATTTTCTCGGTTCTGATAATCGAAGTTATAAACTTTGCCACTCCTCGACGCCCCTCCTTCCTATTTGGTGAACTGGACGCGACATGCCTAATCCGTCTGTTATCCAGCTGGGTAATGTCAGTCGGGTTAGCTGGCGCCTCTGTGAATTTACCCAAGGTCCGGAAACATCTCACCCAGATCGAGAAGATGGAGTGAGGAGGCGTGGACTCAGCCCAACCTACGGAACCTCTTATGCGTACACGTCGGTCTTCCAAATCGAGGTGCCAATGTTTCGCCACGCAAATGCCTTTTTCAGACTGCCTCGTGGCTGCAACAAATCAAACTCTATGTTTTGCAGAATGTCAAAATCTTTGACGGCCAGAAATTTTGTGTGGCCACGGCGTCAACCGACCTTCCTTTCGAATGAACGAAACGTCGCAAAGGAGAATCGCAATGGCTTCTCACCAAACGCGTGTTCAGCTCCTTTGATCCTACCTGACCTTGAGCTGTTGACTGTCTGCTTGAATTTGGTCCACTGGCCAACGCCGCAACGTGAAGCTTTCTTCTTCGTCCACACGTTTCCTGCCCGTACATTCATCTTTATCTCCACGTTTTCGATCGATATAGACCGCGCAAAACATGCTGATGTACGATTTCTCTTGCCGAGCTCCCCTATAAGAGCAACTGACGCCATTGCGGATAATCCTCAGCAACTTGTACTCGTCTACCTCTACCCAATGGCCACTCCCGTGAACAACGACATCCTCTACTGGACCAACCAGGACCCACGCGAAAGCGTTCTCTTCAATAACTGGGGAATCGTCTATCGCTTCCAGGTCCGTTCCATGTTCTGTTTCGACGCGACTAAACGCGTTCTGACGCGCGATTAGACTGCAGTCACAACCAGTGGACAGAGCGTCACCACATTATACCGCGTTATTCGACCCAACAAAGAAGATCGTGTGGCTAAACTGGAGTGGGCTGCGAATGGGGGCTTGGGACGCGTTATCATCGGAAAGGTTGGTCAGTTTGGCGGCAAACTAAGCCCCCCGCTGAGTGTAGCAGAACACGTTGCCCATGGCGGACCTAGTCCGAGCAGACCCACGCATCCATGTTAGTGCCCTGAATCAAGTCAACTCGTGTTGTGGATTCACAGTTCCATAGGCTTCTCGTGTCTTCATCGGACCTGATGGTCTCCAATATCGATGGAGGCCAAGCTCAAACAACACCGACATTGTAGTAAGCATACCAACGCAATTTTCCCCTTCTCTTTGAGTACTCATTGGGTATGATCAGTTGCAAGATGCTAACGGCGCTATCGTCGCATTCTTCCGCCCCACACGCCAAACAAGATACCAGATCGGCGATGTTTACGGAGAACTACACTTTATCCGCTCAGCAGGAACTGGAACGGTCGTGCGTGCCTTGGCTTTTTTTCGCGTTTGACGCGTTCCAACTCCAGTTCTACCTAGATGCACCCTCCCATAATGGACATGGTGACCGTGACCGCGATGCTCTACCGTTTCTGCTCTGCCTGGGGCCTGTAGGAGGAATATATTTTATGCCCGACTCTCTGTACTTTTAGCACATGTACTTATCAACCTAATGGCCATCGCGATCGAGACATCAGATTACAATGAAATTTCCGCCAACACGATGCAAAAAAACTCGTCACAATTTCACCTGGGCAAGACTGTCTTCTGACTTGACGACTTCGACGATCTCATCGACCGTGCGGATGACCCACTCGGTGCCTTCGTCGCTCGCTAACCAGCTATCCTCCTCGCTCTTTCCTTCTATTTCGCGTGCCTTGAGCAGCCCAAAAACGTGACTCGTAAGCTGGGGGACAACTCGCTCTTCGGCGCGGAGACAGGCTATTCCGACAACCGACCCCATTGTACGGCTAAGATTGCCTTGGTCGGGATCGTCGCGGCCACTCAAATCTGTTGCGGATCTCGTCTCGCCTGGCAAAGGCGAAAGCACTGTGCCGTAACTCTGGATAATGAAAGCTGGGGCCTCGTGTTAGAAGGCCAGATTGACAAAGAAATCGGTCACGCACAGATAAAGTCGGGGTGATAAGACCCTAGCTTGTCGTGCAATTTCTCTGCATGGGGCGTGTAAATGGAGCGCCATAAGGCCTTGCCGCGTTCAACGGTCGTGTCGATATTCCTCGAAGTGCCATCGCTGACCAAACCAAACAAACTAAGACAGAAATCAGCCTGAGTAAAACAAACTCTCACCGGCGAGAAGTTGTCCGCAAGGCCGCTCTCACATCGGCATCCAGAGCCTCATTGAACGCGGCGAACGACAGAATGACCTAGTATCTTCCTATTAGGACCGCAGTTTTCTGTGAAGTATATGCATCTGCCTCACGCGCGGGACTCCAACAAAAATGACACTCTTGAGGACGGCTTCGCGGACAAGAGCTGCTTTATTAATTGCCTCGCCCAGACTCGAGCTGGCCCCAGTGCTTCGCGAAGCAGCATCGCTTGGGCGAATGAAGCGGTATAATTGGGCCATAGTTGACGGACGATTTACCGTTGTCAGAGTACATGCCTGCAACACCGAGTGGGATTCGGACCGAAATTATGGCGGGTCAAGGTCTACCGTCAGAACGAGCCATGCTGTAGTGGCGTTGCGATCTAGAGCGCTTCGGTAGGAGCTCGTCAATACACTTTGTAGCTTGGAAGCCGATGGTGGAGGTAGTGAATTCGGATTGCGCAGAGTCAACAGATGTTTGATGGTCGGCGGCAGATGTTTGACCATGATGGTTCCAAGTAAAGAAGTGACATCAGTCAACATTTGTTCCAAACACAAAACTACAGTAGTATGTGATTGCCAGACTCTACGGGTGGGTACATTCGAGAGTAGATAGCCATAAGCCTGCTACGGCAGAGAACAAACGGCCACAGCTGGCGTGGCCAGGAAAAACGCGGGTCTCAAGCGTTGGTTGCGAAAGAAAAGGTAAGAACAATTGCTCGGTATAGATGGTAGGGCCATTAGGATATGCGGTTAGAGTGGCTGATGTGGATAAGGTCAACGATAGCTAATTTTTGAGAAAAAGAACAACAAACATATGCACAAGCGTCGAGTGAACGGCCACTTAGTTGTTGATGAAGTAAGAGCCTGCAAAAAGACTCGGTAACTATGCCAAGATGGTTGAAATGTTCATACCGAGGTCGTTAGGGCCATTGCCCGCACTGTTCATCAGTTTGTTGAGGGGGTTGACATTGTCCATTCCCACCATGGCGCCTATGTCCCGTGAATGAGTAAAGGCCTGCCTAGGTAGGCACAACACATACCGAACCAGCAGTGGGCTTTGATCCAATCCTTCGAGTTGACGAACTCGGTAGCCCCGACCATGAATGCCCAGATCTCATCCATGGTAGCTTGTCTGCCACCGTTGAAGTTCTTCGGTCGAGTGAGTAAACGGAAGTGATGATGGTACAGTTTCATACCTGATCAGCGTATTCGGTAATGTAGACGGGGAGGTTGTAGGTGTCGTGCCAGTAAGTAATGTAGTTCTATAACCGTTGAAATGTAGAGCAATGGCAAAAACGAGTGACCAGCCTTGAATTCCTGAAGGTCGGTGCCGTAGTAATGGGTGGCGATACCGCTGACAGCACAGTCATTTCCGCACTAGAAACGATGAGCTGGAGTCACTGAAAAAGGAAATACTACGGACGTTGTTCATGAAAGTCTTCATCCAGTCTTTGCCGTTGGGGCGGGACGACATGGCAGGAGAGAGGAGGGTGTAGCCCTTGGAGGCAAGGGGGAGCATGTACTGCCTCCAGATCTGGATACCACTCCAGGCATCCATGTTGCTCTGGCCGACTTCGTTAGGTTCGTTAGGGCCAAGAGCAATCTTCGCGTAGCCGGGAACAGTCTTGGCCTTGAAGTCTTCGGCATTCTTCCAGCCCCACAACACTGCTGCGCATCAGGACTGATCGGAATCAAAGGGGAAAGTTGGCCGTACTGGGTGCATACGTGAAGCCAAGCTCATCAGCGCCGGGGATTTTGCTTGCATCCCAACTGTAGATGCTGGAAATCGGGTTTCAGGGCGATGTCAGGTTGATGGTCGAAAAAAATTACTCACAGGCCAACGTTCTTACCCTGCCACGAAGACAGCTTGTTGTAGTTGTAGTTGGGCCATGCGAGGCAAGCCTTGCCGCGGAGCTGAACACCGTTTCCGACAGTGACGGGGCCCGTGCTGCTGCCGCCGCTGGGGGGTTTGTTGTTGTTGTTGTTATTGTTGTTGTTGTTATTGCCCTTGTTGCCGCCGTTGTTGTTGTTGTTATTCTTGTTGTCGTTGGAGGGTTGCTGAGCGGGTTGCTTGGCAGGCTCGTCCTTCTTGGGCGCTGTGGAAGGCTTGCTCTCTAATGCAGACGAGGCTGCACGGGGCTTGCAGCGTTTGGCATTGCTAGCCCGTTTGCGGACAGAGCGGGCAACAGCGATGTCGTGGTGGCTCCTGACGACATTACCGGATTGCAGCGAAACAGCGTTAACTGATGAAGGGACCGTGGAGCTGAGAACAGCGAGGAGGGTCACAGAAACAATGCTAAGGAGGCTAGAGGGAGCCATTGAGAGGTCGGATTGAGGATGAGAAAAGAGTGTCGGGCCAGGGATGGCGGTTGGAGGCAGAAAGGTGTGAGTGTGACATGACGTGACAGTTGCTCATCAAAATGTCGAGCCAAGCTTTTGTCGAAGCTTGGCAACCAGATAAACTTTGCGTTTAAACCCCACACAAAAAATGGATGAACCAATGCGGAAGAGCAAGTGGGTACCGCAAAGAGATGAAAAGCGTCTTGCACGCGAGCAGGGAAAGCAAAACAAGGGCGGCCTGAGATCCTGTCATGGAAACGGCACGTCATTATAAAGGGCATCCATCACTCGGCAGGGTCTCTTCTTAACCTCCAAGTTTGACGACAAAAAAACCGGTTCCCTCAGCTCACCCAAACAAACCCAGTTCATCCCCCCTAATATGTCGGAAGCCCCCTCCGCCGCCCCAGTCACCGAGAACGGCGCTACTCCCGTCACGCAGGAAAAGCAGGAAGTCCCTGGTTTCAAGGTAGGCATGACATGACAACCACGTTTTGTGTGTGTGTGGCGACTTGGATGACTCAAAACTCACTTGTTAGGTCTTCGCTGGAAACCTCGCGTACTCTACTACGGAAGAGGGGCTGAAGACGTTCTTTGCGCCAGTTCAGAGCGACATGTACGTGGCATCAAATACACAGCCTATCCCATCTTTTTTTTGCTAACACGACCCCCCAGTCTCTCCGTCCAAGTCATCATCCGCAACAGTGGACGGGAGAACGTCCCTCCTCGTTCTGCAGGCTACGGCTTTGTCGCGCTCTCCACTGCCGAGGCCGCTCAAAAGGCTGTCGAGGCTTTGGACAAGAAGGAGCTCGACGGTCGTCAAGTAATCGTCGAGGTCGCAAAGCCATCTGAACAGAAAGAAAAGGAGAAGAAAGAGAAGAAGGCAAAGAGAAAGCCCGGCAGGCGAGGCAGCAAAGCTGTCCCCGGCGAAGTTTCAGAAGCAGAAGCAAACGGCGACGCAACCAAGGCCGAAGCTGCTGCTGGGACCGACGAGGCGGCCAAGCCCAAGAAAAAGAAGAAGAAGGCCGCTGTATGTTGTTATTTGTTTACTCCTTTCATTTCGCTAACATTGTTTCTACTCAGAAAAAGCCCAAGACTGAAGCTGCTGCTGCTGCCGCCCCAACGGAGGGTGAGGCTTCTGCCACCACTGAAGCCAAGAAGACTCCCCGTCCTCGCAAGCCCAAGACTCCTCGTGTTCCCCGTCCAGCTGGTGAAGACCCGGTTGGCGAGCAATCTAAGAGCATGCTCTTCGTTGCTAACCTTGGATTCAACATCGATGATGCCGGCCTTTCTGCCCTCTTCACCGATGCCGGCATCAAAGTTGTTTCTGCCCGTATTGTCCGCCGTCGCTGGGGCCAGCCTCGCAAGAGCAAAGGTTATGGCTTTGTCGATGTCGGAGGCGAGGAGGAACAGAAGAAGGCTATTGAGGCACTTACTGGAAAAGATGTCGGTGGTCGCGCAATTGCCGTCAAGATTGCAGTCAACACTCCCCGCGACGACGACGATGAGGAGAAGCCTACTGCCCCCGCCACCGCTTAATGATGTTGATGATTCTCCCACAATACCTCTCGCTCTCATTTCGACGGTGCTTGTCGCTAAATCGCAAACACTGATGCGTTTCGTCCTGTTTACGCTTCTTTAAGTATGTTAACGTGTTGCTGTTCGGTACCAATCACGATACAATTTTTTTACGGATTAGTTGTGACGCGTGATCGTGCTCTTGGTTTATTGCACTGATGTCAGACGACGAAGACGATTACCTTGCAAACCTTGACAAATTTCTTGTTGAACCGAGCACTTCCTCTGGGCCCAAATCCTACTCGCAGCTCCGCAAAGAAGCAGAGAAAAAGTCAAGAGCAAAGAATGAACAGAATCGGGTCAAGGGCCGGCGACAACGCGAGGCTGAATCGCGTGAAGAGGGGCTCAACAAGAGTCTATTCACGCGTGCAAAAGAGGACGAGGATGCTGGTCTCAGTTCGGGTAACAAAGCGTTGTCCATTATGATGAAGATGGGCTTCAAACCTGGGCAAACACTGGGCAATCCGGACGACAACCAAACAGACGCGCAACCCGAGCGACCAGCTAGTCCCGTTGATCAACCCGACACGGAAACGAGGCATAATAAAGCAGATCCACTGCCAATAAACGAATGGGCTGGTGAATAAGCCTCGAAATATCCATAAAGGGTCTAATATATGTCTGTAGGCAAGCGGGGTATTGGACTGGGAGTGAAACGCGCGAGATCTCCTTCTTTTGCAGAGCGCGTCGCTAAAATGGCCAAAATGGCCGATGACACCCGAAATCGCGACTTCCGAGATCGGGCTAGACAAGAATATGAGGAGCGACGCGCTGAAGGGCGACTGGGTAAATTATATCCTTTGTTGCTGTCCTGCTTATGTCATTGACCGCTCCCGCGCCTTTAGTGCCTGCGCAACGTACATGCGTGAGTCTTGATGAGAAGGCAGGTAAAGTCGTGAGTTTGTCCCCTCCAACTGATTGTCAAGTTACATAATCCCGACAGTTTAATGCACTCTGGGTCAATCCGCGCGAGCCAGACACATTCCCGCCCGGTCTATTTGAAGCCTTGAGTTTATACACGACGACATTTGAAGTCTCATCAGAAACTAAACAAGGCTCCGACAGCAACAAGACTGACCGTATCGATGCGGCGAGACTCCGACGACAGATGGCTGCTGATGCCCTTCAACCGCTCGGGGAACTGACTGACGACGGCAACTCAGCTCCTACTCTAGCTATTGAACAAGAGTTTCCATCGGAAGTCTTGGAAGAAACCTCCCATTTTCTACGTCTCCAGGTCAGTCGTCGTCGCATTAATATTAAACCTGATGTGTTGACGCCGTCTAGGCTAGCGACAGGCTGGAGATGGTTCTGTCTTACCTCCGAGATAACTATTATTATTGCTTCTGGTGCGGCACCCGGTACGAGAACGCAGAAGATCTAGGGAATCAATGTCCTGGGGAGAGTGAAGATGCCCACGATTAGGACCCTCGTTTAGGGACTTTATTTTTGTGCTCTCGAATCAGAACGCTTTTTGTACCATTCTGAACGCCAGCTTTTACGATGGCTTTGAGGTATACAGCAGTCAACTATAAGGAAGGACGACCCGACCAGGAAAATAATAACCTAAGTGCGAAAGCGAATAAACGAATGTGGTAGTCCGAATGGATTGTGGGTGTTTTACAAGGGTAGGCTAAAAGTACAAGTCCGATTGCACCGTAGTGCAATCATGACTGGGCGCGTGGAAAGCGACCCTCTGACATGGGTGGCGACGAGATTCGTACGCCGGTATGGTAGGTGCGATGGAAATATAACCGCTCTTCATCAGGAAGAGGTTTGGTGACAGGGTTCGGGGAGTTGTTGGTCGAAGAGATGTCCGAATTTGGAGTGAGTGGGAAGGACTCTGAGCTCGCCGATCTAGGGAAAAGGGTCGGTAGAGTGGGTATGCTGAAAGGCATGGGTGACGATGAAGGAGAGTAATCAAGCGCTTCCCGAGGGAAGGTGGGCGAAGTTGGTGATGCGCCAGGGGTCTTTCGGCGCACATAACTTGAGATGGGGGTGTTGGCAGCCAAGTCTGAATTGGAGCCGAAAACGTTCACAGTGAGCTTGTTGCCATGCCGTCTGCGGGCACGGGGAGAGGAAGGTGGGTGTGGTGAAGTCGAATATGCCTGGAAACAAATTGGTTTGGAAAGTTTCAACTGATTGGTTAATCCAACGCACCCGTACGATAGGGCGCTCGTAGTCAGATGAAGAAGACGAGGATAATGAGGACAGACTGCCTCGGCGTTCAGACAGCTTCTGTTATCCGGTTAGGTGGATCAAAATAAGACTGAGAAAAATGAAATACCGGGGAGTACGGGTTATAGCGGGCAAGGCGGTTACGAGATGCAGCTGAGTCGCGGAGAGAAGGATTTGAGCGAGACTTTGAAGGTGAAGGTGGTGTAGCACGAGGTGAAGATGAAGGGGACGATGAAGGGGAGCGGTCCTGGGCCTGATCCAAACCGAGGGAAGCCATGAGCTCGACGAAGGAAGGAAGTGTAGTGGTGTTAGCCATGTCTACGACTTGAAAGGGTATCGAGAAGGAAGCGGACCTTGAAAGACCCTTGAGCTGTCTACGAGATATATAAAGGCTCAAGATGGTTACGGGCCTCACGGTTGCGTTGACAAGGCAATCCTTTGATTTCTCTTGTGCCTTGAAAAGAAAAAGACTCCGGTTATTATTGACTGGAAACAGATCTCGGCAAGGGTCTAATAGCCAAACTGAGAGATAACGACGCGTTGAATCCTAGAGACGATAACAAAGCCAGAATATTGGGTGGTGGGGGACCAAGCAAGCATTAAGCACAGCCAACAGTTTGGTCCTGTTTCGAAACCGCATCCATCATGTCACAACAACTTGAACGTTGACCTGGGACCATGAGCGGCCAACAACAGCAGAATGCAACACATGGACAAAGCAGTAACTACACAACGGGGACTTTTGCTCCACCGAAGGAACAAATGGAGTACAACTGCGCCGGTGTTTACTCACCCCGTCGTTTGTTGACTTGTCGTTGCTGATCTTTGACGGGATTTTAGACTGTGGGGCAACAAACGAAATCAAATCGCGCGAACCCATCCGTTGTCGCGAGTGTGGTCATCGTATCATGTACAAGAAAAGGACTAAGCGAAGTTGGTCTCCATCATCTTGTCTCGCTGGCTGTTTACTTTTACCTTGAACAGTGGTGCAATTTGAAGCTCGTTGACTCATAAACATTTGTTTCCAATTCGTATCACCACATTCCTTGCTGTCTGATAAACAGATTCAGGAGACATGTCACCACTACTCGATCGAGGATCTCTTCCACGGCTGCGCCCACGCGTAAGGTTGTTTCATCATGCGTCCATGTTGCCACCGTCCTTCTCCGCGAGTCAACACACTCACATCTCCTCAATAACCCGTCGACAGATGTAGGGTGTAAACTCACAAACAGGTCCCTCTCTTGTGATGCTGCTATTTTCCACTTGTACTCTGATCCACCGACCTTGAATCGTCTTGACCTGTTCAACGTTCAAAGCTTCAGCAAGGGATCCTGAACGTTTTGGCAGCGCGCAACTTGCTGCTTGATTTCTTGGCTTTTCTAAGATCTCGAATGTGCACCTGTAACCAATCAGCTGGCGTTTCAAGCTACCCACTCTTGCCTCGTCGATACCAAACTGGACGATACCTAGCTCATCGCTCAAATGAGTCGTGGCAACAATGTCAAAAGTGACACCCTACAGTTGGTGCGTGCTGTCCAAGATATCTCCCCTGCAGGTTCCCAAACGTCCGTAACGAGGTTTTTACGTTGGAAAGTGGTCCCCCCTGTCCCATAGCCCAAATCCGAGTGATAAAACTTGTCAACTCAGATTTCTAATTACAGCCAGACGACGGAGGGTTACCTCATACATCTCGACACTTGTGCCATCAATCAGACGTCTCGAAATGCGCAGAGTACGAATTTCGTCAGGCTTGTAGAAGTGGAAATGGAGGCTGACGGTGGTGTTCATGGGCAAGGATATGTTGGGCACGCTACTCTGGGGGCAATAAACTAAATAAGATGACCATCGGCATGAGCCGGGCATTTCTGTCGCACGTGTAGATAAGATTGTATCCTATCGATTGGCTCCAGGTTCAGTTCGCCAAGAACCCAAAGAAGGAAATTCCTGAGTGTCGGCTTCTTCGAGACACCAACTCAACTTCTGTCCTCGTCTTAAGATAGCCCTTCCCAAGCTCTTCCTCCTGGTAAAGTTGCTGCCTCACCGCCGAAAAACCTTAGATAATCAATACTTCTCAGACCCGTGATGATCAATGATCTGCGTCACAGTTAGTGACCTAAACTGTCTTACCAATCGCCATGACCGAGCGAAGCCTCTCCATCGACAATGTGGGCTCGCTCCTCCCGTATGGCGTCAGTAAATGGACTAAAATCGGCTAGGACAGCGATATGGATGATGTCAATGCGCCAGGAAAGCCAGGACGCAAGAAGAACCCAAAGTGAGTCATCCCCACCTCGTCACCGCAAGGTCAACCATGCTTACGCTGTCCAGCTCCCAGGCAGCCAGGCGGGACCAAAACCGCATCGCACAGCGCGAGTTCCGTCTGAGAAAGCAGCAAAAGGTAGCCTCACTTTTCCCTTGACCCCTGCTGACTGGCCACCGTAGATTCGCGATCTGGAGACCCGTGTCGAAATTCTTTCAGGCGGCGCCGACAAAGCTGTAACTGAAATGCGCAATATGCTCAAAGACTTGATGGAAGAAAACCAGACGCTTCGCACTCTGCTTCGTAGTCTTGGGGCATTCATTGGCGAGGGCGCTGGAGGCCTCCTCCCCAAACTTGGCTGGGATCTTCAGGACTTCAACAATTTTATTAATAGGTCAGAAACAGACACCGCCTGGCAAGGTTATCAGCGTCGCAAAAAGGTCAGCGACCCTGTCTCTATTGGACAGAAGCGCACAGCCGATGACGAGCCAAGTTCATCGTCGCGCAAGAAGACCCGTCCAGAAGACCCGGATCCAAATGGTTACCTTATGAACACCCCACTCCCCAACACCATGTATGGTCGCGCTGACAATCCCAACCTCTTTACTGACCTGATGCGCAACGGCTCGAATGGGTCGCCCATATTCAGCAATCCCTCGCCAACCTCCAACCAACCAGGAGCATTTGCGCCTCCAGTTCAGTCCGGTTATCCGTCATCGTACCTCCCCGCTATGGGCGTTGACACGAACCTCCCTCCCATGAATTTCTCCTCCACCTCCACAACCCAAACTCCTATTCAGCCGCCGCCGCCTCAAGCAACCCCAAGTCAGTTGTCGGCGGAACAGGTTGAAGACGATGACGATCCGAATAAGAGCGAGGCATATAAGCTCATTCAGTGCGTGTTTGTCGTCTCTACTATGGCCTTGCTGAATGATATGGCAGTTATCACCTGGATAACTACAAGCGCAACACCAATTACTGTTTACCATCTTCGTTGCGACCGACATTGGTACAACGTACTGTCCCGCATGGTACGGAATGGCTTAGTGTCGCTTTTTGCGTTCTTATCGTGAACTTAGAAAGTGTGATTGACCGAATTCTCCATCCTGAGCTCAGAGATCGCATGATTCTTCTCAGAGGTATGTCATAGCAGTTCGATTTGAGGTCATTCTTATGTCCCATAGGTCGTTTCGACCTTGTCGACTGCTTGCTGGACTACCGCAATGCTGTCACGATTCATGGAGACGATGTGCTTGCACACACCAACTGGGAAATCAGCGAGAAGTGGCTTCGGCAATATGCGTATGATGTCTTGCTTCCCAGGGTGCCTACAGTTCTGACGGTTGGTAGATTCTTGGTCGATCCTGCAACACTCAACGTTGTCAACCGTTGGCGAAGAGAGCGGGCCGAGCTTGAGCTTCGTCTTGCTGATCTTACGAGTGCGGAGAATACTCCTGCAGCTACTTGAGGGGCACATAATGTATCTCTTGGTCTGTACAAAAGAGCGTCTAGTTTACCCTGGTAATTGTGAGACGGTATTATTGGACAATTGATAAAAAGACACACAGCAAGCTTTGCGGACACCATTCAGTTCACCATGTAACGCTCGTAATCGGAATTGGAACTAGAGTCTTGTGAGCCTGAATTTAGGATGAAAAGTGGACAACGCACACGACATAACGCGAATTCGCTGATGATACCCCTCCCTCGACCCGTTTCTGAACAGCGGTTTTTGACGGTGGTGGGACGGGAGTACTTGTCGAAAGTATTCAGTTGGAGTTGCGCCTGGTGGCGAACTTGTGGCGGGAGAGTAGTATTGCGAGCGACATATAGATAAGCTCGCCGAGCGACTTCGTTGTTGAGGACGCCCTTGCGAGCTTTCACGTCTCGCATAATGCGCACATTGCGCATAGCCTTGTTCGCGTTGGCCATCGACATTTTGGGTCAAGTCGGGATGATGTGTGACGACGGCGGTCACGCTCCTTCTCTTCCTCCGCTCATGGTGGGTTTGCGTCTGGTTTGCGTTTCTGTCCGTCGATAACCAACACTTGACAGAAACCACCACCACCGCTACTATAAATGTACCGAGCTCTGCGATTTACCCAACAGCGCCAATTCGTGTCGTCTCTTTTTGGCGTGACTTTTGTTGCTGCCGTGCTTACCGTGTCCGCGTCAAACATTCTACCGTGTCCTGCACGGCCGCTCAAGGGCCGCCACGCCGAAGACGACGATGACCCTGAGAAACCAGCCAGTTTGGCTCCCGCTCAAATCACGGTCGCAAAACACCCTTCGAGGCGGTGGATCGAGGAGGTCCGGCCCCAACCAAAATGATCAACAGGAAGAATAGATATCGAGTTTTGGAAATCTTCGCATTGTCCCAATACAAATACATCCGGTTTACTGCTCAAACGCTATGGCTGTTCGTCAAGACTAGTCCTACTCTCGGAAGGCCGTAACGCCGGAGGGGAACCGCTGCGGCATGTGTCAGCGTTGCGTTTAAAATCCAGTTGTGGCCTTACGGCAAAGGATTTTCTTCGATGGGCATACAAGCAAGCAGGCATAGCAGTGCTAATGCCGCCTGGAAAATGAAGACTACCCGCAGGGCGTCCCCATATGAGTCTACAGCGATTTGCCTCCACTGGGGAGGTAAATTTGGTATGCTGGCGGCTGAATGTCTGTTAGAGCGACCCGTCATTGCTCTGAACTCTGTTTCGACTTGAAGAAGGTACTTACCGGATCTCATAGATAATCTGAGAAGGAATGACGTTCAGATGTGTTTTTTTTTTGATTGGCAGGAAAACCGACCTCGGCGGAGTGGGCGTCGTGGATTCTTGCTCGGAGTTTCTCCAAAAGCACTGTTTGCATAAGAGTACCTGAAAGTGAAACACCTAGCGCTTGGCCAGTTGTTCTGAAGAGGTACGTGATACCAGTCGCGACAGGCATGTCCCTGCATTCATATCAGATCAAGAAAGCAAAAAGACGATGGTGGGAGTCCTTACTCCCTATTTACCCCAGCAATCATTGCCTAAACAGGGTCAGGACTTTTGAAGGAGAAGAAAGAAGCAGAAGAGCGCGCACGATAAGAGTGCTGGTTATGAAGGCAGCCATTCCCAGCGCTTGGGGCACGAGATCTCCCCACAGATGCCATGGCGCGGTATGGTCGTTCCAGAAAACCACGAGGATGTTGGCGAAGAGACTGGAGGAAGCAGCCGCGATGGTCAACGTATATAATTTCCCTGTTCTCCGCATCAACCTGTGAAGTCATTTGAGAGAGCTGATCTTTATTTCGCGGCAAGGAGATGGACAGACCACCCGGCTGCCACGCTCCCGCAAGGTATAGCTATCTAGCAAACTCCATTCAGCGATTCTCTCTTGGGGAAATGAAGGAGTTGCTTACCGAATGTGGGATCAGGTGTGCGCCTCATCAAGTAAAGTTCAGCAAGACGTTTGCCAAACAGCGGAACCTCGCACCGGCACTGGTTGAAGAGTACAATTTAACTGCAGAAAGATACTGAGAAGCATAAGTCGAGGGGCCAACACGACAAAATGATAATTACCAGCGGAACATTGTAAAGCTGCAACATCGGTCAACAAATGTTCATAGATTAAGAGTCAGTGACATGCCATCGAAAACGCCGCCATACTGGCAAAGAGATTGGAAAGAGAAACGGCAAATGGTGTCCGTTGCGTTATGAGGTGCAACGGCATGACCGGAGCAAATGCCCAATATTTTTCGACTAGGAAGAACAAGACCCCGCAGGAACCACTGGAAGCAAATAGACCATAAATGAGCGGATGTGACCAAGGGAGTTCTTCGGTTGATTTGAGGCTGAAACCGAGGAGGAGGCAACCGACAAAGCCAACGAGCGTCAGGGAGCCCAGCACGTCGATACGACGCAGTTTTTCATGAAGTGGTTGGTCCTGGATTTCCGATGGCAGCTGTATGTTGACCTTCCAGGCGACCAAAGTAGCGCTGAAAATCATCAGGGGGGCCTAGTGGCAAAACCCATTAGTCGAGTCCGCCGAACAAGGAGAGCTTTACCGACCTGAAAGTAGAAGGCCGACCTCCTGGGACATGTGTTGAGATAGCCGACTGACAAGAACAAAACGGGGTGACTGACCAACCAAATGTGTCATTAACCCATCCTCCGAGAGGACCGCCTACCCCAGCACCAAGACCAAACAATCTGCGTAGTGAGATGAGCAGACGGTGGTTGGAGGGGGGCTGCTTTTTTACATATTTGCGAGGCCTTGGTATAGCCCACGTTGCTTGCTAACAAGACTCTGTTAGGTCGGAGGAAGAAATCGTCAGGGAAACTTACAGAGGAATTAAGTCGGTAGTTACTATTGTCGACACTAGAAGGAGGGCGATGAGGATTATCAGCCGCAAGTATGAGTCGACCGTACCCGTCATAACACTGAATAGATGGTCAAAATCGAGAGTAGGGAGGATGGAAACACTAACCCACCCCCGCCCATACCGGCCACTGCTCGTGCCAGAATGAGCGTTTCCATCGATGGGGCTAAGCCACAAAAGATGGTCCCGGAACCTAATAGTTTTGGCCTAAGGGGTTTACACAACAAGGCCATGATAATACTTACCGAAAAAGAATAGCGCAAGCAGCATCGCACCCTTACGGCCAAGAATATCGGCCAGACGACCTACAATGCGTTGAAATGAGCCCATGATAGAGAGAATGGCTGACCGTATAGAGGAGTAAAGCAACATAGAGATAGCAGGTATGATGTGCCGATATATGAGGCCTCGTTCGATTTGTTGAAGTCAGAACCAATCGCTGTTAAAAGGGTCGCCACAATCGTGCCTGGTTGCATGTTGGTGGTCTGCCAGCGCGCATGAATGCCTTTTTTCTTACCGTCTGTAGATAGTTAGATCAAGGTTAACAGGACGTGACCGTGAAGTTACCCAACGCTCCCAAAAATACGGCGCTATAAAGACCAGCGAGAATCCAAAGTTTGTCTGTTGTGGGGTGGGATGGAAGATCTACGACTGGAGACGGAGGGGGGGAATCGTCAAGGGCATTATAAGAGACTGGAGAAGGTTTGCATAGGGGGTCGTTTTCTGAAGACATGGCCGTTCTCTTGAAACGAACGGGACCGGCTTTTATTACGCGCGGTGTCGCGAAATGCACGAGTGCTGTGACAGAGGCATAGACGCGATTCCTATAATGCTCCGTTGATAGCGGGAGAGAGATTTTTTATATGTTTGAAAAGGGAAAGCAGGGTTCCCTGTGTGAACGGAGTGAAACTCGCTACTGGCCGTAGCTCGAGATCGACAGTGTCAGCTTGGATTCTTCTTCAGCGCCACTTTAAACTGAACTTGAATCTGCAACTTTCTGTCTTTCCTGGTCGCCGTCTTGACCGACGTGCGAAACCGATGCGTGACCAATCCCTTCCACTCCCAATCATGTCCACCCTCGATGTCCCTTCTTCACGAATTCACTCAGCCCCAGCCTGGAAGAGCGTATTCCGAATACCTCGTAAACCCAGCGGGCCCACACTATCGCTAGATACTCACTCTCTTGCCCCTGCTCCTTCACTTACCTCAGCAACAACATCGACAACAACCCCAGCCTCTTTCTACGAAACCTCATCCGACTCTACTTCCTCAGACAGACCAAGACCACCACGCCACCAAAAGTCCGTCGATGCTTTGGGTAAACAGCGGTCAAAACCCGACAAACGGACCGTTACACCTTCCAATAACCGAGCCACTCCTCTTTCCCCCAAGGCCATGGGTGCTTCAGCCTCCCGTTTCATACGTCGCGTTGCCTCCGCTCCTAATGCCAAGGGTCTCTTCTCTGGGCACCGTTCAAATACCAAGAACGGAATGTTGGCACCTGCCGACATAGTTCCCCCAGTTCCCCATGTCGGCTCTCTTGAACACGGTACCGATTCGCTCGAAACAATCTCCTCTGGCTCCTCACGCGGCCAAAGTCGACCGAATCACCTTGTCGCACCGCGAGTTAGCAATGGGATGTTGGAGGGTCCGGGCAAAGTTGCTTTTCGGAGGACTTATTCTAGTAACTCAATAAAAGTCCGGCAGGTACGTGTGGCGGATTCCTCTGACTCAGCATTCTTTCAGCATCTCATTCTCTTCGTCCAGGTCGAGGTGGGGCCGTCGAGCTTTGTTAAGATTAAGATGCTTGGAAAGGGCGATGTCGGCAAAGTATATCTCGTGAGAGAAAAGAAGACAGACAAACTCTTCGCAATGAAAGGTACGTCTCGTCCGTTCCGTCGACAGAGCGTGTTGAAATGGGTCCACAGTGCTCTCGAAAAAGGAAATGATCGAGCGCAAGAAGATCAAGCGAGCATTGACGGAACAAGAGATTCTCGCGACGACAAATCATCCGTTTATCGTGACGCTATACCATTCTTTCCAGTCCGAGGGCTACCTGTTTTTCTGCATGGAATATTGCATGGGAGGCGAGTTCTTCCGCGCACTTCAAACACGGCCCGGCAAATGTTTGCCCGAGGACGCTTCCCGGTTTTACGCGGCCGAGGTCGTAGCGGCATTGGAATATTTGCATCTCATGGGTTTTATATACCGGGACCTCAAACCAGAAAGTCTGAGATTTTTTCTTTTCCTTTCATTTTTCGTTGGGGACTGATCAGGTTTTGTAGACATCCTGTTACACGAGTCGGGCCACATTATGCTGTCCGACTTTGATCTGGCGAAACAGTCGAACGATCCTGGTAGCATGCCTGTGATGATACAGTCAGAGACCAATGGGGTGAGTGTGTGTGGCGTTTAGGTGCGTTAACGGCGGAATTGCTAACGATTCGTTTTTGCCTGCAGGTCCCACTCGTGGATACCATGTCATGTACAGCCAACTTTCGGACAAACTCATTCGTTGGAACGGAAGGTTAGTGGCGGGTTGTCGGGTCAAACTGACGTTGTTGACCACCGCGGACTAGAATATATTGCACCGGAAGTCATTGCTGCTCAAGGCCACACGGCGGCTGTTGACTGGTGGACCCTCGGCATCCTTATTTATGAGATGATAGTACGTCTTGCCTATCGACTTTTTGAGCATTTGTTGACGTTACTCTTAAGTACGCTACGACGCCATTCAAGGGCTCAGAGCGTAATGACACGTTTGCTAATATCCGTGATAATGCGGTCCAGTTCAGGGAGTCGCCCAAAGTCTCACCGTGAGTGTGTTTAACTATTTTTTGTCGTACGGTAGACCGAGAAATCACTAGAGCTGGCAAGGATTGCATCACAAGGTTATTGGACAAACGGGAAAAGACGCGGTTAGGGAGTAAGAGTGGTGCGAGCGAGGTCAAGCAGCACAAGTGGTTTGCGAAAATCAACTGGGGACTGCTACGCAATACCCGACCGCCGGTGTGTTTGGGTTTCGCTGACGGCAGCTCAAGAGAGGACTCATGTGGTGTTTTTTGCAGATCATTCCAACCGCGTCAAACGGCCAAGATGCGGTCAACTTTCGACATATGAAGGAGTCCCATTCGCTACAACTAGATGGAGACGATGGAAACTGGCGGAGTCGAGGGGTGGACGATGGAGCATTTTCTGCATTCAACAGTGTTACACGGTTAATTGAGAGCTGAGTGGATGGATGGGGGCATTTTACGTCCCAGGGAAAAAAATGATTTGTTTTCTGTGGGAAAAAAAGTGTTGAGCCGAGCCAGCTCACGAGCCAGTCAAAGTTGGGTAAATATCCGAATCGGTCCTCGGACACCCGAACCACGCGCCAACGCCGATTGCATCTGGCTTGATCAGACCAGGAAGTCCGCCGGCGTTACCTCGACGTGACACATCTTGGGTCTGCTCAAAAGCATCATCGCGGCCCAACTTGTACCCAACCATTATGGACCTCTTTCCACCGCGAGTCGACCAATCCTCTCGACCTTACCCTTCCTATCCCTCCCGTGACCAATACCCTCCTTCCTACCCACATCACCATTCCGACTCGTCTGCTGATGATGTACACGACACAGACGAAGGCGCTGGCAAATCAGCAGAGCAGTCCCAAAAGTCAGAAGCAAAGCCTCAAGCAACATTTCTGACAAAACTCTACGCGTGAGCACTCTGTCTCTACGCGCTTTCTCCAGTGTTTATCGTTTTCTGTCCCCTTCCAGGCTACTTGAGCGCACCGAAAACCATCACATGATTCGGTGGGACCCCCAAGGCGAACATATCGTTGTAGAGCGACCTGAGCAACTTGCTTTGCATGTTCTCCCCCATGTTTATCGCCAGTCCCGCTTCGCAAGCTTCTCCCGGCAACTCAATGTATGTGTGAAGGCTTCTTTCGAATTTTGACAAACTTCTTGTCAGATCTATGGTTTTATGCGAAAGGTGAACCTCCGCAACGTCGATCCCGCCATCGACGACCCCGACGCTAGCACGTGGTGTACGCTCTATTTTTTATAACAGTTTTTTCCTCGATCGCTGACATTACTGATTAAGCGCATCCAACCCTGAATCGGCATTCGCCTCCCGAAGTCGTTGCCAATTTCAAGCGTCGAGTACCTCCTCGACTGCCAAAACCACGGAAACGTGATGCAGAGCACTCCCCTTCGTCGATTCCCCCGCCTCGTTCTGCTATCGGAATGGGGCCAGTGCCACTGACAGTCCCTTCGACTGTTGGTCCTTCTGTTCACAAACCTGGCCACATTGGACGTGCGCGGGGATTTTCTGCTCCTGGGGCCTTCCCACCAATAATTCAAGGCTCTGGTGCAAGTGGGTGGAACGGGGGTGGTTACGCGCGATCAGCTCTTCCTCCTTTGACTGTCCCCTCTGAATCTCCGCATATGGCCCATGGAAGCGGCAATATGTACCACCATTCCACACATTCACTCCATCCACTCACTCCAAGCGACGAGTCACCGACATCGCCCGCGTTCAACTCGATGCCGCCTTACTCAGGCTCGTCACAGTACCCATATCCGTCTGAGCAAGGCCAGTGGCCATCACATAACGGCAACTACTCGAGCCACAACGGCAGCTTGTCCTCTCTTTTGAACCCCAGCAATGGCGGTTATTCGCGGCCAGCACCGACCATCAACACTTCCTACCCTTCCCCATTCTCTTCCATGCCCATGGAACACAGTGCGTCTTCAATGTCACCAGACAGTCGTCCAACAACTGGCTACTCGATGTCCTCTGTTTCTTCCGCTTATCAGGACGACTACTCCCGCCCCAGTTCGTCCCACCACCGACCCCTATCTCCATCGCGCCCGCCATCTTCGAAAGGCTCGTATCCAAGCAGCCAACTCGGGATCGTCCGTCGCCCTCGTCGCCACAGCCAGGTCATGAGTCCTTATCCAAGTCCATATGAGCACTCACCAGACCAACGACCCTCCTCTTCCCCGCAACCGATCGACGACAATCACAGCAACCTACCAAGGGTAAGGAGCATGATACAGCTCCCTGCTGTTGATCCGTACAACAATTACAACGGTGGTCAAGCAGAGTTTGCCTACTCTGCTGTCTCCGGCCCGGTTGGCAACAACGACGATAGCAACAACAGTTGGCGCCCCAATAACAACAGACCGTCCACTGCTGCCTCGTCTATTTCGGCCGCGTCACATACCTCGTCGTCGCAGGCCAACACGCCTCCTGTCCAAGAGGGTTTCCACGGAGAGACGGATATCAATCGATGTGAGTGTTAGCCCCGCGTTCAACCAGTCCTGTCCTTTTGTTCATTGTGGCATGCTTGCTCGCGTGCAGTGTCCCTCGAAAACCAGGTTTACTGAACGAAACTCTCCCCCAGTCTCACCGGACTTTGGGTATGTCGCCATGAACGAGCACCTCCCGTCGCACCAGCATTACGCCAAATCGCCCAGCGGAATGTCGCAGGACTGAACCGGATCTAGAGAAGAAAAAAATAGGACGGATGGAGTATCTTTTGGGTGTCATATGGATGTGGGGAGTTGCTTTTTCCGTTTTGTCCACACTGCTTGCTTGGAAAGGAAGACGACACGACCCCCTCAATTTTTTTTTGTTCACGATCAGCCAACCACATCTTGGAATTGTTTTCGCTGCTGCTGTTGCTCTGGACCTTATAACTCTCTCTTGCTATCTCTGCTGTACAACACGTATACCATTCATGTCACCATCACCCTGTATCCCTTGCAAACCAAACAACTGTCAACATGACTCGGTCATACGATTGTCTGATGAGATGTTCGCTCCGTTGTGACGCTTGATATTGGGTCCACATGCACCAATTCAACTTTCTTTCGATTCCACCCCCAGAATACATACGATAGAGGATTAATAAGCGAGTACAAGGCAAGAAAAACAGTCCGTCTGCGTCAACGTACGAAGAAAGCTGGAGAAGGGAAGCAAGGCAAAAAAAAATGAAGGTCGTGAAAAAATATGGCAGATCAAGGGAGGGCCAAGCATATGCTGCTGCGGAGGATTGCCGTGACGGTTATCGCCTCAGTTGGACCATGGGACGGGCACCAGACTCCGCGTCCATATTGGCCAGGAAACCAGCTGTTTCCTCAGAGTCCGCATTCTCGTCGTCACCCAACTCTTCATCAACAGCCCTACGGGCGACGATAGAGAGGTAGATGAAGATGGCCACACAGAGGATCAGACCCCCGATTGTGGATAACCGCGCAACTGTGTTGGCGCTGTCGTCTTCGGCAACACCGTCAGCGCCAGAATGGTAGTCCTTAAACGAGTGGATCGAGGCGCCGAGGCTGGTGTGTATGATCACTTTGGGAAGTGAGGCAGCAGTGCAGACCGTATAGGTCTTGAATGTCAGAGTAGGAGATGCCGCAAGGAGGCAGTTCATGACCTGGAGATGTTATTATCAGCCACGGAGGCAAAACACGATCGAAGCCAACGGACATTGTAAGGATATGGCGCAAGACGAACTAGAAAGAGAAGCTTGGGTCGCTTCTCTACAGCGCGGACGACGCGTTTGATAGTGCAGGCTGAGTTAAGCCATCGGGTTATGCAGTCGCGGAGTAGTGTTCGCGAAATTGCGAAGACTACAACTGCGCCGGAAAGGGCAGCTAGATATGATATTACGGCTCCCAGCCAGGGTCTGAATGTGTGTTAGAGCGGGAGTCTTGGCAGAAGTTAGGGAAAGAGCGCGATACCCGAATGTGTAGCCAGCCAATATAATTAAAGTCGAATACATTGGTACTGGCGCTGCAAGTAAGACCCGATCAGCCACAGGTGCATGGAGAGTCGCAAGCTGACTCACGGAAAGTGGTGATAAAGATGAGTGCGAATAGTACCGCATACCCAAAATACTCGTCGGCGCGTAACCAGACGGAAAGGTTGTCGAGGACTAGCATGGGCTGTGTTAGCGGGCTTAACCAAACTTGGAAGTCCGCTTACAAGTGAAGACCTCTGTCTTGTAGAAAGCAATCGCGACGACAAAGATGAGGCTGCTGAGCACATATAAGATAATGGGCAGCCAGGGCCTTAAACGGTCTCGGATACGCCGTGAGCGCGTGACCGTCGATGAGGGTGTCAATGAGATTGGCGTGTCGGGTCTTGAATAAGGATGTTGTCGTGAAGAGGAAGATGAGGGGACGCGGTGGAGAGGTAACTCGACATGAGAGGAGGAGGCCTTTTCTGAGAGTTCAGTAAACTGAACGTAACGGAAAGGCGATTGAGACTGTCGTCGGTAGTCAGCCGGTGTGGGTGTTGTGGAGACAGGTCGAGCAGGAGAAGAGAGTGTGAGGAGATCTGGACGAGAGCGGCGCTGATGGTCCATGCCAGGCCAAATGGTCAAAAGGGAAATCGAAAGAGAAATATGGGAGAGAGAGAAAGGTGTGTGACAGGACGATGCGTGACCTCGCGTGACCTCGCTCTTTTAGACGCGAACGTCAGGGTCGACCACAAAATGCAGGGTTTGTGGGCTGGTGCGACTAGTATGGCAAGGAGGAGGTTGTGGGCAAAAAGCTACAATGTGGGCCTGAAGAGAGCAAGGTAAGTTTTCTCGGCGATACTCCACCGTCTGCTGACCTCCAAAGCGCGGTCCGTCAATACGCGTCTAACCCCAAATCACCTATGGGTAATTGGTAGGGCTGTGTTATCTGAATAGTTCTGTGGAGAAACTGAAAACATAACTCCAGGTATTCCACCATACTTCCGTCAATGTTTCCAATTGCTCTCTTAGCGTCTGCCGTATATACTGTGCGAGGAAATGCATCATTGTTTACTTCCAGTCTCATTCCCACCAGGGCCTCCTCTTTGCCCAGCTTTCATTGTCCCATGAAAAGACGATGGAAGAGCAAGCAGCGCGTCTCAAACAACTTGAAGCCGAGGTCGACATGCTCGCAAAGAATGCCAGTAAAAATTAGTACCCTTGAGCAAACTAGACTGCACATTAACGTAGAGAGAGAGAGATAGAGACAAGTCTAAGCATCGACACCTAAATTGACATGCTGGCAGCTTTGAGAAGCGTTGCTTTATGGCGATCATAAAGTTTCGCGGCGCTAGCGAGAAAACGACTGTTGGTCCGAACCAAAAGGCAGATGAAGGGGTTCGTACCTGAGAAGGGCAGCAACCAAACCAGTGAAAGTCTTGATGGATTCACGAGCGCGTTTGATCTTGAAGACGTCGTAGGCTGAGTTGGGAGCAATTAGCCTATAAACGAGGCAAGCCAGTAGCCTTGAGCACATACACACGAAAACCAAATCCATAAGCAGCTTCCATCTCGTTATTTGCAACCAGTAGTCTTGCTTCTGAAGTCGGCCCAATTCCTTCTCATCGTGCTTCGACCCGGCCGATTTTGACTTTATGGACGCGGTAGCCATCGAGTCAGTGTATAACCGCGACTCGACTAGAGGTACCATTAGAGTCAGATGGCAAACCGTAATGGACAGCAGCAGCAGCTAACCTTCACTCTGGAGGTTGCCTATCATTTGCCTTTCCACCCCATTCTCGACAAGACCGACGAGGGTCGCTAGGAGCCAGCACCAGTCAGAAAATCGTCCAGCTCGGTCACCTGTCCTCCTGCTGAGAAGGCCTAATTTTGAAAAGGTAAAGACATCATCAGATGCGGCATGAACTAGTTCGAGTAAGACTGGGGGTGGCGCGTGCATGACCGTATGTAGAAAAGGCTTCGATGGCGTCTGTTTAGACCTTGACTTTTCGGTCGAGAATGGCACTGATTCCTGCGCCATTATAGCTGTCAATGGAGCGAGCCAATTGAAGAGTAAAAGGCATTTTCTGGAAAGCATGCGAGGTCAACACGTGCTTGACGCGTGTTGGCGTTGGACCCACCGTGTAAACGAGAAGCCGTCTATTGTTGAGTTGAGCCGCCGAACGAGCTCCTTCTCCCATGGTGGGCGGGTGGCTCTTCGCCAGAGTCGACTCGAGGCAACCGAGAGATGGAACAGCAGATAGACCTTGAGCGAATACTGGATAATTTTCTGAGCAACGCGAATAATAAGCATCAAAAATGGGTTAGGAACAGCAGATAAACACACAAAAGCTTTGTCGCGTCCATTGCTGGTTACAAACATCTCACGCCAGACCTCCTCCTTCCTAACGTGTGATTCCACTCGTTGCAGCGTAGCCTCTTCCAGTTCCAGCTCTGGTTCTTCTGGAATTTCCTCTGGTTTCGCCTCATGGTAAATCGGAGCCGTCGAGGATATTCGAGGTGGATGAGAGGAAAGAGGGTTCATTTGAAAGGACGAGCTCGCGTCATAGGCATTGTAAAAGCCATTGTGGGCTTCAGAATGCTGAGATGGAAAGTCAAGAGTCGACATACGGGCACAGCAGTGCGGTGTCACGTTTGTCACAGCGTCGCGTTCAGGCCAAAACTGAATGGCTTCGCTCCGCTCTCCATCACGCTCAGCAGCTGCCTCTCCAATACCACGACCTTCATTTGATGCTGACCTCCTCAAAAACTACACAAAGGCTCTTCTTTCTACGACACTTCAGACGGCTGCCTGGCCGGATGCGAAGGACAGAGACAAGGTCAAGGGGTGGATGAAAGAGATTGGAGAGCGGGTAAAGACACGAATGCTGGAAATAAGACCGACTGGGTTGTGAGTTGGTTGCAGCTTATTCATGTGCTTAATCGACATCTATCGGCGTAGCAAGTACATCGTCATGACGCAGATCAACGAGAATCTGGGGCAAGGCGGACGGTAAGGCGGAACTGGCGTTGGTTGGGGACTGGAATGAAATGAACGATCACTATAGGGCAGATATGGTATGCCACTGGGAAGATTCAGACATTGTGGTTCAAGAGATGTTCTCGAATGCAAGTGAGCTCATCTGACTGAGTCGGTCTGACTGGACTGACTTTCTATCAGGACTCTCTGATATGTATTTGTGTAGCGTTTGCCATTCGGACAATGTAATCAGGGTAAACGCCACTTATACCCACACCTTTTTGCTCCAACAGAATTCCGATGTCAATGTTGAGCAACAAAAGGGAGGACCGTCTCCGCCTCCGTCCCGTGAGTGAACGACACGCAGAAGTCGTATAGCCACAAAATATCTATGCTTCCTCTTCTACGGTCTTCGACGACGTCTCCGTCGAAACAAGTCTTCCTCGCTAGTCCAAAGGTCCTTACCGATGATGCAGGCGGAGATGGTGACAAAAAGAGGCAAGTAAGTAAGTATAGTTCCGTGGTGAGGGCATCTGAATCAGTTGTTATTAGATTGCACCCCGGTTTGAAAGCTGTTATCGCCGAGCATCCGATGTGCCACTGTCGAGGAATTCTAATATCAAAAAACAGACATTTGCCGGACCCACACACATCGTCGTCACGCCCAATAGACAAACTGAATACATCTCGAGCCCATTTGATTCCTCTTGCTGACACAGCACGCTCATCTTCAACACCCAACCCGCATGCGTGTGCTACAGCTGATGCTAAACGTCAATCAGTCTTTTCCTCTGATCGAAAATCCATCTCGGAGGCTGTCAACTGCACATGAGCCAGCTCATCAGACTGGTTCAGTTTTGCGGAAACTCTGATTTCTTAGCATGAACCGAGGAAACATGGGTCCAGCTCGGATAGCTAGATCCCTTCAGAGCTTTCTTCACCTCGGGCGTCAATTCCTGCCCAGATAATATGGCTAGTCAGAGCGGTATCGGCCGACTCAACAGTGTGCCAATAAAACCTCCCACGGTCGCGATCGACGGCGGAGGTTGTAATCGAGGGGACTACAATACGTGTATTGGGCGTTAAGCTATAAGTATGAATGGATGTTACAACCGATACAGAAGAGTCAAAGCAATATAAAGTTCCAGTCTCAACCGATTTGCATTGGGCTACCGAGGTCGTTGTCCAATCGAAGGCCTTGCATTGAGGTCACGTTATCCGCCAGCGGACTACGCGTTCCGATACCCGTACCACCCGCTCCTTTGCCGCGATGCCTTCTACCAAGCAGCGTGGCACCATCCAAATCGAGTTCGAACCCTTTAGTACCCGCTGATTTGGTGGCATTCTGGCCACGGTCACGCGGCCCGGCACGTCCGCCAGCATAACCAGCCTGGTTCTTGGTCGTTTGTTGCTCATCAAAGTCTTCTTCATCGTCTTCGTTTAGTCCACCGAGGAAACCCCGAACACCCGCTCCTCCTCGTCCCTTATATTTGCGTCGCCGGGCTCCCTCCTCTTCCATTCGGTGCACAGCATACGTCACATCGAATGCCTCTTTCAATGTAGCAATTCCAGGACTCCGTCCTTCCATTCGGCCTTTAGCTGCAGACAGAAGAGGAGAGTCGATAGGGTGTCCAGTATAAGGCGTCGGGGGTGGTGGGGGAGCAGGTGCAGCGTTACACCAAGGGTGGGCAAGAAACTCGTCGATAGTGTAACGTTGAGCTGGATCAACACACAATAGATGGGTAATCAAGTCTTTGGCTGTGGAGAGTCAGATAAGTGAATCAGAGAGCTGAACCCTCACCTGAAGGGTTTATATCGTCCCACCAAGGGCTGAGGAACGTGTAATAACCTCGCGCTACCTTTTCCGTGAGAACGTTGATGCTTTCGTCGTAAAATGGCGGGAAACCGCAAAGGAGCGTATATAACACGCAGCCAAGCGCCCACATATCGACACTCTTGCTGTACCGTTCGTCCTTCACTATTTCAGGGGCCGTATAACCAACTGTTCCGCATGGCGTCATTGTTTCTTCGTTCCAGACCACTTTGCTTAACCCAAAATCAGCGATCTTGACGCGGCCGATCCCACCGCCACCGACTCCGGGGATGAATTCTCCTTCGTCTTCCTTCTCTTCATCGTAAGGTCGATGCACAGGAACTTTGGAAGGCACAATCGGTATCCTTTGGAAAAGAAGGTTCTCAGGTTTGATGTCCCGATGAACCACCCCTCGTTCTTCGTGTAGATAGCGGATACCGTGAGCAACTTGTAGAATGACGTGCCGAGACAAATTCTCGCTGAAGTAGGTGAGCTTGACGATTTGGTGGAATAGCTCTCCTCCTTCCATGACTGGACAGAAAATCAGTAGTTAAATTGAGAACAATATCAAACATACGTTCTAATACGAGGAAATAGTGTTCCTCCGATTCAGAAAAGGATATTAACTTGACCACGGAAGGATGGTTAGTTCCGCGCATAATTTGCACCTCTGAAAGATAGTGTTAATCTGGGCAACAAATACCAAGCGGCTCAGCAGATGATGACGCACCCTTGAGAATATTGGCGCGCTGAACGAGCGACGTCAGAATATGAACAGCGAGCAATTAGAGAAAGGAAGAGCCAAAGCACCTCTGTTACGCGCGGCTTCTTTTTGAACTTAGGGTTCAAATGTTTGTCTCCATCCTGCCGCGCGCAAATCAGATGGTCTAGAGAAATGGACGGAAGACATGGCAGTACTGACCTGGGATGAGTTGAGTTCATACTTTCGTACGACCTTGACTGAGAGCGATTGAGCGGCTTAGTAGTGTGGCTGATGCCGTTCACAAACCTGCAACTTTCTTGTTGGTGGTGAGGTCGAGGGCATGATAGACGTTGGAAAATGCGCCACTGCGAGGGATTGAGACACACAATAAGCAAGTTAATGGATGGACTTACTCGCCCATCTTCTCGACAATCTGAAAGTTTTCGAGACCCTTGTATGATGGCAATTGGCTCTTCTGTTCACGCTCCTGCTTGACGATTTGCTCTGCTGCTTCGCGGGCCATTTTCTCTTCGATTGGGGTTGTTGCGGGAGGTGGGGCTGCTTCTTGTTTAGGCGCTGCGTGGTTGTGGTGTTTGCCGTGTCGGAGGAGATCTGGTTGGATTAGACGAGAGTAGCCGATATATATGAGACAACCGACTCTTAAATGAGTCGAGTACACCGGCAGTTGGCATTTCAAGAGAATGCGTGGTGTTGCGAGCGGGTTCAAGCCGTGGCCTGACGAACTACGTAGTGGTGGTTGAGGTCAGAAGTGGTGTTTGCATTGACGTCATGAATTTTGCTGACTGTGAGGTCTCGGCGTGACTGTGACAGTCGCGACTTTCCGAACACAGCAATGAGCTTAGCAGACGAACTCCTTGCAGATCTCGATGGCTCTGACGACGGAGACGAATACGAGCAGCAAGAAGAAAACGGAAATCATTCCACGAATACCCTGAAACGCAAAGCGGAAGGTGATCCTTCTGACGATGAAATGGAGGGAACTGGAGAAGGCGACGACCAACAAGAAATTGGAGGACTTGTCCTCCCTGGTGGTGTAAAGCCGGCAGATGAGCTGGATGCAGATGACGTTCAGCAAATGGAACTTGGCGCAGTTCAAGACATTTCCACGATAGCGAAACTTGACGGAAGCAAACGCATGTCCGACATTTTACAGGTGCGTTGCCTACTTACCCCTCCCAAAAACACAACGTTAACCTGTGAATAGGAAATCCAAAAATATCAAGAGAACCCTGCGACAGCTGCCACGATGGCCCTTCCTGCCCATCTTAATCCGGAATACACGCTCATTGTACAGGCCAACAATCTTTCAGTCGACGTCGACAATGAAATCATGGTTGTCCATAAGGTTTGTATTGCGATACGAGACTTCTTTTCTCCGCTAACATCAATTAGTTCATTCGAGACCATTATGCTACCAAGTTCCCGGAGTTGGAACAACTTGTTGTCGACCCTGCTATGTACATTCGTTCAGTACGGACACTTGCGAACGAAGAGGTTATTAGTCGCAGCTCTCACTCTTATATTCGCTGACAAGATACCAGGATCCTACAAAAGTAGATCTTTCCAGCGTGTTACCGCCTGCGATCATTATGAGTGTGGTTGTTACAGCTACAACCTCTTCTGGCAAACAGTTATCCGACGCCGAATGGACAGCGGTTCAGCGAGCATGTGACCTTGCTGACCGCCTAGAGGAAGCGCGGAAGAAAGTGTGTTCATGTCCTTTGTTTTGTGTCTCTGATTGACTTTGATCCAGATATTCATGTACGTCAGCTCAAGGATGAATGTACTCGCTCCCAATCTGTCAGCCATTGTCGGAACCACGACAGCAGCCAAGCTTCTCGGTGTGGCCGGCGGTCTCGGTGCGCTCGCAAAGATGCCGGCCTGCAATGTCCACGTCCGTCCATAACTCTTTCTATCTGAAGGTTTAGAAGCACTGACTCGGACTTGGCAGCTGCTCGGTGCACAACGTAAAATAACCGCGGGCTTCTCAACCGCCACACAAAAGCGACATACTGGATTCATCTTTCAGTCAGAGCTAGTGACGCAAACGCCGCCAGAGTATCAGCTCAAAGTTCAACGCACTATTGGTGCCAAAGCTGTATTGGCTGCACGTATGGATTTAGAGCGACAACGGCGTGACGGTCAGTCCATCTATTGGATGTGCTTCTCTTCGAGGGCTAATTTTGGTCAGGTTCTTACGGGGAGAGCCTTCGCGATAAGATTGAGAAGCACATAGACCGACTTGCGGCTCCTCCCCCCTCCAAAGTCGTCAAGGCTTTGCCCATCCCAGGTGATGGCCCCAAGAAACGTCGTGGCGGTAAAAGGTCCGTCCACCGTTTGAATTCATTTTGTCAATGTAAATTTTACCTACAGAGCTCGAAAGGCGAAAGAAGCGTATGCCCAAACAGAATTGCGCAAACTGCAAAACCGGATGGCCTTCGGTGAAGCGGAGGAAGAAGTCGGCTCGTTTGATGAAACCAAGGGCATGGGTATGATAGGTGTATCGTCTGGGAGTGTTCGTGCGGGTATGGGAGATTCTAAAAGCCGAGGTCCGCTTCTCTTGCCAAATTTCCTTGTGTTCATGGCTCAACCAATTGACAACAGCCAAAATGTCCAAGGCCAACAAGCTACGAACCGCTGCTCTTAATCGTGCGGCACTCTTGGGAGGTACTCAACCGTCATCATCATCGGCTTTATCGGGAACAGCGACATCATTGAGTGTAACGCCAGCGCAGGGTACGCATTTTCCCTTGAAGTTGAATCTGCCTGACCAAATTGTTCCCAGGCTTCGAGCTTACCAACAGGACTGCCGCTGCTCAACGGGTTAAGGAAGCCAATGAGCGGTGGTTTGCCTCAGGAACCTTCTCGTCTTTCTCTTAGACTCTACTTTTGGGACCATTTAGGCATACAAAAAATCCTAATATACAAACTGTACACTAACGCTGTGACGATTTTTGGTAAGGTAATGCGGCGGAGGGGTCAAGTGGTATTCATTCATGCGGGAGTTGGAGCGGCAGCCTCTGAGGCCGACACACCCATGAAAGTGGGTTGCTTTGGTGTTAATGAGCTTCGCTTGGAACGGTAGTCACGAATGGCAGAGCGGATGGCATCTTCAGCGAGCACTATGAAGAGAATGAGACTTGAGGTCATGACATCACAAGGACACCATACTAGAGCAGTGGAGTTTGACGGGAGGCAGACAAAGCTCTTTCGCAATCTCCGTGTTCTTTATTTGGCCTGCCTCCTCGAGAGACAGACCCTTGACACGTTCTGTGAGGTACGAGCTGGAGGCAATGGCGCTGCCGCAACCAAAGGTCTTGAATTTGACGTCCGAGATGATGCCATTCTCGTCGACCCGGATTTGGAGCTTCATGACATCGCCACAGGCAGGGGCACCAACGAGGCCGGTGCCAACATCGATGTCGGTTTTGGGGAGAGAGCCGACCTGGTAATCAGATTAGTTTTTTCTGGGTCGGGGGGTCCAGACCACCGAAAAAAGGTCCATACATTTCTAGGCTGCTCATAATGTGAAATGACTTTCTCGTGATACGCGCGTGCCAGGACTGGTCGCTGCAGAGTAGGGCGGGCCACTGAACGGAAGAGGGCTGAGCGCAACATGTGGGAGAAAGGCAAAAGAGGTCGGCCGGCTGCTCGCGTCATCACCCCATTGACACCCGCGGCACGTGCCCATCAATGAGTTCCCTTCCCCCAACCGCGAACGCGATCGCCCTTCTTCTCTCTTCCACTCCCTCAGTACAAGATGTCCAGCCCGCAGTTCTCCATCAACTCCTCGACTTTGCGCATCGCTATACAGCTCACGTGCTCACCGATGCCAACGTATATGCTGAATACGCTGGAAGAACTGGAAAAATAGAAATGGACGACGTGATTCTGGCCGTGCAAGCCCGTGTTGGCTGGGAATTCGGCGGGAGGGTTCCGAAAGAGGTCTTTCTCCCTCTGCTTGCTTGATCTTCAGGTTAAAGCCTCGCAACACAGACGATCCTTTCACTCGCGACTGAAGTAAACGCGCAACCGCTTCCTGCTGTCCCCGAAGTGTTTGGTGTACGGATGCCTCCAGCTGCAGACTGTCTAACGTCTATCGACTTTGACCTCATCCCGAATCGACCACCTCCTGGTGTCAAATTATACGAAGAAGTAGAGGAATCTGAGTCTGAGTCTGAATCTGACGACGAGATGGAACCAGCACCAATACCTCAACAAACACAACCTCCGCCCGCTCCCGTACCATCTGAGCCCATTGCTGACGAGACGCCGTTTCCAATCAGCGCGATTAACACTTCTGTTGGTCCGCAAATCGGTTCACAGGCTCCTGCCCCCGACCAAGGCAGCGATGCAGAAGAGGAGGACGATGGACTATTTGGAGGTGGCGAGGACGACGATGACAGTGACGCAATGGAAGAAGTGCAGACTTCACTTGGTCAAGCAAATGGGGTCAAACGAAAATTGGAGGAAGACGACGATTACGATTAATGCGTTTATATACGGTATATGTGCGAGGTTTACAAAAGCTGTTGTGCTGCAATTGCCAGCAGCACTATTAAAAGGGTTAAGAGAATTATAAGGACAATCGTCCAGGCTGCAGTGTGGATGAGAGGTTGGTTCAACTTGGACGGAGTCGTCAACTCACAGGACTTTCCGACGGAAGATGGGATGTTGATGACACGTACAACCTTGTCAGGGCTTCCAGACACGAGCAGCGTCGAAGTTGGATTAAATGCAAGAGTGGTCGCTGGGAACTCGTGAGCAGTTAGGATCGTGGCCAAAGGCTTCAAAGTTCAGGTCAATAGATATTAGGAACACGGGAGGAGAGACCCACAGCGAGAGAAGTCGCATCGAGTAAACCAATCCGACAGCCGGAGTCAGCAAATGCGAGATACTTTCCGTTGGGACTGGAGAAGATTCAGGATAGGCCAACAACGCATTCAAGACAGACCTTGCGATGAAACAAGTGACACTTTTATCGCCCAACCTTTTAACCTTCTCCGTTTTCCAGGTTGACGTATTCCATGTGCATATATAAGCTTGTCGAGGAGCAGGCTTGCGATTTCGTGAACGTCCGGGAATGGTGTTGCTGATGCTGTAGAGAATCTGTGAATTTTCTGGGTGGAACCTGGTGGGATGAGTGGAAGAACGGTTTGGTTTGGTTTGAAGCAAACCTTGCCGCACGGAAGTCACTTGCAGAGACCTTGGATATAGCTTCCGGAGCCTCGATCGTTTGGAGTAGTTCTAGCTCGACCGGACCGCCGGCCTTTTGCTTTCCTTTCTTCTTGGTCTTGGAAGGGGAGCCTGTGCCGTCCACTGAAGGAAGCGCGTAAACCAAGAGATTACGGGTGGTTGTAACGACAAGCTTTTTCGAGGAAATTTAGCACCGAGGCAGCTCAACTTGATGCTTTATACCGTATTTTGGGAGAATGCAGTATCATAGATTTCCGCTTCTGACTTGATGGCGGGAGCCAACGGTGTGAGGGAAGGATATGAAACAACTTGAAGCTGCCCATTCATAAGAGCGAGAGATTGGATATAGTTTGGGCGGCATACCGAGGTTGTACCCCCAATAGCAAGCATTTTTCCGTCGGGTGAGAGGACAGTAACCCTCTAGAACCAATATCACTTCTATTGTTGGGAAATAGGATAAAATGCGCACCTGGTAGTCGTCCAAGTCACCAGATGTAAGAGTTCCATGGGTACCCAATAGCGCGAGCCTGTGATTCAAGTTTTAAGTCAAAACATATGGGTTTCACAGACACGGACTTTTCTTCCTTGAAAGCGTACGCGCGACAGTTCTGATTTTCGCCTTTAGCAAGCTGTTCTGGCGCACTATTGACGCCGCAAGCCAGAGTTCCCGTCTAATTCAACCTTTGTTTGAGGTGGAATAGTAAACACGTAGTCGTTTACCTCGGGGCTCGTGGCAATGCTCATTGGGGCGTCCTCGCCACGCTCAAGCTCGAGTTCGTTGACAAGAGTAATAGACCTATCATCTGCGACGCTATAGACTCGCTTTGCCGCGTCAATTCACGGTCGCAGCTACAAGCAACGGTGTCTCACCAATTTGTTCAGGATACCCGTTCTTGACGAGCCTCCACCGCCACCAAGTACGAAATGAGTTGGTGACAGAAAGCCAGAGGAATATATAGGGAATGTGTCCAGTGAATGAGGTGTGTGTTGTGGACGCATAATTGTGCGGAAGCAAGTGTTTTTGGTCAGACATCTGATCGCTGTCGTCTTGCTGCTTGCAAGCCTCCAACGACATGGCCCCTGGGCCCATTGCGGCCTGCTACCCAATTCTCGCCTTTACCGCCCCAGACCTTGGCAGTAAACTCCCAGAGCTGACCAGCGGAACTGTAATAGGGATTACAGTGGCTATCACCGGCAATGTTCTAATCTCTCTTGCACTCAACCTCCAGAAGTTGGCACACAAACGAGGGGAAGCAGAGCGTGTCAAACTCAGAGAGCAAGTCCGAGCGGAGGCCTCTCAAAGGGCGTCTCCAAGTAATGGTGAATCAGAGCAGCAGACAGAATTACCACCAGCTGTGCTTGTCGTTCAACAGAATTACGGATCCACAAGTCATCTTTCGACACCCAAGAAAACTCTTGTCTCTCGTCTATTCCCGTCAAAGCGCCAGCATCCAACTTCTGAACGGACAACCTTGCTACCTGTCGATGTCATACCCGAAGAGGAGATTGTGAACCAGTCCACTCATCATCGCAAACCAGAGGACGATGAAGATGACCTTGAAACTGGAAATGAAAGCGATTATCTGAAATCCAAACTGTGGTGGTTAGGTTTTACTCTTATGAACGTTGGCGAGATGGGTACGTCTCTTCTTTTTTCTTAACCCCGTCCATTCATCATTGGCAGGAAACTTTATATCTTATGCGTGGGCGCCAGCCTCTGTGGTTGCACCCCTTGGAACGGTCTGTTCTTCTTTCAGTCTAATGCACTATCTCACGCGTAGTATAGTTTGCGTTGATGGCCAATTGCGTCTTTGCGCCACTCATGCTCCATGAGCGATTCCGCAAACGTGATATTCTCGGCATCTTCATTGCGGTAGTCGGAGCTGTGACTGTTGTGCTCGCCTCGAACGCATCAGACACTCGTCTCGATCCTGACGCGCTGTTGGCGGCTTTGTCGCGCCTCTCGTTCCTCATCTACACTGGTGCATATATCATCGGTATATTCGTCCTCTCGATTCTCTCAGAAAGCAAGGTTGGAAAGCAGTCGGTATTTGTGGATGTAGGTTTGTGCGCCTTGTTTGGTGAGCTCGTGATCGTTGGTGGTTTACACTAGGCTTACCGATCTAATAGGTGGCTTTACGGTGCTTTCGACCAAAGCCGTGTCGACATTGTTGACCATGGAATGGCTGGAAATGTTCACCAAATGGATAACATATCCAACCATTGCAGTATGCAAGCCTCGAAGCTCTACTCTAACTGTTCATTCATTTCCAGGTCCTTATCCTCACTGGCGTTGGCCAGATCCGTTATCTCAACAGAGCGTTGATGAGATTTGACGGCAAGGTACTTGCTTTTTGATCAATAATTTTATTTTAATCGTCTCTCCCTCAGGTCGTCATCCCAATTCAGTTCGTCCTCTTTACGATCTCTGCTATTGTGGGCTCTGCGGTTCTCTATGGAGACTTCGAGAAGGCCACCTTCCATCAGCTAGTAACATTCCTTTACGGGTGTGCTGCGACTTTTACCGGTGTTTTCATCATCGCCTGGGAGCCTCAACGCGAACCAGCTCGGCAAGAAGTGGTTTCTACCGAGGGCGAAGACCAAGATACGGATGTTTCGGAGTCCGAGGATGAGTCGCCACATCCAGGGACTCCAAGTAGGAAGAAGCGCCCAGCCCTCATCCTACCAAATGGCTTCCTTGAGGAGCACGAACTGCTCCATAAGCCAAGTGCGGTCAGCATTATGGCTCTATCACCTGCAAGGGTTCGTTTATTCTCTTCAAAAATTATTATTCCGGTCATTCGGTTAACTTGTGAATCAGCCTCTGCTTATGGTCCATACACCACCTCGGGAAATTCCCGACAGACTAAGAGACATCGAGCGGGACCCACATACTGGATCGCTGGTAGGCTCGCAGCGACGGCGTGCCATCAGTTATATTGGCGAAGACAGCCGTTCCCAGAATGGGCGGAGTCACAGTCTCATCCGAAATGCGCGATACAGTGTCGCCAACCCAAGTTTCAATCCTTGGAGCTCTACCAACGGAAGCGTGTCGAGTTCACCGGAGCAGCAACGCTAGGCTGCTTGCTATTCACCCATATATAATTGTGTATTAATCCTACTCATACGTTCATTTGCTATAGGAGAGTTCTTAGATGCTCTGTCAGGGCCAGCAACGCCAAACTCTGTCCGTAAGGCATGCTGGTCAGTTTCACCTTGTTATAGTCCCCGATGTTATCAAATACGGGTGTCCCAAACGACGTCTGCAGCAGCTCACCATCAGGTGTGATGTTGTCGATAACACCTTGGATAGCTCTAGCAGCTGCCTTGGTGTACCTCTCCTCGCGTGGTATTAGCCGCATACGCAGGGACTTCAGAATGCCATAGGCGAAGCCGGCAGTGGCTGAGGCTTCCAAATAAGTACTGGGATCGTCGAGGATCGTGTGCCAAAGACCAGAAGAGGGATCTTGGCAGGTAACTAGAGCATCTATCTGGCGAACAAGGCTCGTTACGAGAAACGATCTCAGGCCGTCTGTTTCAGGGAGATCCAAGAGCTCGATGAAGTCGGGAATTGCGATCGTGACCCAACAGTTGCCCCGACCCCAACGAGCCGAGGCGAAGTGGTGATTTCCATCGAACGTCCAGCCGTGGAACCACAACCCAGTTTTGAGATCTTGGAGGTATTTGATGCTGTTTCATGGTGAGCAACTTGAACCCTGGTTGAACATTGACGACGAGTACTAACTGGAGCATGAATTGTCGCTTAGCTTCTTCGATATAATGCGGACGTTTTAAAACAAGGCCGGTCTTAGTGAGAGGTAGGACGGTCATCATGAGAGTGTCGTCCCAGAGTTGCTGGTAGTTGGCGTGACTATAGGTGATGTGCTGAAAACCGCCCTCGTTTGTGCGAGGGAGATCATGCATGACCCATTCGGCCCATGAGTCGAGATGAACCAAGTAGTTGGCGTGTTTGGCTTCGTGCAAATAAGCCCCAACTAAAAACGGCGCCATCGTGTTGATATTTTTCGTGGTACCCAGCCCCAAGACTTGGATGCGGAACCACTCGACAGCTATTCGAATTGGCTCCGCTTCATCGGTTATTTGGTGAAGTTTGAGGAGACCGTATAGGCCGACACCATGCGACCACTCCCATGACGAATACTTGGGGTTATTCCATCCTTTGGTATCAATAACACGACCATCCTCAAGCTCGAGCAAAAATTCGCCGGTTTTGTCCTCGATGGTAACAAGACATTGGATGAGACTATGAATGAGCTTGAGCGTGCTTTCGCGAGTGGACGACATTGAATAGAGAGAACCTTGTTGTCTGGTTTAAGTAGAAGATCAAAGTCCGGACCGCGGGCCGGACGGGCCTCTTGTTCACTCCCGCCATCATGCGAACTGAAGAAGAAGCATGGAGTGGGCTTCCAGTCTCCCTACAGTCCCATAAATCATGCCCTCTTCCTGGGGTCTGAATGCTTCTTTTCATGCACTCAGTCCTTCCCTCTAAAACTCGCAAAAAATCGACCCTGGTAAGCAGCCACGACTTCCTGCGTTCCTGGCCCCACGGCGACTCGGAAAGACCAAATGATTGCAATTAAACCGGAGGAAGTCAGCAGACCGAATACTTCGATAACGGTATAAAATGTAGCGCGCCAACGCGCTCCGTCCAGTCGCTTCTGCAACCATGTCCAAGCCAGCCAACCATGAAGACCGCATCGAGGACGCAAAGGAGGTGTATTCCATCGGTAGTGGAGAAGCGCAAGGCTAGTTGTGCCTTTATAAGCTTTCCACTCTACTTAATTTCCGTCCAAAGTCCCCGCTGGCGGTATCGATGCGGAAGTAGTGCAATTTTTCGCCCAGACACAACGGGATGAGCCTGTTGTAATTGATGAAGCCACTAACATACGCCTGCGCTGGATGGTCCACAAACGAGTCTTGGTGAGTATCTTGGTTGTGTTGAATCCTATTTTGACTAAGGAATTCAAGACTGTCATGGTCATTACATATTGTTGGTCGCATGTTGGACGCAGCTTTGCATGATCCACTGACAACTTTAAGTCGCCCAGACACTGGACAAAGGGTGGGTTATCAAAAGAAAATCCGAAAATAAGCTCTGAATCGGTCTCAGCACTCTTAACTTCGCCAGTATCATGGGCAAGTAACTAAATTCCAAACAATTCACTCCTTAATCTCCCAACAGGAATTATTCCGGACACCCACCTCCATGGCCAACAATATGCTTGGCTTACGACTTGTGGTGAGTTATTCTTTCGAGCCGCTTCGTAATAGCTTTGACTTAGTAACACTTAGTTTATATTGCTATGTAAACTCTTCTCGTCAAGGCGCCAACTTCATCTGACGAATAAAACAGCCTCCTCTGGGAGTTCCCCACAAATCGCTTGATTCAGCGACTGCCAATTGCCAAATATCTTGGCTTCTGTATCAGCAGTTGGGGCCTAGTTCTCGCGATGACCGCTATTTGCAAGAACTTCACCGGTCTAGTAATTGTGCGAACCTTACTAGGCATGCTCGAGTGTGTCTGTCAACCAGCATTTGTGTACCTGTGGGTCCCACCTTTCGGTCGAGTGGACTAGGGCTGATTTTGCCCTATCCAGCTCCACGATGTACTACACGCGTGCTGAGCAAGCACTCGTCATCGGCTCCTTTTACTCTATGAACGGATTCCAACAGTGTGTTGGCGGCTTGATTGGTTACGGAATTTCGCAGATTCAGCACCAAAGCCTGAAAAACTGGCAGATTCTGTTCACAGTGCGTTTACGGCGAGCAGTTGATACCAATCCTGATTTTTTTCAGCTTCTTGGATGCTTGACCTTCGCATGGGGACTATTCGTTCTGTGGTGGCTCCCGGATAGTCCTATGCGGGCTACTTGCTGGTCGCGTAAGCAACACTGGCGGATCTCGAACTGAGCGCCTATCTGATAAGCGCTGTTATAGCTGAGGATCGTCTTCTAATCGCTGAACGTGTCCGAAAGAATGAAACCGGAATTCAGAACCGCATTTTCAAACTCCATCAAGCTTGTGCGTCGTCTGGTATATGTACCTCTGATATCGTTGAACCTTTGTTATGCAGGGGAGGCATTCCGTGACCCGACCGTCTGGCTCGTGACGCTGATTTCGTTCACAAATGCTTTGCCTACCGGCGGACTGGGTGCTTTCTCTAACCTGATTTTAGTTGCCTTCGTACGTACCCTCTTGGGGGTGGGGCTTATCCTAACCAATATCGACAGGGCTTCACAACGCTGCAGACCTATCTGCTTGCTATTGCGCAAGGGTCGATCATAATGCTCTTCCTGTTTAGTTCAACATACCTGGCCAAAGTTTACAACCAGAAGCTCATCCTTGCCTTCGTATGCGTCGTACACTGGCCTTGTGGGAGAGCTGAATCGCTTTAGATATACACGCTGCCCAACATCGCGGGCACCATTGTGTTCATTTGCGTCAAAACCACCGCTCACACGAAAGTGGGCCTGCTTTTAGCGTTCTAGTAGGTCGATTGCTGCTTCAATTACTTGGATTCTCATGCACAAAAGCTGCATGCAGGGTTTCGGCGCAGTCGCGGTGTTAAACTTGGCGGTCATGTCAAACAATGTGAGCGATCTTATCTTATCTAATCGAAACTTATCTTGTGCAGATTGGCGGCGTATGGCTTCAAGATTTTCGTGCTCGTTAGATTAACTATATTTCAGCGGAGTAAACAGGTCATTGCTTCGAGCCTGGTTTTCATGTGAGCAACCCCAACTCTTCTCTCTCAGTCATTGATCCACAAACAAGTGCGTGGGCCACAGGAAATGCGATGTCGGTAGTCCAATGCTTGGCGTGATATATTTCTCATCACCAAAACAGAGGGCCTCAAGTGTTCCGCGACAACGACAAGCCCCGGTATATCCGCGCCTTCATCGCTCATCTGGTCATGTACGGCCTCCAGCTTGCCACCATTGTCGTGTTAAGACTCCGCCTCATGCGCCTGAACGTTCTCAAGCGACGCGAGCAGGCGCTTGAGCCGTCCAAAGCAAATGGTGAACTAGCAAACGAGCATATTTCACACAGACAAGCGTGCGTATGTCTTGTCGTCTTGAGGAAATATCTGATCATCCAACTAGCTTTGATGACCTTACCGACTGGGAGAACCGGGATTGTGAGTGACCCACTTCACGCGACTGAGTTCGTGCTTATGCAGCCTTCCGATAGTCCGATACGTTTATTAGCTCTTATGCTGCAAAATTCGGAAGCGATCATGTACAGACAACGATAATGCAAAAAAAAAATCGAATGACCTATGATTCCCGTTCCGGTGGATGAGACAAGGACAGATTCAGTTGTCCTGCCAACCGAACTAACTCGTCCTCCATTTTCGATATTCTTGCGTGCCTGCAAGGGTGTGTACATTGAGTGCCATAAAATACCAGTCAATACCACATACTCGATATTTGAACGCGCGCCGAATTCGAAGGCTTGGGAGACGCCTAAAGCCGGTGGTGGTGTTTTTCGTATTCTTTCCTTCTCCACCAGCGCTTTGAGGCCAGGCATCAACCGTTCGTACTCGCGCTCCAGCTGTTCAAAACATCAGCATGTCCATCGCAACCACCAGAGTATAAAAAACGCACCACCTGCATCCTCGATAGCAATGAAGTCTCGTCATATTTGCTCGCTCCCACCACTTCCCCTTGTAACCTCTTGAGTTCCGCGAACCACTTGGTCTCATATTCGCTCAATTCTGGAGATGCCCGGTCCATCAGACCTCGCAATAAGCGCTCCAAACGACTATGCAGCGACTTTTGCTCTTCTTGCACCCGCGCAAGCCGCTCCTCCGTTCTCTGACGCTGTGGGCCTTTCAACCTAGCTATGATCGAGCTCAGCTCTTCGCACTTTTGCGCCAGCCGCGTTTGCTCATTTTGTTGAAGCAACACACGGGAGTCTGCCGCGCGGAATGCGAGCTGGACTTCCTGCATCTGGCCGGTGAGGTCCGCAACCGTTTTTCCCAGGTAGCGAAGGACTTCGGGGGTCAACATGAAATCTTTCGCTCCCTTGGTGGGCGAAGGCGGCAAGGACAGTCGCGGGCTAAGGGGGAGCCCCGAATTGGTTCGTGTTAAGCATTCTGGCGGAGTATACGGCGTATTCCCCAAGAGCGAAATATAAGAGGGAGGCCCATCGCGTGGTATTAACCATTTGCTCGTCGGTTTTTGCGGACTGGGTGATGCTGGGGTCTGCATCACCGGCGCTTTGGGGGCGGGCGGCGCAGATCGAAGGTCGAGAGGTATTGATACAATGCGCATTGCAGATGTGAGGACGAGAATGCTGTAGGTGACAAAGATGTCGTTTGGCACCAGAACGGCAACCACCGGATTGGAACAACTGGAATTTGTCAGCACGCCCTTTACGAGTTGACTGAATGATACCTTCGCTCAACAGAAAACGTCGACACGATGGGCGTCACCGACGATCCTACAGCTTCTTGTAATGCGGATGTCAACGATTGAGCTTCGTCGTCGGCTTTGAGAGCGAGCCTCAAGGTCTGCAATAGCTGATCCAGATGAAGCGAATGCACCCCAAATGCATGATAAACGTATATTGTGTCGTCGTGGAGAGGGTCTGCCAGAAATACTGCTCGATTGCCTTGTAGGAGGTTTAATTTCCCGGCAAGCATAGTCACCAGGTCGAGGTCTATGGTTTCATAAACAGCAAGCATTGGGAGTCCCGCGTCACGTTTCGCGCTGCCGGTGTCCCAACGGGCTTCAACCTTCTCTACATCGAGGCACAAGTCGACCTTGCCGTCCTGGTAGGCAACAAGAACGACACCAAGATGCCCAGTTTCACCACCTTCGCTGTCTGCTTCAGGTTGCTCGTTCGATCCGAAGGCAAGATATATCATGTCTGTTGCATCGCCACCTTCGCTGCCGGCTATGCTTCGAGGAGCAGGCTGGAGGAGGAAAGGGCCCTGTCGTGCAACTTTCGCTTTCAATGTGGTCGGTGGGTGCATTGAGACGGAACGAGATGTGGCGGGGAAAACCGTTCCAGGGGGTAGTTGCTTGATGAGGGCGGAGATATATTTCCGTTGGTAGTCGTATAAGACAGAGAGATTTCGTGAAGAAGTTGACCCATGTTCCTCTGATTGAGCGAGGAATTCCTGCTTTGCAGATATGAAGCACTCCAAAGAGTGGACGTAGGACGATGGAATTGCGCTGAGACTGCATTAGCCTATCACACAACCAATAGTCACGAAACGACTTAACGCGTTTTTAGGCATATAAGGGCACATAGCGTATATGTCCCCTGATTTCATGACCGCATATACGGTGAGAGGACCCCAGTCTGCTTGCCCCTGGCCCAAGGAAAAAGACGCGACTTCACGTTCAGACGCGTCCTCTGCCACAAAGGCCTTTCCTTTCCGTTCTGGGACGAATGAGAGGACCTGTTGTGGCTCGTCGGCGTCTGTTGAGATATCGTATTCCCTGGCGAATTGTTGAGCTCGATAAATCAAAAGCCATGTGGCATTCACGCACCTCAGTTTTCCATCCTCAGTCATCACCATCAGAGTAGACCCAGCTTCGCCCCATGGATGCCACTGGATTTTGGCTATCGGGGGAGAGCCCTTGGCTGCATGATAGAATTGACCTATTTGCAGTGATCTATGGGTGAATTAGGCGCGACTAAATGGAGAATTGTTTATTGCACCTACTTGCAGTCGATGGTTTCTGGGACTAAACGCGCGTAGCCGGATCGCGGGAGCACCACAACACCTATTTGGCATTCCCCTGCTACCGCCAGAAGCTTCCCGCTGGGATTGAGCGCGAGTTGGCGAATCTCGAATTGCAGGTTTGGTGTGTGGAGAGTCTGGTGATTAGTTTAGCGATGAAAAATATGTTTTTTTGTTAAATATACCTTGTACCCTTTGGAGCCAGATGCGCCGAGAGAAGCAATACGAAGTTCTTCGCCAACTGCAACGACGAGGTCGGCGTCTTTGAGGACCATGAGTTGCCGTTGCCCAGTGGGATTCGCGCTTGTGGAAGCTGAGAGCTCATTGGAGGGAAAGTTTGGTGGGGGACGAAAAATGGGATGGTTGGCAAGAAGTGTTGTCCATTCAGCCATAGCTGAGGCTGATGAGGTTGGCTGTGACGCACACGTTACGCGTGTACGCGTCCTCTTTCCGCTTCGCCATGACCTCCATCGGAACGGGCTACGATCTCTCTGCCAGCACATACTCTCCGGACGGGCGCATATTTCAGGTCGAATACGCCAACAAGGCTGTCGAAAACTCGGGGTTGGTGTGCAAGCCATCATGCCTCACTAGCTGCTAAGTAATCTCCAGGACTGCTATTGGTCTCAAAGTCAAGGACGGCATTGTTCTGGCTGTCGAGAAACTTGTGCACTCTAAGCTGCTAGTTCCTGGCGCGAATCGGCGCATCCAAACGATAGACAGACACATTGGCCTGGTATAATCGGTTGACCTGATTATATTCCTTGCTAACGAAGATCGTTCAGGCCGCAGCTGGGCTACCAGCAGATGGAAGGACTGTTGCTAACCGCGCGCGTGACGAAGCCGCCAACTTCAGGGAGACATATCGCTCGCCACCAACATTGAAAGTGGGTGTTGGTCAAATCGCAACCATGGCCCTTACCTGGTCTTAGGCTCTTGCCGATCGGTTAGGCCAGTTCGTTCAAGTTTACACGCTTTATTCGTCGGTTCGGCCATTTGGAACCAGCACCATTCTTGGGGCAGTCGACAAGGATGGGCCATCGCTCTATGTGATTGAACCGAGTGGGGTATTTTATGTGCGCATACCTTCTCTTCTGTCAGAAATTATACCCTTACAACCATTCAGGGATACCATGGTGCTGCCGTTGGAAAGGGTCGTCAGCTGGCCAAGACCGAGCTCGAGAAACTGAAACTCTCTGAGCTCACTGCACGTGAAGCAGTCATCGAGGCCGCGCGAATGTACGCGTTTTTCAATTAGGCTTCGTTACCATTAATCCCCATTAGCATTTATCTGGTTCATGAGGATGCAAAAGAGAAGGAGTTTGAGCTGGAAATGTCATGGATAAGCCCGGAGACGGATGGTCTCCATCTTGCTGTGCCTCAAGACCTCTTTGATGAGGCCGAGACCAAGGCAAAAGAAGAGCTCGCGTCGGGTTTCGAGTAGTAGTCCAATATAAAATTGCCTCTTCGTTCAAGAAACCAGTGTGATTCTTCCTCTATACAATCTGCTCTAATTCACGAGCGTACATCAATGAAGCCGCAATGAGTTTCTCTTTCGGAATTTCTGTCGACTCTTCGCCCTTCTTGTCGAATGTGATGGTCGATGACGATAGATCCACTAGCCACCCGCGCTGTAGCCGCGTTAGTACAAGAGCAGCAGGTATCGATGAACACGAGACAAAACCTTTTGCGCAAAGACAAGCAATTCACTTTGGTTGGTGAAGAAAAGAAGGGTGGAAGCGTCTTTCAGAGGCAAGCTGTCGTAAGCGGCCTCTTCGCAGCTTGCAATTTCATTCCTAGACAAAGATTAGGACCAAGAGACGCAGTTTCCCGCGACACAGACCGGATTGTGCCCATTAAGCTGTCCACGAAATAGCCGTATTCAGCAGCTGGCGCCTCCGCTCGAGCACCCCAGACTTTGGCGTAGCTACCTTCCATTAGCCATCGCTCAAGATTTACCGGATGCGCAATAAATGGGCTCTCCAGTGCGTCCGCTGGTAGACTCTCCAATGCAGTATGGAAGTCCGCGATCCGATTTTGGGTCAACAGGCGGATGAGATGGAGGCCCCGAATGGCAAATTCGTTTTTGGAGCGGGGGAGATTTCTGCAGCGTGTCAAAGGAAGCTTCTGAAGGAGTCGCATGATATTTACGAGTAGTCGGTGTAGAATGTTTGGAGTTGGGAGAAGTAGCGGTCGAATGAGGGTACATCTTGACTGCGAATACTCCAGAAAGCGCCGGTTTCGAGGATATCGCCTGAGGAATAAGATTAAGCGCCTTGTACAAGTTGAGTTGCGAGGGTTATCATACGTGCGACAGAGAGGTCAGAGGGATTGAGGTCGCCTTGAGGAAGCAAAAGACCAGCTTGGATCAGCCCAAGCTGGAGACGCGTCAGCCACCAGATTGCATCACCCAAATTCAAGCACCTTTAGCTGCGTGAGCAGCTTGCCGGTCTTGGGAAGGTCCTGAGCAGCAAAAGCAGCTTTGAGGTCCGTGTATTGGGATTTGAGAGACATGCGTTCTTGCGTGACCTGTGTGACCGACGCGTAATCGCTCGCGCCTCTCTTCTGTCCTCAATCATGGAACGAATCGACATGCAGCAGCTCAAGTCGGGCGAGGTTAACCTGGGTGTTAGTAAACAGCCCACCTTCGAGCTGAATATCTGACACTGGTAATAGACCTCGATCATGGCGGTTCAGTTCAAAGACGGCGTAGTTATTGGCGCAGACAGTCGAACAACAACGGGCAGCTATATTGCCAACAGGGTAACCGACAAGCTTACCCATGTTCACGATCGTGTTTACTGCTGTCGCTCGGGGTCTGCTGCCGACACCCAAGCTGTCGCTGACATTGTCCATTACTACCTGCAACTCTACAGGTAGCCTCTATATTCTTCCTGCGAGCGTGTTGCTCACGATCTTGATTCAGCCAAACATCAGGCGCTCCCCCACCCGTCCATACTGCTGCTTCCTTATTCCAGAAATTATGCTACGAAAACAAGGACAATTTATCAGCTGGAATCATCGTTGCGGGTTGGGACAAGGAAGTTGGCCCTAGCGTCTACAACATTCCTCTTGGTGGTGGTCTGTTCCGTCAGCCATGGGCAATCGGTGGTAGGCTTCAAGTGATCCAAACATCTCAAAAAACTCACCCTTCACGAGGCTCTGGCTCGACATATGTGTATGGATATTGCGACGCGACATACCGAGAAGGCTGGGGACGCGACGAAACAGTAGAATTCGTCAAAAACAGTATGTTCTCTATCAACACGCGAATACTCCATTCTAACGGCAACCAAAGCACTCGCATTGGCCATGGCCCGTGATGGCTCATCTGGAGGCGTAATCCGGATGTGTGTTATAACAGAGGATGGCGTTGAGCGCTTGTTTGTGCCGGGCAACGAACTGCCCAAGTTTTGGACAGGCACAGAAGTACTATCCCAACCGAAAGGCAAGGTCATCGACCCACAAGTTGTTCCGATGGCTGTAGAGTAGACTCCAACAAAATCAATTTGTTTCCCACATCCGAATTCGCCACAGCGCAATTCCGAGTGCCCCCACGTCCACTTCATCTGAGCTGCAAAGCAGAAATGCGTGGCTCGCTTTGTTGTCACCCTTGTTGGTTGTCATTTTCGCAGATGATCTGCTTTTGCCTTGAAGTCCTAGAATCTCGGTGAACAACTCGTACAACTTGGCGCGATGAGTGCGACCGGGAAATAATGCAACGCTGTTGAAGAGCGGTACTTGTTCGACGGCCAGGGGCGGCGGCATTGTATTGGCTGGGGAAGTGCTAGGGAAAAACGTAGGCCATTCGCCCAATGGAACGGGAGCAGAGGTCGGATAAAGCACACTCAATGGTAGCGGCTCGCGTTTCGGGTCTGCACGAGGAAGTTCCTCCAGAGGCGATGCACTCATCGCCGCTTCACTATTTTGTCGTTGTTTGGTCTCGGGATCGCGGTTGACGGGTGGTAGAACCACTACAGCGAGAGCACCTGGAAAGGGTAGAATCCCAGTTTCCTTGAGTTGTACCCATTCACTGCGTCGTAGCCTTCGAAGTATTGGAAGGGGCGAGCCAGAGCATTCTCTCAAAGATTTAATGAGGAGAACGACCTCTTGTAGAACACGCAGGCGGAGATGATGTGAGATTTGTTCTGGTAGCCGCGGAGACACAACGGCGTCGTATAGAAAGGCCCATCCTGACTGATAATGAGGAAAGAGACGCGTCAGGGGAAAGACATACTTGGTAGATGGAGCGCAGAAAATGCAGAACGGGAGCAAAGCATATAGCTTGCCGTCGTAGATCTCTTGCTTTTGAATGCAGGGTGTAGGACACCATCCGGGACGAGCATACGACTACTCTTTTTCTTCACAGTGCGCAAAGTCTGAGGGGCTCGCATTATTGCCATCCGTATCATAAGGTCTAGCAGGTGTTAAACGCCTCCAGGGTGGGTAAATTTGGTTTACCTGTCGGCAAGACACGCTTGGAGAGCGTGCAAAGTCGGAGTGGACTACCCAGCATTCGCACTAAAAAAATCAGCAACGCGTCAAAGTACGTCGGTGCATACAATATGGATTGGACCATAAAAGACGCTCTTCCGAAGTCATTTCTCGTAGGTCGGAAGGTGTGGTTTTAGTTCGGCGGAGGCGAAAAACTGGAGCTCGCGTTTTGTGTCGTTCATAGTCGCGTGAGTTGGTTATTACATTTCCTGGTGTGAGGAGGAGGGAGCGACTGGGGTCGACGGGCGGTGGGCGTGAAACCGGTTCAAACGAAGGGGGTTGTTGCTTCTTTGGAGGGATAATGAGCTTCCCGGTCAGCGGTAACTTGGCAAGTCGGGGAAGAAAGCGAGGCATGATGTAATAATGTCCTACTTGCTTTCGACCACCAAGAATATCCTCCACAGAAAGTCAAGCAAAGCCGCCATGTCTGTCCCACCACCTTCTCCGGTGACAATCGCGGTCATTGGATGTGGGCAACGTGGGAGAGCCTACGCAGACTATGCCCTCCAAGCTCCAGAGTTTTGTAAGGTTGTAGCTATCGCAGAGCCACGTCCGAAAACGCGCAGTCGCTTCCAGCAAACCTACGATGTAGACAACACTCTCGTATTCAACACCTGGCAAGAGCTCCATGCTGCATCTGAAGAAACTCAAAAGACAATCGGGTCTCGATTGGCAGATGCTGTCGTTGTTGCAGTTCAAGACCAAATGCACAAGGAGGTGGTTCTTGCGTTTGCCGCCCAAGGCTACCATATTCTGTGCGAGAAACCGATGGCCACCGACCTTGAAGATCTAATCGAAATGGAGGAAGCTGTTGCTCGTGCTGGAATCCTATTTGGAATGGGCCACGGTAATACCACAGACGCCACACTTCACAAGTCTAATCATCCGTCCTAGTCATGCGATATTCACCATACAGCCGCCAGATAACTGACTACGTTCAATCGGGGACGCTGGGTAAACTAGTCAACATAGTACAAGTCGAGCCAGTTGGCTACTTCCATTTCGCTCACTCGTATGTTCGCGGAAATTGGGCAACCGAAAAATCAAGTTCTTTTTCGCTCATGACCAAATGCTGCCAGTAAGTATTTGTTTCGTTCGCACACCTAGCCTCATGAGGATGTAGCGACATAGACTTGATTTGTTTCTGGATGACGCCGTCGACTCCCGCACGAGTGTCATCGTTTGGGTCACTCCAACACTTTAGGAAATCAGCTAAACCTCGAGAAGCTGGCTCTGCGACTCGTTGCCTCGAATGTCCCATCGAGAAAGACTGTGCTTACAGTGCGAAGAAGAGTAAGAGATAGCGAACTGCTTTATCCGTCCTAATTACCTCTTTACCCTCAGTTTACTTGGATGCTGTAACCCGAGGCAATACCGGTTGGCCCGTATCGCCAATTGTGGATGGTCTACCGGACATCGAGAATGTCACGGAAGCACTTACCAATGGGCCTTACGGGCAATGCGTCTATGAAAGCCCAAACGATGTGTGCGATCACCAGGTCGTTAATCTCGAGTTTTCAGATGGCTCTACCGCCTCGTTCACCATGGTCGCTTACACATCGCTTATCTGCGACCGCCAAGTCCGTCTCCACTTCACCAACGGCGAGATTGTCGGAGACATGACGAGTTTTACCGTCCATGATTTCCGCACCGGGATGCGCAAGTCATTCACTCCTCTGAACGAGGGTGGCGGACATGGTGGCGGTGACTTGGGGCTCATTCGGGCTTTTGTGCAAGCAGTACGAACTGGGAGGCAAGATGCTCTGGGAACGACCCTTGAAGAGATCGTCAAGAGCCATATTACAGTGTTTGCAGCCGAATTAAGTCGAAGAGAAGGTAGGGTGGTTGATTGTACAGAATTTGAACGGACAATCAGAGAGAAAGTTCGGGCAGCTATAGCATCGACCGTAGCTGCCCCGACCATGAACGGAACAAGTCATTAGTTGTATGGACTAGCATGTAGGCTCGAACCAGCCCAACGAGCACGAGGGAGGACAGATGTGGTGCCCGTAGGTATTCCGGAAGTAAGGCTGGTTCGAGCCTAACTAGCATGGGTATATAGGGTAATTGTACAAGTGAAGGAGATGCATTGAAAAGCGATCATCAAACTAGTTAACTCATTTCTATGGCTGGCTGGGACTTGGCGCCTCTTACATCTTCGCAGTGCGCTCCACCATTGGATTGGTCTGTCAAATCGTTCACAGCACCGTCTGCAAGTCCATGCACCATTTCATGAAAGCATGAGAAACGCGTAGTCCGCGAGAGTACCCATCCAAACTGTGAACCCAGCCCACCCACAGTCTACAAACCCCTTCCAACAGCTCTCTCTTGACTCGTAATCTGTCCGGTAGACAATGCGACCAAGTTGGATGGCAGCAAGCGATACGCCAACGTAAAACGGCAGGCTCTGGGCATTGAGGTACCCAGCAAGCGCAAGGAAAGACACAGATGTCGCCGACAGGGCACCAAGAATCGGCTTTGTATTTTCGCCAAAGAGCAGTGCTGTTGAACGAATGCCAGCGCTAACATCATCACGTTTGTCTTGATGAGCGTATATGCTATCATAAACAAGAGTCCACGCGATTCCTCCTGCGTATAGAGGAAGGCAGACAGTCCAGTTTGCGATCCCGCTAACTGCTGACCAGCCCAGGAGGGCACCCCAGTTATATGCGACGCCCAGAACCGCTTGAGGCCAGTAGGTGATCCGCTTCATGAGCGGGTAGATGATCACAACCGAGAGCGAGCTAGCGCCGAGTAGGATACTGCACTTGTTGTTCAAAAAGGACGCGTCAGATTAGAGGCTTTACTCACCTGTACCAATTAAGCTGGAGGAGAACAGCGAGGCCGATAGAGAGCTGGCCCGCGAGAAATGCCAAAGCCTGTCGACGCGTTATATCACCTCGCGCGAGCGGACGTTCTCTCGTTCTAGCTAGCCAGCTGAGCCACGAAAAAACCGGAGCAGGAAGAGGTCCATACCGACGGCTTTATCAAGGTTTTTGTCCCACATGTCGTTTATTGTGCAGCCAGCCCCCCGCATCACTACAGCACCCGCGCCGAACAAGCCAATGTAGGTCAAGGGCGTTGTTATTGGCGCATGAAGGGCGTAGGACGCCATAGTTATTGACCAAGCTTCAGAAAAACTTAGTATGTTCTAAAGAGGGTGAGTTCAAAAACGCACCACACGGATAGAACAGAAGCAAAGTTCCAATCGGTTTATCGACGCGTGTAAGGTAGACGTATGGCTGCATTTTGTGAGGAAGCCTGTCGACCCATGTTCTCGTTACTGGGACTAAGGTAGATGACGAAAGACGCGTCGAGTATTGGAGGCGAGGGAACTGCCGCGGCCGGTGTCGAAGCAACCAAGTAGTTCTCGGCAAGAGCATTTCGTTTACGTCAGCACTTGTCTTGTACAACATCGTTCATTCGTTTCTGGCCAAAAAAAAATACATTTCAAAGAGCAGACATAAGCGGTTCCCAGTTTACTCCCATTCCTTCGCAAGCTTGAAATGCCATTCAAAGTCTAAACCATCGTCAATAGAGCCCAAAAGTTCTAAAGAAAACAATCGCACCAGCGTAAATACCGCCATCGTCGTCCACAACGCGACTCTTGACGTTGTAAGTTCCCGATCGCGCAAGCATGCCTGACCAAGGGATCAATGCGAAATTGCGTATAGCTAGACCCGATTCTCACCGCTGGGCGAGTGGTCAGTATCGAAGTTCTTGACGTATGCCTGGCCCTGAGGGTGAGGGCCATACGATCCAAGCATCTGTTCAAGTTTGTCCACTAGCCATTGGTTGAGTCGAGGAGAAGGCACAGGCAAACAGGGGTCACACCTTTCACACCGGCTCGTTTGACGACCTGAATATATCGAACACCAGAAATTATGGAGTGGTTGACCTTGAAAGTGATTCGGACGCTGCCAAAGTATTTAGCTACCAAGCTCAAGTGAGTGGGTGGGGCAGACACACTTGTACTCGACATCCTCTTTGATGACGATAGGGTGCTTCTTGGTATCGGCCAAGCGCGCGGTATCGCTGAGATTGAAAGAGATCGTCTTGCCTGGGGGAAGCGTAGGGGAGTCAAGCTGCCTCAATTCTTAGTAGTCGGGCAAAACAGAGAGCAACAACGGACCTCTATGGTCAACACGGTGACCTATTCCATTTATAAACTGCGTTCACCAAATGAATCTTTTCTCCAACACACCTTTGGACCAGAGGTATCCCCGCCAGTAGCACCCGGAACGATACCTAATAAACGATATAGAAGTGGAAATTCGAATAATTTGAGCGAATTTACCCAAGCTGGCTTTCCAACGCGCGAGCGACTCGTCTTCAGCATCGAGATTGGCGTACTCATCGGCGCTCTTGGCGGGCCCTGCAGGCTTGTACCCTTTGACAACGTGGTGAGCGTGGTCGACAGCGATTGCTACGGATTAAAGACCTGGATGGACAATGTCAGTTGTGATTTCAGTCGGCGGGAAGCAATGGGATGGCAAACCTGGAGTGCCTGAGGGTTTGAAGTCTTCGTGGTCGTCATGATGGTCTGCCATGGTATATGAAAAAGGGCAGTCTAGTTTTGTGCAAGATCGAGGGGTGGTGGTGGTCGGTGGTCAAGCAACACTAACACGGAACAGTTTGATCACACAGCAGTCGCAACAGAAAATACTTTTTAATCCAGGCTCACGAATCCGGGAGCATCCACTAGTGTTTTACAGAGCAGTTTCAGGGCAGAACGTAAAGGAATGTGAATGTGCATAGATCCAATTTTTTTCAAGCAGCGTCACCCGACAACTCCACACCATGCATACCGTCTAGACGTACTCAGAGTCAAAAACAGTTAAGCAATTGAAGTGCCTTAGGACGTACCACCTTTGAACCAGCATTTGCCTTTGATGTAGTGATACTATGAAGCCGGAGGGTCAACTTGAATTTGGTGGCGAACAATCATTATTACGCACGCATTGCGGGCCATTTGGGCAGACATGGCCCCAGCAGCATTTGGTTCCGTGGGGGCATTGTCGGCCTAGAGAGCGGGTCGGGTCAGTTCCTATATTCTCCGATTTCCTTCCAACTTGCCTGATTTCAGCCAGTTGCACGGTGCCTTCTTCGCGCAAGTTGACAATGTGGCAAGTTGCTCCTTGGTGAGGTCGTACTCGTGCGAGTATTTGCATTGCGAGGGCTGAAAATTTGACTTGAGCAGTGGCATTCCAACAGAGATACGTTAGCGGCAAACCTCTTTGGTGCATTTCATGAGGTAGAATTCGTTGCAGGGCGGAGGATTTTCTGTGAAGAGAGTCAGCGGTCCATTTCCCCGGGATTATAATAAACGTACGCTTGTGAAGGGGCTACAAGGGCATCAGAAGAGTTTAGGTGAGGATGGTAACAGGCAACTCACGAGCGAAGGGTCGATGGATCGCCTGCTCTGACCAGACGAAGATGACAACAGCGAAACCACCGTCGTGATGCTTTGGGGGCTCGATGTGTTGGAACGCGGCTCAAGTTGAACGACCCGAGATTGAACATTCGAGACCGCAAAGACATCGTCGATGACAAGCAGGGGCACCTCTGCCGCCATATCCAGTTGTACACCAATCATGACAAGCTTGCCGAGAATTCCCCTCTTGCTGAGGGTTTTCAACAGCGAGCGATACAAAGGACCGTAGCGGCCTGTCCAACTTCAGCTGAAGGTACCAGATAGGGAAGCACATACGGCCGGCGAAAAAAACACGAAGAGTTTGAGGGAGTCGAATGAATGTGTTGATATAGGCTGGTCGTTCATTGACGCGTCGTCCAGATCAAGGGATACACACCTTTGATCTTGGTTTCAGTATGATTCAGACCACTAACGTCGACGAAATAAAAGCCTTCGTGTGGAATACTGAATCCCTAAGGTTGCCAAGTGAGCTCAGGATGAGCATCGGCTCAAGGGGCACACACCGTTAAAAACTGGTCGAACTGTTGAACAGTGCAGGCATTTGCGGCTTGCAGTCGTTCTAGGAGTTGCCTGCGATTATAAAAAACAGTCATGAAGTAAGAAACTGAGCCATGTTGTCTAGCGTATGCTTGAACAGCGTCGTGTTCCAGATAAGCAACAATGTTTGCCGTCAAAACATTGGCAGCCGAAACACCGCCGTCGAAGGCGCGACTTAGATGGGCGAATAAAAACTCGTCGCCGTTGATCACAGTGAAGATCAACGGCGGCTGTGCCTAGGTCAGCTCAGGCATGAACCCAATGTTGACGCGCACCGAGATTTTAAACAACTCCGTGCCTGCGAGTTGCTGGCCAAGAGACTGAAGGTGTTGCTGGAAGATGGCTTCGCGTTGCTTAACGCTGTGGTCTCGAGTCAGTACATGACAACAATGGCACAAGTCACGAACCTCTCCATCTCACTGTTGTGCCGCAGCTGGGCCTCCCTGAGTTGCGCCGTTAACAGAGCAACTTGCTCTTCCAGTTGAACGTTGCGCGCTTGAATCTTGCGCGACCCGTCTGGACCAGCGATAAACAACAGGAATAACACGTAATCGAACACACACCTAAGAGCTTAACAAGGACGTCGTCATTCCCAATGCTCTGTTGGGACCTGAAACTGTCCGAACCACTGAGGAGGGGCTGGGTCTGCCAATACGTTGGGTCCTCCACTATCGTGGGCATGGACAATAAAGACAAGGAGGTGATGAGGGAGAGATACAAAGAGCCAAAAGGTGAACAAATCCGCGCTAGTGGCCCACCTCTGCTTTTATTTGTTCGAACAGAAGCATGCCGAGATGATGGAGAAATGGAGTATAATTCATCCCGTTGGGATACACAACCAAAACCAGAATTGATTAGGTGGATATATTAGGCAGCTGTCATAACATAGAAGTCACGGGCCTGCAGGGTCCTAGTGCATATCGCCTACAAAACGCCGTTTTAGCGCACCAATCGGCGGAGGACAGAGCAAAACCTACGGCCTTTAAATTTACACTTGTTTGCCCGAAGAAATGGGCAGTCAGCTCCGTGGGGGCAGATATGGCCATAGCAGCACACATCACCCCAAGTACATTGCTCTCCTGCAGTGCATGAGACGCCGATTTCCCTCGGAAATAAGCTGCCAAACCGCGATTGATCATGGGACACGGCGCCAGCCGAGCATTCCGTCGTAACTCTTCGAAGTGCTCCTCGTTTAACAAATAGTCGTGTCCGTACTTACATTTAGCCCCCATTTTGCAGTTGGAGAGATAGAATAGAGTGCAAGGTGCCGGGTCCTCTTCGCAACTGTCAGATTAAAATGGGCAACGAGGCCAGGAAGACCTACGCTTCGATAGACGCTAACCCAGCAAATCAGACAAATAACAGCAGACACAACGGACAACTCAACGAGAATGGGGTTGATGTGGCGCGACCCAGTCCCTCGGTACGAACTTGAAGTCGCCTCGGGTGAAACACTTCTCCTTCGTTCGCTCAACTTTTTTCCCGCCATCGACACACTTTGCACTGCACTCGAGTAGCTCTTGATGGCACTGGTTGCATGACTCGAATGGCCGCTATCAGATCGGGCTCGAGATCGCGCTTCGCTGATTTTTTCTGCACGGAAAAGCTCTGCATTGTCGATATGGGGAAGCGCGAGAGCAGCGATCTCCCTTGCCATCTCAGCATAGCCTTTGAGGAGGACGACTTTGTCACGAAACCCGGCGGTGATATGAGAACGAAGGTCAGAGGCGTATCCATTATCGTGGCAGCCTGATTGTCGGAGTTGAAAAAAATTAAATTAAATGGGTCCGAGGACACAAACACACCACCGAAGATGATCTTGAAGGTTTGTGGGAGGGGAATATTGTCCTCCAACTGCGCTGTCAACATCGTCGTTCAGCTGCTTCTCCTCGAATCATCCGTTGGTACCTTTCATTTTAGCGTCTGCCGCTTCCTTGCCATCTCCCACATCCACCATAAGAAAGCGCCGAGTGGCCTGATTAAAGCCCACAACAAACTCCTCAAGAGACTTGTTAGTAAAACCCAGCGCATCGAGCAGGCCGCTTTTGTTGTAAAACACATATACTGAGAGTTGGTATGGGTTCGATCCATATTCATCTTTCAAGAACTTGATGATGGTATTTGAGAGCATTTGGGCGGCTTTCGCTCCCCCAGGTCGACCGTCCGAAATGAGGTCGTCCGTGAAGATTGTACCATCGCCATCAATGAGAGCAACAATACGAAATCCCTGCTGGGTTGACTGAGCTAGGTCTACGCTTCGTGAAAAAGTGAATCGTCATACTTTCACTGACGAGGCTTTGGTTTCTGGGCGCAAATCTACTTGTCTCTGCAATTCAGCACACTTTTCATTACGGCCTTCCAGCGCAAGCTTATACAAAGCAACTTGTTCTTCGAGTTGTTTGACTTTAGCCTGAGATACTGCAGCTCTTTCGAAAAATTCACACAGATCAACTGTGGGAGGAACTGAGCCAATGTTCTAATTGCGAAACGATCAACTTGCGTTTTAACTGGTCCGCTCCAGCATCGCTAGAAGGGTGGCATTGAGTCCTGAGTAGCAGCAGAGAGAGGGGAGCTGGCTGACATTCGAGCTTTAAGCGTTTCTGCAACAACATCCATTGGGGGGAAGGAAAGCTTCAGGTTGAACAAGCTGGATGAGAGGGCGGATTTAAAAAGCCGCCTGCAGGACGAAGCATGCCAATTCCATTACTAGCACAAGCACGATGTGATTCGAATAATACTTGAGGTAAAAGCAAATGAGGGTGAAGACCAGCACGGCCGCAGTAATTCCGAGCCTGTGAGGCACGAAAAATCAGGAGCGTGACACACCACGTGACAAACGCGTCCTTTGCGACACCCACCATCTTTCCTTACGCGTTTTCTCCATGTCCGACCTTTACACCTCCCTTAATGTCTCCCCACGCAAGAAGAGATGCCCCCCAGAGCGCGACGATGATACTGTGAGCCCCAAGAAGCTCAGAATGACGTACGTTGTTGTGCATTGTCTCTGTTTGTACCTCACCCATTATTGCAGGGCCCCCAGTCACCGCCCGTTCCCCTCACGCAAATCAAAGCCAACTGAACTCCCCCAAAGCCTCTCTAGGCTATGCACCATCTACACCGAACTTCAGAGTGCTCTCTCACACGCTTTGGCCACCTGCGCCGTCTCACCAACATCTGATACTGGCATCGTTCGAAACGTTCTCAATCACATATCATTGAGCACTTACACGGGTATTACGACCAGTTTTGACGTCGAAGACCTTCGCAGACTTTGCTGGGTGCTGGAATGGGATGGCAAGACACGATCTTCGTCGGTCTCAGAAGAAGAAAATCCATTTTTGGACGAGAAGCCGGTTCAGAAGGACTGGACCCGTGGAGGAATGGGTGTTGTTATTAGTGCCGCCTCTCATCATCTTCGTATCGAAGGGAAACGAGTCCCAGCTTATGGCTTGGGTATTGAGGTCGAAATGGACATCGACAAGGATATGACCCCTGGCATGGCTGCCGTTGCGCGTTGGACTGCCGAAAACGCTAATCGTTGCAATGCATTCCGGGATAAGCTACAGGCATGGGTTAAGGTGAGCCACCTCCTACTATTCTTTTATCATTGTTAATTAATTTTGCAGCTTCACCAAGACGTTCCATCACTACCTGCACTCCCTCTTGCAGATCTCCCTCGCTTGGCTGCCTCCAGCAAATCTTCTTCTCTTACTCGAACTCTTGCTTCACTTTCCCCCAAGTCTGCTGCTCCGACTTTCAAACTCCCTGCGACACCTACCTCCCCATCTCGTTCTCCCGTCAAATCGAAACTTGCAGCACAATCCGTGCCTATTCCTTTCCCTCGTATCGCCGGTTCGCCGACGAAAAACTCACTTGCTTTCCCCCAAACACCATCCTCACGCACAGCGCGTTCTACAGATGACGAGTTTTTTGCGCCACGTACCCCCAAAACTTCTCTGGTTTCTCCTTCGAAAACCGTTACAGTTCCTTCTACTCCAGTTCATCAACGTGGCGCAAACGCAACAACAGTACCAGCTACACCTACATCCTCGAGGCGACAAGCTCTCTATGAACGCCTCAGACAACGATCGATAAGTGCTTCGCCAACCAAAGGGGCAGCCGTAGAACTGAACGGTGGGACATTAACCCGGGACCAGATGCTCAAGCTGGGGCAAGACGGCCTACGCAAGCGTTGTTTGCTTGGTCGTCTTGGGGGGTGTCGCTGAGGGCATCTGGATGCTCTTCTCTGCACCGACAGCCAGCGCTAGTACAACCGCCACGCCCCGCAAGCGTCGGGCCTTGCCATTGACTGAGGTCACTGCTGCGGTTATAAAATCGTCGCCCGTTCCTATTTCCTCTGCGGAAGCGGTCGACTCTGTGGCCATGCTTGTAAAGCTTTGTCCGTTCTTCCTGAAACAATTTGCTGTCGCCGGCGAAGCGTGGCTCGAAATGCCAGCTTCGTCGACGAGTTTAGATGCCAGCCCCTCAAAGAAGTCAGGACCGGCAAGTCCCGGAAACGGGCAGTTGTTGGTCACCCGAAGCCCACGCAAAGTAAAGAACGAGGCCGGTGGCTTGCGTGAAGTGCGGGAAATTATTCGTCGGGAGCTTGAGTTGCAGGACTAAGTCCTCAAAGGCTGCTTCATTTATTTACTCGATTTGCTTCATTTATACGTAGATGCGTACATTTGCTCCATGCTCGTCCAATGATTGCTTATACTTATGCCTTGGTTGCGCAACCTACCAAAACATGTTGTCCGATTAGAATTTGTGCTGATAAGATCAAACTCGCCCTTGGATCATCCTGCGATGGCCAATCGCCCCACCTACATCTACAAAATCATTTCCCATACTTCACCTCTCCCAGACCCGCTTCCGGATGAGTTACCACTGAGCGATCTTGATGCTGCGGATGGATTTATGCACTTCTCGACCGCCAAACAAGTCCCCCGTACTTTAAAGCGATTCTTCTCTACCGACCCGCGAGTTACAATCGTCCGGATTGACTACAGCAAAGTCGAAAGGGAGGTCAAATGGGAGGACAGCAAGGGTACCGGTATAACTTCCCTTCCTTACTCTGTTGTTTTGAATTAGTTTTAGGGCCTGGAGAGGTTGGAGGCGATGATATATTCCCGCATATCTACGGGCGGTCGATGAAGGCTACGGATGTTGAAAGTTCAGTCATTTGGGAGCGCAATGAGGACTGGGATGTTGCATTGGAGAGTGAGACTGGAAAGAGTTGGCTTGTTTACTAAATCAACAAATCTTTCATTCTTCCACGATGCCACTTGCGTTCGAAGTCCCTGGCTGGAGCGTCCCCAGCTCACCAATGGGCGGCCCGGGCCCCTCCAACTCGAAGAAGCGAAAACGGCCAACCAACGAGTCAACCGAGTCAATTGACATCCAGAAATTCGTCCAACAGCATGTCGATGCAGACAACGCGTCGACCACCTCTCGTGTCAAAGCACTCGGAAAGTCACTGGTGAAAAATACCATAGAGCGCAAGCGTCAAAAGCAAGCGGAAAAACTTGAAGCCAAGAAAAAGACGATCTCTCGACCCAAAGCTTTGATGCCCACCGAGAAAGGCCAGAAATCGCGTCCACCATCCTCTAGCTCGACTGCTACCAATACACGGCCAACGAAACGCCCAAAGCGAGCTCATGATGAAGAGCCCAACGAGAAAGCTTTGCCCAGCATTCCCGAGGAGAGCCCTCGGTTAACAACATTACAGCAAGATATGAGGAAAAGTCTCGACGGAGCAAAGTTTCGGTGCGCAACGCCGTCGCAAAAAAGTCTTTCTCTGACCTCAATAGCATTATAAACGAAACACTATACAAATCGGAGAGCAAAGAGGCCTATGACATGATGCAGAACGATCCCAAGGTGTTTGAAGAAGTGAGTACTACTCTGGGAATTTTCAGACTATACTGACAGCAGGGCAGTACCATCGTGGATTCAGACACCAAGTGGAATCGTGGCCAACAAACCCCGTTGAACATTACATTTCCGTCTTGTCCCAATATCCTTCCAAAACCACGATCGCAGACTTAGGATGCGGTGATGCTGCGATGGCCCGTGCCCTCACTCCCCAGGGTCTCAATGTACTTTCTTTTGACCTTGTGTCAGATGGAACGTACGTTGTGGAGGCAGACATTTGCTCAAGAATACCACTGCCAGGAAGCGAGCCGCCTTTGGGGGAGAAGACTTCAGGGGACGGTCAGGTTGTGGATGTTGTTGTCTGCGCGTTAAGCTTGATGGGGACTAATTGGACTGGGTGTGTTCGGGAAGCTTGGCGGATATTAAGACCCGAGTAGGTTCATGGCGAAGACATGCACCTTGCTGACATCATTCTTCAGTGGGGAACTCAAGATTGCGGAGGTCGCCAGCCGTTTCACGGATATAGAGGACTTCATTGGAGTCGTTTCTTCCGTTGGCTTCAAGTTGAAATCAAAGGTAGTAACCTGCATTCATTCATTTCCTGTCGGAGTCTGACCACCCGACAGAATGAAGCCAATACCCACTTCACGTTGTTCGAGTTCAAGAAGATTGAACGTGCAGGCAAGAGAGAGAAGGAATGGAGTGATGTTCTACGACGAGGAGGAGTGCTGAAACCGTGCGAATATAAAAGGAGATAAACGAGATTGCACTTTACACTCTACCGCAACCATGTCGCATGCTAACATTCACGTCGTGTCCCATCCCATCGCTAACGCCGAGCTTTCCAAGCTCCGTCGTGCAGACATAACCCCAGCTCAGTTTCGTCAGGGAGTGAGTGCGCTCAGCCTTATTTTGGGTCTCGAAGCGAGCCGAGAGTTGGAAGGTCTGCTCCATCCACACTCTGTAACGCGTTCATAATGCTTTTTAGTGGCGACATTTGAAGGGGTATGTGTGGCAATTCGACGCTCTACGTCGTTGATGCTCTTCTAGCAATCACCAGTCGCCCCATTCACCGGAACCGCTATAAAACCACGAGTTGGGCTTACACCCATTCTCCGCGCTGGATTGGGCATGACTGATGCATTGGTAGGTGCAAATCTACGACCTACAGCAGCTCTTGAATTCGCAATAGCTTTCCTTATTTCCCGATGCTCCGATCTACCACCTGGGTATCTTCCGCGAGAAGGTAACACTGCAACCAGTTGAATGTAGGCCGCCATAGCATCGCGACTGTTGAATGCTCACCACGCTTTAGACTACTCCAAGTTACCTTCTTCCCCACCCGTCGACCTCGTTTATGTCTGTTTGCCTCGTGTAGTCCATGTTGTCTTGCTCATGTGCTTACAGCTGCTTGACCCATTGATCGCAACAGGAGGGACTGCCTGCGCCGCACTTGCGATGATCGCCGACTGGGGTATGGACATCAGCAACGTGAAGCTGCTTTGCATTCTTGCTTCACAAGATGGAATCAACAATGTCCGTGCTGCATATCCGTCGCTCGAAGTGAGTTGTTGCTTTTCTCTTCATTCCCCGCATTCAATTATTCGCGTAGATTTGGGTGGCAGGAATAGACTCCAACTTGACCAGTGAGGGTCTCATTAATCCGGGTCTGGGGGATGCTGGCGACCGTTTGTTCAATACGTTTGCGTAAGAAGTGTGTTATGTAAAATTTTGATCGTGAAACTTTCTCGAGCACGCAACGATGGCGAACTTGAAAATTCTAATCTTAGGCCCAGACCATGTCGTCCTCTGGCGCATCGACGCCCCCAACGCTCGTGTCGTCTCCAACACTCACCGCGGCTAAGCCCTTACAACACATCTACGGCAGTCCAAGAGTTTCTGCTTCTGCTGCCGTTGAATTTCTGGCTTCTCGTCCAGAAACGAGTTCAGCCATATATGTATACGACCTCGCCGACCAGGTTGGCTTTGGGGCACTCACAAAGGAGTGGGCAAAGACTCAGAATGCCTCCCCCGTTGTTGAGCTCCAAACCCGGGCCGGTGCCGGCTTAACAATCGTCGGGCGACTTTCGCAGGGGACCAGCCGCGACGCTGGCAAAGGCTCAGTCATCACCGCGTATACGACACCTGCGGGCCTTGCATTCATGGCTCCCTCACTTTCTCATCTCCCCACCGCAACACCAACCAGTCGGTTGGTCATCCAGGTCCCCACAGTCGTGTCGGTTGGAGAGTCCCTTGCGCTTTCCCCTTCGCTATCCTCGCTCTCTGCCATTGCTCCGACTCTACCCCGGGACTTGGTCGTGCTTCTTTCAGCCACTCCCCAAGAAGCAGTTGATTTTGCCAACTTTTCTTATCGACTGAAAACATCGCATGTCGTCCATCTGTTCGACCATTATAGTGCTGGTCGCGAGACCGGGACATCACTGGCACCTCCCAAGGGTGATACTGGGCCCGCCTCATTGGCAGACCTGTTCACTGAGAACGGATATTCGTTCTTCAGCTACGCCGGTGATCCGGCTGCCCATACTGTCATTGCCTTGTTGAACGGCCCTCTTGCTCTGGCTGTTAAGGCTCTGCTCCAGGACTCTCCTGGCTTAGGTCTTCTTATAGTCAATGTTCTCCGCCCATGGGACGAACAAGCTCTTCGCGACTCTCTTCCCCCAACTGTTCGTTCTTTGCACGTTTTCGACGATGTTCCCAACGCATCCACGCAAGGAAGCTTGTATGTCGACATTTTCGGTACCCTTCTGACCGCAAGCAGCACCATCTCCGTCCATTCCCATCGAATTGTGCCCTCGGAAACGTTGTCTTACCTGTCAACACAAGGAAAGCTCAGTAGCTTTTTAGCTTCTTTCCTCCCCTCGTCTCCTCCGCCCTCGCCTCCCGTCTCATCGCTGACCAAAAGGCTTGTTGTGTATAGCACCCCACAAACAGCCCTTTCGTCTGCAGCACATTTCGTGGCCGATACGTTCCTATCGAGCGAAGCCGTTACCACACGTTTCCTTACTGATCACGATGTCTTCTCTCGAAAGGGAGGCGTCAGTGTCAGCCGAGTATTTGTGGGACCGAAGGGAGTTGACTCAGACGTGCCGCTCCAATTGGCGATTCCTTTGGGCCATTCAGAGGGCGGAGAAGCCGATTTCCTTGCTGTACTTGATCCCACAATTCTTACCTCGCATTCATTGCTACAACACGCAAAAGCAGGCTCGGTCGTTCTCCTTGCATCAAATTGGACTCCACAAGAAGTCTTGTCAAACCTTCCGGTCGACGTTACTGCCGCGCTACGTACGCGCCAAATTCGTTTGTTTGTCATTGATCCCCAGTCTGTCGCCGCTGGTCGCACCGGACCCTTGAACGCTGCCATCCAAAATCTTGTGGTTCAATTAGCCTTCCTGCGACTATATCTTGGCAAAGCTGCCCAAGAATCAGTTGTCCTTCGAATTGCGCGGTCGTTGTTCAACGAGGTTGTAGATGATGTCGGGCTGTCTGAAATCAATGCGACAGTCTGGTCTACGCTGTTTGAGGTCGACATATCTCCTCAAACAGCACCAGAAAGCACTCCCAAATCTCTCAAGTATGTTGAATTCAACGCAATTGCGGTTCAGACATTCGACAACGATGTTGTAAATGGCGCGCGTCTAGGGTCATGGCATGATGCGGCAAAGCATCTGTTGTTCCCAGCAGCCTTCAATCCAGAGCCCAATTTCGATCCTAGGGACACTTTTGCGCAAAACCCGGCGCTGCGGCCCGAAGTACCCGACCGAACTTTCCTAGTTACCTGCACAGTCAACCGTCGACTGACGGCCAAGGAATATGATCGCAATGTCTTCCATCTCGAGTTCGACACTCGCGGAACTGGTCTCAAGTATGCCATTGGCGAAGCCCTCGGTGTCCATGGTTGGAACGACGACCAAGAGGTGATGAAATTCTGTGGATGGTATGGTGTCGAACCGACGCGTCTGGTCACGATTCCCGTCCCTTCCAGCGAGGGAAGGATGCACACAAGGACTGTGTTCCAAGCGCTGCAGCAACAAATTGACTTGTTTGGCCAACCACCCAAGTCCTTCTACACTGATTTGGCGGCATACGCGACAGGCTCCCTCGACCGCCATGCGCTGCTATTCATTGGCTCGCCTGAAGGATCAGCGACGTTCAAGAAAATGGCGGAGAAAGACACGGTCACGTTTGCAGATGTACTGCAAATGTATCCGTCTGCCCGGCCGGGCATCGAAGTTTTGTGTGAAATGGTGGGGGACATCAAGCCGCGTCATTACAGCATTGCGAGCGCACAGAGTGTGGTTGGCGACCGTGTCGACTTGCTGGTCGTCACCGTCGAGTGGATGAACCCAAGTGGTAAGTGTTGTCCTCTATAATCAACAATACTGTTGCCTAACTAACACATAGGCTCGCCGCGATTCGGCCAATGCACTCGCTACCTTGCTGGCTTGAAGATTGGACAGAAAGTTACTGTGTCCATCAAACCTAGCGTCATGAAGGTAGACTTTCTCACTACATATTGCGTTTTACTTACGTGTCTTCCAGTTACCACCAGACAACCTTCAGCCACTGATCATGGCCGGTCTCGGGACTGGTGCAGCACCATTCCGCGCCTTCCTCCAGCATAGGGCAATGCTCGTTCAGCAGGGCGAGTCCGTTGGCCCGGTCTACTACTACTTCGGCTCCCGCTACCAATCGCAGGAGTACCTCTATGGCGAGGAGATCGAGGCGTTCATTGAGGACGCTGTCATTACTCGCGCTGGACTGGCCTTCTCACGTGATGGGCCTAAGAAGGTCTACATCCAGCATAAGATGCTAGAAGATGCCGAGTCGTTAGCACAAATGTTACTCCAGGACAATGGGGTGTTTTACCTCTGTGGGCCCACATGGCCCGTACCAGACGTCTACGAGGCGCTGGTTGGCGCACTGGTCAAATACCAAGGCATGTCAGAACAAGGGGCTGGAGACTATTTAGAAGGGTTGAAGGAGGAGGAACGCTACGTTCTCGAAGTGTATTAGTCATCTATCCTACATGTAGCTGCGAAGTCCAGGTTATATCTCCACCATAGAATCCATGTTCTGACTACCTAGTATTTCCGGCGACGTAAACGGCCTACGCGAATATACCAGACAACCAAGCCAATAATCAATATACCCACAACAGTCAAGACAACCGCCAGCGCGATGGTCGCGCCTTTGGACAGCCCAGATTTCTCACATCCATCTGAAATGGCGGCATCACAGGGTTGGCCGGAGGGCCGCACTTTGTCATAAGCTCCTGCTTGCAAAGTCGTGAAAAAGGGATCATTGGGGTCGTTCATCACGTGCATCGCAGCCAGAGTGAGCATTGGTGCGTTGTAGTCCAATGCGACTTCCGTTTCCGGCCAGTCGCTGCGAATGTCGAAGAATCTACCACGACGATCTGGGCCACCGACAACAGCACCGTATAGCACATGCAACTCTTGTGGCGGAGAAGTGTTGATGTTATTGATGTCGTTTCCACCGCTCGCCATTGCCGAGTGGGGGTTTTGAGGTGAGTTGGGATTCGAGCCAACAATGTAGGGCACTGTCGCGATGGTCAATGGAATTCTTGTACTGCCAAATGGGGGGTCGTACTAGACATCGAGTTTTTCCCCAGCACGTAATCTACTTGACTTTGAGCGAATTTCTAGTGCTGAGTTAGTCCTCGTCCGACGGTCCTAAAAGCGGCATACTGAATATGAGTTCTTGCGGTCAGAAGTCGTAGCTATGGCAGCATAGCGTGTCATGAGCATCGCAGCGTTGAGTGCGGGATTCAGAGAGGCATCATCAGAGTCGCCCTTGTAGTAGAGCAATCCATCTAGTGGAGAGTTAATTAGCATAGTTTAGATAACGGGTATGACTGACCGTTCGTTAAGGAGGCTCCACTGTTGCCATTGACAATGGCATCGAAATACCTCTCGCATTCTGCTTGCCAAGCGGACAATTTGCTGCTCAGATCTGAGCCGGACTGTGCGATCTGGGCAAAGAGCACATAAAGCCCAGGGGTTTTGGAATCCCAATTAAAGATACTGTTTTGCCCACTGAGTTTGCTCTGGTTGAAGTAATTTTCTGCTTCTTGATAATAACCAGTGTTGTTGCTCGCCCAACCCAGAAAAAGAGCGGCAATAGCGAGGTCATCCCCGAAAGAGGACGAAGAATAAGCCTCGGCGATAGCAGGGACCGTCTTCTGGTATTGCTTCTGGCCCCCAGTAGCGTTGACCGCGAAGCTGTACAGTTGCTGCGCATGTGTCAGTAGCGTAGCGGAGTACGCGTTGTCTTGTAGTGATGCCGGCTTTGAGTAAGCTCCGTTGAACCCCTTGCCAGAATAGAGTGCAGAACATGCAGAAAAGGCGGCTGATGCCCCAGCAGCTGCGTCGGTGCCAGGATTGGTGTCATTAATGGCATATGAGGGGCGGAACGAGGGCAGGTTTTCGTCTCCACCCCAGTAGGCATTGTCGACGTCGGCTGTTGAGGTTTTGGGTCAGAATATGACAAGAAAGGTGCGACATCATAACTCACTATTCCCCACAAGCACATACAATGTGCTTGGTGCCGGATGGGCCTGGATAAGTTAAGGGACCGAATTGTGACGCAGGAAGCAGCCGTTTACCTTCACGAGCCAGTCGAGACCCCAGCGTAGCATGGAATCCAGATATGGTGTTGCCGATGTCGACTTTGCCTGGTCGTAGCCTATTGAGCCTTGAGCATCGGCCCAAAAGTGTAGTGGTATTTTTTTAAATACCTTGCCCATAGTCAAGAGCTCCCCAACAAATTGACATCAGAGTGAAAGACTAGAGCTGGGTTCAAAGCGGGACGATTTCATAGGCCCGTAAACATACCAAAGGATAGGTGGCCTTGATATAATCCCCAGCGTCATAGTATCCACCAGTCAAGTCGATGCCTACATCCTTTCCATCGGCCATAGCGCTAGAGTTCCGCCACGGGACCCGATTCGAACTGGAAAGATTTCCGCTCCTCTGAGCGTCATAGAAGTACAAAAGATTCCCAAGCAGCGTTGACCATTGCGGGTTTGGAGAAGATGGGTTGGCTGTGACTCGCGCACCAGCAGACGCATCAGGCGGCAGCCACGGAGGATTGGGAAGAGAAAGTTGAGCGAGTGTTGGTACAATGAATGCGCAAAGGCGCCAGATGGAGTACATTGGAGTTGGAAAGCAAGGCGATGAATGGCGGCATAGGTAATCCGGGTGACGTAGGAGTCACGGTCAATTTTGGCCATGATGATCATCGCGATGTTTGGTGAACTTGGCGTTTGCCCGCGACACCCACGCCTCGTTCATTGAGACAACATCTGCTACCGCGGGCACACCATGGCTCCAATCAAGACATGTGTTCTCGGAGTTGGACTTGCTGGGCTGACTTTCCATGCTCCGTTTATTCTTGCATTACCAGAACTCTTCACTCTGGTCGCAATCCTTGAAAGAAACCCACACTCCGAAGGCGGAAAACTGCATGAACGCTTTGGAGTAACTGTCAAGATCCACAATACCATCGAGCAAGTTCTGCAGGATTCTGACATCGAACTGGTCATCGTCGGTCTGATATCGACATTGGATTGAGTTTCTAGCTGAAGCCAACTCAGGCACGCCAAATTCGACGCACTACAGCTATGCAAAGGCGGCGCTTGAGGCGGGAAAGCACGGTATGTTTCTTAGGTCATCTGAAAAATAACAGTTGACGGCGATTTCTCCAGTCCTCGTCGATAAGCCGATCGCGCCAACCGCAACAGAAGCTAGAGAGCTCGATGTGCTTGCCAAATCAAAGGGACTTGTTCTCTACCCGTTCCATAACCGTCGTCACGACTCCGATTTTCTGGCAGTGAAGAAACTGCTGACCCTTCCTCCGTCGTCGCCTCAACACATCGGCGAGGTGGTTGAATTTGAAACACAGTACGCAGCCCCTCCTCGGCAACTTGTGCTAATACGGACTCTTAGCTTCGACCGTTTCCGTCGAGGGATCAACAACTCGTGGAAAGCTGAACCGGCTCCGGGTATTGGCCACACCTATGACCTTGGGACACATCTCATTGACCAATGCCTGGATCTTTTTGGACGACCTCAGAAGTTGACCGCGTTCATTGCCAATAGTCGCGGGGTTGGGCATCCAGATGTTGATGATAGTGTAAGTCGCTTCGGTCTGGAATAGTAATACTGACTACTCCTAGTTCACTATCTTGTTACACTATGCCGCTGGAGGAAGACTTACTCGTCCTGTGACCGCGATTGCAAGAGCACACTTCCTGTCTGTGCGATCTCCTCAGCCGCGGTATTATATAATGGGGACGAAGGGCTCGTATATCAAATATGGGGTTGATGTCCAAGAGGACCAACTCAAGGCAATTTCCTCTCCAAAGGCCATACATACTGATGACTTCGGTGTCGAGCCAGAGAACTTGTGGGGCACCCTTGAGTGTCTCGAGGCGGATGATGTCACGATGAACAAGTCGTTGTGCGATTATTTGTTCTCACTTCAAGTCGAAATTTGTGCTGATACTATTTCTAGATGGCCTTCCGAGAAAGGTTCTTATGTGAACCTATTCAAGAACCTCGCCTCTGCAATCAGGGATGGTGCGGAACTTGAAATCAAGTGGGAGGAAGCTGCTACCGTTATGGAGTTAATCGAATTGGCTTATCGCAGTGCGAAAGAGGGGAAAACTGTACTCGTACCGGCCGTGTAGAGTTGAAATGTTTGTACAGAAAGATGATCGCGTCATTGGCAACGTGTCATGATCACCATCGTCAGCCCTTGACTGTGGACCACGACTATGACGCTCGTCGACATACGTGTCGAGCTCCCTGCCTTCTCCCGGACTATCAATGTCCAGGTTCCTGACTCTGCAACTATTCTTGAGGTGAAGGAGGAAATTTCGCGGGTCTGTATTGGCTCTCCGCGTGTTGACGGACAACGAGTTATATGGAGAGGTCGCCCGCTTGTCAACAGCGAGAGAATACAGGAACTTTGGAAGGTAAGCTCTCTATACCTTAGCTACCCATCCAGCTCATACCTATTCGTCTCAGTCTCCTGAAGAACCACGAATTGTTCATTTAGCCGTGCATCCATCAGCATGGGCTTCTACCCCGCCAGACATTCCGCCAACATCTGGTCCCACTCTTTCAACTACATCTATTCCTTCGTTCGCTACCCCTCCACTCGCGCCGACTCCATCCGTTCCTTCTCCAAACCGCCCAACCGCACTTGCATACGCTTCTGCGCGTCACGAACAGGCCGTTAGTGCACTAGAGCAAAGACCAGTTATTCCTCTGGAAGCAGAGACACTTGTACAACGGTCTGCCGCTATCCAGATCGTTGAGAACCATGGATGGCAATGGCCTGCCATTCTTGACCAAGAATTCCCTCTTCGGGAACCCGGTGGCGCCAAATACGAACAGGCTGTGATAGAGTGCGTTTCCGTTCGCCACGAGCTAGCACTCATACTGACCATTCTATTCTAGCGGCAAGACCTATCTACGTCTGGTTGTTGATGAGCAACCCACCGCGATCCAACGCCACGCATTCAAGGTTCTAGCTATGACCTTCCCCATATTAGCGATACCCATCCCTACACCAACACCGACTCAGACTGCCACTGTCTCCCATGCAGTCCCTGATGTCAATGCACTCTTCCAACAAATCGGCGTTCCAGTTGCGCGTAATGCGGCCAATATGAATCCAATGCCTCCACCCGCCCCAGCCGCTTTAGAAATTCCTTTGCGTCCACTTCTTGTGCCGCTACTTTTCCTGATACTCCGAACCGCTGTTCTGCTCTACTTCTTCGCGCCTGCGAGGAAACCCGTATTTGGCATCATGATTGTCTTGTGGATGTTGTATGAAGTTTGGCGGCCCATTCGACAAGGCCTTGCAAGAGGGTGGAATCGTGGTGCGCCAGACGGTGCCAGGCAAAACCAAGCGCCTGACCACCTGCAACCTCAAGCTCAGCAACAACCTCAACAGCAGCCACAAGCAGATGCTGCGGCTGGAGGTGTCAATCGTGGCGGCCAAATATTTAATCGTCCTGTTGGAGCCCGCGCTGGAGGAAATGCTGCCAACGAGCTGGATCAGCAGGTCGATGCTATTTTCGATGGCCTGGCGAATATTAATATCGAGAACGAGCAAGATGTCTTTCGACGAAATGCGCCCGAGCCAGGATTAGGCAGCAAAGTGGTCACGTTTGTTTCGTTGTTCGTTTCAACGTTGCATCCAGCGGTATGGAATCGGAGGCGGGCGGTATTAAGACAGAGGGAAACCCAGATTCGAGTTGACGCAAATGCGCGTGCAGCAGAGTTGGATGCCAACACTGAAGACCCAGAGGCTCGGGCTCGCATCGAAAGACAACAGGAGCTTAATGCTCAACATGAACAACGCCCTCGATGGCTGAGAGAGTATATTGGGAGGGTTGTAGACGGAGGCTGGGTTGACGAAGCCGATTAATTCAGGAACTAACGATGTACAGTAGAGATAAAGTATATTTGTGACGTGCCACTTGTTCTTCCTTCTTCTTCTCCTACTACCATTGTCTCCCTCCCCCCAAAATGTCGACCTTCGAGGCACTTGTTGGCGACCTCACTAGAGATGTTACGCGTGCACAGCCAAAAGACACGCTCCAATTTTGTGCGAATTGGTTTCAGTCGAGGCTGGAAGAACAACGTGCTAGGACACGCGATTTACTCTCACAACGACCGATAAGAGATGTGGCCAGCGACCTTTATGTCGACCAGCCACTCGGCAATGGTCCACCCCCAGTCTCCCCCTTCTCTCACGCGCCCCCAGTCCACCGCTCATCGCTGCGCAACAGCACCTCAGCCAGTCCGTTTGGCACTCTCAACGTCCCAGGCAATGCCCTTCTCTCCGATGGCCCACCCGTTTTCCAGATCAGTGACCACCACGTCGCCCCAACTTCGCCGTTTGCCAGCTTCGATGGCAATGCTTTGCACCCACCAGGCGACTATCTCCATCCACCCAACTCTGCAATTCTCGCTCGACGAACATCTGTCTCTGCGGAATCAATTGCCGTGACTGAAGACAACGGCGAGCCACTGCCTGTCTTCTCCAAATCTGACGACCAGCTTCGTCGAATAAAGGCGTCTATCGCAACCAACCTAATCTTCCGGGATCTGGACGAGGAACAAGAGACTGGGGTACTCAATGCGATGCAGGAAAAAACCACGAACAAGGATGAGGTGGTAATACGACAAGGAGACGAGGGAGAATACTTTTATGTGGTCGAATCGGGATTGTTACATTGCTACATTCGACCCGAGCCACTACCGCCAACCTGGGCGAGAGCTTCGCAGACCCTGGCACCCGAGGAGATGTTCATCCAACCTGGCTACCACCCAGAGTTTGGTAAGCAAGTCGCAGAGTGTACGCCTGGGACATCATTCGGAGAACTTGCGTTGATGTATGGCCACCCACGAGCCGCGACAGTCATGTCCATCGAGCCGTCAACATTGTGGGCGCTGGATCGGATCACGTTCAGAACCATCATCCTCAAGGCCGCGCATCGGAGGAGGACGATGTACGAGCAGTTCTTGTCCACGGTCACACTGTTGTCTTCGCTGGATGGCTCAGAGCGGAGCAAGATCGCTGATGCATTGGTTAGCCGCGTTTATGCGGATGGAGAGGCGGTTGTTAGGCAGGGAGAAATGGGCGACACGTTCTTCTTTGTTGAGGAGGGAGAGGCCATCGCAACAAAGACACAATCTGACGACAATGGAGACATACGCGAGATCCAAGTGGGGCATCTCAAAAAGGGAGATTACTTCGGAGGCAAATACTGTTGCTTTCTTTCTTTCTTGATCTATACTGACTCCTTGCAGAACTCTCTCTACTTCGTCTTGCTCCTCGCGCTGCGACGGTCAGCGCGGTGATTAGAGAAGAAGACAGTCGGCTTCCGAAACTAAAAGTTGCTGCACTGGATGCTCCAGCATTCACTCGATTGTTGGGACCGTTACGAGAGATCATGGAGCGCAAGGCTGGCGAGCGGTATGGGCGGGTAACTCGTTGAACTGTGGCGGAAGGGGCATCAACACAATAAGGCGGCTGATCTTACCAACGGCCCACCAACAAGGCCTCTTGGAGGCTGGTTTTGTATTTAAAGTCTGGCTGCGAAAGACTAAGTACCATTTAAAAATTAGCAGTGTAGCTCTAGCTTTGTTCTGTTTTCTTGGTTTCATCATGTGTTTGTTTGGCTCCACAATCATTTTCTCGTTGCTACCGAATATCATGTCGCCCCACCCGGTCATAATAAAGACGCGTGCCTCTCTTCGCTTCTCTTTTCTCACCACCTTATTTCCCCTCTACCTCCTCCAAACCGTGGCCTGCAGCCCCCCAAACGATTATAATCTTGCAGTCCTCGTATAAGCTCATCTTCGACCCCCCACTCTCTTTTAAGTTCTCCATAATGGCCCTCATCGGTGGCAGTAAGCTGCAACCCACTTTCCTTCTCAAGTTTCGGCTCGCTAAAATCGAGGCTAGTTTTGTCTGGTTTATTGTACGCACCTCGAACACGATTGTGAACGCGTTGACGCATGTTCTTACAGTGACCCTCCTCCACCAAAAACACCACCACCTCCCGGTCCTATTTTCTCATTGCCAGGCATCACCTTCCCGACCCTGTCCTTGCCTGGGCTTCCGTGCGTTGTCTCGAAACGATTTGCCACAAGCTGATCACAAGTCCCTAATCCAGAACTGGCCCTCCGACGATACCGTCTCCAAGCTCTTCCCTGCCGCTATCGTCTTCCCTGCCGGTTTCGTGCGTCACGATAACATTTCATTATCTACGAAGCGCTGATGATTGTTCAGTTCGTCTGCCCCTGTGTCTGAGTCGTCAGCTGCTCCCCCACCGTCCTCGACTCTTCCTCCTGAGACGACGCCCAGCCCGCAAAGCCTACCCCCACCAGCAACTTCGACCAGTCTCGTCATTGTTGGAAATGCGCCTGCACAAAGTGGCTCTGTCGAGACTCCACCATTGCATCAGAAGACCTTCCTACAGAACAAGCCTCTGTCTGGAACAGTGTTTGGGCTTGTAGGCCTTGTCGCACTTGTTCTGATCATTGTCGTTGCGACGTTTTTCCTACGTCGAAGAAGACGAAGTCGTTTGCTGGACGATGCGTTAACGTTTGACCCATCTTTGTTGGGAAAGACAGATCGTGTGGACAGTTCTGAGAAGGGTCACTCAAACAATCCAAGTCTGGGCACGACAAACCATGGCGGCTATAGCACATATGCCGCATCACAGCATCAGCAGCCACACAGCGACTACTATGGTCGTGGTGGCCAGCAAGTTGATTATTATGGGCAAGCACAACACGCCGATTATTACGGTCAACAACCTCAGGCCGACTATTACGGTGGGGCCCGGCAACCTAACTATGGCTACGTGCCGCCTATGGCGGATGTCGGCAATTCTTGGGGTCAACAACAACCCGCCTCGTCTCAACAGCAACAGCAAGCTGTTGCTCCACCTCCTCCCCAACAACAAACCAATATACCACGTGCTACTGTTCCACCACAACCGGCGCCTTTACCGGCAGAATTTGGCTCCAGCAACGACGATGCGCGAAGACGGAGCGCTGAGGAAACTGCGTTCTGGGCCAGAACACTGAAGGTGAGAATAGATGCCAAGCAAAGCAAGGTGACTAAACTGAAACCGCGTTAGGTGGTGAACGAGTAACCTCACTAAGCACGAGATTTCAAATCGATTCGCGGATCTCCAAGGCGCTACAGGCGAGTGCCCCGCGGACACTTCACCTTGTAATTGTTTGTTTGTTTTCTTCGAGAAAAGCAGAATGAATATTAGCATGATCTCCGTTGGAAGAAAAAAGGCTGGGCTTGTCCCGTTTTTCATGAGAAGATGGATAATCTCTATTCGACGGTGGCTTCGTGGGGTGCCGAGATCGACGGCACTTGGCACAATGGATTTGGCCTGTCAATGCGTGTGTCAGACTGCTAGAGTAAGCTGGCGTCATCACGGACTTGAGACGGACAACGCCGCAGCTCATTTCTACTCTTTCTCTCATCTCGTCGCTTGCTCACGTTAACCACTAGACGGCCTTAACGTGTTAAATGTCTACCAGGAGATCAATACCGAAAAGACGGCCTGGAGCGTGGGCAAAAGCGCGATTCAATCCTTCGGAAGCGACGGGAGTTGGCTGCGATTACGCAGTCATGCATTCGTGAATATCTTGTTCCAGAACTTGCGGTCGGAGTCACGCCCGATTTCAGATTACATATCATTCAAACAGGCGGCTCTCTTATAAACCGCCTGCTCCCCAAAATCAATGAATCTTGCTCACAATGATTCGCTCACTCGGGCTTGCCCTCTTGGTTGCCTCTGCTGCCCTCGCAGAACCGCTACTAAGACGTGATGGAGAACATGGCCACCATCATGCTGGACAACCACTTCAAGAGCTGAACGAGACGGAAGTAACAATGTGGCATCAACCTATCGGACCTTCCTACTACACCATCGACTGGGACGATCCAGTAGCACCAGGTCGCCATCCGGGCTGGCTTATCACCCATATCCTTTTCATGGCGCTAGCGTTCTTCGTCTGCCTCCCCGTTGGTGCGCCTCGTGTTCTTTTTAACCAAAAAAACACGAGTCTAAAAATCAGTGCTGTAGGCATCACCCTTCGCTCCGTCAAACACCATTTGCATTCCCTGGCAGTCGTCGCGTTCTACGCATCATTCTTCATCGCTTGTGCAGCCAGCTCAATCTATCGGAAAATGACACCTGATATGTAAGCCGCCATCTTTCTATCTAATCAAACCCTTCAACGAACAAAAAAATAGGTATCCTGGGCAATCCCACTCGCGCCACGGCTATTACCTCCTCTTCGCCTCGCTCCTGCTTACCACCATCGATCTTCTTGGCACGCTCCGCCGTTTAGTCGATTTCCTCTGGACAGCTAAACAGTGCTCGATTGGAGGTCTAGTGAATGCGGTTTTAGACCGTGCTCCAGTCGACAGCGAGAACAACGTGGAGTATATAGGGCTCATGCCAGAGCCGAGTAAGGATGACAACTTCGAGGAAGTCTCGTTTGAGCATGGTGACACCGAGCATTGGGCCAACCATGTCCGCCGTCATTCTACGATGTCGGAGGGAACCTTGTTTGGGCCCCATTCGCCGCGTTCAGACAAGACTCCCCATGACTGGCATTTGGCGGCCCCGCAGATATCGACGATCACCCGCATTGGTAGAGCCATTTTCTCAACCGCTGAACGCACCCTCGTCATCGCCGCATTTGGACTAACTCTCACGGGGATCGTCGTCTACACAGGTTTGTGTCATTGTCAAGGCTCCTGAAAGCGGTGAAAGTTGATCGCATGGCGTAGGTGGCTGCCGACAGAACTACATCAACGGATGTCTCGCACACTTGATCAGTGGGTAGTTTTTGCCGTGTGGGTGTTTTGTTTGCTAACTTGACAACAGAAGGAGGCATCTTCTATGTCTACGGTCTTGTAACGTTTGCCCGGTTCCTGGGCTGGTGCTCCCACCTTGGCTGGTCGTGGAATCGCGCGCCGACATCCGGTCATCCGACTGCTGAATTCGTCGAGTCCACTGTTATCTTTTTGTACGGCGCAACCAACACTTGGCTGGAGCGCTTCGGCGCCAACCCGGGTGACCCATTCACCACCAAGCAAATTCAGCACATTGGTATTGCCGTCATGTTCTGGTTTGCAGGCCTGATCGGTATGGCGGTGGAGTCGAAAACCCTCCGCAGATGGCTTTCTGCTTTGGCCGTGGACACATCTGAAAATGTTGAGACGCCAGCGACCTACACATCCAGCTTCAACCCATTCCCCGCCCTCGTGATCGGGGTCACGGGCTCTGTGATGGCTGCGCATTTCCAGACTTATGTATTCCAGGTCCAAATCCATGCCCTTTGGGGAAACCTCCTCCTTGCCTTCGCTGTAATGCGCTGCATCACCTACTTTTTCCTCTGGGTCTCCCCTCCCCGTTCAACACTGCCCTCCCGCCCGCCCACCGAGGCCCTCGCAAGCTTCTTCCTCGCCGCTGGCGGCGTCAGCTTCGTGTTCTCCACCGAGGAGCTCACCATCGCCGCCATGCGCAGGGGCCGCGACGACATTATGATGTTTGCCGTGGCTGCAGTCGCGATCACGTGCCTCTCCTTCACGTGGACGATATGCATAACCGCGTTCTCGGGCTGGATGAAGATGCGCACGACCAGCCGCGGGTACCACACGCCTGCTTAATGACCCCCCTGCTATTTTTATTTTGCATGTATGTCAATGCCCTCACGCTTTGTTTGTTTCCGTAGAACCACGCCCATTGTAGTGTCGTTTTGTACATAATGAGAACCCATGCTAGCTTCAACCACCTCAAATGTCTTTTCATGGCATATACTGCATAGATCACAGTGACTGGCGTAGAGATTGACGTTCAAGGGTGCATGAATCCATCTGCAGCATCAAGAGATGTGGCAACTCATCCGGAAGTGGATTTTACCTCCAATTTGCCGCACCTTTCCGTTATTGAAGTCACATTCAATAACGACTGGTCTCGAGTCTACCTATGCCGTTGACCATTCGGTCGGGAGGTATATCAATAATCCTTCCAAAGGCACAAGTTGACCAATGGCAGTGATGCGAGAACAGGACGGAGACATTCATATCCATCAAAAGGTTTCTGGCCTGGCGTATGTAGAGTGTTTGTTGATCAATTATTTTGTTTCTGACTCTGGACCGGTGCCGAGTTGATCTTTCCTTCCGCCACCACCATGTTCTCGCATTTCGATTTACTCCTGGGTCCGGCACCACAGGATCCTTCCCCGCATGATTCACAAGTCATCAATGCGTGGACGAGGTGCACACAATATCCACCTGCTCTTCGCGGACCTTGCTAAACTTGACACGGTTGTGCAGTTTTCCGCAAACTGGCTCCGGTATGCTTCATAGATAGCTCAACAACGAGACTAACCCTCGTAGTACTTGACAACGAGTCCATTTCTGATGGAGAGCAAGGATGGGAGTCGGTGTTGGATGTTTATGAGCCAATTCCAGAAGGGAAGAATCTGGTCATCGACCGAATCTTGACGTGGGTTGGATTCAAATCCATGAGCGGGTTGATGTTTGACGCGATTTAGTCGCCCGGACGCAGAGCAACTTTTGGACACACTTCCAACTCTACTACTGCAACCACACGGGCAAGACATATCCGGAGAAGTCGCAGAAATAATCGGTTATGATGATATGGACCTTGTCCTGGAGATTCTGGAGTCGCGGGAAGGAGTAGGAAAACAGGTTAGTGTCTGTGAAATACTTCTGTCTCGCACTCAATTGCATAGCTTGACGATCTTAAAAAATCGCGTGCCAAATCCACGAATCATTCTGTCGATTGTTGGTCTGCCTTGTGTTGGTCCGCAAAAAAAAAAATCATTCTCCCTCAGATTCGAGCCTCTCTGAAGAGGATGCACGTCGGCGAATGGAAGAAAGCTTCCGCAAAAACGCCGCTCGACCTTTGTTTTCGGGTGTTGCAGTCCGTCGAATTCGACTCGCCTTCCATGCATTGTGCTCATATCGATGTTAGGAAGCTGCGCCCGAAGTCCTCCCTCATATATATACGTCCTCTTCAATGGTACAAGGGAACGTGCTTTCGCAGTTTGGCACTCGATATCTGCTACCTATGGGAACAACTCGAGAAACTCATGACGTGCGACAGTCATGGTTAATACACCAACGCCTGAATTTGTCTAGGTATACGAGGAAGTTGTTATACCTCCCGCTAGGCCGGTTCCTCCTCGAGCCACTGAGCGACTGATTCCCGTGACCGAGCTAGACCCTTTGGCACAAGGCTCTTTTACCGTAGGCCGCTTTTTCATGGATATCACACGCACTAACACTAAATTTGCAGGGCTACTCTGCGTTGAACCGCATCCAATCGATCGTACGAACCTAGACCAAAAAGTACTGACTATCTAATGACCATGTCTTAGGTTTATCCCACTGCCTACGGATCCAACGAAAACATGCTCGTCTGTGGTTAGTGGTATTTTACCTTTCCGGATGATGCTCAACAAGCCTCAGCACCAACTGGCGCGGTTTGTGTTTCGCCTGTCTCGAGCACACATTATCTCAATTGTTTGACACAGGGCAAAACAGATGTTGCCATGTTGACTATCCTGCGGGTGTTAGACCAACACCGAACACCGTCTTCTGGGTCCGTGTCTATTGCTTCAACGATCAACAGGAATTCGTTCAAAATCATCTACGTGTCTGTCTCCTCCGCTCCATTGTCAATCCGGGGGGGGGCTGATATAATAACGAAACTAGTGCTCCGATGAAGGCTCTCGCATCGGAAATCGTTCGAAAATTCAGCAAACGCCTCAAATGGCTCTCGATCCAAGTTAAAGAGCTCACCGGCGACATGCAACTGACCAAGGCTGAGATAGCTGAAACACAAGTCATCGTCACAACTCCCGAAAAGTGGGATGTGGTCACAAGAAAACCAACGGGAGAAGGAGAGCTTGCAAGCGCTTTGAGGTTACTAATCATAGACGAAGTCCATTTGTTGAACGAGGAACGTGGAGCTGTTATCGAAACTATCGTAGCCAGAACTCTTCGCCAGGCACGCTATTTCTCTTTGCCTTGATCACTAATATGTTTTTGCAGGTGGAGACTAGCCAATCTGTTATCCGGATCGTTGGCTTGAGTGCTACACTTCCGAACTACATGGACGTTGCCGAGTTTCTGAGGTATTTTCAGAACCTGTCGATGGACTGCGCGTCTCAAATGTTGTCAGTGTTTCCCGATACAAAGGCCTCTTCTATTTCGACTCTTCCTTCCGGCCCGTACCTCTGGAGCAACATTTCATTGGTATCAAGGGAAAAGCAGGCAGTTCTCAATCGAAGAAAAACCTGGAAACCGTTACATTCGACAAAGTGTCCGAACTCGTTCAGCAAGGACATCAAGTCATGGTGTTCGTCCACGCAAGGAAAGAGACCGTCAAATCAGCTCAGGCACTGCGGGAGGCTGCACTTTTGAAGGGCATCTCCGATGACTTCAGTTGTGAGGACCATCCGCAATGGAGCCAGTTCCGTAAAAGCATAGGGGAGTCGCGGAACAGAGAAATGAAGGAGCTTTTTGACCATGGGTTTGGAATTCATCACGCTGGGATGTTGCGTTCAGATCGAAACATGATGGAAAGGATGTTTGAAGCCCGCGCAATCAAAGTACGCGCCAACGAGGAGGCCATTACAAGCATTGATTATTTTAGGTCCTGTGTTGTACAGCCACGCTTGCGTGGGGTGTCAATTTGCCCGCGCACGCAGGTATTCAAGAAACACTCTGAGGGTTCTCACTCACGATGTTCCAGTCGTGATCAAAGGAACACAAGTCTACGACAGTGCCAAAGGTTTAGTCCTGTGTTACATTCGTGTGTTATATCAAACAATGTTGGCAGGCGCTTTCGTCGACCTTTCCGTCCTGGATGTGTTGCAAGTTTTCGGACGCGCAGGCCGTCCAGGACTCGAATCCAGTGGCGAAGGCTACATTTGTACTACAGAGGACAAACTCAATCATTATCTCGAAGCTGTTACATCTCAGGTAAATTTCGATCCAATAGCAGCAACTCTTGCTTAACGGTATTAGAATCCTATTGAGTCCAAGTAGGTCCACTTAACCCTTACTGGACAATGACAAATGGGTTTTAGATTCCGAGGCGGAATGGTAGACTCTATGAACGCTGAAATATCGCTTGGAACAGTCGCGAATATCTCGGATGCCGTCAAGTGGCTGGGGTATACCTACCTCTTTGTCAGAATGCGCAAAAATCCGCTCGTATATGGTTTGTTCTTGATCTTCTTGCGTTACTTCTGCTCAGCAAAGTCAAGGTGTTGTGCCCCATGACGACGATCCACAACTGGCCCTTCAAAAGACCGAGTTGGTGGAGATTGCAGCCAAAAAATTAGCGGACGTGAAAATGATAGAATTCGATCGCACAACCCATCAACTCAAAGCGACGGACCTTGGCCGAATCGCATCCAAGTACTACATTCGACACTCCTCGATCGAAATCTTCAACAAAAACTTTCGGCCAAAGATGACCGAAGCGGACGTCCTAGCCATGCTTAGTCTAAGCACTGAGGTGAGCAAGGCTTCCTTGAGTTATCAGACTAAAACTGCACCCTAGTTTGAACAAATCCAAGTTCGAGAGTCAGAAGCCACTGAACTCGAAAGATTGGAGGATATCATTCCCTGTGATGTCAAGGTATATAACCGAGCAATGACAAGTTTCTTCTCTGAAGGATATTAGGGCGGGGCGACTACCAGTGATGGAAAAGTCAATATACTCCTTCAAGGCTTTATCTCGCGCCTACCCGTCGAAGATTTTGCTTTGGTCTCTGATATGGCCTATGCCGCCCAAAATGGCGGCCGCATTATCAGAGCTCTGCTCGAGATTGCCATCAGTCGGAAGTGGGCCAGTGTATCCGCCGCTCTCATGGGCTTGAGCAAGGCCATTGAAAAGCGGCTGTGGCCGTATGATCAACCTCTCAAACAATTCGACCTTAAAGGCGACATATTCTACAATCTTGAGCGGTGGGCTGACGAATGGTCTCCTGCAGAGCTTGCCGATGTTAGCGCTGCGGAGCTTGGGAAGCTCATTCATCTGAACGAAGGTCACGGTAAAGCCCTGTTGAATGCTGCGAAACAATTTCCCTCGACTCGTGTCTCTTACAAGTTGCGCCCACTTGGGCATGATGTCCTGAAAATCGCCGTGACCATCACACCTACCTTCACATGGTCTAAGGTTCATGGTAATAGCGAACCATTCTGGCTGTGGGTGGAAGATCACGAAGGCGTGAACATTCTGCAACTCCATCATCTTGTTTTCCGGTCCGACACCAAGGACATCGCGGTCGATTTCGTCATCTCTATACAAGACGGGCAGAAATCACCTGCCCTTACGATTAGATGGGTCTCTGACCATTGGATGGGGGCCGAGAATGAGACATTGGTTTCTCTTGATGGTATCGTGATGCCATCGGTATCGCACAGCCACACTGGGCGATTAGATTTGCCCTTTTTGGCAACATCAGTTGTGCGGAACCAGGCCGTAGAACAATCAATCCTGCGTGGCCGTATTCACAACTTCAACTCGATTCAAACCCAAGCCTTTTGGACGCTCGCCAACACATCATGGAACTCACTGCTGTGTGCCCCAGGAAGCAGCGGCAAGTCGACAATGATGCGGATCGTAGCATGGTATCTGCTCATCTTCATTCATCAGCACTCCAGAGCTCATAGAAGACTTTAGGCTAGAGGTCTCAAAATCCCCTGAGGCATGGGTTCTTGTTATTGCTCCAACTAAAAGCGCAGTCGTTGAACTTCTCTCGGAGTTCCGTGTGGCTAGCCTCAGCGGTGTTGTCGTAGCCTCCACGACTTCGCTCACCAGGCCCCAAGGAAAGGCCATCCACCTCATCACCGCTGGAGACTTGCTTCGGGCCATTTCTCAACGTGATCCAAAGCTTCCTTTACGCGGACTGAACCTCGTTTTGTGCGAAAGCCTAGAGCAGCTTAATCCCGCATATGAACTCGGTATATCACTCCTGCGACATGCCGTGCAGGTCTGCCCGACTAGATTTATCGGGATTTCCAACTCTCTTCGCGATCCAACCGACATGGCGACATGGTTGAAGGTTGATTCACCAGCACTGTTCAGCTTTATGCCCGCAGACCGTGACCAATCACTAGGGGTCTCGACTCTAACCTTCACGGTTCCACACTCGGCAGCGCTGTTCAAGGCTATGGCCAAACCGGCATATACTGCGGTTGCCGCTGGCGAATCCTCTATTGTGTTTGTTCCCTCACGTGCGCAATGTCAACCAATAGCATACGACCTCATCACGCAATGCGCCCTGGACCGCGAGACAGACAAAGGTTTCTTGCCTGAGACTGTTTCTCCAGAGCGTCTTGAGGATTATCTTGCTCGTTTCCGGGACTCCAGGCTGATCGATGTCGTTTCTCGTGGGATAGGCTTCTTCCACGAGGGCATTCAGCGCTCTGACCGCAATCTCATGCTCGAGCTCTATGCTGAAGGCATCATCCGCGTCCTCGTCGTTCCGCGAGATTCTTGCTGGACATTGCCGGTCCGGGCCGGAGTTGTGGTGGTGATGGGAACTCAATACATCCATATGTCGGCCGAAGGTGGCGACCGTCAATTGCGTGACTATGAGCTCGAAGAGATGGTACGGATGCAGAGTCGTGCTGTTCGGCATGCTGGGAGTGGCCATTTCCACTTGTTTTGTCAGGCCGAGGCCAAGGACACATTTATGCGGTTCCTCTCCGATGGGCTCCCACTCGAGTCTTCGCTCATTGGCTCGCCTGAACTGTTCTCTTGGTATCAGTCGCGTGCGCATCTGGATAAGCAGCAGATTGTTGACGCACTGTCGTTTACATTCCTCGCTCACCGGATTGTCAGCAACCCGACATACTACGACTGTGTTGGCTCTTCCAGGGACGAGAACCTTTCACGACTGGTGGATGATCTAGTTTACAGCGCCACATCTTCTGGGCCATGACATTGTACAGGTCTATAGAGTTCTACTTACATTCCTATTAGATGTAATTTTTGAGTTTCTGTAGACGCTCAGCAGCCCTGTTAAGAGTGTCCGTGTCCTTGCAGAAAGCGAATCTTGCGAAGACCTCTCCGATGGAAGCATGTTCTTCGCAGTAGAACTACCAGAACCATATCAGGCGAATCAGAAGAAAAAGAAAAGCCAAATACGCACTTCGCTGACGGGAATCGAAGAAACTCCAATCTCGAGAGCAATGAACCAGCATGCTCTAAAAATACGTCAGAAGTTGTTGATCAGAACCGAAAAGGCCCTACTTGAAATCACGGCCTCTACCCAACACACTTTGTGGGAAAGGATAGTTGTCGGGGAATTTCACCTTGGAGATGTCCTGTGGTCGTGTGAGCGCGTTATTCCCGACTATATGCCTGGACTAACGAGGAGGATGAAATAGCTGCCGAGGGGGAGACTGTAAGTAAGCCCCAAAGCATCGAATGCGTCAGTGAGGATTTTGCGACGCTCAGTGTATTCTGCTCGTTGGGTAGCAAAATAGCCGCGTTTGTCTGCTTGCTCCAGACCAGCCGCAGCAGCCTCTTGTAACGGAGAATTTGTGCAGAACACGATTCGAGTGGTTGCGGCGAGTGTCGGCCGAATGATCGAAGCGGGTCCGATGAGCCAACCCACTCGCCATCCAGTAGCCGCGAACGCCTCTACAGAACATAATTAGACACTGACTGCGTCGTAGCTGTCAACTTACTGCCAGCAGAGCCAACAGTGACTGTGCGATCCCACATGCCGGGGAGGGTAGCGATACGGACATGCTCTTGACCGTCGAAAGTCAAGCAGTCGTAGACCTCATCAGACATGACGATAAGATTAAACTCTTCGGCTAGAGCAGCAATTCCTTCGAGTTCTTCGCGCGTGAACACCTTTCCAACTGGATTGTGTGGGGTGTTGACGATGATCATCTTCGTTCGAGGGGTGATGGCAGCTCTGCATCCAGAAATTAGGATATTGAATTGCTCAAGTTGCGTGATACGCACCTCAGTTCGGCAAGATCTATGGTCCAGTCATTGCTGGTGGGCTTCTTCAAGTCACTCTTGGGTGGATGGAGAGGAACGTAGACAGGTTTGCCGCCGTTGAACGTGATGGAGGGCAGGTACTGGTCAAAGAAGGGCTCGAACATGATAACTTCATCACCAGTCTCAAGGAAAGCAACGAAGACCGAGTATTGACCTAGATAGACGATGAGCGCGCGCCTGCGTGATTCGGGACGGCTATTACCTTCATTGGCCCCGCTGGTCACAAGTATCTCGGTCTCTACATCCAATTCGCGATTGAATAGAGGACTGTATTGATTTTTGAGCGCTTGGCGAAGCCGCATGCGACCCTTTGGGTGGGAATAGTGGTTCTCGGTAACACCTTGGAGCGCAGTGTTGGCAGCTTCAGTCACCCATTGTGGCGGAGCGAAGTTCATATAACCCTGGCCAAGGTTAATGCAGTCGGCCGGAAGGTTAGCAGCACTGAGAAGAGCAGATTAGAACGAGGTTGACAACAGAGATGAGTCACAAACTTGTAAATGGACCAGACGTCTTCGGCTAATGCTCGACCCTCCTTGAGACGGGAAGAGAATGGGACAAGTGCGTCGCGGGGGCCAGTCTTGACGAGATATGATGGGGCAGCCATGAAACGACGTACAGCTAAGCGGGGATGAGAAGCAAAAGCAAGACGGCGAAGTAGCATCGATATCGCATCATCGAACAACTTTTTGAGAAAGCTGTCTATCTCTGGTTCACGTGACTCCGATTGACTTTCATGTCGACGTCGAGCCCCCAGCAATTGAAACTTGCGTCTATAACCAATTCCAGTGGGCACTCTTAGGCCCCTCACCGACTTTTCTTCTTACAGATAGTCAACCCATAGGCTTATCTTCCGCTGCTCAATCTTTCCTAGATAAGTTTCGTGACAAAATAGGGGTGGCAAAGGTGTTGGTTCCATGGGAACCTCGTGAACAGACACAGTATCAGGACGAAGCGACATTAGCATTCCTAGAATCTCTCCAACTACGTCAGTGCGACCGAGGAGGAAGCAATCGTGTCATCCTCCACGACTTGGGGGGATTCCAGAACGACGCACTTCTACGAGAACGTGTTTCAAGCATTTTCAATGCGACAAACAAGTCAGTCCTGAACGCCATCCGAGTTTGGAAATATCATTATTATTAATCAGGTTTCTGGTCAATGCCTCTGCAACTGGCAAAACACGTCTATGCTACGAAGGACTCTGCAGCAATTGGGGGTTTTATTTCACGTTCTCTCTCTTCGCTAAACAGCTCGGATCCACGGAGTTGTTTTTTCTGCTGATGGCGTGCAGTAGCGAATTCATCTCCGGCGCCTTCGAGTCTAAAGAGCCGCGTAAAAGAGTTGAACGGGCCTCGACTTACTTCAATGCAATTTTCTTAGCTCGCCTTCTTTTATTCTTGCTATTCCTTGAAGCTCAGGGTGGCGCATTGTCTGAACAAGCCAAAAAGCACTGGTTAACATTGCAACTTGAACCGCAACGAATTGAAGGCGACCCCTTTGGTGACGCCGATCCGTTTGAAGATCTCTCAAGAATACTGCTGAAGCATGATTCGGGTAGTCTTCCGCGCGAAATAGAAAACACTCTCGCCAAAATCCAAGTCATCATTGGCCACGAACCTCTCTTCCTTGTCCTTGACGAAGCAAGCGATGCAATCGATCTGTTCTCAGGCTGTAATCTGGGTGATACTTCAGCGCTGCAGATAGCGCTCCAAACTTGGATGGCCGTGACAAACAATACCTGTCCGATAATTTGCGCTGGAATCGCTATCCCACCCGAAAAATTCGTTCATGGCGCAGGCAGTGATTTCCAATGGACTTCCGACACCGGCGCCTTTGATGATCCTATTCGTCAAGGGGAATATGTGGCCCGGTTTTTGCCCCCGACTTTGCGTAACTCGCCGGAAGGCCGCTTTCTGATAGCTAGAGCATGGCGGTGGTTACGCGGACGGCTAGTCGTCTCCATCACTGTAGGCTATCGCACTCAGTTGACTCTAGACACCGAGTAACCGCCACCTTCGTCGAGACTCTGATTGAGCACTTTCTTGATGAACCTCACCGCCACCTCGACCGCTTCATTCATCGATTACTTGGTTTCCAACCGGTGGATGCTCTCACATATACGCGGGCCGAGCCTATCAAAGAGAAAGTCCAGTTGAACTTCGATCCACTACCATTCACACTGCTCCCCGCAGGTGCGAGATTCAAAGAGTCATGGAACTGAAACTAAGTGGATGATATAGAATACCACCAGCATTTCCTCCAAGTCCTGTACCGTTACATGGCGACACATGCTGCATCGCCACCCTTGGGATCGGAGCACGTGTCTCTGATATACCGTGGTTTTGCTCGTTTCTCAGACAAACACCTGTCAAGAATAGCTCTGGATGAGCCCCACATTCTCCTCATGGTCGCAAGAAATCTGTTTCCTTACCCTACAGTCCCCATTTATGGAGTACCCCATCGCAATCCCGCAACGTTTATTAAGTGTCTCCACATGAATACGCCCCAAACATCAGAGGCACTCTCTCAGTGTCTTGTCTTCTATATTACCCAAGGTCTTGCACAGGGCCGGCCGTTGAGGCACATCTTCACCTTTCCTCGCCATGTTCTTCAATGGGCTCGGCAAACCGCTGAGCTGGTTCGCTTTCATCGTCTTGAATCGGGGGAAGTCTCGTGGTCACCAGTGACCGCCAATGAGTTTGAGCAGTTCAGACCTCTTGCATATCGAGCCACGTCGACGGAAGAAACTCTTTCGTGGATGGAGCATAGGGTAGGAACCGCGTTTTGTTTGACATGTTTGCCCAATGTGGACCTTATGTTTGTTGTACGACTGGTGGACGGCACGTTCATCTTAGTCGCACTCAAGGCAATAGTGACAGAAGAACCTTTCGACTTTTCTCGACTACAAGCAATCTTTTCTGCGATGCAGGTCGATAATTTATCGATGGTGTGTTTTGGGTGTTGCAGTCGCTTATTTTGCTGGGTAACTCTTTGACTAGAACTTGAACGATGCCATGCAATTACGACTGAAATTTGCCCTTGACTCGCTGCCGAATCCTACCGGCTTCCAATGCAATTTCCTGCCGGCAGTTTCTTCATTTCCTGATGGTGCTCACTTTCGAGTTGATGACGATATGGCACAAAATATCAATGGCACGGTACTTGATATTGCGGCTCTGCGGCTCAGATCCGGTCAAATTATGCAGATGGATTTCTTCGACGCGATAGTTTCGGGTGTTCTCGCTGGTCATCCTCGCAAGTCTGATAGGGAGTTGGATGATTCAACCCTGCATACAAGTCACATGCGCCAACCTCACCCTCAGACGTGGCCAGAAGCTTGTTGGGACGGGCCTATTGAAATTGAAGAACAATTCGAGAGAAACGATTCAAACATCAATTTGGAACGACGTTTGGTGAACAAAGGTGTAAACCGCAGCCAGGGCACACGGGACTCCAGCCTCTGGACAGGACGCAAAGTTAGCAGGCAAAGAAATAAGCCTGTTTCTCGTGCGACAAAGGGGGACGACGAACCGTCCAGGAGGTAGCTTCAACTTGGTATTTAGCACCTCGTCGGCATTTTGCACCTGCGTGTCCCGCGTGGAATGTCATTATCATTTAGGCACGATAAAAATGTTACTGAAGACAGGTTTATGCGGACAATGTGTATAATTGGCAGAAAAGCTATTTAAAAGGGTTGATATCTTTTTTGGCGTCATGGGCTTGCTCCAAGAAAGGTAGACCGGGAACACGTGAAAGGAAATGCATCACGTGCACATGCTTTATGGCGACTTTAGCCACGATCGACGAGTCCGCCCTTTCTGACGCGTATATGTCGTCCAATCCATCTCCAGCGCCTCCTACCGACGAAGACGACCAAGAAGAGTTTGTTTATCCAACAGACGACAACGAGAACCAAGAAGAATTCGTTTATCCAGCAGAGGACCACACCCACACACTTCCAGCAGCTCCTCCCACCCAACATCCTTCCCCTGCCCAACTCGAATCTCTCTACGCTGCGGCTTCCTCAGGAGACCTCGTACTTCTGAAACGTCTTTTCCGTAATGCTCTTGACGGTGGCAATGTAGAGTCGTTTAGTCTCTCAAATGACGCTTCGACGCGTACAGGTCTCACTGCGCTCCATGCCGCCTCGAGTCGTGGGTATCTCGACATAGTGACTTGGTGTATGTGGCTTCGTAACGTCTTTTTTTGTTGACAAGCCTCATATTCACATAGTGGTCAATGATTGTGGTGCAATGCCTGACCTGGAAGATAAGGAGGGCGAGGTAAGCAGTCATTTTTCATGTTTTTCGTATTTAAAACTGTGGGACAGACTGCCCTACACAAAGCAGCCCTCAATGGCCACCTGCACATCATCAAATATCTTCTCCCTGACAGAGCCGATGTCAGGGCGCGGGACGCGGATGGCTGGACCGCGCTTCACAATGCATGCTCCAAGGTGCGTGTTTCCCCCAACCAATCGGCTCTACTAATCTTTTCCGAAAGGGCTATCTTGACATTGTTCGGTGGCTTTGTGAAAATGGAGGTGCTTCGTCTGAACATCATGGCGTCCGAGGTGTCGATGTGCGGAGTAAAGGAGGATGGACACCTCTGAGTGAGATTCCCCTCGTTTCTTCTACTTCTTATGCTTAAAAGTGTTACAGTGAATGCAGCCTCCAAAGGGCATCTACCAGTGGTTCTATATCTTTTGAACAAACAAGCCGCAAACCCACTCGTGCGGAACAATTGGGGCGAAACAGCATTTGACGCTGCCGCCGCTGTCTTCGAGGTTTGGATATGTGAAGTGGGTTCATTTTTCTTGCTGTCGGCATCAGCGCTTAATCTACATCAACCGTCTAGGTGCTTCAAAAGGCTGAAGCTGAACGCTGGCGTGGAACCACTGGATCCTACAACCCACTTTCAGTTCACACTACTGTCCCCCTTATCCTCTACGAACACCAACGCCTTGACCATCGGCTCAAGACACTTGCCGTTTCTGGTGGTCGACCCAAGTTTTCTGCATCAGGGTTAGGTCGACAGGGACGACCCGCACCATTTCAACTCAAACTTCCGAAACCTGATGAGGACACCGGTGTCCGGGAAATCGCAGCGTGGCGTAGTGATGTACAACTACCCACACGAAATGACCCATGGAATCTCCCCAAACCTGGTCCCAGCGATCGTCAGTCAGCGGATACTATCGAGAGGAGTCATTTCTGGTTGTGAGTTTCATCTATAGTCCGATGCACTCTCTGTCTCAATGTTTGACGCAGATCTGACTGGACTCTGGATGTAACGCCGCCCGGTGTTGATGCAGAGGAAGGATGGCAATATGCTCATCAGTTCAGTGATGCAGACGACCAATGGACAGCAAGCAAGCCTCCGCAGCTCGAACGTGCTCTGGCGGGAACTGGTGTTGTAGCATCAGGCCTTGGAGGGTCATCCTCCAGGCGGAGTGCTGGCTCTTCTTCTTCTTCTCACGCTCGGGCGCCTTTGACATGGGTGCGTCGTCGTCGATGGGTCCGAGTGCTGCGTCGAAGACTTGACATTCCACCATTACCATTTCTTGAACCTGACGGCGCAATGTATCATCTGGACGAGGAAGGGTCCTTGATTCCTTTTGTTGATGATGCATTCAGTGACGGTGATGGTCGGGAAATGGACTCGGTTCGGGCCATACGTATGTTCACGCCAACCCAAGATTATGTTGCCCGCGCCAGGTATCTCGTCGGTACCCAACCCGACCCAAACCCTGATTCAAGCATCGAGGCAAGACGTGCGATCGCAAAACTTGAGCGGGCCACAACTGAACTGAGAACGGGCATGCTAAGTACGTCTTCTGCAACTCTACCATTCATTAGTTGATATTTTATTTTGTCAGGTGATCAAGATGCAGAAAGAAAACTACAAGCGGAGGTTCTGCTGAATGCATACAGTCGAGACCTTGAGCGTCGCCGAGTAGCTGCGACCGCCCGAGGGTTGGTGCTATCTGAGACAGGTTAGAACCTATTTTCTTCATTTTCCAACAACAATTTAATGTTCCTATAGCTGACATTGAACTCGATGACGACGAGAGTGGTTCCGATGACGAGTTTCATTATCCTGGCGCGACGGAGACAGTCCGACCAGGTTCAAGAACATCCAGCTTAGTCACGGATCATTTTAGTCGGCCAGCAATGTCAAGAGCACCCACTGACTTGACGCCGCAGCTTTCTCAAGCACCAGACTTTCGTGTGCCTACACATGAAGCGCCACAAAAGGTACTCACTCCTGGCTGGTCGCCTCATCAGATGCACCCGACTTGGGAACGTGATGATGCGGCACAGCAATGTCGAGACTGTCAACGTCGATTTTCTTTCCTTCTTCGCCGAGTTCGTCCGCCTCTTTTTCTTAGTGTTGATATTTGCTGATTCAGTCCCGCAGCACGTATGTTCTTACATCACACGTAATGGTCGACTAATGCTTGATAGCACTGTCGGAAATGTGGGCGTATATTCTGTGACCGCTGCTCGATGTATCGGGCACTACTTGATCCCAGCGACATTGTTCAGGACCCTGCCTTCCCAGAAACCGGCGCCTCGGCCAGTTCACAACGAGTTTGCTCATCATGCCATGATGAAGTGAACGCCAGCGTGCCGAGCAGACTTTATGGGCTACGGGCCACATCAATGGAACGTATAGAAGTGGATCAAGAAAGATTATCCATCCCCGGTCGCAACCTTTCTCGTCGCCAGTCCAGCTCACAATTAAGCGACCTGGCCGAGTATGATTCGTCGTCCTTTTTCACCATTGTTCTCATTGATCCGTTAGATGTCCTGTTTGCAATCGAAACTTGGAACAAGTGGGAGATGCCGCTGCGCAAGAGTCGCACGTCAGATCTTGTCTGGAAGGTGGCTCGGGGCCAGCTTCACACGCACCAAAATACCTCGTCTACCGACTTCCAGCAGAGAGCACGTTGATTGGAGTAGAATGTAAACACTCAATTTCCAACCAAGCTTTCGAGCTAACTGTCCTAAACAGGCGTCATCTGTTTGGAAGAATTCGTCCAAGGTCAGCGTAAATTATTATGCCACACCCTGCACTAGCTTACCGAATCGCACTAGGTTCATCGGTCGCGCGACTAAGTTGCCTTTGCTCGTTCCACAACAGTCAGTCCGAAACCGCTCTTTTTTGAATTCGATGCTGAACCGATAGTAGCATGTTTAACGTCTTGGTTACAACGCGGCAAGAGCTGCCCCATCCATGCCCGCTGAATAGTAATACATTTAGGATTCGATTCGATTTGACAACTAGTTGTCGCGGGGCTCGTAGAACACGCTGTAATGGCTGGGAATTTTGCTCTCGTCGACTCGAATGACCGAACTAAGCATATCTTCTTCGTCTGGCTCAACAATTAGCTGGCCCTTGCGACCGTCATCTTCCTCGTCTGAGAACCAGTTGGCTGGGTCGTCGTCGTACTCGTCTTCGCTGTCGTCTTCCAAGTCTGATTCAGTTGGTTTATGGTTCCTGCAAAAGAGTCAGTTTCGGGTGCAATTCAAGAGCAAGAACGCACATGAATGCCCATATTCGAGCCTCCCTCTCTTGTCGAGTCAGTTCCTCTCCTGGAAGAGGCATTCCTCTTCGTTGCCGCTTCTCGAGCATCCGCTCTTGTCGTTCCTTGTCAGCCCTAGTGCGGTTAAGTCCGAGTACCTGAGTAATTGCTAGATAGATACCTGTGAGCTGCCTGCTCCAACTCAATCGCCTCTTGCATGTTTAGGGACCCAATGCCATTGCCTTCGTTTGCTGGCGCCTGTTAGTTATTCGTAAGAACCGATCATCCAACTAAGCAGAAGTAGGGACGCACAAAACGGGACAATGCTTTACGCTTGGCCTCAAGCATCGGATTGGTATACGGCTCTGGGGGTGGCTCTACACTCATGTCGTCTTCGCCGATGATAACAGTGTTACGCAGGCCGGTGTTAATGGTGTTCATATCTCGGATTTCGTTCAGCCGCAGCGTGACGGCTGTCTGTTCTACGTTGACTCTCTTCACCCATGGGTCTTTCGAGCTTGATGCTGCCCTCGAGGAGAGAAGGCGCGCGTTGGAGGCTTGTAGATCCTCTAATTCACGGACGGACATTTCGCTGATGGGCGGTCGTTTCGGCTTTGGCGCAGGGCGGAAGCCATGGGGTATTGCCGTCTTATGCGGGGTACGTAATGGCCCTGTACGGGTGGGCGACGATGCAGGGGAGAGTGAGGTTGGGGAATACATTTGATGTTCAGCCTCAGATTTGCCCAGCCCTTATATACCCCGAGCATTTCCATTTTTGGAAAGACTGGGTCTTACACGAGTACAACTATCGTACAAAACACTTTCTCTCACATGTACATATCGTCCTACACGAGTTGATTCAGCCAAAGTTGGGTCTGATTTGTAGCAATGACTCACATTCCCGGGAGGCATGAATTCATCGTTGTCGGGGCTGCCAAACCCTCGACGGGGAGCTCTGCCAGGACCACCAAAGCCTCCTCTGGGAAAAGCCGGGCCAACTGGATCAAATCTGGCACCTGGTGGCGCTCCCATTGGTGGTAAAAACCCATCACCGCCCCATGGACCTGGCCCTCCCCGACGCCCTGCAAAAAGAGGATGGCCAGGACCCACAAACATCCCATCACCACCATTGTCTGGAAACAGGGGAGGAGGAGAGAATGGATTGGCGGGGAATGGGTCCAAATCCCGTCTTCCTATCTCAAGTGGGTTACGCGGGCCGGTCCTTGGCGGTAACTGGAAGGAGTTGTCGTCGGGAAACACGGGGGGGAGGCTGGAAGCGGGGCACAGCCTGGGGTTGGGTGGAAGTCGAGGGTGCATTGGTGGTGGAAGTCGTCGCGGTCTCGGTATAGCCGTCTTTGCGCAAACCCGGAATGAGTTTTGAGATGATTTTCAGCTTGAATTGGGACATGAGATCTGTAACACGGTTCGAAGAGATGAAGCCGTTGATCAAAGGGTCCGTGTTAAGGCGATGGGGATAAAACGAAGGCGATGTAAAGTCAGCAGTCGCAATATCCAGAGAAGATGCTTTGTCGCTCTTTGCAGCGGTGAGTATATGATGATCCTCAACACGAGCAGACATACCTCAAGAGCGATAGCATTGATCACCGTCCGACCACCAAGTTTTGACACCGTCAGGACAAATACGAGACTGCTTTGGTCGTGTTTATACTTGAACATGTAGTGCCCTGGTCCTGATTTGTTCCACGTTTCCGGGAGGACGGTCAAGGCAGAAGTTGAAGTCGTTTCATCGTCAACAGCTATCAGACGGAAAGCAAGTGCATTCATTGCCGTATGAAGTAGTGCCGCAAGTCCATCTTGTGGAGAGGACAGAGTTGTCTCTGATGGAACGAGCAGAGGTAAGTGTGCGATGAGGGCCGCAGGGTCAAGAATGTCAGACATGGAAGTCAATCGCAAGAGCACGAAGAACGCGTCATGTCAATGGACTTTTGAATCTTGTGACTCCGAGTCGGACGTGACCGTGACTCGGCTTTTCGCTGAACCGCCATGGCTCGACGAGACCGTTCTCTTTCACCAGACTCCAGCAACAAGAGGGTAAGGCATCGCTCTCGCTCGCGCTCCCCGTCGCCAACGAGGCGCAACAGCCAGAGGCAGCCAGCTGGACGATCTCGCTACGAAGACGATAGAGCAAGAGACCGCTACAATGACCGATATAGAGACGACCGCCGCCGTGACCACAGGGACTACGATAGAAGAGATGACCGCCGACGTTCTCGCTCTCGTGACAGGAGGGACAGGTCAAGAGATAGGTCAAGAGAACGCAGACCATCTCCTCCCCCTCGACAAACGACAACTACAACTACAACTTCCACTCCCACCCCCGCACCACCTCCAGAGGACGACAAGATCAGAGCTAGACGTGAGAAGCTAGAGGCATGGAAAAAGGAACGAGAGTCGAAGAAGGCTTTGGACGAGGCAAAAGCGAAAGCAAAAGCTATGGCGTTGGCTGGGAAATCCGCACCGCCAGGTGAGTTTCCACCTCTTTTCTTGCTTCTAGACGGGGTTTCACAACACTTGATCCATTTTCACAGACGTCGCTTCTGCACAACCCACCGGTCAACTCAACAGGGCCGCTTTGAATGGTCTGGGGCTGAAAGGACTGCCGCTCAAACCAGAAGTCAAGGCCAAGTTAAAAGTCAGCGCCTCCATGGACGACTCGGTTGAGACCAAGCGGAAACTCGAAATGCTCGGTGATATGCCTGCAATTGACATGACTATGGCCGAAGGTGAAGCTAGTGTTGGCGATTTGGAGAATGACGACGATGACGAGGAGGCCAATAGGATGGACCAAGCATCGAAGGCAAAGGCTAAAGAAGCTATGGACGTTGACGAGGAAGACGAACTCGACCCGTTGGATGCTTTTATGAGCGGCGTCAAGGCCGCAGTCAAGCAGGTTGATCTCGAGGACATGCAAAAAGCACCTGGCACCCAGGGACGCTCGAAAATTAGACTGGACGACAGAATGGCGGAGGATGATGCAGTAAATATGGAAATTGTGCCTGATGAATTGGACACCACAGAGCTCAATCCAGAGGACATCCTTGCTTTAGCTGCAAAAAAGGCCAAAAAAAAGGAAATTGCCACTGTCGATCATTCTCGCGTCAAATACGAAGCTTTCCGCAAGGAGTTCTATGTTCCGCCTCCTGACGTCGCAGCCATGACCGACGAAGAGGCAGACCTTCTTCGACTGGAGTTGGATAGCATTAAAATCCGTGGGATTGACTGTCCACGACCAGTCACGAAATGGAGTCATTATGGGCTGCCGGCCAGCTGGTGTGTTTTCCTATTTTGACCTGTTTATTTTAAGCTTACACCATAATTAGTCTTGATGTCATTAAGAGGCTCAATTACGCAGCTCCAACCTCAATTCAGGCGCAGGCTGTTCCCGCAATTATGTCTGGCAGAGATGTCATTGGCGTGGCCAAGACTGGGTCGGGGAAAACTATCGCTTTCTTGCTACCTCTTTTCCGCCATATCAAGGATCAGCGCCCATTGGAGCAAATGGAGGGACCTATGGCCATCGTGATGACGCCTACTCGCGAACTTGCTGTGCAAATCCATCGAGAATGCAAACCGTTTTTGAAGGTCTTGAACTTGCGGGTGAGATTTCTCCTTTTCTTTGCGAACACTCCAAGCTCAAATTTCAGTAGGCTGTCTGTGCTTATGGGGGGTCTCCAATCAAGGACCAGATTGCTGAACTGAAAAAAGGAGCCGAAATCGTCGTTTGCACTCCTGGTCGGATGATTGACTTGCTCACCGCCAATTCGGGACGCGTCACCAATCTCAAGCGTGTGACCTATGTCGTTCTGGACGAAGCTGACCGAATGTTCGATATGGGTTTTGAGCCCCAGGTCATGAAAATCATCAACAACATCCGTCCAGATCGCCAAACTGTCTTGTTCTCAGCTACTTTCCCAAAACAGATGGATGCCCTCGCTCGCAAGATTCTGCAGAAGCCGCTTGAAATCACCGTCGGTGGAAGGTCGGTGGTGGCAGCCGAAATCGAGCAAATCGTTGAAATTCGCGACGACGAGTCTAAATTCAATCGCCTTCTTGAAATTCTTGGTCAGATGTATAACGAGGACCCCGAATGCCGCACTCTCGTCTTCGTTGACCGACAAGAAGCTGCCGATAACCTTCTCCGTGACTTGATGCGTAAAGGCTACCTCTGCATGTCTCTCCATGGTGGCAAGGACCAGGTCGACCGTGATTCCACCATTGCGGACTTCAAGTCAGGGGTAGTGCCCATCGTCATTGCAACCTCGGTTGCTGCGCGAGGATTGGACGTCAAGCAATTGAGATTAGTCATCAACTACGATGCGCCGAACCACATGGAAGACTACGTTCATCGTGCTGGTCGGACGGGTCGAGCGGGCAATAAAGGAACGTGTGTCACGTTTGTTACGCCAGACCAAGATCGCTATTCCGTCGACATTTACCGTGCTCTCAAAGCCAGCAATGCTCCTGTGCCCAAGGAGCTCGAGGAAATGGCGAACAGTACGTTGATTATTCCTTGGGATGTATTTTTAACAATTTTTCCCCTTTTCAGCTTTCCTCGAGAAGCTCAAGACGGGCAAAGTGCAAGCTTCGGGGTCTGGTTTTGGTGGTAAAGGATTGGATCGGTTGGACCAGGAGCGAGACAACAAGGCAAGAGCGGAGCGTAAAGCATATGGAGAGGAGGCAACGGTGCCAGAAGAAAAGGTGTCGGCAGCGGAGGAGTCAACAGCCAAGGCTACCGCCTCCAGTGCGGACGATATGACATTTGGCACATTCAAGGTGGAAATCAAGCGCGGCCCCGCGCCAGACTCGTCCAAGAATTTGGCCGGCGTTTCGTCCGCTATTGCTGCTGCTCGCCGCCTTATTCAAGCCAAGGAGGAAGAGCGTCTACAAGCTCAACTCAAAGTCGCCGAGGAAGCAGCCGCACGTGCTGGGAAAGATACTCCTGCCCATAAACAGGCACTCAGCGTGCTTGCTAAGCTCAATGCCCAAATGCGTGCCTCCAAGCTGCAATTACAGACTGCTCTCCAGTCGGACGACATTAGTGGCCGGAAGGGCAACCCGGACGCCAGCGACTTCCATGCTATCATTCCAATCAACGACTACCCTCAGAAAGCCAGATGGCGTGTTACTAATAAGGAGACGATGGTACAGGTAGGCTATCTATTTGTCTCCTTTTATTCTGCGTATTCACATTTCCCCACAGCTTATTGACATGACTGGAGCCTCGGTCACTAACAAGGGAATCTACTATGACCCTGGCAAAGAGCCCCCGATGGATGGGCCTCCCAAACTCCATCTGCTTGTCGAATCCAACGAGGAGTACCGTGTGGAACAAGCCGTGAGAGAAATCAAGCGGCTGCTCATCGAAGCTTCTGCGGCTGCTATCCAAGCGGAAGCTCGCAATCCAACTGCGACGTCAGGCAGATACAGCGTCTTGTGAAGTGAATCTTGCGTCAGACTCGTTTATCCTACGTTGTACTTTCTATTCATGGTTATCAATCCAGACGATGACATACCCGGCTTTGAGCCACACGTGACAATACGCGAAACACGTTCCGCTTCTTAATCGAGAGAGTAAACCCCTATGCACAAGTCACTTTGGTTTCGACGACCAGCATGTCTCATCAGATTCCAACGCCAACCGATTCCCAGGAGATGTTAACTGTTTGTGTTCATGGTCTATTGCACCTTTGATGCTAATTCTTGGCCAGCCTGAGATCCAAACTGAAGCACCCCAGACCGACTACCCAACTACGTCGCCGACATCCATGTTAGACACCCCTCCGGAGCCCACGACGCCCTCACACTCAGATGACGTTAAAAAGGATATTCTCGACGTTCGTGCTATCACAACCTCTACACTTGTGTCCTGACTCGTTTCCAGATTCAAAGCATGGCGCCCCGTCTTAGCCTCCAACCGTTGATAACCATATTGACAGTATGTGTATCTAGCACCCCTTGGTAGTGTCTGATCCTGACCCGACTTGCAGCGCGTACAACACCTCATTGGCACGACCGAGGCTCAGCGCACTTACCTATGGCTTCAGCAAATTTCCTCGACACCATTCTTTGATGGTATTCAAGTACGTTAATGACAATTCTGTTTGTGAGTGATTCTCAGTCCGAAACACAGTATCCAGCCCTACCTCTGGTAGATACCGAGGTCAGTCTGTACTTTCACCAACCTTGAAATTCTATTCCCTACACATAACCTAGACACCATCGGAGGAAGAACAACTTGCTCGTGCTCAAGACATGCTAATGCTCGTTCAGGTCATGATCCAGTTTCTCGGTTCTCACTGCTTTACTCATTATTTATTTGTTATAGGCTGTTCTCAAAGCCGTGTCAGTGGGCTCTCAAGATGTAATGTCCCTGCATAAGACTGCTGTGTTGCCCCAGGTCTTCCAAGGCCTTGTACTATGCGGCGGTGACATACATAAACGGTATGCATACTTGTTCTATGATTGAGTTGCTGACATGCATGCCAGAACCCAACATATTGACGGGCTTCTCTTTATCGACGTTGCTAGTGAAGTCCACGAAACGACTCACCTGCTTTTTAGACCTTTCAACACATTTCTCGCCACTACAGGGAAGGGTGAATATGAGACAAACACCCACTTCAAAATCAACAACAATACCAACATTATTCCCGATCTCTCTTACCATTCTGGTGGCAATAACACGCGAGCCCGCCGCTTCATTATCTTTGAATACGGGTGGACACAATCAGCTGTAGATGTCGACCGGAAAGCCGTATATGACGAAACCCGAGATAATTGGGGTAGTCTGCTTTCTGATTGATCCTACCCGACGCTATTCATCCCCCTCTATTGCCCCGACTTCCGTTGAATGGGTTGTAGACCAGCGGGAGAGGTTCAAGCCCGTGGTCTGCCAAGGCCACAACTTTGGCGATATCAACCAAGTCTATGGAAAGATCTTCTTACGGGACGGCCAAGGTACTGTTGTTGAGACTGCATATGTGCGTATTCAAGCCACACTACATTGGTCTCAACTTAGATTTCTATACCTTAGGACAATCTCTTTCTTCCCTCCAATCAGCATCAGTTCGAGCAGGACTTCGTTCGCCTCTTCCGCACAGTCTTTCCTATGGCCAACATTGATGACACACCACAATTAAGTTGGAACTACTATTTCGAGCAGCTCGATGAGCGTTTGTTGGTCGATGCTGAGGAGCGGTTCAACGATTGGGACAGCAACTCACAAGCCTGATTGTTTTCTTCTATTATACTTTTTTTATTGAATGTTGGTCTTCTTATTTATAGAAGTATTCAAGCAGTCTAGTTGCAAGCTTGTCATGAACCTCTCCCATTGTACACATGTACCTCATTATAAGCCGTAATTTGAACGCTTGAAACCATTACTATTAGCGGATGCGCCGTAGCCAGAGTCCTTCATCCTCCGCTCAACTTCGACCACTTTTGTCTCCACTTCCCGGACCGCTCCGTCAATCCATTGCAGACTCTCAAGGTGGCTGCCCAGAATCTGGGAAATCTGCGTCATCGGGTTGTCGGTCGACGCTTCCGGGTTTGGTGACAGGGAGAGCGCGTTGACGGAGTCGATCATTTGGGTAAGCGACCCAGAAATGTCATCCAGTTGTGTATGCAGCTCTGTCGCGAGCATATAGCTAATAGTAACAAATCAGTTATGGTTTCGCGATAGTCGAATTACTTCACTTCTTATCCCGTTCAGTATCAGCAGGCCCAGTATCCATTGCACGTAGATTGCCCCCGTTCGTGCCAAACACCTCCTGCGTGGCTTTTTCGTACGCGTCTAGTGACGCACTGAGGTCTCTTTGTTGCTGCTCAATGTGCTCCAAGGACTGATCAATGTCGTTTTGCTCGCGTTCTGCGGCGAGCACGTGGCTGTAGAGGGCGGCGAAGTTGTCGGCATTTTCGAGCAAAGCCTTGTCCCAGACGGCAACCTCGCCGGCGAATTTGGTAAACTCCTTGACTTGTGTTTCGAGCTCGGTGGACCATTTGTTGACGATTTCTTCAATCGTTTTCCCGCGCAGCATCGAGGGAGGGGCGACAGCGACGACGGGAGCGGGAGTGGTAGAGGTGCTGGCTAGAGAAAGTTATTGGCTTGTTTCAAAGGCGATCGTGAAATTTACCTGTTTTGCTAGCACCCCCGAGACCGAAAGTAGGTAACACTACAGAAAAATGAGAAGCCGGGAAAAGAGATCTAAAAATAACTAACATGTTGTCGCCGCAGGAGCCAACCCATCTTTTTTCTCTTCTGGCTTCGCTGTGGATCCAAATAAAGAGGCTATGGACTTGAGAATGAGGTATATAGATATTCAGAGAAACACCTACGAGTCGTAGTTGCTGCCCCATCTTTTGCAGCTCCCCCAAGAGAGAAAGGCGAAGCAGTTGCCGTACTAGTAGTCGCGGCTGGTTTTCCGAATAGACCACCTGCTAGGGGTGCTGGCGTTGTTGATGTTGGGGTAGTAGCCGCTGGTGTCGTTGCTGGTTTCCCAAAAAGACCGCCAGCCGCAGGAGCTTCAAATCGAGTCAGAAGAAACGTACGACTTTGAAAAATCAACCACTTGCCCGCGGTTGTTGTGCCGCCTAACGTAAACGGGGAAGAAGAGGCAGTTGTTGCAGCTGGGGCAGGTGTTGCGGGTTTTCCAAACAATGATGGTGTTGCCGCTGGCGCCTCTGCTGGCTTTCCAAACAGCGATGTCGTTGCAGGGGCGTCTGCTGGTTTTGGGGGAAGTGTGAACGCAGTAGCAGCGGCTTCAAAGATATTATCAACAACCGTGGTGCTACTTTGGACTGATCACTCACGGGCAGCAGTTGTAGTAGCAGCGGGGGTAGTGCTTGGTTGTCCAAATACTGTCGAACATGAGGCTACATCGCAAACAAACATTGAGATGACTTGCGCGACGGTTTGGGTGCATCGTCTGGTTTGGGGGCCCCAAATAACGATCCAGAGGCAGTCGGCGCTGCAGGCGCTCCAAATAACGATGGGGGTTGTGTTGTCGGAGTTGTGGTGGCAGGATTCCCAAATAAACCTGTCGTTGCTGGTTTTGGTGCCCCGAACAGACCACCAGAAGCAGGGGCCGTTGTCGGTGTTGTTGCCGTGTTGTTCCCAAAAAGCCCACCAGCAGCCGGGGCAGCCGTCGTCGTGGCCGCTGCTGGGGCTCCAAATGGACTTGACGATCCAAACACGCTTGTCCCCGCTGGTTTTGCTAAAAGAAAAAGAAAAAACAAGTCAACTTCGCGCGTTTGACGCGTAGATAACGACAACCTGGGGCGGACGTCCCGAATAATGGGGGGTTGGTGGTGTTGTTCGTGTTGTTATTGAAGAAGCTCATGGTCAAGAACGAAACACGGTGCGTGACTACTTTTCGTTCTGGCCACAACAAGACAGATCTATCTACTAGTATCTTGCAGCTCCTGCGCAGCCTCTCTCCATGACGGGAAAAAATGGGAATATTCTTGCTCTCAAAGATATTCTTGTCCAAGAAAAGTGAAATGCTCATAACAAAAGTCTTGTGCACGATAACGTCGACGGTTCTACTTGTCTCCAAAGTGCAGCCATCAGCACCAACATTCCCTCAGCCTCGCATGCATTCCTTCTTGCGTTTCCGTGGACAACTTCATTGTTAGGTCCGGGAACTGGGGCCTGAACGCCTCCGACGTGAAGGTGCCTTGCTGGCTTTTTAAACAACAATGTTATTGCTGTTGCGCCAGTGAGAAGCATAAAAGTATCCGCAGCGCGACTTCCGAGAGTTGATTAGTCGACTTTAAGCATAAAGAGTAGGACTGCAGGAGTAGCAGTCTTTGACGCAACCGTCGATAAGGGGTTTATTGAAGAAGAACAGGATACTTTTTGTCATGTCCGCAACACAGAACCATCCACGACAACGTTATATCCGGCGGGTGATACTCGAGCGTCCAATGTGCTCCGTGTAAAATCTTTCTGGTACCCAAATCTCCAAATGGGCCACAGTAAAAACATCAGGCGAGCGTCGACCAGGCCCGTTGGCACCTGTATATTCCTGTGAGCCAAAGCCAAACGGAGAATGGAAAGTTTACAGGACCGAATGCGTTGCTGTCTTGACTATGGAAGCCGTCGCCTAGATCACCCTGCTGAGTATACAAGATTAGAGGTTGGGAAACAGAACCCACCTTCGACCCATATTCGACCCTTGGGGATCACGACTTGCTCGCCAAGTGACGTCCTCACCGTATCTCCCTCGACAGCAATGACTCGCTTAATAAGCTCCACTACCATCCATTCACCCACTGCTCAGAACGGAATTCGACGAGACTCACCCCGAGGGTTGTATGGTGAGGTCAGCGAGACGATGTCGCCTCTCCGAATGGGATTGGAAAGCAGGAAAACCCTGTCAAACACCCCGAGGTCTTTCCATAGCAGCGACGAGTCAGGGTTCAGTGTTGGCTTTTCTGAACGAGGTAGGGAGACATCTTCTACAAGGAGCAACTTCTGCGAACCTGCATGCTACGTCCAGAGATTTGTTTGATGGTGTAGAAGTTGGTGAAAAATAACGGTAGAGGCGACCAGTATAGGACCTTGCGAGCACTTGAAAAACGCGACATGGTGATCCCAGATCAACGCAAGCACGGTCACGTTACTTAGGGCCATACTTACAACATGACAATGCTCCCGTAGTGACACTGTCCCGGGCCATCGACGATCCCAAATCTCGCGCAGAAAGCACAGTAGTACTCACACGTACAAACCACGTAAATTATATTCGTAGGACTTTGAAACAGGCAGCAATCACTATGATTGTTTATTCTCTTGTAGTGCTAGTTTACCCGTGGCTTGTATGGGCCACCCGTCTTTGGAATCCATGAATCGTTGCATCCACTGCCCATCAACGCTCCCAATCCGACCATTTGGCACCTGCTGGTATTCACCGTCGGTCAAGACAGCAAGCCCGCCCTTCACATCCTCGTCGCTCAGCGGAATCCGCGCCTCCTTGCAAAGTTGGTGGAAGTCATCGGGGAGCGGTGCGCCGATCCTCAAGCGAAACCGTCTGTGGGACCCCGCAGGTTTATATCGCTGTGTAATGTTAGTCAAGACTCTGAAATTTGAATTTAAGGCAACCTACGTAAAACGACACTTGGGCAGCGTGCAGGAACATCCTGTCGCTTCCTGGCGGCGGGCGGAGGCGCAGAAGGGCCCTTTGGATACTTTCCAGCGAAGGCTTCAGTGAGTGAACTGTGTCGCTTAAGATTGGCGCTACATTCATGGCTAAGCATTGCTAGAAAGAAAAACATGATTCGTACTTTTGAGAATGTATGCAAGATGAACACGCAGTTGGTGCTTGTTGCCAGTGATCAGTTTCAGTCGCAGCAGAGAAAGCGGCAGGTGAGGCTGCCGTCCTCCATTAATAACACTAATACTCACCTGCGAGGCAACCAGCTCCCAACCCGTTAACGCTTCCCGTGCCTCGTTGTCAGCGCCGGGAAGAAGTTTTTGCGTCGCTGTGGCGTGTCCGTCTTTGTAGACTATTGGCACGCGTATTGTACCAGAAGTCTGTTCAAACGACTGTCTCAGGCCCCTGGACCGGGACACTCCACCAAAGGGTTGTCGGAAAATATGGATTTTTGAGGGCGAAAAGTCGAAAAATCCTTGTCGGAAACATGGATTTTTGAGCCTAAAATGGCACGGATCTTGTCGGAAATATGGATTTTTGAGGTGATGGTTTGCGCTTGAGTGGCGGGTGTTACCTGCTGTGACGCTTCAGCCGCTCGCGCCTACTCCAACGACACGTACAAAAGGCCTGTTAGAGTCTGTAGATGGAATAAGAAACACATTTCGCTCAGACACGTAGTTACACAGGTGTTTACTACCTACAGCTTGTAGTAGCACTCGGCGCCGCAGGCGAGCGAAAAATCGGCTCCACGTGACAACCCTTGACAGATTATGGATTTTTGAGGCCCTGGAGGGCTTGTCCGGATGGATTTTTGAGGCCAAAAATGGCAAAATATTCCGACAACCCTTTGGTGGAGTGTCCCGGGGCCTAGACTGTCTCCCTGCTCGGACGAGCGCGAGATAAGTCTTGTGGACATCTCGTTGCTTGGATTGCGTGTGGAAGTCTCTCGCAAAGCTTTTGGAGCGTGCGAGAACGAGGGCGCCAGTGGAATGACACTAGGAATCTCAGAATGCTGCGTAACGAGCCCTGGAGGCTTGGCGCGGTCGACATAGAGGATCAGTTCTGACCATCGTGTCATGGCCGCTTACGTAAAGTCATTCTTCTTCTTCAGTACTTCCCACCATCGCAATGAGTCTGGAGTATTATATACATAGTACGTCGCAGCCATATGGTTCCATGGACAACGACTTTTTGAAATCAGGATAACATAGCTATCCAAACTTTTTTTCCCTCCCCAGACATTGTCTAAGACTTGAGCGCTTTAACACCACAGACACGCCGGTGGAGCGGGAGCCTGAGACCCGCGTGGTTGCATTTGCGGATCGGTTTACATCCGACCTCAGTTTTTGGTTTAAATACCCTGCAGCAAGGTACAAGGAATAACACCGGTCCTCCACTCTCCCTCTCTTCTCCGTTCAGCAGTGTCGTTCTACGCAGATGCCTTCTGCTCGTGCCGTATGAGGGCCACGGCACGACGAACTCAACACTGGCACCCTCACCACGTTTCAACTCGGACGGTATGTCGTTGTTCCGTTCATTTCTTCGCTGCTCATCACCGTTGCCCAGTTCTCTTCTCTGCTTCACATCTCGTCGCCGCTGGCCAGTAAAATCGAAAACAGCCAACAGCAAGGCAACATGCGAAGATTATGTGTTGTCTCGCAACCTGGGAAGGCAACTCGCACACATAGTGATGCGGGCTCCGGGCTGGCTTGGACCGACATTTAAATAATCAGGATCGGAGAGCACTGTTGTAAGCTTCGTCGCTTACCGTCTGGTACTAGTCACTCACCCAACTTTTCTAGGATGTCTTGCTCGTCGACATTGTCCACCTTCGATCGCAGGGCATTCGGCTGGTCCTAAGCATTCGTGCCGGGCCGGCTATGGGCTTAATTAATGTCTTAAGTCATTACAAACGAGTTTAGTGGACGCAAAAATCGACCAGGTTGTTTGCCGGTGAGTGTCGGGCAGATGACCATTATCGCGAACTGACACGGCTCGGGTAGCGGCGGACAGTATCGGGGCCTTGGTTGAACGTTGGTAAGAGGACTTGCTCAACCGTCCTTACGACACTAACACAACTTGCTCAGACTGTAGCTATCGTCGAGTTTCTCTACGTCTTTACGCTGGACGCAAGCTAACTCTGTATACATCTTTTTTTTACGTTGTCTATCTTCGATGGCAGCGGCGCGCGATTCGGTCCTTCCAGACTGACGCGTGTGGCCCAGGTTCTGACCTGATCACTCAGAACTTGGGCATTTTCTAATAGGGCTCGTTCGTCTGGCAACCTTTGGCAACCCGGCTCCCTCGTAACTTCTTGTAGCGCTCTAAACAACCTCAAGCGCTGTCAACTGACGCCAGAGCTCGAATCGCGTCGAGTGGCGGGCCTCCTTGCTCGCAGCGTCACGGAAGGACGGTTTGGGCCACCACTCGGACCGCTCCGGGGAGTGGCCAATGCTGATCGTTGCAGTTGACCCGTCACTCGGCAAGATTCCCTTCAAATCGCGTTTTTCGAGACTGGGGTCCTCATGCTTGATGCGTCATGGAAGGACTCGCTCGGGGCCACCAACCGGAGACGTCCCATCGCTGACTTCGGGCCTGTCCGGGGAGTGGCTAAAAGCTGAAGACCGCAGCCTCATGTAACGCAAGATTTGCTTCAAATTTCGTGGGCTCTTTCGACACTGTAAAGGCACGCAAAAGTTGTTTTCGGTTCGCGTCAAGCTCTACTCTTCCACGCAAGATTTTCGCGTCGAGTGCCGCCGCGACTTTCATGCTTCACACGTCATGGAAGGATCTGCCCGAGGCACCAATGCGAGACGTCCAGCGATGACTCGGGCCGGTCCGGGGAGTGGCTAGGGCTGATTGTCGCTGCGCACTCAACTGTCGAGAAGAACGCAAAATTCCGCTTCAAAGTCCGACGAGTATTCTGGGACCTATGCTCACAGGGTCGCAGCCGGACTGGTTCGGGTCAGCGACGGGAGATGTCTTGCCGCCGACTTGAGCAAGTTAGGGTGCGGCCTTGCGGGCGAACTCGGCGCTGTTGGGACGGTTCTTGCTCTTCACGTCGTGGAAGGACTGGTTCGGGACAGCAATGGGAGACATCCCACGGCTGGACCGGGCCGGACCGGGGAGCGGCCAAAGCATCAATCGTCGCAGCAGTAGCCAGTTCAAGCGGGGCGGGACATGGCATGCTCAAGACTCGCTGCTGTGTTCTGGTGCCTGTCCTGGGGAAGGGCTAGCAACCCTCGCGCTCCCTTGCCGTGGGCCCCAGGCTTGTAGTCCATCTGCCAAGTGGGCGACTAAGCGCGCGTTAAAAATGCACTTGTTTGGTTTTTGGTTCTTGGGCAGCGAGATGGTGCGCCGAACTTTTCTTCTCTTCTCTTTCTGATTATTAACTTGTGTTGACCCCCAGTACCCCTGTCTGTCCCTTGACTCCTTAGCTTTTGCGACCTCCGCCAATTGACAGCCGGTTTACCACCCCAGCTTCAATCAACGGCGTTCCCCGATGATCTGCCATGACCACACCGGGAGTGGTGGGGAGGTGCAGAGGTCCAACCATAACGTGGCCGTTGTTTACGATGGTGCGCTCTCTGTTGACCTATTTGATTCTGCTGTACTGATATGGATTACCTAGGCCGCAACATTTCCGCTAAATGCTGACGGCGGCGGTGCGCGGCCGGGGCTGCAGTAATCCGGTTGCCCCGTTGCCGCGGCTATTTGGCACACTACTGCGGTCGTTATGGTCGCCACGCTTGCGGTGGGGGTCGCAGCTGGATCTGTGGGGGCAGCGACGGGAGACATTCTAGCGCTGGCTCGGTCACGCTCTCAGTTGCGGCCTTCCCTGCTGGCGTAGCGGTCATGCTCGGGGGGATTATCCACAGACTTACTCAGGGCAGCAGCAGGAGACGTCCCGGAGCTGACTTGAGGTGGGCTAGGTCCTAGGATGCCTCCGGAGCCGGTCGTAGGAAATTGGGCAGTTAGAGGCGAGGCGGAACACAGCGGGTGCAGGCCGTTTGCTGTTCTGGTGCTCGTCCTGGGGAAGGGCTTGCAACCCTCGCGCTCCCTTGACGTGGGCCCCAGGCTTGTAGCCCACTTGTGGGTGACTAAGCGCGCGTTTGGGAAAAAACATGCTCAGGTTTGTCCATTCTTTCTTTTGACTTGAGTGCTCGACACTTCGCTTAGTTCCTAACTAATAGATGACAGTTTATTGAGTTGGCGGAGGATTTGTGCTTGAACTCTCAGCAGCGGTGGAAGGGACACAATCACTGGTTAAGTCTAGGTAGATGGTACCTTATGTCAAAATGGGTGAATTGAAACTTTTCGCAATCCTAATCATAACTGACGGGCAGTCTCGACTCCGTTTGTGATCAGTTACTCAAGATAAAGGATGACCTCTTTCGCTAATTCGTTACCCATTCCGGCAATACACGCAGTAAGTGCCAACCGATCTTCCTCTTCCTCCCAAATCGGATGTTTCTGGCAATGTCAATCCATGTTAGTTGAGAAAGTGATGCACTTACAGTGACCGGGACAACTCGCACCACACCCTTTTCAATGCTAGTGACTGCGTTGACCTCTGACAACAATTCTGGGGGGATCTGGCGTTCTTCCGCTGCAACCTGTCGAGGATCTTCGTTCGTCGACTTCGCCGGGTCCGAGAAACACGCATATCGATACTTTTCGAGCAGAGGAATGCATACGGAGTCGATAGGAAACCACTCGAACGTATCCTGATGCCCTGCAATTAGTCGAGAAACAAAACAATTGGAAGCGTACTAACCGGATCCGCGAGGTATGAAGGCAGGTAGTCGGCTTTGTACCGCATTTTGACACAAGAGTGGACGTAGTAGCCCATGTAGAGGTACGGCTGTTCAGGCGCTCCGGCCGCGTGTATTTCGGCTGCTAATGCGGCCTCTCGCAGTGCACTTAGCTGCAGAGGGTAAGCTCAGGTGATCGATTAAAGACGAAAAGACTAACTTTGCCAAGCGAATGTTTGTCCCAGTCCTGTGGAAGCTCGTTAGAGCTCGCGACAGTGTTAATATGCACGCACGGGATCATAGAAGAAATATACGGAAGAAACACATCCAGGGAGAATGTCAAGGACGGCAACGGCGATGAGAACGCCATCACATTTGTACAATTGGTGGTACGATCTTGAGTTTAGATTAGATAACTCATTCGGGCAGCACACAAGCAAGCACCACACCCGTATTTCTCCGGAAGGTGAGACGTTTGTGTAGTCGTGTATGGAATTGGGCTTGGCTATTGACACGTCAATAGACTCCTTCAGGTAACTGAAGCCCTACCCGGAGTGGAGTCTCTACGAGAAAGCGACGGAAAGATGAGGGAGTGTTCTTGGGATCATGGTGAATGATTTCTTGATACTTGCAGAAAAGCTTGAATTTGTCGTCGCTATAAGAGGCCGGTTCAAGAATGACCTAATGTTTACTCAGCAAGACGGTTATTCGAGTTCGCATTTACCTCGAATTTGTGATCAGACGACTGTGAATCATTTTCTGCGGCATGGATTGTGGTTGTTAGGACAAACTCTTTTTCGGTAGGTTGTTTGCCGCCCAAGATGAACTTGTTCCACCTGTGTGTCAATGGGTCACTGCAGGACGCTGACTACTACACTATGATCCTCACCGATTTACCAGCTTCCGCTTGCTCTTTGATAGTTTGAATTCGGAAACATCGAGTCTGATCGTGTAGAGCGGGCAACAAGACTTTGGAAGGTTGGGGAGGTAGCACCAAGTGCCTGCGTCAAGGATTGAATACAACTAGACTTTTTACAACGTCTAAACTTTCCAGAGCGACGAAAACCGCGGTCAATGAGTTGCTTGTACACGGTAACGCTCATTTGAAGCCCGACAAGCCCACATTTCTGGGCGAAAGTCTTTTCGGCTGATCTAACCCCGGGAGGCGAGCAGTAGCCACATGTGGAGTTACTGGGTCCAGCTGGTGACACCAGAGTAAGCATTTGTGGGTATCGCAAGGTATCGTAGTGGCAAGAGATAAACTAAGAACGGCAAACTTCGGCAAACACTTGGCTAATTTTGGATATATAGGACTTTGTACTTTTGCTGCGCAAAATCCAGCCGACCCTTTCTGTCTTCTGTCCAGTGTCCTCCTCAAAAGCGTCGGCTGAGGGCTGGAATTATCGTCCGTGTGAGCTGAACACTCGGGTGGTCTCGCCCAACATCTAGAACAAGGCTACAACTCGGAGCAGTGCAACTTGTCAATTCGACATTTACGGACTCTCCCACGCAACCCTCTTTCCTCTTTCCACCTTCCTTCACAATGAGGCCTTCTCCTTTGGCCGCCCTTTCCGTCCTACCCATTGTCCTCGCTGGCAACGCGGGCAAGTTCGAAGATGTTGGGAGCACAAGAGTCAGCGCGATGATGGTTAGAAATTTCTTACTCGCTTGTTCAATCTCCAGCATTAACTTCCCAACAGATGTTTTTGGGAAACACGGACAGAGTACGCCGCCAAGTAGATCCCACAGTTATTCTAACGACTCTCCTCAGGTTTACATCCTGGACAAAGCTCAAGGCAAGTTTCTTGACGTTAATTGAAAGTAATCGGCTAATTGTTGTTCAGGCAATGCGGGTTTGTTTCCCTCTCTTCTTTTATCGGCGGTGTCTTGAGCATCGAACGCAGAACAAATCAAAGGACATTCTGCTTGGGGTTCTACTTAGTGCGTCGCTGTCGTCTCCTGTCGCGCCCGTCTAACTCATTGACCAGTAATACTGCGACTCATGAAGTCACTTTGATGGACGTTCAAACCAATACTTTCTGTACGTTCCTTCATTTCACTGATTTGACACCCGACTCATGAACTCGCAGGCAGCTCCGGCATGCACCTTCCCAACGGGTGTGTTGCGGTCTTGTATCGCCGCTTTCTTTTTTTACTCAAACCTCTCGAGATCTTTTGCCGTCTTCGGTGGCAACCATGCCGTAGCAGTAGGCGGCGGCAACCCGGATGGCGCCAACTGGGACTCGCTCCTCCAAGATTTCGATGGCTCAAAGGCCATCCGAATTCTCAGCCCTTGTTCCGCGTCTGACGACATCAATGCTGGTAACTGCCAATGGCGAGTAAAATTGTTTACTCTTCAAACGACATTTGACAGTGCGGCACAGGTATGAAAATATCAACGATCCCAAGATGATGATGCAAGCGGAACGATGGTAGCTGACCCTTAACCTACCGAAGTCGCACTAACCGTGGCTAGGTATTCAACCGCTGAGGCCTTGGCAGACGGCACTATCGTCATGATGGGAGGTTTTACTGGAGGAGGTATGTGCTCTTGACCTACATATCATTTTGTCTCAACCTGCTCTAGGCTGTGAGTGTTATCCTGTTTCTCCCTCTTTGGCTCAATCACGCGTTCCAGATATCCTCCGAAACGTCCCTAACAGAAATCCTCACGACGGAGCGTCTCTTTCCTATGAATTTTTCCCTTCCAACGGACAAGCACCTCAGGAACTCAAATTCTTGGTTGATGTAGGAATTCCCTCGTCGTCACGTATCAACCATTGATAGATCTGTTTTTCAAGACATCCGGTCTCAACTCTTACCCCCATGCTTTCCTCATGGCCTCTGGTAAAATGTTCCTGCAAGCTAACCTGTCCACCAGTGAGTTATCGATGAATTGGCCATTCCGAGACAAACAACCATTTTAGCGCTTTGGGACTACACCTCAAATACTGAAACTCGACTTCCTGACATGCCCAATGGCGTCATCAGGGTGTACCCCGCCAGCGGCGCAACCGCGATGTTGCCCATGACGCCGGCTAACAATTACCAACAAACAGTTATCTTTTGTGGTGGATCCAACCTTGTAATTCCTTGCTTTCTTTCCGCTATCTAAATAAATACTCGGACAGACCGAACCTGAGTGGGGAAACTTTGCTTTCCCCTTCGTCAACACCTGGGAGCGTCCTTCCTCAAATGATTGCCAACGCGTTAGTGTCCGTCGGTACATAATACTGGCCTGCTTATCCTTGATAGATTACGCCCGAACCTACTAACGGTCCTGCGTCGTACGTGCAAGACGATAATATGCCGGTTGGTCGGACGATGGGACAATTCATTATTCTCCCTGATGGCAAAATGCTTGTGGTTAACGGTATTTACCTTTGCCTTCTCATCACTAGTTTGTAATGCGTGTCGCAGGTGGTGCCAAGGGGACAGCTGGCTATGGTCGTAATAACTCGATTACGCCGGAGAGCGAGATGCCTTTCCAGCAGTCGTTTGCCGCTGAACCAGTCGGGCAACCAGCTCTCTATGACCCGAATGCAGACCCCGGCAAGCGATGGACAACCACTGGGTTCGCCACATCCAGCATCGCACGGCTTTATCATTCCTCCGCCATTCTGCTTCCCGACGGCGCCGTTCTTATTGCTGGCTCGAACCCCAATCTGGATGTGAATATTAGCTCGGCCGTCAAATTCCCCACGACATACACCGCTGAGAAGTTTTATCCCCCGTACTTCTCTGCTTCCGTTCGCCCCGCTCCGTCTGGTGTTCCGTCCACTCTCTCTTATGGCGGGAAACCCTTCGATATCACTATTCCTGCTAAGTCATACTCCGGCTCATCAAACACTGCCGCAGCTAACTCTGCTGTCAACGTTATTCGTGGGGGCTGGACCACTCAGTAAGTCTTTTTCCCGTTCCTCGAATGATCTGATCGCGGCCTCAGCGGAATGAACATGGGTCAAAGGTTCCTGCAACTGAACAACACCTATACGGTCCAAGATGTGCGTATCCGCTCATGCGGGTGCTGAGGAAGCTGAATAATATTTAGGACGGCACCATCATTTTACACGTTGCGCAAATGCCGCCCAATGCCAACATTTTCCAACCAGGACCTGCCCTCGTTTTCGTTGTTGTGAACGGCATTCCCTCCAACGGCACTTTTGTCATCATCGGCACAGGAAACATCGAAGCCCAGCCGCTCTCAGCAGCCGCTGTTCTTCCGGCAAGCGTGCTGTCCAGTTCCGCTAGCGGATCAGCTTCTGGCTCTAGCACTGGAGGAGGTGGAGCCAGCGGCAACGCGGACAAGTCAACTTCTAACATTGGTTTGATCGCCGGTATTGCCGGTGGTGCGGCCGCTGTCGCTCTCCTTGCTCTTGGTCTTGGTATCTGCATCGCAAGAAGGCGACGAGCCCGCATCCGTGCCAGCATCCAAGCTGGAAAGGTTGCGCAAGCCCAAAAATACCCCGCCTCCTCCCCTTACCAGCAATTCCAAAGACCATCATCAAACATGTCTGGCGGTAACGAGTCGCAAATATACTTGAACCACCAAAACAGGCCAAGCGACGCTTGGAGCCACAGCCAAAACGACAGTCAAGTATGGGATGCTAATCGTAGCAATCCTGGCTTCCAGGCTTACCGTGATGTCGACCCCGACATGCCTCCCACACAACCACATGTACAAACTCACTACCCCAATGCGTCATACTCCTCATTCGATCCGCGTACAGGGGGCGGTTACCCACAACAACCGCGTTATTAGCTACGCACACTGCTGCCTTACGCCTCTCACGCTCCCTCTTACGCATACACTCCCTTAGTTTTGCTTTCGTTTACTTATTTATGGACCGATGGACCGCTACGTATTGGACTTGGCGAGTGATTACTTATATTGTAGCGTTGGGTATTGACACGGGATAATCGAATCACTCGAAAAGGCAAAGAAAATTGTGCGTGACTGCTCCTGTGGTCACGCAACTTCACTTCGTTCCTTGTTCCTTGCTTCAAATGGGTCAGAGCCATCAGATATTTCTTGTTGCTCGCGTAGTCGCTCATGGCGCAAATGCGGCACGCTATCGCTGCGTTGGTGCTTACCATCATCAGTGGTGCGTGGTCTTTTTTTCTCATTCGAGCTTTCCGCATATTTATTTTTGGACCCCAGGTGTTATGGCAGGTTCGCTCTCACCAACTTGAGGATACTTTTTACGTCCACTCATCATTCAAAAGACTTCCTCTCATGGGGGCACGAAGCTTCCTCGATCTTCTCAAACAAAAAGACAATGCCAAAATCGTCCAAGCGGAAATAGACGCAATTCAAGGCCAATATGGCAAAGACACCCTCAAGCTGCCCAGACGTGCAAAATACATTCCCTGCCCTTACTCCTTGTTTCTTGCCGCGTCAGCTTTCTGTGTCGACTTGAAGGTGGGCTCTTTTTTGCTTTATTTGGCATCCTTCATGTCATTGCAGAACCGGTATCCGTATACGAGTGGGCTTACCTTCAATCATGCTATTCTAGATGCGAGAATGGGGAGCTCTGTCGGAGGTCTGCCTCTTGATTGTCGCGGTCTGCCATACTGACGAGTCATATAGGCACCAACGATGGCATTACTGTTTTTGATATCACCAGCTCAGCTGATCCAGCTTATTGTCATGTCTCGGTTGGTGGCCTTGAGGCTAGCTATGGCGAGGGGGCTAGTATCGAGAGCTGGGTAAAGCACATTCGGTCTGTGTCTGTCAGCATTGAAAGTTTTTCGTAGGTGCCACTTTCTGCAGAACAATACGTGCGAGCATACTATCCTGCTGGTGCCCGTAGACGAAACACTGAGGTATGAACTGAGCTTTCCTTTCACTGAAATAACATCAGCGTAGAACCTCGAGGCGCTAGAGCGGGATGTTCAAGCCAAGATCGATGCTCTGCGTGGTGAACGCCTGATGACTATAGACGTTCTGGCAGAGGCATGGCCTAAAGAATACCGCGTGCAAACTCTGCCGATAGAGACGACAGATGAGCAGGCAAAACCTCGTCAACCCTTTCCGGCCCTTGTCGACTCAAACTTCGAATCCGTTGTCGAACATGGTCTCAAGACTGGTCAGCTCGAAGTAATCGAAGACATGGTATCTCATCCGAAAAAATCTGCTGATATTTGGTCCGTCCTCCAACGACAAAACCCATTTCCTCAAGTGGGCATGCCTCTTCTCATCAAGATCATTCGGCAGATACCAACTACTGCGACGAGCCTTGATTTGTCCGGATTCTCGCTCTCCGACCAGCAAATCTTGACCGTTTTAGAGCGGTGCAAAATTGATGACATGCAACTCCTTGACCTTTCATATAACTCTAATATCTCCGCCGATGCTATCCGTCTTGTTCTTGGCCAACGTCCCAACCTTCAACGACTCGTTCTTCTTGGTACCTCAATCTCCAACCATGACCTGAGTCAACTTTTGTCCACTAAGCCGTCGCTGTTTCGAACCCTGGAGGAACTTGTGCATCCTTTGCTACTTACGATAAAAACCGAAACCAAGCTTCCAAGTGCGTTCACCTTCGTAGGAATCGACCACAATGTTTTTATGAAGACCTCGCTTCCCCTTTTCTCCCCTGCTGCGATCATCCAGAACATCACAGACATCATGACAATAATGGTGACGAATAATGCTGGGATCTTCTATATGAACGGGTGGGCCGCGCAGGCGACATTTTCATCCAGCTACCTCAAAGAAGGACGTTCATGGGGAGAACGCCGTGTTTTCTGTTTGCCTAAGTTCGACCTCGTCCAAGACCCCAACGTTCGAACATGGGTTTTTGCGCTTAGATGGTCTTACCCATCGAAACCCGCCTATGCTTTTCTGTCGCGTGATGGACCGAACGGAGAGTTACTGCGATATGATCTCAGGGGATTCCTCAAAGCAATGGAGAAGGAAGGTCGTCCACCTGTCGCTGAAGACGTTGTCAAAGGGCTAGAGAGTCTTCTCCAAGAGCACGCAATAAAGTTGAGGGGTAAGGCTTTATTCGCCTTCGTATACGACGCCTTGTCCTCCAAGAGTGAGAGCGCATGGTGGTGATCTTTTTTTGTGTCATCGTCGGACTTTTGGAGTATGACTGTAGGCTGGACTTGATCCTGATGTATCAATAATGCCCACCGTTAAATGGGGAACATGGAGTTGGCAAAAAGCGTTACTTACCTTGTTTTGGGCTGTTTTGGGTAGCGTGACATGTCACTGTGACAAACGTGCTTGACTTTGTTTGTTGACGTTCATGGGGCAGAGGCACCAAATATTTCTTGTTGCCCGTGTAGTTGCGCACGGAGAGAACGCCGCGCGCTATCGATGCGTCGGTGCATACCATCATCAGTGGTGCGTGGCTGTTGATTTTTTCCCTCCTCTTTGCTTCGAGTTTTCCGTTTATCTATTTCATTCAGGTGTTATGGAAGGTTCGTCGCTCTACCCAACGACGTTTTTGTGTTAACTAACGGCACACAAGGCTTCCTCTTATGGGAGCACGTCGCTTCATCACTCTGCTCAAACAAAAAGACAATGCCAAAATCGTCAAAGCAGAAATCGACGCGATCCAGGGTCAATATGGTAAAGAAAACTTGCCGAGAAACGTGGACTACGTTCCCTGCCCTTATTCCTTGTTTCTTGTTTCGTCAGCTTTCTGCATTGACTTGGAGGTACTTGAACAAGTCTGTTCTTACTACGTCTTCTCATAGTATTACTACAGAACAACTATGCTAGTGGTGTCACCTTCCAGCATGCCATTTTGGATGCGAGAATGGGCAGTTTCGATGGAGGTTCTTACTCAATTCTGGCCTTTGTACAACACTAATTCTTTGCCAGACAATAACGATGGCATAACCGTTTTTGATATTACCGATCCAACTAACCCAGCGTATTGTCATGTGAGGAGTAGGCGCAAGGTGAGCTACTTAGCTTTCTCGTCGCCGATTCTTCATTTATTTGTAGGGCCCACTTTCTGGAGAGGAATACGTGCGAGCATACTACAGCCAACACACTGAGCTCCCCCAAGTATAGCCATATAAGTCGTCCTTCTTGCAGGTGAAATAACGCTGTTCACAGAATCCCCAAGCCCTTGCAGAAGAACTCGATGTGCGGGCCAAGATCGATGCTCTACGCGGTGAACGCCTGATGACGATCAATGTCCTCGCAGAGGCATGGCCAGAAGAATATCAGGCTGAAAATGCACAGCCTATGGACGAAGAGCAGAAACCTCGTCAACCCCTTCCGACGCTTGTTGAACTGACCCTGGGGCCGGCCGTCGAGCATGGTCTCAAGACTGGCGAGCTTGAAATGCTACAAGACATGGTCTGGCATCCGGGGAAGGCTGGCGCTATGTGGCCCGTTCTCCAGCAACAAAATCCATTCCCTGAAGTGGGCATGCCCCTTCTAATCGAAGTCGTTCAACAGCAGGTACCAACGACTGCGACAGAGCTTGACTTGTCCGGATTCTCCCTATCCAACCAGCAAATTTTGACCGTCTTAGAGCAGAGCAAAATTGATGACCTTCAACTCCTTGATCTTTCACACAACCCCAATATTTCTGTCGATGTTATCCGTCTTGTTCTTGGTCAATATCCTAACCTTCGACGCCTTATTCTTCTTGGTACCTCTATCGCCAACCACGATTTGAGTCAGATGTTGTCTGCTGAGCCGGCGCTGTTTCGTTCGAGCCTCCAAGAGCTTGTGCATCCTCTGCTGTTTGCTATAGACGGCGAATCCAATTATCCAAGCGCGTTTGTCTATGTCGGCCTTCACGACCACAATTTAGTGAAGGCGTCGTTACCGATTTTCTCGCCCTCCGCTGTCGTCCAAAACATCACCGACATGATGTCCGTACTTGCAGACAGCGACTCTTTCTATTTCCAAATGAACGGGTGGGTTGCACAGGCAGCATTTTCGTCTAGTTATCGCCAAGAAGGACTCCCGTGGGGCGAGCGTCGCATCTCCTGTTTGCCTTCATTCCACTCGAAGTTGCCTCAAGATCCCAAAGTCCGAACATGGATTTTCGCGCTGCAGTGGTCTCTATATCAGGAAGCCAAATACGCTTTTTTGTCGCGTGACGGAGCAGACGGTCCCTTGACGCCATACGACCTCAGAGGGTTCCTCGCAGCGATGGAACAGGAAGGCCGGGCACGTGTTGCTGAAGCTAGTGTCAAAAAGCTGGAGGAAATCTTCGTTCGTCTCAAAGACCGTGCGAAACACTTGATGGATGAAGCTTCAGTGGCCTTTGTCAGCAAGGGTCTTGCATCGACCCGCTCGTATGGGTATCCGTGATCTCTTTCTTGACCCTTGACCCTCTCTTGCTTTTGCTTGTCGAATGTTATCGTGACTGTACTTGTACTTGTTCTTGTTGTATTAACAATGCTTTGTTGTGACCGAGTCGAGTGTAAAATAGGTCATTCGGACATTCCGAACTCCAAGCCAACTCACTGGTTGAAGACCATCAATTTACGTAATGCATGGTGGTATCGTGATGTCGAATAAATGCTACACAATTAATACAGCGGACTAGCCCCAGCCATCCCAACGTCCAAAGCGACGGAACTCCTCTAAGACGCACTTGTGACTCTGTTTCTGGGACCCGTCCTTCTTCTCCTTGCCCTTGCCTTTCACAGATGACGAGCCACTTGATGTTCGTTGATGCCCCGGTTTGGAAGGGGAGCCGTGGTTATTGGCTGCTGCCTTGGGTAGCGACAGTCTATACCACCCACCAGCATATGTCAGCGCCAAAAGTTGATATTGAATTGGTCCCGATTCTTGCCCCGGTGCCTCGATCCAACCCACTACACACCGCTCCTCATCGACTTCAGAGACTGGAGAGCGTATTGACGTCGCAGACAGCGAAATATGCGCTGATTGGGAGGGGATGCGGTATTGCGCATACGACCATTCCGACTCAAAGTACTTGGGTAACGGGATGTAGGGCGTCAGGGACGAGAGTGTGGACTGGCGATTGCTGTAGGAGGTAATCAGATCGTGACCACATATGCACCCGAAATTGACTGACGAGACAACGAGGTTGAAGATATGAACCGTGCCTTTATCGCTCCAAACGCAAAGCTCGTGTTCATCGGGGCGGAAAGCGACGCCAAAAATATCGGCCTTGTCCGTGCCGCGCCGGAATTCCCGGACTAGCTTGCCTGAGACCGCATCCCAAACGCGGACAAGGGTGCCTCGAGAGGAAGTCGTGGCGAGTAAACGACCTGATGGGGGTACGGAAAGAGTTGTGAGGGCGGTGGTGTGGGCGGCGATTATAGATACTGGGTGCTTTGTGGGGGCTGGGGGCGGTTTACTCGGTGGGGAAGAGGAAGGTGGACCCAAAGGCGTAGGGGGGAACGCAGGGAGGGAGATGTATTAGTTGGACATGGCCTACTTGCTTGCCGGGTATTGCTAATAACGTCGCGTAAGTGCCGGTAGCGATTGCTAGGAGCCCTGCAGCGACGAATGTAGCTTGGAATCGTTATGACTGACAATCTCACCTCTTGGATTGTCCCAAGTATCCCACTCCCCGGCTCTAACGATTTGCTCTCCGATCTCAAAGACAACCACACGCCGTCTAAGGGCGACTGCCAACCAGCCTCGTCGGCACGCGAGTCCTCTGACTCGTTCACGAAACTCGAGCTCAGCTACTTCCGCGCCGAGTACGTCATCCCAGAATACTACTTTGTTGGGCGGGTAGATTGGGCTGCGGCCACCACCGAGGAGAAAGACTAGCGAGGAAGCGTGTAGAGGGACAGCGGCGGCGAGAGTACCACCAGTCAACTCTGAGTAAACGCGTCAGATTACAGGATTAAATGCCAACGAGGGCAATACCGCGCTTGCGAACGAGGGCCAGTGGGCAGGTGCGGTAAACTGCAAAACCCGCAGGTGCAACAACAGTGAAGATGGTGCAGTCTGGGTCTAGGCCAACATGGTAGATATTCACGGGTCGTGTGGAGGAGATTGATTGTCGAGCCAAGTTCATTGCTCTAGCTTTGGGAAGGTTGGCTTTATATATGCTGTTGGGTTGAAACGCGAGGCTCACCTAATAGTTACAAAGGGAACACAAGGTCATGGTGCAGACAGACCTGCTTTCGGACGGTCACACCCACCCGTTGCCATTATTGCTCGATAAGACCAAATAGTATACAAAAAGTGCATAAGATGGGATGTAATCAGCCTCGCGTCGACGCGACTCGTGCTCTCTCGCTATCCGGAAGCCAACTACGAGGAGGACGAGTGGTAATATTGGCCAACATCTGTCTGGCCATCCTAAACTCGTTCTCCTCGGCCTCGTTCTGGACAACAACTGCGGCCTTGGCCTCTGCCTGCCTCTGAAGCTCCTCCTCGGACTCGGAAGAAAGGTAATCAGTAAACCCTCCATCTGAGGTGACAGTGCTTTCAGTGTAGGACCCTGAACTGATGCTGTCGCTGCCACTGCTTGAGGTGCTGGATGTTTCGATATCCAGCTTTCTGGATGGCCTGGGAAGCTCAACAGGCTTTGCAAGCACCTTGGTTGTGGCTGGAGGCGATGTCTTGGTGATGGGTTTAGGCTTTGTCGTACTAGTTGGCGGTCGAGCCCCTGAATTTCTTCGCGGGGAGACTGGGTCCAGGTCTACATGTTTCCTGTTTGGAGAGGAATTAGACGACGCAGGTGTTGAGTCGAGGGAATGCCGGGGTCTCTCAATGTGGGAAGCCGAAGGGAGTGATCGAGAACTTGTACCGGCAATGGAGGACGGGGTCATTTGCGGGCTGCCGCCAACACGACTCTTCATCGGAATAGGCATGGCTGGCGATTTGGCCGGCTTGGTGCGAGTCTGGGAAGTTGCGGAATCGAGGACGGACTTGATCTCTGGGGGGGTTGGGACATGGTGGATGATACTGATAGCCTTCCAGTCGGCAAGCTGGATAAACTTGTGTTCACTCGTCGTAGGCGCACGGCAACAGCCCGGCCAGCCGTTATTCGTCTTGGTGCTGGCCCGGGCCCACTGTGATTAGAATGAGAAACGCGACATGAGTTGGAGAGTGACCACCAGCACCTTGCAATAGCCACAGCCGTTGAATGACTCGACTTGATCTCGTCTAAGCGCGTTATATACGCCAGTAGAGGGTAATACCTTCAGCATTCTTCAGGAAGGAGATTGTCAAGTTAGGGTGGTTTGCGCGGTTTCGACAGACATCGCGGACGTGCGGGCATCTAGCAAAGGGTAAGACAATGAATATAAGTGGTAGGATAGGGGAGAGTACCTTGGATGTGGGAATACCTGGCAAAGAGGGCAGACCTTGGTGACCTGGTCTATTGAACCGACAATAAAGCACATGTGGGGTCGTGGTGGGAGATGGGAGAGAGAGAAGGTCGACATCTGGTCGGCATTTGTTTTATCATCAACCGCAGGGCTTCGTCACTGTGGGCGACGACGACCAGAACAGCAGTAGTGGGCGTTGGCTACAGGCCATTACCACGAGGCAATCTCAACAGACCGCGCGTACGCAACCAATCTCGATAAAGGAATCATTTCAATCCAGTAACGTGTAGTTCCTCGATCGGTCTTCTCCCAGAGCCCCCGTAACCCCGCTTTGGCTTCTGTTTACCCTCTACTGCCCCCACAGTTCAACTCGTTTCCGGCCCCAGCGCGCAAGTCCGAGATACACATCGCAATCGCGCTTAGCTACGGTCACTCGGAGTTTGTCACGCCCAAATCCGGCTTACTGCTGTACAACCACCAGTCATGGGGAAAAGCCAGTCAAAGTTATCACCAGAGCAGCTCGCAGACCTCCAGAAGAATACCTACTGTAACTCCCCTATTCCGTAACATCCGCCCGCAATCTAATCATTATCTACTACTAGTCGACAAGAAAGAGCTCCAGCAATGGTATAAGGGCTTCCGAAAAGACTGCCCGTCTGGCCAACTCGACAAAGCCGAGTTTGGCAGGATATACAAGCAATTCTTCCCCTTCGGTGACCCTGGCGAATTTGCAGACTACGTCTTCAACGTGTTTGACGCTAACGGGAATGGGACTATCGACTTCAAGGAATTCATCTGCGCACTGAGCGTCACAAGTCGGGGTCATCTTGATGAGAAGCTCAAGTGTAGGTCGTTCCTGTTGACTTGCCTCGTCGCCAACGCGTGGTCATGACTTTTGCAGGGGCCTTCCAATTGTACGACATCGACAAGGACGGCACAATCACCTACGACGAAATGCTCCAGATCGTCCAGTCAATATATAAGATGACCGGTGAGATGGTCAAGCTACCGGCTGACGAGGACACGCCCGAAAAGGCTGGTTGACTTTTCTGATGATGACCCATGTGTTGTTGTTCTAACTTAGGCCCACCAGCGAGTCGACAAGATATTCCGCAATATGGACCGCGACAAGGACGCCAAACTTACCTACGACGAATTCGTTGAAGGCAGCAAACAAGATCCGACAATCGTTAAAGTGAGTGGGAGAATGGGGGCTTGGTGGACCCCACTGACGCGTTTCAGGCATTATCGCTTTATGATGGTTTGGTATAGATCGGCAAACGCGTCAGCTTGCTGACGTGTTGGCGGAACCAAATCCCCCTTTCGTTGTTCTCACTAGTAGTTCCTCGAATGTAGCAGTAATGATAAACGAATTATGTTGTATACCCTAACTAAGCCTTGCCATATCTTTGCAACACGCGATCTTCAACCCCATCGCCTACCCACGTATATGACCCCTCTGCAAACTCCAGGTTGTCCTTTTCGGCTTTGAACAGCTTTCCAAAGTCTTGCGGGCCAGCAGCCTGGGGCGCGGCGAACGCGTTGGCATTCATATCCCGAGACGAATCAGCAGCTGTAAAAAATACGTCAAACACCCTCGAAAGGAAGATCAGCTGGCCTACAGTTGTCGCCCCCAAGAATAAGGCGATAGAGACCGTTCAGACCAAAGAAGTTGAGAAAATACCAAGACAAAGAAGATACCCAACGGACATCCATGTCAGTCGTCTCGATTCCACGTTGCAGCATCGATTTGAAACCCAGTGTGAGTGGGAATGGCAGTTTGACTTGGCTTCCTCAGCACCTAACAGCCTGGATAGCACAGCACGTACTGAGTACAAAGCCTTGGAAGAAGAAATTAATCCACCCCATAATGACCATTTGTGGGACCATCATGACTTGGGCGACGCGTCAGCAAATGGGGACAAGCATATAAGAAAACAGCTTTCACCCATTTGTGTCTTCATCCCAGCCATCATACCGTCCATTGCGGCTGGGTCGGTCATTGGGTTGGGTGGGCCCTTTGGCGCTTCTCCTTCGCGCGGGGGACCGTCTTTTAGATATGTGCCAGCTTCAAACGCATCATACAGGTGCCTTGAAATAGACTTGTAGTAGGTCGGGGGAATGGGGGAGTTGGCCGACGTCGCTCTCAGCACTTGCGAGCGCGTCAGTGCCCGTCTAGATGCGATTTCAGTCCGCCAGCGATGCGCCGTTTGAAGAACAAGCCATACTGTTCACGTACGGCTTCCCGAGGAAGCTTTTTCGGCGGGCTTTGGAGGAGTATTACCACGTAGTGCCTTAGAATACCAACAAGAATCTGAAATTCTGGTGTTGGTTCAAGATCACCGAGAGAGACAGCGACAGACCATGACCAAAGTAATCGGAAATAGGACCCAGTCGCGGATTTGCGGGTCCAGATATAATGAGCTGTGTGTCTTTACTGAGCCAGTTATTTTCTACGTGCTGGGGAACGTACGCTGGGCCTGCCATAGTGGTCGAGAATTGGTATCAAGCCTACGTCACAGGTGTGACCGGACTACTTTACTCCCAAACGACGACCATGGACACGTCCGCGACGTCTCTATTTGACTCATACGAAGGCGATTTCAAGGCATTCATCGAAACTATCCGACAGAAGCTCGATGGGGAGGGGAGTGAGGAAAGCGGCGAGCAGCGCAAGGCTTCATTGAGGCGAGCGGAAATGGAGCTGGATGAGGCTGACGAGATGGTATGGCTACTCGTTGGCTGCCTATCCAGGAACCCACAAAGTAACTAGGTCTCCCAAATGGAAATCGAGATCCAAGGGATTCCCCAGTCAATACGACCACAGTATCAGACCCGACTGCGGACCGCCAAAGCGGACTTGTCGCGCTACAAGAAGCAATACAAGGACGTTCATGCCCAACTTGCTCGCAGTGCTTTGCTCTCTTCGTCGTCCAACCACACCAACTTCACCTCTGACGAGCCGTATGGCGCAGCAAGTGATCGGACCAGGCTTCTTGCCGGCACAGCTGTACTTGAAGACGGCTCAAAGCGGCTGCAAGACTCGCACCGAATTGCCCTTGAGACGGAGAATCAAGGCGCCGACATTCTGATGAACCTTCGCCAACAACGAGAGCAAATCATCAACTCTCGCGATACGGTTTGCACTCGTCATCCTCCAACTATGTCCTGCCTAACCATGCTTAGCTTCAAACGGCCAACACCTCCATTGAACGAGCGTCAGGCACTCTGAAGGGCATGATAAGAAGGTAATGGCGCTATATCTTCACTTTGATACGACCCTCTCAAGTTTCTTTTAGGATGTACCAACAGCGCATTGTGACTGGGGCCATCATCCTTGTTCTCATTCTCCTTATTGGCATCATCCTCTACGAGAAGTTGGCCTGATAAGTCGGACACTTTACTCTTATACCGCTATTCTATGATTCTGTTCTTCGCCCGGATTAATGGATTGTATGACTATACACGTACAATTGGGCGACAAGAAGAAAAAAAATAGAAGAAAAAAATAGATAGTCCTGAGAGAACCCTATTTAAAACGCATTTCCGCCTCTCTCCACATCGTAAGGTTGATTATGCCATTGTTGCCGGGGTTGATGTTGATGCAGTTGCTGGGAAGACGAAGAGTAGCCTCCGTAGGCGTCCCCTTCATCATACGCCAGGCCAACATTATCTGGAGGAGGTGGAGCTGGAGAAGCACGTGGTTGGGGAGTGGGCACTGCCCGTCCTGAATAAACATCGTGGGGATCGTAGTTCGAAGCTGCATAAGGAGCAGCAGAACCAGGTCTGTCTATTGGGTATTGTTGCTGGGAATACGGCGCGTTATTGTAGCTGTCCGCATAGTGTGGGTTGGCGGTTCCAGGACGGTCTGGATAGTGCGGGTTAGCAGTTCCAGGACGGTCGGGATATTGATGGCCGAATGGCGCTGCGCCAGATGTCAATTGCACATTGCTGTCGTCCTCATATGGAGCTGGATATTCGTCGCCTTGGAATGTGGGTTGCGATGGATTAAATGTCGCATAACCATCCTGGGGTTGATGAGCAGAGTAAGGGTTATATGCAGGCATTGGAGGCGGATTGAAGTTGTTCTTCGACTCGTTGTAATAGTAATACGAGTCTTGGGTGTAGGTACTCGGCGCCGCAACTCGAGTGTGCATCGATGATTTGTCATCAAAGTCGTCGTCCACAGACAAATTGGGCAAAGTCGGTTGAGGAAGGGGCTTGGAGGTGTATTCACCCTTCTTGTTCTTGAGATGGGAGTAGTCACCACGAGCCTCCTTCATAGCTTGTTTCTTGTTCTCGTCCAATCGCTTCTTCTGGTGCTTCTTGATGACACTCTCAATGCGCTGCAGAAATGATCAGCACCGAACAACAATCCAAACTGGAAGATGTACCTTGTCAACCTTATGGCAGCAGTACTCCTTCAGATTGCCTCGGATATAGCACAACAGGGGGATGTAACAGATGCCAGCCACCAAAAGAAGGAGAAGAGAGCCGAGGAAAACGACGACTGTGAATAACGTTGTGACTGTGAGGAGCGAAGTGGACATCGTATTGCCAGTGAAATATCCGCGGATGTCCCAACCAGCCTTGTCATGCTTGGCCAACCAGACCGCATATAGTGTGAGGGCATTGATCGTCTGGCGAGGACCATCAGCCAGGAGAACTCGCTTCCAACCTATCCAAGTTTAAGCGTAGAGCAAAAATTGGATCTTGACACATACTCTTGAAGACGAAGAAGACGAAGAAAGCAAAGTCGTCACTGGTTTTCGTAGAGTTGCTGATATGATCGAAGAAACAAAAGTGGTCATAGGAACCTGCAAGTGGGTAAGAGTATGAGAGGGGGAATTCGCAAGACGCACGCAGCGAGTAGTAATTATTGGCCAACACGTTGGTGAATGCGTATGATATATCATGGCTGGCAACGATGAGTTTTGCTTTGCGAGCCTCATATCCGAGCTGATATAGGTGTTAGGCATGGATTGCAGAGCAAGGAGAGTACTGACGAGGAGGAAGGAGAATATAATGCAACCGACAAACAGCCACTTCCCAGTGTCGAAAGGGATGAAGACACAACCGTTTTTTGTTTGAGCGGTGCACTCGGTGAAGATCTGGTTGGACCAACTCTTGGTCGTCAACATGGTCACAGCGGTGAATATGTCGGACATATAGACCGCGAACGACTTGAAGAAGATCAAGAAGAGGAAGAAGTATTTGAAGCGCATTTTGAAGCCATTGTCACGGAAGTCGGCGACGGAGATGAAGTCGAACTAGAGGTGATGAGTTGCGAGGTCAAAGAGTAGATAGCAAGGGTACCTTGTGGTCTTGAACGACCTCACGTTTCCACTTTGGACCACCACACATTGTAAACGAGCGTTAGATATGTTCTGGGGTTGCACAAGTGCGATCCAGTCGCATGCAAGTGCAGTAGCGAGCGAGCGACGGCGATGCGAGGTAGTGGTTACCGTGAAGGCAAGGATGTCACGTGTGACCATCACCCGACATTGTGTCTGTTTCGTACTCCAGCCGCCGAAAATGACGACGGTACAGAAGATAAAAGTATTTTCTATAGATTTGTGCTAGGAATGACCAGAATTATTAACGTACGATAGGAAATCGAAGATGAAATGGCCAAGAGTTCGTGGCTTGTTATGTTGCGACGCGTTTGTGCTTCATGGCAACATTTTAGCGCAGAAGAATAAGGCTACGTCTTATCATCTGGGTCAACTCAAGGCAAAACTCGCAAAACTCCGCCGAGAACTTATCAGCCCAAGCGGAGGCTCTGGCGGGGGAGGCGGGGGAGTGGGCTTCGATGTTGCGCGTACCGGCGTTGCGAGTGTCGGGTTTGTAGGCTTCCCCTCTGTCGGAAAGGTTTGCCAACGGATTGCAGTTATTTCTACCCTTCTGATCCAAGCAATAGTCAACACTAATGTCCAAACTCACTGGCACACATTCCGAAGTCTCCGCGATTGATTTCACAACACTCACTACCGTCCCTGGCACAGTAAAAGTACACGGTGCACCAATACAAATCCTTGATCTACCTGGTATCATTGAAGGTGCTGCTGATGGTCGAGGAAGAGGTCGACAGGTCATTGCGGTAGCTCGGACAGGTTTGTGAGATGAATTTGCCCCGATGAATCTCAAAAAGACTTCTAGTAAATTTGATATTCATTGTTCTTGACGTCTTGAAACCTTTGGGCGACAAGAAAATAATCGAGAGCGAGTTGGAAGGCTTCGGTATCCGGTTAAACAAGCGACCACCAAATATCACCGTCCGCAAGAAAGAAAAAGGCGGCATTGCTATAACCCACACAGGTAGGTTTTGTAGCACTTCGCTGTGGGCGCCTAATCTCCGGCAGTGCCACTAACGAACATTGACCACGACGATATCAAGGGAATTTTGAACGAATTCAAACTGAGCAACTGTGATGTCGCCATTAGAGAACCAAACGCCACAGCAGACGACCTCGTAGATGTCATTGAAGGCAACCGGTTAGGCTTATTCACTTCTCCACTCCCTCACTTAATACCTTTGCAGGGTTTACATTCCAGCAATCTATGTCCGTTACCTCCCACCACCAGACTTTGACAATTTTAATTTCCATATATAGGTTCTCAACAAGGTCTTACAAGTCGCCGCCATCTCATGATCTAGCTCACGCCTCCAGATCGACGCAATCTCCATCGAAGAACTCGACTTGCTGTTGGTTCTCTCTCTTCTCTGCATATGTTTGTGCCTTATACGAGACACTCTAGCTACAAAATCCCGATGTCTGTCCCAATCTCTTCCAAAGAGTGGCTGAACGTCGATGAGCTGATCGCAAAGATGTGGGAAGCACTCGACCTTGTCCGAGTTTATACGAAGCCACGAGGATTAGCACCAGGTACAACTCACATTACGGCCAGACAACCCTTTTAAACCACCTAGATTACTCTGCTCCTGTCGTCCTACGCCGGGGCAAATGTTCAATCGAGGACTTCTGCAACGCCATCCATAAAGAGATCGCCAAACAAATGAAATAGTCTGTCCCCTTCTGCTTTTTGGTCTGCATTGACAAATATTGTAGTGCGATTGTCTGGGGAGCCAGTGCCAAACACGCTCGAGGTCAAAAAGTTGGTCTTGAGCATATGTTGGATGATGAAGACGGTAAGCCTCCTGCTTATGTGGTCCTCTTAGGCTCACTTTTTCGCAGTTGTCCACATTTCGAAGAAATGAGCTGAGACGGGTTTATTATATCCGATCCAGCGGGCCTAGATAGGTCTGCTCGTTTAGGTATATGTACGTCAACCGACAGAATCCCCAAACAAGCCCTACACTGCAGTAGACACTTGTTAACATGAGAGGCAAAAATTCCATAGCCTTCGTTTGAGGCGTTTGAGGCTCTGGTTCTGGGCAAGTGAACTCTGCTGACGAGACACAAGTCCCTGATACATCAGATGTTGCCCTTCGTGCCATGTAAACGGGGAATAAGGTGACAAAGAGCTGGAGAAGGGGGAACCCAGCAAGATATACCTTCTCCAGTGTGTCGATAATGACGAATGACAACGAGTTTGGGTACCTGATTTTGAATGATTCGTCAATCGGTTCGAAAGATTGAGAGTATTATTACGTACTCGTAAACCCTCCTCGTCAAAGGCACGTAGACAAAGATGATCCACAGTACGGAGTAGACCACTTTCACCATGGACTCTGGGCAGGAACGAGTTATATCTGATTAACAAGTAATTGATTAATTTACCTCCAGGCGTAAATATGAGAGGGAAGAGCGAGAAAACGCCAGCAACGCTAGCGAGGATGAATGTTCTGAAATATGCGTGTCGCTCCGCCGCCAAAAGACTGGGACATATTTGAGCGAGTTCATGCAGTAGGGACATGGAATCACCTCAAGGGTACTAGGACAAGAAGGATGGCCTTTTCATGCACATGCCAACCGAAAAGGTATGATGCGTATCCACAAAGTGTCAGGGAAGTCAAGAATGACTTGTATGTCGGGGTAAACCAGAGCTTAACGAGCGCAATCTGCATTGTTGTCAGTCCAAGGATAAAAAACGATAAGAGTTCGAGCACGGATTGAAAAGCGACCGTGATCGTAAAAGTGTGCATAGGTTTGATGTTGGGTATTACTGCGAAGACAGTATCTCCGACGAGCCCTCGAGAGGTAGAGGCAACGCCAGAAGCATTGATAGCTACATCTGCTCCAGTGCGAGTAACATCTGGGAGTGATTAGGCAGGCGAAGGGTCAAATAGGGCAGCTTTACATCGTAACAACACTCTGTCGGCAGCAGTGACTAATGCCCAGGCGTTTGGAGCCCAATACGCATGGTTGAGACCTCTCGTGAATGGGAACAATCGCGAAAAGACTTGAGGGATTTGCCCCATCACAATAAAAGGACCAAACGAGAGGATGAACACGGCGATGACAGAGTTGGCCAATGAGAGGAAATTTTTGATCTCTAATTTGCCTGAAGGGGAGAAGCAGAATGAGCGCAGCAGGTAGATGAAATATGCCGGCTGAGATTATCAGTTCGAGACACGAGCGAAGAAGGATCAAGCTCACTGCAAGGTACATGTAGATATGCTTGAAATTGAGCAAAACTGCAAACAGGATCCCGCTGGCCAGTTTTTTCCCCTTTGCTGTGTCAGCTTGAGAAATTAGGGAATAAAGAGCGTCACATTTCGAGCCATTAGTATGGACCATAGCAGTATGCCGAACATGAAGCCGTTATATTGGAAGTGGATGTGGTCGATGATGAGGAAGCCAGGATGAAGGAAGAGTGAAGCTGAGATGATGCGCTGGGTTGCTGGATCCACAGAGCCTCGTATGAACCTATTCGAAGTAAGAGGAAGTCGGCCAATGATTGGAGTAGACACCTTAGTAGGACTGCACCGAGGACAAGCTCAGACAGAATAACCGTCGTGCGCTGGTAGGCAACAACGGACCAAGCGTCATAGTTCAGATTGTTGAGGTCTACGATTTTCGGGTCGATGAAGTAGGCCGGGATGGAAAGGAGCTTCTCGAAGTATGCGAAAAACGGAGGGTAGTCGAGAGCTATCCAGATTTGAGCAACCTAAGGGAAGCGGACAGCGAGCAACACACTCCATTCGGACGTTGTCTATGAATTCCATCAGAGTAATGCGCACGCGTGGATAAGTAACGCACATCGTGGTACCACTGCGATATGGGAAGGGAGTGTGTTATTGCCAGCCAATTTCTGTGCACCTCAAAGTCTGTTGAACGACTGCCTTCTGAATGCATTGACAACGCGTAGACGGGGAGCGCGTACTAAGAAGGGAACAAGAGCAGCTTGAGGGATGTCGAAAGAATCAAGAGGTCATATTCCGAGCTCTCCAAGCCCCAGCTGAACCAAGATTTGCCTTTCGGTTTCGGCGGCGGCGCTGTCGCGGTCTTCTCCATTACACGTCAGTAACGGTCACGCAGCTTTCTCTTCCATGAACCAAGCCGCGCCGGCCAAACTTACCCAAGACGCTGCTTCGGGGTAAGCTTAACTTATCCTCACAAGGACTGTCCGACATCTCGCATAGAGCACAACTCGCGAAACTCATTTTGTTCAGCCTCGCTCTCGGCATCGCTCCGCTTTCGTCCTACTTTGGGTCACTCAAATATGTGTGGGATGGTGAGTCATCATGCTCCTTGCGTTTATAACTTCATTAGACTTCAGGCAATTCAACCTATGCAGCATTAACGGCGGTTGTTGCTGCAAACATCGTTCTAGTCGCTTACATAATCACCTCTATTTTGGATGATCAACGGACAACAGCGCCCTCGACAGAAACCAAAAAGACCCAATGAATTATGCACGTATTGATTTTAGACTCCATGAATACCCGAATAATTATAATATACCAGCTCGTTTCAACGAGTTCAGATTAGATTGCATAGCCCCACTGCCGCACCTCCCGATCCAACTAATAGTTGAATGTCAGACCAAACGAAAAGAAACGGAATCAGACTAACTGGTAGGGGAGGTCGCGGTTGTCTTTGGGTGATACTGTCACTTGAAGTGTTCCGATGGGTGCTGGCGATTGGCTGCAAATGAGGCACAGACTGCGCCGAACGCAATCGAGGGCCAATAGGTGATTTTACAACATTGGGAGAAGGAGGGAGGGGAGATGTTGGGGGACTAGATGGGGGACTGATTGGTAAAGCACGACGACCTGAAGGCTTTTTCAGCATGATGATCGGAGAAGTTAGCTGTCTTTGTCTCGGCACTGGGGTGGTAGGCGTGGCTACTGGTGTCGAATCGTTGGAATTAATGAATGCTGGTGATGGTGGAAGTGGCGCTATAGTTGGAGTGGGCCGAAGAGTAAGCGGCGGTGGCCGATGTGTCCGTAGCGGAGGTGGTTTGGGAAATAAGGACAATGGAAAGTCGCTGCTCGTAATACTATGAGTACCATCGGCAGAGCCATCCGAGTCGGAGTAATCAGAAGCATGCGAGGGTGATTTCGATGCGGACAAGGTAGGATTCGATGCATTAGAGTAACGCGTAAAGTTAGCACGCGGTGCAAGATGATCGTCTTCCACTAGGAAGCTTGCCCAAGTATTTTCGAGTTGGGGTGGGCGGCGGCGCCGTCGACTTGAAATGGGCGAGTGCGAACTGGAGGAATCCAAACCATCTAAATCGAGCGGTGGAGGTCGGGGAGGACGTTGTGGAGGCATTGGGGGTAAAGGTCGTTCGGATAGGGACGGGGAGTGGGGCAAAGGGGCTGTAGTTGGTGAACGTCGCGATGTGTACTTGTCCTCCACCGTGACAAAATTTGGAGTCGAAGCTGATTTGTTTCCTTTCGACACAGTTAGCAAACTAGAGGGAGCAGAAGTCGCGTTGTTGGAGTGCATTTCAGGGAGTGCTCCCTCAGGGGCAGTTTGCGGGCGACCATTGACGCGTTTCCTCCAAGTCCGCAAGAAAGAGGGCTGGTGCATGGCGGAAGCGCAGAGTGGACAACTATCCTCTGTATCTATATGCGAACAGGCTCATGGATGAATGATTCTTGATGAGTTCCTGGTGGACAAGTGTTGCGACAGGCGAAGGGAAAGTGGCTATAAGGGGTGCTGCAGTGGGTAATCCTAAATCAGCTGCGATCTTGCTTTTCTCCTAGAATGCAACTTGATAACAAAGCGATGCCCTCTCGATTGTCAACGCTAAAAACTCTAAGCGAGGTGGCGGAGGCGCAACGCACCCAACCAACCGACTGGCAAGAGACATGTCAATGGATGTCGCAACCTGGAACCTTTGGACAGAACTATGGCAGCTGCACGTATAGATGCTATAACCGACTTCTGAGCGTGCAAGGACGCATGATCCCAAGACCGAGGCCATCCAAAAGAGTTGTACCCTTTAACCACCGCTCCGAAGGCAAACATAATTAAGAGATGATCCGTGAGTCAGGTCGACTCACACAGCAAAGAGGCAACAGGCCCAGGGCGGAATCTTCGAGCCAACTGTCGAAGCTTATCACCATCATAGCCAGAATAAGTATGGAACTCGGTTGATTGAGAAAAAAAGAAAGGATTGCTGCTACTTATCGACCCGGTCTGCTCGATGCTAGGACTTGGTTCAAAAATGTGACTGCATCTTCTCCTTTTAACCTCTCTGCACGTTTGTCGAGGACGAGAAGGACAGTTTGCAATTTGTTCACCAAGTCTTCCTTTACCGGAGGTCGGCCTTCTTCTTGCATTGCTTTGAGAAACCCCTCGAGATCATATACCGATGAATTTCCGTTGGCGCCATCACGCGATAGGAACGAATAACTGCGTTTTCCAAAAAAGGGCCATTCGAGAGCAAAAACCCATGTACGAAAGTGCGCATTGCGGAACATATCTGTTCCGGGAACACACCAGACACTGCGTTCACCCCATGACAACCCTTCTGGGCGGTAGCTGGAGCTAAAAACCGTTTGCGGAACCAGGTCTCTCATATAGAACGGGTGTTCTGTGGCGGCAAGTGTTGATACTACAGTATATCGGTAATGCCTTGGATGATTGCAGAGGGAGAGAATATTGGAAGTGAGACAATGCATGAATGATTTCCGTGGTTTCCAGCATATACGAATGCACTGGGGAACGTGGGCTTCTCGATAGAAAGGAGGAGAGGGTGAACGAGTTCTCCAACATTGGAGCGAAACAGTGACGAATCAGCAGACAACAGCGTGCTCAACTCTTCGTTCGAGATCGATGTCCGGAGAAGAACAAGGCGCTGGATGTCAGGACGTCGTTCAAGGACAAGACGAATGACTTGGGCAGAAAGGTAAGAGTTTCGAGAGAGATCAAGCATTCTTAGATGCTCAATTTGGCATTGTTCCACAACGGCAAGAGTCTGCTCGTAAGAAAGAGAGAAACCCGACAAATCAAGGCTCGTTGCAGTCGCTGGCACTTGCTGCTGAACGACTTTGATCAGGAGAGACATCCCCACGTCAGGAAATGGGTTTTGCCGCTGCAACACGGGCCAGATGGTGGCAGCTTTCCCGGGATGCCAGACCAAGTCTTCTATCACTTGAAGTTCGCCAGTTTTCAGCCCATATTCAACACCAAGTCCAAGTGTCAGATCAACCAACGTAGGAAGATGCTGTCGTTGGCGAGACGGACTGACTTCCGAGTCAGTGATAGACTCTGAAGGATTGTATTCCCATGGCCGAGCCTCTGCAAGCGTATCGATTGTGATCAAGCGTTCGGCACTGAGTGCGTCGATCATGGCACGAACATAAGTCTCCTCCTCGTCAGACATCTGAAAGCTATATTTAGCTGCATCGAGGAGAATTTAGTCTTACAGAAGCATCCTCTTTAAGGGGAACATAAGCACGGACGTACTGCTCTGCAGAAAGGGGAATCTTGCCAGATGAATATGGACGAAAAAGTATAGTTCGACAACTCACATAGTTCTCCACCTCTCCGCCAGCCTCGGCAGCCTCAAGACCATACACAGCGACGTGACAGTATGCTGGATCTGTTGGTTTTGAGATGTCGAAGACAGTTATTCCGTCGTTGTTGTCTACTCTGATGAGATTGGGTTAGCCTCAACAGAAGCTTACCGCCATCTCCACTTCCCATTAGTGCATCTAATATGCCATTGGAAAACGACCCTCCGCTAGCATGGTTATCCTGGTTGTTGGGTGAGGACAAGGAGTGGGAAAAGGATATTCCATACCTCCAGGTCGACGCAGAACGCGGATGCTACTAGAAATAGAGCATAAGGACACGGTACATAGCCATTAGCTGTGTCCTCTCTGTACTGGCCTTGAAGTGCAGCAAGTTCTGATTCGACAACTCGAGCATTGTTTGTTTGCTTTAGTAGCGTAAGGAAGTTACGCGTCGCTAAGACGACGGAACTAATTAGAAGATATTATAATGGAGTTGGACGCGAAAGTGGAAGGCAAACCTCCCAAAGCACCTATGAGAATGTTCAGTACAACAACAACAAGACAAGAGGCATCATCAAAATGACACACCATTGATGGTGATATGCGCGCCGACACAGCGATAACTGGCAGTATCTTCGCCGTCTGGTATAACCCGCGCGATGAGAAAGATTTGGTGTCTCTGACCCATTTACAACAAAGTCTTGCTTGGTTGGTTCTGACTCAAGTCACGCTATCACCTGAACCAGTGTCCCCTTTCCCGCCACCTCCTTTTTTCGCTCTACGTTGACTGAAAGAAGGAAATCCCTGAAAAAAAGTTCAATACGATTCCGAACGAGTTATAGTAGTGTACATTCAAGCTTCAATGTTTAACAATGAGTAAGCTACGAAGATTGCAGTTTCCAGACCATACAGATTTACAGATTTAATCTGACTCCATCAAGTGACGATTGTGATGCGCCATTATCTGACCAACATCGGCTACTTTTGTGCGGTCGGTCAAGTGGACAGTGTCCTTCAGACGCGCCAGAACATTTTCCAGCTTCTGGACATCGGCTTCGGGCACTGGTGGACGGCCTTCTTCCTCCATTGCTTTGAGGAACCCTCGGAGATCATACACCAATAGGTCGCCATCAGGTCCATCGCGAGACAGAAAAGCATAGAAATTGTCCCTCCTATACCTAAACCACTGTAGAGCGAATATCCACGTTCGAACCTTGGGATGATGCAAAACATTGGGTGATGGAATGCAGAAAACACGGCGTTCGCCCCATGCTAGTCCTGGGAGCCGATAACTCGATCCGAATGCCGCATGAGTGATCCATTCCGCCATGTTAGCATATCGATACGTGGGGTCGACTAGTGGAAACAGAATATCGGTCATGCTTTGGATCAGTGCAAGAGGCGAAAAGATAGGAAGCGACGTCATGGCTACAGTGTTCATATCGAGAATCCCGAGGAATGAAAATGCGCTTGGGGCTATGGAGTTGCTGGGGGGGACACATCAAAGGGTGAACAAGTTCCGCGAGGCACCGAAACAGCGACGGTTCAGCAGACAACATCTGGTTCAAATCGTGGTTGGCGATAGAGGTACCAAGAAGAATAAGGCGTTGAAGGTTAGGATATTGGCCAAGAACAAGACGAATGACATCGACAGAAATATTGGGGTTGTGTGAAAGATCAAGGTGTTGTAGGTTATCAATGTTGCACTGTTCTAAGACGGTCAAAATTTGCTGGTTAGAGAGCGAGAATCCGGATAAGTCAAGGCTTGTCGCAGTCGTCGGTACCTGCTGTTGAACGACTTTGATGAGAAGAGACATGCCTACTTCAGGGAATGGATTCTGTCGTCGAAGGGCGGGCCACATCGCAGCAGCTTTTCCTGGATGCCAGACCATGTCTTCGATTACTTCGAGGTCGCCTGTTTTGAGGCCATGCTCGACGGCCGGCCCCAGGGTCAATTCAACGAGCGTCGGAAGGTGTTGACGAGGCTTTTTCTGTTTAACCGCCGGCTTCGAATCTCCCTCGTTATATTCTTCTGGCCATGCCTCTGCAAGAACATCTATGGTCATCAGGCGCTCGCCACGAAGCGCGTCGAACTTGGCCCTGACATCGAGTTCATCTAAATCGGGGTTCTGTGGATGTCAATCAGCAGTATTGGTGTAAGGAAACGATACTCATACCTCCATGTCCTTTGTCGCGGTCTCGGGATAGTATGCCCGGACATATCGCTCTGCAGAAAGTGGCACCTACATCGAAGAGGTTTGTTACGAACAGAGCGAAAACAATTAATTCACCCGGCTCTCAACATTGTCGCGGGCAGCCTCAAGGCCATATATTGAGACATGACAATAAGCTGGATCGGCAGGGTTCGTGATATCGAAAACGGTGATTCCATCGTTGTTGTCTATTTTCATTCATTCTCGTGTGGATCGCGGAAGTAAGCAGAAGCTAACCTCCTTGACTACTGCCCATCATCGCATCCAGAATACCGTGAGCAAAGTTATCCCCACTCATGTAGCCGTTCTGTGACAGTTTGAGGAGAGGAGATAAACGAAGCGAGCAAGGGCCGCACTTCCAAGTCGACGCAAAATGCTGATGCAACAAGAAACAAAGAGTAAGGACAGGGGACATAATTTGCGTTCTTGGCTGAGGTTTCTTTGCCGTATTGGCCTTGAAGAGCATCAATTTCAGCTTTGACGATTTTGGCGTTGTCTGAATGCTTGAGCAGGGTCAGAAAGCGACGGGTAGAGCTGAGGGGAAGTCTGGTGGTATGCGGTAGGTGGATGAGATAGAGCCACTGATAAGAGCGAACCTCCCGTAGCACCTACATCACAATGAGTATTCGCAACGAAAATATTTGCGACGTACCACTGATGGTGGTATGCGCCAACACAACGATAGCGTGCAGCGTCATCCCCGTGGGCCACGACGCGAGCAACAAGAAATATCTGGTGTCTCTGGCCCATTTGAAGGCCAACAAAGACAAAGTGAAACGCGTATGTCACCGTGACCTGTCACGCACATTTTTTCCAAAATCGTCCATGTTACGAAGACAAGCTCGGGAGCGGCGACAATATGTCTACGCCAAATCGCTCGAGGCACAAGAGCGGCAGACATATAACCGCAAACAACAACTCAAGGACGCGCTCGCAACTGGCAAAGCACTTCCTACCGAGCTCAAACATGATGCAAAACGTCTCGGACGGGACCTTGCCTTCGACGGGGCTCAGGAAGACCCCACAACTCACGTGGACAATGAATACTCTCGCGCAGGCATCCAGGACCCAAAAATTATCATAACTACATCCCGCGATCCAAGTTCCAAGCTGCTGCAATTTGCCAAGGTGGAATTTCTCTCGTGTGGAAATCTCGGCGCTTACCAGCAAGCTAGGAAATTCGCCTTGTCTTTCCCAACTCGCATCGAATAAACCGGGGCAACTATGTGGTAAAAGAGTTGGCCGACGCTTGTAGAGCGAACGATGTCACGGACCTGATAGTTTTGCACGAACATCGCGGAGTCCCAGGTGGGTACATTTGCGCTCCGATTATATGAGCACTCACTTTCGTGCAGATGCTATGATCGTTTCCCATTTTCCTCATGGCCCAACAGTGTACTTCACTCTGAGCAATGTCTCTCTGCGACATGACATCGGGACCTACAAGTCGTCGACTGTTTCAGAACAGTACCCCCACCTTATATTCGAAAACTTCAGCTCACAGTTAGGCGAACGTGTTAGGGATGTTCTGAAGTACCTCTTCCCTGTGCCAAAAGAGGACAGCAAACGAGTGATGACATTCTCGAACGAAGATGACTTCATCGCTTTCCGGTATGGTATATAGTTTCCTCTAGCCATTGGCTGAAGTTGTGTCTTAGACATCATGTCTTTGTGAAAACCCCTCCACGACAAGTGCAATTAGCTGAAGTAGGCCCCCGGTTTGACATGAAACGTGCGTTTTACCACTCCATTTTATCGTCTGTTCTCATCGAATTTCAACAGCCTACGAGATCCGACAAGGTACCTTCGAGCAATCGGAGGCTGAGAGGGAATGGGTCCTTGCCCATTACGCACGCACATCGAAAAAACGGACATTATTGTCAATACCGGGTTCAAGTGCTGCAGAGCCGGACAGTAGGAAACGAGCAAAACGATAAACAGCATTCAATTCCACGTGGCCTCAATCTACACTTAGGCTCTGCTCAATCTCAGCATAGTTTTCGAAAAGCGAGCGGAAAAGGTCGATGTAGTTTTGCACGTCATGCGACCCAGCTGTCTCCCGTGCTGAATGCATGCTCCACTGAGCACATCCAACGTCACATGTTCGAAGACCCAATTTCGAGAGCATCGGCCCTACCGTGGATCCACAAGCCCTAACGCTGTATTAGAATTATGTTTCGGGGGAGTTTTTTCACCCACATATCATTCCGGACTTCATATTCCTGTACTTTCCCTCCTTTCCGCTCAATGAGCTGTTTGACTATGAAAGTCGAGACCGCGTCAGACGCATAGCGTTGTTTTGCGTTGGTTTTGATAACAACACCCCCATTGATAGTGGGTTTGTGGTTATCTTCATGCTTTGAGGTGTAGTTGGGATGTAGTGCATGCCCCATATCAGCGCTGACCAGGAAGGACCGATGAAGGCTTTGGGCATAGTCTTCGCTTTTAGGCGACAGTCGTTGAATCAAAGAGGGAATGAGATTCGATTCGGCGCCAGAAGTCGACACGCTCCCGATCTCTTCGTGGTTGAAAAGCGCTGTCCAAGCGATGAATAGAGATGTAGACGGCCAAATGGGTTCAAGTACCAATGCAGTTGACATTGCCCTTGAAGCTACCAGCATTCGGTGCAGAGACACTCTGAGCTAAAGCTTCCACCGCACAGAAACTGATTCGCATGTCAGTTCGGTGAATGAAAATCAAATCCAACATACGAAGAAAATTGATTGTCCAGCCGAGGGCTAAATATAAACTCATTGTTGAGCCCTCCAAGCACAGAGGGTTGGGTATCAAAGAGTGAGCTGTGTCACTTGTTAGTGTTAAATCTGAGTTGTACACCCAACTTACAGTTCGAAGTCGAGAATATCTTCTGGTGCGACAGATAACTCGTCGGCTAACAGAGAAATTAGAGCGGGATGGTGGTTCTCTTGCACACTAGACGCCTTCTTCTCGGACGCTGACTTGGTTTCGTTAAGTTGTGCATTTATTTGGCCGAGGATAGGAACAAATTCGGTCTCCTGGTTGAACTTGAACGAGTCGTTGACATTGCGGTCCACTGCCAAGGATGAGATAAGCCGCTTAGATAACGCGGGACACACAGTGAATTGCCAGAGTTGGGATACGAAGGAGTGGTCGGTCAATTCTAACGAGCCTGGAAACATCTCAAACGATGCTTAAGGACGATTTCAGTATCACAAACCTCGATTTGAACCCGTTCGGGGTGGACGTAACGACTCTTCCAGCAATCGACAAATCACGGTCAAGCCATGAATGCCAGATACCCCCTCCATAGAGCTCCACGCCGACTTGCAGATAACCCTCCTTGGTTCTTTTTGAGACGGGTCGGACACGAAGATTTGGCGAATCGACATGAGTAGCGACAATGCTGACGCCTGCACCAGGTTGCCAGCTCGATGGAAGCTGGAAAGCAATCAATGCGGCCTGAAATCAGTTAGAACACATTCAATATAAAGCCTTTGTGGGCCACCTGGTTACGGGTAAAGTAATATCTACCCCCAGGCTTCAGATTCCACGCATCTTTCTCCAAAATTTTGGAAAATCCAGCTTGTTCTAAGCGGTCAGCAGCGTTTTGCACCGCGTGGAATGGTGTTGGGGATGCGTTGAGTAGTCCTAGTAGTCGTAGAGCTGCTTCTGGCCCTCCCTGTATGGCAGACGACATCATGCGCATCCTCGTGGGTCCGGAAATCGAAGACGTGACAGCCAGCTGTCACAATTTTTTGGGATGGTTCAGTCGTACTTGCGCCATGGGCCGACACAGGTTCGCGTTCATTGCTTTCTTTACGTGTTGACTCAAGATCTTAGGCCTTTGGTATAGTCTGCAGCTCATCTGCAAACTCTCTTTACGATGGGAAATGCGCTTATGTCCCTGCCCTCGAAGATATTCTTGTTTGGGATGTGAAGAAGGGTCAGATGCTAGCAATGTGGCATGAAACTGGTCATCGCGCTGAAGTGACTGTTGTTTTGCGCTCGCCACAACAAGACACATTTGCTGTCGGCTACGCAGACGGCTCTATTTGTCTCTGGAGTGCATCCACCAACTCTGTTCTCACTACTTTCAACGGGCATAAGAAAGCGGTTACAGCTCTAGCCTTCGATGACCGGGGTACGCGTCTAGCATCGGGTTCACAAGACACGGACCTCATTGTTTGGGACGTGGTGGGTGAGGCTGGTCTATTCAGGTGTGTTGCTGGTTTACAGAATGACATTCTCACATCATCGAATCCAGGCTTCGAGGGCATCGAGACCAAATCACAGCTCTTCGGTTTCTGACCGTACCTAATGATAACTCGCCCTCAACTTCAACTGCTCCCGCCTCAGGTCTTCTTCTCAGCGCCGCCAAAGACACATTCTTGAAACTCTGGGATTTGTCAACACAACATTGCCTCCAAACCGTGGTCGCACATCGCGCCGAGATATGGACAATAGATATTCATCCTCAACAGAACTTGCTCTTTACTGGGAGTAGCGAGGGAGAGCTGAAAGCATGGAAGTTCGATCAAGAGGCTTTCGCGGGAGGTTTGAAGGAAACAGAAACTGGAGAGGTACGTCTTTGGCTGGTTATAAACTCACACCAACGCCAAATAGATTGCTAAAATGATTCATCCTCTGGCAACGTTACCTTTGTCTTCAAATCATCGCGTCTCACAAGTTACATTCCATCCAACCTCACCGTATCTCGCTGTCCAATCCCATGACCGATCAGTCGAGATTTTCCGCATTCGCACTGAAGAGGAGGTCCAAAAGAAAAAGGCGCGGCGGCGAAAACGTGCGAAGGAAAAAAAGAAAGAAAAGGGTATCGAAGAAGACGACGAAGACATGGAAGGGGACGACATCCAACTGGTCGATCTCTTTACGCCCCACCTCGTTGTGCGTGCTAGTGGAAAAGTACGCTCTTTTGCATTTGGACCAGATGATACTGGATCCAAGGGCTCGCTTCAGGTTCGTTTAGTTTATCGTGTTCATTCGTGCTAAACAGCCATAGCTTTTTGTTGCCCTCACTTCTAACGCATTAGAAGTTTACACCATACCACCCCCCCTAAAATCCAAAGAAGCGCCTCCAGAAGCTACCCGACTCTATTCCGTCGATCTTCCTGGCCACCGAACTGATGTTCGCTCGTTATGTCTCAGCTCAGACGACCGACTTTTAGCGTCAGCGTCAAATGGCTCTTTAAAAATTTGGAATGTTAAAACAACTGCATGTCTTCGCACGATCCCTTGTGGATATGCGATCTGCAGTACTTTCCTTCCTGGCGATCGGCAGGTTCGCCCCAGGTTTCCATTGCTTTTCCGTATTCAAATGTCTCGTCAGGTTGCCGTTGGTACCAAAACGGGGGAAATTCTAATATTCGATTTGGCCTCATCCTCGTTGATCGAAACGATCCAAGCTCATACCAGCACTGTTTGGTCTCTACACGTACGTGCTGATGACCAGACGCTGGTCAGTGGTAGCGCCGATAAGGACGTCAAGTTCTGGGAATTTGAAAGCCAAAAAACAGCCTCCGGCGAAACCGTACACTTCCAATCTTTTCTACATGCTCCCACTGAACCTGTGTAGAATCTGCGTCATTTAACCCTCGTTCATATTCGTACGCTGAAAATGTCAGACGAAGTTCTTGCTGTCAAGTATAGCCCCAATGGCAAACTTCTCGCCGTGTCTCTATTGGACTCGACAGTCAAAGTCTTCTACCAAGACACCCTGAAATTCTTCCTTTCGTTATACGGGCACAAGGTACTTCAAAGTCGGTATTCCTACTGTTATCACTGAACCATGATTAGCTGCCCGTGCTGTCTATGGACATATCTCATGACTCGAAACTAATAGTGACATGTTCAGCAGATAAAAATGTCAAGATTTGGGGGCTGGATTTCGGTGACTGCCATAAATCCATATTTGCGCACGACGAGAGTGTCATGCAAGTAGCTTTCGAACAAGATTCACACTACTTCTGGACAGTTGGCAAGGACAAGTTGTTAAAATATTGGGACGGGGACAAGGTGCGTCGCTAATATACGTTCCGGGCGAGGCTGATTGGTGTGTAGTTTGAGAACATACAAAAGCTCGATGGGCATCACAGCGAGATTTGGGCCCTCGCCGTAAGTAATCGAGGCGACTTTGTTGTGACTGGATCGCATGACAAGTCGATTCGTGTATGGGAGAAGCTCGACGAACCTGTACGTTGACGATCCATCATCAAGCAGCATTTTCTAAGCTAACTTTGTTAGCTGTTTTTAGAGGAAGAACGTGAGCGGGAAATTGAGAAGATCTACGAAAGCGGCGTTGCGGATGCGTTTAATCAGGAGAACACTGGGAAAGATGCATCCGACGAGGCTGGTCAGACAATTGAGGCCACTGGAGTCTCTAAGCAGACAACAGAAACGCTGATGGCTGGCGAACGTATTATCGAGGCTCTTGATTTGGCCGACAGTGAGAGGGCAATATTCCAAGAGTATGAGGATGCCATGTCGCGCCTGCCACCAGGGGCCATGCGCCTCGCTCCTCCACCTCGCAATCCCGTATTGGCTGCCTACGAATTGGAGCCAGAGGCATGGGTTTTACGTGTCGTTGAGCGCATTCAAAGCACGGCTCTGCAAGATGCCCTCTTGGTGCTTCCCTTTGGAAAAGTCGTTTCCCTCATGTCTTACTTGAATATTTGGGCACAACGGGTAATTCAACTTTTGGTACTTGGCATCAAACGAGCTCACGCTCGGTTTCTGCAGGACTGGAACATAACCCTCGTATCTCGGGTCCTGTTCTTCCTCCTCAAGACCCACCACCATCAAATTGTCGCCAACCGGATCATGCGAACGTCCTTACTACCACTGAGAAAACATCTTCGCAATGCTCTCCAGCATCAGAAAGGTATCATGGGGTACAACATGGCCGCATTACAACACATTCGCCGCCGCAACGAGTCCGACAGGGTTGCTCAATTTTTCGAGGAAGAATTGGACGAGGGAACAGTTCGAGCTAAGATCGCGGAGGGTAAGAAGAGAAAAAGAGTTACACTTCAGGCTTAAAGTCTGTGGTACAGTGATAGTAGCTACATGTCTATGCGGTATACAAATCCAGGGTATTGTTGACCAGCAACTTCAAACTTTAGGGCCCCACAGGTCCTCAAACCTGATTCTTGGATTATCGAACCTGAAAGATGCCACATGGAAATCATACCAATCAGCCGGATGCGAGGCAGGACGGACTTGAACATTGAGCACGCCTTGATCGAAATTTCCCAGGTGGCTGAAAGCAGCACGAGTAAGATCGAGGTGATGTGTCCCAGTTTTGCAGCCAGCGCAGGTATCGACCACTCGAGTGAATGTGCATTTGGAAGGGCCATTGCAGACTAAGCTTGATCATGAGACCCATCACAGTCATTCAGGAGTTCACCTACGCTCAACGAAGTCGAAACATTTAGGTTTGTTTGTCGTCCACCCCAATAAGGTTGTTGCGCAAACAAAGGATTCGTCCTGAAGTTGTTGAATTGAAATTATGTATGTGAAGGCTCGCTACCGTCGGATGCCACTTGGTGTTGGACCAGCAACTCGGGTTGTCAAGATCATGACCAGTGTACCTAGCTTTAGATAAGATTGGGAAAACAGGCTACTAATCGACACACCAAGTCACGATCGCCTTGTTCGCTGTTCCAATGCCAGCAAGACCACGAAATTTGTCTAGGAGTGCAGAGATGCCATTCTTGGGAGCTGGCGTTGAGCGACGATACTTCGACTGGAGATCGGTTGCGTTAATGGATTGCCAGCCGTCGCGAGGATCAAAAGTGTAGGCTTCGCCAAGAGAGTGCGCGGTGGTGTATTTGCGTTTTGTGACTTCACGCGTACTGTTGACGGCAGGGACAGCAGTGGCAACAAGGGTTGAGGCAAGGCAAAAAAGGACAACAGCGAGAAGGGCGAGACGATACATGATTAGAAGACGGACGGCGCGCAATGATCTGGCGAGCGACGCGAAGGATGTTGAGGTCTTTTGGTCAAGTTGCCGTAGCGTGACAATGTTGTTACAACCTTGGTAATGCCTGTCGATAGCTCTCGTCGCTCTTCTCGAAAGCTCAACAACGACGATGAAACAGACGTTCGGAGGGCTAGGGGGGAGGTTAGAGACACTACCTCTCGCTTTGTTCATCTTGGCTAACAACTACAGCTCTCATGCGCCGAATGCCGGAGGTGAGCCGTTCGCCCAACTAAAGCTACAGACCTTAAACTTATACAAGACTCAAACTGAAATGCGACAAGAAGCTGCCATGTAGCTCTTGTAGTAAGCATTATGACTTTTTCATCGTCTCCTCCTCAAACTGCTCGGTTCAGTTCGTCGAGGCTGCCCTTCAATATGTCCAAATGGTGCGACAGAGGAGTAATCGGAAGCTATACAATAACTTATCTGGTTTCCAGGAAGCCTTTCATCTCAAGGCAAGCACGAGAATTATTGTGTGAATAGTTGGAATTGAACTCTGGGTTAAAGGAACGAGATTTGTCTTAGGTGCGTCCATGACTCCAGTGTTTAAATTGTGCTCATCTCTCTGCCAAGCATCCACGGACCACCTACACACCAAAATAGGTGAAATGGGTCAGCGCATTCGACAACTAGAAGATGCACTGGCGATTTTCCAATCTTCAACTGGGTCGAATGAGTATGAGGCCGAGTTATGAAACCGAAGTTGTTCTAATTCGTTTTCAGGACACACCCACTGCTCCGCGACGAGCTGCTATCCATCAAGTTTGGGCCTGAAAAGGGAACCGCGACCGACAAGCAGCCCAAACCTAGAGAAACTGCAACCACCGAACCCATCGATGCTTTGGGGACTTTAACAATTGGTGACGATGGAGAAGGCAGATATTTCGGGCCCTCGGCCGGCTCAGAGGTAAAATTCAGTTCGGTACTCCGCTAGCATGAAGCTGATCTATTTTCAGACTCTCTTTCTGGTAAAGACTGAAGCATTAACTGGAGACTTAACTTATTGTTGTCAGGCCGGAGCACAACTCGAAATGGCATCCAACACAGAGGATGACGATTTCCCTCCACTCAGCCTTGAAATTGCCCGCTTGTCCAATTCCTTCCCCTTCAGCGCCGGTGGCCCTCCTGGGAGAGCGTTAGACCTATTATTCGACTACCTGCCCGACCAGCCCCGTGCATGGACTCTTTGTGAGACCTATATGGAGCAGTGCGCCTGGCAATTTCGGCCGATATCTCGAGAAGAAATGATCGACGACTTCTTGACTCCCATCTACAAGTCCGCGCGAGACCGAAAAAATTGGCAAAGCGAGACTGAGTTTCCTCATGCAATTTCCCCGCATCGCTTAGCGGTATTGTTTCTAACATTCGCTCTGGGAGCCCTCGTTGATCTTACTTTGGAACCTCGTGAGTCCTTCGTCTGGAAAGTGGATCCCTAAATCCTCATTAATGACTAGACAATATCGAGTCGGATCAATTTTACCACGCCAGTCGAGCGGCGCTGGCTCTGCGTTCAATATTTGATTCCCCCGAAATGGCAACAGTACAGGCGGTCCTCCTCATGGCATCTTATCACAACATGGGTGGACGAAGATATACCATGGAAAGCTCGGTCAGTCCTATCGCACTCTGTCACCATGTGCCAACGCTTTATAGTGGTCATTAATGTGTCTTGGTTCCAAGGTGTGTTCATCAACATTTCATGTGTCTAGCTATGCTCATGGCTCTCAGCTTGCCCAGAGCGTATGTTCCTTCCCTCTAGAACTGCATATTGATCTCATTCGCCCTTTAGTTGGGTCTTCGTATGTGAACCTGTCACTGTCCGACCTTCCCTCACTGCTTCTAGATCGAGATAGTGCACGCTGGAATATGGACCCAAAAATAGTCAACCGTCGACGATGTAAGCAACATCGTTACCCGCTGATTTGATAACTTGACCTCGACATCTATAGCATTGTTTTGGGAAACCTTCAGTTCAGAACAGTTCCAGGTCCAGGATACTCGTTCCTCCTGTAAACACACTCATACCCTTAACAGAGCATTGCTCTCGGCCGACCACCATCCATCCGACTTTCGTATGTCGATTGCGAATTTCCTGCGCCAGAGACCACATTGGATGAAAATGGCAACCCTCAAGTAGATTGTGAGTCCAACATCTGATAATCAGTGAAACTGAAACGTCATTGAGATTATGAGTGGAAGTATTCATTTACGAGAGACGTATTTGCCTTGATCACGGAGCGCACTCTGACCGCTGAGACGCCATCTTATGAAACTGTCCTCGAACTGGATAGACTCGTTAGGGCCAAAACTCTCCCCCCATACCTGAATGTCTTTCTTACACGTGACGATCAAAACTGCACGCCCTCCACTTACATGCGAGGATGCCTCTTGGGCCAGTTCCGTTCTGTCGGTTTGTGCTCTATCGCGTCCACTCAAGCTTGATCGTAAACTTGATTAGCTTTGCTCTACATCCACAGGACATTCTTTGCTCAAGCAATGCTCGACCATCCTGTCAACCCTCTTAGGAGCCCGTATGCGCCATCGTTCCTTGCTGCATATAGATGCGCCTCAGGCATGATCAAGGCCAACTTAAATCACTTTGAACGGCGAGTGATCTCGGGGATTCACTGTCCTCCAAGTAACAAATGCCCAGATTCCCCGAGCTTTGTTGTCGGTGGTGGCTCGTTTGGACACATCGTGCGCATTATCTCATGAACCAATTTCACCGCTGACGATAGTCGACCAGTCTTCTCTGCAGCGGTAAGCACCGCGATCTTCATTGGTCTTATTTTACTCAGTTGGAGCAGATCATTGTGGGCTGTATTGTTACCCGCTCTCCGTCTTCAAGCATGGCTCCAACCGCATTTATCGAACTCGGTTTAGCCTGCGACCTTTTCGAGAAAGGTGCAAAGCAATCACGTCGAGCTCGCAGCGGATTGGTATGTTGATTCATCATTGTGAGGAGGTTCGCTGACATTTAAAAGGCCATCTTGTGTAAACTTCGCGAAAAGGCTTACCAAGTGTATTCGCAATTCCGCAGCGGAAATCCTACTCCTCCGCCAAATGGTTTTGGCCGTGGTCTTCATGATTATGGGGAGGACGAGCTGGCGCTCTTTGGTGGCCAGACGCGAGTGCTCGTTAGTAGGCTGATCTCGAAGCGACATAAGAAGGATGATCAGCCTACGACACCCTCGATAAGCGGGACCAACAGCAATGCCTCCTCTCCAGGCAGCTCAGGCTCATCGGCAAGCGACTCGATGCCAGATGTCCACCCTTCGCTTGTGGATTATCTTTCGCTTTTCCCTCCCTCCCAACAACCCACAGAGCTTCCAAATCTCGCACAACCAGAATTACCTCTTCCTCCAATGTTGCCACCTCCAGTCTATGCTTCTAATGAAGCTCAAGTAGACCCAGCGACATTCGAGTTTTATGGATACGACCAAACATACTATGGCACGGCAATGGGCATACCGGCTACCCAGTCAGCACCATATTTCCCTAATGTGGAACCCGCTCCGAAAGATATGTCTGACTTGGGACTGTTGCTCAGCGGAGACTCGGGTATAGATGAGCAATGGAAAAGTTTTATGAAGAAGTCTTTCTCGGGCCTGCTCGATGAACACATGGATGTTCAACCAACACAACACGCTAACTATTGATCTGCACTGTAATCTTATCATGCATACCTGTAGTCTATACGCAAAATTTCCTTTCCGGCTCAAGTTTGTGTTTCAATCATCGGCCATCAAAGTGTGCGCTTGGCTCAAGTAAACGCCATTTGGCGATTTTCGCCAGCCTCAAGGCTTTCGGATTCCCAGCCGTGTCGATGAGTCATAAATTCGAACTTGACCATGGCGCGCAAGCTGGCGACATCCCTCATTCATGCCGACGACAATTTGAGGAACACTGGGGATGTGGCGCCAACCATCGGCCTTTCAACAACCTTCATCTCTCCGCGGCCTGATGAGGAAGGCATCAAGGACTATCGGGTCAGTTACAGTCCGCTCCTTTTCGACGAACTCTGAATAGGTGCATAAGAACCCCTCACGCCATGTCTACAGTCGATACACCACACAAAACTCTGGTCGAGTCGAGCGTGTCTTGAGCGAAATCAACGTTTGCTGTGATTTACGTTTGTGGTGGATATGTGCTCAAAAGCGGATCTAGGACGGCTTTGCCATTGTCTACTCGTCTGGCCTGGCCGCAGGGTTTGCTGTCGGTCGTTATTTGCTCCCATTATTTCTGGCCTCAATTCTCCTTCACCCTAGGCATTGGTGTTTTTCCGGCCGAAACGAATTGCATTCACGGATGGTTATACTGGTACCAAAAGTCTCTTACAGGTCTGTTTTATCCGTGCAAATGGTACTACGCTTGCTAACTGGTAGACTGCTAGTTGTACCTGAAAATTGTCCCCGACCTGAAAGTCATCAAACTTGACGAAGAATTCCAAGCCGGCGATTTGGTTTGGCTGGAAACCCCGCTCAATCCCACTGGAGAGACTGCGTTAGTTTCCTGTTCTGGCGCCAGACACTCAACAGAACTGTCCACAGTGATATTCGTTACTATGCAGACAAGGTCTGCTTGTTCAAAAGTCGAAAACTCGTATATGCTAACCCGCTATCTAGGCCCACAAGGTTGGCGCAAAACTCCTGGTTGATTCGACCTTTGCTCCACCGCCGCTGCAATATCCCTTTAACTTCGGGGCCGACTGGTGTGTTCTCTTTAATCCCGCAGCGGAATCGAGTAAATGTCTGATGCCCTTTCAGTGTCATGCACTCAGGTATCTCTTCTCCCGTCTTTTTACCATGTCAAACATCGTCTTATTTTTTCTAGGGACTAAGTACTTTGGTGGTCATAGTGACTTGCTCGCTGGGGTCCTTGTTGTCCGCAAGAAGGATGAATGGGATGTCGTATGATGCAGTTCTCCGCCACGATACCATGATGAACTGAAAGACCCCATTTAGCTCCAGAGCGACAGAACATATCTAGGGAATATGATCGGTGGCTCTCTCCTCCTCTGCTCGGACGACGCTCATTGTAATAGGCTCACTCGAGAGCTGGCTCCTCTTACGCTCTCTCCGCACCTACCATTTGCGCCTCGCGCGACAGTCTGAAAACGCGACTGCGCTGGTTGAATGGCTCTGCAAGATCGCGGCAACACCCAAAGGAGAAAGCTTCGACGGAGTTCCAGGCGGGGTTATTCTGCAAGTCTGGCACTCATCCATTCAAAAGAAAGATATGCGCGGTTTCGATCCAAAGTCGCAGATGACGGGAGGATGGAATGCGACCTTCTCCATCCAGGTAAGCAACTTGGCGATGCTCATGCTGCTTGACCCCCCTGATCGGCCATAGTTATCTAGACCGGAATATGCTGCCTGGTTTCCTCACTCTCTCAAATATTTCACACCTGCAACCAGTCTCGGCGGCGTGGAATCATTGGCCGAGTACCGATTTTCTTGGGATCCAACCTCGGACCCCAAGGCAGTCCGACTGAGCATAGGCAAGCGAGCCTTTCTAGACTTAAGCTGGCTTGCTTAGACTTTTCAGGCGTAGAGGATGTTGCTGACCTTCAGGCCGACATTCGTCAAGCACTCAAGCATCTTGTTAATGTACGCGACATCTTTCATTGGTTATCTGGGCCTCATATTCCACAAGAACTCGAAGCTCTGATTGCGAACATGTACATAAGTAGCAGACGTCCTACTTAGAGGAAAGGAGAAAATGGCATCGATTTTACATAAAAACTCGTGACTCTTCTTACTTCCTGCGACCATGAGCCGCCTCTTCCTCCAAAGCGCGTTTTCACAGGCTTGGAGCGCGTCTGCGGTACTGACTTCATCCTAGACCTTCCTGTCGACATCAAGCGCGACGATGTCTATGACTATCTTCAACGTTTTGGAACCATCGTGGAACTCAAAATCATTGCGAACCGATCGTTCAGCTATGGCTTCGCGCAGTTTGAGTCGGTAGACGATGCCAACTGTGTGCTCGAGACGTTTAGAGGGCGTCTTTTCTTGGGTCACCGTGCGTTTCAAGTTTCTTCAAGCAAGTGACAGTTTCTGAATCAGCTCTCCTCACAGACACCACCATCGAGCCTGCTCGTCCACTACGCAAAGACATGAAAACTGAAGAGCGCCTTGCATATAGTACCCCCAGTCGACGAGGGAGAGTTCTCGAGCGTTTTCCAGTCATAGTCGAAAACTTGGCCCCGCATATCCGCTGGCAGGTACGTGTTTTCGACGCGTTTTCGCGTGCTTTGACGCGTCTTTTTGGTAGGAATTGAAGGACTTTGCGCGCCTGGAAAACGGCCTCGTGGCATATTGTGATGTAGAACGTGGTAACACTGGCCGTGGGTTTATCGAGTACCACACCTCCAAAGACGCAGAGACTGCGTTGAGACTGCTTGACGGGAGAAAGCTTGGTGGCCGCTCCGTTCGATTGTCTGCACCCTCTTTCAGGTCGCGTCGCTCAAGCAGATCTCGCTCACCACGCCGCCCTCGTGACCGTGCCATGACATCTCGTTATTCTCCCCTCCACCGTCGTCCGTCTTCTGACAGCCAGTCATCGGCATCTGCCAGTGACAACAACAACAACGCTGCAACTCCCGTGTTTCCCTTGCTTTCCCGAGCTATGGCATATCATGATTCTGTAGAAACGACAAACCAAACAGAGTCGATCTGGGATCGCGACTACAACTGCGATCCATACTATCTTTACGCCCAATACGACCAAAAACTCCATCAGTGCTATTAGAGTACGTGGGTCCCCGGTTGCATCGATCTAGCTTTCTAACATTGTCCAGCTTCCTTGCTGTGTTCTCGACCAACGACTGCATCCATATCATAGATTGCTCCAGGAATTACCGCATTTTTTATACTCAAAGCATCGCATCGCCTGTAACCCGCTGTTGTCGCTCTAGTTTGAACTCGTGTATTGTAGTTATTCTATCGCTTTTCTTTGCTATGGAAAAAGTCGAGAAATAAGCTCTTATCTTCCCAGCCCATCCCAGTCCTCTTCATTTTCCCAATCTGGGCAATGAGGGCACCACAAACCTCAGCTAATGGGTCTGCATCGTCGGGGCCCGAGAGAAATTCGCTTGTGACGAATAATTGGGAGCTCGGGGACTCGGAGGGAGCGAGCAGCCGTATTGAAACCGCTTGGGGCACAAGCGATGTTGCTATGCTCCATATATGCGGAATAGGATTGAAAGAGGTTGGGACACAGTGTGCGAGGGTGGCCGCAAATCTTGTTGGTGGGTCATATCTAGCACCGATAATCAGTGCCACGGGTAGAACGGATCAATGGACTCAATGGCCTTACCGGACACACATCACAAAGACATTGTAGCCTTGCACCGGAACCCTTTGTTTGAACACTTCAGCAAAGCGGAGAAGTGCTCTGCCGTTGCTGGTGGTGCATTCGGGAAATACGACAACGGGACGACGTGAACGTTGGCGGATGTCTTCCAGACTCTCATAGCTGGTCGTTTGAGCGAATGGGGTCCGCCCGGTTGCAGATAACATCGAAAGCAACGACACTTGACGGAATCCTATGATGGGCATACGAATGGTGGCAGCGCGAGTCGCACTCTGTATGTTGGCTGACCCAGTGCCAGTCCGTCTTCCTGGAGTATGGCTAATCGCCTCGGCGGGGCGTGCTGTAGCGGGAGAAGGATTGGCTGCTGTGATAGGAAGCACGAAGATGGGATTGAACCTAGCAAAGTCAAATTTGCCTTCACCATATCGCGAACATACCGGAATCCGAGCCACAAAACCTCGACCCAGGAGACCCAGTTAGAGACAATTAAGTCGCCCGCGCGTGGAGACCATCTTTCTATGTCTTTGGCGCCTCTCCTTGATTCGAAATCAGTCTTTGAGGACATGAAGCGTAGGAAGGTACTTACCCCCGTTTTCTGGTAACGTTATCTACCGACACCCACAGAGCGAGAATAGCAAGCGCGGTTCGGGCGGTGACGGCGGTGAATAGATGAGAGAATGCGGAGCCGAGAAAAGGGATGGGTTTCTTTGAGAAGTTGTTCACTATAGCATGCGTGCAGTCAAGTTGATCCTCACAAGGATGGCTCCGACAGCGCTCAACGTCAGATGGAGGCTGAGAACCACGAACAAGAGGGCAATGCGTAAGAGTCCGACAACCCAGGAGAGTGGGGTGGACACATTAGAGAGCAGGCTTGGCGACGGCGGTACGAGTGGGAGAAAGGGCTGTGTAGAGATGAGCAGCGCTTAGAATGGAAGTGGGTGTACTAGCCTGCACACCCGTGCCAGGATCTCTGAAAGCAGAGTATTTTTCCATCTCCCAGTGGTCGCGTTGCGTTGGCGTTCAGGTGACCGTGACGTGAGTGACGGCGTGATCGACTTGACGCGTCAGCACGCGTGTGTCAGACGTGGGTTGCCTCCGGCAGCCATGTTTGCGCAGCTCATCCCTTTCCTCAAAGCCCTCCCCCGACGAATTCTCAAATGGTATATTTCGATGCCCAGATATGCGAAGACTATTCTCTGGCTGTGGATTCTCTTCGAGATTTTCCTGGGTACTTGGCCTTCCCTAACTAATGCAAACGAATCTTCTCATGCGGCCAAGTGACTGTCATTGCTCTTATTGGCCCTAGCCGTGTCGCACAATTGTAGGTTTGCGCCAATTCAGCCAAACAGCGCGTCTTATCGGACCTAGCCTATACGATAATGCAGAGAAATTGGCCCAAAGTCAATTTGGCTGGCTAATCATCGGTTTGCTCATTGCCTGCATATCGTTCCCTCCATTGGCCGGCCATACCACACTCACTGGACTCTGTGGATACGCGTGGGGAGTTCCCACGGGATTCTATATCGCCGCCCCTGCGAGTTTGATTGGTGCTGCCTTTGCATTCACCACTCTAAGGCTTAGCTTCCGCAAGCGGCTACACAATTTCTCCAAGACTAATGAGAAGTGGCAAGCGCTGGAGTCTGTTATTGTATGTTTCTTCTCGATGCTCCGGCCTTACTCAATCCAAATTTCGATACAGTCAGCGAAAGGCCTCAGTCTTATTATTCTCATCCGGATGTCTCCCTTCCCACCGTAACATAACCCTTTGCCCACAGTCGATATTCTGAAAAATACTCTCAGTTGGGTTTATTCAAACGTCTTGTTTGCCTCGATTGGATCTGTTGCCCTTTGGCAATTCGTTGTCGCGACTCTGTTTGTGTTTCCGAAGCTATTCCTCCACGTTTACATCGGGTCAGTCACTCCCAGCGACTCCCGATTGTTTCATCTAACATGACATTACCAGATCGTTATTGGCTGCCCTCTCTGACGGCGAGCAGAGGAAGCATATGGACACCCGTGAGCATCTAATGCCCACGTTTTACAACATGTGAACTCTCGATGCAGAGCTTAAGGTTCTCAATGGTGTCCTCATCGGAGGAAGCATTTTTATTACAATTGTGGCTAGCTGGTAACGCATTGGTTTACTCTTTTTGTTACAGTTCACCATATCTTCTTCCAGGTTCATATATACCTCAATTCAAGCCCACATTCGCAGCCTGCCTGGAATTCCTCCCGAGATAGACGAATTGGCTGCCGAGGCCATTGAGGATTCAGAGGAAGCCCCGTTGCTAACTTCCGTTTGAGATTTAGTTAGATGCTCTTATAACCCATGTACAGTGTGTACTTAATCTAGTAGAAATGCAGGAATAACAGTGCAAAACTGGCTCCGATGAGGAAAACAAGAATGAACAGCCGACTGTCGCTGGATCGCCTCTTGGCTTCTTTCAACTGGACGTTGCCCTTTTCTACTGTCGATGTCGTTGCAATGGCGTCCTCGTATAACTGGTCTGTCAACTCCGTTTGCCTCGTCAAATGCGTTACAAGCTCCATTTGCAGAGCGCTAATGTCCATGAGCCTTGACTCTGCCTGTTGAACGGACTCCAGTGTATCATGAACGCTTCGGAGGATATTCGCATTCTCCTGTTCAAACTGCATGATTTGGGATGCTGAAAGCTCGATGTCGTCCTCATCCTCGTCATCGTCAGAAGGAGGTCGAATGTCATAGGTCTTGGCAGGCGAACGCGAAGAGTCGGAGGGCATTGGGGCACCCAATGTTGCAGCAATTATACTCGACCCCCAGCCACCCCCAGACGTTTGTCGGGGCTCTGAATCGAATATAGGGTCCGCGTAAATCATCTCTCTTGCAGCTCCTGACCCGAGTGTCTTTGAACGCTCAAGTTCACGTTTCACGCGCTCCTCCTGCATTTCCTTCTGGCTTTGGCTCGTCTCTGTCAGTCGTCGGTTGAGGTACCAAGTGATACTCGCTCTGTGTGCTGCAACAAAATCTGCAGAACGAGTGGCCGCATCTTCTCTAAGACGTGCCGGAAGGAAACGGGTGAGTGGGTTGGTTTTGCTTGCCACGAGCTCGATCCGTCCTGAATAATCTCGGTTGAACAGATAATTCCAGTCGCGTGGATGATGAATACCGCACGCTTTTCGAGAGCTTCTAGCTCTTTGACGCGGTCTGCGCATCGTGTAAGAATTGTTTTCGCTTGCAGGTCGATTTGGTCGCGTTCTTGATTGGTCAGATGGCGGATGGAGGCCCATGATGAGTCTGAAGCCTCAAAGTCAAGTGTTCGGGATTGGTGGTGCTGGGCGGAACCACTTCGGGAGTCGACGTTGAGATATGGCCGCTTAATGTTGGCAAGCATGCGCGTAAGGGTGGTGATATGGTTTAGCTAGACTGGTCATTGAGTTTCAAAGCAACGAGGATCGTCCCCAACACTCACAACGACATAAGCTTCCTTAAGAAAGTCTTTACCCGAGATGATTTGGGGGTCGCGTTCGGCTTCAGCGGTAGTCTTGCGTCGTTTAGGAGACGGCGGGTGGCTGTCTAAAGACTGCCTGAAGTCTTGAGTGCGGTCGGAGGCAGGCATGGATTTGTTCAGAGGTTTGGGGTCACTTTGATGTCACATAATAATTTTTGATTCCGACGCTCATGAACACGTCGCCCTCCACGTTTCTCTTGGGAGCGGGATTTTGAGCATGGGGTAGAGAGATGACGGTCCTAGTTTGAGGTGAATGGCGTTTACTTACTACCGCTGTTTGCCATAAGATGTGATCTACATATAACTTGTCTTTGACCACCAAGGTGCATTCTTGTTTCTTGCCTGCTAGTGATGATTCAGAGTGGATTCTCGACCGACCCAGCATGATTCAATGTTTTGGGGTCGCACTGAAGACCATGAATGTTCTAGATACTGCTGAAGCTTTTTTTCTCCCACCTTACTCTCGCAAGTTCGTGCTTCAATACTCATTGCTACTTCACCAGCGTATGGACCCACGAAGAGCTCGAGACCCTCGTTTGGCCGCCCGGGCGGATCCCCGTCTACAACGCGCACAGCAGGAAAACCCAGCTCCTGTCCCGACTCCTCCTCCACCGGAAAATAACGGGCAAACAATTAGACCCCCGACATTCAAACAGCGCCCCTTGTTCTGTGTTGTATGTGCTAGCAACCAAAACCGTTCTATGGAGGGCCATCTTACACTAGCGTTTGTCCTTCCTCCATGCGGATTCCAAGTTGGCTCACTATCTCTTTCTCAGGCGAGCCGGGTTTCGCGTCATTTCTTCTGGCACGGGCTCAGCTGTGCGTTTGCCAGGGTCTTCAATCGACAAGCCCAACACATACGCATTCGGAACGCCGTATAACACAATTTACCAAGACCTGGAGGCCAAAGACCGCCGACTGTAAATATCTTTCCAGGCGGTCTCACCTCTGGCTCACCGTTCTAGGTACACAGCCAATGGGGTTCTCGCCATGATAGACCGAAATCGGCAACTCAAGCTTGCACCCGAACGGTGGCAAGAGACGAAAACTGTCGCGGACATCGTGATCACGTGTGAAGAACGGTGTTTTGACGCTGTCTGCGACGGTCAGTAGCGGCCATTCCTTCTGCCAAACATCGAACAAACGCACAGCGTAGATCTATTAGCCCGAGGAGGCGAATTTAACAGACCAGTGCATGTTATCAACGTCGAGATCAAGGACAATCACGAAGAGGCGTCAATTGGTGGTCAAGCTATTCTTGCTCTGGCGACGGCGGTGTGTAACACTCTTACCAGACGCATCTCTCCCCTCATTCAGTCTTAGATTGAGAAAGCTACCGACATCGACGAAGAGATAGACCAAATTTTACAGACACAACAGGTACGATTCAGACATCAGCACAATAACCCACACCAGCCTAATTTCTTATAGGAAACGCATCCGCACAGTCTCCTGCATGCTGTTGCTTACTATTAGTTTCTGAGTTTACTCAAACGCCGGTCTTTTTATGTATTGTGTAGCAGTAGAAATGAGTGTATTTTTCTGTTTCAAAGTCACGCGTGACGGGCCGCGTCAGATAGTGACGCGTCCTCATCCAAACTAGTATGGCCAGTGCCGACGGTGGTGCTTATAGGTCAGTGTTTGAGCAGATAACTGGACTCGATGCTGACCTCAAACGATTAGCTACTCTCTTACCGTTTTCTCGCCAAGCGGCAAACTCGTACAGATCGAGCATGCTCTTGCTGCAGTCGCTGGAGGTACAACAAGTCTCGGGATCAAAGGCACGTCTCTTCACCACAGAGACATAACCTCTCCTCATAGCCAATAGCCTCCAATGGCATTGTGATTGCGACCGAGAAGAAATCATCCTCCATCCTTATTGACGACTCGATGATCGACAAAGTCGCGGTCATTTGCCCTAACATCGGGATTGTCTATTCGGGCATGGGTCCTGACTTCCGAGTCCTGGTGGCCAAGGCGCGCAAGAGTGCACAAGCCTATTGGAAAATGTACGGAGAATACCCTCCAACAAGGGTATTGACCCAGGAGGTCGCGAATGTTATGCAACAGGCAACTCAATCAGGGCAAGTCTGCTATGTATTTCCGGCCTGGCTCGCATCTCATCTCTTCCCAGTGGTGTTCGTCCCTATGGCGTTTCACTTCTTGTCGCTGGCTGGGATAGTTCACGCGGACCGACGCTCTACCAAGTCGATCCCTCTGGTTCTTTCTGGGCGTGGAAAGCTAGCGCAATCGGCAAGAATATGGTCAACGCAAAGACCTTCCTTGAAAAACGGTATGCCCTTTGTTTATTCGTAGTCACTGAGCTGATAATGATGATGTAACAAGATACAACGACGATATTAGCTTGGAAGACGCTATTCATACTGCGTTGTTGACATTGAAGGAGGGTTTCGAGGGACAAATGACGGAGAAGACGATAGAAATTGGCGTAATCACCGTACCAACACCGGCGGAGCAGGAGGAGGCCAAGATTGGAATCGAAACAGGACGACCAAAGCCTACATTTCGTAAGCTGACCGAGGAGGAGGTTAGGGATTATCTCGCATTGTAGAGTTGCCTTTTTTTGTACGGACGCTGTTATGACACCTCTGATCCTTCCACTCTGATGTCTACTTTAGAAGACATAGCACTCCGGCGCTTTTCTCCGTTGACTCTTCTCATCCTGGAGGCGGTGTAATGGCCTTTCAAAGATCTCGATTTGGGTTTCCACGTTGTGGTTTCGTTCACTCTTTCAACTGCCTCGTGTCTCGCAAAGCTGTAAACCCCGCGTCTGCGTCACTGGACGAACGACAAAATCAGAAAAGTTTAAACCCCGCGTCATCCAATTCCTTTGGCATCCATCAACGTGTCCCAAGTTTTTTTAGCAACTTACTATGCATCCAACCACACGAAACCATCAATTAAACAGCTCCATGTCCTCCCCAGGCTCTCCGATTCAGAACCAATACATCTTGCCATTCTAGGTCTCTACATGCCAGTGATAGATCCCCTCTGGTCCTGGGAAACCTTACTGTGTTCCGTCTGCGTAAAGCAACTTTGCTTGCTTGCACAGCACTTCATTGCCATTTTCAGCGCTACAGCTAGTATAAAAAGGTGATACTGACTCAGGCCAACCTTACCAACACGACCCATGTCGGAACAACTTACCTCTGCCTCTGTCCTTAGCAGCCGCCGTCGACGCGGTCTCATCGCGTGCACCAACTGCAGGCACAGAAAAATCAAGGTTGCTAGTCCGTTTACTTCTCTCGGGCGGTACTAAAATAACGGCTAGTGTGTTACCACTGAAGAGCCTCCACGACGCCCTTGCCAACGTTGCACCAAACGCGGTCTTACCTGCCAATATGTGCCTGTGGACGAGGAGCCACAGACAGACTCCAAGACACCGACACCAGAACACTTGAAGCAGTCGTCTATGTTGCCTCCACCTTCTCCTGTTGGCGAGTATGGAACACTCCCTGGCTATTACGCCCCGAACAACGGTTATGGAGACTACTCCCCTGCGTATGGCATCCAGAGCCCGAGCTACCCCAGCTATGGCGAGCCAGCCTACCCGACTCAGTCCCTTTTCACCAACCAGTACTATAACCACATTCCGCAAGACCCCTACGCCCAAGGCTTGTACCAGCCTGTGCCGACAAGGTAAGCCCGACAGTGCTACTCGGCCCCCAAACCTCACCGATGCTCACTCCAACGTAGATGTTCGTGTCGCAGCAGTCCATGTTATTGTGGAGCCCGGCGCTCATAGGCCCGAGCCCGTACTATTCGTCCGCTCCTCCCCAACCCTACGCTCTACCAAAATACCAACGTATAATTTCTCTTTCGGATCTTGGACTATATCTCACCTACTGCGCCGGACTTCCCGCACCAAAAAAATATACCCTAGTACCTGTAGCCAGACTAATGTAGTTATTTATTATTATTATGCCCTGGCGCAGTCTGCCAGGTCAATTAACGCATTCCGATGGATCTCAATTGTTGCCGTCCGTTGGGTTTCTTTTCTGGCTGATGGTTTCTACACCCTTCTGGCTGCGACAAAAGATCCTGGTTGTACATTCTCACCGTAGGACATACTGATACATTCACGACGATTCCCGATTCAGATTCACAATCATCTTAGAAAGCTGGCCAATCCAATTTCTCGCCAAAATTCCAGTGGACGGCCTTGGTACTTGTGTCTATTATGTAAAATGAGCGAGAGATTGTCGGGAACTTGAAGACGACGTACATTCCTCCAGGGCAAGACTACCCAACTCGCGACCTGAAGACGGAATCAAGCAACTGCCTAGTACAAACAACAACGGACACCCACCGAAACCCTGTCGACGTGCCATGAGAATCGCTCAAAGAAAGATGCTGCGGGGTAGGGCGGACTTACGGATTGCTTCTTGCCGCCGAATCTGTAAATTAAGCCGGATTAGCGACCAGACTTCACGCAAAATGCAATGCACTGACGGCGTGTTATTGCTGAGAATGTTGTACGCGTTGACCTGTGCTTCTGATTCAGTAGCGCCGACAACGAAGAAGATCATGGCTTACCCAAACCTAGCGGGAGAAGCGTCCCGGTGAAAGCTGATCTGTCAAAGGGAGACTTACAGTGCCCGCCTCAAGGGCAGAAGACACTCTCATGCATTGGTTCGCATCGTCTTTATTATTATATCAACGTTCCTGGTATGGTCCGACTGGAGATGACTGACTGGAATGTAAACCGGCACCTAGCCCAAAAGTTGTAGCATTGGCAAGCTTGATCGCCTCCTCTTCGGTCGCAAAAGTTCCGATACACAAAACCGGTCCGAAAATCTAGGTTTAAAAATTGAGTGCGCATACTAACAAGGACACCGATCTGCACTTCTTCTTGAACGATCTTCATGTTGGGTTGGATGTCCGTGAAGACTGCCACGACAAAATTACATGATCGCCAGCCCAGACCGAGGAAAGCATACGAGTTGGATCGACAAAGAAGCCTTTGCCCGAACCTGAGTCAGTCAGGATCAAGGGAATCTCGGAAAAATTGTGGCCAAACGTTTGTCCCCTCCCAAAATCACTTTGGCACCTTCCGACTTTCCGGATTCGATGTAGCCCCATACGCGATCATACTGACCCTTGGACACCTAGGAAAAAATGAATTCTAACGAAGGCTGTCTGAGTGTAAATATACCAATGGGCCGGCAGAGGATTTTTGGTCTAAACCATCACCAACGGAGAGCGCTTTCACCTTAGAAACAAGCGTTTCAATGAACTTGTCTTTAATGCTGCCAGTGATTCCGGGTCGGCGACAATCTTGTACCGAGAAAAAGGACCGATAAGCCGCACCTTTCTTGCACGTAGACGCGCGAGCCAGCAGTGCAATCCTGACCAGAATTATAACAAATCCCCAGAGCGGCCCAACTCGCCGCTGTGGATCAAGATAAGAAGAAATGTTGGATGAAAGCATGATTTTGAATTACCCTGATCAACGTCACACGATTCGAAAATGAGATGCGGACTCTTGCCGCCCAGTTCAAGGGATACTTTCTTGAGATTACTTTGCGCTGCTGCCTCCATGATCTTGCGACCAGTCAGAGTAGATCCAGTGAAAGCAACCTTGTCGACATCGAGATGCGACGACAATGCAGCACCACCAACAGGACCCAGTGACGGTACGGTATTCAGAACTCCAGGAGGAAACCTAATCCACTGACTCAGGACTTGCTGGAAATGAGCTAGAGGCTTACCCTGCTTCCTTGACATACTCCGAAAGTTTCTAAAATCGAAAGTTAAATCGGGTTCAAAGTATAAACATCGGCAGACCAGTGCAGTTAGAGGCGTAAGTTCAGAGGGCTTCATGACGATTGTGCATCCAGCTGCCAACGCCGGTCCCACTTTCCAAGCCCACATGTTCTGAAAATAGTTGGAACACGGGCATCAGACGGTCAAAAAAACGAAACGATTGGATAGTTCCAGGGAATAATCTGGCCACAAACGCCTGGTGACAGTTTGTGAGGATCTCAACCAGAATACGTTCAACCAGCACTCACCGATGGGCTCGCGTTTGGTAAAAGCGAATTTAGTCTTGTTGTCTACCTCCAGGGTCTAGAGAGGGTCAAGTTCGACGTCATGATGAAAAGCCCAGGCTGCTACCTCTCCAGCCAATTTGTCTGCCCAACCAGCGAAGTAGCTTTGGAGGTTTTAGCAATCAGGCATCGAGAGAGCCATGCACCTACCGCAGGCATTGGACAGAGTCACCTATATCGAAGTCCCGCGCGATCTTGAAAGGCTTGCCATTATTGAGCGTCTCAAGCTCTGCCAGTTCCTGGCCATAACTTGAGTGATGGAGAACAAAGAAATTGATTTGTTTCCTGCCTCGGCATTGGCCTCAATCAAGTCGGCCAACTTATTGATAAGACGCGCACGCTCCCAACCGGTGACATTCTTCCCCCAAGTAGTGTTGAACGCGTTTCGAGCTGCGGTGACAGCAAGATCGATGCTGAAAGGATTGTGTGAGATCTGTCTGAGCTGCTTTGGGAGGCGTACTCTTTGGGAGAGGCTGTAATGCAAAGCAGTCAGTCGAGTGATGTGAGTCAATCCAGAATACTGACCGGCTACCACTGAGCACAGGACTTGTTCGGTAAAAGGATTGACCGCGCTGCCATTATCTCAGCCGACTGTCGCGGACATTGCAGACGCCCACTCAATGACTTCTTGCGAGTCCGCAGAGCTGACAAACTCGTTGTTGATGAAGAGTCCGGTTTGGACCTACGAGTCCACACAATCGGTGCTTTCCTTCATCGACAGTAGACGAAATACCTTGATTTCGGGGTGAGCCTTGCCACCACGAACAGTTGCAAATTGAGCCATGATACGATGAAGGAAAGAAGGCTTCATCGGAACCCGAGATGCGGAGTGATTCGCCACTGTAACTCGCACGCTCTACCTCCCCCCACGTGCTGCCCAAAGTCAGAACAGCCTTGACAGTGTACAAATCGGCCATTGACCGCACCGATACACCGAGATAAATCACCGCCCAAGCTGTTTCGAAATCTTTAGTTGACGGAGTGGAAGTAGGATCACTAGGTACGGATCAACGCGGAGATAAAAAATCTTTCTTTCCTCCCCTCATCATCATGCTCGCCCGAGTCGTCGCTCGCCCCGCCATTCGTCAGCTCCATACGACGGCTAGACTTCGCTCTGGCCACGGAGACTATAACGTACTGCTTTGTTCATGGGCCATCGTCCTTTCTCACTTTGTTCTATGCAGCATCTGCCCTTCAAGGTCCCATTCCAAGGCGCGGCTGCAACTCCATTTGGTAGGCCCCTCCTTCACCCGACGCGCATTCCTCATCCATAAAAGGCCTGAAAATGATTGCATTCCTCTCCTTCGGCTTCGCCGTACCATTTGTTGCCGTCAAGTTGACGCAGTGAGTCCCTCCTCTCCTTACTATCCGGACATTGCTCACATATCTCCAGACTGAAGCGTGGCGCTTAATTCCTCGTGTAGATCTAGACATAGACGTAGATGCCGGCTACGCTAGACTATTGTAACCCCACCTAGTCATCCAAACTAGACAAGACATCTTCGAACACAATAGCTTTCCGCTCTCGACCTTCTTTGGCACAGTTACAAACTTCAAGGAAGCTCGGGTCTCCGTCAAGAGCATCCAATGCGCACCAGGAAGCTTGTCGAGTCGCCAAACTCGTTGAAGAGCCTTCCCCCATCGCCAAAATCACACCATGAACGACAACTGCACAGAATTGACAAGGAGCAGAAGAGCACACGGTACCACTCACTGGAGCATCGCGCCTGGAGCCCGAGTTTTTCTTTAACGACCCTGAAGTCTAGGCATTTATTAGCTTGGAGGCGTTCCAGCAGAGTCTTCGTTGGATGCTGAGAGACGGTGTCTTCCATGAAGTAGCGATTGAAAAACGGCTGCAGAAGCGTGTCGAAGACAGATTCTGCTCCAACCATGTCGTCAGATAGATATGAGGCACCCAGTATGGACTCGACAACGTCAGAGAGGACCTTCAGACGCCAGGTCAAAGTTGTTGTTCTGCGATACACCTCAACTCGCCTTGGGAGCATTGAGTTCCTGCCAGTATTGACCAACAGAACGCCCTTCTATAGCCGCCATATTCGTTGCCTCATATTTCACCGCCTTGAGGTGTTGCACATAGTCCTCGACTATTGGGCGTAGGTTGTCGGAAAGAAGCACATGCTGATACAAGCCGGAGTCGACACAAATCGCGGCCAACGTCTGGTTCGATCCCATGGAGCCCTGGAACATTAAAATACTCTGGTGCCTCACTAATCAAGTAAACCAAACCTTGAAAACTGTCAGGTCCCCAGCCGTCAAGCTCGAATTGCGTGCATAAATGTGGTCGACGATAACTTATCAGTTGTGGTGAGCATCTTTCTTGGGGAACGAGGTAACCTACGGAGCTCTAGGATAGCGTCACCGATAAACTCGAGTCTTTCATACGACACACGGTCGTAGACCGATATTGACGCATGAGTCTGAGCCTATGAGCCGTTGAGACGTTGGGCCTTGTGAACACTTACCAGAGCTTGGGCAATGAGGTGTTTGCTGGTAAGTTTACACCCAATCAATTCGTGGACAGCCTCGATAGTCCCAGATGCGAGCTTCGCCGAGATTTTCGCTGGAGGAACAAGTAATTTCCGACGCAAGTCCGCCCACGTGTCTACGTTTGGGAAGGGCAGGTTCAGCGATTTGGCAGCCAACAGAGCGACATCTCTCCCCCCGCTGAGATATGCAGCGCCAAGAATAGCTTCGGCAATATCGGCAACCACCTTTGGGTCAAGGTGAGATGGCAAAGCAAGTCTAAAAGGCCCAAAACACCTTATCCCCCAGTCTTTGTTCTCGCTCCTTTTGCAGCTTTTTCTCCATCACCTCCGTCTTCACGCCGGCATTCTCGGTTACTTGAAAATTGGGTGGTTGCCATGCCTTGACACTGAATGCTTTAGACTGAATGTAGGCAGGCAAACCAACACAATCCACACTGCGAAACAGGCACTGATTGTTGACGATTTGCTGTCTCGCACGATGTAAGGCACCTTCCCGGTTGGACGGCTCATTGACAAAGACATAGATGGACGCCAGGTATTTCAAGAATGAATCACCTGATATGCGGGATCAGGATTGACAGGCGCCCACATCAACTACGCACCCAGAAGCTCCAACCGCTCATAATCAAACTCCATTCGGCTGGAGGTTGTAGTAATTGCCATATTAAGCAAGTCCTCCGCGATTTGATGATTGAAGAATCTGGCGTTCAGTTCCTTGACAAGCAAAAAACTGTCAAGACGACGGGATATTGACGGAAACAGCAATGCAGTCCGAAACGTGCTGTCAGCGCGCAGCTTGAGTATAAAACACGCAGGGCGCTGTTTAACGCACCTTGCAGGAACTGTGAATTTCAAACACAATTCTGGTATAAGATCTAAGTGATTTTATCAGCGCATCATCGAGATAGTATTGGTCTGTAACGAACACTTCGGAGGTGGGGGACCACTGACTTGCTGAGGTTTTGCAGGATCAAGATGCGATGTAGAAGTCATGACTGAGGCAATTTCGACAAGTGCCTGGTTCTCGTCTTTTAGCCTTTCAAAGTTCTTCCGCACAGCTTTGCAATATTCAAGGAGGTTTGCATAAGATGCTTCGCGCTGGTGAAGATGCATTTCAAGTCTTGAATTATCCAAAAGATCACACATACTGGACTATCTTCAGGATGACTCAGAGGACTCAAGTCAGGTCGGACGCAAAGGGCTTCATATCGTCTTGTAAGCTCAGTCGCTCTATCAAGCAGCACTGCGTCATTTACATCGGCTGCGACAATATGGGCAGGGCCATAAGCCAGCGGTTTGCACCAAGACTCTGCCGCTTCTGCAACAAGTTGCCAGGGAATATCGTCGTGAATGATACTATGGGGGCTTTTCCTCTCCCAAGGCCGTTGGAGTGGCGCAAGAAAGTAGGGCATAGCTTCGATAGGACAGGTAAACGCTTTGTTAGCAACAGATCGACAGAGACGTAGCGTGTAGGAGTGCAGAAGAACTAGTTGCTTGGGCTCAACGGTGAAAGGCGAGTATTTGACTATCTCAATATTTACTGTCACATCGTCCAAAAAAAGATTGAACGCAGGACAGGTCGGTAACGGTTGGCGCGTGAGGAGCAGTAGTGGTGCGTATTTATCCTTCAAGGCGGGGATGATGATGACGGTGGGAAACAGGTACAGTTCTTGCAGAGGCGAGTGGGACCAAAAATTAGGGCTTTTCCGTGGGTAGACTTGCACTCCGAGACTCGTATCTCTTGACGCTAACTCGGATGAATGCCACGCAATCGACTTCAGAGGGCTGAGAAAGGCGTCTGGTTCAAGTACGCCTGCTCGCCAAAGCGCATCACAGAAGTTGTAACACGCAGAACGCCTCGCATGAGCTTTGGAGGGGTAGGTGCGACCAGAGATACGGCGCGGTAGTATATGTTGCCACAAGAGAGTACACGTATAGAGATTTCCCTCCTTATGAAAGTCAAATAGAGGCGACGGGAAGTTGATGTCGTTTGCACGTGAGGCAAGTCGATACAAAACTGCGGTGGCGGTGAGTAGAGTTATAACTCCTCCGGTAGTTGGCTCGATGATTCTGTCTTGTTCTGCGTCCTCTTGTCCTTCATCAAACGGCTCTAGCTGCAGCACGATGGGCGGAACAGCACCAGCTGGGTCTTCACCAACAATTTTGATCCATCGAAGCAGATCAGGTTCCGTAGCGTTATTGGTTCGCAAAAGGTGAGGAGGTTGATGGCCGTTGTTAACCATATGAACAAGGAACGTCTCTTTCTCGGCGGCGAGGAAGCTTCGGTGGTAGGCATACGAGAGTAGTTCTTCAGATAGGTCGAATCTAATATAATGTCAACAAACTGGAACCGGGCGAGGCACTAGTTGACCGTATAACAACAGTGACGTCTGGAAAATCCAGATCCTCAAGAGACTTGGTCGCAATTGCAAGGTTCAGGTTGCCTGATTCGAATTTTTGATACATTTCCTACTATGAAGGGAGTTTAGCGCGCTGAGCATGGGAATACAATATTGACTATGGCGAGGACCTTTTGGTCATCGTCATAAGTGAAAGCGAAGGTTTTGATGGACGGAAGGAGTTCTGAAAGCATCGAAAAGAGTTGCGCGATGACAGTAGCCGTTATCCGACATTTTACTGAATGGGCAATGAATAAAAGGAAAGAGGCTAAATCCCCACGGACCAAAAATAATTCCCCGAAAGTCCTTTCCATAAGGCTCGAACGCTTTAACAATTTGGAATAGTCGAAGAAATTTGGGAGAAACATTGAATCCTGGAGACGTCGGATCCAGATTTGGCACAGTATAGTTCCAGTTCTTGATAATCTGGACCAGTTTAGCATCTTGTTCTGTTGTGGGTCCATTCTTCGAGTAGTTACACCAGAAAAAGTCTGCAGCACAAGTTCCGACGTGTTCATCTATGTACTGGGCTTGTTTGAGGGCTGGATGCGATGGATCGAGAGCCTGGAGTCGCTGTGATAACTTGGAGTGGACGTCACTCCCATCGTATTGAATGACAATTTCCCTCAGCGACTGGCGGTCTTCATCATGGCCAACTTTGATTCTTTTCGAAGGAGGCGCCAAATCGGAGGTAGTGCTGCGTTTGAGAGAATAGGATGGAGGTTGGGAATCACTGGGTGCAACTGGACCAGTCGACGCGGTTGTCCCAGATACAGTCAGAAATTCGTGACCAGTCTCATTCCCTTTCTGCTTCACAACGCGACGCATACCCGACAACAAGTAGACGTTGTTCAGTGTTGTTCTTGTGTTGCTTGCTCACAGTATTGTGGAAGGCTGTTGAAGGCTGTGACGGCCCTCGTCACTAAATGTACTTAAACTTCCACGGCACCGAAGATTGGTGGCGGCCGCCCCCATGAACCATTCGGCACTCCTGTCTTCGCTTGGAGAAGGTCGCGCTCGACGACCAAGTTCTAGAAGACGTGTTACTTCAGACCCATGCCTTCCAGAACGACTACCCACTAGCTCTATCTTGCAACGAGAAGCTGAACATGACGCACCGCGAGCCATTCTCCGTCAGCTACGAAGGAGTCCGTCTCCGTCTCCGCCACAGTCGCCAACATCTGAAGAGGCCGAAGAAGAAGAAGATAGAAGTAGCCACCACCGGAGACCAAGCTTGAACTCTATGGCGTCTTCAACTTCGTCTGTCCGATCTTTCGGTTCGATTTTCAAGCAACCGAAATCTCAGTCGTCGTGGAGAGACCCGCAGGTATGACTACTGCCTACTTCTTGCCTCTCGCTGATTTCAGTAGCCATTTGAAGGTGCGCTTTCACCGGTATCAAGTTTTAGAAATGAAATTGGTCCTCAGTTCTCCGCGCCGTCGAGCGCAAGGACATAACCTATCTCATGGAGGTCAGAGATAGAGCTTTTCAACTTTTAGTTCGTATGAGTGGCGGGATTACACCATTGCTGCATGCGATGCGCCTAGGACCCAGTCACCGTGAAGTTGCCGTTGTGTTATTAGGGCAAGTCTCTCTGGTCAAGCCGATATAGTTCTCCAACCAAGTGCAGGGCATTTTCACGATGGGTTAATCACCTTGAGGATGACCAGATGGAAAATCCAAAAACCAAAGTAATTCTCAAGGCACTTCGCACCAACCTGCGTCTTGGTATCGATTATGGGTTAACAAGTCATGCCAGCGACCTCACGGCTTCATTTCTCCAAACGTAATGTGCCACTTCTCGCGAATCTTTAATTCTCAACGTTTCAGCTTGATCATGAGCCAAGGCGAAGTTTGGGTTCTTGGGCAGGCTTCAAATGTTGCACTTGCTCTAAGGTTTGCTCATCGCCAGAATCTGCACGAAATTGTTCATGCTATCCTAGAGCTGGCACCGAGGGTCAACCTGTGGCAACAGCAGATGCCGCCGTCCGCAAATTCGCGACACGAGAACTTGGCAAAGCGGATTTAATCGCAACTCTCGCTGACTAGTTAGTGATGCCTCATTCTTTTCTGCACTGATCGACCAACTACTTTTCAGTATAGCAAATGCAACCGCAGACCTGCTGTAAATGCTCACCAAATGACATATGGAAGTCTCCTTTTAACGCATCGTTTAGAATGTTGGGGGCGTGGTCAATTGCCTCAGAAATACTGGGAGTCGACCAGATTCCGGTGAGACAACAGAGAATCGAAACGTACTTAACTGAACCTACTCTTAGACCTATTATTTCGCGCGAGATGACCGTGTTTACAAAGCCTTCGTTGAGCGCCTCGACCTGCATAAGGCGGCTATACAGGCGAAGCTGAGCAAGCGATGGAAGTGGCAGAGTCGGGTATTGAGAACTGTGTTGGAAGGAAGAACAACAACTTATCGGGTTTGTCCATTCTATGCCCCCTTCATTCCGTCTAATACTGTATCGACAGAGTAAAGTTGAGTCCCTAGCAGGCGAGCTTGACCAGGGCGAGGGTGTTTAAGACGATGCAATTTTCCCTTTTCATGTTCATTGTACTAACGCCAATCATTGTATCCAGTTTATCCTTAAGCTGCCTTTCGCTCGTAAAAGGTGCCCAGCTGGTCCAAAATTGCAACCAGTTGCTGGCGTATTATCGAGCGCAGATCAATGTTGTTTTTTCTTTTCTTTTTCGCTCGTACAAGGTGCCCAGCTGGTCCGAGATCACAACCGGTTGTTGGCGTATCATCAGGCGCACATTCCCGAGTTGCCTTTACTTGCCAACTGCCCAAACGTATTCATGATTAGCTTCCAAATACATCTAGCCCTTTCCACCAACAAAACCCTGCAACTGCTAATAGATTCGAGACTGCAAAGCCCAAATCGAGTTGCACGACAGTGTAGATCCACAGAGTGATCAAGGGTGGTGTCTGAACAATGAGCGGTTGTTAGCAAAGAAAGTCAGATGCACGAACTTGTTTCATGTTGACCAGATACGAGCTGCGCTTGAGAATATAGAGCATTCGAGAGCCGGAGGCAGTTCCAAGGATGAACAGGAGAAGCTGCATTCTGAAGTCCCGCTTGTGTCGATTCGCTAGAAGATATTAAGGCTGGAAGTCGGTGGTAGATGGCCACTTGCAGTAGAAAATGAAGAGAGAGAGGACTGAAAAGACCATGAGTAATGGAGCGTGGAAGAGATGGTTTCGGACTAGGTATTCCTTGGATTAATCTGTCCAGGACAGTCTTCAAGTTCACTCCTTGCCCATATTGATGGTATGTTAAACTGCGAACGCGTCAAGATCACTTGGGGGAGAGCTTTAAACGAACATGTCCATCAGCACGAGTAGAGAGCAGACAGGTATAACTATAAGGGACGTATTGAATATTTCTGCGCTGGAATCAGAGGAGGCCACCAAGACGCGTCACGGTTACCCTCGCCGAGACTCATTTCCGCTTCCGGTGCTTGCAAGTTGACCTTCTTGAGGATCCCAGACTGATTTATGAGCCTCCATTGCTCTTCTTCAGAGATAAGCGGCGCTGCTGGCGCATTTGCCTGTGGCGACGAGGAAGTTTTCCGTTTAGGCATGGTGTGCGTGACGGCGCAACGATGTGTCAGACTGTGACTTGACTGATAAGCGCGATTAGATCTGATAATGGATGCTTAAATCTCGAATTCGTTACACTCTAATACGAAGTGCGTAGAATAAATTATTAGATTGTTAGCAACGAGCTGATTAATGGGATGGCCCAGGTAGCAGTAACTCGAGTCGATCAGTAATAAGTTCCATAGGTTACTTAGTTTAAGGAGGTGCGCTGCAATGAGATACAAGGCAACTTGGGCAAGGAAAAGAAGAAGAAATCAAGGCCTAGGGTGAGCCGGAACGTCAAATACTCTACCCTCTCCCATCTCCGGACGGCAATAGTCGTGTATCCAGGACGTTGCAACCAATTGCTCTGCAGTGATACGTTCATGTGGCTGATATCGGAATACAGAACGCAAAAGTGCTTCATAAACCACCAATTCTTCTCCACGCAGATTACAGTGATCGTTGACCAGATGAGAGGGAATCTTGGTGGTCGGATCCAAGGGTTGGCCATCGTCATCGAAAATCTTGGTTCGCCTCTTCCATTTTGACCACGTGGGTGCCGGAAACTTGCCCAATCTCAATACCATTTCCTTCAACATACGGTTCGGTTCCTGTTTAGCGAAGAATGCGATTGGGGCGAGGAATGGATCGATGCCGCAAACTAACAGCATATGAAAGGCAGCGCCGAGCGCCCAGATGTCGAGCTCAGTTGTCGCATGGGGTATAGTGTCAAGAAGTGCTTCAGGGGGGCGCAAGGCTAATGGAGTAGCCAACTGAGGCGTTGTAGACAAGCCAGCCATGTAGGACTCGCTGAAATCGCAGATCTTGACATTGGATTTGGTGAAGCAAAGACGCAGGATAGTGGTATTTATAGTCAGTCCTGGAACGACGTATTCTGGAACGTGGGGGGACGAGTTGGTTTCGCTGTGGCGAAAGCATTTGTATGGCACACCCATATAGCGTTGAACATCTTCAGGGCTGGTTAAAGCATTTGGAAGACAAAGAAGCAGATTTCCTGGGTGGAGGTCCCCATGAGCAACGCCGCGTCGGTGGAGGTAGCGAAGGCCAAGCGCGATTTGTCCTGACAGTCGACGAACTATTTCTATCGGCAGAGAGTCATTCTCCCAGAACGAGCCCCAGTACACATCGGATGCCAAGTTTGCTCCGAATACCTCACCAACAATGCATTGGTGTTTTCCGTTTGGCCCCTCGTGGATGAATGAGTCAAACATTCGTCCTACATGTTCGCTTCCCTCCTCTGTTGCATCGTACGTCGCCTGGAGATGTCGCAGAACTTCCACTTCTGTGACAGTGCGCCCTGCCATGACTATTTTGAGAGAAGCGTATGATTGAGTTTGTTCATCGATTACGAGCCATGTTGTCGAAGTTCGACCATAACCAAGCTTGTGGACCACAGTGTATCGGCCGTTCGAGAATTGATCGCTGATGTGAACAGGGTGATTGCCGTTCGGGCCATAACTTCCAAAGCTTTCTGCCCCAACAACTCCAGGAAGGTCGGGTTTCACTGTTACTGCCATGTCTCGACAATCAGGTCGGAGACAACGAATCACGGCGTCACGATATCACGTGACAGATCACACCACATCCCAAATTGCTGGTCGGTGGTGGTTGCAGTAAGCACAAAGTAGAAGATGAAGAGAGAGAAGGGACTGAAAAGGGCGCAAAGAATAGAGCATCGAACAAATGGTTTCGTACTAGGTAATTTATCAGTAGAACGGTCTTCAACTTGAAGCCTCAGTGAGTTCACTCACTGGCACATTGATGGTATGTACTACTAGTCGTGTACTAGTACTTACTTATGTTAAGCTGCTACACGCGCACTTTGAGGAGAGATTTAAACACCAGCAGGGCAGACGGAAGAGGGATGTATTGAATATTTCTGCGCACACTGGCAGGCTCCAGACGCTCCAGAGCGCTGCAGTGTAACCTTCTAGTGCTTGCGGGTGATCCTTCCCTTCTTGAGGATCCCAGACTGATATATGAGCCTCCGTTGCTGTTCTTCAGGAATGAACGGCGCTGGTTGATTTGCCCGTGGGACGAGAAAGTTTTTCCGTTACCCGTCATGGATAATCGCCAAAAACGCGATGAGATCTGATTGATCGTCAAGAATTCATGGCCAGCAATTCATGGCCAGCAGCTCAGCTAAAAATGTACAGCCATGGCTTTCACATTACTATTCAATGTCCATAAGATCAGGCAATACTTATGACACAGAAAACGAGGTCTACTAGTATCAAGAGAAGTCCGGGACGTCAAACACTCTGCCCTCCTCCATTTCGGGACGGCAGTAGTCGCATATCCAGGTACTCGAAACCAACTGCTCTGCAGTGATACGTTCATGTGGCTGATATTGGAATATGGAACGCAAAAGTGCCTCATAAACCACCAATTCTTCTCCATGTAAATCGCAATATTTGCTCACTAGGCGAGAGGGAATCTTGGTGTTCGAATCCAACGGTTGGCCATCGTCGTCAAAATCGTCATTTCGCCGGTTCCATTGCGACCACAAGGGCTCCGGAAACTTGCCCATTCTCAACACCATTTCCTTCAACATGCGATTCCAGTCTCGTTTACCACCCAAAAAACCTCCTGGACAGATGAACGGCTCGAGCCCGCCGACTAACAGCATATGGAAGGTAACGCCGAGTGCCCATATGTCGAGCTCGGTTGTCGCATGGGGCATAGTGTCGAGAACTGCGTCAGGGGGACGCAAGGCTAATGGAGTGGCCAACTGAGGAATGGTAGACAAGCTAGCCATGTAGGACTCGCTGAAGTCGCAAATCTTGACGTTGGATTTGGTGAAGCAAAGATGTAGGTTGGTGGTATTTATAGTCAGTCCTGGGACAAGGTATTCTGGTATGTGGGGAGGCGAGTAGCCTGTTTCGTTGCGGACAAAGCATTTGTGTGGCATGCCCATATAGCGCTTAACGTCCTCAGGGCTGGTTAAAGCATTTGGAAGACATAGGAGCATGTTTCCTGGGTGGAGGTCCCCGTGAGCAACGCCGCGTCGGTGAAGGTAGCGAAGGCCTAGGGCAAGTTGTCCCGAAAGTCGACGAACCATTTCTATTGGCAGAGATTCGTTCTCCCAGAACGAGCCCCAGTACACATCGGATGCCAAATTTGCTCCGAATACCTCACCAACAATGCATTGGTGTTTTCCGTTTGGCCCCTCGTGGATGAAGGAGTCAAACATTCGCCCCACATGTTCGCTTCCCTCCTCTGTTGCATCGTACGTCGCCTGGAGATGTCGCAGAACTTCCACTTCCGTGACAGTGCGCCCTGCCATGACTATTTTGAGAGAAGCGTATGATTGAGTTTGTTCATCGAGTACGAGCCATGTTGTCGAAGTTCGACCATAACCAAGCTTGTGGACCACAGTGTATCGTCCATGCGAGAATTGGTCGCCTATATGGACGGGATGATTGCCGTTCGGGCCATAACTGCTGAGGCTTTCTGCGCCAACAACCCCAGAGAGCGCGGGTCGGTCCGATGTCATGTCAAACATGTTGTGACCACCGAAAAACTATGTCAACAGCAAACGAGGATCATCTGCTTGAGATTCTGGATGCACACGGGCAAGAGTTTCTCAAGTCATTCGGCCTCCCGCTCAGCAATGCAAGCGTGAAGCGAAAGGGTCCAGAGCTCTCCCCACGCCCCCCAAAAGCTTGCAAAGCTCGAATCACCTTCAGACTCTGACTCGGATGAAGAGGAATGGGGCGGCATCCAAGCTGCAGACGACTTCGAACAGGATGACGATGAATTCACTTCCGACCTGCCGCAAAATGTGGTCCATTTCGCGGGTCCAAGTACCACTAAATCAAACCAGAGTTTCTCCGCTGCGCAGAAAAAGGCTTTTTTAGTGAGTCGACGAGTGCATCCTGCTTAATCGTGGCCCAAAACGACACGCAGTCGTCAAAAGTATCCAAGCTCAGCGACTTCTCTTCTCAGCCAGGGCGAACTTCTACCCAAGTTGATGATGAAGAAGAGCGGTAATACCCTTGATATTCTTCACCGGTCGCGAAATCTGATCGTTCGCCAGGACGAATGCCCAGAACGACGCTCTTCTTCACCGCCTCGTCCACACAAAATTGCTTTCTGGCTCATTGAATGAAGAACTGGATTTAACCTCTGCGCAACGGAAAAAAGCGCTTGCCGGTCGCGTTATGGAACTGGCAGGAGGCGCAAGGCTAGGCAAGGGAGAAAAACGGGTCAGAGAAGGTGAAAGGAATAAAGCCTCGAAACATGTAAGGGAGGGCCTAGTGAGGAAACAGAAGGAACGTCAAGCCAAACACCTTGAAGAGGTCTGTGCTTGTCGATTATCCACAATTTTAGCTCACTCTGCTCAGGCCAAAAATATGGGCAACTACCATCCCACAATCAAAAAGTTATTCGAAGATACGAAGAGTACAACGAAACGTCGAGAAAGGGGAATGGGGATGGGAGTTGGAAGGTTCAGTGGGGGAATGCTCAAGCTCGGCAAAGACGACATCAGTCGAGTTCAAAATGGCGCGTTCAGTCAGGGAGGAAACAAAGGTGGCCGCAAACGGCGGTAGAATTCAAGCTTTATCGGTGACCATATGGCATGCTAATGGGAATCTGGTCAACCTGTTTCGCCAATTTTCGCAAGACCTACATTGGAATCTGGCGGCCATATTTGTCGATTAAGATTATGGTCGGCGCTTCACTGGCACCATAACTCTTCTCTGAATCTGACCTGAAAAACCGTCAGACCCTGGTATGGATACGATAACAGCCTCACGAATGAGAGCGTCGTCCACGGCCATGTCTATCCTCCCGCTCGCGATGATGCTTGTGTCGACCCGATCTGTGTCGCCGTTCGTTTCTTACTACAATTGAAGGATTTCTGCATTCAATCCAGTCAAAATGACGAACCGATTCTCGACCGGAGATGGTCTTCCTTCTTCGGGACCGAAGTCACCGACTCTATGTAGAACGGGTTGAATGCCACTTTCGACGCCATATTCATTGTCTTCACCTTGTTATCTCTTTGCCGGCTTCATTTTCGAAAATCACATTGACTCCCGATGGTACGATGTAATATGTCCCTGGACTTCTGGATCGATTTCCCTGGTGTTTGTTAGTCCATCTTGACGCGAAACCTTGCATTCCTACCCTTGAGCCAGATGAACGCTGGTGTTCAACTTCAGGCGAGGGTGCTCGCGCCTCACGATTTAGGATTGGAGTGCTCTGCGAAGAGTCAGTCGAGGCACATCAGGCCAGAAGTGTCGTACGGCAGGATTCCGTTTAGAATTTTCGGCCCAGTCATGGGCTGTGGGGCGAGAAGAGTGCGTCGGTGGCTGGCGATCCTGTGAGTTTTATTTTCCATGCAATATAGTGTCTCACCTCTGGTAGTGGCCGAGATGCTCGTCTTTGGGAGCTTCTCAGGCTCGATGCCAACTAGCCGCATTCAGATGGAGGGATGTCATACACCAACCAGGTGGTTTACCTCTGTGAGCGGACTCTCCCTCTCCAAGTCGTGCTGGTGGCTGAAGAGCCCTTCCATCCTCGGACCGTATGCACTGGAAGGTAGCACTGATTCAGTGTCACCTCTTGAAACCACATCTTGCTGGGCCTGCGTTTGAAGAACATTTGCTGGAGCCTGAAATATGCTTCCGTGGTATGACCCCCAAGAATCGTGTGCGGAAATTTGCCTCGGTTGATGGGCACTAGAACTCCAACTTCGTGCACTCGGCGAATGGGAGTGTCTGGAGGAGTCGCTTAGTAGATTTGGGGTACTGTGAGACGCCGCAGGACTATTTTGAGAGACTATGGGCTAGTTCAAGTCAGTAATCATATCGAAAACTCCGTGCAACCCGGCCCCTCACTGTATTGTCCAACTACCAGAGACATTTAATTTGTCAGGTCATATATCTAGAAGAAGCCTCAACTTCCATCGTTGCTCGTTTGGCTGGGCGACGTTTAAGCCTTCTTGACCGACGACCTGGACTTGTAGCCGGATCGGCTATGGGATTGCCAGCGGGGACATCACTGGTTTGGGCTTCTTGCGAAGAGGAGCTGAAGGCGCGGAAAATGTCTTTAATGCGCATCATGTTGGTGGATGGGTAGCAGTAGCGGCGGTGGACTGGCAATCCGGAGTATTTAGAGAGGAACGTGAAGAACACGCGTTGCACACGCCATAGATGTGCAACAAGGGCGTCATATTAAAGTGTCAGAAAGTTAATTTCTACATTGTCCCTTGTAGTTTTTTGACTTCCGCGAGAGCGTGCGCTACTTTTGAGATGGCATCCGCAGTGTTACCAATGGAAAGAGAATCGGTCGTTGATGTCATCAATCTACTGTTCAGAACGCGAAGGCTGTCCTCCAAAGCAACAGCAGATTGTTCCAAGGCAGTCTTGAGAGACTGGGGCTTACTAGCAGACGATGTGGCAGTCAAAAGCGGATATGCAGGGGTAGAAGGGACCTGGATAACGGTCAGCGATAACGAACAATCAAAAACTGATTGGTCACTGTGGGTGGTTGGACCAGAACCGATGCGATGGCTGGAGGTGGTTCAACAATAGACGCTGGCGCTGGCCTTTCGGGCACGAGAATATCGCGGCCCACAGAATCCACTTCTGTGATGTAAACTGTCCTGCAAACGACGCATTCCTCGGCAATAATAAGCCTTTTGTAGCCAGATCAAGAGCAACACGTACTTTGCGATGATCTTTGTCGCCACCGGCCTTGGGAGGACGGACAAGTGGTACACCAAAACACGTTGGGGAGGGACACTCTTCTGCAAGCATAGCCCAACCTTTCAGCAACCTTTCACCGATGGCAGAACTGGCCAGATCGGACTGCTCTCTGCGACGCCGGCTTTGTTCACTTTCCGGTGGCAATACAAACTCCGAGGCCTCCGAAACTTCAGTTGGAGGAGTGGATGATCGAGAGAGATGGGAACTGGATGATGCACTGGAGGGTTCTGGTTGCGGTCGGGCTGTTTTGGACGACGAAGAAGAAGATCCTTCTGGAGGGCCATCACAGCTGGCGCAAAAGAAGACAACAGGGGACCGTGCACTCGGTGAACGCATTAGCGGCACACTGCAACCAGCGGAGGGACAAGTTCGGTCTGTTAGAACCCATCCTGGCTATATTGTTAGGCTTCATACTTGAAGCGTCCGATTGCGCACCTTTCAGCATGTATTCGCCCAAAACACTCGACACATCGAGAGAGGACATGGATGTCGCGGCGCGTAATCGCGAAAGAGGAAAAATCTCGGGCGCGTGACCTGATTACGCAACGCGATCGTGGCACTTGGACTTGCTTGTACCCATCGCATACCCCGAATGAAGTGGCGACAGTACTGGCCCGAGTACTTTGTCGCCTTACTTCTACTTGTTCTACAGGGCACAAGATGGAGCACGACAAATGCCGCTGCAGTTCGAAGCGCTGGTTGGACACCTGAGCGGAAACTCGCCGTCAGGTATGCAATGCTGGCGATCCCTCTTCAACAGTTTTCATTGAGAGATCAAAGGAACAAAGTGCGCGACTTGTGGTATCATGGGTTTAACAACTACATGACGTTCGGTTCGCGCTACGACTCTTAGTATCCCAAAATACTCACACGCGTTGTGCATCTAGCGTTTCCTATGGATGAAGTGGGCACTTCCAATCCAGTCACATTCGCTTTACAAATCCCTTAGCTCACCCCACTGTCTTGCTCTGGTCAAGGCCCTGACTGGGATCATCCGTGCGTGAGTTTCACCCGAATTTATGTTGCAGTCAGTCATATCCCACTTTCAGAGAGAACTACGCCTCAAATGATGTTCGGGGAAACTACTCCTTGACCTTAATTGACGTCCTCGACTCACTTGTTGTCCTTGGAGATCGACCGGGATTCGAGAAGGCAGTAAAGGATGTTATTGAATCGGTCTCATTCGATGTAAGCATCGCATCACCCACAGGTAGTGCATCTAATGTTCCAATAGGTAAACACTCGCCCACAAGTGTTTGAAACGACAATACGAGTTCTAGGAGGACTGCTATCTGGCCATATTTTTGCCAGTCAAACAAACCAGACGTTCTTTTTACCGTGGTACAAAGGCGAGCTGCTCCAACTTGCCCACGATCTTGGCGAACGATTACTTCCCGCATTTTCAACACCTACTGGACTGCCTTATGCGAGGGTGGGCTCCCACCTGATGTCTAGTTGAAGACTAGCTCAAAATTTGCAGATAAACCTGCGACATGGCGTGCTGAAAGGCGAGGGTATCGAAACATGTAGGCGCAATTCTTTGGCTGACAGGCAAATACTGATGTCTGACCAAGGTAGTGCTGGCGCAGGTTCCTTAATGCTGGAATTTGCGACTCTCAGCCGACTAACGGGTGACGATCGCTTTGAGAAGGCCGCGTACAAGGCGTTCTTTGCTGTTTGGAACCGCAGGTCGGATGCGGGTCTCGTCGGCAATACCATCAATATCCGCACTGGAGTATTTTATTCTTCTTTTTGTTCGGCGTACTCTAACTGACCGGCTATCAGACTTGGACAAAACCTGAGGTCAGCGGTATTGGTGCAGGGATCGATTCATTCCATGAATACGCCCTCAAATGGTATATCTTAAGGTTCGAGCTCTTTGTTTGGTTTTTTTTAACTGAATTCCCTGCAGCGGTAGGTCACTTCTAATATGCTGCTACAATCTTTTACTGATTTGAGTTTAGGCGATGTTGAGTTTTTGGACGTATGGGATGACTCATACGCAGCCATTATGCGCTGGTCCCGCGCACCAGACGGATTTTGGGTCAGGCTTGTTCCATATCATCGCTGAGTTAGCTGAAGCGGTGCCCCAGTATCGACCAGTTAACATGGTCAGTGGAGATACCGCATATTGGACTGTAGATTCGCTCTCTGCATTTTGGCCGGGTCTTCAAGGTTTGTGTTACACGAATTAGCGTTCCGTCTTCTGAATCCTTGGCCAGTTTTAGCTGGAGACGTGCAAAATGCGATCAAACTTCATCTGTTGTGTAAAATCTCCTTGGACGTCTTTATGTGTCGCTCATAGTGGTCAGATTATAATCTATGGCGAAAGCATTCGGGTCTCCCCGAAGTATACGACACCAACTACAAAGTTGCGACCGCGCATCAGTACCCCTTGCGTCCAGAATTCATAGAATCTAGCTGGTATCTCTACAGGGTTGGCAAACTACTTTTCTCGAATTTTTTTCGCTGACAAATCTAGGCTACCAAAGATTCCTTCTATTTGGATGTTGGGGAGCGAGTCCTATTCGATATAACCACACGAGCCAAGGTTCCGTGTGGACTTACAGGTGCATCTGCCTGGATCTCAAGTAAAACTCAGTCACTCATCTTCTCTCAGGAATCAAAGATCTTCGAACAAATGCGCGTGACGACAGAATGGAGTCATTTGCTCTGTCAGAAACGTTAAAAGTAAGTTGTACACGTTTTGGCCCGCATAGTTGACCCTTCTCAGTATCTTTATTTGCTATTTGATGAAGAAAATCCGTTACACCGCGACGACTCGAACTACGTCTTCACCACAGAAGGCCATCTGCTAACTTTGGGTAACGACCTGCAAAAGCCATCCAGTGCTCGTCGCAAGATGCGCAAAGTGGAGACGCACCAATGTCCTGCTTACCGGCCACATCATCGCAATGGGTCTAGCTTGTCAATGGGCATACGATCTCGCGGCGATGTCGATTACGCTCGCGCTCTTCTTGACCAGAGTCCGAGTGACCTCGATGAGAGCGCCTGGTCTCCGAATGGCTGGTGCGAGCGTCCTAACACTGATTTATTCGTATGGTCGTCTATTTCATTGCTTCTACAGCTGATGCGCAGTTTTGTAGGCCTACGACTTCATTCTATCTGCTGGCGGAAAACTTGTGGCCGAAGATATCAGTCCCTCGCGATTAAAACTAGATAAGGTGGACGATGGGTTCATTCTCCACAATGTCACTGGCATACGCATAAATATCGTTCAACGGCTGGATGGCAAGGGCTACGATGTGCGAAAATGTGAGTAAGCTCGATTTGTAACCTTTCTTGGTTGATCTTGGTATCAGTGGGCCACTACGATGTGCGTTCAGGAAATACAGTTTACATTGCGGACCACAACCTGTTTGCTTCTCCCGACACTTTCGAAGGTAATGATGACTTGCGACCACTGGACATCCCACTACGCTTCTTCACCACGGGCTCTGATCCCTTGTCGGAAGCTCAGACTGGCTTGCCGGACCTTCTTAACATGATGGAGTTCGCCACAACGGGTTACACGGCGTTGTTTGGACCAGAACTGGGGGTCTCTTCGGAACCTAATGCTCTGCGGATAGAGAAAGTCGACGGTGTTCCAGTCTATAGGGAACCAACAAACGCCAACGGGTGTGAAGAATATCACGAACGATTTCAGGACGTTGTGCTCGTGGCTCAACGGGGAGAATGCACGTTTTTGCAAAAACTGATTCGAGCAAGGGACGCTGGGGCTGCGGGCGTGTTGGTCATCAGCAACGAAAATATCGCACTAAATCCAACAGCAGATGCGGCAGAGTTGGAGGTGAGTGAATTGCTAGCATTAGTACTTGGCTAATGAGTTGGATAGGCGGCTGGGGACATCAAGGATGTGGCCTTGGTAGTGTTGACTCCACAAGTGGGTCAGCTGGTACATGAGATGCTGGACAGCACAGAAGAGCGAGGCGGCCAAGTGATGGTGCAGCTCGACCCGGAAGGAGTGCTCGTACCGCCAGTAGAGATTTCACGGGAGCAGGAGAAGCCAAAACCAGTTGAAAACAAGATTCTATATCTGAACGGGCATCCACTGCTGAACACACGGATAATAATATAGCGCATAATTTAATCGTCGGATTGTACAATGGAATAGACTGGCGCGTCGAGCTTGGAGCCGCCCTTGAGGAACGTAAGCTCGATTATGAAGAGGTATTCGAGGGTTTTGCCGCCTTGGACAGAGATCAGTTCGCCTGCAGCTTTGGCAGAGCCGCCTAAAGCAAAAGTTAGCGGATTTCGGGACCGAAGAAAGGACGAACCGGTGGCAATGAGATCGTCGATAACGACCACTGTCTGTCCCGGCTTTATGGCATCACTTTGCATCTCGAATGAGTCCTGCCGGATTGAGACCCATGCGTAGGGAGAAAAGAAAACGCGACTTACTTCGCCGTACTCTTTCACGTATGTCGCCGAGACACACTGGCCAGGGAGCTTGCCCTTCTTGCGGACGGGAACAAATGCTGCACCCAGTCTCATTGCGATGATGGGGCCCAGGAGGAAACCGCGCGCATCGAGGCCCACGACAACATCGATTTTCTTGGAGGGGGAGGCGGGGATGGTGTGCGATGTAAGGTGGTGAATAAGGTTGGTTATCAGTGTTTCGAACGCGACCGGATTGCGCAAAAGTGGGAAGATATCAAGAAAGACGATGCCCTGCTTTCGATAAGTCCATCGTTGACGGTGGAGGCTCGTTGAACCTTCTTGGGGAAGTCAGGATGGACGCCCAGTTGGCTTTTGAGGTATTCTATATCGGCCATGGAAGTAGAGAAGAAGAAAAGTGAAAAGATCAAAACAAAGTTGGAGCATGCTCATAGATTGGATGTGTGTAGCATAAAAAAAATGGGGCAGTATAAGCTACGACATGGTTTATACCGACGCAAGAACCTCCGGCTCCTTGAAGTCCTTGGCCACACGTGTACCCGTCTCCTGCAAGGAAGTATTATTTTGGAGAAAAAAAAGTAACATGACCACTCACGTCCGTTGTCTCCCCATGCAGCTCCATAAGTTTCGAGACATCGAATTTGGGGGCTTTGAGGATCTTTGCCTTGCGAACGTAGACGTTTTGGAGGGGGTAGATACTCCGTGCAGCCTTCTCGATCTCACGGCCAATAGCCTCTGGCACAAACTTCTGAACCAATTCCTTCAGGTCGCACGAAGTAGCCTCGCGGGTCATGATCTCGAACATTTTCTTCCGGATTTCTCGGATTTGCGATGACTGAGCGTACGTCGTCTTTCGCACTTGTGATTGACGGCGTTTCGTGAAGCCAATGGCAAAGAGACGGAGGAGGTAACCATCGGTCGTCTTTACGTCGACGTGGGCCTCGATGAGGGTTTGCCATTTACGGACAAGCGAACGGAGTTTGTCGGAAGTGAAGTCCATGCCGTGGAAGTTGGTCAGGCAGTTCTTGCCCTGCACTTCATCGACACGTAGTTTGATTTTGCGGAATGACTGCTCTTCGTCCTTGTTGAGGTCTGCCAGCGACACCTCAACGATACGGCCCTTAAGCGAATCGTTGGCGTTTTCTGTACAGGTGGAAAAATTAATCCGGGTAATGGAGGCACAAGATAACAACGCACTCAAGCCCTGTGAGCGATTCACAAGGGTCTTGCCGACATTGCGAACCTCGAAGATGGACGGGGCTTTGATGTCGTACCACTCTACGAAGGGTTAGCAAGAGCACAACAGTGCAAGAAAAACGCGTACCCTTTCGGGAGAAGGGGTCAACGACCTTTTTCTTGATACCCTTCTTGCCCTTGGATAGGCGCTTGTTCTGCAGACGATGAGTGGATGAAGCGATAGCCAGGGGTTGTCCATACTTTACCGACAGCCATAAGAGTCTTGAGGAGGAAGGGAACGAGTGATGGAAGGCGTAACGCGATCGTAACACTGGCCAGTCACATGCTGTCACATGCAACCTTCAGCCTTCGCTTCTGCTGCCAGATCACTTGCTGCACGCGACTGGACATGGCGCGACCATCCCGTATGTGTGGATAATGTACGGTTCGATATCGTTCACAGTTGCCTAGCCTTTCATTGGCTTTCTTGAACGCACTGTGTCTCATTCCAAACGGTCGCATACTCTCGACAACGATAGCGAAGAAGACCCTGCAACGGCCTCGATCTCAACAGAAACCTTGACTTGCAGGCAGTTTATTGTCTATTCGCCCACATTTCGCGTTCCAACGTTCTATTTCACGCTTCACGATTCGAGTTTGTGTTGTGCTTGATTTCAACCTGATTAATCTTATCGCTTGGCAGCTGGAAGTCCACTATCTTTGAATGATATTGTCACTACAACTCTCTTCCATCGATTTGCCCTGGATGGTACCGAACTGACGACGTTCGCGGCCACTTTACCTGGAGCCACATTCCCGTTGTTGTCGCAAGGCGAACATCCCGCATTAGGCACTCCTTGTTGGTTTTTACACCCTTGCGAGTCTGCGGCCGCTGTCGACGAAATTGTGGAGGAACTGGGCGCAAAAGGCGACGATGAACAATGGCTGAGATCGTGGTTGGTAGTGGTCGGGACAGTTTTGCATGTGATGTAGTCAGACTTCGGCTTTGTTTTTCTCTTGTCTTGCCATTTCACCGTTTTTTTCCATTGATCGTACGACACACATATCGCATGTTGTCTAGCGGCCGTTGTCTTCTTAAAACGGCCAGGCCTCGTTTCAGACACGTTCACCTTTCTTCCTCCACCATGGTCCATGAAGCAGTCATCGTTGCAGCCTCCCGCACCCCTACCGGCTCCCTAAACGGCACCCTCAAGTCGTTTACCGCCCCCCAGCTTGGGACTGCTGCTCTGAAACACGCACTCGCTTCAAAGCAAATCGATCCGAGCATCGTTGAGGAGCTCTACTTTGGCAATGTTGTCCAGGCTGGTGTTGGCCAGTCTCCTGCTCGCCAGGTCGCTCTCAGCGCCGGTTTGAGCACTGCTTCCGATGCTACCACCGTCAACAAAGTTTGCGCCAGTGGTATGAAATCGATTATCCTCGCTGCCCAAAGCATCCAACTCGGTGACCGCTCGGTCGTTGCTGCCGGAGGTATGGAGAGCATGAGTAATGCCCCGTACGTCTCTTTTTCTCGCGGATCTTGTTTCGCACTCATTCCACCGCTAGCTTCCTTATTCCCCGAACTAACCCTGGCTTTGGGAAATTCACTGCCATCGACTCCCTCGAGAATGACGGTCTGTGGGATGTCTACAACAACCAGGCGATGGGCAACTGTGGGGAATCTGCTGCCGTTAAACTCAACATTTCTCGTGAAGCCCAAGACGCTCATGCTGTTGAATCTTACAAACGCGCGGAACGGGCATGGGCATCGGGTGCTTTCGAGGCTGAAATTGTTCCGCTGACGGTCAAGGGAAAGAAGGGTGACACCATTGTCAAAGAGGATGAAGAGTACAAGCGTGTCATCTACGAGAAGGTCCCCAGTCTGAGGTCAGCATTCAAGCAGGGTGGAAGCATCACTGCCGCCAACTCTTCGCCTTTGAGTGATGGTGCCTCGGCGCTCATTCTCATGTCGGCAGAGAAGGCAAAGGAACTCGGCTTGAAGCCTTTGGCCAAGATTGTCTCCTACGCCGATGCCGGTGTTGAACCCATCGATTTCCCCATCGCACCCACCGTCGCTATCCCCCAAGCTCTCAAGAAAGCCAACCTCTCCGTGAACGATATCTCCCTCTTCGAGATCAACGAGGCTTTCTCTGTTGTGGTCCGAATTGCCGAACAAGTTCTCACTATCGATCCCGCCAAAATCAACGTCAATGGGTGCGTTTTGTGCCTTACCCTATTCCGTCTCTTTGTATCTCACAACCCGTTTACAGTGGAGCTGTTGCCCTTGGCCATGCGATAGGGAGCTCAGGAGCGCGGATAGTCGTTTCCTTAGTTCACGCCCTCAAGTCGGGTGAGTATGGCGCTGCTGGTGTTTGCAATGGTGTAAGTCAGTTGCTACCAGTATCTTCATGAACTAACTCCTTGTCCAGGGCGGCGCAGCCTCTGCTCTCATTATTCAAAAACTGTAGTCGATAATAAAAGAATCCAAAACATGAGAAGATCACGCCCGAAAAAGTTGTTTGCACCCACGATGCTTCTACATTTAACCTAGTCAGCCGACGCGTCCGATAAGAGTTCTCGTATAACAGCGCGCCACCCGTCTGTCATTCTCTCCGACCCCACCAAGATGTCCGAGAAAGAGAGCAGCAAGGCCTCCATCGAACGCGACCGCAGCGAGGACAAATTTGACAGCGTGACGATCGACTCCGCAGATGGGGACGAAGCTTTGAGGCTGGTTGGCCTAGTCAAAACGGCCGAGTTTACGGAGGAGTACAACCTGAAGCTACGGAGGAAACTGGTACCCATCCTTCAAAAATTCATCGCGCCACTTGACGGCAAAATATAGGACAAATTGATTCCACCACTTTGCGCTGCCGTCTACTTCACGCAGTTCCTGTAAGTCTTTTTGGTGAGGGTCCTGGGCTTGGCAGCTCACATTGATCCAGAGACAAGACATCATTGAACTACGCAAGGCTAGTTTTTACTCTCATCGGGTGCAGTGATGTCAACTCACAAAACGGCAATCAGTATTATGGGCCTGCCGATCACCGGCCAGGTGAGATGTCGAACCCGGCCGATTAGCCGTTACTGATCTTGACCAGAATTACAACCTTGTCTCGGCGGCATTCTATTTTGGTCGCATTTTCTTTCTCACCGACACACAGTAGAATTTATGTTGACTAGGTTTCCTGGTTTTCGAGTTCCCGACCGTTTACATCGCCCAGAAACTGCGAATCGCCAAATATCTGGGTGGGTCCACCATTCCTTATCGTGGTCCTTCTGAGAATGGTTTCCAGGCGTAAACATATGCATATGGGGGGCCGTTCTCATGCTCCACGCGGTGGGCACCTCGTTTGGTGCTTTTTTCGCATTGCGCTTTCTGCTTGGTGAGTGCCGTCGAAAGTTTTCCGTGGCTAACGGTTGTTTGTGAAGGCATGTGTGAATGTTGCGTTGCGCCGATTCTCATCCTCATCATATCGATGGTGCCTCCGGCCCATTACCTTTGATTCCCACAACTCTGAACATCTCCCTAGTTCTACAAGAAGAATGAACAAGCGTCTCGTATCTCGTGGTTCTATGTGATGGTATGACCTGACTATTTCTGAAGATCAAACCTGATTACGTAAAGAACGGGCTCACTCAAATATTTGGTGGTTTTGTTGCATATGCACGACTCTCCATCGCTGTCGACGAGTATCAGGCTAAACTTCACACCAGGGCATCTCCTTCTACGCTGGAAACCGACTAGCGCCATACAAGATCATCTACATTCTTCTTGGTGGACTTGCCATCGTGGTCGGTATTTGCGTCCTCATCTGGCTGCCCGATTCTCCGGTACACGCCAAATTCCTCACGAAGGAGGAGCGCATTGCTGCACTTGAGCGAGTCCGCGATGACCAAGGCGGAACTGAGAACAAGAGGATCAAGAAAGATCAGGTGATCGAGGCAGTCACTGACCTCAGAACGTGGCTCATCGTGCTGTCCACCCTACTCAGTGCGTTCCTGCTTCACTGGAGATGAGCGCTTGCTGATAAATCTGGACAGCGAGTATTCCCAACGGGGCTCTCAGCAACTGTAATGTAGTTTTAATCCTAATAAATATTACTGACGACGCGACACAGACAGCAACATCATTATTAAAAGCTTCGGATACACGTACGTTCCAAGCAACCGATTTTCGTCTTGCCGGACTTTTCGCGTTGCAGGTCTAAACAGACTCTGATTCTATCCACACCTGCTGGCATCGTTGCCGCCTTGATGACGCTTTTCTGTGGGTGGTTCTCGGACAAGAAAGGAGAGCGTCAGCTGCCGATTATCATTGCGCTTGTCCCCACCATTGTGGGTTCAGGTGAACCCTAACGGTCTCGCTGTTAGTTCAGTCTTGACGCTTGATTTACAGCCATCCTCATTGGCCTCAATCATTCAGGGATGAAAGGCGTCCTGCTGTTTGCTGTTTACCTTATCGGCACATTCGGCAGTGCGCTCTCCACAATATACGCCTATAACGCAAGGTAAGATCAGCATTTCACGTGGAGTTGAAAAAATACCGTCTCCAGCAACACCAGTGGCCACACGAAGAAGAGCACTATCAACGCCATGACGCTCGTTAGTTTCGCCGTCGGAAACATCATTGGCACACAAATATTCCAGCCCAAGGACGCACCTGACTACATCCCTGGCAAGATTGCCATAATGTGCTTGCTGATCATCCAGCTTTTCGTGTCGTTCCTATTGCGCTTCATCAACCTGCGTCTGAATCGCAAAAAGCGGGCCCATTTAGAGCGAGTGAAGCAAGAGCGTGGCTGGACGGACTCGGACATTCAGCGCGAGCGAGAGAAGCACGCCTTTTCGGACCTGACGGACAAACAGTGAGTTCAGCAGCAACGAAGAAAACATGACCGACACCTTCCAGGAACTTGTATTTCGTATATACGGCATGAATCTGTGGTAGACTTGTGTGCTGTAGTCAGATGGAGGTGGTGAGGACGTATTGAACTGTTGACGGTGCATTGAAGCAAGAACGAAAGTCTCCGCGCAAGTTGCGATAACGAGAGTCAGTCTACCCTGATAGCTGCGAACAGGTCGCGGGCAACAGGATGTTGTCTATCCGGATGAAAGGGCAGGATAACTGAGCCAAGTACTTCCAAGGCTTTCTTCATTTTTCGACGTCATTGCCGACAAGACGAGACAAAGGCACGGATATGATGTGATGAACATGTAGCATGGAAGATGACTGATAGCAAGACTACAGAATCGATATCAGGCATCCTTGTTGGTTCGTGCCCTTGGTTAATGAATCAGAAGACGTGAACTGAGCTGATACCAATGGCGGACGATAGACAGTTTTCCGAAAGGAATGGGGCTCGGAGTAATCGTTGGGGGGTGGAGATAGAAGAAAACGGAGGCCCGTCGCATTGTCTAACCAAGGGTTGTTACTCTCATTCCATTCGCTAAGGTAGCTCGTCGGCTAGTCTTTGTAATTTTGATCGGTGCACCCTCGAGACCGGTGGTTAATATGAACGTGATGAATGTGGGCTTTCATAGAGGGTTCTTCGAGGTAACAAAACTCGACTACTACGCATCTGTTCTCGGCGACGTTGCCTCAAGATCGTTAGACCAAAATGAACCGAGCCGAGCTATGACTCAAAAAGCACAAACATGCCGGAAACTGGAGGCGCCGCTCTGATGTTTCTAGTATTTGCCTTCTTTCAAGTGCAGCACGTGACCGTATATGGATTTTGTCCTGGGATGCTCCGAGTCAAGTTTATAGGTGGCTAGAATCCAACCAAAGGCGGTGTATTCGGGCGACGGGCGTAGTCAAAGGGAAACTGTCAGGAGCAAGTTTCTTCGGGAAGGCAGTTCAGTAGTCATCGGGACTTGGGGTATGCCAAGAGTTGCCGTCTATTTACGAGGCATCGAGATTGCGGCAAAGGCTCGGTAATCGAAGCATTGTGGAGGCCGGAGCAGGGATTCAGATTCAGACTAAGGATACAAGAAAATCTTTTAGCAAACGACTCAGAAGCTAAGAGAAGCATACCGGTACTCAATGCGTCCGAGAAAGAACGACGTGGGAAGCAGGAGTTATACCTATTCGATAAGATAGCAGTTATCTCAGCGTCAATTGCTCTCACTGGAAACAGTCTTTGTTATGCTCACCCAGATGGGTGACTGGGACTTGGCAACACGCGAGTGGTCTACGTTGAGGTGGAGCAACAAAACATCTTCTAACTTCTTCAAGCCCTCTTGTATCTGTTCTTCATGGAAGTTGCCATGTGAAGGTCTCTGAGCTGATGTTGCAAGTTGTGCGTAGCGGCGTTAGAAGTTGACAGTGGCTTCAGCTACATTGAGCACGATAGACTCCGCCGTGGAATAAGGGTTCTGTTGCGCCAGATACCACGGCTTTCTTCGATTGAGGGTCTCACGCCAATCGCTGAGAATGGGCTTCGACGACAAAGTGTTGGGAAAAGGCAAGTCGGAGAGAACGTGGGAGTTTTTTCCGTCTCTTCCTGCCATCTCCGATGTGCCAAGAACACATCCTCGTCGGGTCTGTCGTTTCCCGTACCACCTCTCTCGTCAAGCGTAAAAATACGGTATGCTATTTCCTACTCCGGTTCACATCACCATCGAGGCGTGGCCTCGTTCTCTTGATTGCCAAGCAATTATTCACACCAAATGCACTCCAGTGCTGCACGTACAGCGTAGAAGTTCAAGTTTAACGTTTTCTCCGGCTTTGTTGCTTCTCCGTCAGCCTCCACGGTGCCAAGCCCATTGAGAACCCCAAGAGCATTTCCTCGTCAAGAGAATTCACCGACGTGCCAGCGTCATTGTAACTGTCTGTGCTTAGACGGGTCGACCTGACGACCCATAATGGGGGAAGTTGGCCCTCGTCCCGACAGCCAAGAAATCTTCAATGTTGGCCTTATCGCCGCGCACTCGAGTGTAGTTGTAAACTTCTCACGACAACCGCGGGTAAAGGCCGTCCTCGACTTACTACCAGCAAATAATGCACTGGCCGTGTCCACGATACGGCGATCCAAAAATCATACGCAAACCGAGGGAAATTTCCTCACGAACATCTTTTTTTTTTTTGCAAACTGTCTATTTTTATCCTCTGCAGGTTTCCTTGCGGTTGGTATCTCAGGCCTCAGCTAGGACTGGAACTAGAAGGGTACTCAAACTAACGACCTCTCCAAGCAGTACCACATGCCATGTTTTTGGTCATCTGCGCTCAGTGGAGAGTCCGTGCCTGCGAATACCTCTGCCACAGTCCCAAACCCGGCGAATCCACTTGGGTCTCACGCGGATATGGAAATCTGGCGACTGATTTGACGTGAAGCCAAGAATTTCGATTCGAGCACAAGTGAACCTCGGGGAACCATGCAACTAATCTGGCTACGCGATAGCACCATTTGTTCGTTCCCAAGCTCTCCTGCGCTGTCCAAAAACCTTTAAAAGCTGCAACTGTTTCGATGGTTTTGTACCAACCCACTTCCACTTCTACCTCTTCGACCTCTAGAAACCACTTCTCCTCCACTACAACATGTCTCCTGCCCTCACCACCGAGACCACCTGGACCCTTCCCCCCTCACCGACTGCTCTCAAGGCGGCAGCACAAGCGACGGCCACCACGACCCCCACCACCACCGCGCCATACTACAATGCGCGCTTAGACCCCCGAAACTTCCTCGAAGGCCCTCTCTCTGCTGACCCCGCTACCCGTCTTCGTCAAATGCTTGCCCGACCTGGTATCGTCGTCGCGCCAGGAATCTGCGACGGTATATCCGCTCGATGCGCAGTCGAAGCCGGATTCGACTGCCTTTACCAAAGGTCTGAGTTCTATCAGTATTCTCTTTAGCTCGAGGCTAACACGCATGACAGTGGTGCCGCAACCACAGCTTCGAGGTCAGTTTCTATCGTCACCTGTGTGTGTCAATCGACTAAAAGTTACCCAAAGGCTTGGCCAACCTGACCTGGCTATTGCTACTTTGAACGACTTTGTTGGAGTGAGTTTCTCAATCCATCAGTTTATTGCATGTCCTGACGAAGACCAGGCGGCGGAGATGGTATGCAGCTTGAACCCGACGGTACCCGGTGATTAAACCCGCTTTCTTCTTCTCCTAGAGCACAGTCTAAGACTTCCTTTAGTCATCGCGGACGCCGACACTGGTTTTGGCGGCGCTAACATGGTTGCCCGCACTGTGACAAAATACGCCCGTGCTGGTGTTGCTGGCCTCCACATCGAGGACCAGGTCCAGACCAAGCGCTGCGGTCATCTCCTCGGCAAACAGGTCGTTTCCCGGGAAGAGTACATCACTCGAATCCGCGCCGCCGTCCAGGCTCGCGATGCCATCCCTGGATCCAACTTTGTTAGTCTTTTTTTCCATCGATGGCCGAGCTGCCACTGACGATTTTTACAGGTTGTCATTGCCCGCACTGACTCAGCTCAATGCCTCGGCTGGGAAGAGGCTCTGTTGCGTTTGAAGTTGGCGAGCCAAGTTGGCGCCGACGTGCTCTTCATCGAGGTAGGCTGTTAAATTCTTTACTTGATTGCCTTGTGCTCGACGTTGGATAGGGCGTCAAGACCAAGGAGCTGCTTGAGGAGACTGTCTCGACACTCGCACCCAAACCGGTCAGTGGATCCCATCTGCCTGCGAGCGGCATTCTGACAGTTTTCAGGTCCTCGTCAACGTCATATCTGGTGGCCTGACCCCCTCGTTCACCTCCCAAGACGCCGAGGCTATGGGGGCCAAGATCATCAGTGGGTTGCGTGCATCTTCGTCTTCGAATTGTCTGACAGAAAAAATAGTCTTCTCCCTTGCCTCTTGCGTTCCTATGGTCCATGCTCTTCGCTCTGCTTTCCAAAGCCTCAAAAACACCGGCACCGACTTCGTCGCCGCCCAGGGCATGGGCCCACGCGAGTTCTTCGAAGTGATGGGCCTTCGGAACGCGATCGAGCTTGACGCAAAAGCTGGCGGAACCGCCTACACCTCCATCTAGATTAGAAGGCTTGGCTTCTTGTGGAATAATTGGGACTTGGTCGGCGCTATATAAACATTGGTCTTGTATGTATTGATTTAGAGAACGGATCGCTTGTTTGGTCCTTGTGCGTTCAGTGTGCTTTGATTCCCACGCGTTTAAATTTGTGCGACTGTCAAACCAAGGGAATTGGCAGAAAATCCCAGATAAGGAAGTTTCGACTCGGACTTGTGCACTCCTCACATCTATTTGCTAATCTTGGCAGCAGTATGAACGCACGAGAAAGAATCCAAGAAACCTAGTGGCGAAATGGTCCAAAGAGGCGCAGAATTGTGACGTTGAACATTATAATACAAGACCGGGAACAATTTACACAGCTGTAAAGCGCATTAGCAAAGGAATTTGCGAGCCGAAACTAGGTACTGACGGCGAAACTAGACACTTCAACTAGCAGCTTTCAATGCCGCCTCATTGAATGGGTCACCAATTTCTGCCGCACATCAATCAACGACGATCAAGGCGCAAGTGTGCAGACATACCTTTTCTGAGTCCTTCAACGATATGCCCGTCTATGAGCTCCTCTTTGTCCCTCTTTCCACCTGCGCCGCCTTCTTTGCCCTCCCATCCACCACCCCGTCTTGGATCCTCGCGTCTTCTGGTCTTTACATCGCGGGAGGAGGAGGCAGCGAAGGACCCTCCAGTTGGCAGACGACGCTTAGCAGCGCTGGCAGTGAAGGAGGAAGTGAAGTGGCTCGTCAGATTGGTGAGGAACATCGAGCCGGATGGTGGAGCCGGGAAGTGTTCATCGGGTGGAGTATCTGAGACAGGCGACGATGAGCCGGAGTCGGGATCTGGTGAATGCATGGCTGGGATGGATATGAAGTAGCGGCGTAATGGGAGTCGCGATGCACCTCGAGTCAATGTAGTGTGACACTCTGGTCACACTTTCACGTTGTCTGTGGACTCGATCCGACCTCCAACGCGCTCAAGCCGCAAATACAAGACCTTCAGGCTCAAGCATTCATCCTAGCTTCTCAAATTAAACGCTATCATGCATGCATATCTTGGTCGTCCCAAAGGTTCCCTCAAAGTCAATACTGATGAAAAGCAAATCAATCCAGAGCGACTTTAATATCTGGAATTCCCGCTCATTGCCGTCGAGTATTCAAAATTCGACCGTGCTGTCCGTGTCCTTCAAGCCGCCTTAGCTTTCGAGGCCTTGTGCAGCCTACTTTCTCAACTCGACCGTGAAACCCCCGGTCAATATAGTCAACTGCTATAAAGGCGCTACATGGAGAGAGGGTTGAAACCAGTTCCATACACCCCAAGATGCAGTTCAAAGCCCTTCTCCTTACCATCAGCGTCTTCATCGGCTTCCTCTCTCCTCTCGTTAGCGCGACTCCGTGTATGCTTGCAGCTCCCTGTTGATGAACGTTGATGATTGTTTAGCGGGCCTGCTTGTCGCGCGCGGTCACACTTGCCCTGGAGGATGTACATGCCAGGGCGACACCTGTCGTCGTGATGCTGAGGGACTTATCGTTGCTCGTGCTTGTGTTGCGCATTGCCCTTGAGTTCAACTTTTTCATCAAACTTCCGAGTCAGGTCTGTGGTACAATTTACTTCTGGTGCAGTTTCGGCTGATTTGACTTTCAGAGATGGACAAGGAAATTTAAAGCATTGTTTACGGACGAGCTAGTTGTTGCACGTGCAATATTATATCGTCTTTTAACCATTTGATTGCGTGGCTACTCGACGAAGTCCATCGAGTTGCCAAATGAGTAAGTCAGGTTGTCGTTGCACTTTTATCTTATCGGGCTTCGCAATATCATGATTACCAATTGATGAGATCTGAAAATTGTCACGGTCACGCGCTTTCTTGTCCTCTATGTCCATCCTCGGCATTGGTGTCGACGTCCTACATCTCCCTCGTATCTTCAATCTCATCAAACGCTATCCGTCTCGTCTCCACTCTAGAATTCTTAGTGCGCAAGAATTACTCGATTTGCCCGGAAACCACGAATCGCGTTTGCGATTCATTGCAGTTCGGTGGGTGCTACAAGTTTTTACACTCACACGATAGACTCATTTTTAGCTGGGCCGTCAAAGAGGCCGCGTACAAAGCGTTTTATCCACATCTGAGACCAAGCTGGAAAGACTTGACCTTACGGAAGGACGGCCCGAAGCCGAAGCTGGAGTTGAAGGAATGGGCCGGGCGGATTCACGTTTCTGTCAGCCATGACGGGGAATATGTCTTCGCGTCCGTACTCGTTGAGAATGAATGAGGTGTGTGTGTGCATTATGTTTTACATGTCGTACATTGATATTTTCATTCCGAATCTCTCTGTGGCCACCACTCTGGCCGCCAGTGCGTGACACCCCACCTTCCAGTCTCTGTCTCCAGCATAAAAACTAGTTTACCCTGCTCTGCTGCCTGCACATGCTCAAGTCTCAGCATCGCCAGCCCGACACCCCGCCTCGAGGTCAGCAACTTGCCTGTTCCTCGTGAACGTGTGCTATTGGCTTCAGAAAGCACTGGTCGAATGTCGAGGTTGGAAGGAAAGGAAGGAATTTGATTGTTTGGCATCGCATGGCCTGTTGGTCTAACAAGCAGTTGAGAGCGAACTGAGCACAAAGAGGAGGGCACTTACGGAGAATCGAATGGGTGTATCACAACAGGAAAGACGCGTTTTCGAATTACACCCGTGTGGTAAGTACGCACGGTCAGCTCTTGCCCGACGTAGCATCCTTTGCGGAAGTCCACTACAGTAGCCTTATAAACTCTGCTTTGTAGCACACCTGTTGACTCACCGGCACCCATAAAATCGAGATTGGACTCCATCGGAAAAGCGGGGATATCTACCGCTCCTTCTGGCACACCGTTCAAGATGCGATGAAGGGTGTATTCGTCTGAATCTACTTCATTTGCTGTGGTAAAATAGTTAGATAAACCGAAAGGGTGACTTCCAACGTACGAAGGTGGTCATTTGGTAATAAAAACCTTTTCCCCATCTCTGGCGCACGCGCGTCTTGAATCTCCAAGTCTTTAGCTCCCCATGGCCAATGCGAGGTATCATTCCAAACTGGCTCCGCCACGCCACTGTGTTCCGCCCACTTCCAGCTCTTTTCCGGTAGCTGGGAGGTTCCCCAGCTTGCCCAGACTTCGAACTCGTGAGACACATCCCGGACTTTGACCTTCGACCGCAACACATATCGCTTCAACAGCTGCAGCAGGCTCCCATCCTCAGTTTGCTCCGTGTCGACTAGAAAGCCCTGCCGGTCGTCTGGCGTTGTTTGCGTGTAAAAAAACGCGTCGTGCAAAACCTTTCCTTGAGCATGCAGGAAAGCAGAGTAAAATGGGCGTGGAGGAAGTGGAACAGAGGCAGAAACTATGCCATTGAGAAACTGAGATGCCTGTGAGCCCGTTATAGAGAGTATCGCGCGCCGGGGGACTCGGGCTATCGTTGGGGCCTTCGAGATGAGCGGAGGAAGTAGCATGTACGGAATGACTAAGCAAACACAACTTTCGACCAAAATGTCTTCATCGTGCCAGTCCCTCCTTGCCGCGCTCCGCGACTGTCTCCTCGCGTCGGAGTGTGTAACTAAACAAGGCCACAAGCCAACGGAGTGTCTACGCGACCATACCGACGAGCTGCCGGAAGAGTGTAGGATGCTGAGGAAAGCGACATTTGACTGTAAACGCGGAATGGTGAGTGGTCTCCCATATTTCTCTGCAGCCACTGATGACATTCAAGCTAGATATGCGGAACAGATTTCGCGGAAACCCTGGCGCGCAATTTCGCTATGTGCCGGTGGACAGGTCAACTACTGCTTCTGTGGATTCAGACACGAGTTGAATGCAAATCATCACGTCTTTCTTTGCTCATTGGAGTCGTTACGAACCCCATGGTCAGCGTGGTGGACCACTTTGTCAGCTGGTCTTGCGATAATTAGTAAGTGAGAGGAAGGCAGCAATTTAAAATAGAGGGGATTGGGAAGAAAGCGGGTACGGACAATGTCTTCCCCAGAACCAATTACGACTACAACCCCAACGACTGCCACTGACCGGCCATTCTTCCTCTACACCGGACCCACACCAAATGCTCGCGATCTCTTTCTCTTGATATAATCTAATTCTAATCGATCCACAGGGCTATAAAGTGACCGTCTTTCTAGCCGAGCTCCAACTGGCCTACCCTTCTACCAACCTCTCCTACGCCTACGAGTCTATCAACATCTCGACCAACCGCCAGAAAGAGCCATGGTTCCTCGAACTTAACCCAAATGGACGTATTCCTGTCCTCATCGACCGTCAGCGGAACAACTTCGTCGTCTTCGAAACCGCTGCGATACTTCTCTACCTTGCACAACACTATGACGTCGAGAAGAAGTTCTGGTTCGATGTGACGAATGAGGCGGATGACTATAGCGAGATGCTGCAGTGGGTGTTCTTTGCGCACGGCGGAATTGGGCCGATGCAGGGTCAAGGTGAGCGATTTTTAAGTCTCTTATTCTCCAGCTCATCGCTGCAGCCCATCACTTCCACCATGCTGCCCCCACCGACATTCCCTATGGCAAGAAACGCTACACAGAGGAAACCAAGCGGCTCTACGGTGTACTCGAGTTGCGTCTCGCACAAAACGGTGGGCGTGATTGGCTTGCCGGACCGGGGCGTGGCAAAATCTCCATCGCAGACATCAATGTGTCGCCCTGGGTGAGAGTCTATAAGAAGGCGTTTGTAGACATCGAAGAGTTCCCAAGAGTGAAGGTAGGCATTCAAGCCAGCTGTCAAGCGAGCTTACAACGCGCTATAGGCATGGCTTCAACGGCTTCTTGATCGACCTGGGTACCAGGCAGGCCTCAACGTTCCAGTTTTGCCGTGAAACGAGTTGTAAATTGTACAGAGACAGAATACAGAATAACAACATTTTTCCATCCTCCAAGGTCATGAGTCTGTGCATAAAAACCACCACCAGGGTAACAAGTGATCCTTATAATTAATCGTCATTCTTAAACCCTGTAGACTGGCCTTCCTTTCCTGTCGACCTCCCCGCCAGTGCGGGCATCGATATATCGTCGCGGCCGAGACCGTCCAAGGAAGCCCCATGAGCTATTGGAGGATTTGTGGCGGTAGTTTCGGGGCCGGAAGCCAAAGAAACGGCGAATCCGTTCGCCGAGTGTCAATCCGGAATAGGAATATCCTCCACCCCCGCTCGAATGGTGGTGGCGGCGAGAGCGGTGGTGATGTCCACCAGAAGACTACAAAGGGTTTTAATGTGGGTGGCAAGAGCAAGCATGGCGACGCACGACTACTGTCCCAGTAACGACGGTTGGCTGGGCGTATTGGTCGTGATGACCGTGGTGTCTGTGATGTCTGCTTCGTCGCGAGGAAGTCGTGTAGACTACCCCGGGCTGTTGCATGGGGTCGGAGTACCCATATTGCGGGTAAACGCCTCCTCCGTTGTGGTGGGAGGAGGTATAGGTAACGGGAGCCCCGGCGTAAGAGTAGCTCATTGTTGTGATGTAAAGCTTTTTATCGTGGCGGTCGTTCGAGTGGTGGGGTCGTTAATGAAGGGGGTGGTGGAGAGAAGACAAGGTATTGTTCGGGAATCTTTTTATAATGTGGCTCCGTTGATGTCATATCAACCACAATGCGCTAACCACACAGCTCTGAGTAACATCTATCGCCACTTTGCCACTTAAGCCATTTGCACAGTTCCGTGTCTAATCCATTTCACTGTCGTCTCTGTAGACGCCTGGACCGTTGAACGGAATGTTAACCACCGCAGAAAGCTATACATGCCACCCGGGTTCAAGTTTACCATCTACTCCAAGTCTTGGAAATCTCCCTCGTCTAGATCATGGGGCTTAAAGTCGTTTCAGCATCCGGTTTCTCGTAACGGATATAGAAAAACACACCTCTTTCGGCTCCTCGTCTTCCCCGTACTGCATCGTATAATCAATGTGGCTAATGACTGTCTCGAGCGAGTCGGGCGATGTTAGGTCTAGTGGCAGGAAGGAGACCAGTGGGTGGTCTTCAATCTATTTTCGCGTCAATAAATTCAACAGCCCCCACAAACTAAACCACTTACGAGTTGGACTATGGCCTGATTGAGGGCGTGAAACCGCGGATTTGCCGTGTCGCCCTCTTGGCCCCGCGCAGAGACGAGGAGAAGTGGGTCTGGATCGAGGTATCTATAACGCGATGGGTGAAATCATAGATAAGCTTATACGCAACAACAAACCTGGCAATGTTACGCCTGCCCCTTAGCCCGTTTCTGCCTCCAGATGCACGTGCAGGGTCGTCAGGATTGGCGGTGACTAGGTCCATCTTGGACATAATGTTGATCCATGGAATCTCAAGGTTTACCATCGCAGACATTGCCGATAAGACCCCACTACATGCATTAGTCAGAGTAAGTACGAGCAAATGGTCAACACAGACCTGAAAAACTTGTACTTGTCTTCCATGAACTGCGACTCTATCAGATAGACTGCGCTAGTCCGAATCCCCATCTTGGTCAAGTTCTGGACGAGTGTTGGCAGAAAGGGATGGTGGGTATAAAGCTCGATCTGGCCAGGACAGTCGAAGATGAGATAATCATCCTCATATCCACCTAGTTCTTCCTCCAGCCAGTCCATGTTCTGCAGAAGGTACCTCAACTCAAGATATTCGCCTTTTCGTTTAGATTTGATAGATGCCAGCTTACTCGAAACAGTATACCAGCCCGCCATTGGGCCCATAGCCAAGTTCACCCATTACGTCCTCCAGGCTGACGAGGTCCTTGATGTCGATTACAGGCGCGTGTTCGTAGCCTTCAGGTGCGGCAGCTGGGTCAAGGTTCACCAGATGGGCTGACCGCCGCGACGCAGCAAGATGGGTAAGGAATGACTTCGTAAACGTTGTCTTGCCTGCGCCGGCCGGGCCAGTAACCAGGACTGCGTAGCGCATTTCTGTTTTTTTGGGGGTGGAAGAAGAAGAGAAAGTGATTAGATAATCACATCCGCACGTGAGCTGTCACGCATCCACCGATTTCCTGCAATTCCGTTCATGATTATCAGGCAAAGTGCGCGGCGGTTTCGGCCAGCAGGCATAATTGCGCGTTATGCACACTCAGATACGCGGTTCATTTCCATTGCTACACCGCTGAACCCCAACTCGACCACCGAAGAGCCGATCTCATTAGACCCACCTTCGTCATTACCTGACGCCTCATCAACTGCTTCCACCAGCACAAACATTCCCTCAACCCGCATATCCCCACCGTCTTCGCTCTCGTCCACGAACCCCCCTTTTGACACGCATGCTTTCTTCTCCGCGCTGGAAAAGACGTTTCCGACCCCAACGGCGCGTAGTCTCATGCGAGCGACACGTGCTCTACTCGTGGACAGACTGGGGCGAGTAAAGCGGGAGGGGCTCACCGTCAAAGACTTGGACAACGTATGCCCTGTCCCTTTGCCTGAAATCCAGCTAACTCTCGGAAGCAAGCATACTTGTTCCGCGCCGCTCTCGCCGAGCTACGCGCGGAGTTCACGATGGACACGAGCAATGACTCCGCATCTATGCGGACTGCGACTACAGCACTAAGGAAAGAGGTTGACAAATTGGACATCAAGATGAAGGAGGATGTGGCCACATTGAAACATGAGTGCGTCGTTGTTACGGTCGGCGGTTCCAACTCCAGTTGATTTCTGGGAAGGGTTCAGATGGAACTCGACAGCAGGAAAAACGAGGCCAAGTCTGAGCTCAAGCAACAAGATATTGTCATTGAGGTGAGTTTCTTCATATCAATACTATGTACCTTAGCTCAATGTTGTGCAGGAACTGCTGAATAAGGCGATTGTAAGTATCAGCGATCTGCGGAGCGACGTCGAGGAGGTCAAGTGGGATAACACGCGGAGGGCAGTTGGTGCGTTCATTAACCAGATCATGGCTATTCTTTCTCAACTCCCCAGTGACGCTGTTTGGCTTCCTGGCCCTCATAATCGTGACGATGGAACTGCAACCCAAGCCCAAAGCGAAGCCCAGCAGCAGCCCTCCATCGAATGTGTCATTATCAGACATGGTGCAACCGAGCGCAAAGAACGTGAAGCAACCGGAGGAAGGGTCGATAGAGGGGTGGGCAACGTAAACAGTTGGATATACTACACACGTACAAGTTATCTTCCTTATAATTTACCACCTACTTGACTTTGAGCTTGTCGATCTCAGCGCTCAACTCGTCCGGCTCTGGCGCGGCGGCCCAATTCGGTTTCTCTGGGGTATGAGCAACACCGGGACTAGAATTCGATTTCGCTGTTGAAGCTTTGGATGTCGCATCCGGGGTATCATCATCATCATCGTCCCAATTATCCGCCACCTCCGCGTCTTTCTTCTTGTTTTCCCTCCGTTTCGCGTTTTTCTTTGCACTCTTGCTCATCGGCTTTGCGCTATCCGAGCCCGCTTTGTCTGATGAGGGTGGCGGGGCCCAGCCAATGATATGACCCTTAGGCAACTGGTTCGCGTCGTGTTGCGTTTGTTTTGTGCCTAGAGCATCGCATTCTTAACGCCGTTCCACAGCAAACGAACCAAAACTGACCCCGAAAGCGGCGTACGTCTTCCTGCGGCGTGAACCCCGGCCGTATCTTGATTTGTTTGCGGACTCTTATAAGTAGATCAGCAAAATGGCAGAGCATCAGGCATCTGGAAAACGAGACGCACGAGCCATCGGGACGTTTAGATTCGGGGATGACGCGCTCGAGGGTCTGTGGATCGACCGCGATGCCCGCAGCAGTCTGGTTCGGGTTCACGGGTGGTAGCGTTGGCGGCATTGTGGGCGTCTTTGAAACCAGGGATGGCGTGACATTGTGACGATCTAATCAAACGTGACACTCTGTGTTTGTTTCCGACTAACATGATTCAGATGAAGACTTGGAACGACCTTTGCACTTGCCGTCCCAAGGACTCAAAGCAAGCACGTTGAGTAATGTCTACGACCCCGTCAAACATCCCGTGTTCGTCGACTCTTCCCCCAATTTAGCCCCTATAACTTGCTTCGTCCATGACAAGTCCTTGACCGAACGTTTGCTGGACAGATTGAGGACATTTATTGCGGTCAACAACTTGACCACCTTCTCACCGCAAGTAGAAATCGCCTTCAAATATCTCGTCCGGCAGTATCAGCTACGCAGAGGACGAAGTGACATGGATGCTTTCGGAGCTTCTATGTTCGCAACCTGCCTTGATTCCTTCACAGAAGCGCTGTGGACAGAGCTCCATCCTACTATGGTATTCAGCGGCTTTACAATGCCTGATGATGGTTTCGGCTTCCACCTGGGCACTTGGGATCCTGTCCGAAACTCGACTCTTGTTCATTCTGGTGCAGTTGCTCAATGGTACGATGAACATACTCTCGAGACATACGAACATGAACTACTCGCATCTCCGAGTGTCGTTCCTGGTGGAGGATGTCAAGGAGGGCCTGCTGTGATGAAACAGGTATGTTGTGCATCATGAATGTCGGCTTTCCAGACCAACGTTACCCAGGTTGGACGGCAACTGGAACACTATCGGAGGCTTGCACAACTTCAGACATCCGATGAAGCTCCAACCGCGACATTTCCGCCAGATATGGAAATTCGTTTCGGGTTGATTCTTTCTTCCCCATCGGTCTGTTTCGTGGAACAAGGTTTGGTCCACTGTATCTCGAGTCGAACATATTCAACATTTCTGCAGCTGTTCTGGAGACGAAGAATGAAAATACCACCTCCGAGTCGGCCTTGTTGGTTTCATCTGTCGATCGCTTGGCTCCTTGGGCCGGGCCTATCGTCGCATTATGGTTTGCTATGTCGATACCCCAGCACGATATTGTACACCCAGATGGCAGCGTCACGCGCGGTGTTCCCTTCCCTCATATGGTCAATCTGGCCAGCCTGATCCATGAAGGCACGACCAGTCAATTTCTACATCAACTTAAGGGTGAACAAACAGTCGAGTACGGAACATGTTCAGCGACACACTCCTCAATGTCCAATATTCAAGATCCGACCTCCCTGGCTTGTATCGTGAGTTGCGAAGCAACGGTGTTGTTTTGCTGACTGTTATATGTACAGCGTCTGCAAGCTCTGAACAACGTGAATGCGACACCCCGTTATCTAACTTATCTTCGACCAGTTACATTAGACTACTCACAGTCCAAGTCTCGACCGGTGACTGCCACTGCTGATGATAGTGATAGCCATTCGGAGCCAGACAGTCCCACTTCTGGCACCTGGACGACAACATGGACATCTCCTGGACCGGATAGCCCCTCCATACTTCATGCAGCCCATGGTGACCTTCTACTCTCCTCCACTTTGATAAAGCGAAATGTCTTCCGCGGAACCTTGAACATGCAACGTTCTGCCGTCACCGTCATCTTCAAGACATATCCCCTTCACCGACTCTCCTCATTGGCAAGAGAGTCTTTGAGTTACAAGAAGCTTGCTTCTGTGTCTTGGGTTCCCAAATGTTTTGGTACCTTCCGACCTAACACGATCGCTAACGGTTGGATCGGTCTCATTTTGGAGGACTTGGGTGACTATCAGTGCCCACCGTGGGACGACTTGGAGCCTTCACACCGGTTTGTTTGTCATGTGTGTTTTCTCTCCCTCATTAATTCGAAGCCACCAGACATTCGTTGTATGCATTACTTTGTGGCCTCCATGATCATGGCATCTGCCATGGTTCTTTTGCCCCCAGAAATGTCGTGCTTCGAGGAGGGGAATGGTACCTGATCGACTTCGAGCGCGCAGTGGTTGATCATGAATGCGCGGGCAGTACATGTGACGAACTGGTTCAAGCGCGCAAGAACTTGAAAGTTGTGTGATCAATCTGCACTCGTACCAACCATATGGTCTGTAAAACTATCACGTGGTGTCCGTTTCTCGTGAAAATAGTATGAATTATTTGGTACGTGAAAGGTGGTAGGGATACATACTGATATGCTCGATACACGACGAAGTCTTATATAAATAAGGGTAAAAAAATGTAGATCATCATCATAAATTACCATCCCGTGACTTGCGCGTTAATGACCGCAGCCCCCGCTTGATCGACAATTTGCCCTTTGCAGGCAACGCCAGGTTGCGTGTGCTGGCATGCTTTTCCGACAGATTTGTCTGCATCCTGCGCAGCGCCACCCCGCCTTCCTCGGTGGCAAAGTCGAAACCCCGATCCACGGACCGCAGCCCCGTTGCCATGTCGGTGGTGCTTGCGGAGCGGATGTCAATGTGTGGTCGTTCAAGGGTCATGACACTCCCCGTTCTTGATGTTCTCCGGGAGGCGCGGGAGGCTGCGATAGAGGCTGGGCGTGGTTTCATTGCTGCCAGACCCCGGACATTCAGCTTGCTCAAATCGCGCTTCGAGTCGGTAAGACTCATCCACCGCACCATGTCGATGTCGTTCGGGCGGTATCCAAATTGCCATGCCTTGATGAGATACCGGGGCGTGAAGGCAAGCACGAAGGTGAACAGCATGCCAAACCAGAAATATGCCGACCGCAGGACGTAGTGGTCATTTCCATAGAGCGCAGTCACGGCGTAGCCCGGTGAGATGAGGGAGTATATGGCCTGGGCATATGTGAGACAACAAACATTGTCGTAGATCCTATTAACGCTCACCGTGAAACCCCAAACCACGCAGATGCCAAACGCAAGGGCGAAGAAAACCCAGAAGGTCCAGGCATGGACCATCAGCCCCGTATACATGTTGGCCACCATAACAGCAGCAAGGGCCATCGTCGTGGACCCCTCATTGATGTAGGTGTCGTAGCCGTCCGAACGTGTTGTGGGCACCAAGTAGGTAAAGTGGAGGAAGAAGTAGATTATGACCGACTAACACTGCGATTAGCACAGAAATAAATGTAGGCAAGCACTTGCCTGATATGTACCGTCCAGCACATAGATGAAGAATGAGCGGAGGTTGAACCAATGGCCCTCGCGACCAAAATGATAGAGTTCGGGGACCGCCATGAGGGCGTCAGAGTCTGCGAAATCTATCAGCTCTGGTCGAACACCAAAACATTTTCCTGACCTAAAAATCTGTCGAACACTCCGATGGCCACAACTGGAAGAACCGTCCACAACGAGTTCCAGAAAAGGACGTAAACGTATGCAAAGGCACTAAGAGTTGGATGTGAATGCCTGAGAAAAAGTTGGCCAGAAGCACGCACTAGGTTGCACTCCAACCGTTGTAGATCTGGAACCAAAACAAAACAACAGTGGGGACTACAAGGTAGTTTAGTTTAGTCTTTAACTCAAAAAAAAATGATTCCATACCAATGTTCTTGTAAAAGAAGTTCAAGATCCTGAATGATATCAAGCTGCTTCTTCAACAAACAGACTAAACTTACATCGTTCCGTTTCGAGCGTAAGACCAATGGCCGTGGACCAAAAGCAGCTTCTTGAGGAATCGGAATTGAGCGATCGCATAATCAGACGAGTTGGCTGCTTGTAGTCCTTCTTCGCCAGAGATACCGACACCAACATCGGCAGCTTGGATCATGCTTACATCATTGGCGCCGTCGCCAATGGCCAAAGTCATAGCACCCAGCCCGTCCTTGACAAGCTTGACGACCAACGCCTTCTGCAACGGCGAGACACGACAGCAGATCACGCCGTCGCATTTCGTGCCAAGATGAAGCAGCAGTGCTCTGTTGGCATCACCATCGAAAGCCTACAACCAATGATGAGCAAGCGTCCAAGAGGGTTGACTGCAACTGCAACGTACATGAAGCAGGGCTGTCCCATCAATGACGAGGATGAATCCACCTGGACGTTCACCGTTGTGCTCCCCTACGATAGACGTGACACCTGTATCGACGCGCTGGAGAGGGATGACAGGCTCGCCATCACGCGTCGAGGTTGACCGGCGTGAATGTTGGGGGCCGTCAGAGTCCGAGAAGTAGGTATCGATGGCGAACTGCATCTGTTGTGCGATCGTCCGGCCACGGTCATTTCCGCCACGTATGATGATAATATTCGAGTCTGGGGTGACGAGATTCGTGCTTTTACCGATTGCTAAATTTTTTTTAAAAAAAAAGTCAGCATTATATCTGCCGCTGGACGAAAGTCGAACCAATGGCGGTCTCGAGCTTGTCACCAGTGGCAACCCAGATTTTGATTCCAGCACGCTTCAGGTCGGCAATGGTCTCGGGCACTCCGTCTTGCAGTTTGTCCTCGATAGCGGTCGCACCGAGAAGCCGCAGATCTCGTTCTAGTTCATCCGAAATTTCCTCAATCTTCTCCTCGCGACCTTCGAGCGCAATGGTTGCCTCGTGATATCGCTCATTCCAAGCGACATACTCGCTCTCTAATCGCTTTCTTCAGCGCGCGTTGTGACACAACAACAGGCAAAACTGACCTTGGATGACTTTATAAGCCAACGTTAATGTTCGCAGACCACCATTAGCAAACTCGCTCAAATGACTCTCAGTCGTCGCCTTCAACTCGTCTCCGCCCTCTTTCAGACGCTCAAAAATGACGTTGTCTGCACCCTTGGTGAGCAAAAACAACCGTTCATCAGCGCCGTCGAGTTGTTTGACCACAACGCTCATCCGTTTCCGCGCACTCGTAAACTCAAGAATGTTGAGCAATTGGTACCGTTCCGGTTCGGCGGCAAACGGGGTGCGGAGGGTCAAAAAGTCGCGATCGCGGCCAAGGAACACGAAGCCGACATCAGCCGCAGCTTGAACCAGAGCAGCTTCGTCCGGAGACTGTGCCTTGTACTCCAGAGCTCCCGTATCCGGATCTTCTCCGGTCAGAACGGTATGACAGAGCCCGAGAACCTTGAAAAAGCCGTTGAGCGACCGCGCATGAGCAGCATTGCCTGAGTTAGGATCTGCATTCACTGCAGCTTCCAAGTCGGCAGTAAGATGAACGTCCTTGAAATGAGGTATTCCCCCATTCCTCTCTGCACTGGAGGTGGAAGAGACATCATTTCCGGCTGCTTCCTTTAGTTCGCCCAATGATTCTTCCTCTAGATCCCCCATGTAGGAGCGACCTCCAACTGAACATTGACGAAAGACCATCAGATTCTGCGCGTATGATTATTAATCTTATCGAGATATTTATTCAACCATACCTGGGTAAGAGTGCCAGTCTTGTCAGAGAATATGTACTGAATTTGACCCAAATCGTCAGACAGGTTCCAGCTTTTCGCAAGTGTCGCTTGGTCCGTTTTCGCATACCACATATCTTTGTCAAAGAAAATGAAAGCCGCCTGGAAGGTCCGAACAATCTCGATAGAGATGTACAATGATATTGGCACGATGTCTTGGAATCTGCAGGAGGTTGAGACTTGGAGAAATGTTCTTTGAAAGCTTCTCACGTTAAAAAAGCAAACGCCCATGTAACAAGGCCATTGATAGACGGATTGTCGCCCGATGTATCGTCACCATACAACCAAGGGGCACTGCGGTGTTGGTAATAGTGCTCTAAAACCGAATCGCCGATAGCGCAAGCTACCGTCATTAGGAATAGTATGAACAGGTTGATCAGTCTATGATGCTCGTCAGTTAGTCCCGAGAAGAACACAGTAATGTGGACCTACACTTGAGGATTCATTTGCCTTTCGACCTTGCTCCGCTTACTTGGAGCGCCGCCAGAATTCATAATGATCTTCGTGTCTATACCAGTATAGAGTACCACCCCGATCACCCACTCGGTGTTACGGAGCACAGTGCCACGTAAAAGTGTCATCGTCAAGTCGACTGGCAGGGTTTCCTTGTCCTTCGTTATTGTGGCATTGAGCTTGTACATGTTCGTATCTGGGCGGTCGGCCCTGACAGAGAAGGCGTTGAGCGAATTGGCGCAGTCGGCAGCGGTGTTGAGGTGGGTGAGGCCCGCAACGGCATGCCGTGATTTGAGATTGGTTTCGCCGTCAAGATTTTTAGTCTCGATGAAGGCAACGTTTTCCTCCTCAGAGGTTGCGCAAATGAAGATGTCGGCGGGAATAGGCTCATTGTCGCGAACCTTGACAAAATCTCCGACGCGAACATCCTCCCAGGAGGTGATCTCCCAGTCAGCTACCACTGCATCGTCAGCAGTGATGACTGGTGGGCGAGGTTTCCGTTGGGGGACAATAGCGCGTACGAAGGTCTTGCTCTTTGCCTCCATGGCGTTTGGGTTGTTCCAGTTGTCGGCCCGAAGAACAAGAGTTTGGCTATTGTTCATCTTCCTATCTGCCCGATGACGGATGATGTCTTCCCAGCCATCTTTAATGGCGGAGAACGCAAGAACGATAATGAGAGGCAATATGACCACGCCAACGGAGACGGTGGCGAATTTCGGGAAGAATTGGAGAATAGCGAGGGCCAGGAAGAAACTGGGTCCGTTAAGATCATGAAGTCCCTTGAACAAGCATATACTCACATGTTCGCGATGCGGCGGAATTGTTCAAGTAGATTACGGGGGAGGAAGGTGATGATGGTATACTTGCTATTTTTTATGTTGACTAGAGCCTGAGAGGTAAATTGCGGAAACGAACCTTGTGATGACCTGAACCAAGGTTAGTCAGGGAACGCGTAAAATGACGTCCTGGTCGCACCTGGTTTGAAGGATAGACATGGGCTGCTTTTACTTTTCCTTTCGCATCGAGATAGTCGGATGGAAGATTTTGGTTCACATAGACCGTCCGGGGAGGCCCACCGACCTTCTTGCGAGAGAAAAGGTCTTCTATTCGGAGGTCGGCCAGGCGACGATACCATGGCGTGGACGGGGCTTTGGAGTCAGCCATGAAGGCAAGAGCCAACAACAGTCGCGGGTTTCCGGGGGCGCTGACACGATCGTGTTCAACTCAGCAGCATTGCGTATGTTGCGGAACAAAGATACCATCACGAGCTGTCACAAAACTCGTGATTCTTATCGATTAATCATCAGTCATGCCCCCTTCCTCCATGACCGTCGACGATCTTCCGTCCTTCGAATCTCTCAACCAGCTACCGAAATTCGACAAGAACGAATACATCCAAACATATGTCGAGAACCAACGAATTCACCTTTCTTCCTACGTAATCAGCCCACAGCGACCAGGCGCTTCCAACAACATTGGTTTTACTACACCCATCCTCGCCGCCCGCAAACGCCGCGCTACCTCCCAACCCGTTGAGCGAAACGAAAACCTAGCCAAGAAGGAGAAAGTGAAAGAAAAATCTAAGGTGGTTAAGCAACATTCCAAACGCAAGCAACACAACTCCGATGACGAGGAGGAAGAGCAAGCTGTCCGTGAGTACCAACTCGTAGAATTTTTGGCATTGATTGACTTTGAAATAGGTCTTGAAGAACGCAGGGAACGCAAGAGAGCCAAACGCGCAATTGTAAAACCCGCCAACGACCCCGAAAACAATCAGAACAAGAGCAAGACTGATAACAAGAGACAGAAGAAGGACAAGAAATCTAGCAACGCCTTTGCTTTAATGCATGGCTTCTCTGCTGCAAATGTTGGGAAGAATCGTCTTACAGTAAGTCGTTGACGCATCCATTGATGCATGCATGCTCACTATGATAGCTAAAACCGCCTTCTGCTATCGGAGTATTCAAGAAAGGCAAAGCTTCCCTCAAGACCAAGTCTAAGTCGAAACGTGACTGCTTCCCATTTTCCTTAGGACCCATTCTGAAGTTTGTTGTGCAGAATCAAGTAAACCGTTTTCAGAAACTCAGTTCCTCAGTGGTACAAAGCAAGCCATTGCCTCCAACATCTCGTCGTCGTCGTCGTCTAGCTCGGAGCCATCTAAAGTCAAGGGCTTGGCCGAGTCTGAGGTCTGGGATATCGAATCCATTGCTATCAACAATCAACCGCTGAGCCCTATCGAGGAGGAAGAGGAAAAAGAAGATGAAGGTCAAGGGACTGTCATTGTTGATGCTAAACGTCCGGGCTGGGCTATTTCTACTGTCGACGACGCCCCTGTGCTCTCCTCCAGTCCGTCTTTACGACCATCAGAATCTGCATCTCAAATTGCGAACCATCCTCCTCGTCCTATTGTGCCTATTTCACGCTTCTTCTTCGATGAAAAAACTCTGCCGGTTCTTGAAGAGGTAGAATCTCAATCCTCACCTTCTCCCGTTGTAGACCACAGCCCTCAAATTTCGAATCATCGTTCTCGTCCTATTGTGCCTGTTTCACGCTTCGTCGATGCAAAACCTCTGCCGGTCCTTGAACCAGTGGAATCTCAATCCTCGCCTTCTCCCATTGTAGAGCGCGGTCGTTCTCCCTCTCCGCTTGACCTTGATATGCCAGAACCTTTCCCATCAAGCCCACATCGATCCCCACTTCGGTTTCGAATACCAGCTCGCAAAAGAGAGTTCGCCAAACAATTTTCCTGTCAACCTCGGCAGCCCGAGTCCGACCACGAAATGGACGAACTTGCGCAAGATTGGGAAGAGCAGTTCTCGGATGATCACTCGCTAGAAATGATTCAAGACTCGGCCGCAATCTCCGAACTTGAATCTACGCCGGGCGAAGATGCCGACTTCTTCGAAGATGATATGGAATTTCTCGATCACCAAGATATGGGAGGGGATTTTGGGTTCTCCGAGGCTGATTGGGCCGACCCACAATGTGAAGCCTACGGGGTGATGTATGACGAAATGGAGACAATTTCGGAGGACGGCATTTCTGTCGAGAGCGAGCAGGAAGAGATTCATCAACAAAGTGACTTGGACGATGGCATGACAAGTTACAGCAACACAATACAGTTCACGGAAGGACGTGCGTTGCTGATGGGACTCGCTCGGGCCGGAGCTGGAGGATCAGGAGGAGCAGAGCTGGATGTAGCGCGCGAGCTGAAGGGACACTGGCGAAGACAACGACTTTAGAGAGTAGAGCTTGATTTTGTTGATACTTTGATCGTGTATTTTAACGCGTCGCGTCACATTCGTCACTCATCAACTCCTTTTCCTTTGCCTTTTCCTCGTACTTTTGACTGTCACCTTGCCTGCCCTCTTTGCACCCCTGCAACTGGCGGCATTGCTGAGCCTTCTCCATGTCATCATCCTCATCGAAGGAAAACTTGAAAATGGGCAATAACTCTGTGAGTAGCATCCTTGCTTATTGAGCCCTTCTGACGCGTCTTCAGTCTCAGCCAGTCAAACTGGAGCCCTCTGAGTCCCGCATCCCAGCCGCCCTTAAAAAATCCAGCTCTTTCAATGTGAAGCCAGAGCCTGTCGAACAAGTAACCTTTTTCTCTTCTCCTACCCTTACGCGTCCCTCATCTTCACTCTTAGTCTGTCCCACTGACCCTCAAACGGGAACCACTCAAAAACGAGTTCTCCGTCGATTTTGGCACCCACGATGATGCGCCTATGGATGATATCCCAGAGGCCAAACCAGACACACCGGAGGCAGAGGAGAACCCAGCCAGCTATGTCAAATTCGAATCCGTCAATGATATCGAATACACCCCGGAACTAGCCCTCCAGCAGGGCCTCAAGATGGTGGCGGATATGGAAATGGTATTTGGACTGATAATGCCATGAAACATGCCACTGACAATTTTGAAGGGGATGCAAGTGCTCGACATTGGACCGCGTCGCAAAGAAGTATGGGGGCATGATACTGCCAAGTTCGTCATTAACGTTGCTGTGTCAATGTACACTGATTCCTTGTCCAGTTTGCGCTCGAGCGGAGTACCCAAGACCCTTATTGCCATCTGTGGCGGTGCGTGTAAGAGCTTTTGTCCAAGTTCACTACTTAGATTTACGCGAAGGCACGGGTGCTGGCAAATCCTCCATCCTGAATGCTATCCTCGACGGTGAGTCGACTGTTTTCTCTGCGTTATGTGATTTACGGAGTTATAGACAACATTGTACCCACCAGTGGGATGCGAGGTAAGCTTTCTACACCCTTAAAAATGAAATAATATTCATCTCAAACAAATCGCGTTAGCTTGCACTGCCGTGGTTACCGAAATCGCGTACAACGCTAAGAACTCCATCGATGCGGACATCTCCTTCCTGTCGAGGGAGGAGTGGAAGGTGACGGGCTCTGGTCATGCTTTTTGGCCGAAACTGACTTTCTTCGGCAGTCTGAACTTCAGATACTCGTCGATGATTTGACAGAAGAGGATGGTACCCTTAAACGCACCAACGACCTGAAGAGTGACGCAGGTGTCGCATGGCAGAAAGTCCACGCTGTCTACCCCACCATTGACGCCGAAAGGCTCGTCAAGATGACCCCCGACCAAATCATCTCCAGCAATGCCAAAATCGAGAGGATCCTGTAGGTGCCCCAGCTACTTCTAGGATCATCTCACAAGGCCTGACAGTGGTGCCACCAAGAACATCTCTGCCACTAGCTCCAAGAAATTTGGGATCGAGATTGGTAAATACATCGACTCGAAGGACCAAAAGCGAGGCAAAGACAAAGACAAGAAAAACAAGGACAAGGATCGCGACCCCAACGCTCCCGCATTTTGGCCTTTGATTCGTCAAGTCAATGTCCGTGCCCCATCTGCGGCGCTTGCCACAGGAGCTATTCTCGTAGACTTGCCTGGTATGTTTTTACGATTTTTTTAACGACACCTTCTCATACTGAGGTAGGAACTGGTGATGCAAATGCCGCACGAAGTAAGGGTCACCATCAGAAAACCGAGAATCCAGCTCATTATCTTTGTAGACGGTATAGCGCGCCAATACATGAAGAAAGCAAACTGCATATGGATTCTTGCCCCAATCCATCGGTGAGCGATGCTACCAGTGTTCGCCCACACCTGCTGACTGTCCAAAATCAGTGCCGTTGACTCCAAAGTCGCGAAAGACTTGTTGGGTGAAGCCTTCCGGACCCAGTTAATGATGGATGGAGGGTACGACGCCCATACGATAACCTTCATTGCCACTAAATGTTCGTATTGGATATCACTTCTAAATTCTTTTGTGCTGATGCAAATTCCAGGTGACGATATCTCCTGCTCTGAGGTCATCTCCAACCTTCACCTCGACGATGACCCGGAGCTCGAGGATATTCAGGAGCGTATCCATAAACTCACTTCGGAGATGTCAGACACCAAGAAAAAGCGGACTGCGGCTGACACTCGCGTGAAAGGTCTGTTATTGCCTTCGTGTCGGGAAGCAGTATATTAAGTCATCGCAGCCTTGAACGAGGAACTTTCACAGTGTCGTGCAATTGCCAAGGAACATCAAGCACACCTGACAGCCTTGCGAGACGGGGAAACATTCGAGCCCATATTGACGAGCAAGCAGGCAAAGAAGACTAATGCCGACAAGTCAAAGGGGAGTAAAAAGCGCAAAAACACTCGTGGCGGCAAACCCGGCTCCCCAAAACGCCATCATAGTGTCTCGGACGACGAGTCAGAAGAGGAATCAGATTATGACTCAGCATCTGATTCGGATGATACCATCAGTGATGTTGACTCAGACGATGATGCTCCCAAGAAAAGCAAGAAGGGGAAGAAGAGTAAAAAGTCAAAGAAGGATTCCGACGACGAAGATAATTCGGACTCTGACGAAGAGGACTCCGATGCGGAGAAGAGTGACGAGGATGATGATGACGACCAAGATGAGTTGATGGAGGAAGAGGTCACCGAGGAATCATTGGAGAAAGCCATTGCGGATGGCAAGAAGAAAATCGCTGATTTGAGAGCCAGCCACAACGAGGCTCGTAAAGAGCGCAAGGAAGCCGTCGATTTGATCTCGTCCCTCAAGGAGAAAGTGTCTAGCGTTCAGAAGGTTGGATTCTGCAAAGGGCTCGAGGAGGATGGCTGATCAGTTCGTAGGAAAAGAATGGCTTCTGCGCCAAGAAACGTTCAGAATTTTCCAAAGACGTCTTGAAGGAGGATTTCCGTTCCGGACTGAAGGACTTAGACGGTATGTCTGCTTAAATCCTAACACGATGCTGCTAAAACACTTGTCGTTAGACGCTGCTGCCGAAGAGCGGGATCCTGACAACTTTGATCCCAGTAAATCTTTGCGCGACTACGATGCGATAGATTTGCCCGTCTTTTGCGTTTCTGCTCGGGACTATGTCCGCATCAAGAGTATGTGGCATTGTTCTACTGGTCATCTTAGCTAAGCTTGAGATAGAGCAAGTTCGGGGCGACGGCGACCCTACCTGCTTCACCAACGCCGATGACACAGGAATCCCCGCAGTCCAGAGCTGGGTAACATCTCTGACCGTGTCGTCTCGTGAACAAGCCGCACGCAACTTTTTAACGCAACTCGAAACATTCGCCAAAGACGTCCGTTCATTCGCGGATGAAAACGTTTCTGTAACGCCTGCGGATCGTGATGCTCTCCGCAACAAATGGGAGTCAGGAATGCAAGAGCAACCTGACCTTGACGACCAAGATGAAGAGGACGATCCGTTCGCAGCTGTCCTTGGGGGTTACACTGGGCCCAAACTGCACACTATGCCCGAGCTACTGCCCAAAGTAGACCGCTTCGGCCAGCCGATTGGGATTACGCCTCGTCTCATTAAAGAGTTCAGCAAGGTTGTGGAGAATAGTGTCATCTCGCTGAAGGACCACCTGAGAGATGGATTAGAGGAGCGATGCCGCGTTGGTGCCTCGAATGTGGGTACTATTGATATCCTATTACGCTGAGACTGAGTTCTGCTTTAGGCTGCTGAAGCTGCTGTCATCACGTCGGATGACTTCGCCTCGTCAATGCACTGGGCCTCGTTAGTTTTCATCCACCTGCTTTCTCATATATCTGACGATGTCTTTCAGGTACCGTGCTACCCTTCGACGCCATGGAGAATACCGCCGCGACCTGAATGTCGAGCTTGTCAATCCTTTTACACGCAACATTGCCCAGGCCTGGCAACAAGTCTTCGAAGCGGATGTATTCACCCCGCTGCTCAACAGCATCTTAGAGCGCGTTTCGAACCTGGTGAAGGACGTTGAGAAGTCTGCTGCCTCGGGTCTGAAGGACTACGCCAAGTCGCAGGGCGAAACATGTCGCGAGTCGGCGCGAGTGGCGCTGACGCAGACTGTGGCCTCCGTGAAGGCAACTCTCATCGACGAACAAAAAACGGTGTCGCGGTCCGTTGCTCCCTATGTCAAGGACCAGTTGTTGGACGGCTACGAGCTCGCGATGGAAGAGCGTGGGACGGGGTCTGTCGCACGCCAAAAGGCGGTATTCCGGAACTACATCTCCAACTGCAAAGACACCCTGTTCGAAGATGGGGCTGACTCAATTCTGGAGCAGCTGGACGACTGTGCCTCGTCGGTCGGCGTCACGCTCAACTCGGCGATGGTTTTGCTTGCGCAGAAGGTGGAGAACAACATCTCGGTGCTGTGGGAGGAGGTCCGCGATGACCCAAAGCAGACGATGATTCGGTCGAAACTGGTCGCCCAGATCGACGCGATTGTCCATCAAGTCCACCTTCTGTCTGCTGCTGCTGCGAAAGCGAAAACCGCGAAAGAGATGGAAGTTGACGCTTGAAAAAACAACTGAACACGAGTTTTTCAGCGACAGGCTGACTGGCTTGTTATACCATATTCTTGCTTTTAGTGTACCCTACCTCCTCGCTCTATCGTATGCTACACTGGTACTATTCGTACTTTTGCTTCTGTATTTGTAGATCTGTTTTTTTCTTGTTTATCAAATGCAAATTGGTCTCTTCCTAATAACTAGAATGGTATACGTGACGGTATAGTGGGTAAAGTTTGGCCCTTGGACTCTACTGCTCTGCGATGACCATCGGGACATTCTCCTTGTGCGATGAACGACTGCGTGTAGATTCTTTGGTTGGCGACATGCGTGCAGTCACGGTGCTTGTGTTGGTGACGACAGTTAGTGGTAGCTCCTCAGAGATCGAATCGCAAGTTGGACCCGCTGGCGTGCTATCATCCAGAGCAGCAATAACTTCAGACAACTCCTCGCCCTCGACTGGTGTCGTCTGACGACGGAAATGCTCCTCTTCAACACGATCAGCCTGGATTTTTGGGCCACGTCTCCGATTGATTTACCTAGTAAAAGATGGAGGAACAAGTCCGCCGTCAAAACGAGCGGCTTGTCGTCTTGGAGTGGCGGTATTACAAGCGTGGTGTCGGTGGCGAGGACCCTTTCTTCGAGAAGCTCTCCTTCCTCCAGAACAGACGCTGAGGTGGTCTGACGCGTCCACGACGTTTGGCCTGAGAACGGTCAGCTTGGACCCACAATTTCACCGAGAGCTATGCCTTGTAACAGTCGGATCGATAGTTCCGAAGTCAAGACCGATTGCTTTTCCTCTTGGAGCGGGGAGCTGGCACACGTCAGAAGAGCGGCATTGTCAGAAGAGTGCAGACGAACGGTATCTTCCTAAGGCAAATCTCCAACGTCCGAAGGGTCTTTATATCATCCCTGTACCCGCGGCGCGCGTCGAATTCCTTGGAAGCATCAATCCTTCTCGCTGCGCTGCGTGCGTGCGACATCAGAAAGGTCCACGTGGTATAGTTAGCAAAGAGTTGCGGCATGCTGGATCGATTTCAGACATCTGCTAAGCAAAGCGACGATACCCACGTGACTCGGGTGGTTTGGGCGTGGAAGGCGAGGAAGGCGGGATAGAACACGGAGGTGCCCCAGCGAGCGCGTTCGAGCGGTCGCATGACGCCGAGGACAGTATAGAAGGTATCAGCGGGTTGAGTATGCGGAAGAGGGTCCTCGCCCCATATCGAAGTCGAAAGAGTGGTGAGGAAAGACTCGTCGTTCCAGAAATTTCTTATGATCTACATGACGCTCAATCGGTTCAGGTGCTTGGGCAGCGGCAGCACATAAGTACCGTCGCGGTAAACGAGTCGAAAAATTTGCCCAGAGTGGCGCGGAGACCCACGATCTGGAACGTCGAAGTCCAAATGCGGCCACGGTAGGTGAATTCCTGTAGCGTGTCTTTGTTGCTGGCTATGAGCACTGTCTTGATTCCTCGAGGGACCTCCCCGGAGTAGATAGCATTCCTGGCTAGTGTGAAATAGGCCTCCGTGTGGTACGGCGAGATGGATGGGGAAAGACACATGTTGGTCGGTTTCAGGGGTCGTTCGACTGGTTATCCGAGACAAGTTTCCTGCAAGAATCAGACGCATGCCAGTAGCTCGAAAACACGGTGTGTCGCAATTCAGCATTGGCACATCCATAGCATTGACAAGTCAACTTTCTGAAATGCTTGCAAATCACTTCTAAGAGACTGAGGGTATGGTAGTTGGACACAGAGCCCGATTCTAAGCGTAGATTCAGTTTGCGAATTTGAAACGACATGGGATGGTCTTCTAGTTGTTGAACAATGAACTTGTAGCCAGCTCGAAGAAAATGTTGAACTGTTGATGCAATATTTGATGGTAACGGATGTGACACCCTTGCCTCAATGCTCCAACCACCGAGTACCCTTTCAACCGCAAAACTGCGAGCCATCTTGCGCACCGCCATACTATCACGTCTGAACCCTGTCTTTGTATCTCGTCAGCTCTGTCTGCCGCCGTTGACCCCAAAGAAATCCCAGCAACTCCGAGAAGACGCGCTCCTCCGCAAGAACTGCGAAATTCTTGGCGATGCATATCTCCGAGAGTATCTCTACGTTGAGGTCAATGTCCTCCGCGATGAAGGTTTTACGCCGGACATCCGAGAGGTCGGTGCAGTCCATGCTTTGTTAACTTGGTTTTGAGGCCCTAGCAGCTGCTCCTCGAGTTGATTTGCGAAAACGAGATCCTGCATCGAATTATGTGGCTTGCGAAGAACACCTGTCAAGACGACATGACGAAGGCCTCTGCAAACGCGTTTGAGTCGATCATCGGAATGTGGGTCCCTTCGGCCAGTCACGACGAGATCCAAGAATGGTTCCACTCCAATTTCCACCATGTCGTGCGTATCTCTGCTGAGGAGTATAACAAGCGAGTTGCATTTCTCACCGCATTGAGGAGAGCTGACCGTTTACAGACTGTGTGTGTCGTTTGAACGAGCTCGGCTTTCATCAGAACGTGAAGAATCCGACGATGAAGACGATATTCGCCAGGTGAAGCGCATAAAAATAGTCTAGAGCTGGAACCTCCAATCATTCAGTCCAGCCGTATAACATCCTTGCAACAAACTATCCTATGTCAATACGCATTCATCAACACAATCTTGGCAAATTTGTAGTAGTACAACAATACATTCACTCTTTTTACTTATTTTACAAGTCGAGCTCCAACCCCAGATCTGCCAGGTTTTGCAAGTCTCCTGAAAGGTCCTTAGTTTCGTTGACTGTCCAGCGCTCCCATTGGTCAGTTGCAAGTCCGTCCGTCAAATCTTCATCGTTGCCCTGATCAACCGGTCCCTCTTCCTCCTTTTCAGGACCTTTCGCCCCACCTTTGATGCCTTGTGGCGAGTTGAAGAAGTTGTCTTTGTCCCAGATCTGCTTCACCTGTCGCAACTCCTCGCGATTCTTCCCCCAATAAGCTCGCTCGTGGTATTCAGACGGGAAGGCGCCGTCAGGGAAATTGACGAATGCAGCCTGGCCTTGGAGAGAATACGGTCGGATGTCCTCTTTGGCTTTGCCGAGGAAGCCACGCATATCGAGCTCCATCCATTTGTCGTCCCATTCGACGGTGAGATACATGTGGTAGACCGCTTCTCGCCAGAAAAACGCGGACGAGTCGGGCCGTGGCGCGCCCATCTTTCCGCCCGAGTGGATAAACGTGGCGAGAAACTCGACTCGCTCGCCGGGGAAGGATGCACGGAACTCGAGTGCCTTTTTGCGGACGATCGCGGTGACCTTCTCGATGGTCGCTCTGTCGTTTTTGAACACGAACGAGCTGAAGATGCTGTAGCTCTTGTTAGTTGGGAAAGCCTTGATGGTCTCTTCAGACCATTGGGCGACCAGTGTTTCGTGCAGGAATCGAGTGGACTTTTCCGAGAGTGATCGGCGCTTAAGCTGCTTTGCGAGTTCGGGATGAGCGATATATTTATCGATGATGGCGTCGAAGCCAGTTGCGCCTTTCTTTGGGCCGTCGAAGTATGTGAGGAATCGAACACCGTTTCCTGAGCTTTGGCGGAGATCGCAGATCCAAGTACTGTCGATCGTAATGTTTTCGGGCCAGTCAGTGGTGTAGAATTTGTTCATGAGGTCCATAAAGCCGGGCTGGTCGAACAAGTCGGGCTCCTCCTTCTTTGCGAACCACTGGTAGCGTCCAGCGACGACTGAGCCGTCACGAGACTGCAATTGGGCAACTGCCAGCTTCATTTCGACAACAACCCCAAAGTTGCCACCACCAGCTCCACGAAGAGCCCAGAACAGACGCCCCTCCTTTGAATCGCGTCTATCGGTGTCTTTGACGGTGACTAATTTGCTGTCGGCAGTTACGATTTTGATTTCCTTAACCGTGTCGCTGCCCATGCCGATGCTGCGAGAGAACGGGCCCAATCCACCACCCAGGAGGAAGCCTCCGACCCCGACAAAGGGACAGCGGCCTCCATTGATGACGAAACCGTTGTGTGGGCCGTTGATCAGCGTCTTGTAGACCTGGCCCCACTGACAGCCACCGCCAAACGTGATCGTTTTGGTGCTCATATCGAGCTTTGTCTTGCTTAGCCAGCGGAGATCGAGCGAGACGCCGCTGGCAGCAGTCGAGTGGCCAGCATACGAATGGCCTCCACATTTGATCGTAAGCTTGATCTTCTTGTCGCGGGCGATGCGCACGATGCTTTGGACCTGTTCGATTGTTTTGGGCTGCAGGACACAGTCTGGACGGGCGAAACGATAGAGCAGGTTGGGTGTCGCTACAGAGCGCTCGTATTCTTCCTCGCCTTTTTCCCACACAAGCAAGTCGCGTCCTCCTGCTTTGAATGCGCTGCCACTCATGGTGTTGGGATAAGAGGATAGGCGCCTAATCGGTGCTGTGAATCTATATGGAAGAACGTGCAAAGTGCCATGTTGGACGTCGAGAACGGATTCAGAATGGCGAAAGGCTATTTTTGCTTCACACGTGACACATGATTTCTCGCTCTAGACTTTGACGACGTCTGCCGAGCAAAGAGAACCAGAAGCAACGCTTCGTTGACTCATAGGCCGCGTACTGTGCTTCACCAAGGAAGATGCCGCATTCATTTTAGACGAGCCAAACGCCGACTCCGGATGACGGTTTTTCGGCGTCTATCCGGGTTGACAGAACCATTCACGCTGTAAGTGCTTTTGGAGCATGCAGTTTAAATGTGGCAGCGCCCTTAAATACCTCATCAGTGTCGTGCGCCTTTCTCAGTAACGGCCATGGGCATACACGACGACGCAGTCCAGGGCACGCTCGACTCGAGCCAGCTTGCAAAGTATATCGCAAGCGACCCCAACCTCATCAATGCACTCGAACCTTCTTCGGGTCGCTCCCCTCTCGCTCTCGCTGCAGTGGCAGGCTTTCCCGACATTGTCGAGCTCTTGCTCAAGCGAGGTGCCAAAGCGGATGCCCTTTCCCGCGACGGAGAGACAGCATTGCTTCTCACCACCCGAGATGGGAGCGCCAACCGAGCGAGGATTGTCCAGCTTCTCGTCGGCAAAATGTCACCAAGCGCCATCGATGCCACGACCACAGGCGACCGAAACAAGACGCCCTTGATGTACTCGATGCTCAACAAGGACCGCGAGTCTCTTCGGCTGCTTGTCAAGGCGGGTGCCGACAAAAATGCCGTCGACGATGATGGCCTTACGGCGGCAGCGATGGCCCCCAGCTCTGGCTACGCACTCGCACTCGACCCCGACAAGGAGCAGTCCGCATTTTCTCAGCTGACGAACCTCGTTGGCTCGTTCTTGCTCTACATTGTGGCGTGGGTCAACAAGACGGCCAAAGGAGTCATGAACAAGCTATTTGGGCTCAATCCCACACTCAACACGACAATCGACGAAGTGAGCAGCAACTGCGCATGCCCATTTGCATTGACAGTCATATAGCAAGTGAATGACGGCGAGACGCCAAACAAGATTCAGTTTCTCGACAACGTCGATGAATATATTAATGACCCGAAGAACAAGTATCTCGCACAATTCTTCAAGGACAAACCGAACTACATTCAAGAGCTGGCGGCGAAGGCAACGGCGCTTAAGGAAGATTCAAACACGCCAATTGGGCAAGGCGATCTACTTCCAAAGACGATCAAGGTTACCCTTCACCAACAGGTCATTTACTGCGGTCCGTTTGTTTGGCGTCGATTTGTTGAACGCTGACTGACTTCCCTGAAAGACGATAGTTCTTCTATGAAGCGGGATGGACGGTGGGATGCACAAGCCCGTCTCGTCAAGAAGATCGCGGAAATTACCACTCGCGTATTGCCAGAGGGCGACGGTGTCGCTTTGCGCTTTATCAACCAAGACACGGACAACTCGGAGAAGCTCACTCTCGACCAGATCGGCAACACAATTAATAGCATGAGCTGGAAGCCTGGAGGAGACACGCCCATTGGAACGAACCTGAAGTCGAAGATTCTGCAGCCTATGGTATACGACAAGTTGGAGCCAAAGACGTTGGGCAGACCGTTGCTCATCTCGGTGATTACGGACGGGATGCCTTCGCAGGAGGACGATAATGCTTTCGTTGACGCTATCAAGGAGTGCGGGGTCAAACTAGACCAAGCTGGCTATCCTCGACAGTGTGAGCGCCTTATCTAAGTTCTGAATATCTCACTCAACCGTTTTATCCAGCCGTCAAATTCATGATTGGACAAATTGGTACGGCTAGAGCAGCTACTACCTTCTTGCAATCTGTGGGGAACAACGACGACATCAAAGACATGGTATTCGTTACTGCAGGTAAAGCTCCTCTGATGCCATCATGATTCCGTTGATCTCATCATATCTTCCAGATAAACTCGACGATAACCTCTCCAAGTTCAAGGACAACCAATACGACCTCGACCGCTGGGTGAGTCCACACGTGCCTCCCCTAGATTAATCCTTAATGTGTGCCTGGCAGTTGTTGGAAACGCTCTTTTCGCCGATCCAGAACTCCACCGTGTAGCCCGTGTCCTTTTGTTTTGCTATTACTTTTATCATCCAGCGCCAGCTATTAGTCGCCTTGTGAATGTGTATGTTATCTTGATCAATGAAACTTGCTTGTGTTAACCGTATTCGGGAATTTTGGTCGGGGGCTGGATAAGCAATGAGCACGGTCTCCTCCGGCCTCAAGCTCACTCGACAATCAGTTCGCTACTCGTGCGTCGTGTGGTGAGGCGCCCAGTCTTTCTCAACTTGACCTTGAAACCCCCGAGAGGCGTCTAGCCTCTTTTATAACCTATAAAATGCTCTTCGTTCAGAGGAACAACTCAGTGAATATCCCAGTCACACATCCAGCAGCCTAATACTAGTATGCAGTTCAAAACCCTCTTCCTCGCCGTTAGCCTCGTCATGGGCTTGCTCACACCGATGGTCGCCGCTACTCCAGGTATGGCACACTTCTTGGTTTATGGGTGGCCAAAAATGCTGACGGCTGGTTATAGCGGGCGTCCTTGTTGCGCGGGGCCACACCTGCCCCCGCGGATGCACCTGCTCAGGCGACACCTGCCGCCGTGACGCCGAAGGCCTTGTCCTTGGTCGCGCTTGTGTTGCGACCTGTTAGGTGGGTTTTTAATTCGCAAATGTGTTGCTGTTTGATGTTGAGGATTTCTAGTAGACTAGACGAATCGTTGTCGTTTTACAAGTTGAAGACGTTTGGGATGTCGCAGAGTCAAGCAGGTTACAGTTACGCGTGCCATTCACAAGAAGAAAAGTCGTACAAGTACAGTATTGCTATGCATTCAGCCCGTTGAAACCCTCTAGTGAGTGTTGTCGCCCATGCCGACCGCGTTCTTGGCCTTCTGGAGGAGGCTCTCGTCGTTGTGGTTCTGGTTGGACGAAAGCGCGTCGCCGGCCTGCTGGGAAGTGCTCTTCTCCGAGTTCGGCTGCAAGGTAGAGGCGAGCGAGTCGGCCGTGCCTTTGACGGTATCGCCAAGCTGCTCGGTCGTGGTCTTCTGGCTATCGGGCTAGTACAGCACGTGAGTGCGTGGAAACGACGCCCTCGATGAAAAAGGCAAACCTTCAAAGCAGCGCCAGCCTTGTCGGTGAACGATTGGCGACCAGTGTCAGACATGTTTGTTTATTCTGAGGGCAAGAGATGAGTGCGCGAACGCCAAAGGGAACGGCAAGAGCACTGACTGTGTAAGGGAGTTGGGTGGTTGGTTGAAGGTGATGGTTGGTGGTGAGGACAGTGGACCGCCAGCCAGGCTTTTATACCAATAGCGAGCCCATTGGCGCGTAATCGTTGACGATGCCTATGACGTCTCGAACTCGTCTCGCGATCGGCGATGCGGAGAATGAACCTGGATGAACCCTGATGAACCACGATCGAGTCACGCAGCTTAGTCAGCATCTTCGTTTGATCCTATGTATGGCATGGAGACTCAACGGATGAAGGCCTCTTAAGTCAGAATTAGCAGTGAAATCATTCCAAGAGTCCTAAACAGGTAGCTACACCGACTAATACTAAAAGCTAAAACGATACAGCAAGGCATTATACCATCTAAAATACAACTAAAAAAGGTCCGTTATGAGATCCAGAGTCCCATGCAAAATGAAAAAAAAATCATTAGATGGCCTTGGCCAGCGTCACCGTGTTCGCGTCAACGTTGGTTGAGAAATAGACTGCCTTGAGGAACGTGTCACCGACGAGCCACTTGTCGTCGTCGAATGAGCCAATGCCCGAGGTACAGTCTCCTGTCTTGCGACCCCGAGAGGCGAAAACGAGGTCCTTGGGATCAATCGCGAAGTCGCGGCCGCCAAAACGGAGTGAGACATTGGTGGTGGTGTCGCATGGAATCGAAAACTGCCCAGACCCTTGCTGTTTAGCACCGGGGATCTGCGAATGCAACGCAACGGCGTCTGCGGTGGGCACAACGAGCAGAGTCGTGCCGTTGTCCATCAGTGCTTCGGTGCTGTTAACGGCAACACTCTGGCCATCGACTGAAACACCCTCGAGAGGGATGATCCAGAACGAGGAGTTGGACGCGTTGATATCGACACGTGTGCTGGGGTCGAATTTCGTCTCGTCCAGTCCGCCAAATGTGACCTCGCCGTTGTTCTCGTTGTCGATGAGCCGAGGGAGACGATATGAAGTAATTGCGGACTTGAAGAATCCGAGGTTACGAAGAGCCTCTACTGGCGTCGGTACTCCTTGAGTGGAAAGGCCCTGAAGGAGGCGTTAGCTAAAGAAGGGCAACAAAAGCTATGAGACGTACACTTTTGGAAAGTCCCATTAAACCGTCAGCAATGGTATCACCCGAAAAGCTCGAACTGATTGAGTGCGCGACACCAAATGTGTGGTCATTCATGACCATCCCTGCAATGACAATAGTGTCGTTGACGATTTCGCCATTCGCGAAGCCCGACCCATATGTAATCGACCATTTCTTGCGACTGGACATTTAGATTAGAGCAAGTAGAAAGCAAGTTTCAGGGACTAACCTGTTGACGAACGACGAGGACACATCGCTGCCAAGGAAAGTGTGGTTGCCCTATGAATCGTAAGTAACCACGGAAAACCAAGCAAATAACCCCGTACACAGCCAGAGCCATTCTCAGAAGTGCACTGGTCTGAGCTGACCCACAGGTCACCAGAGCCGGAGTCGAGGATGAGGTTAAAATCACGGGCAGGAGTGCCAATTTGGACGGTGATTACGTAGGAGGTATCTGCGCCGCTTAAAAGGATGTGTTAGATGGGACACATCTCTTGCACTTGAACATACTCAATCTCGATCACGGATGAAAAATTGGCAAGTTTGGGTGGGGCGTTGTCGCTAGTCAAGATAATCAGGATTTGAGGGTGGACATTTTTAGCACTCGCTTACCTGGTGTCGTCGTCATTTTCAACAGCTAACTTGGCAATACCGCTCGTCTCAATAGTGGGGAGACCAGCGTTAGCTTGAGGGATATTGAAGCGTCGTTCCAGCTCCGGAATAAATTCCGCCCGACGATGCAAGTTCTGTAGCAACTCGACATCGGAAGGGCCAGGAAGGCCAGCAGCACGAGCAACAAGACGCTGAGCGCGGTTAATGTTTTGCTGATGACGCTAGAACGCATATCAATATCATCGCCGACAAGTTTAGAAATTTCTACGCACCAAGTCGACGTGTAAATCAGTATTCCTTTCGACGCGGCGGACAGGGAGGGTCAAAAGACCGCTGTTTCGTTGGGCGCGAGGGCGGATGGGGTGCCCATGCAGTGATGGTACCAAAAGGGCACAGGCAAGCAAGGCAAGAAGTTGCATGTTGTATGGTGGGTTAAAGGTATTGACTCCAGTCGTGAATGATGTTCGTCAAAATGAAAGGCGTGAGTCGTAGTGGCTCGTAAGAGGCTCGCTGGGAGCAAAGACAGGAAGGAATGTGGGTAGAAAGAGGTGGGACTTGGCGACCAAGCATCTGCGGCTTTTATAGAGGGATGGCCATTGTCTTTTTTGTTGTGAGTGGACATTGACTGAACAATAGCGGATGGGATGGCAATCAACCTTGGCATGTCCGAAAACGGCTTGAAGGCTGACGTGACGTAACTCGGTCTTCACATCACGTGCTGCCTTTTATTTCTTGAATCATGACGACTGCGTACATTTCCGCTGCAACGAACCGATTTCCACGCGCTGCAGACATATCGGACGCGTCCATCGTCGCCTTTGGCTCCTCTAATCTCATCGCATTCTGGGATCCCACTAGCGATCGCGGGGTGTTTGCAAAACTTGTTGGCCATGAAGAAACTGTTACTTGTGTCCGATTCATCTCGCATGACGTCCTCGTAACTGCAGACGAGAAAGGCGTCGTCAGGTGTTGGAGGAAATCAGCGTCAGAGGTATGCAATCCTTCTGCTAGCGCAGTCTTACCCTGATTCTGACTTGTTAGTGGACAGAAGCGGCCAAAACCCAAGCACATTCGCATGCTATTGCCTCTCTGTCATCACTAGGAAGCTCAATAGTCACGACGTCGTCGGACGGGACCGTGCAGCTATGGGAAATCTCCTCCGATGCTGGTATGTTTATTCATAACCCTAGACGCTTGGGTAATCAGGGTCGTAGCGGAACTTAGGAAGGTACAAGCGTTTTCGCTCAGCGGAAAATACGCATTGTCCTTGGCCCTAGCCAAGCTACCTCACTCTAATGGTAGTGTTGTGTTGGAATATTGAACCCATCTGATTTTCGCAGTGGAAATACTCGCCATCGGCACCACCGACCGCAACATACATATCTGGACACGCTCATCCGACTGCGTATTCAGTTTTCACCCATCTTATGCCGTTAAAACTAATCTATCCCGCAGTTTGTGCCTTCTGCAGTTTTGCAAGGGCACGAAGACTGGGTCAAATGCCTTGCTTTTGTCGAAGACGGCGAACAAACGCTCGTTCTTGCTTCTGGATCTCAAGACGCAACAATCCGGCTTTGGAAAATCGAACCCATGGCCAAACGACAAGAGTCACAGTCGTCGGACCCCCTCGCCGATGAGCTCTTGGACGCATTTGAAGCATCTTTAGGTGATCTCGCCGATGCAGAAGAAGGTGGTCGCCAAATATCCCTCAAGCGCCATATTGTCACTGTCAAACAAGACGAATCGAACTCGTCCCAGTATTCGATAACTTTCGATGCTCTCTTGATTGGCCATGAAGCCGGGGTAACATCATTATCATGGCGCACAATCTCAAAGGAGTCTACCCTCCTTTCAACATCAACCGATTCCTCATTAATCTTGTGGTCTCCCTCAACAATCCAGGCGGCTGAAACCACAATTTGGGTCAGCCAACAACGATTCGGCGATGTCGGTGGACAGCGGCTGGGTGGATTCGTCGGTGGCTTGTGGGTTCAAGGCGGGAGTGAGGCGCTAGCATGGGGATGGTCCGGTGGATGGCGACGCTGGCGTCGTACTGAAGAATCATGGAGTGAAATCAGCGCCATCACGGGACACAGGGGTCCCATCAAATCTCTTGATTGGAGCCCGAATGGTGAATATCTGATTTCTACTGGGTGGGTCTTGTAAAGTGGGACCAGGCAATAGCTCAACGCTTTGCCAGATTGGATCAAACAACCAGGATCCACGGACCTGTCCGTGGCGTCGATGGAAGAACTTCGTGGCACGAACTTTCCCGTCCTCAGGTTCATGGGTATGACCTGTTGGGGGTGGTATTCCTTGATGCTCTCAAATTTGTGAGCATCGCGGATGAAAAAGTTGCTCGCGTCTTTGAAGCCCCTGGAGTGTTTGTGGACCTCATCGAAAACCTTGGAATAGCAAGTTTCTCGAAACAGGTCAGCTTCGCTCAAAATACTACTTCGGTCTCTAACTGCTGCATAGACCCGTCCAGTTGCAGCAAGCGTCCCACCACTAGGATTGTCAAACAAGGCGGTTTCCGATGGTAAATTCGTTTACCTTCGCAGAAATGTTGCTCAACGTCGTGCAGTTGTAACTCCGGCTTCGGGAAGCAGCAACATATCTAGAGCGCCGTTTGAAGGAGAACTAGCCGCTACTACTCTGTGGCCAGAAATTGAGAAGGTCTTCGGACACGGATACGAGGTTCTATCATCCTTTTCATCTGCCTTTTTTGTATTCACCACATTCCAGTCAATGAGCCTCGCTGTTTCCAACTCCCGAAAGCTGATAGCAACTGCGTGCAAGGCCTCCACAGCCGAGCATGCTGTCGTTCGCGTCTATGACACAGAAAGATGGCAGCCTGTTGGCGAGCCTCTGAGAGGCCACACCCTGACAGTCACCCGCATCGCCTTCAGTCCAGATGACCGCTTCATACTCTCCGTCTCTCGAGATCGGTCCTGGAGACTCTTCGAAGGCAATGTAGATAACGGTCACCGACTTGCTTCCCGATAAACTCCACTCTGAACTGACTTGGCAAGCAGGTTACACCCCTGTTGCGGCCGACAAATCCCATGGTCGCATAATATGGGATTGTGCGTGGGCACAGGAAGAAAACATCTTTGCAACTGCTTCTCGAGATAAAACGGTACACACCAATCATACGGAGAGAAGCTTGGTTAATGATACCCCCCTAGGTCAAAATCTGGCAGCAATCTGAAGACGAGCAAGCCAGATGGATCGCGGTGGAAACGCTGAAGCTGAATGAAGCTGCTACAGCCGTGGATTTCTCGCCGTTGGACGCCAATAATCGGTATGGAGCTATCTATTTCAACCGAGACTGACTGACATTTTTCGTCAGACGCTATCTTGCTATCGGTCTTGAAAATGGCGCGCTTTTGGTCTATGTGCAGCAAGACAAGCAATGGAGTCTCCATTGCTCCAAGTAAGTCAGAAAATTGACGTTCTTTCGCCAGTAATGCCCACCAGTTCCGGCCATGTTGCCGCTATTCACCGACTAAGTTGGCGACCACGCAATTCTGAAGAAATGGAACTAGCCAGTTGTAGTGAAGATGGTACATTGATGATTGTTCAAATCGCTATAAAGTATGTCTGAACGCCATCCACATAAGTATGAATGAAGTGTGGGAGAGAGACGGAAATTCTGCTATACAGTGGGGGAGGACTGAGCGTAGGACCCAGGCTCGGTGATAACGAGACAGATTTAGACATGGTGCACTATAAGGGTATCCAACATGAAGGAATGCGGGGAGAGGCAACAGCAAAGGACGTGCGCGTAGGGATACAAGAACAATTCGGTCGTTAAGGTTAGACAATATCGCGGAGAGTCATGGGAACTTCGGGCTATGGGGAAAGAATTAGCCCAAATAAGAAAAACTGGGGGAAAAAAAACGAACGCATTTGATTCTACAAAAAGCCAGGTTAATGTTTGTGATCTGACACACAAGACTGGACCACATACTTGTAGAAACATTCTATAGATCGTAGCATCTCCACATCGCCTCCCGTGGCGGTCACAAAGTTGACGACAACGCCGGCGCGGGCATAGCTAGAGGCAATAGCAGGAGCAACCCTGAAAACGGCATTAGCCTAAAATTGTAGAATACTTCTGAAAGCTACCGGTGGGCATATTCCTCAACAGCCTTGGGTAGATCTGAAGGATTTGAGCTACAACTTCTCACTCGTGAAGAAAGCATACCATAATTGATTACGAGTGGTACGTGTGTCACTTCAGGCGACTTGACTTGAACATCGTAGACGACAAGGACTTTGGCAGATGGTTGTCGCATGATGACGGATGTGGCTCCTCTGAACTTGTTGAGAGCCGCAAGTTTAGTGCCAGCACTCATATCACCATGCTAAGAGAGAGGGAAAATGAGCTCGGGTGGTGGATATTACTAGGGAAACTTACGAGAGGAACGGCCTCCAATCCTCGACTAGCCAGTTTATATACGACCGAGTCGAGAGCTGTCATCCCACCGACATGCACGATCGCCTGCCCGACCTCGACATCATCGAAAAGGTCAGCAAGTGCATCAAGTTTCCACTCGCGAGCTTGAGCACTTTCGGCATTTGAGGCGCCGCGACCGGAGCCAATTATCCCCAGTCCACCACCTGGAGCGGAGGGGAGCGCATCAGAGCGTCCACCTGCGGTGAATGCGAGATACAGATAGAATTGGCGTAAGCCGCGCGAAGTTTGGGTCGTGTCTGAGTGAGTGACGTTTCCGTCACGTCGCACAAGGACGCGGACAGGCTCTCGAAGCTGGATGGCAGTCGCAAGATTCAAGACGTCTTGCGGAACTGTGTTCGAGAAAAGCGCAGTTTGACGTTCAATCGGGGCAGGGCTGGAATTTTCCGGTGCTGGCGGAGACGGAGCCAGGCCAGTAGTAGAGAATCGGCGTCCTGTTGAGGGAGAGTCGAAGGGAGAAGTGAATGACGACTGTGACAAAGAGCCAGGGGTCGCACTGGGAGTGTTGGTGCCTAATGGGCGCGATCGGGGCGGTGGTAAAAGTTTGACAATGTTGAAAACAAACTCATGGAGATTGCGAGCGATCAACTGGTCCACCTCATCGAGAACAAGGAACCGGACTTCCGATCCTGAAAGCCCACCTGATGCAGTGAATAGGGCATGCAATTTTTGTGGAGTGCCACAGATGATGTGAGGCATGCTCTGTTGAAGAACGCGAAGTTCTTGACTGATATCGTTTATTGCGGCACCAACACCCAAAGCAGACTTGATGCCAATAGGTCCACCCAGATCACGTATCATGCGTTGAGCCTGGGTTGCTTGATCGACGGTAGTCGAAACCATGATGACAACAGGACCTCGACTGGCGCGAGACATGTTGGTCACTGCCGTTTGGATGGCTGGGATCACATAAGCAGCGATCCTTTCCTGGGTGGGCGGAGCTTGGGCGATAATGTCAGCACCACGTAGCAGGAATGGGAGTGCCCGCTGCTGAATCTTGTTTGGAGGTCCCACACTGAAGAGGGCATTTTAGAACCATTGCGAGCAAGAAAAAAAAACCTACCCAAATTTACTCAAGGAGCGCAGCAAATCCGGTGCAAGACTGAGTTGCTCCCACTTAGATATCATCGGGCCATTATCACGAGAGCCACCATTCCAGTTATCGTCGAGAAGCTACGAACGAGATGAGTGCGAGGTCAAGGAATAGCTATGACATACCCCAGCAGAGTCACGGCGCATGAGACCAGAGACAGAGCGACGTTTGTCTCGAATCATTGCGTCTTGCCTTCCTGGATCGGCAGGTCGTATTGGGAGATCAAGGGTTCCAGCAGACCAAGTGCGCATTGGAGTATTTGTCGCCCTCGGAGAAGGCCGGAGATCAGGTCGGTTTGGCAAGCCATGACCGAGCATACCAGCGTTGGACAAGCCCGAGCCAGACATCATCTGGTTAGGAGCGACGTCCATTTGTGGGTTGCCAGCAATTGATGCATGAATCTGGTGCGAAGCAGCAGCAAGCTGACCGACCGACGCTGTCAACAAATCCAAGCGCTGAGCGACAGAAGAAAGGTCATCTGGCGCAGGATTGGATTGATTGGGGGCAATATTGCCGATGGAAGGTCTGGGGGCACTGAGTGGGGGAGAGGAAAAGCTCTGGCCATTCGCAAATGGGTCTTTGAACTCGGGTTGGGCGTTCATTCCGAGGCTACGGTCAACCAGAACGCCAACTTTACGCTGAACATCGGCTACCTCGCGTTGCATATCTCGGACAGAGAATTCGCAACGAGTGACGCGGTCGAGAATGTCATTAATCAGCGGGGAGGCTCTCAGTTGTGCCTCGAAAACACGAGCGGCTTGATCGCTAACGAGAAACTGGCTTCCAGAGTCTAGTGAGGACACGGGAGAGGACGATGTGAGACCGCCGGGAGGATTGAAAGAGGTCCCGTTTGTGGGTGGTGGCGGAAAGAAAGTTGGAGGGAGTTCATTGTGGTCATCTGTCTCCTCGAGTGGGTCTAGCCGGGTGCTGCTTTGACGGGGAATCGGCGAAGGGCGATCGAATGGAGGTTGGGGAGGACTAGGGGAGGAGGATTTGAGGGAACGAAAGTCGGGTGCAAATCCGTCATCGTCCACAGACCGGAGTCCACCAGGGAAAAAGGGAATGGAGTTGGCGTTGAGAACACCGGCACGGGCCATCGTCGGTTCGTAGTACAGGAAGTGGGCAGACAAGCCTACTCCATGCACTGCGCGCTGGCGGTGGGTGTTGGCGAAAGAGCGTCACGCTGTGACCACAATGTCACTTGCACTCCGATATCGCACTGTTCTTCGTGAGCTCAGGGCAGGAGTAAGTTTACTAATCATATGTTGGAGCTACCAATCAAAAACATTTCAGGCCCTGCGTCCCGGAGGGCTGAACCCCTCTATCATTGCCAGTTTCCGCTCCCTCATCGCAGCAGAGGTAGACATCGAAAACGCGCTCATTTTTATGCGGTCTCAACGCATCTACAACGTTGGTTTAAAGGTCTTCCGTTCAACTCTCTCTCTAATGCAGTCTCAGGAGTTACTCGAACGATATAATCCAACTATCAACTATACTGAGGACGAACGAATAAAGTAAACGTCTCTCAGAATATTTGCGTGCCCTCTGACTGACTCGTTCCAGAGCAACTGGCCGTCGTGTTGGGGTGGAGCTCCCTCGGACATACGATCCTAACACTGCCTGATACGATATGATACCTTTGTGCAACTTTTATCACCGCTTTGCCTCGTGCTCCCAGACTCAAAGGCAACAGTTTCTTGGTCACAACTTGTCCCTTTATGCAAATGCCTCGTTCAGCCTCCAAACTGTGCTAAGATTCTTTGACAAAACGCGTCGAAAATGTACTTAAGTCATCTCTGAACAGTGTCGCACGAGCCCTGCTTTCGAAACTTCCCGCCATGGATGCAACCGGTCTGTGTTTCATTGTCGCAGCTCTTCTTTCATCTGAGTTCATACAGAGAAAATGACCCTTCCTCCAACGATCCAAGGCTGGTCCAGTCGCGGTCGACTTGAGCATATCAAGCAAGACTGCCCTCAGTTTGGAGAACTGTCACAGTCTCAAAGAATTCCCCGTCCTCCGAATGCGTTCATTCTATTTCGCTCCGACCTGCTAAAGAAAGAGGCGACGAAGAAGTGTCCTCCCCACCAGCAAACTCTCAGTCGTCTAGCTGGCGAGATGTGGAATCTTCTGCCGCCTGACCAGAAACAGGAGTGGAAAGACCGAGCAAAGAAACAAAGTGAACTTCATCGTCAGCAATATCCGTACTACTCTTTCAAGCCCGCTCGGCGTTCGCGAAAGGCCAAGTCTCGGGTCCCCATGGAAAACAGCGAAGATTATATTCGCAGTCTCCGTGAAGCTCACTTTGGAGATCAGTTCAAAGGACCTTCAATACGTCCTTCACGCAAAGGGAAGGAAGCACCAACCCGACAAGGGCCAACCGATCCTGCCACCCCAGCTCCCTCGACGTTCATGCCAACAGTTGACATGCAATGCTATACTTGGGCGACCGCGCAGCTTGCTCCCAATGAAAGTCCCTTATCGACTCCCGCCATCTCACCGCTAGATGGCTCTTACTATTCCTCATTCCCGCCGACACAACCCAGCTATGACGGGCCACCTCCAGTGGTTGCATCTTACGATCACCATGACATTAGTGCACCACTACCGTCCTTCTTTCCACAACACACCTACCAACACTTTGGACCTCCACAGGCCGACCCTCCTTGTCTTGAAGCACAGCGAATCGAGGCCCCGCGCAGACCATCCACTTCACTTGGCTTCATCAACCGATATGAGCAAGCCGCTTCCTTTAATACTTCAATCGGCTTCGAGCGGCCTGCCTCTGCAGCTGGTTTTGTCCGCGATGTACCATTCGTTCGTCTCTTCTTCTTGCCGAGCATGAACTGATTCTTTGCTGTAGAGCTTTGGGTCAATATCGATGCCAACCACCCCTGGTATCCGCTTGACTTTAGATGACGAGGTGGACAGTCTTGTAAACCCTCCTTTCTATGACGAGTTCGACCTCGGGGATCTCAATAAGCTGCCCGGCCTACCGGACCAGCAATTTATTGACCCTCACGTCATTACCAACAAGAGCGGCGCCACTACGTGGGTTCCTGGTTAGAAGAAGGAGGCCGGGACCAGATTTGTCTCTTTTACTACTGTATTCTATAATCATCAATTCTGTAGCACTATATCTCAACTTCGCTTTCAAAGTCGCGCAGAAGCCTGTGTTATTCGCTTCACAAGGCTTTCCAGCTTGTCGTCCAGTATCCGTGCTGCCGCAGTGAGCTTGGGGTTGTCGTTGAGTGCAATGAGGGAGGATGGAAGATGGTAGATGACATCGGTGCCTTTCGTCTTGTCATTGGCTAATACCAGCAGGCGCACGGGAACGTTGAGGCCGGCCCGCATGTCGTAGGGCAAAACAGTACGAGCGATGAGTGGGTTGCCAATGACATAAAGACAAGCCCCGCTGGAGGTCCCTGATGGAGAGTAGACTCGAAACCATTCGCCATGATCAAATTCATTGAAGAGTCTATCAAGCGATATGAGAGAAAACGCAATAGACAACGAACTGATCGACCTAAAGCCACTCGGTCCCAGCGTACTGCGGACGCGATCCTCGAATTCGCCAGTCGACAATGACCCTGCACGGTGCCAGTGGAGATTCGGGGACCCTTTGCCGATTTCTACGTCGAGACGCGACCTAACCTCTTCATAAGACAGAGCCGTTGAGAAAGTAATGAGTTGGAGGTTATGGGAGGAGGTAAACTTGTGCATTTGGGTTGTGATGGCATCGAGAACGTTTAAAAGCAAAGATAAGATTACAAATGTTTACGTGGATGTCACACTGTCACGAAATTTTGCCTTCCCAGATGCTCAAACGTCGGTCTCCGAGCACGGACTATGAACGGCCATCGAAACGCGCCAAATCTGTTTCTGGAGATGATGACTCCTCAGACGATACTCCTGTCCCTTTCCAAACCAACCTTTCACGTCTCGTCAACCACAAGCCTCGTTCTCGAACTGACCACGAAGTTCCTGGTCACAAACCGACATCCTTTGCTACCCTTGGGATATCTCCCTCGTTACAGTCTGCACTATCCGCCATGTCTATAAAGACGCCCACAGAAGTTCAAGCTGCTTGCATTCCCCCGTTATTGCGAGGTGTGTGGACGGACTGTACATCGAAAAGGCTCAACTAACTGGCTTTCAGGGCGAGATTGCATCGGGAACGCTAAAACAGGCTCGGGGAAGACAATAGCTTTCGCTCTTCCGATCCTCCAAAAGCTTTCTCTGGACCCTTTTGGTATATTCGCCCTTATCCTCACACCGACAAGGTCTGGATCGTTGCTACTACAATATCAGCGTCTCAACTCTCACAGAGAACTCGCATTTCAGATTGCTGAGCAACTCGCTGTTGTGGGTGGACCTCTCAATGCACGAACAGCCGTTATTGTTGGTGGTATGGACATGATGACCCAAGCCCTCGAGCTTGGGAATCGGCCGCATATTGTTGTGGCTACACCAGGCCGTCTTGTGGACCATCTAAAAAGTAGCAACGGTGAATGGAATTTGGCCAGAGTTAAATTTCTAGTGCGTTGTGTTATTCTTACTCTGATATCGTTTCAATCATCTACAAAGGTGCTAGACGAAGCAGACCGCCTTCTAAATCCTACCTTCGCTCCGGAACTTGGCGTTATCTTTGGAGCTCTTCCTAAAGATAGACAGACCTGTCTATTTACTGCCACGCTTACTCCCGCTATCGAGGAACTTGCAGCAGCTCCACCTCGACCAGGCAAAGATCGCCCGTTCGTACATCGGATGACGCATGCGTAGGTAGTCTTAATGAGGTTTGGGACCGCTCTTAACCTTCTAACAGAGTTGAAACCGTGGAGACCTTGCAACAGCTCTATATTCTCGTCCCATCACACGTACGAGAGATGTATTTGTTCCATTTACTTTGCAATCCGCCTGATTCGACTTTGCATCTACGACGAGCACCACCTGAACCAAAGTCGACAAGAAAAGACAAGAAGAAATCGACTGCTGACGAAGATGAGACACCAGAGCAACCGCCACCAACGATCATATTTTGTGCGCGGGCGAGAACGGCCGCCTTTTTGACGAATTTCCTCAAAACCCTGTCTATCCGCAGCACAGCGCTTCATTCTCGGCTGACACAACGAGAGCGACTGAATTCGCTGTCGCTATTTCGGTCTTTTGTGGTGCCTGTCTTGATCTGTACTGACGTCGCTGCTCGTGGATTGGATATCGAGGACGTGGCTATCGTCATCAATTGGGACCTCCCCAACGAACCAGAAGAGTATACGCATCGGGTGGGTAGAACAGCGCGTGCTGGGCGTGGCGGTGTGGCCATCAGCTTCGTGACCGAGCGCGATGAAGAGCGGGTGCTGAAAATTGAAGACCGAATCCGTGAGACAAAGCCATTCCGTAGAGTCTCGCATTGATCATCTATAGGCATCAAGCTTGAAGAGATGACCCTCCCGGAGGCACGGGTCTTGGAAAAAATGAATGCAGTCGCAACGGCTAAACGATTGGCCAATATGGTAGGATTTCTTTTCCGCGTTTGTTCCGTCCTCACCCGCCGTAGGAGCTACATGACTCGAAGTTTGGAGAGAGAGAGGCAATTCACGCGGCGAAAAGGAAGCGAGAACTCTGAGAGTACATACTTGCATAGCACTGAGGACTATGACGTCATCGCTCGTTTACCTTTGATTTATTGATGGCACGTTGTCAGTGATCGGAAATCGACCTGTCACATCACACCCACTTTCGAAGCCATTCATGAACGACTACGAGGTGCAAGATTGGAACGCGGTGGCTCATTATACCGACTTTGACACCGGCAGCTATGACCACCTCCCAACCCCTCCGGTACGTCTGGCTTTTGCTCCATCAACTTCGGTAACATGATGACCGACAGCATTCTCATGACAATTCACCCACACCAGAGGCTCCAAGCACACTCGTCAGCGTCTCTACCACCTTCTTTCCTACTGCACAACATCGACCACATCCGCCCGACCTGATTCTGCTATCCAAAGACGCCGTTTACTTCTATGTCCACTCAGACATTCTGGCAGAAGCAAGCGAAAACAATTTTCGAGCAATGCTCCCCGCCGTCGTAACTTCAGATGACGACGAGCCACCAATTATAAACGTACCAGAACCCTCGGTAGTCCTTAATGTCATCCTCCATGCAGCCTACGAAATTTCGTCTGCTCATTATCAGCCGCCATTTGGTGAGTAACTCGACCGATACCCGTCATCACGAAGCAATATCTTTTGCTAGAAACATTGGCGACGGCGGTGGATGCGATGATCACCTATGGAATGAATCCAGGTTCCAAGGTGTGTGGACCGCCACAGACTCGTTTTTCGGCTGACCTTGCGGCTCAGATTCATCCGTCGACGCCGCTCTTTTCCCTGCTCTTATCACACGCACCACTCTTCCCACTCCAGCTTTACTCTCTTGCTGCGCATTATGAACTCGAGGACCTAGCTGTCCCGACCTCTGCCCACCTTCTTGCATTTCCGTTATCTCGCTTGACCGACCAAGATGTGGAGCGAATAGGTGCAAAATATCTCAAACGGTCTGTTCCATATCACTCCCCCTCTTCACTATCCATTAACCCGCTGGTATCAGTCTATTCTTCTTGCACTACGGACGCAACGAAGCGCTCAAGCGCGTTTTGGGAACACCGCCCCACCCCCATCCACCCACCAATACATGTGACTTTCCGGCTCAGAAGGGGCTAGGGAGGGCTTGGGCGCTCGCTGTTGCGTATCTCGTCTGGGATGTACGGCCAGGTGAGCCACTGGTAGTTTTGAATTTGCACCCGTGTCTGATCTTACTAGACATGTCTACGCAAACGTTGGAGTCTGCTCTCAGGCCACTGAGCGAACACCTGATATGTGACCTCTGTAAAACCGCCCTCAACGACCGCATTAAATCCACGATATTGCAATGGTCAATAGTCAAGGTTCGCGTCGTTGGCTCCTTTGTCAATAAGACCTGCTTATCTTGAGTGTCTAGCGAACGATATAACCGGAGCCCCCATTCGCTTTCTGTCACGTCTGATTTCTTGTCGGTCCGCTTTCATGCTGTAACACCACCCGCATTGAACCACACACGAATTCTGCATCAGCCTTGTTGTACTACCACCACCACCACCTATCATATCATGGCATAGTTTGAGTTTGGCCGCCACAAACACGATGGGCGGCATCCAACCTTGTAGCGTTGTCTTGTCTTACTATATACACGATTAAGACAATGAATGTACTGCCTTGCAAAAGAAAAAGAAAAGAATAAGGCATCGTCATCGTGTCTTTTCTTCGGCGAGGATCGCATCGTTCAACTCGTCCAATGGTGCCAGTTCCTTCTTGTCCACCAGATCAAACTGCAAAGGCTTCAATGACTTGCAGTAAAGCCACACCAGGACAAACCTCGTTGATGAATAAGAAGAAATGTCTGTAGCTCGTGTTGAGGTGAGCTATAGGAGAGTGTTTTAGCGAGAACGCTCAAGATAGGGTGTTATGACATGCCTTCGATACCCAAGGCACAGATGTGGTCAAAGTGGTTGCTGTAGATGTGGGCGTATACGCGGAACAAGCGGCGGACGATGGTGCGGACTGTGTCTTTGAAATTCTTGGGGAAGGGGACACCGATTCTGTTGGGGAACACGGCCTCGTCGTCGAGCAGCGATTGGGCCCAGTTCATCAGCGCGTCAACGTAGTCGGGGGCAGCGAGTTTCGTCGGCCGTTTGTACTTGACACCGTCTTCCCAGAGGTATTCGTATCTTGGATACTGAGTTGGGCCATCCAGCTGGTCGCGATTGACTTACCGTGGCCCAGCAGACATCATCGCGCACTGTCCGTGGCCGTAAGTTGCTGCTCAGGGGAACGGGGAGGGTGGAAACGGCACCTCTTCTCTCGTGCAGAACTCTGTGATAGTTCCATAGAGCATGTTGAGGTGGTTGAAGAAATCCACCGCTGGGGAGGGAAAAGTATGTTCATTGGAGGTTGTCAGGTTGTGAACTTAACACACCGTGAACCGCTAGCCATTCGTTGAGATCCTCGCCATCGGGGAGCTGGACCGCCAGTCGTAAGTTGCCCGAGCCCTAGTCCAAGTAAATCACCAGGTTTAATATTGGGTGGGTGGGTCAACAAACCAGCGTAGCTTCGGCATATTTGCGAAGCTGGTATTGTTTCGTTCCCTCGGGCACATCTCTACGTGGCTTGAACGTCCGCGTCTTCCCGCTAAACGATATTTCAGTTAGTTGTGGCAGGTTGGACGCCCTTGAGGGCTTACAGGCCAAAGAACGATGACATCTGGGGAAGAGATAATACGCCCGAAAAAGGAAAGTAAATGACAGCATCATCGACGACCATTCTCAGTCTCGCAAGCGCTTGCCTCCCACAACCATGCCCTCTGTCCTATTCGTATTCACTTCCTGCAACAAGACCCTCACCGGGGCCGCCACAGGGTGGTATCTTCCCGAGGCATGACACTTGCATTATTGGCCATCTTATCGCATCTCAACATCAAGTCTCTGATTTAGGCGAGCCACCCGTATTACGTCCTCAGTCCCCATGCGTCCATCGATTTTGCAAGCCCTGCAGGGCCAAATCCTCCCATCGACGAAGGCAGTGTCCAGGTCAGTCGGTATATTGAGCGACAATCCATAGTCACACCCGATAGATGTTTGCGTCTGATGCAGAAAGCACTAAATTCCTGGGGGACGAGACGGTCAAGAGCAAACTCGCATCCGCAAAGAAGCTTTCCGACGTAAACGCGAAGGACTACGACGCCATTTTCTACGTGGGCGGCCACGGACCAGTCATTGACCTCGCCTCTGACCCCGTCAATATCGCTCTAGCGTCCCAGGTGAGCTTGTTTCGCGGGATTCTTTGATGGGAGCTTCATCCTTAGCCAGTTCTACCAAAGCGGAAAAATAACCAGTGCTGTCTGCCATGGCCCCGCTGCATTAGTAGGCGTTACTGACACACAAGGCAACTCGATCTTCGCAGGAAAAGCGGCGACTGGCTTTTCCGACGCAGAAGAGATCCAGGTAAGGGCCCAAGCAAGTCGAAAGGAACAGGAATGATGATGGTTTGCAGGTGGACAAAGTCAAAGTCAGGAACCAGTTTATTCGAATGGAAGTTCACTGAAAAAGTGGACATAGGATGTACCCTTCTTGCTTGAACAGCGGATTACAGAGCTTGGTGGGAAATATGAGAAAGCAGCCGAGCCATGGGGGGTGGGTCTGTTTTCTGTTTCGGAGTTTCCGTGCTGAATAAGCTGCGTAGGCCAAAGTCGTCGTCGATGGCAATCTTATTACTGGGCAGAATCCTGCTAGCGCGGCAGGTGTTGGCGAGAAGATCCTGGAGGCTCTATCCAAGTGAATTTTGTTCGAAGAGAAGGCATGGATAATAGTGAAATGAACTGACACACGTACTTTGGGGCGACTCAGCCTGAAGCAGGATGCGTAGAAACTATTGCTCACCCCAGTTAATGACTCGCAAGAAAAAGGTATGGATTCAGATGTATTGAACGGCCATTAACCAGTCTTTCTTCAACGTAAAGCCGTGTAAGCCCTCCTTGGCCACTGCTGCGAGTTGTGGGCTGTCGAAAAAGACTTGCGCCTTTTTGACTAGAACGGGGTAAAAAGAAATAATAACCGGATAAGAGGCGTCATACCATTCGGTACCTCGGTAGGCACGACTTTTGTGGACTTGAAACCATGATATTGCTGGAATAGCACAGAAAGCACTCCATCTGAGACTTCTTGCGGAAGGTTGGTGCATAATAGACGCGCTGTTGGGTATGGTACAGGAACTTCACCCGCTGGATACCATGAAACACGACTGAAATAAAGACGGTAGAGGACATACAGGCAGCAGCATTTTGTTGTTGTTGATCCTCATCGTCCTCGATCTCCATCTCTTCGTCATCGTCGTTATCAGCCTTGTCACGTTTAGCATTCCGCTCCTCCTCTGCCGCCTCCTCTCGTTGCCGCTTCTTGTCGCGTAAGAATGCACTCGCGTTCACAGAGGTTGGGGGAACAAATGATGGGTCTTCTTTTCGTGAAGTCGCATATGACTTGGATTTTGCATAGGCAATATGCTGAAGACCAGAGTCAGCAACGATCCTGACGCGATACAAAATGAAACAGACCAGAGGTTTGTCGTAAAACAACATCCCATCACAAGCACGCATTGCGGTAGTCGCGCCAGCAAGGTCGGCAAAGACAAGGAAAGCCTGGCCGCGCATTCGCTTGCTTTTGGACGCTACTACATCGATTATTTTGCCGTAGGTCGTGAAGAGCGCGTATAGCTGGGTTTTCAGCTCGTCCTTGTTGACTTGGTCATTTAGATTGTTGATATAAAGTGTGGGGTTCGGTTGACTGGCTGGTGTGCTTGTCGACATGAGACAGAAATTACAGAGCACGTGCGTCGCAATCAGCTCATTTTTCCCCGCCAGCCCAGCAGCTCTGTCTTGAGCTACCACCTCCATTTTCCACAGCCTCTTTCTCTGCCAGCAATTATGCTGACCCTCATTGGAGAAGGGCCTCCCCCGTACCTGGCTCCGTTCTTTACGCTGTCATATCGCATCGACCCACCTGCTAGTCCCGACTCTTTTCACGACTGGCCATACTACACAACGGGCCCCCATGACATATGGTTCATTATAACGTGTATTGCATTCATGGCCATTATCCGCGACGTCCTTCGCCTCTACGTCTTCGAACCATTTGCCGAATGGCGTCTCATGAAGAACCTGAACGAAAAACGACTGGCTGCTGGCAAGTCTGTCAAAACCAATGGCCACAACAACAGTCCTTCGAAGAAAGACCTGCAGCACATTCATAGAAGTGTCCTTCGGTTCGCAGAGCAAGGCTGGTCGGCTGTGTATTATCCTATTCAATTCATTTTTGGACTTGTGCGCCATGTTTCTTTTTCCTTACTGCGAATTTTGCTAACCACTGCTCCAGTATGTGAACTATAATCTCCCCAACCAACTCCTTACATATGCGCCATTGTGGGCCGGCTACCCTCATACAGCTATTGCCGCACCGCTCAAGTTCTACTACCTCACTCAGACCGCGTTCTACACGCACCAGATCCTAATTTTGAACGCAGAGGCGCCTCGCAAGGACCATTACCAAATGATGGCTCACCATATCATTACCGTCTTCCTAATGGGCGCCAGCTACTATTTCAACTTTACCCGCGTTGGCTCCTTCATAATGGTCTTGATGGACACTTGCGATGTATTCTTACCGGTAAGTATACTGGTGCCTTAGAAGAACGACTTACTGAGCCTCCTCAGATTGCGAAGATGGCACGTTATATGGAGGCTCGTCAAATCATCTGTGACAGTCTCTTTGGTATTTTTGTTGTGTCATGGTTCTTCACTCGACACGTCTTGTTCATGCTCGTCATCTGGTCTCTCTGGTCAGAGGCACCACACTTGATAACGCTGCAATGGGACCCAGCAAATGGACATTTTTTGAGCCGAGAATACCATTGGGTATTCCTCATTTGCCTCACTGCCTTACAGGTGTGTCCCCCGGGAGCGGAGCATTTTTCACATTTCATTGACTGTTGCTTTCTGCAGATAATTCAACTTCTCTGGTTCCAGACGATATGCCGCATAACGTGGCGGGTACTTTCGACTGGGGAGGTGGCTTCAGATGACCGCAGCGACGAGGAGAACTAGGTCAATTCACAGCTCTCCAGTTGTCATGCAACGATTCTAGTAAAAGCGTTGGACGAAGTTTCATTGACTTCGTGTAGAACTCGACTTGGTGCCTGCGGTTAGAATCGTTTGGGGAAATGCCACAGGTTTTTGCACAATCATATAGAAGGCTACTTTCAATGGCATGATTGCATCCATGCAGCAAATTGCCAGCAATTTCCTCCTCTGAGTAATGCAAATTGAATCGCTTGTTAGAGTTGTCGGGGTTGGAGGAACCAAATGTGCCGGGATGTTGAGGTCTTCACGCAACGCAACGATGAAGAGCAGACTAGGGCGCGATTACGATGACCATACCACCGGGAACCGGGTCTCCGGCCAGGAAATTTGGTGTGTCTAACGTGTCGAGAGCATGGAGTTCATTGCCAGTGGCCGTTATGAGTAAACAGCAGAAAGTGACATCCTGACGCGTCAATTATCGTTTTGAGGTGCGGCGAGTCGAACACACCAAAACCGTTATGGCAGCGAAACAGTACAATGGGTAGAACTGAGCCAAGAACTGAGCTTTGGAGCGCCCGCGTGACCGTGGTGACCGCTTTACCTTCGGCTTCAACCTTCACCATGAAATGCCTCTTGCTCTTTCTCCTTCTCGGCCCTTTCCTTGCCATCGTCGGGGCCCAGCAGGCTCCTTTCTTAGGCAACTCCCCGCCGAATCAATCGCAATCACGATCGAGCCAACCAGCGCCATCTCAGTCCAGTCAGTCGCCATCCCAGTCCAGTCAACCGGCATTTCAGTCCAGTCAATCGCCATCTCGCTCCAGTCAATTGCAATCTCAGTCCAGTCAATCGCCATCCCAGTCAAATCAATTGCCATCTCAATCCAGTCAACCGCAACCCCAATCGAGTTCGCAACCCAGCAAATACGTGGTCGCACACTTCATGGTCGGCAACACTTACCCATATACGACATCGGACTGGGTTCAAGACATCGCTGCTGCCGCATCAAGAGGGATAGATGGATTTGCCCTCAATGTGAATACCCAACATTCTATGCCAGTTCAAATCTCGCTAAACAGTGTAGGTGGGAGGCGACCCGTGGCAACCTGCGAGGCTGGCTGCGGCCTACGATGCGGCAAAGAGATTCGCTCCATCCATCAACTTCAAGCTCTTTATCTCGCTCGACATGACATCGATTCCTTGCGCAACCACAAACCATGCAAACCAACTGCGCAACTTCTATGAACCATTTCGCAACCATCCCAATCAGCTGAACTATAATGGGCGACCGCTGTTATCAACTTTCTCCGGGGAATGGTGTAGGTTCGGCATGGGAAACCTCAATGACGCCTGGAACTATGTGCTCAAAAGTAATGGAGCCCTTCCTGTCCATTTCGTTGCCTCGTTCTTCGTCGATCCTGCAAACTTTCGGGGTATGTCGTTTCTTGATGGCGCTTTCAATGTCAGTCATCTATCCTCGTTGATATGCCTCGCTGATGGAGAGAAATGAACGAAGTGGAACGCCGCTTGGCCAATGGGAAACTATAATACCAGCTGGACTCCAGACACTCAATACATATCTCAGCTAAACGGACGGACTTACATGGCAGCAGTGTCGCCCTGGTTCTTCACGGTTGGCTCGTGTATTCGTTAATGTTCTCCGTCTAATTTGTCTTGAAAGCATTATGGGACAGACAGTTGGAATAAGAACTGGATCTATCGATGCGACGACTTTCACTTTGCGCAACGTTGGGAGCTCATAGTACAAAACCGAAATTTGACTGCAATCGCACAAGTCATTAGCTGGAACGACTACGGCGAATCGCATTACGTTGGACCGATTCATGGTGCACAACCTAATTCACAAGCATGGGTCAATGGCTTCGACCACCAAGGCTGGCTTGATCTCCAAACCTACTATATCACCGCGTTCAAAACTGGTCAATATCCACCGATAACCCGCGATCGTGTTTTCCTCTGGGCAAGGCTGTACCCCGCAAACGCAAACGCGCAGGATCGTGTCGGTCGTCCGGACAACTGGCAATGGACGAAGGATATACTCTGGGGTGTGGCGATGTTGACTGCTCCAGCGCAGCTCACGGCTACTTGCGGTTCATCTAGGTTGTCGACTACCTTACCCGCTGGTTTATCCAAGTTCCAGCTTCCACTCGTCAGCACTTGCAATGTTGTCGTCACTCTCGCCCGCAGCAATTCTGTCTTTATCAACTTCGCGCCGTCTGGTTTCACTTTTAGGACTGATCCTCCGTCGTATAACTTCAACGCTTTTGTTGCTGCATCGTAAGGCACAAATGTATAGTAGTGTCAATTCATCGAGGTACCGAAAATTGATGTTGAACCCCATCGGACATCGAAATTCCGCGGTCAATTGCGACCATCTTCTTCTTCCAAAGGAGTCCAACGTAATTGCCCGAGTTGTAGTACATAGCTGGATCTGCAGGCACCTCGTAGTGCGACCAAACATGAGTAAAGAAGGCTTGTCTCGACTTGAATGGATCGGACGACCTATCGGTTGGCATTAGTCTCTTCGTGGTGTTTTTAACTGGCTCTTCCACGACAGTGGGTTCCATCGCAGGAAATACAACGTCGGCAATGGAGGCAAGGAGAACCGGTGAGGTCAGTCCAGGAGAGAGGTAATGTTGAAGGGGTTTTTGTGTCACGGCGCCAATGATGGTTATTGGGAAATGCGCATGGAGGTGCTGGATTTGGTCCCAAGAAGTCTCAAGTGGTTTTCCGACTTTGGTATGCGTGTCCCAGAGGGCCTCTTGAGTTCGGGCTGCATCATCATCATCGCCTTTTGAGGCAGCGCGAGGCATCATCCAAGTCAAGAAGGTTATCTTCGTTGGAGGGGATGGTATCTCGCAGGCAGCGGGCAATCTCGCGTGAATAGACTGCTGAGAGAGCGACGGTCAGGTTGGCAGCGGTGGATCCATAGTAAGTTGTGAATGTGGGCATGATATCGTCTGGTATGTCGAGGGAAAAGTCGAAGTAGGGCTTATTGTTGTTGATCACCCCACTGTCGACAACCTTGAATGTTGACCGGAAGACGCGGTACGGGTCGTCTGCGCCGTGGTCGTGGAAGAGATATTCTCCACTTGCAGCGGAAATTGTGCGCTGATCAGAAGGGAAAAGTTGGTTAGGGTCAACAAATTCCCTGTCGCCGCCTGAAAACGCTTCCCTCTGGGCCCAGTCCGTGGTCCGTATGGTGTGGAGCTGCACAGAGATGCGCGACATCGTCGTAGAACCTGCTGTGCCTCTGACGAACACCCTGCCTTTCAGCTTTTGCCCTGCATTAGCGTTAACCGGCGAACTTGAAGGCACACAGAAAGCAAATAAACCTTTCTGCACAACGTTTCCATGGTCTAATTTGATGCTCGCAACATAAACAGACCTTTCGGCCGCGGGAAAACACCTTTCCCTGCGTTCCATATCTTTTTGCACAGCGGGAAGCTCTTGATGCAGGGTGTTGGTTTTATCTATGAAGTGCTCTGTAGCGACGAACGGTCGAGCCTCCTTGGTTGGCTTCAACTTCGCAAACCTTGGGACAAAGTTTGTGTGCCCAGCATGTTTTTCAACGATGCTCCCGTCTGCAAATGTCACGATCTGGAAGTTGTCAACGGTTTGCGATTGATTAGAGAATTGCTTACTGCCACGTAGTGATAACCCAGATCGGAGTCTGCATGTCCTCTTATCGGCCCACCGCTTGACCCACCCCTACGATTGGGGACAGCAGGAGGAAAATTGACTGCTGGAGAGACAACTACGAACGGAGTGACTTGTGGCTTGGTGAAGTCTGCAGAGCAATGAGGTCAAATTGACGATTGAATGATTCCTTACTACTCACCTTGATCGTCTCCGAACAAAGTCCTCTCAGTGGTCCATGTTTTGCGCTGTTCGGCCTTGACGATCCAGAATGCAGGGTCGCTCATTGTGTGGTCATACGCGGTGTAGTTATAGACAGTCTCCTTGTCTTGAGAGCGGGTTTGGAACATCCAGGGGTCTGCGGAGTCCGGTCGCGTCTGGTTGTCAGCTTTGACGATTTGCGGCAGTTGTGCGCCACGACGGAGATGCTTGACCTCGGCGAACTCATCGAGGCTGAGACGGAGCGCAACGGAAGCAACTTTGCTGGCGCAGTTCGCAGGAGCGACCTTGATACGCAACTCCCCTAGCCATGTTCAGATTGTTCATGAACTACACTTGAGTTCAACCTATGTACCATGGGAAGTCGTCTCAGGGGCAAGATCTTCTGCTCGCACCCATGCTTGGACGCGACAATTGCTGGTTGATAATGGTTCGCTGTTGGCAAGTCCTAGAGAAAGTGATATTACGAAGGCAGCAAGCTTCATATTGGTGGGAAAATGGGGGTCATCATGGTGAAAGTTTAAATAACAAGTTTAGGCGCTTATTCAAGTGTAACCAAGGCGGGATAGAATCAGACTATGAGATCTGACAACGGATAAGACAATACAATTCAGGGAATTAGCCCAAGATGGTACAGAGGCAAGGAAAGGAAAGTAAACTAAAGCAACAGTAGTTATATAAGATAACTTAGCTATTCATGCTTTGCCTGATTTCTTCTTTTTCTTGTCCTTTTCGACGATCTTTTCCACCTTCTCGACCTTTGGTTTTTTGGCTGGAGGTGGCGGAGGGGACTCTTCCTCTTCGTCGTCGTCTTCTTCTTCTTCTTCCTCCTCCTCCTCGGATGATGATGACGAATCTGTTGTAGCTGTTACCAGTGCTGCAACAGGATGATCGTCTTCGTCTTCGTCTTCATCTTCCTCTTCCTCTGATGACTCAATGACAGGGGCAGAAACCGGTGCTGCTGCCTTGTCAACTTTGGATTTTCGACGCCGAGTCTTCTTTTCCTAAAAGGACTATAAGAACAAAAAGCTGTTAGAATGAAACACGTACGGCAAGCGCCGCAGCCACTTGGGCATCGGCACGAGCGACTTCTTCAGGCGAACGCGCGTCGTACGCGTTTTTCTCTTGTTGGTACTTTTCTTTAAGCTGCTGCATCTTAACAGTGTATACCTGGTCACGCGTCAAACGCGAAACAAGTAAAGTTTGGAGTCAACAAACCGCCTTTTTTTCCTCTGACATGTCCGACCATTGCGTTTTGATCATATTGAGCAGATCCGTATTGTTCAGCTCTGGATACTTTTCCTTCAACGGCTTGCGTATCTCGTTTTGGAAGAGGAGATATGACGACGCTGGTCGCTTTGGGGCGTTCGGGTCCTTTTTCTTCGTTGCCCTTTTGCGCTTGCCATTCGTAGCTTCCCCCACCTCTTCAACAGCACCAGATTTCCGTTTCACAGTCCCAGCCTCGTGTCCACCCACCAAATCAGCAAACTGTTCAGCATACTTGGCACATTCGAGCATTGCAGCCGCGGCAGCAGCAAAACTATCGTGTGAAGCCTTGAAAGTGGCAGCGGCATTATGTAGTCCTTTGGCCATCTAGCAAGCATTAAACACCGAAATATCTGAGAAATAAAGGGACGCACCTGGGCCCGTTGTGAATCGCTCATCGAAAATTGAGACAAGTTGATGATGAAGGGTCACGCGTGACGCAAAGTCAAGCTCATTGTGTTGCTTTGAAACCTCACAGCGAGAAGGGCTTGTCGCCAGCGTCCTCTCGGTTGACCGCGAGCTCGTTTCCCTGTGTGCATCGAGGTTGTTTAGCCAGCATCCCGCTTGCTACCACCAGGAGCGTACTCTACATAAGAAAAAAAAGCAGTCGAGAGCCCTCATTAATGGAGTCGAGCATATACAGCCCTTGGCTGGCCCACGACCTTCCTCAATCCGTTCATCGCTCGCCGCCGACACAGGAGTGGCCGAAACCGCAAACTGCTCCAACAGCAGGCCCCAGTCAGACCCCCCATCACGGTACCGCTCTCGACTTGCCTGTCGACTTTGACTTGGCCAGTGAGTCGCCTTTGCCCGGTAGATTGGTTTGGATGCGTACTGAACCGCGTCTTTTCAGGTACTTCCCCATCGACCCCGTCATTCACATCACCATCGTCGGCCCAATCCGGATACGGCTTTTATCCGAACTCGTTTCACAGCCAGGGTTCATTCTACTCAACGTGGCCGTCCTCCCAACCACCACAACCCTCGGATTCCATTCCGCTGTCGAGTTATTCCACTCTAAATGGCGCAACGACGACAAGCACGGTTCCATCTAGCGCACCGCCGCAGAATGGCACGATGATGATTGAGTGAGTGGTTGTCGGTTTCGTCGGCAGCATAACTCTGACTGGTATCTAGTCCGGTCCTGACAACTATGAATGGCTCCGCGGCCGCTGGGTCTAATGGCAGCTACCCTCCAGCAAGTTACACAACACAAGCACCTTCCAATCCTCAGCAACGAATGTATTACCCTACTCCAACTCTCAGTTATTACCTTAACCAGCATCATCAACAACAGCAACAGCAGCAGCAACAACAGCAACAGCAATCTCAACAACAAGGCACACTGTCTCCTCATGCCCTTCATGCCCCTTCCTCTACCGCTCATTTCTCAAACTTCTTCCAACCGCAAGCCTCAGGACCCAGATTATTGCAACCATCTCCTGTTGTTTCACACTCCCTCATACCGCCTTCGCAACCGCCTTCACAAACAGGTTCCTCTCCCCAGGAACGTAAGGCGGCTTTGTTAAATGCCATACGTCCCTTCCTCTTGCCTAAAGCCTTCAGCGGTGCCCCCGCTGTAGCCACGCTGTCTGCCCGGATTGCCGAATACGGTGTTGCCGAAGTAGACGCAGCCACGAGGATGGAGATACTGACCAAGATACGAGACCATGCGGGCAACCATTACTTTCGGGCCTGGGTAGACAACCAAACGGCAATCGACATTACACGTGAATGGCTCAAGGCGGCTTTCACGGCAAGCCGAGAGGAGGGTGGTGATGAGGCACTGGTGGAGACTATCATGCCTCTCCTACATGTGCGTGGAATTGACTTTCAGTGGTTGCGCCACACTCAACTGGAGTAGATCATCGATCGGCTTCCAATGACTGTGACCTCTCTGCAGTCATCCAAGCTTGGTAAACTGGTTGTCCGGCTCGTCAAGGACCCCCCTAGTCCCGGTGAGTTTTCCCCCATTTCCCCCCCGTCAACTCGCGTATACTGCTTCGACATTGCGTGGACTGACTTTCAGTCGCCGCTTACACCTGTCGTCGCGTTTCGAGATTTGCTAGTCTCTTACTTCACCTTGAGAGTCGTAATAAAGTCGGGATCGCATGTATCTAACTGTCTTTTTGCATGTTCTCTCCCCACCCTCCCCTCCATAAACGATGCGAAACGAAACAAAAAAACGAATGCGATAAAAACGAATTTGGTCAACCAGCCATCAAGGATATGGCATCCAACGTGGAACGACGATGGCGACAGCTTGTGACCGAGCAAGGGTCAGAAGCACCTGCGGACGGTAATATCGTCAAGCCGATCTCGTTAATCTTGTGTCTCATTCCCCTCCTTAGACCCTAAATCGAAAAAGAGGAAGCTTAGTGATTTGCCTGCGCGTAGTGCTCCGCCGCTGAAGAAGACGGCGGTGGGCAATGTCAAACCTGCGGTCAAAAAAGAGCTTGTTGCTTCATCCTCCAGCAAGTCTGCGTCTTCAAAGGATGCGAAGTCCGACTCGTCGTTCTTCTCTGCGCCTAAGCCAAAGCCGAAACTTCCGAGCTTCAAGAAAGCACCACCAGCGCCGCCACCCAGTGTTAAGAAAGACGACACCAACATTGCCCAGCCGAGCGCAATCGATCCATTCCAAGAAGCGCTGAAGTCGATGAAGACGCGGAAGGGATCACCACTACCTAATGCTGTATCGGCACAGTCACCCGCGAGCTCGGAACCGAGCACCTCTTCAACACCGTTACCAGGGTTTACCAAACTTGGAAAGCGGAAAAAGACGGTCACGTGGGCGCCTGATGGTAAGCTGGAGTCGATCCGGCTCATTGAACGAGCGATATACGGCGACGAGAATGATCATGAAGTCAGCGTCATTCGTTTTCCGTACTATACTGTTTTTGATGTCCTTTCTTTTTGCGTTATTAGGGGGGAATGCTTCACGCGAGTCTTCGTGACCTTGATCGCATGGAGGGTTCTACTATGCACATGCACCTGTTTGAGGAGGTTTTGGACTGGACTGAACCAATACGTACGTGACCAAAATTGCGATCTCAGTTGACGAATAACACCCTACAGCACTTGAACTATCAGCCTTACCTGATCTGGAACGGGGGTCGGGAAGCCAGGAGAAGGCGACGCAGGAGTTGCGAGAGCAGACTGCACTGATCTCGTTGTACATGTCTACTGCGTCTATCCCGGACTCACCCGCGGAGCCTGCACACGTGTTGGCGGACGAGGAAATCGACAAGGACGTGCGTGAAATGACAACGGGGCCGGATGTTGACCAGGTGTTCTGGAGTTCGCCTCCAATACCGATGCTGGACGTGACCTCGTCGGTGGCGGACCTGGTTGGGCAGCTGGCCAGCACCAGCAACAGCAACGACCTCAATCAGGTCGCGGCGGGTTTGATGACCGATGCTGCTGCCGTGATCCCACAAGAGCAGATCCAGCATCTGCTTGCACAACTGTCGTCGGGAATGCAGACTGCGCCCCCGCCAGCGCTGGCTCCACCATATGGCGATTGGTCGGCGCTTAACCAGTTTACCGCAGATTACGCGCAAGGCCAGACATTCCACGACGATGGTGGAGACCGTAACGGGTGGCCATCTGGTCGTGGCGGTGCTCGTGGCCGGGGTCGGGGGCGGGGACGGGGCGGCATGGGCGGCGGCGGCGGCCCTGAGGACTTTAGACACTCTAACCGTGACAACAAAAGAAAACTTTGCAATTTCTTTGCAGCAGGAAGGCGAGCATATTTGCCCAAATGAGCTAAAAAATGAAGCTGATCAAAGTGTATTGCCTTTTTTAGATGCCGATATGGCGATCATTGCGATTATAGCCATGATTTGTCGGAGCAATGAATGGGACGCGTTTTGCTGTATCTGTACTTGGCATAGGCATAAAGCATGGGTTTCGTGTGGGGTTGTAGTCGTTAGATCCAACTACGAACGATTTTTTAGTGAATGCAGGATGTCAATCGATGTCACTTTGTGACGCAGTCACGGTTCTCTGCTTTCCTTCGAATACCATCTAACTTCCGGCCATCGCCCTCTGAATAATTTTCTAGCCTCAATGTAGAACCACGTCTCAATTACAAAGAGCCGGATGACAATCAGCCGCGCCTTTTCCGCTTCAAAAGTCTTAGACTTTCTGTGATTTATAAATTCCTTGCTCCCGCAAAGGTAAACCAAACGCCATGCTGTACCTCCACCCGTACTACCAGCCCGGCTCCCAGCTCACTGTCAACCTCCGGTCGTGCATCGACGACAAAATCGAATACAATGTTGAAGTCACAGTGGCGAAGGCCCTGACACCCTTTACAATGAGTCAAGTCCTTGTGGTCGACGTGAACCCGCCGATACCAGACATACTGCCCGCTGCGACTGCTAGCTTTATCCTTAAGGTGTTCGATCCCCGTTTCGTGCAACATAGAAGTGGCACAAAGAACAGTGCCCCCCATCCGTGGACACTCGCGGCCGAAACGACCGCTGCCCGCCGTCGACAATTCGGCGCTGAGACACACACTTTCCTCCCGACCTGGTGGCCAGACGACAACGATGCGGCTGGCTGGGAGGAATACTACTACCACAACCTGCAGGCAATGTTCCGCAACGAACTCGAGGCGTACGACCGCCTGCTGCCGCTGCAGGGACGGGCCATCCCGATCTGCTATGCCCATGGCACACTTGTAAATTCTGCGCGTTCCCAGCGCCTTGTCGCTCCCCCAGTCCTCCTTCTCTCCTATATCACGGGACCGAATCTCCGCTGCATCCAGGCGGCCCGCGTCGCCTCCCACGTTGGCCGGGGGCTCATCGACACGATCCGCGCGTTCGGGGTCCATGGTGTCATCCACGACGATCTGCGTCCAGAAAATGTCCTCCTCTCATCAGCCGAGCGGCCGTCACAGGCGGTCGTGATCGATTTTGGCAATGCCCAGCTGCGGGAGGACGAGAGCGACGAAGAGTGGGACTGGACGGTGCAAGAAAATGCGGAACCGCGAGTGATGGAGATGATTTTGGACAAATTGGGCATTAGCCATTCAGATTTCGACGACTCGGATTCGGATTAAGTGAACTCATTCAGGTTTAAAATGTATTTGTAGTTGGTATGTATTTCTATGATCCTCTTCGTCACGTGTGCTCCAGACGCCCACAAATCATGCAGTAATAAATTATCATTTTGCACATTCAAAGTCAATACAAGGTTCGTCAATTTACATCATCCCATTTTCCATATGCATTTTGCCGTTCCCGTTCATCATCGGCTTTTCCATCATGTCGTCCATCGGTTTCTCGCACATGCAGCTCATTTCGCGGTCCTTGACATAGTCAACAAGGACTTGGCCAACAGACTTGTAGTTCGGCGCGATCATGGCGAACTTGCTCAGTTCAAAGTCGCTTGGTCGCCCGTTCCAGAGGATCTGCGTGTTGTTAAGCAAACAGAAGAGAAAGGACAGGAAGCAGTGGAACGAACCTCGCAGTCCTCCAGGGGCCGCATGACTCCGCAGGCGCTGCACTTGCGCCAGTCGCCTCGGCAGGGGAGCCAGGTCAGGCAGGCATGGCATTGAGATTGGTAGCGGTCCTGAGCCTTATACTTGACGGGGTCCCATTCCTGCATCGGAGATCAAAAGAGTGCCAAGAGCGAGAGAATCGGAGACTAACCAGCATCGGCCCGAAGCCACGGTATTCGCCCTCATATCGGAAGGGGAAGCCGAGGATGTACCCTGGCCCAGCAGCCAAAGCCTCGTCCTTGACCTTCTCAGAGAATGCGATCAGGTCGTCGACAACCTCTTGCGGCACAGTCTTGTTGAGGTCCAGGGGCATAAGTTTGGCAGTGCAGTATTCTGCGACTTTGACCCAGTCCGGGACCTAGATTATCATTGATTAGATGGCTAACTTGCAATATCTTTGATAGCCGCGGACCTGCGAACCCCAGAGCCATTTGGTCGCGTAACTAGCGAAGTTCTTGAGATCGACGGTGAACGCCGTACGAGGAAGACCATATCGGGGGAGCGCGTGACCTGGATTGAGTTGAGTATCAATAGAGAGAGTGGAAACAGAGACTCTTACCCAGCATGATGGTCCACAAAAAGCCGATGCGCGGACCCAGCAACGGGTGCATGAACGTGAGGTAAAGGAACTGGGCGCTGAGTAAGAGGTTTGTCCGGGTATGGTTAGGGAAAAACCACGTACTTGGTTCATTTGGTTAAGAGATGGAACAGCAGCCGCACAGTAATCATCGTACTGCTTCCATACAGCAATGCGCTCTTCTTCTGTCTTGGTCTTGAGCGCCGCGGCGGTCAATTCAGCGGCAAAGGTTGTAGAGGCCATGCCCGCATTGATGCCAGGGCTGAGGAGCGGGTTCGTGAAGCCGATTCCATCTCCGATCGTTACCCAACCCGGGCCCGAAACGACCTGAGACTGGTAGGTGAGCTGCTTACGAATGTACCATGTCGTTCCGGGACCTTTTGGCGTGAGATTGAGAAGTCGTACACAATTAAATCAAAAGAACATACCGTGGTAATCCGGGAGCAGCGTAAAGTGGCGCATAACGTCTCCCAATTTCTTGTACTTTTTGGTGATGAAGTTGAATCGCCGTTCAGCATCGACGCTTCCGTAGCTGGCCAGGTCTGCGGGATAGGCGGTATCGTCTCGGCAGGCGTAACCGATGCTCCAAATCCACTTCATCTTGCAGCCAAACATTTCACACAACTCGGCGCTCTATGGAAATTCCCACGATCAGAGATATGCCGAACAGAAGTAGAAACCATCTTACGGAGGGAAGCTCGTCGTGTGGGGTACCCAGCTCGGCATGATCCAGCATATAGTTGATCATGTCAAGGAGACCAGCCATAGGCGAATCGTGCCAGGACAGCATGCGGATTAGGTACATCCATCCCTCAGGGAAGCAAATGTGGCTGGTATGGCCACCCTCAAAGCCTTCAAGTTCCTACAAGACAGAGTCAGACTACAAATGGACTGGGTGAGTTATAGCAAACCTTAGGAACTTCATTTTCGTTCGTGCCCTCCCAGTAAGCGAAGAATGCATCCGTGTTGAAGTTCTCGAACCGGCGGAGACGGGCTGCCTTGCTTGCGTATTGACGGAAGCGGCCTGTGCCATCGACCACGAGGGGAGATTTTGCAACAACAGTTTGGGTCTTGTCAGATTGACGAATGATTGGTACAGTGTCGCCTTCCTGAGAAAGAACGGTGTTCTGGATGTCCGCTGCGTGTCCATGCCAGACATTGACACCCAGGCGTTGAGCGAAGACAGTGAAGACAAGCTCTGACATGGAGCGCTGGAGTTGATAGCCCGGGGCCAAGAACTTGTGCGAATCGTCAGTTCCCTAGCATTAGTAACATGCAGGTCTACGCACTGGTGGAGGCCCATTGTTGCACCAGGCAGTATACGCATCGGGATCGTTGCGGTCCAAGAAGAAGAATTCCAGTCCACTATGCAAACCGAAGAAACGGAGAAGGTACTGATAACAGAGTTAGAACTGGATCAAATCAAACGAGAGGAACATCAACTTACATCTGCCGCCATACCGGCTGACTTTGTCCATTGTGCGAAATGAGGAAGTGTGGATTCGCCGATCTATAATTGTTGAACGTGCTATCAACTGCGAAGGGGAACAACTAACCTTCCATTGGGGCCTAGCAGCTTTTTCGAAGAGCGAGATGTTCAACTTCGCCTCCGGATGGACTTTTCGCGCGTGAATCGCGTACATAAGACCGTGGATACCACCACCGACGATGGTTACATCGTTTTCGGCAGCGGGCTCGCTGTGAGCATTGCCCGAGTTGAGCAACTCGGCTGTAGCATCCAAGTTGAGCATCTGCACCGACTTCCAGAGCCAGGGTCGACTCACTTTCAGTCCAGTTGGGGTTGGCTGCCTGACGGTCGCGGAAAGTGGTCTTTGGGAGGATAAAAGGCATGCTGAGCGAGTACGGGGGTCCGAAGGTGGTAGTAGATGCATTTTGACGGGCCCTTTTTATGCAACCACCAAAAATACAGTAGTAATCTGGATTGGACGAAAGAGTTTCCAGTCACAGGTGTTTATGGTGGCCGATCGAGTTCAAGCTTGTCAAGCTCGATTCAACGAGTGATTGCCGAGATTGATGGAACCCATTTTTGGTTGAAAGGCTTCAACCGTGGGCGGAAACAGATTCCAGGTCAGGCCGGTCAGGAGCGTGGGGTTGCTTATGGCTCCAGCCGTGTACAAACCCAGTTACTAAGGGGTCACGTGTGTGGTGCTTTTGGGCGTCTCTCGCGCCCTGGATAATTGAAATCTTACTGTTGAGATAGATACGGAACACGATGAAACTAGTCCAGACCAAGCAAAAACCGTCAATTATCGGCGGAGAGAGCCACGAACACCGACAAACAATAGCTTATGACTTTGCTTCCCGCACCTCGCGAGGGTAAACGGAGAAAAATCAACGATGATTGAATTTACACATGTTGAGGCCAATTCCCGAGGCTTCGGCTAGGAAATCGTTTGTGAATACTGCTCACAATCTAGCCGTCCACCAGAGATTTTCGCTGACAAGGTTCAGATGTTGAGAGTAAGCAATATTCCCGCCTCAAGCCTATTTGTCGATGGAATGTGTCTGAACCGTGACCTGCACCTGTCTAGTGTCAAGAAGGCCTAGGGGGTTGTACATATCAGACAACCAGCCCTGATACCGGGAGACAAACGAGATAGATATCAACAGCGACTCCAGGGGTACGTCGGCGGAGGGGATACATAAACGCCGGTGCCTTCACCAAAAATCCGCCACTGAATGGCATCAATGAACTGCTGATCCGCTTGGTGGTATTACCACGTTTTTCACGGGTTGATGCGGAACAGAATGCCGGTTGATCACACATAAAATTTCCTTGTCAGATACTACGATGTCCCTGTCGACAGTCCTTTGGCGCGTATGGCCCAGACGATGCTCAAGTTACCGTGGATACGCGACTGCAGCAGTTTCGAAACCCTCGTCGTACGGACAACCGTTGTTTCAGTCTCACCCCCACCTCGGTAGGGCGTCAAGTTCAGGATGACATTCCTCATAATCACACCCGCTAGTCGCAAACACAGAACTCACTCCTGGGTTCAGCTCCGAAGAATATGAAACACGAAGGAGACGTCTAATGGAGTCGCTTCCGGACTCGAGTATTGTCGTTTCGACTGCAGGCACCATCAAGTATATGAGCGGTCAAATTTTGTGCGTCGCGTTCTTCACGGGAATATTTCCTTACTAAGTTTCGCCGCCCTTGCACAGCTACAAGTTCCGCCAAGCATCAGACTTCTGGTATCTAACTGGTTTCGACGAACCTGATTCTGCGGTTATACTTGGTGAGATCTACGCGCTTTCATCGTGTTGTATGTAATGAATGCGGCCAGAGAAAAATTCAAGCTCCCGCGGCTACCGGATGTCCCTATTTTCCGCCGGCAGAGACTCTGCGAAAGAGAAGTGGGATGGTGCACGGTGTGTTTCTCGTCGATTTCAACCTTACACTCAACCTTCATTGTCGTGACAGAACTGGCTTTCCTGAAGCTCGCTCTCTGTTCAAGGCCGACGATGCAAGGTCAATAGATCAATTTGCCCCTCATCTTCGATCTCTATTATCGAGTTATTCCAACGTCTTTGTCGACCTTCCTCCTGGTACTCCTCGCAGGAAGTCTGGTTCTAAATCACTCTTCCAGTTTCTCTCGTCTACTCCCTTGCGGAATGACAATGACGCTGTCCTCGATGCACTGTCCAGTTCTCGACGCAAACCTTTGGCCCCCAAGATAGCACGTCTGCGAACCATAAAAAGTGACGCCGAGTTGGACGTAATGCGCAAGGCAGCCCAGATAAGCGGACGTGCGCATGCTGCTGTAATTATGCTCTTCGCTCTAGGCCAAATAATCTCAATTCTCTCCCAGACAATGGGTTTCACGAAGCCGGGACTGTCCGAAGCTGCTCTCGCCGCTCACTTCGAATACATATGTGCCCTTGGTGGATCCCAACGGCCGGCCTATGTTCCAGTCGTAGCCTCTGGGTATATCTTGAATCACTGAAAGATGAATGTGGCTCATTTCCTTACCCCAGCGCTAATGCCCTCATTATCCACTACACTTCCAACAATCATTTGGTGCAAGAAAACGAGCTTGTTCTGATTGATGCGGGTTGTGAGCTCCAGTAAGTCCCGGTCAATATTCCGCGATTTCTATCCAGCCTTGACAGAAACCCTCAGTGGCTACGCGTCTGATATCAGTACATATTCTACTCGCGAGTCGTCATTTACGTTGACTCATTTAAGCGCGGACATTCCCGGCGTCTGGTCGGTTTACAGAAGCACAACGTGATCTCTATGCGGCAGTCCTTTCTGCCCAGAAAAACCTGATACAACTATGCACCGAGGACTCCGGAATTGGAATGCATCAGTTGCATATGAAAACTTGCACACTCTTGCGGCAAGAACTCAAGCAAGTGGGTATCGACGTTGTTGGCAACGACCTCGATCTGCTCTTTCCACATTACGTCTCGCATCCCATCGGCCTAGACTTGCACGAATCGACTTACTTCGATCGTCTTGCTAGGTGCTAGATTATTTTCCTTGTCCTTTCGGTAATCTGACTTGTGCACGCAGCCTGCGTCGTGGGATGGTGATCACTGTGGAGCCCGGCATTTACGTCCCCCCGACCGCCCAGTTTCCTAAACATTTTCACAATATCGGCATCCGCATCGAAGTAAGTTGCGAGCTGTGAGCTTTGCTATCTCGCTCTAACTGATCCGTTTTAGGACCAGGTTGCAGTAGGGAAAGACGTTCCTGAGATCATTTCTTCGGTCGCACCGAAAGAGGTCCGCAGATCTTACTATCAGTCAATGCTCCCTCTCATAAACACTAGATCGACCTCGTTGAAGCAGCCTGTTTATCGTAGAAGCCCATATCTATCTAATCGCTTAATCTACTTACGTTATTCGCATAATGTAACACTGTCACGTCACGTGCTCTGAAAAAATCTGCGTCGACCACCATGTTGGTGCTATACGAGACGGCGATGGGCTACTGCCTGTTCAAAGTGGGAGATGCTGCCAAGTTGGAGAGCGACGACCTGTGGAAGGAGTTTGAGAGTCCGGAGAAGGCGAGCAAACTGTGCGCACTCGTGCTTTTCGTTTTTTTCTCCTGGCAGACTGATAGCTTCTCCACAGCCTGAAGCTAAAAGCAATCCATCGGTTCCACTCGACAGCAACCGCCGTCGAGGACGTGACCGCGCTGCAAAAGGGCAAGCTGGGGAAAGGGTTGAAGGAGTTTCTAACGGAGGAAGTTGTGAATAAGGGCAAGAATAAGGAGTCGCTCCTTGTCATAGATCCTCATCTCTGTGAGTTCAAGGTTCACCCCGGAAATAGCCATTTCTCATACATACCCAGCACAATCTATCGCAAAAAAACTAAGCATCAAGGTCAGCGCAGTGGAGGGAAAGAATGATGACCTATGGCGCGGTATACGGTCTCAACTGACAGCGCTGCTGAACGGTGTGGATCCGAAAGACTTGGCGACGATGAGCTTGGGTCTGAGTCACTCGCTTTCTCGGTGGGTTTACTTTTCTCTGGCCTTCTGGCGACGACTCAATCACGCGTTTAGATTCAAGCTCAAATTTTCGCCGGACAAGGTGGACACGATGGTTGTTCAGGCCATCGCTCTGCTCGATGACCTGGACAAGGAAATCAACATCTATGCCATGCGAGTGAAGGTCAGATTTACTTTTTCGGCCCCTTATAATTTTCTCATCGGTGTAGGAATGGTATGGCTGGCATTTCCCCGAGATGGCCAAGATCATCGTGGACAACCTCGCGTACGCCAAAGTCGTGCGATTAATGGGTTTCCGGACCAACGCTTCATCAACGTCGTTTGCCGCGATCCTTCCAGAGGACCTCGAGGCAGTCATCAAAGCTGCTGCCGAAATTTCGATGGGGACTGAAATATCTGATTCGGATATTGCCCACATTCACTCCCTTTGTGACCAAGTCATTTCAATATCAGCATACCGGGCGCAACTCGCAGAATATCTGCGAAATCGGATGGTGGCCATTGCCCCCAACCTTACCGCTCTTGTAGGAGAGCTGGTAGGCGCACGACTCATCAGTCATGCGGGCAGCTTGCTCAGCTTGGCGAAACACCCAGCGAGCACGGTACAAATTCTTGGTGCGGAGAAGGCTCTTTTCCGCGCCTTGAAGACCAAACATGATACGCCCAAGTATGGGCTGATATACCATGCATCGCTTATTGGCCAAGCGCCACCAAAATTAAAAGGCAAGGTACGACGACTAAACTATTTCTCATCTGTGCATACCACATCAAGCTCAATTCTGAGTAGATGGCCCGTATGGTTGCCACGAAAGCCGCGCTTTCAATACGTGTCGATGCACTGACCGACTCCGACGGCAAATCCGAGCCGTCAGCGCCCTCAATAGGGACGGAAAACCGGGCCAAACTCGAGTCGCGGCTGCGCAAGCTCGAGTATGAAGACGACCAGTCAGGCGTCCGCCGATTTGGTGATGCGGGCAGGAAGCAGACTGCAGGGTTCTCGATGGGCGGGGAGACGAAGACATACAACACGAAGGCTGATGCTGTTGAGCTGGTGTCGACTCAGCGAGAGGACCCGATGGCGATTGCGGTGCAGGCAGTTTTGGATGTCAAGGAGGAGAAGAAACGGGCCAAGGAGGAGCGGAAGGCGAAGAAACGGGCGGAGAAGGAGAAAGCAAACCAAGAGGACGACGACGATGATGATGACGACGCTATGGAAGTAGACGGCGAGTCAAAGAAAGAGAAGAAACGGAAACGGAGAGAAAGCGAGGCGGCACCAGAAGTCGAGATGAAGACGGTAAATCCTTTTTTTTCCAGATTACAAAGATATTAATGGATTTCTCGCAGGAAGAGACAGAGGAGGAACGAAAGGCGAGGAAAGCTGCCAAGAAAGCAGAGAAGAAGGCAGCGGCGGCGGCAGGGGGGGGAGTCAGACTCACCGAAAAAGAAGAAAAAGAAAAAGTCGGAGGCATAGCTTGTTCATTTTCCTGGTTAATCGCACATACTATTTCTCTCATTTCTTCTTTCTGTCAAGTCTGGTCGGTATCCAAACAAGTCCAAACACCTTCCGCATTCAAAGGATTCTGCCAGAAACACAACGCGTTTATTCGGCACGTGAGCTTGTTTACAGTCGTCGGACTAAGATACATGAACGAAGAGAATTATACAATATAGGCTGTGCAATACGAGTGCCCCTACGAGCTACTCGGTGACGATAACCAGCTCACGAGCGTTCACCACGGAGACGACGAGCAAGGGCCAAATCCTTGGGCTGGATGGTGACCCGCTTAGCGTGGATAGCAGCCAAGTTGGTGTCTTCGAAGAGGGAAACAAGGTAAGCCTCAGCAGCCTCCTGGAGGGCCATGACGGCGGACGATTGGAAGCGGAGATCAGTCTACAGTCCCGTCAGTGGCAGGCAAAGGACAATGGATTCTCGTTACGCACCTTAAAGTCCTGGGCGATTTCACGAACCAGACGCTGGAAGGGGAGCTTGCGGATGAGGAGCTCGGTCGACTTTTGGTAGCGACGAATTTCACGAAGGGCGACGGTACCCGGCCGGAAACGATGGGGCTTCTTGACACCACCAGCGGCGGCAGTGGCAGTCTTGCGAGCGGCGGAGCTCTTCGAGGCAAGCTGAAGAGTGGTCAGGAAAGGGTGGCATAGTGGGCGAGATCAGTGACGACGTGCCTGCTTGCGGGGAGCCTTGCCTCCGGTGGACTATAAACAAACGACCGTCAGCAACGAGGAGAGTGGAGAAGAGAAGGTGGTGGCGGACCTTACGAGCGGTTTGCTTGGTGCGGGCCATTTGGTGTTTGTCTTGTGGTGGATGTGGTGGTTGGTGGAAGAGTTGAGTGGTTGGGCGATCAAAAACGAAACCTGCCTTTTTATAGCCCTGAATGGTCACATCAACAACCCAACAAACGCGTCCGCGTCGCGTCACGCTCGTGTCACAGGGAGGTTCGTGACCCCGTTTACGCGACTTTGCTTGGTCCGTGCGCGCACATAACATGCAGACTCTGCCGGATTGAGAGTTTCACACCCGACCTCGAAAGAACAACGACTTTTAGAGCACTAAAAACGAGCAAACAGCCGAAAAATTTGCATTCAAGTTCATTGACACTTTAACTCTTCTAAAGTTCTTTTGGTTGATTTCTGTTTTCATCCCCACCTTTCCCATATGCTTTTTGTTTTCCTCGTTTGAGAATTAGCACGTTGTTTGGAAAAGCCGGCGTCCGATCTATGCAAGAAGTCAGTGCTGGAGGCTCGAATTCTGTCAATCCCATCTCAAGAGGTCAACTTCAAGTTGATTCCTTGAAGATCTCCACCGCCATTGACATTCTAACGAGGCATCGGCGCCGCATCGCAGAGCTTGAAGTGTAGAGCTTAGACATGCAGATTCAGATTGTTACGAGCGGCGGTTTCGACGAAAAAGTGGGCCATTGGGGTGTTGGCTGGAACGAAAGCAAACAGTCACACTGTGAAAAATTAAATTTTATTCTGACTGTTTGATTTGTGGGTTCCCATATTGGATTCCTCGGGAGCTAGGCAATGGATGGACGCGGTGTGCGACGAAGACCAGCGCTCAGCGGCTATGATGCTGGCTGGAGGGGAAACCAACAAAAAACGCGTGGATGTTCGCGGCGCCAACAGCCACGTGAGGGCGAAACGGAGATGTCATCAGCTCCAGAACTTGCTAAAAATGCCCAGGATGGGCAGTCATGGCCATCCTCGATAGTCTGCTAAAGGCAGCGATTTAGAGTCACTGCGCTTGTCGCGACCTCAAGCCGACGGATGGCACGTGAGTAAGCATTTTCTTCTCTCCCCTGTCGTACGATATGGCCAGCTTTCCCGTCATCGTGGTTACCGGTGCGAATGCGTATGTTCTCGTGGTGCATATGCTATGAATGTGCTTAAATGCCCCTTAGTGGTGTCGGGTTTGGGGTTTGCCAACGACTTCTCTACCAGCTTTGCAGTTCCAATCCACCCGACTCTTGGCCCCAACCTTGGGCCACCAGGGCCAACGCTCTGGCACTTGAGCCGCCCACGGGAAACGGCCTCGTCCTTATTCTGGCTTGCCGAAGCGTGAAGCGGGCGGAGGAAGCGAGAGATGAGCTTTACCATTCACTCGATGCCCATATAAAAAAACTGCGAAAACATCCCGAATATGACGGCTATGCCGACGAATTCAGGCACAACCTGACGATAGAAGTCGAATATCTCGATTTGGCCAGGCTAGACACTGTTTTCGACTTTTCTTCCCGGGTTTCTCAAAGGTTTGCACTTTCCGGTCTTTCTTTGTCAATGCAGTTTCTTGACTGTCTATAGACATCCATATGTGTCGCATCTCATTTGTAACGCCGGATATGCGCCATTCTCTCATATAATCTGGCCGGCCGCGATCCGCCAACTCTGCACCAACTTTCTCGAGACTGTCACTAAACCCGTATTCTATGCTCAAACGTTTGGCGAACTCACCAGCGACGGTCTGGGCCATACCTTCCAATGTAACTTCTTCGGGCATTATGTTTTGGTGCGTCCTTCCTGGATACAACTTCCTGTTGTAAATCCTCCACAGTTCAGGACATTAGAGCCACTTTTGAAGAATACTGCCTACTCTGCGGACTCGCGCGTGATTTGGTGCTCCTCTTTAGAAGCTTCCCCAAAGTTTTACGACCAAGCGGACTGGCAGCACATCAAGAACCATCACCCATACGAGAGCACCAAGTACCAGATCGACCTGACGGGGACTATCTTGGATTTGCAGTCATTGCAGAATAAAATAGTCCTCAAACGCGTTCGACATTTTGTCTCTCAACCGGGCGTTGCCCATACCAAGATTTCCACAAATCTTGTAGCCTATGGCGGCTTCATCGATGGGTTGAAGCTCGTCCTCTTTTATCTGGTGTGTGCTCAGTAGTATATACTCATTTGCGTTCAACTCCTTGACAGGCACGTCTCTTCAATACGCGTCACCACTCCATTGCCCCAATCAATGCTGCTATTGCGACAGTCCACCTGTCCCTCGTCGCACTCTCCTTCATCACGTTCTCGCAACAAAAACCTAATGAGAAACCTGAGTTCGAGCCTGTTCGCTTTGGTGCAGAGACAACTCGGTTGGGAGAGGCTCAAGTTGGGCTGACGCCTGTGTTGGGCTGGGAGCAAAATCAAAAACTTGCGGAGTCGTTAGTCTCCCAGTGTGACGAGCTCTACGGTCATTTCTTGCGAAAGAGGACTCCACTGTCATAGCTTTTCTGTTTTATTTGCAGTACTTACTTATACTTATCCACGCCATTGCATCTCCAGAATCGGAGCTGGATCTTGACCGAGAATCAATGACATAGCTATGTAAATCAGACCGAAAGCTGTATGCTTGATTATTCCGTACCTCACGCTCGACGTCCATTTTCGCAGAGCGTCTCTACATCTATGGAGGCCATACTTGGACGGGTTGTAGCACTACTGCGACGCCTGTTTCAGACAAAATTTCTCCGCGGCATCTTTTCCCTCTTCTCCTTTCTGTCACGAGCAACGAAAAGGCGACCAACAAACCAGCATGACCACCACCCCACAACTACGACCTCAGACGCCATTATATACCACCGAAGGCCCGAATACCCTTCCCCACCGAACTACATAGCTGCAAGCCACCTCCCCACAACTCTCCATCCATATCTGCATCCCGGACCCAATGCTTCCCGTTCATCGCAAGACATTTCAACGGTTCCCATTAACCAGGACTCTTATTCCCTGCACTCTTTGTCGGCTTCGGTCCACAATCTCGCTGGAACCGTGACATTGAACGTTCAGGACGCCACAACTTCACGGCCAGCAAGCTACTTGGCGCCGTCACCTGTTGGGAGCGCACGGTCCAGCCTCGACGTTCAGATTCAGGTCGAAACAGAGTCGCCCGCACAGTCGCGAAACCCGTCTTTCGTGCATTTGGAAACGGGCGATGCGGTGGAGCCCGTTGCGGAGTGGCTGAACCAGGCGTACCCGCGAATTTTCCCTGGGACACCGGAGAGCTTCAGTCGATACTCTAGGCGGAGATATGTGTGAGTTATGTTTGCTTTCGTCGGGGACTGTTAGATTCTCACTTGTGGACAGTGGCAACGAAGAAACTAATTTTAATATCCCACCACTAACGGTTGGCGGCAAGGCGTCAGTCAACGAGCTCGGGATTCTCATCAGTCGCTCATCCGTTTCATTTAGGAACAATCCCTCCGAAGAGTGGCAGACTTGCTCGCATCCCGAAGGCGCTCCGTATTTCCATCACTCTAAAAACGTAGGCTCCGACTTAAACGATGTTCTCCTCCCCCCCATGCTTTCCCAGCGTGTCTTCACTGATGCAGACCTCTTTGACCCAGAGGCTCTCGAATGGATCAACCGTCAGATGAAAACTATCCTCGACTTCCTTCGTGCACGCAATATCACGCCCGAAGAGCATGTGGACCTCGTTCTCGATGAATATTTCTATTCAGACGACAGTAGAGGCTGTCAATACTATTTCGTCAATCACAGCTCTCGGTGCATTTTCTGGATGGATTCGGTGAATTCGGAACTGTTTGAAGGTAGCATATGAACCTCCTTTCCGAAAGGTACTTAATAACGGGATAATAGTGGCGAAGGAAGTCAACGGCATTAGCTCTGCATCGCATATCCGTATGTTGTAACGCCGCGTCTTTCTTGAGGCTCACATCTGCACTAGGGCATATTCTTGAAGCCCAATATTGGTTTGTTTACTTCCAGATGCTTTTGTTTGTTGAACTCCAATATCGGCAGGTACCACTGCGACTTGTTCCCACTGTCTCTGAACGTGACCCCTGCAATTGTCGATGAACTTCGTGATATTGTGCTACACTCAATCGGAGACCTCATCACCTCTTCTACGTCCACTGTGAGCTGGAAGATTGATCAACTAAATGACATGAGCCGTTTAGTTGACGGCTTGACCAGTGAGCACTGTCTTTTTTTTTCTGAGGTAGCTTGACCGATTGTGTTAGAAAATGTTGGGAAAAGTCACGGCAAAAAGTTGAGCGGAACTAGCTGTCTGGTCGGTGAGTGCTGGCAAAGATTGAATGTTAATCATGTTCCAATCCCATTACTTAGGTCGACTAATGCAGGAGTTCGGTAGGTCTCCTTCTCATGAGCTTGCATCGTCTTACGCTTATCAGTGCGTGCGCGTGTCTACAACTTCCATGGCGAACCTGGCGCGAGGTTGAATGTGGACCAATCTGTCTATGACGTCGCCCGACGACGGACGCTCCTCATCAAACTTCTCAGCCCGCTTCTATTCTATGCACCCGACTTCCACCTCGACGGTCTGCATACCATCTTTACTGATGGGCTCGTGCGCCATCGTGGATGGTCTGAATTTGTGAGCCGCTTAACGGGTGAATGGCAGGAATTCACGCTTTATGTATGCGCCATCTGACATTCGCTGAGTGTGTCTGCTTATATTTCTTTTGTAGGCAACCGTGGTTTTGAATGCGAATGTTGCATTTTTGTCCATCCAGAGTGTTGATACAGATGGGCAGTCAACGCCCCATAGGACGCCCACCCAAATTGCGAGCTACATGTCCATGCTGACCAGCATTGGCGCCATCATCGTTGGGTTGCTTTTGCTCAAGCAGAACCGCAATCGGGATCGCGTACCGGCACCCGAAGCAGTAGGCCAACTCTCATTTCTTCGAAATTGTATTCACCCCGTTGTAATAGGCCTCTTATATGTCCAATCGAACGCATCCTACGCTTGGGCTCGAGACACTGGCCATTCTTTATTCTTTACCTTATGCAATGCTCATCTGGTCGTGAGTTGATTGGATTTTTTGCCCCATTCCAAACTTACGGTCTGAAAGGATGGTTTCATTCCTCGCGGCCTTCTCCTTCCTATGCTTCCTGCATGCTGATCTGAAGACACGAGCCCTTTCAGCGGTCATATGGGGCGCAGTTGCTGCTCTAATTCTTTGGTGTGCTGTAAACGGCTGGGAGAAAGGCATGGGTGACTGGGAGTGGCCATTTCTCTCTCGACTATTTGGCACGAAAGACGAGGAACCTGAAGCGGAGGAAGATGATGACGACGAAAAGAGCACTGATGAAGTAAAGAAGGAGACCGCATCCGTCGCGTCTCGATCTAAGTCAAGAACATGGCGATGGCGATGGCCATCTATTTCAATACCGGGTCGGAAAAGCTCTCTCGATTCAGACGAGACTGCGGTATGATAAACGCTCACTTTTGGTGTATTTCTAGCCACCCGCCAACTGTATCGATAGCACAATGTTCTACTTACTTATTTGTTGTAAGCTGCTCTTGCACTAGAATAATGTAACTTGGCTGTCCTCGCGCCGAACAGAAGCAAAGAAGCAAGCCGTCTGAGATTAGATAGCGCCTGATTTGGACGAGCTGTACTGCAGGCGAAAGTCCTCTTAGTCGCTCATCGTTTCGGGTCTGCCACACCATGGAGGCGATACTGGGGCGTGTATTGCCTCTCCTACGACGCTTGTTGAAAACAAAATTCCTGAGCGGTATCATTTCTCTGTTGAGCCTCTTGTCCCGAACCATCATCACCATCCGCTATGGCCCAAAGCAAGACCATCTGCCCACAACGACGGCCTCAGAGAGCCACGAAGTCGCTGAGAAACCCTCTCTCTCCACCGAAATAGCGGCAAGCTACCTCCCGTCGTCAGCAGCCGCACTTGGTCCGTATTTGCATGCAGGACCCAGCTCCTCACGGGACGTTTCGACGACAACCACGGCAATCAACCAGGACTCGTACTCCCTGCGCTCGTTATCGGTGCATACCAGCCCGGAAATCACGATCACCATTGAGGATGGCGCAACTTCGCGACCACCGAGCTCTTCGTCGCGCTATTCGGATGCTAGCGCCCATTCCACTGCTTCAGACTCGCATACTCGGGCAAGCATAGACGTGGCGCCTCAGTTGCTGGCCGCAGGGGATACCGCTGGGCCGGTGTCGAAGTGGCTGAACAACAAACGGATTGCTCCAGCAGCGCCCGACAAGTTCAGCCGATACTCGCGCCAGAAACATGTGTCGGTCTATAGCATTCACCTAATCACTTGGTGCTTATTTTCGTTCAGCTCAAACAACAGGACTTATTTCAGAGTTGAACCTTTGACTATTGACGGAAGATCGTGCGTAAATGAGTCTGCCAAAAAAGAACCGCGTTTGCTCATTCCATGCCCAGGAAAAACCCTTCACAAGACTGGCAGCTCTGTCTGCATCCAGAAGGCACCCCGTACTTCTTCCACGCCAATAATGTGAGCTCGTCTGAATTTTCAGTTTCATGTGACCAACAAGGCACAGCGCACATTCACAGATGCGAATCTCTTCGACCAATCTGTCCTTGCGTTCATAAACAAACAAATGAGCGACATATTCGACTTTCTTCGTGCTCAGAGCGTGCTCTTGGATGATGGTACCGACCTCGTTCTGGACGAGGAGATTTACGACGACGGAACCAGCGGCTGTCAGTACTACTTCGTTAACCATGAAGCGCGCTGCATTTTCTGGGTCGATCCTGTGGACTCGGAGCTATTTGAGGGTGGGACTTAACCTTGCCAGTGAGAGAGAATGCTGACACAGTCCCCAGAGTCGGAGCTGCTACCAAATGGCATACAATCGCAATCCCACATTCGTATGTGGACGAATTATTCTGTTTTCTGTGCGACTTATGGTATTAAGGATATGTGCTGGAGGAGCAATACTGGTGCGCCATTGCTTGAGTTCCGTGAGGTCATTCTTACCAGGCTAGGTATCACTGCGCGCTCTTTCCGCACTCATTAGATCCGACACACGCAATTGTGGACGAGCTAAGGGTGCTGGTGCTGCACTCCATCACGGACCTGATCACTTCTGCAACATCGACGGTCAACAGGAAGATGGACGAACTCAACCAGATGATCAAGGTTATCAATAGTCTGGCGAGTGAGTTTCAACTGGCCATAGAATTCGGTCTTTACTCAAAGTCTTTAGAAAACGTTGGGAAAGGTGAAGAGGATCATGCTGGCATCAGCTTCATCATTGGTATGTATTATATTGGATTTCCGCTGTCTAGCTCAATCAAAATTTTCAAGGACGGTTGATGCTCGATTTTGGTCGGTTACACAGCTGTGTCAACCCTCATGCTGTACTCACGCACTCACAGCTCACGCCCGGGTTTGCAATTTTTATGGGGAGCCAGAGGCCCGACTAAACGTGGACGATTCCGTCTACGATATCCAGTCTCATCGAACACTCCTCATCAAAATTCTCACTCCGATACTTTTCTACGCACCAGACTTTCATCTGGAAGGGTTGCGCAAAATTTATACCGACGGGGTTGTCCGGCATCGCGGGTGGTCCGAATTCGTCACGCGTCTCACTAGCGAATGGCAGGAATTCATTCTCTACGTATGTGTGCCACATCCTTTGCTCTTAGTTTCGGGTCCAACGAACAGATTATCTAGGCTACGGTCGTGCTCAACGCCAATGTGGCCTTTTTATCTATCCAGAGTGTGGACACAAACGACCAAGTCACTTTGCACCGCTCCCCTACCCAGATTTCTAGTTACATGTCCATGTTGACCAGCATTGGGGCGATTATCATCGGCCTTCTGTTGCTGAAACAAAATCGGAATCGTGATCGCGGAACCGCACCTGACGCTGTAAGCCAGCCTGCTTTGTTGAATATAACTACTAACAACCTGTAGTCGTTCTATATGTTCAACCAAACACATCCTACTCTCGGTCTTGAAATTCTCGCCATCCTCCACTCATTGCCGTACGCATTGCTCATTTGGTCGTAAGTCCAGCTGTAACCCGTCTTTAAAAAAGTTGCTTCAACCCACAGAATGGTATCGTTCCTGGCGGCGTTCTCATTCATGTGCTTCGACGCTTCCGACCTCAAAACGCGGAGCCTGGTCGCGGTGCTGTTCGCAGCCATTGCTTCCCTTATCCTGTGGTGCATCTTCAACGATTGGCAGACGAGTGTTATAGACTGGGAATGGTTGTTTGTGCTGCTTCAGAGGAGGGTCGATGAGGGCATAGCGAGTGCCGCAGAGGCCGCGGCGCGTCCGTCTTGTGTGAAGAGGTGGCGGGAGCGCTGGTTCTGGGAACGTTCCAAGATGGGGAACCAGTCCACAGTGTAGTGTCTTTGGGTATGACGTTGAATTTGTACTGTAACCGGAATGTGGCTGTTACATGAATCTACTACTTAGTTTGCATCTGCGCTATAACCCTGAGTCACGTGCACACATTTACCCTCACCCACAATGTGGCCTACAAGCGACTTACTTACTCCCTAGAGCACGGACGCTAGCTCGGCACACAATAGCAACCAACACTTGACTTCCTCGCTGTTGATTTGTGGGCCACCATCAAACTTCAAGTTGGATGTGCTCCACGAGTAAGTACTTGGAATGAATATACTCGCCCATCTGCAGGACACAATAGATTCGCTCTTCTCGAGAACGAGATCTTTGCGAGGGGAATTCAAAGAGATTTACTCTTCTGCCACGCACCGCCCTTGCGGCTCTGGTTGTTGCTCAACGCGGGAGGATCTAAAATCCCACGTTGACGGTTACCTGTAATTCAACCACTTCTTTGGCGCTTCCTGCAACTACAACTTGGTGTCGCAGACCGGGCAGCCTCGGTCATCAGATGGGCCGCTTTTTTGTATGTTGATGCGAGAGCAACAATCGGCAGCATCCGGAAGACGCAATCTACTTCTCTTAGTCTTTCTCAGAGATGGGGGCACATGGTGGTGTAGTGTTGGCGCCAAAGACTGCGAAAAGTATAAATGGGACGCATAATACTGTCAACTAACCATTCCTCTTCGCTTCCAAGACCGGCTCTTGTGGTTTGTTCGCTCATAATGACCAGTTGATGCTTCATGTTCATCGCCGTTTGCCTAGGTTTTTTTTTCTCTTTCATTATGCCCTTCAAGACTGTCCTTTTCGGCTTCCTCGTCTCTTCTGCGCTCGCGCTTCCAATCCGACGCGAAGTGCCCCAGGAGCACTCCCACCAGCAGATCCTGACGTCTGTCACCGCAAGCCTCGCGAAAAACAACCCCAACGGCATTGTGGACCCCGTCTTTGGGCTGCTGGGGAACGCCGCTGCTGCAAAAGGGCTGGGCAAGCTGACGGACCCCGACTGCCTGCAGCAAGCGACGGCCGACCAGGCGTTCACCAATGCCAAAGCGGCGGGCGACGTCCAGGGCCAGGTTGATGCGCTCATCTTCCGTGCTTTGGAGCGCAACTCGGGCTCTGTCGGCGCGCCGTCCAACGCGTGCAAGAGTCTCAAAGCTGTTAACCCCGAGATCGCCGCCATCAGCCAGCACCAGGACCCCGCCTCGCCGAATGCGGCCGCCACCAACAAGGCCATCGCGCTTGCGCTTGCCAAGCAGATTGCCGCGGTGGGCGGCAACCCGCTTGATGCGCTCAAGTCCGGCACGTTCGCGCCGGGGAAAGCCGGCGACTCTACCGGTAAAGGCAACACCTGCGACGATGCGAACGACGCGGTGGGATGCATTTTCACCCAGAAGCTCATTGTAAACGGTCAATAATAATAATGCTGCTGATGCCTTGAATTTCGTGCTTATATGATGGGGACAGATGCAACACCTGACGAAATCAAAGCTGCTGTGGCCGGCGTTGCGGTTGCCGCTCCGCCTCCACCTCCGGCCCCGCCCGCTGCCGCCGCTCCAGCGCAGGCCCAGGGCCCCCCTCCGGCCCCACCCGCCAGCGCAATCGGCAGTTTTGGTACATTTTCCTAAATTATGATAAAATTCGCTTGGCTAATCGATTTGGCAGGCAAGTGCAGTGTGCCGCAGATCGAATTTGCCGCGGGCCTCGACGGGCGGAAGGAAACATCGTTCCAGCCTGTAGATAAGAGCTCGTACAACCACGGCTCCGCGCAGGCCATCGGGATCATCACGCAGTTCATCTGCGACACGCTGACAAATAGCTGTGGGGCAGACGCCAAGGCCAAGGCCACCTGTGCTGCCGCCCAGGCCGCCGCAAATGCAGCCCCGCCCAAGACCGGGGCTGATGCAGACGCGTTCAACAGCGTCTTTGGGATCCAGACGGCAAGTCGTTGTTTTCTCTAGTATTAGTTTCTCACTGCTGGTCCAGAACTTCCGCAGTGTTCAGGCTGTGGATGACCAGGGGAGGGTCATTGCTGGATCTGCGAATTAGATTGAGGCGGCTGTAGTATTTATTTCTGTGTCAAAATGGCCCTCCCAGTCAACATCCTGCGCACAACGCTACGATTTAGATGAATTGAGGCGAGAAGATATAATAGACACACATGAAAGATGAAAGACATTTAATCTGGACCTGTGGAGAACTTATCGTTGACTGAATCTCGAAAGTTGAAGAAGTTGGAACACGTCACATCAAAATCACCCTCACCCCTTCCTCATGCCGCCATTACCCTCCACTCTCCCAGATTCTGCCTCTTCTTTAATCGCCTCTGCTCAACGGAGAATACATGACATCTCTTCCCATCAACTACCCAGATTGCGGGCATGCAGTGGGCCTCGGTCCACCCTTGACGCGCTGGACGAAGAGCTACGTGGGGATTTCAATACCGTGAAGGGCATAGTGGAGGAACTCGACGGCCTCGTTGGTGATCTGACGCGAAAGCGGGACCAGGAGGAGCTGGAGGGTGTGGTGGCTGAGTTGAATGATACTCTGCTTCGGTGCGTTAAGCAACCTGTGTTGTTGCGGATTTTTCAACAGAGGATGATAGACTGCGGCGTGAGGCTCGTGACGCACTGCTGGCAGCGAAGCGTGCTATGGATAGCTTAGACGAAAAGGCCCGGCGGAACGAATTGCTTGGTGAAAAACGCGTCGTCGATGAGAACGAGAAGAATGGAGATGCAGTTATGGCGGCGCAGGACAAAGTCACTGGCGCAATGCAGAGGACTATGGACTTGTTGCAGGCAGAGCTGGAGCGCTCAGTTCTCTCATCTCAAATGCTTTGTGGGTCGGATTCACCAGCTTCACTGCAAGCTAATTCTTTTGTGCAGCAAGTTCAACTGCAACACTCAAATCTACATCTTCGACGCATGACACTCTCACATCCGTCATGGATACCTCCAAGCAACTCATAACTGCCCTCGAGAAGGCTGACTGGCTCGATCGAATCCTGATATTTGCTGCACTGTCTTTTTTCCTGCTTGTCGTGCTGTTCATCCTGAAGCAGCGGATCTTTGACCGGAGTATGCGGCTAGCGTTTTGGTGGACGCGCTTTTTACCAGACTTCCGCGGGGACGAGGCATTGCTGAGGGCTGAGAAGGGGGTCGCGGAGACGATTGTCGCATCATCAAGTATAGCGGCATTGGTCAGCTCGACGTCAATAACGCAGTCATCGGCGCTTTCTGAGCCGACGAGCAGCCTCAGTGAACCCCAAGCTGCAACCATTTCCGAAACTCTGTCTTCAATTATTTCAGACCCTTCAAGCACAACAACGGCCTCTGACTCTGAACACGACGAGCTGTGATTCGTCCGTCCATATCTGGAGTATGGGTATTTGAAACTAAGAAATCGCCTACGGTAGTATCTCAAAGGCAATTACCAGAGATGTGTTATACTCATCTCTTTTGACCTTGCAAGGGATTGCTCTAGTTAATGGTTCCCTATTTTGGAGCATTAATATCAAAGGACACTAGAGAGATGACAACCATAGCGTAGGTACAATCCTGACGGTGGTCTTGGTTTGTTTGTTTGTTTGTAATACGGTAATACTGCCTCATCCGAGAGCTACCGAACCTGATACCTGACTGTGGGTGACCTGCTCCCCGTCTACAATGTTCGGCGCAATAGTGCACACAAGCGGTGTCTTGGAGGGAGAAATACGATTACATACTTGTGCTTATAGCATCGAGGGCATCGAAAGTTCTGCTTACGTCGAATGTGGCTCGCTCCACGAGCCGGTTATCTCGGACTTGAGTAGATACCAAACTGTGACGTAGTGACAATGAGGCTTGGATGCCACCAACGCTCTTGCAGCGGGTCCTCAACCAGCCTTCACAGAAATATAGCCCTCCTTCACCTCGGAACTACTATTCGGCGAAACCGGGGCTGTTAGCTCTCGCGGCAGTCATCGATGATGCCCCAAGACATATTTTGCCTCCACCCACATGCGAAGAGGTACGTCATTGGACCGGTTCATATCAACCCACCAAGCCCACTTTGAAGCAGAACCAAGAGGACGACACCGAGGTCTTTTACACGCCACGCTCCTCTGTTGTCTTTGACGACAACGGCGCCGACGATATGTCAATGACGATAACAACCACCCCCACTCGCGCGCTGTACACCGATGAGGACTGGACAAAAGAGCTCCAATTCCTCGTCAACAAGCCGAAACGCATTGTGCCAATACCGCTTGTGCCCACGCGAAAGTCGAGGACGCCGACCCCCAGCATCATGATGAGCATGACTGCGTTAATGGAAGAAGACGAGCTTGAGCAGCCCCCAAAAGTGTTCTCAACTCCGTCAAGCAGCGTTTTGCTGGATAGCAGCACGCCTCCGCTGACCCATTCGCGCTCTTCCACGCCTTCCCATCGTCGAACACGCTCAACAACTTCGTCCTCGTCTGTCTACTACACTCCCCCATCTTTACCGTCTGGCCCGCCAGAGCTCCCGTCTTATGGCACCCCAGCGTACACCTCTCTCGTTGTTCCTCCAGCCCCGCTCCCCTCACAGCCATTAACGCGGTCAACTTCCATCTCTCAACGCATCAAAGCGTCGTTTCGACGCGATACCGCCGACCTTTCACGATCCCGACTGGCTCAAGGGACTATGGCTTCTATTGAGGTTGTCGCTGGCCTTGCATCAGCGAAAGCCAAGAGTCTCGAGCAACCGCCAAGGCTGGGATTCACGCATTACCGGACTCCACCGGGCGTGTCACAGTCTGGCATACTCGTCCAAGTATGGGCGGTGGGCCTCGATGCCGTGGACATCCGGCTTCTGGGAAACACATCAACAGCGCCCAGGTCTGTAGCGCTACTACCCCGCCCGAGGACCCAGAGCATTGGCCGATTTGTCGGGAGGTCAATCAATTTATCCCGGCGGACGTTGTCCGAAACGGGCTCGGTTTTCGAGAAGGATGCAAAAGAGGGTTTGCAGGCCGTTGCCCAGGTCGGCTTCATCCCCGGTCGCAGTTTCGTTGGGCGGGTGATGGAATGTGGCTGGGAGGTCAGGGATGAAATTGCGAGAAGGGGGGAATGGGTGATTGGTTCGCTCGATGTTCGCAAGGTAGTAAGCTTTATTTCCAGCTTACGTAATTAACAAGATACAGAGCGGAGCGCTTGCGGAATATATCGTTGTCGACCGGCATCGACTTCATCGGGTACCACAACCTGGCAGCATCACACCGCCGTCCTCTTCACGCTCTTCTCACGACGGCCAAGACTCGCTTTATCCGTCCCGTCCCTCATCAGTTGCGTTTGCGCTGGGAGAATCTCCACCGCCGTCAAGGCCTTCTTCGCGACAACATCGCAAAACAAGAAGTGCGCCTGCACCATCTGCACAACCACCTCCTGGCCCGACACTTGAAGAACTAGCACTGCTCCCGTTAGGACTCGCTGCATACCGCGCAATAAGGACCCTAATCGGTCTGGAAGGCGCTGCCTACTTAGCTCGCGCGGAAACAGTCCGTCCTGATGGAGAACTGGAGGTACAAGAGCACAGCCCGAATTCTAGGAGCCGACACAAACTCCGCGCATTGGTTATCAACGGCCATGCTGGCACTGGGGCTCTCGCGGCACGGCTGCTGGTCGCCCGAGGGTGGCGGGTGTGCATTCATGCGCCGGGGACGCTTGCGGAGTTTGACGTCGATGACGAGGAGCGCGACCGGGAGCACATGACCGCGATCCAGACACGTGCGCGCGGGTGGGGTGTTGAGGAGGTCGTGTTTGACGACGGCGGGGCCATTGGGGATGAGCCGTGTGACTCAAGCTGGGGCCGGGCTGCGACGGTGCGGGCTGTGGACCGGCTGATCGAGGACGGTGACGAGTTTGATGCGGTTGTGGACACGCTTGGCGGGCAGTCGATATGGGAGGCCGGGGAGCGGCTGCTGAAGAGGGGTGATGGGAGGAGGAAAATGTTCGCGACGACGGTGGGAGATGTGCCGGGCCGGCCGATCCCGACTGCCAAGGACAACTTCCGTGCTGGATTGCGGTCGATGCGCGGAGAAGGCAAGAGTCCGAAAAAGAAAAACAAGAGGGAGTGTGTGGTGGGATACGCCTGGGCCAACGCGGCGCAGGATGTTGACTGGGAGGGCGGAGACATCCGCGATGGGCTGGCTGCGCTCGTTCAGCTGGCTATGGAAGCAGATTCAATCCGCCCCCATGTTGAGGACCCGCTGCCGCTCCCTTTTGAGCGGGCAGTGGAAGTGTTTGACGGGCATGTAGGTGTGCGAAGGGGAGGGAGTGTTGTTGTCAAGATTGCGGGCTGAGGACTTGGATAAGTTATGCATTGAATATATACACGGACAATTGTACGAGTAGTCATCATATAGACTTAATATAGCGGAAGAGCAATTGCAACACACGGAATCCGGATTAAAGACCTTACAGCCTGAGTAAGTACTTGGTAGCCCATACTTATCAGTTTCTTTGACACATAAATACTATAGCCGCCTCAGTCCTCAATCTAATTCGCAGACCCAGCGATGGCCCTCCCCTGGTCATCCACAGCCGGAATACTGCGGTCGGAAGTTCTGGATTCAGACCAACTGTGAGAAACCAATACTAGAGAAAACAACGACCTGCCGTCTGGATCCCAAAGACGCTGTTGAACGCGTCTGCATCAGCCCCGTCTTGGGTGGGCGGCCTGCGCGGCAGCACAGGTGGCCTTGGCTTGGGCGTAGCTGTTTAAATTTGGTCAGCGACTCAGCGTGTCGCGGGAGGAAGAACAAACCGACCAGCACCATCCTTCCTAGAGTTGGTACCCAAAAATACTGAAAAGAAACCGCGTTCCAGCCCGCCGACAAGAGTTCGTACAGCCACGGCTCCGCGCAGGCCATCGAACTTTCCGTGTTATAAGGGGCGCATCAGCGCTGATCCCATCAGCTGACTAAGGTGTGGGATTCCCACGCTCTCTCTTACTCAACACTTATGCCGAATCTGCATATAGACGCCCCGATGACACCTCGCTCTCCCACACAGCTCACTCACTTCTATCATGATTGTGGACCTGGAAGACAGCAGATAGCCGCCTAAGGCCCTTCCTAATACCACACGGCTGCTCCAAGCTACACACTGCGACGAGCTCCATGGCTCCTCTTCGTCTTTCGGGCCCACGCGTAATCGGCGTCCTGAAACTGGCTGCCTTCATATTACCGGCAGTAACCGGCTCGGCGATTGACAGGCTCAAATTATCCGCGAATCAGAACAACGAGCTCGCACTCGCACTCTCCGAGCGGCAAAATGGTGGCGTTCCAGACGTTCCGCCCCAATGCGCCACTGTTTGTAACCCAATCAACCTGATTCTCGAGACCGGCGTAGGTACTTCGAGCGTGAATGCGTTGAGGAACTGAAAGATGCGTTGATTCCAGACCTGTCCCCCGACAACATGCTGCTCTCCACTCTTCGAAAGCGGGTACTTCAGCTGTTTGCTTTGCGTTGGCAAGGCAGATAATGCGACCAGTTCCGATTTTGCACAGGCGCAAAGCCTGGTTGATAGTGCGTCACTCGATACTTAGTAGAGATGGAAAGTAACTTTGCTTTCCAGACCTCGTCGTCGCTTGCTCCCGCCTCGGTTTTCCTCTGCCCGATCTGACGCTTCCGGGCCAAAACTCAAGTCGCATCATACCGACTGCCTCGATCGGATCGTCAACCAATTCCAAGTCACAGTTGACGGTGTCAGTCCTCCCAAGCACAATCGCCAGCACAACACGCTCACAAGTGACCATCTCGAATATCCCATCCAGTGTTGGGCTACCGTCAGCGCAGAGTCCGACTCTACCCACCACAACACCAAATGCAGCGGTCAAGAAAGATGTTGGGTGGTTGCTTGTGTTAACATTGTTCACTTATTTCATTTGAATACACGATATCTACAGTGGCTGGATGTTCGGAATGGGGCCATAAGGCACGATGCGAGTGCCATTGATCTAACGCAATAAGCTATATGTCAAGAAACATTTCTGAGACTCACCTGGGGATGCGACCAATAATAGTGGGTCTTGATGTGGTCAAAGTCCGTCGAATCCTTGAACGCAGAGTTCTTCCAGTACAAAGCTTTCATCCATCTGTTCTTGTTTTAGCAAAGAATTTAAAGGGGGACGATAAAACTACCTGTTAATCTCTGGGTAGCCGTCCCGAATAGTGGTGAAGTTGCACTTGAAATGGCCAACGTAGACAGGGTCGAAGCGGATCTAACAAACGCATGAGATGGCACAACAACGCCGAGGAAAACGTACAATTGTGACCCATAGACGCACGTCAGCCTCGCTGAGCTGCCCGCCGACGAGGTAATCTTTCCCAGTAAGCAACTTCTCCGCTTTATCGAGAGCTCCGAAGACAATTTTCACGGCTGTCTCATACGCCTCTTGAGTAGTGGCGAAGCCAGCACGATATACGCCATCTGAATCGAAAATGATGACATTTCCCCTCAGGGTAGGCAAAACGCACTGTTTATCTCTGGGTAGACCCACTCGTTCACCGCGTCGATTTCAGCCTTATTCGCCTCTGGGTACAAGTCAATTTTGGCTTTGTCTTCCGGCAACAGCTCGTTGAACGCGGTGTTGAACATGCGAATTATCTCGGACGACTCGTTATTCACGATCGTGTTGTGGACGGTGTCCCAGATGAGTGGCACGGTGAAGCGACGCTCGTAGTTGGGGTCGGCGCGGAGATAAAGGTCTCGGACATGGGCGGATTTGAAGAGTGGGTCAGCATCAGCGCCAGGGTACGCGTCGGCAGTTGCAAAAGGCCAGCCATCGTTGCCCATGCGAGGACTGACAACAGTAACAGCTGCATACACTTAATCGAGTTTTAAAGAGAGCCAATGATAACCCACGAATGAAATCCTCCAAACCCTTGAGCTTACGCACAATCAAAGTCCGGGTCGCCCAGGCTGAAGATCGGATTAGATAAATCAGAGCAGTATGTCCCAAATGAACCTACGGCATGCGTATGATACATAGAGGTGGTATCGACCTGCGACAAAGTCAGTTGGAATTGCCCGGTGAAGCCGAAGGTACCTTTCTCTGGTGCAAATTTGCCTCCTGGCTCGATGAAATCGCGGAATACTGATGCGAGACGATTGAAGGTCCCGTCTTTCTCACTCTTCATCTTGGAAATGTCGCTCTGGTGAGAAGTGTCGCGAGACATGGTGGAAAAACGGAAGGAGGACCGAAATTGATGACGACAGGGACGAGCAATATATAAGCAAGTCGATGAAATGGGCCAAGCACGTGTGCATCTGGTCTGAGTTTGGTCAGCATGCACTCACAAAGACCAAGAGAAGCCTGAACAAGGGGAAAAAGCATTCTAGGTGGTGGTTGGGGTTCAAGTGAGTCGCGTACGTAAATAAACTCAAGGAATGACCGCGTTGCTGGTTGAACTCTGACTTCGATCATGGATGTTCAACACAATACGTTCATGGCCCAGGCCCTCGTAATGGCCGAAGAGGCTTTTGGTGCTGGCGAAGTACCTGTTGGGTGTATTTTCGTCCGTGAAGGTCGAGTTATTGCACGTGCGCGAAACCGGACAAACGAGCTGCGAAATGTTGGTTGTTAGCCATTCTCCATCCCCTTTGCTGACCTGTGGAACCAGGCTACCCGTCACGCTGAGCTCGAAGCTATCGACGAGATCCTTGCCAACCCGGAGCTTACTCCAACGAAAGACATGCACCCACTTTCGACGACAACGCTCTATGTCACTGTCGAGCCATGTATTATGTGTGCTTCCGCTTTGCGCCAGATGGGCATCCAGCAAGTCTTCTATGGCTGTGCAAACGACCGATTTGGCGGCTGCGACGGCGTGCTGAGCGTCAATGCCAGGTTTATTTGTTGATTCCTTTCCCTCCAGCTGATTACTGATGCTGTTTGCTTTTACAGCGTCCCGCACCCAGTCCATCCATCTTATCCAGCATTTGGCGGCTACATGCGTGAGGAAGCAATTATGATTCTCCGCAGGTTTTATATTACGGAGAACTCGCATGGTGAGCTTCCTCTCTATTCAACGGACCCAACTTACGACTGCAGCTCCCGTACCCAAGTCAAAGGCAAATCGTGTGTTAAAAACAGAAATATCACCGCCATGAGGAGGACATCCCCGCTATCTGTCTTCTCCTTCGCCAGAACCGATACCCGTTTCTGGTCTTGTTGTACTCGTGCTTCCAACTCCTCCTCGTCATCTGCCCCGATTATCAATTCAGCGCGAAAGTAAGACCTTGTTACACCGCCGACGGACTTGGTCGAGAATTTCACTGCGCATCTCATCACCGTTAGGTGGGGTGTGCCGACAAGCCGACAAGTACTAGTTATCTGCCAAACATATGGCGGCCGATGATCATGTTACTCCCACATGCCGACCATTTGCTTAAACTGGCGGACGATAACCACGTCGTGCTTCGACGATGAGGGGAACTGCTTTCGTAAAGCAGACCCTAGCTTTGGTTGGTCCGTTGAACGTGTCTACGAGAAAAAAAGATAACCTGAGGGCCTGCGCGCGATTCGTTGATCAAGTTCTGAATTCAGTCCTCTGTAAATGTGGAAATACCGCCGCGGGAAATTCGCAATTACCGACGACGAAAGCCCGTCGATTAACTACGTCGGTGGCGCACGGAAGAAGCACTTCCTCAGTCGATCCACCGAGGGGGTCAATCACGCCTAGGACAAGTATCGAAAAACCAAGCATTTGCGAAGTGGCTGGGCGGGCTGAAGAACGCGACAAGTCTGCGAAATGATTCCGTATCGCAACACGGGAGCGGGACGGTGGAGTAGCAACTGTGCTTATGGCCTTCGAAGATGGCGAAGGCTTTTGCTGTACTTGCTTTCGGGAGAAATAGCAGCCCTGGCGTTGTTATTTTCGGGAGGAATTTCGCGCTGGAATTTTCGGGCGATGTCGACTCGCATTCAACTCAGTTGGCGGGTGGCAGCGCTTCGAGGACTCCCAGCGGCCTCACGGCCCTCGAGCTGGATGACATGTTCAATGGGATACAACAGCGGGCACAATGTGGAAAAAAGAGACTAACCATGTTTGGTGGGCACGGAATCACAAGGTGCGGGACCCACGATAAAACAGCGCATCAAACTTCGGGTTCCGGAAGCAAAACAGAACAAGTTGAACAGCCTGGGGAAAACTATAGATCGGGATGGGGGTGAACACACAACTTCGAAATGCCGTCGTTCATGAAATCTCACCATCACGTCGTTGTCGCTGCCGCCGTAACTCTGGAAAAATCTCTAGAATCTTGGGATCCTGGTTGTGATTGACAGGAATCCCAGACAATGTGCAGGAATCCTGGGGTTTTGTTCCTTTTCTTTGTCTTCTCGGTTCTGTTTTCGAAAGATTTGTCCGACGTCTGGCTGGCATCGCCCCGACACGGAAGACGGCGGGCCGGTCAACTTGACCGGGGTTCGAGGCGGCACTTTTAGCAGATCGAGGGTTTTCATTTCTCGGCGAGGACAAGCATTGGCATCCTTCTAGTCGCGAAATATCTAGTGACGGGGAATTATACTGCAATATACGAAGCTAATTAATTCTAGTTTTTTGTTTATCAGTCCAACAAGTCGTTTTCTTGCTCTCTCCTCCGATCTCGTCTTGCTGCGGTTGTCTTCAACAACCAGGTGATGTTCTCGTAGACGACAAAGGTGACACAAGTTCCTGGTAGGACACGGACGAGGTTAGTACCTAGACCGCGATAAAAGCCTCGAAGGCCCTCTCCAGCCCATGTGCGGCGAATCGTCGCAGGAATGTCCGGGTATATATGTGTTGTAGCATTATTCTGCATTGTCTTGTCAGAACATTTTTGACATGATAACTTGTAGCGCACCTGGAGACGAGATCGGACAACCTGGTATGGATACGTCAACGCGAGGGCGGCGATCTTGCTTCCGCCTGACATGAGGGAGTAGGCCGTGTTTGACTCGGGGGTGGTTGACAAAAATGCGGGGATGGTGAGAGAGACACATACCAGTTTGTCCACCTCTGGCGTCCACGCTTTGCCCGCGACGGCGAATTGCTTCTTCTTTATATCAAAGCCCCACCGCTTCATGCGCTCATAGACCATGAACTGAATCGCCCCATTGCTCACTCCAACGAGAGCTAGCGTCGTCCCCCGAAATAAACCAGACACCCCTTCTGTTTGAATTATCGACGATAGCCCATCTTCGAAACGCGTCATAACAGTGTTGGAAATAGAGCATGGAACGCACGTAGAACGTTGCGATAAGCGTTTGGCGCGTCCGCGCGGGGTGGTGAACATTCGGACTTTGACCACCCAGATTGGATTCGTCATGATTGCAGTCACCGCACCTAATATGGCCGCGTCAGAGCAGAAAAAGCATATTGTAGGACCGAGGACGGACTTGCTTGGGCAGAACATAACAATATGCTTCCTGACGAAAGAGGTGCCGATGGGTTATCCTCCGCTGCCCTCTTTTTTAGGATGTTGTAGCTGGTAAAGTTGTAAAAAGTGAAAATGAGAGATTAGGAGGACATACAAGAGGAAGTATAGCCCCCAACTAGATGCATTCCCGGCAATATTGGCGCCGACGCCACGGTACAGGCCTCTCCATCCTTCTTGGTGCTTAATGTCGCGTAATGAATGCCAGATTTGCTGGCCAATTCCACCCGTGGGGTTTGTAGTAGCAACTTGATACTTGACTTTGAGCAGGTCTAAAGGGTTCATACATAGTACAGCGACGGTGCCTGCACCAATTCCAGCGACAGCATGGTCCTGAACCGAACCAATGAGTCGTTGTGTAAAACGAAAAGAGCTGAGCGAACATAAGCGGGATTACGGAAGAAGTGCGGTTGCTGTTCCATTCCAGCGGGGCTGGATCGAGAAAGTCGAGGTCGACGCGATAGTCGAGGTGGCTTTGAGTTCCGCGTCACATGCCGACGTCACGGTCACAAACGCGCTCATCGGCGATGAACACTTTTTCGTCCTTCCGTTTCGCTGCAAATGCGGTTCTTCGTCCATCCTACATACTTCTACACGTCCGCCACAAGTCCGCCAAGCCTCTCGGACGTTTACGAAACCACGAAATCAAGTACAACGCGGTATTGAGAAAGGACAAGGAGGGCAATTTGGCGCCAACGACCATGCAGGCGCTCCTCAAAGAAATCGACCTGACCCAGGAGCGCATAGAGCTCGTTGCCGAGAAGCCCTCGCCCATTGTCGTGGTCGTGAATATCAAACAGGACATGTTGAGGGTGAAGCGGGTGAAGGAGAAGCAGCGGGTAGCAAACAAGAAGGACCAGGCGAAAGAGCTCCAGTTGACTTGGACATCAGAGGAGAGCGACATGGAGCATAAACTCAATCGGTTGCGACAACACCTCGAGACCGGAGCACGCATGGACGTTGTGTTCTCTACCAAACCAAAGACGGTGGCTCCCCCAGTCAAAATCCAGCAGCAAAAGGTCGCAGATGTTATTGAGCGGTTGGCGGAAGTATCAACACAGTGGAGACCGGTCGAATGGCGGAAGAATTTGGCGATTATATCTCTGCGTGGCTCTAAACTTGTGTCCCAACCAACGCCAACTTCATTGGACCTGGACCCTCCACCAGAAACTGACTCAACCACTGCCGAACCAGTCGTTGCGCCCCCTACCAACCGCCACGTCCCTATTAGACCGCGAAATTTCCAAGATCTCTCCAAATGGGGCTACCAGAAACCACCGACCATGAATCCGATGGCGGCCAAACGCGCTGAAAAAAAGTACCCTAAAGGCGGCCGTCCCTAGACCAAATGTATATCTTGTCTAATGTTACATTATTGAATGCTCTATTAACTGGTATTCTGGAATAAATCGCCCGCAAGCCTTCGTTGCCATTTAGCAGGCTGGCGTCGCTGTTGTCGCTGAATCCATCGTCGCATCCGAAGCCGACGGTAATGGTTATATGCAGGGGAAGTTGGCAAAGCCTTGTGCTTTGGTGTTGGTAGATGAAGCGGTCGAACAACACCGCCATCGGGCTTCGTGTCTGCATATACGAATGGCACGTCCAAATTAGAAGCTGGCTTGTGGCCTTTCTTCTTCTGCATGACCGCATCCAACCGGCCAACAGAGATCGATTGCAGGCTGACAGGCAACGGGAAACCCGCTTTAACCATCGCTTTTACCACAGCTTCAAGAGGTACATTCCAATCCTCGTTTGACGGGATGCGATGAGTTTCGGCCAAAGCTTGTTGCGCCTCTTTGAGGGCATGGATCCACGGGCCAGCTCCAGGACCATTCGCACGAGGTCTGAAGACATCTAAGGCAGCATTAAAGAAACGGGCATCCGGGCGCGGCAGTTCCGATTCTTTGAGCCAACGCAATTTGGTAGGGAGACGTCGGTACAGAGTTGCAATACTCATAAATCGCTGGAAAACGTCGAAGGTCGCATGCGCCATGACCCGCCGAAGAAGAAAAAAGACTTGATGTGGCGGCATTGGATGAGGTAGTTGTTGGCACTCGTAGAGAAAAGACGCCCACACAGAGTGCTTGGAGGTTCGTTTGGAGATGCGTTTGGCGGGATGCAATTTCATCTGCCACAGTTCTCGTCTTCGCGCCAGAGTGCCATAGCAGCGCATCATGATCGTATAAACATGGGGTCCAAAAATCCAAGGCTCGCATTGTGGGACATGAGCCCGTGTCCAACTGCACCATTCAGCCTTCTTGGCCAGTTGCCAGACACGGTCAGCGAGCGCGAATTGACCAGATTTGGAGAGCGAGTCGAGGACGGCGCCAAAGAAGATAGGACCAAGGGTTATCGCTCGACGAAGAGAGGCTAACAACGCCGCATGACCGAGACTCTGATCTTCTTTGCGCTCAGAATTTGTCGGAAAGAGGATGCTTTGCAGCTCAGGGAGCACAGTGAAGAGAATAGTGGTGACTTCGCCCGGTTTGCCGATTGCAGTGAGGTGGGAGATATACGATGTGAGGGTGCGTATATCTCCAGCAGATGGAAGCGCGGGTATGGTCAGATTCCCGTACTCTATAGCCCCAAGCCGGGCTCCGGTATCCAGAGCATCCTGCACAAATCCAAACTGTTCCTGCCCAAGGCTAGAGATGGCTGGAGTTGTCGAGATGCTAACTTTTGGCTTGAATGAGCCATCAGACCGCATGACAGGTACATCGGGAGTGTAGCTGAAGTGCGGGCCCATTGACTGGACGGTGCCTGAAACGATGTCGTTCCTTCGCAAAAGGGACCCGGAGCGCAGTAATATATTCGCCGTCACTATGTCTGGGGAATTGCGACAGTCCGGTCTTGAGGCCATATGTGAAAGGATTTTCTGTGCGTATTCGATCGAGAGTCGTTGACGAAGTGCGTAGTGCAGAAGACTGTTACAACTGCTTACATCCAAGGGTGGCAACAGGGGATAACGACGACTTTTGACAATAGCGTCTCGAGGTACCATAGGTTGTTGGAGAAGAATTTGTTGGGTCGGAAGGGTTTGTAATAATTTTAAAAGAACTTGATGAAAATAGTCGTAGGCCTTTATCCGTTCAGGGCATCCCCCCAACCCGACTATCCAAACTTCATCGTCGACGCGAGGACATTTGTATAAGGTGCTGATAAGGACGGATAGTTTAGGAAACGGAATTTGGTGCCGCTCTAGGAGACCAGCAATATTTGCTAATGACTGAAGAGCGACAAGTCGATCTTGAGTCGGGTAAGTTGCGTCACCGTCTCTCGCGAGAATCGCCTTGATTATTTGCAAGGCATTTTCTAACGAAGTTCGATCTGGAAAAATGGCCTCTTTCCGCAGATGTTCTAGGCGCAATTTAGCTGAAGCAACCTGAGGAGACGACTGAAGTTCGTCGTCCTCAGGAAGAGCTGCAATGTTGCTAGAAAGTGAATAGCCCGTTTGCCATTCGCGACAGGTCCAGCCAAAAAGCAGCGAGAATATGATCAGCTCGCCCTTAAGCAGAGAAGCGGCCATAATGAGCTTGAACATGTGATCTGTTCGTCTTTGACGATGTCGCCTTGCAAGGAATAATAACTCCAATGCAAAACGCGTCCTAGGGTCTGACATACGGGAAGGATGGAGGAGCAAAGCATCGGATGGAGTTTGCAGAGGAATAGTGCGCATTTGGCGAGGAATAATTCTGTCGAGCAGAGTGCGATTGGTGGGCGGGGGAACGAGGGATTTCATGATGGCCTCCAAAGTCGCGCTGCGAAGATTGACTCCCTCCTGCATCATAAGTTTGGAGAGTTCGAAGGCCGGCTGTGCAATATTGTGGCGCACAAGACAGTGGAGAAGGGTGTGGGCAGATAAACGCGTCGGAACATCAGGTCCAAAGCTCAAGGCAGCTGCTTCGAATTCGCTCTGCGACTCTGCAATTCCAGGTGCCTTGAATGGTATATTCGAGACCTTTTGACGATAGGAAGCAAAGCGGATTGAGTTCAAAACAAAAAACCCATCGGAAAATCCACCATTTGCAATGCACATTCGAATTGCCTGTGCTGCCGCAAATGAGGCTTTGGAGGGACGGATCAATGGGGCAGAAAGAGTTGTAGATGACTCGGCGACGGTATCGATGGCTTTTTCGATAGGGAGAGCAGCGGAGGCAATGGCATGGAGAGCAGCAGAAGTTCTGACGTTGTGGAAGGGACGAAACAAGGCGCGACTAGCTAGTGCTGGCCATAGCATGTAGCCAGCATGAACCCTGTAAATGTTTTAATTGCTCTGAGTGAACTGCCACGCGAAATACTACCTAGGACCTGCGCGGGTCGAGCCAAGGTTGATGGCTGTTGTTGGCAAGATGTGTGACCGGCAAAATTTCGTGTTGAACGAGACTCTGTTGTGCACTAAGCACTTTTTCCAAAAATATGAGTTACGACCGACCACATCGTGGCGGAGGGTATAGACGACGTTATAGAGGTGCGACTGTGCCAATTTTTGGTGGAATCTGGTTCTAGAACATCTCTGCAGACGACTATGATGACCGCCGACGCGAGTCCTACGAGTCTCCCCTCGACAAATTTAAAGCTACCATTATCAAGTTTGGCGACGTTGTTAGTGGTCTACTCTGTGTTTTTTCGCGTTTCCGACCTGTTTTCGCCCTAGGATGCATTGGAGGAACTTCCTCGACTTGAAAAGTTCATCCGCGATGCCACCAACCACCCCGTCTCGGTTGTCTCCGAGTCTTTGCGCATAGCGTATGTTGCTATACAAATCTCCAAAAGTCTGACCTCAACTGAATCCAGCGTCACCGAGCAACCTTTCAAAATTCCGTACTACGCGCTTTTGTTGAGGCATTTGCACAACCCCAGTGACAATGGCCCCTCGGAAGATCCAACTATTGGCCAGCAGATCCTAGAGGACTTTTGGAAGGGCTTCCAGTCTTATCTCGACCAGCATTCATGGAGGGAGACGCGACTTTGCGTGCGTGTCGCGTTATACTGTCTCGTTTCAACGACCAATCAACCATATTTAAGATTCAATTCTTCGCGCATCTCACTGTCGCTAAATTAATATCAACAGACTCCATGCTAACACTGCTCCAATCCTTCACCGCTGTTCTTGAGGAGTTTGGCGTCTCGCTTGGCCGAGCGAAGCAGGCGGCAGTTTGTGCGGCGGAGGGACTCATGATCGTGGGTTGGCAGCTTTTTCCCTTTAAATTTATCTCAATCTGCTCAGGGTGGACCTATTCTCAAAGTGGACTCCCCCATTCAAGTCCAAGAAATCATCAGCGCAATTCAGGCTTACAACGACACGACTGCAAGCGCGAAATGGATCGTTGGTCCTCTCAACCGCGTATATACGGATTCGACTCAATTCCCGCTTGCCGATGAGGTGTGTGTTAGCACTTCTCAAAGACTCGTTATCTAATATTTGACAGCAACTGGACATTGTACTGCATGCTCTGCGTGTTTTTGACGAAGCCGACTTCGCAGAGACGTCTTCAGTGTTTTTACAACCATATTCAACTTGTGAAGACCTTGATCCCCTGACATTCACTCCTTTCAACTTGCCCTCCGTCCTCGTTCCCCCAGAAGTCATTGAGCTTGACAGCCTCTCGACGGATGCCGGTGAGGATACGCAAATAAAGAAGGAAGAGTGGCCAGAGTATTACATCTCACTGTTTGACAACGAGGTGCGCCTATCATTTCCATTGGTGCAGCTATCGACCGTATACAGGTTACCCCCGACCCCAAAACACCTGCTGGTTATGCTGTGCGTTCTGGCCTCGCGGACATACTCCAAATATTCGAAGTAAACCGGAAAGACTGTGCGCGTCTCTTATTAGATTTTCCGCGATGGGTACCGCCTGGGACGTTCAAACCGAAACCATCTCTCGATGCCAACCCTCTTCCAGCACCCGAGCCGGTGCCCGGAAAGGACTGGCAACTGGAGAGCACCATCGTCGAGGTTTTTTTGATTTCTTCCCTTGGTCTAAATTTGTGGTTCAATGGTTGTGCAGATCATTCTTGGGATGCTGTTTTTATTGCCAGAATCCCAACACAAATCCGTGTACTATATGTCTCTGATTACGGAGTTGTGCAAGTTGTCGCCCTCAACTGGTGGTCCCGCGGTCGGCAAATCCTTCCGGAAATTATATAGCCAGCTTGGTGAAGGCTTCGACGTTGAAATCGCAAAACGTTTTTCTGAATGGTTTTCCGTCCACATGAGCAACTTTAACTTCGGTTGGGTGTGGAAGGAGTGGTATGCCATGCTTTTCGCATTCTTTTCAATTGCTTATAAATCTCACAGGATACCGGACCTTTCACTCACCGTCTACCATCCCAAACGCGCCTTCATACAACGCGCAATCGAACTAGAAATCCGGCTTTCTTACCATGACCGGATACTCAAAACTCTTCCCCCCGAAATGCAAGCGCCAGATAGCGAGACTATCAGCGAAAATGCTCCTGGTCCCGATTTTGACTACGATGATCCAGGTTTGATAGCTTCTGCTATTCTAGCACTAAAATTTGACCTGCAATTGCAGCGAAACCTCATCACGATGTGGCACAAACAATTCTCAACCTGTTTCGCGGTAGAGCAAAGGCCGAAGACGTTGTTTCTCGCATCGAAGGACTGAAAGCAGCATTAGAAACCTCTGATGAGGTGGTCAATACTGATGCGCTGATTCGCTCCATCACCGTACAATCGCTGCTTCATGTTGGAGCTCGCTCCTTCTCTCATTTGCTGAACGCTATCGAACGATATTTGCCCTTGTTGCGCAACATCGCGAGTGGCGGAACCTCCATAGCGGTTGGTACTGGTATAACGGAGGCGAAGGCGGACATCCTAAGCATCGCAGCTACGTTTTGGAAAAACAATCGACATATGGTGGTAATCGTGTTTGACAAACTGATGCAATACCAAATTGTCGACCCAACGGACGTCGTGCAATGGGTATTCGTGCGTAGGGCTGAGCTTCCAGAGCTCAACTCTGCGACGGGCATCAACAGTTTGCGAACCTTTGAATGGGAGATTATCAAGGCTGCCTTGGATAAGGCAAACGGACGAGTAACAACTGCGCGCAGAAGAGTGGTGGCTCTCAGAAAAGAGGATGATGATATTCGTGCCCGAGCTTTGGCTGACGGGGTGGCAATGGATGTTGATGCGGACATTAAAACAGGTTTGTGGGTATAAAGTATCGTTCGTTCTCCAGACTGATTCTCGACGATAGAAGAAGCCCCTGCAGCAGAAAATCCCGCTCTTACTACTGCACTAAAAGCATTTGCCAGCTTAACGCGGGAACAAAAGGCTGCATTATCGAAAACTCTTGACGGTTTCGTTTCCTACTTAACACCTGCTTCCTCAGAAGCCCAAAGAAGGGCCATTACAGAGGAGGGCTGGAATGATCGCGGAAGGTGGGACAAGGAGGAGTGGAATACCTGGGAGACCTGGAACTGGTATCGGCATTTTTGTCGTCTGGTAAGTTGGTCTGTCTCTCTCTGGGTGCTTATGGTTAACCTCATTCAAGTATGCGCCTTATCTTCGCAGCTACTCAACGACACTCCAGACTGTATCGTTTGCAAAGCTCGAGGGCTCGACGGATCCAAGTGTTGAGCTGTTGAAAAAGACATGGAACGTTGCAACTGGGCAAGAGTAAATACTTAGTTGAGTAATATATATGTGACCTCAGCTAACGTCACACCGGTTCCCTCTTGTCCTTTCCACCATCTTTGCATCGTTTTTTACACTTCTCTCTATTACCCCGTTCTCTTTCCATAATGTCTCACCGTGGTTTAAGCCTGCGAGCAGCTCGCCATCCAGCTTCGCTTTTGCCTGTTGCTGCCCACAACCCCGCCCTCATCCACCTTGTATCCCAACCAGTTTCGGTCGACATGATACTTTACATTGCCCGCCAAGCAGCAATCCTTCTCAAGCTCCACGAACAGCCGTATGACTCGTATTCGACCACACCGTCCCAACAGATGTCACTCGAGCAGTTCATTTACGGTATCGTCAAAGCAGGCAACGTGCAAGTGTCTACTCTTCTTACGACCCTGGTTTATCTTGAGCGACTTCGGGACAAGCTTCCTCCAGTTGCGACAGGTATGCTTTTTCATCTCGCTATATCCACGTTCAACTGTCTCAAAACGCCAAGGCCTCCCTTGCACGCGGCACCGTATCTTTCTCGCCACACTGATTGTCGCTGCAAAATACCTCAACGATTCGTCGCCAAAGAATGTTCATTGGACGCAACACGCTTTCGGCATCTTCCAAGTCGGCGAGGTCAATCTTATGGAGGCACAACTGCTCTTTCTGATGGACTACGATCTGCGTTTTAACGAAGAAGCTGCCTGCACTACATTCGCCCCATTCCTTCTGACTGTTAGAGTCCCGAGACCGCTCCCAGCTCTCGAAATCGTCAGAAGTCGCAAAACGCGATTCGCTTCCCAACCCAGGCCTAGAGCCGCTGCATCTGTAGCCTTGCCGGAGACCACGTCTACAAGTAACCTGTCAACATCATCAAGCAACTCTTCGACTCTTGTATCCACCGTCAGAGTACTTGCGAAGCGCCTATCCCAGACCCATCTGTCTTCTTCTCGGCCCAGTCGCCCGCATAATGTTCCATTCAATAGCTACGATTCTTCCGACGCTGGATCGCTTACAGACGATACTGGCTCTTCCTCATCATCGTCTGGATGGCTCAGCAGCGACTCTGATTCAGAATCCGAGACTGATGCGCTGATTTACGGTCAAGAGAGTAACCCTGCTCCGAATGACTCTACCTTCGTCTCTCCCGACCATATGCATTCAACATCCAAACGCCTCTTCATTCTCCGTCCAGCCAATGCCTACAAGCCTACTCAGAATCGCTCTCGCAAGCCATCTGACACTTCTTCGATTGCCACTGTTACGGGCACATCTCCCGAGCCGTCGAATTTCCGCCGCAAGTCAACGACCACTCAACCTGTGTTGCCTCTAAACAAGCAGATGTCTTCCCTCTCTGTGAGCGCGACGATGCCGAGTGTCAATCGTTCTGGGCCTACGAGTGGCTTTTTTAGCCGTATGTGGGGTGCTGCAAAGGGAGACAAGTTTGCTGGTTTGAGTGAATCCCGGTCCGATGGGCTCCCCGTTTATCACGGCCAGAGCGCTTTCCGCAGATTGGTATCGGGTCATTCACGGTCGACTTTGACCGGCGCTGGCCGGGGTAGTCTCTTGGCCGATCCGTCGTTGCAGGTTTGAAGACGTTATACCCACTCTTGATCTTGCTTACCTTCGCACAACACTTCTACTACCCACATTACTATCCAGTGCATCGACTGCTTCTTTTCTGGACCTGTGTTACTTGGAGCATATACCCGCACGTATATAATACACAAACTAGCCTTGTAACTGCTCAAAATACACCGATATTGAATGAGCCGCTTGTCAGTTGAGTGGATTTTGCGCGCAGCCGGGAGTCCGGCACGAACGGGAGCTGACCAGATAACAGTTGCGACAAAAAAGTCACTGTTTAGGCGAAAAAACGACACAATTTACACAATTTGTCTGAGTCTAGGCTATACATGTTTGAAATTAAAGGCAAATAATCTTTGAATTCATATCTTACAGCAACGCGCAACCGCATGCTTCTCATCAGCTGAGTCACTTAGCTGGGATCGTTGAAACTATATTTAAGTTTGCCCTTGACTTGAGAGACGCGTAATGGACGCGGTTCCGTTGTTTTTGCCCGACATTCAAGTCGTGCTCAATGCGGCGCGTTTCCCGACGCTAGAAAAATCGTCTGTGACCTGACTGATTGCCTGACTTGTTCTGAACATCCATGGCAGATTATGGACCGAGACCCTCGTCTTCCCTGTCTACGCTGCTTTACTTTCCGCACTCGTCTTCTCCGTTCAAAGTCTTCTCCAATGGCGAAACCAGCGCTCAAACACAAACACAACCCAGAAAAGCTGGAAGGATGTGGCGAAATATGGGGGCGTAGCGATACTCAGCTTCAATATGCTAAGGCTGTTGGCATGCTTGACCCTCCTTGGGACGTCGGTTGCGTCGCTCTTCCTGTTGGGGGCCAAGGTCGAACAGTCCCGAGATGGTTTTGCCGTTGGAATAGGGCTCTGTGTCTTTTATGTGTGTGTTTTTGTTGTCGCCTTCGCTTCTTTCTCATTCTTGACAAGCTCTATTCCTCGGTCCTTGCTGCAATTGCCTTCGATGTCTTCGAGAAACACGGCTCAAGAGCAGAAACCCATCTGAACACGATACTCGCTGTTGCGGTCGCAGTCTTTTTCTACCGCGATATCTTCCCATTGGCTACCTTTACATGGCCAGTGGAAGATGCCGTGGAGGGTCCACTGTTGAAAATTAAGCTAATAGCGTTGTTCGTCGCAGGGGTTGCTTCACCGTTACTTACTCCCCAGCCTTATATTCCTGTTGATCCCCAGGCGAGTTCGCAGTTTTTCATTCTACCCAGTCCCGCTCACATAATCCATAGAATCCAATGCCAACACCTAATTCAGAGCAAACGGCATCGCTCTTCTCGCTATTATCGTTCTCCTTCCTCGATCCAGTGGTCCATCTCGCTCACAAGCTTCCGCATCTCCCATACGACCAACTTCCGCCTCTCGCTGACGCTGACGATGCGGCTTACCTGAAAAAGCGCGGATTCAAGGTCTTGCCAGTTTTACTCAATTTCATGGCTCTAACTTGGACCCAGAACATCGATACGTTTTCCGGCGCTAACCCGCGTCGCCATATTTTCTTCGGAATTCTGAGAACCTTCAGGTACCGAGACTTTTCTAAAGTGCAATTGTCATTTAACTCTTCTCCACAGCAACGAATTCTTCACGATTGTATTGATGCTCCTCATATATGTTGCCTGCTCTTTCGCGTCGCCTATTGGTATACAGCGCGTTCTGGCGTTTGTGTTTCGTTATTGCTCTGTTCAAGCTGGCTAACTGTGAGTAGTTACCTCGAAGATAGCACTGAAGAAACGGAAATCAAACCATTCGTCTGGATTCTGTGGCTTGCGCTGGGCCCGCTAATCGGCACAGTTGCTATCCAAGTGTATTATCGTCTCTCCGTTAGTATTGAAACTCTCTTGTGACTTGAACTCACTGTCTTAGATGCGAATCCTGGTTCAAGTGGAAGGAATGATAACTGAACTCATCTTCGAACATGCACTACGTGTGCGAGTCAAGGCCGACACTGAAAGCTCCGAAACAAAGGACACGGCTTCTGATGACGAAACTCTAAATCCTGACTCTCAGTCTGATGCAAGCAGCGAGACTGCCCATGGTGCACCAAGCACTACCTCAAAAGATCCAAAGTCTCCTTCGAACGCAGGGAGCAGCAGCGTCGATGTTGGTAAAATCAGCAATTTGGTTACCACAGATCTTCGGGTTTGTTTCTTGGCTTCCATTTAAATATGTGGAGACTGAGTCGGTCCAGAATGTTACCAATATGTCTGATTTCCTTCAACTGCTATTCTACATGCCGGTCACCGTCGTGTTCTGTGTTGTGTTCCTATACGCTGTCCTGGGCTGGAGGTGAATATGTGTGTCATTATAATGATACATAGGCTGATGCTTTGTAGTTCGTTCGTCGGAATGGTGGCCATGATAATACTGTTCCCCATCTCGGGTTTCGCAGCAAATATCCTGCAGAAAATTCAACGCGGTCGTATCAAGGCTGCTGATGCACGCATAAAAACCATCAGCGAAACTATGGGGGTTATGCGGATGATCAAGGTATGTAGCATCCGCTTTAGCTGCGCCAGAGCTGAACGGAGACTCAGCTCTTTGGATGGGAAGAGAAAATGCTCGGACGCGTCAATAGCAAACGTGAGGAAGAATTAGTCTGGATTTGGCGGCGGGAAATCTTTGAATGGGTGGCGAACACTGTCAAGTAAGTTGATTGCTGTTTCATGGACACTTTTTACGCGAAATAGCAACTGCATCCCCATAGTCACGATGCTGGTCACCTATGTCACCTTGTTCGTCTTTTTCTCCCACATTGAAATATGCACTGACGAATGAATAGTGTTTGTCGCGTGCTTTTCTATATGAATTGTCATCTAAGCTCCCCCAAGACAGTGATTATGAAGCGTGAATTACGTCCCTCCATCGTGTTCAGGTGAGAAAGTGGATCATAATCCTTCAATCGCTCATGTTTTCCAAGCACTATGCCCGTCTTCGACATGCTTCGCAACCAACTACATATGGCCAACTACCGAATCATCCAGTTCATCGATGCCAAAGTCTCCATCGACCGTATCAATGACTTCTTACACAACGTACGTATAATCTGTTTCCAATCTGACCTGTGCCTCCGATTTATTTGCCGCAGACTGAGCTTCTGGATGCTTTTACGGAGAAAGACGAGACAGCCGACTTCTTGGCTGTCGAATCTGCACAACCTACCGACATCGGCTTCCGTGACGCGACATTCACCTGGTCAAATGAGGTTCAAGATGGAACGGTCACACCCTCAAGGCAGAGGTTCACTCTCCGGATCACGGAGGACCTTTTCTTCAAACGTGGAGGAATAAACCTCGTTCTGGGCCCAACTGGCTCAGGCAAAACATCGTCTGCTCTTCCACGTCTTATCTTATCTGCTGACTCATATGACGTCAGACTTTTGATGGCATTGTTGGGAGAAATGCACTTTGTTCCTGTGTCTCCTCGTTCATGGTTTAATCTTCCACGTGTGCATGGTGTCGCATATGCGGCGCAAGAGTCTTGGGTCCTTAACGAGACCATCCGGGACAACATCCTCTTTGGTGCTGAATATGATGAAGAACGGTATAAGAAGGTTTGCATCTAGCACTTCATTGAATAAAATAGCTAACCTTTTATCATCAAGGTCCTTTTCCAATGTGCTCTTGAGCGTGATCTAGAACTGTTTGATGCTGGTGACCGCAGCGAAGTAGGAGAGAAAGGCTTAACATTGTCGGGTGGTCAAAAGGCTCGTTGCACGCTTGCACGGGCTATTTACTCCAAAGCTGAGATTATTCTGCTCGATGATGTGCTTGCGGCTCTCGAGTTCGTTCTCATCTTGATCTGCAACCGACTCAAATTGACCAACTTTACTATTTAGTGTCCATACCTCTAAGCATATTGTCGAACACTGCTTCAAAGGCGATCTCGTCAAAGATCGTACCATCATATTGGTCGTATGTATATCTTTTGCACATTGTTATTGATAGCTCATTGTTATAGACACATAATGTAGCCCTTGCAGCCCCAATTGCCGACTTCGTTGTCACTCTCGGAACTAACGGTCGTATCAAGACACAAGGATCTGTTGCTGAAGCACTTCGCCATGACTCAACCTTTGCGAAGGAAGTGGTTGCTGAAGCAGAGGTCCTCGAACAAGTTGTTGATCCGGAACCCCTTCCAACCGAAATCAAGAAAGACGACAGCAAAGATGGCAAGCTTATTCTTGAAGAGGAGCTTCAAATTGGACGTGTGGAATGGAACGCGGTTGCTCTGTATCTCCGTGGCTTGGGAGGTTTCTGGTTCTACTTCACCTTCCTGGGTTTCCTGACCGTCGCACAAATGATCCAAGTCTATCAAACATACTATATTGGGTGGTGGGCTGCCTTATACGAGACGAGCCCGCGCGGTTCCGTCTCTGTTAGCCAGTAAGCGTCGTCCCTTCTGCAAGAGGAGCTAAATAAACAAACTGTTCAGTCATATTGGTGTCTATTCTGCTCAAGCTGTTCTTGAAGTATGCACCCATTCGGTTGCGGACGTCGTCTTCGCATATGCCTGCCTCCGAGCGTCTCGCACGATTCACCTGGACCTGATCAAGAGCATCCTGGGCACCACTCTTAGATGGCTCGATGTTACGCCTGCGTCTCGTGTCATTGCTAGGTTCACAGCCGATATCACTGCTGGTATGTCTCCTGAGTGGCTCTAAGATTCCAACTGAACATGATTTTCCAGTTGATGGCCCGGTCCGTATTTCTTACTCAGTTGATCCTGCATTCAACATTTGCTAGATTCTGAACGTATTCGCCGGCTTTGTCTACGTAACGATGTCCATGATCGTGTCCTTTGGTGCCGTTTGTTTGCTTACACCTCTCTTCATCCTCCCTGGAGTGTTGGCGGCTGTTATTGGCGGCGTTGTCGGCCAGTTGTTCATCAAGGCTCAATTATCGGTCAAGCGCGAGAGTTCGAATGCGAAAGCACCCGTGTTGGCGCATTTTGGTGCAGCAATTGCTGGTCTCAGTACGCCAAATCTAAAGTACAAACTATTTAACGCTAACTACTTCCTCTTAGCATCCATTCGCGCTTACGGCGCGCAAAATCCTTTCATCAACGAGTCCATTGTTCGAATCAACAAATACACTCGTGCTGCAAGGACGCTCAACAATCTGGACCGATGGGTTGCTGTGAGACTTGCAGTGGTTGGCAATGGCCTCGCTGCTCTGCTAGCCTTCTATCTTGTCTACGTCCAGCAGGTGAATTTCATCCCCCGATCCCGAGACCGCGTTGTTGATTCAGCACCACAGACTCGAGCCAATAATGTCGGTTTCAGTTTGAACATGGCGGGTATGTGGTTTTGCTGAGCATCAAACCATCTCTCAATCGTGACTTCATAGCTGGATTCTCCATGAGGATTCTCTTCTGGGTTCGTATTTGGAACGATGTCCAAATTCAAGGTAGGAATCCGTCGAACGAAGTTTTATGATTTCTTGACCGGGCTTCAGGCAACAGTTTGGAGCGTATTCTGCAATACATCCACATCGAGCAAGAGCCCAAGCCTTCCGAGGCTGGGAAGCCTGCTGCTGCTTGGCCAACTTCTGGCAACCTGGTGGTGGAAAAGCTTACCGCGTCATATTCGCCGGGCGGTCCCAAGGTGCTCAAGGACATCTCTTTCAGGATAAATGCTGGCGAGCGTGTAGGAATTGGTAGGTCTTTCATGTTTGGCAGAACTCATGAACTGACAACTTTTTGCAAGTGGGCAGAACCGGTTCTGGCAAAGTCGGTGTTTTTTTTAAAACCTTCTGAGTGAACTGATCCCTTACGCTAGTCATCTCTTACTCTGGCACTCTTGCGTGCTATTTACACAGAAGGGACTTGTTATTACGATGGTGTCCCTACATCTTCCCTCAACCTTGATGTCCTCCGCTCAAATATCACAATTATTCCGCAAATGGTGCGTTTCTTTTTTATAACAACTGTTTCTCGCAGCTTCATGTTCGGGTAGCCTGAACTCCTGTCGGGCACGTTGAGGCACAATCTCGACCCCTTTGAGCAGTACGACGATGCAGACTTGAACAACGCCCTACGCGCAGCGGGCTTGTTCGCCTTGCAGGAGGATATGGAGGAAGGGAGGTTAACACTAGACAGCGTTATCTCCAGCGGAGGCGGCAACCTCTCCGTTGGTCAACGCCAAATCTTGGCGTTAGGTAAGATTTTCTTTCTTGCACGGGTTTCAAGCTTACACACTACAGCTCGCGCGATGGTCCGCGAAAGCAAGATTCTCATTCTTGACGAGGCGACTTCCGCAATCGACTACCAGACCGACACCATCATCCAGGCGTCGCTGCGGAACGAACTCAAGCCCGGAGTTACGTGCATCACGGTCGCGCATCGACTGCAGACCATCCTGGATTCAGATAAAATCGTAAGACGCCTTATTAACGCGAAATCGCGATGCTAACTATTTCCAGATGGTTCTTGATGAGGGCCGAATTGTTAGTCCTTCTAAAAGCCGTGAATCTTTTCGCTGATTTGTGTGGCAGGTCGAATTCGACGCTCCAAGAGAACTGTTGAAGAACCCGAGGGGCAAGTTAAGAGCGTTGGTGGACGAGTCAGGTGACAAGGAGGCTTTGTATGCAATGGCGGAGGGCCGCCATCGTTCTTCGTCATAGATTAGTGGATCAGTAAGTTGTGTTTGAGTGCTTCAGCTGTTAATGTTGTGAGTCGGTGGTGCCATTAGTCAGTTGGCTTGAACCGGAAATGACTGGTGAATGGTCGTAGCAACAAAAAAAGAGTTGCGAGAAACGAAAAAGGGGGTCTTTTGCTATACACCTTTAGGACTAACGGTACACCATAAGTAGCTTGAATCTGTTCTATGGCACCCTCTTTCACACCAAGGCGTATAGAATGCGACACAAGAAGGCCCGAATGAGGTCCACGGCGAGGAGTACCAGAATGGATGCGTTGCCGTGCGCCGAGATGGCCCGCCGCATCCCCTGAACCTCGCGCTTCACCTCCCCAAGCTCGCCTGACTGCTGGGCGAGCGACTCCTGGATTGCGGTTATTTCGGCCGTCATCGAGTGCAATAAGGCTGTCAAGGCAGCGTGGCTGCCAGAAATTCATGAGCATCATATCATATAGTATGCACTGAGGGAAAAGTCATTGACACACATATTTTCGAGATCGGCGTCGTCGTTGAACGTTGGCTGCGGGACGCCCATTGTGGAAGAGGGCGGAAGAAAGCGGTTGCCCCTATACTCCTGATGAGGTGACTGATAAGATAAGCCGGCGTCGGTGTTCGGCCGAAGAGTCACGGTCACGCGATCAACCTGCTTTTTCTCAACGTTCATCTAGAGTTGACCTGTCTTCGCTTCTACGCCCAGGGCAAAATACTGGTGTTGTGGGCAGCCGAAAGAAGAAAAATAAAAATTCCCAAAAAGGAAGGAGGAAGGAAAAGAAAAGAGAGGGATTTGAATAGATCTCTGTACTTTATTCCTACTGTTTATACATGCAAAATGAGCCTTCCTCAAGTGTAAATTTCTCTGAGCGGCGCCTGCGGCGGGCAGTTTGGTGTGTGACACATCTCGTGTGAGGCATCACAGAATACTGTCAAAAATTTCCGTTTGAATATTTTTGCCGCGGGCACCTGTTGATGGCAAATACTGAATCCAAATCGGGTTTTTTCCGGCCGGCTGTTTCACGGTCCGGCCCGTCACGTCATGTGACACAGCCCATCAAATAACAGCGGGCAGCTCTGCGCGCCTAAGGAGATGGTAAGTGGTTGGGAGCATGGTCCAACAGTGTAGATGTAACAGACTCCCTACTCTCTAGACCAGATATTAAATTATTTGCTCCTAAACATATATTATTGTGTCTATTTCATCCTTTGTGTTGTTCCAGCAGCAGTTCCAGCAGTAAATAAATCATGGAGCAAGACAAGGTACATAGTACATCTATAGTATGTAAGCTAAGTCCAGCACAAAGCACCATTTGAATCAATTATTGTCTACAAAAGTATTGGGCAACGGCGCACTTGAACGCGGGCGTCCGAGAATCACGGAGGATCAAAACCCGTCCCAAAACGGATACTTGGTGATGTCAGCGTCACACCGTCAGTATTACTGGCAGTATTTGCCCACAGCACCAGTATTTAGCCACGCCCAGCGCCGCCGCAGCCATGCACACGGTCATGCGGATGACAAGACTCGGAAGCCCTACCGATTGGGCGGCCCATTCCCAGTGAACCGCAGCAGCAGTTTCGAAAATAAAAGCGCGCGAATAGGACAGCGGTTCCTCAATGTCCCAAGTAGCACTCGTCCTTGAAGGTATTCAGTCTGCCAATCGATGGCAGCACGACTCTGACCTTTACTCGAGCGCGCGGTCAACATGTGCTCAAGGAGGTCCCCATCCACGAGCCGTCCGCTGGGTTGATGCAAGTGCGGGTGGAGGCCGCCGCTGTGAACCCCGCTGACGTGATGATGTTTGACAACGACCGGGGGGGATTCGTGCAGGGCTATCCGGCAGTGCTCGGCTGGGATGCGGCGGGCGAGGTGACCAAGATCGGCGCGAACGTGACCCGGTTCAAGGTCGGCGACCGGATCGCGTTTATGTGCTTCCCCAGTTCCACCCACGATGGCGGCAAAAGTCACACGGCGCGCGGGGCGTTCCAGCAGTACGTGTTGGCCGACCAGCGGTATGCAGTCAAGGTGAGCGGCAGTAGTAATTCTATCGAACATTGAGCTCAGTCTATTCGGAGATACCGGCGGGGGCTGATTATGCCTCTGCGGCGTCTTGGTCTGCGGCGAGCACTACTGCCGCTGGCTCACTCTACAAGCACTTTGCGCTGAAGGAGCCCTGGCTCCCCGGCGGCCGCGGAGGGCGTCTTCGCCTTCGCCTTCGCCTTCGCCATCATCTTCGTCTGCGTCCTCCGAGTCGTCATGCATCAGCACACAATCGACGTTGCGGACTCGTATTCTCGCACGAAAAGCGTCCGCGCCCCCGCGTCCCTCACATCCAACCCCCGACATGGGAGTTGCTCAAGAAAAAAAGAAGTTTCGTCATGGGCCGTTGGCCGGTACACAGCCACACCGACTTGTTGTCAAAAACGGCCACGATGACGGCCGCTGCTCGTATAACAACGACAAACTAAGCTGGCTACAACAGCGCGACCCGCGCTAGCTTTCTGCGGCGCCCCTCGCCTCCAAGCAAAACAAAGTTTCCTGATGGGCCGGCCTCCGTTTGGCTTCTTGTCGCAAACAACCACAATGGCGGGGGACTCCGCTCGCTGCCCTGCTTGACTATCAACACAGTAAGCACCATTCCCGCGATCTGCATGTGGCTTACTCTGTCTTAGCTCAACGACTCGGCTCTGCAACAAAAAGCGACCGACAACGACAGCACCAAGGCCGGGCACCAACGCCGTCGCCCTCAGCTCGGGGAACAACGTCCTCGTGTCGATCGCGCCGCTTTCTGGGTAGCTGCTGGGACAAGCGCCGTGCCATGAAAACGAGCCCCGCAATGCTGTCGGAAGCAAGTCACTGGCCACCAGCGACAACACGACTACAAACTCACCGAGTAAGTGACTCCAATGTTGAAAGCGATGGGAAACTGACAACCTCTCTCGATCTCAGTAACACCAGCAACAAGCTGTAAGAAGTCGGGTCCAACGAGCAGGTTGTCCGTCGCACATGGGAATTATCTCAGTTCGGCAGAGACCTGGTCTGAGAGAATCAAGGGGAACAAAACGGGAACGGTAAGTACAGCACTTATATTCTCACATTATATGACAACACCAACAATAACAAGCTGTCAGTGTACTAACGACAACCCCATCTTTCTCGACGCCCAAGCCGTCTCCCCCAAAACCGCCCGGCCCGAGCCCAAGTCAGCGATCACCAAACCAAACGGCAAACTCGCCGTCTCAAATGCCGCACAATGAAAACGAGGACAGCGTCCCGACAATGAGGACCTGCGAGCCGCGTTCTTGTCACCTGCCCGGGACAAGCTTGCGAGCAGCAATTTCAGCAGCCGAAAGCAAAGCTGACTTTCTCCAGCCAGCACGAACCCAAACACGCGTCAACACCCCCTCCCCGAAACGGCTAGCAACAACTCCGGCCCTCCAAGTTCATTGTGCCGCGCCATGCCACCAGCCCGGCAATGTCGTCTGCGGCAAGTTAGCGGGCACCATCGACAAGATGCCGAGTATGCCCCTCCCGTCCGGTTCGGCCAAGAACGGATTCCGACAACTAAGGCAAAGAACGGCGAGGATATGCTTAAATCGTCCGACCCTGGGTAAGTAAACTCAGACATTGAAATGGACACAAAAGAAACTGACTTTGGCGTCACAGAGGCCGCAAAGAGCAAGTCCGCTTGTGAACACTATTGGGGTAACGGGTAAGCTGAGCTGGAAATTGAGATCAATCCCACACTTATACCTTGCCAGCCAGCCGGCACGAACCCCAACGCGGGCAAACACAACCAGCGAAGTACCAAAACGGCCAGCAACGACTCCGGCCCGCCCATTCCCTTGTGCCGCGCCATGAAAAAGAGCCTGGCAATGCCGTCTGCGGCAAGTCAGTGGGAACCAGCAACGAGACGGCTGCACGCTTACCGCTCCTCGTCCCGTTCAGCCAAGACAGCTTGCGACAGCCAAGGCAAACCCTCCGAGAACATGCCTGAATGGTCCGTAAGTGGATTCAGACGTTGAAAGGGATACAAACTGACCTTGGCATCATAGCAGCCACTGACAACGCAATCATCTCCCCAGTATCGCGCAAGACACCACAACATGACAAACGAGTCGGGCGATCCCATGACTCCCAAACCAGTCCGGTTCGGCAGAGACATGCTGCAAAGAGCAAGGAATGCGCTGTAAAGCCGGAAAGTCGAGCCGGACATTGAGACCAATTCCAAACTGACCTCGCTCGTTGTAGACGCCAACGACAACGCTACACCCAAGGTTTCGCAAGACCTCGGGCGCAACTTCATCAGCAACGCCCAACAAGTCGGGAGAGCAGGCGGAGTCAACAACGCGGAACTGGAAGACAAGTCAGTCAAAACCACCACTACCAATGTCGACCACACACCGACAATGGCTGCAACAGCCTCCAAGACACCAAAACACCAAACACTGATATGTCCCCAACTGCAAGATGCGCATCATGTCAAGCGAGTCGGGAAGGGTCTTTTGTAAGGTCAGTCGTCGGGGTCAAACACAGGAAATGCGACACTCACCCCAGCCAACAAGTCCTAATTGCCGCGTCCATACCAAACCCAGCAATGTCCGCGCAACGATTCGGAGGAGCGATGTCGGGAGACATGCAGCAAAACTGGAAAGCAAATCAGCAAGGCCTCTCAACATGGAGCACACACCGGCACCGGCAGCAACGGCCTCAACGACGATGTCGTCAACGTCAAACTCGTTGGGAGTGAGCGGGAGGCAGAGCTAGATACACGTTGTCAGTAACAAGAAATTCGAGCAAGTTGATACCGACGACGAGCAGAGGGACTTGAGTTGTGGTGAGAGTAAGAGGGAAAGGGGGATGGGATTTTAGTTGAGCAAGTCCAGCCTTTTATACGCGCCGCCGTAACGGCATTCAGGCCATGGTGACAAATGGGCGAAAGCTGACTTTCGCTGACTTTCGCTTAAGGTTGCGACATTCTGAATATTGAACCCGGAGGCCGTCGGTGATGCAATCGGGTGGTTGGAGTTGAACCTTCTCAGTACTCTGAGTGTAGGTCGCACTGTATCTGGCCCAGATAGACCCAGCCTTCAGTTGAATACACAAAATGGCAAAGACAAACCTTGAGGGATGCAGACCCATCGCGCTCTTCCGAGCTCCGATGAAACACTTCCCACGTTGAGTTGCGCCTGTCAGAGTAGGCGAACGCGGAATTTTGGGCAGCTCCGCTGCGTTCAAGGGTTGAAAACCGAGTTGGTGTGTTTTCAGATATGACGCCTATAGTGCTCTAGGAGATGCTGGGTGGATGGATTTTTACACGGGGGAGGCTTGGAATAAGATGTCACATGTCACACGAGAAATTTAAAACCTATCGTTGCACTCGATGTGCTAATGTTGCATTATCAGTAGAAATGACCGTGTTCTGGATTGTGTCCATTGGAAGACAAATTCGCGGGCGATGAAGCGGATAACGTTTAATCGCTTCGAACATTATTTCCCACGCATCTCCCCACCTGATCGCGCCGGTATTTGGGGACAAAACGCAGACCTGCCTTATCGGTAGTAGCCGTCAGCTGAATCAGCGACGCGTTGGGACGCGCAAAAAGAGTATGCAAGAGAAAAGAGAGCAGAAATCAGGGGAGGGATTTGACCATAGATGAGTGGTTGCAGGGCTTTTGGCAGCAAAAACGACAAGTACCATAAGTTGCAAAAACTAGTCGAACGGCCAAAAATGGCAAACAAGCAATAGGCTGACCAACCTGAGCTAAGAAACATTTAGAAGGCTGGCCAGGCAGGCTCAGACGAGCTCCCTGCCCCGCCTGGACCCTGAGCGGCCATCAGCACATAACGTTTCCAGGGCTTCCTCGCTTCTCCGCGCATACAATTCTCCATTCTCCGCCCGTCCACCGCCTCGCCTATGCCTCCGCCGACACTGAATCAATGAATTACTGCTGTCATCAGGTCGGCGAGTGACCGCCGGCGTCACCCTCCGTCGATATCACATCACGGCCGATGGCGTCGGGTTCTGCCAAGGTTCTGCTGTAATTTCTCCACCGAAATCACAACGGCACGGCAATGTCACGGTCAGTGACTCTTCTTCCTCTGTACCGTCAACAACCCTTTGCAACACGCGTCCTCGACGCGTTGCAAGTTGCGAATCCCACCAGTATGCTGCTCTTCTCCTTCCTGCGCGTTGCTGACTGGCTCTAGTTCTCTTCCCGACTGCCTCAGCCATGCAGGGGGGCGCCTTTCGGTGAGTTTGGCATTGCTTTTATACACTTCCCGCTCACTTTCACACAGAATTGGAGCCGCAGCTGCGCTTCACACAAACTTGCGGCCGTCCTTCAATCTTGCTGGTATGTTGCTCTCATTTTTTCCCCCAAGTTTACGCGTTGCCAACTGGCTTCAAGACTCACCGCGCGACTGCCTCAACCACGTCAGCCCTATGTTTGGGGCCTTGGCGTTTGTCGCGCGCTCATGGGTATGTTGATTCTATTCTTTCTATTGACTGACTTGGCTGATGTTTTTGCAGGGAGTCGGCACCACCCTCCGTCCCCGCAACCTCAAGTTGCAGCAGCGCGATGCGTGGCTATGCGTCGCCCAGGCCTGCTGCTGTCCTCACGCGGCGCCGGCTCTTTTGGTGAGTTGTACGCTGTTTTCCCTCCACATATTGCTCAATGTCGCCCACAGTATCGACACGTTTACTCCGCTATATGCTGTGGTCCGCTCAGCGCGGCATCATGTCGTTACCGCAGTCTTCTTCACGTTCGACGGAGCTTTCATGGCAGCGTGCTGACCTTGCTGTTTGGTAAGCTATGTGCCGTTTTGCCTTGAAATTGTTGCTTATTCTTGCCTAGTGCCTCAAAACCAACACGGGTCTGCTCCTGCTGCTCGGTGTCAAAGACCTTCCTGTCGTTCACCTCGAGCTCGTTCCGACACCTTTTCGGTGAGTTTCATGTTATTTCCCTCACTTCTGCCTAGAATCTCAACCTAATGCAGCGTGTTACTGCCGAAGTACTGCCCGCTGGCCCATCCTTTCGACTTCCGAATGCGCCAACACCGGCGCTCGCTCTCGACACAGTCGCTGGCATAATTCCTGTAGCGCATGGAATCAACGTGACATGTTTGTGTGCGTAACATCCTCCCGTTGCATGGACCGTTGTTGAATGTCATTATCAGTGCCCTACAAGGCATATCTGCGAATTCCAAGGCTGAATTTGGCGACAAATTTGATATTACGTAAGCACATTTCTGTGTGTTTTCTGTGCGCAAATAACTCACTTTTTTCCAGACTTTTTGCCGCCGGAGGCGATAAATAGCCGCCTGGGCTCAAAGTTTCGGCTGCTGCTGTGTGCAGCAAGCACCGCGTATGTCCTCTTCCGCTAACCATCGCAAGCTAACCTGCCTTTTATAGATGCCATGCCATGCCGTGGCCTGGTCCGTCGCTCGGGCCCCAGATGCCGGGCTGCCGGCCGTGATCCGATCACTGATAGCCATCATCCGATACTTTCCAGGCACTCTTTTGGCGTCAAAATTCGCGTTAAATTGGCTCATTTTTCGCGGGATTTTGCCGCCGGAGGCCTGGTGTAACGGCTGGGCTTCAAAGTTGACGTTGGCAGCCATTTGCTGCCGTTTCCCTCCTTGTATGTGTTTGTCATTGCTTTCTCCTTCTCGATGACGAGCCTTGCTCGTCACGCCTGTCATGTGACCGCTCCGCTTAGTCAGCAGCCATATCCGGTAGCCGCCTTAGTTCTCTTAGTTTTTCATTTCCCTTGTCTGTTCCTGCTCCTTTCTGTTTCTCCCTTGACTTGTTCCTTAATATGAGCTCCTAGCTCCTAGTTCTTTAGTCTATATAAGCCTCTGTTTTAGTAGTTTCAAATCATCATCCTGTTGATCTCCCTCTGTTGCCTGCCTCTCTGTTCTCTCTCTCTCTCTCTCTCTCTGAAGCCTCAAGTTCTCTGAGTTCTTAAGAGCTTGCCTGTTAAGTGTTGAGCCCCAGTGCTGTTAGAGCATTTTGAAGGCACTTGCCATTTTAGTTCTTGCTCATTCTGTGAGCAAGCGCGTCATTTTGGAGCCCACCGCGAGGGCTTTTCAAAATTGCTTCTGACAGCTCTTACGGCTTACGGCCTAACTCCGCCCGCACTTCCCATCGCGAACTGCGCGAAGAAGTTCTTGCTGCCATCCACGACCCCTACACATCAACTCCTTACCTTCCCGGTGACCCGGACGACCTCCTACACGTTGTTCCTGACACCTTCGCAACACACAACACCCTTACCCCCTCATCGCCCCGGTGATCCGACACTAGCCTGGTTATTCGATAACCCCCCAACGCCTATCGACGAACAAACAGATACCTCAGACGACCAGACCCCGCTCGACTCTCCCACACCCAGCCGCTCCCGCCCAGCCTCAATAGTCCCACCCAACAACGCCAATCCAGTTAATATGCCTCCCACACCAATCCCAATGCCCGCTCGCGGCGCCCATACTGCGCCCAAGTTTGACTCCACCAAGCCGGAAGAGCTCCGTCGTTACTTTGCTGACGTCGAGTACTTGATGGGGCTAGCAAATATCACTACGACTGAGGATAAGAAGAAAGCATGCTCACGTTACCTTTCGGTCCAAGATCAGGAGCTCGTTGAAGGTCTTGATGAGTTCCATGACGCGACGAAGACATACGATGAGTTTAAGAAAGCCGCGCTCTCGCACTACGCAGGAAACGATGAAGAGCATCTGTATACGCTGAAAGACTGGGATGCTCACCTCGGTAGCACCGCCCGCCGTCGGCATCCACTCCGAGAACGAGCTCGCTGCGTTCTTCCGAACCTTTGTTCGCATCGCCAAATTTCTCATTTCGAAGAAACGGCTTTCCGAGACTGAACAGAGCCACGCATTCTTGCGTGCTCTCCAGCCCGCCTCGCTCCAAGCGGCGGTGAAGCAACGACTCCAGATTATCCGCCCGAACGTCCACGCGGACGACCCGTATGCGCTCGCCGACCTGTACGATGCCGCCAAGTTCTGCCTTGCCGGCTCGCCGTCCCTGCTGTTGAACGCGGCACCAACCCCGAGCCCCGCTGAACCTGTGGTTAAAACGGACCCAGAGCTGAAGGCGGTGCTTACCTCTATAAGTCAGCTTGTTGCCGTGCTCGCCAGTCAAGCACGCACCAATGCTGCCCCCAGCCAATTACCCCAGACACCCAGCAACGCCAACCCCTCCGCGAACCCCGGCCGCCCCTCCGGACAGCGCCACCCCGGCTGCAGCTATTGCCTCGACCTCACCCACTTCATGCGCGAGTGCCAGAAGTTGATCGACGATATTAAAGCTGGATTAGTTCGACGAAATGAGGAGAACAAACTAGTCTTACCTGATGGAAGGTATCCCTCCCGTGCTCTTGCCGGCCAGTGCCTCCGAGAACGCATTCTCGCGTGGCACGAGCAGAACCCCGGCCAGAAACTGACACCCCAGCTCATCGTCGATGTCATTAACTTGAAGAAGCCCGCTACCCCCCAACCCATTCCCGCAGTCGACTCCTTCGTCTTGAGCGACGAGCAACGGCTCGAAGCGATCGCCGTCGAGCAGCAGATGCTGCGAACGCGAATGGCGGCGAGGAAGGAGGCTGAGGCGAGGAAGATGGGGGCAGAAGCAAAAGAAACGCCTGACTCGGGCGGAGATCAGCGATCACCGCCCGAAGGCCGATCAGCGATCTGCCTCCGCTGCCACGTCAAAGGCGGATTCTCCTCCTCCCACCTCCCCCTCTCGCGAAGCCCCTGCCACGACACACGACCACGCGACCGCGGACGCGCCAACCGCCGCTGACCTCACACCACCTCCTGGTCCCTTCCCCGAGCACCCGTACGCCGCCGCTCGTGATGCTGCTTACGCGCCGCCAAAAGAGCGCAATGTTGGTGCTGCTCCCAAGCCACCCGTCCGCCCTCCGATTCACGACCCGCGGAACGCGCAAGACGTGTTCAACGCGGTACTAGACGCCGACGTAACCGTCAAGGCACGCAAGCTACTGGCCAGCCCGGAAGTCTCGGCTCTGGCCCGCCAATCGTTTACGCCCGCGCCGACCGGCCGACAAACCCGCAGAGAGCAACTCGTCAACGGTGAAGACCCGCTCCCTGCCTTTGCTACCCTCGACTCTGGCCTGCACGACGACGACCGCGCCGCGGCCCGAGCAGCCGCGATCCTTGACTCTCGCTACCCGATACAGTCACTGCTGCGGCCGCGAACAACACCGCGAATGGCATCTTTGTGCCGGACGCCGTTCGTGGCACTGTATGACCAAGGCCGCCTGCCTGAAGGCCTTATCACTTCCGCCGAAACCACCGCCATCCGCTGCATTCTGCCTATAGTCGACAACCAAGAATATGTGGAGTCCATCGTGGACCCCGGCTCGCAAATCTGTGCGATGTCGGAAGCTCTCTGCCACCGCCTCGCCCTCCAATACGACCCAACGATTGTGCTACAGATGCAGTCGGCCAACGGAGCGATTACCCCGTCGCTTGGTGTCGCTCGGAACGTCGCGTTCACCTTGCGCGACATCGTGTTATACCTCCAGGTCCATATTGTCCGAAACCCGGCCTACGACGTCCTGCTCGGGCGTCCTTTTGATGTTCTCACGCAGTCTGTGGTCCACAACTACAGCAACAACGACCAGACCATCACGATCCGCGACCCCAACACCGGCCGAACCGCGACTGTCCCGACCATCCCGCGTGGCTCATCTCGAGTGACAAAGGAGGGTTTTCTCAAGCTCAAGTCTTCACGTATGAAGCACTGAGCTCCGCAGACAGTATAGCGCTGGTTATTGACCATGACGCTCGCTCGGACACGTTTCAAATATCGGCACACAAGACACTCGAATCGGACACCCGCGAACACGTTCAACTCGCTTACCTCGCCGCGTGCGAGAACCTAGGCGACGACCACGACACTGTACATTGCGCGCACTATGTAGCGCAACCTGCCTTTACCCTAATCATGAACGACGCCCCGCCGCCGCCATACCCTGCTTCCCTTCCCGCCGCCGCTTCCGACGATGGCTTAAGGCCCATTTTCTCTATGTCCTCTCACTCACGATACCCGCCGCCGTCGCGCGCTACCGATCCACGACGGCCCGGCTTCTCTTCCCCCTTTTCTCCACTCGCTAATGTATTCGCTAATCGAAAATATAAACCTGTCTCAAAGAAAATACGGCCCGTACTCGACGCTCTGCCTGATAAATTCCGCATTGTGAGGAACATTCTTGGTGACCCGCTCGCCGACATGCCGGTACTGGACCCGCATCCACCGCCCTTTGAACCCACTGGCCGCTATACCCGCGAACGACGCGACGCGCTCGACGCCGCGCACCAAGGCAACTTCCTTTGGCCGACTGAACGGGACCTGCTGCACCACTTCATGTGCTTGCAGAACGGCGCTTTCGCTTGGGAAGATTCGGAACGCGGCAGCTTCCGCACCGACTTCTTCCCGCCCGTCGACATGCCTGTGATGCCGCACACGCCCTGGGTGCAGCGCAATATCCCAATCCCACCTGGCATCTACCAGAAGGTTTGCGATGTCATCAAGACTAAGCTCGCTGCGGGCGTCTACGAGCCCTCGAATTCTGCCTACCGCTCCCGCTGGTTTTGTGTGGTCAAGAAGGACGGCAGCAGCCTCCGACTTGTCCACTCCCTCGAGCCGCTTAACGCAGTCACGATTCAACATTCCGGAGTCCCGCCGTTTACTGATCAGCTCGCGGAGAGCTTCGCTGGCCGTGCATGCGGCGCAACACTGGACCTGTATGTTGGCTATGACGAGCGACTCTTGGCGACATCTTCCCGCGACTACACGACTTTCCAAACGCCTTTCGGCGCCCTCCGCCTCGTTACTCTGCCCATGGGATGGACTAACTCTGTCCCCATATTCCACGACGATGTAACCTACATCCTCCAAGACGAAATACCTGACTTTACGCAACCGTTCATCGACGATGTGCCCGTTCGCGGCCCAGCCAGCCAGTACCGCCTCGCAGACGGCTCCTTCGAGACGATTGCTGGTAACCCCAACATCCGCCGCTTCGTCTGGGAGCACATGAACAACCTCAATCGAATTGTGCAACGAATGAAGTACTCCGGCGGGACATTCTCTGGTAAAAAGTTAGTACTTTGCGCCGAAGAATTTACTGTTGTTGGCCACGTTTGCACGCCCCGCGGTCGAATTCCCGATAAGTCTCGTGTTGAGAAAATTGTGAATTGGGGCCCCTGTAAGAATCTCTCGGATGTGCGCGCTTTCCTGGGAACGGTAGGTGTATGCCGAATGTTCATCAAGAATTTCAGTCAACGCGCGCACGCTCTGGTTGAACTGACTCGAAAGGGCGTCCCATTCACCTTTGGCCCGGCACAGCTTGCTGCACAGGACGACCTCAAGCTTGCGCTCATTCACTCCCCTGCTCTCCGCCCCCCTTGACTACTCCCCCAGATGCGCCGCCCATCATACTCTCAGTCGACAGTTCCTACATCGCAATCGGCTTCTTGCTGTCTCAGTGCGACCCCGACAATCTGGCTCGACGATTTTACTCGCGCTTCGGCTCGATTACGCTGAACGAGCGGGAGGCGCGATTTTCCCAAGCTAAGTTGGAGATATATGGTTTGTTTCGAACACTCCGGGCCTGCAAATTATACCTGGTAGGCCTCAGAAATCTTGTTGTTGAAGTCGACGCCCGCTATATAAAGGGCATGCTTGCGAACCCCGACTTGGAACCAACCGCAAGCATTAACCGGTGGATCATCTCGATCCTTGCCTTCCATTTCACCCTCGTACACGTCCCCGGCGACCACCACGGCCCAGATGGCCTCTCCCGACGCCCCGCGCAGCCCCACGACGAACCGGAACCCCCAGACGACTTCGACGACTGGGTAGATCAAGTTTATGGCTTCATGCACATGGTAAACGACTCACCGTACGCTCAACGCCCACAACAGCTGGTTGCAACGTTTGCTGCGGAAGCGGTACCAAACCCTGCTGATCCGCCGCCTGCGCTGGCCTACGACCAAATTCCACGCTCTGATTCGGCCCGTGTCGCCGATGCGCGCCTCGAATGGGTGCGCTGGTGGCACAAGGCCCTCAAACGACCACGCGACATCACCGACGACCAATACAACACCTTCATGAAGTACTGTGTCGAGTTCTTTGTGCACAAACGACTACCTGTGGCGCAAAGATAGTCACGGAAACCACAAGCAGGTGGTTGCGACTGAACGCCGCCTCTATATATTACGATCCGCACACGACGACATTGGACACAAAGGTTTCCACGCTACTCGCGCGCTCGTCTCCGAGCGTTTCTGGTGGCCACATATGGCTAACGACATTAATTGGTATGTAAAGACATGCCACTTGTGCCAAATCCGCAAAACACAGCGACTTCTTATCCCTCCAACGGTCTCCGCGCCTCCACCCATCTTCTCCCGCATTCACATCGACACTATGCACATGCCGCGAAGCAACGGCTTCGCTTACATCGTTCAGGCGCGCTGTGCGCTGACGAACTATCCCGAGTTCCGCATGTTGCGGCGCGAATCAGCTGCTGCGATCGCCGATTGGATTTTTCAAGATATCTTGTGCCGCTGGGGCACGCTCCTAGAGATAGTGACCGATAATGGCACCCCTTTCGTCAAAGCGTTGACACATCTAGAAAGCAAATACCACATACGACACATCCGAATCTCCGGCTACAACTCACGCGCCAACGGCTTGGTTGAACGTGCTCATTTCGATGTCCGCGAAGCACTGTTCAAAGCCGCCGATGGTGATGAGAAGCGCTGGGCAATGTCTGCCTACAGCGTCTTCTGGGCTGAACGATGCACAGTGCGACGCCGCATGGGTTGCTCACCGTACTTCGCTGTTACTGGCACCCATCCCCTACTGCCCCTCGACATCACAGAAGCGTCATACCTTGTTCCTCCCCCTACATCGACCCTCTCCACCACTGCCCTGATCGCAAGGCGTGCAATCACGCTACAGAAGCGCCGAGAACAGCTAGCCGAGTTGCACTCCCGCGTGTTTGAAGCTAGACTGGAGGATGCGCGACGATTTGAGCGTGATCACGCTGCCACAATACACAACTACGACTTTAAGCCCGGCTCACTGGTTTTAATGAAAAATTCAGCAATTGACAAATCGATTGGACTAAAGATGCGTGATCGTTACATGGGCCCGCTGCTCGTGATTTCGCGTAATCGGGGCGGCGCTTACATCCTTGCCGAATTGGATGGAGCTGTATTTGATAGGCCGACTGCCGCCTTCCGCGTGATTCCTTATTTCCCTAGATCAGCCATCCCTCTTCCACCCCTTGAGGACTTCCTGGATATCTCCACGGCTCGCTTGAGAGAGCTGGAGGACTCTGCAATGAGTGATCCTGATGAAGACCTTTGAAATTTGCACAATTTAGCACGACTTCCCACAACTGCCTGATGGCGAGTTCCACCTGCGCTGGTGGAACCAGGATGATGTCATTGGCAAGTTGGGAGGAGCCTCGATGCCCCCGCTGCCAGAACTCGATCCCTGCCCTGGTTCCTCAAGATAGGATGGACACCACCCCTCAGCAGATAATCCAATACCTTGTTGCAATAAATACTCTGACCCTGAAAGTAATACACAGTTTTACGACCCCCACGCTGCTGATCCCCACGCTGCTGCTGCTGCTGCCGACCCACGACGCTGACCCACGACGCTGCCACGACGCTGACACGAACTCACGCTGCTGCCACGATGCCCCGCTTCTATTCCCCACGACCTTCTGCCATCACCGCCCGCTTCCGCCAGCGCTCCCGCGATTGCCGCTCCATTGCGCAACAGCTTGCGGAAGACCCGAACCTGTGCGCACAAGTGGCTGCCGAACTTGAACGCCTTCAGTCGATACGCCAAGCCCGCCTCCCGGCCCGAAGTTGTGCCTGATTCCGCACCACCTGGCACCGGCCGACAGCCCCGAACTCTGACCTGCCCCTACTGTGGTCTTCCTGGCCACGGCAAGCCTGAATGCCGCACCAGTCGAGTCCAGCTTGACATCGGCTATGTCGAGCTTGATGCCAACGGCCGCTACAAGCTCCCGGGTGGCCGCTACTTCCCAAACACATCCGCGGCCCCACTATTCAAAGCCGCATGGTCCAGTATTACGACGCCCACCCCGACGAAGCCGCAGCTATTGTGGCAGCTCACAAGGCAAAGCTTGCTTTGCGTTCTCGTGCCACAACGCCTCCTGCTGGCGACACCTTCATTGATGACTTCGCGATCAGAGCGGACATCAACCGGGCTTCCATCACAGCTACCCACGGGTCTCCTTCCCCTGCACTATCCACGGCTTCGCTTCCGGACCTCTTGCCAGCTGATGGCGATACAACTTTGGACACCTGCATATTCTGCCCAGGTGCTTACCACGCCAACGAACCCTGCCAACCCTTCTTTAGTGCGAACTCTCCAACATATGTCCCACGTTCTCTGGACTGGGACAACATGTCCGCTGGTGACATCCCCGAGTGGCCTATCGAACTTGACTTGGACTCCGACTCGGATTAATTCCGACTTCCTCCACTTTCCCACACTACTTTTACTTTCCCACCATCCATCATATCCACTCTGATGACCGCGGACGGTCATTTTTTCAGTTGGGAGGAGGTGACGAGCCTTGCTCGTCACGCCTGTCATGTGACCGCTCCGCTTAGTCAGCAGCCATATCCGGTAGCCGCCTTAGTTCTCTTAGTTTTTCATTTCCCTTGTCTGTTCCTGCTCCTTTCTGTTTCT